CGGCCTTGATTCCGGTATGTCGACGCCAGGTTGGCCATACTGGTCAGCGTGGAGGGATGCTCCGCCCCGAGCACCCTCTTTCTCGTTTCCATGACTTGCACGTCAAGCTCTTCCGCCTCCTGCCATCGGCCTTGATTCCGGTATGTCGACGCCAGGTTGGCCATACTGGTCAGCGTGGAGGGATGCTCCGCCTTGGGGATCTCCCTCTGTCCTTTAAGAGCCTTTTGAAGGTACCTCTCGGCCGCAGAGCGATCACCCTTCCAATTCAACGCCTCTCCAAGGTTGTTGTAAGCTTCAAGTGTCTGTTGTTCTGAAGCTCCCAGATTATACTCCCTCCACTGTACTGTTGCTGTATGAGCTTTTACCGCTTCATCGTACTTCCCATCGACAACAAAACACAGGCCCATCTTCTCGAGTAACCGATACCGATCAGGAAAATGTTCGACCTCGTTCTCTTCGCAAAGACGCTGAGCATGCGGCAAATAAACTGTCCAAATACTTTTGTGCTTGTAGTCTCGCGTCGGGAAGACCTGGGCGATTCGTGTGATGCAGGTTCTCATCCAATCAGTGAGCGAGCCTTTCAACTTCAACCAATTTCGAGCGGCCAGCTGCACTAATCGATGAAGATTGTACAGCTCCTCGCCATCTCCAAGGCCATTACTGCTTGTCTGCCTTCTCACAAACGAATATCCCGTCAAGGTAGTAATAGCATCGATAATATCTATCTTCGAGCCGGCTTCTGGCAGAAGCGATCGTGGAATGTTTTTTTCATGGAGGCACGCCATAGACGAAAGGAACCTTGCCGCTAGTTGGTGGTGCTTGAGGATGTGGTTAAACGAGATGAGCCAAGTAGTGGCAATCGGATTTTTAGCATTCGGATACCGGGATGGGTCCCCAAAGTCCTTGCTCAAAAGCTTGATCACCTCTGCTTCAGGCTCGTCGAGAAGCTCGACATATGTCTGTACAGGTCGCTGGGTCATGTTGATAAATGAAGCAGCCTGAACAATTGCAAGGGGGAGGAAGGCCAACTTCTCCAGCAAGGTCAATGTGGCGACACGATCGACAGCGAGACCTGGATTCTGCAGCGCCTCTGTGAACATCTCTGCGCCTTCGTGCGGCGACATCTCGGGTAATTCGATCACTTCTTTTCCTGCCAGAAAATTAGCAACGCCTCGCGTCCGGGTTGTTATGATAATGGAGCCATTCGTCGTTTTCGGCAAGTACTCCACTAGTGAAGATACCTCCGGGCTTGAATCCGATTGGTCTCCCCATAACGCTTCGTCATCCGCGTTGTCAAGTATCAAGAGCCATTGGTCCGTCGAAGAGCTGCTAAGGCTTTGCTTGAAGAGGCTCTTGGTGTCTGTTTTGTCGTCTTCAATTCCCGGAATTCTGAGCTTCTTTCCAATCTCAAGCACGTCCCTTTCAAAGGTCAGTTGGTCCGCGGCCTGGATCCAAAAGATGGAATGCTGTGGATGCTCCGACTTGATCTGGTAGGCAAGCTCCAGCGCCAGCCGACTCTTACCGATGCCTCCTAAGCCCAGTACGGAAACGACGCGACGACCGCCTGTTTCGAAGATCTTCCACTTAAGGTGTTCGATCTCGTCTGTGCGGCCGACAAATCCTGGCAATTGATCAAAAGGCACGTGCCATATCGGACCGGGCGATTCATCTAGAGAACAATGAGCGGCGATTGTTATGAAATCATGCTGAATATAGAAAGCTCACCTCTATCTGCCAACTGGTCTGGCGTGGTCCACTCTTTCAAGAGGACTTTGAGACCGGCGGCGGCCATGGCGGCAGCGTAATCTTGCCAATCCTTGTTCTTGTGGCTATCGGCATAGTCACAGGCTGCCTTAATGACAACGGTAGGATGTTGATCCCACACACCCGCACCTTCCATTTCAAACGCGATCACCCCGTCGGATTCTGCCAACCAGTCGCGATCAACTCCAGACTTCATCACGATGTTCGCTGATCCGAATTTACCGAAGTGGATCAAGGGTATATCATCTGGGAGAAGTGAGAGATCTTCTGTCTTGGGAAAGCTGAGCCGATTGCGAGCAATGAGTTTTTCTTCCTCACATCCAAGTTCGTCACAGCTCTTCGAACAAGTCTCGAGGCTGTTGTTACAGTTGTCGCAACTCACACCTGGTCGATGCTGATGGATGTAAGACGCCTCGTAGAGCCGGTCACGAATCGCGCCAGGATATTTGGCGGCAGGAACTTCTGTCTGGAAATTCTCCGATTGCAGGAGCAGCGTGAGGTTCCTGGTTAACCGCCTGTGATTGTGACGCACCCGTAACATGTTGATAAATGATCGGATTGCCGGGCTCGCCCTCCCTAAGCTGTCTTCAATCTCCTTCTTTCTCCGGAATCCATTGGGGTATTGCCTGCCAAAGTCATACTGAATCACAGCCGTGCTGATGACAATGTCCCCTAAGACAATCTCTTCTTGCGTCTTTGGATGAATGGGAACAACGCCGCAGATACCCACCACCAAAGCGAGCTGAATTCCCGGAAAACTAGAGCGAAGGCCAGCGGCTGCAGTCGCGGCGCTGATGCTGCCCATATCAGGCATATGAGCTAGGACAACATTATGCTTTCCAATCACTCCTGTCGTATATGCGTTCTGATCCCCCTCTGCTTGGTTGTATTGTTTTCCTTCATCTTCCCAGCATCTATCGAACACGGCTCGGACATTTTCAGCCTCCAACTTCAAGGCGCAGATAATGGCAACCTTGAAACCTCTGCGATTTCGAGGCGGAAAAGGCGTCGACATGATTGTTCAGGATGAGCGAGAGGGAATCACTGACGATGTGCGCTCCATCGGGAGCGGGTGCAATGCTCTCGGTTCGTGGTGTCGTATCGCAGCAGATTGACGAAGAGATGCATCCAGGTCGAAGTTGAATTTGTCTGGGTGCGGCCAAGTCAAAAGACTTGGTCAATCAGGCTGAACGAAGGACATCTGTTGCCTTTTTTCTCGGTCACAGTCCTGACCAATCCCCTTGACCTGGGAGCGCTGGCCGCTGAGCGAGAATACCACAGCTTTAGGCATGTTTTCTAGTAAAAAGATACTCATTCAGTACCTCCTACAATACTGCAAAATAACGGATGGCCGAATGACAAGTGATTTGCAGTCTTGTACGGTGCAGAGTAGGTGTGAACGCCAAGACATGTTGGGGTTCGAATGTTCTCCTTCTGATGCAAGTGCGAAACGTGACATATTGCAGCATAATCGGCGAAATTTGCTTTTCTTGTTGTTGTTAAGCTTACCCAATTATATAGCTGTGCCGTTGGCAGCCAGGGTTGGGCGTATTGATGATAACAAGAGTGAATGATACTCCTCGGTTCCACTAAATGCAGAAGAGCTCAAGGTACCAGTTTCTTGGTATTGGATTCGTGGAATGCTGCGTCGGATCTAACTGTCGAGATGAGTTCTGGCCTTCAGGTCACCCTGTCAAGTGCTCTGCTCCATGCCATTTGTCTGGGGATGGACGTCGTCGATCAGAAGGCCATAGCGGATAAAGTCCCGGATTGTGTTGAACAGCGGTAGCGACGGGGGAGGATTACGGATCAGAAATAACGTTTCACTCATACATTCAATACATCGTGGTCATGATCGAGACGTTTGCCTCCCTCGACGACAGACATATTCAACTCAAATGTCAAAAATATGTGGCGATTTCGCGCATCTCAAATATTTCTGCTCGGAATTCCGTCAAGCCACATCTGAACAGAGGTGTTTTCTTCATGCCATGAGATCACGAGAAGGCAAGGCCGGATAATCCTGGCATTCTCCACATGGGACATATAGAACCAGGTCAAAATGCTTGGGGATGGGCACCTGGCTCATGGGAGTAGATGTAGGTACTTATACCGAGGAGAACTGCAGAGTCTCAAGAAGAAGAACGAGAACCATAGTCCAGGTGGGACCCTATCTTGGGTAATTTTCGTATCCTTGATCGTACGAGGAGGACATCTTGTCAGAACGGCACAGGCCATTGAAATAGACCCCGAAGAACACGTCGTTGATATAGGTTTCTGCTTGAGCTCCGGGCAGTGCGAGGCGTCCAACCCGGATATCTGGCAGGAATGAAATTCCCACTCACTGTCTTTGTTCATGAACGGAGAGTTCTCCCTACACCAAACGAGTCGTTTGCGTCAGACCCAGATGGCAGTGAACAGTGGTGAAGACAACATCGCACACTGCCTTGATTGCCCTGCAGAGAAAAATAAATAACTGTGGTGCAGCATATTTGGTAAGTTTTCCAGCAAACCATTTCATCACCACTGCCATCAAGAAACGCAATTACTATTTCTGTCCTCCTCATACTTCGTATGATAATGGCCTCAACCCCCAGATTCAAGCCTGCCCTCTATATAACCCACAAATTCTTCCTCCCGGCGACAACAATTCTCCTCCTCCTCCTCTGGCTCCGCGGTGGCGGCGGCGCCCAAGAGGACTCCCCGACCAAATAAAGCCACCAAAGACCGCTGTGAGAGTTCTGTCCTACAGCGTAGAAACTGCAATAGCGTCAAACCTGTTTGCGACACCTGCGCAAGAATGACCAGGCAGCCAGCAATCGGGTTTATAGCCAGACAGATGTCCCTCTCGAAGCGAATTAGAGGCAGCGCGTCGCAGCAGTTCTCGGCGTCTTTAATGGCCACCACACGATCCTCCGCTTCTCCCATGGCAACTCGACAACCCTTCGCCTCTCCAGTCGCCACAGTACACTCCTCGACCTGTCAAATACCCAGGGCACAACATTCTTTCCCGCTCACTAACTCTGGACAATTGATCGGTCATCCGCTCTGGAACCAGATCCTCCCATCGCAATCATCCGATCCCGACAGGGGCACTCTGCTCATCTTCCAATATGTCTTTCGACCAGGGCAACCTCTGGCATCACCCGATGAATATCAACCGTTGATGAACAAGATAACTGGAGGTTAGTGGGCTGGGCAGATAAGGGCTGCGCACCAGGAGGATACAGGCAACAATACACTCACGATTCCTCCAACAAAATCTGGACGCACACTATGCTTACCATCTAGACCGAGACTTTACTACAAGCCACCACATGATGGTACTAGTGGCTCTCAGCAACCAAGAAATGCAGACAGCCGTACCTAACCGGAAGACGGAAGCTGCGCTTCACCGTCAGTCCGCCACACGGAAAGGCTAATGGCGCCCAACGATTCGAGAACACAGAAGAAGGGGCTGGACTGATGGTTGATGGTGCCAGAGAGGCTAAACAGAAATGCTGAGGAAGAAGAGATGACTGCAAAGACCGAAGAGGAGGAACAGGCTGGAGAAGGTGCTGAAAGCGAGGAAGATTGTCTCTTCGGAGACCATGGGCCCTGAAACGGTGATTCGAAAAGAGAGATGTGTTTGTCAAACCACATCGCAGAAGGATGATTTGTCAGTTGGCTACTTGTTGCTTGCAGTCTGATATCGAAAGAGAAGGAAAGACATCTCCTTCTACCACAAAGGGAGACATGAGCATGTATGATGAGAGAACAGTTCGATATGAAAGTTTAAGCGAGGCTGCTCCGGCCCCTGACTTCCCCTTCCGATTCCATCTACGGATAAACTTCGGTTCTTCCCCTGGTTAGAGTTGTGATCATTTTCCCTTCCATCAGTTCAAATGCGAAGCTCAATACGACATTCCTTGTAGATCTGGTCTTGAGACCGTCTTTCCTCTTCGCGTCCAAATGAGCCCCAAGAACTACATGACCGCCAGGAGAATGTCCTGAGGGTTCTCATGGTCATCCCTCATGTCTCTACTCTTCAAGTCATGATTTGAACCCCAACCTTTTGTGCCTATGTCAGAGTGTTCCTTTCTCGAGCAATACTGACTAGTGATATCGCACGACTAACAATATGCCATTCATACGCTTGTATCAGGAATCCGACAAAGATGCCATGGTGCGTATTGTACGTCAGCCAAACCCAATGAAACGAAATGACACTCTGACAAAGTTTGGCTCTAGTTCCGCGAAACCGCGGCCCCCGATCTCCGTGCAGCAGGCGATCCTGTCCTTCATTATGCCTCCTTTCTCTGGTGTCGCCCTTACCTGATGTTAACGCCAGATTCCTGTCTCGTCCTCGACGACGGCAATGGTCAAGCCGTTGGATACCTCCTCGGCGCACCAGACACGCCCTCTTTCGCACAAAAATACAAGGACATCTACATCCCATACCTAAAGTCCGCAGGGTTCGAGAAGCCCGGCCCTGATGAAGCAGTTGGGTGGAATGAAAATCTGCCAAATGCACTCAGACAGATCATGTACAATCCTGATAGCCTGCAACACGGAGAATATCCTCAATTGATGGAAAATTTCCCGGCGCATTTCCATATCGATATATTGGGACCGTATCAGAAACAAGGCTACGGACGACAACTCATCGAGCGATTCTGCAAGATGGTAAAGGAAAAGAGTCCCGGTGTCAAAGGCGTTCATTTAACCATGGCAGCGGCGAATGAGGATGCCAAAAAGTTTTATCCACGGGTGGGATTTACAAAGTTTCCTGTCGTGCTTGATGGTGGTGCCAGTGGCGAGCAGGGCAGAGATCAAAATACCATCTGGTTTGTCAAGGCTCTACCATAAATCGAGACGAATACAAAAACGTTCTGGAGGTATTTCCTATCGACCTCCCGCCCCCGTCGATCATAAGAGCTTGTAGCAGGACATCTTCTACCTACACATACAGCCTGGTTACGGTATTTGTGACAGACGGAGATATCAGTCCATCCCACCTCGCTTACGTCAGCTTACGATTAGGTCACCTGGGTTGTGGATATTGGGAACAGTTCCAGCACGCCTCAACTTGAACGCGAGATACCGCTCAAGTCAACGTTGCAAAGGTCCCTGCGATAGTGGAATGACCGGAGAACGCTCCACATAGAGTGTCGCTTGTCAATACCACAAGGGTGACCAATTTCTGAGTCAACCTAACCAGAAGAAAGGAATCCCCAGTGGATTATGCCCGCTCCCATCTCATGATTCCACTGCTTGACCTTCACAGTCTACGTCCACATTCCCAGTTAAGCTCATTATCGAGCCCTTTGATAAAGGTGGTCTCCATCATCCATGTCTGGGGAGGCCTTGATACAGTGTCGCGTTCACCATGAGATTGCGTTCCAGGGTTAGCTAGCCAGATGGGACCGCCTTGTTTTCAGGCCTCCTATGTTTCTCACGTTAGGAGCCTGACCTGTCAGAGCACAGATGACGGGATAAGCTCTGCTAAGCTAAGCTGAATGATTCAGGCTGACTATTTCTGTGGAGCTTATATTTGTTAAGGATCGTGCCATGATGCCCGTGCATGAGAAACTTTCTGCCCGTCATACTCCGTCCTCAGCTGCGAGAATTAAATTGCTGGTCCAATAGATTTCTCTTCGTTTCATCAAGCCCTTTAAATTAGACGGCAGTTATTTGGATCTTCATAACCCAAACTATTCTTTTCTATTTCAATCGACAGCAGAGGATCCATCCATCAGAACGGTATCATAGAGCAAGAATAGACAACACCACCATGGTTTTCTTCGCCGCGACAGAAGCACCGGCTCTGCCGAACAAAGATATCCTGTCATGGATCTTCGATGAACCGGACTACGATGTGAATAAACCGGTAAGTGCGTCTCACATCGTCCGAATTCGTCGGCAATCCCCCAACCGAGATCGTAATCTCAATAAAATAACTCATATTCTAGATCTTCATCGACGCTACTCAAACTTCACGCTCAATTTCACACGTCCAAGCGCGCAAGGTCATCCGCCAACTCATCGCGGGCCTCCATCACGCCGGCGTACAAAAGGGCGACTGTGTAATCATCCACTCATTCAACGACATCTACTATCCCATTCTAGTGCTCGCCATCATTGGCTCCGGCGCCATCTTCGCCGGCACCAACCCAGGCTACACGCCGCATGAACTGCGTCATCACGTGAAAATCACCCAGGCGACATTTCTCGTTTGTGAGCCTGACCTACTTGATTCCCTGCTCCCAACAGCGAAGGACGCAGGAATTCCCCACTCGAGTATTCGCATCTTCAACACGCAACCCAATCAGAGAGTCCCGAACGGATTCGACAGCTGGACGGAATTAATGCAGCATGGAGAAGAAGATTGGGTGCGCTTCAACGATGGGGAAACATGTACCAACACGACGGCCGCGAGGCTCACGAGTTCCGGCACCACGGGTCTCCCGAAAGCCACGATGACGACGCATCGGAATTTGATTGCGCAGCATGAGCTGTGCTACGGTCTTGCGGTGCAACAACGACCGTATGAACCCATCCATTTATTCTCGATGCCCATGTTCCATGCCGCCGTGGCGCCGCGCTCGCATACCACGGTACTCAAGAACGGCGAGACCGCGTATATTATGCGGCGATTCGAGTTGGAGCCGTTCCTCGCCAATGTGGAGAAATTCAAAGTCACGGAACTGTATGTCGTGTCTGCCATGGCCGTGGCCATCGTCATGTCTCCTCTGCTGAACAAGTATTCGATGAAATCTGTCCGGCAAGCACTGGCGGGCGCTGCGCCGCTGAGCAAAGAGACGCAAGCGGGCATAAGACGACATTTCCGGCCCGGCGCCCCGTTCACGCAGGTCCTCGGCTTGACGGAGGTATCGTGCATTCTCACCTGGTTCGATTACCCGGAAGACGACTTGACGGGGTCCGTCGGCCGGATCCGGCCTGGCATTGATGCGAAACTCATCGACAATGAAGGCAATGATATTAGTGGATATGATGTGGTGGGCGAAATGTGCGTGCGCGGCCCCACGGTCATCAAGGGATACTTCAACAATCCGGAGGCGAATAAGATGTCGTTTGACCAAGATGGCTTCTTCCACACTGGCGACGTCATGTACTGCGACGGCAAGACAAAACTGTGGTACGTTGTCGACCGTAAGAAGGAGTTGATCAAGGTCCGCGGTTTCCAGGTGGCGCCGCCGGAGATCGAGGCCGTGCTGCTCACGCACCCTGACATCGTGGATGCGGCTGTCATTGGTGTCCCCGCCGCCAGTGCGGTGGATGGTGAAGTTCCTCGTGCGTATGTCGTTCGGAGACCCGGTTCAGACCCGAAGAATCTCACGGAGGCAGATGTCATGGAATTTGCGGGGAGACCGTTGGCGAAGTATAAGCGTCTTGAGGGCGGTGTGAGGTTTAAAGATGTGATTCCGAAGAATGCGTCTGGGAAGATTCTCAAGAGGATATTGAGAGACGAAGCCAAGAAGGAGAGGGAGAGTGTGGCGGCGAAGTTGTAGATTTCCACACACATTGTATTAATATATACTGGGCCTCGATGCTGGACACTAGCAGGGCGTGCTGCTTGCTAACCATTATGAGCAACATCTCCTTAGGTCACAGGTACGGCACCGTCTGGAATGGTCAGGGACACCATGGAGGCGACTTCCTGCCCATCTATGCGCACCACCGTTCCCTCGAGTCCAAAGGTATGAGACTTCCGCCCTTGTTGCTCGACTCAGCGCATGCTACAACCTCTTTGGAGTAAAAAGGGAAGACACCTCCGTACAGAGCTGCCCTTTGAGATATACTTGGATCCGATATCATTACATACCTAGGCGGTTGGGTGAGGTATGGTGATACTGTCAGGACATTTTTGAGATATCATCGACTTCTTCGCTGATTCTGATGTACACGAGAAACATTCGAAAATCGACTCCTTTGAAGACTAAGAATTCTGCATTTCTCCCGCTAGTCCAACTTTCGTGTTGCACCCTCTTCCCCCTAGCTACTCGAATCGTGTTAATGATGCGAAGTCACATGTACCTGACGCCAGACGGCGGAAGGGGGCCTCCTCGGCTTCACCTATCTCAGTTAGGTCTTTCAACTTTGGCGTGGTCCGCGGGCAAAACTCACGAGAGGATTCCTTAAGTGCGACAAATTTTGAGAACAATGGGTGATGATAGACTTTCCAGCTGGTCGACTCGGCTTCCCATCGGTGTCGACATCAACAACCGCATCTAGTGCTCTGATGGAGGGATCTTGAATACAGTCAGGCCAAACTTGCCGGACTGCCCGCCAAAGTGCTTCCCGCATTGTTGGCTGGTCTGGGAAGGTGAGATCCTGGTCGTCGACGTCTAGATTCTGATAGCCATCACCTCGACAGTTGGCCGGAGATGACTTGGGTTTATTGGAATCAAGCTTGAAGCTGAAGAATTTCTTCGTAATACCGTAGGGATCCGACGTGTTGTGATCTAATCTGGTTGCATTGCTTGTCGAGTACAGAAAGGGTTTCGGCGGCTGCCGTTATATCATGACAAGACCGAGGTGCCGCTGTCCACCAAGAAGTGGCATTCACAGAGACTCTGACGCATGACCTCATTTCTCAACGCGACCACTTCGTCGTGTAAAGCATGGACAAGCGAGGTCTGGATGCGCATTTTCTCCTGTTCTTCGCGACATCGTTCTTCCAGGTGCTCCACAAATGCCTTTTGTCGGTTTCGACACTTTGCGGCGGCTTTCCGGTTGAGTTCGAGTTCTCGAGCATGTTTTTCCGAACGTGGAGTTACACGGCGTTTGGAGGCGGAGGATTTTCTTGGTCTTGCTTGGATGGTCCGAGGTCGGTATGAGTCGTTGCTGCAGTCACTCGCGGCAAGATACATTCGTCGAAGAGTTCGTTGGAGATCTGCAGAGAGGTCACTGTCCGTTGAGTCGATTGGCCTAGTTTGAGGGTGGGGCGAGCCCACGTGTTCATGTTCTGGCGTGGACACCAAGTGTAGATATTGGGGTTCGACAATTTGTGGAATTTGTTCTTGAGAGAAAAGACGGGGAGAATTGGTCATTCCGGTCGAAGACATTCCTTGTTCATTCCGTGATGGTGTATCTTCGAGAGGAAGTCCGTCGTCAGGTCTGGCATTGCAGAGCAGGAGAAATTCTTCTAGACCGGAGGCGTCTGGAAGGGAAAGTTCGGCCCTGGAGGAAATTGGCCAAGCCATGGGTGCAGCGAATGGGATATGTGTGTGAATGCGACGTCGACCTGGTCAGTCTTTCAGATACATATAGTGCCATTTCATCCGCACCGGAGCAGAGATCCGGACAGGGAATTGGGATTCCAACCAGGAACCGCAGCTGCCCGGCGGGGGGAAAGAGAGCGAGGAAGGAGGCGGAAAGGAGTGGAGGGGAAGCCGCGATGAGACTGTTCGATAGATCACCATGTCGGCATGCCAGTGAATCTTGTGTTGCTGGTGGAAGAGCTCGGGAACAAAATATCCTAGACAATGGTTTCTTTATGATCGAGATGACGACAATATGGGGGAGTGTGTGGGAATTATTTCCCACAGTCGAATTTGATTGCTCCAAAACTTATGCAGGGACTTGCATTTCCGGATGGCAATTACTTCAAGTATGGGGGACGTTTGGTAGGTAAGCGCAAGGACGATCTTTTCTTTTACGTGGCATGGCCTTTCCCCAACGTTTTGCAGTCCTGGCGCGGTTTACAGAATGCCATGTTGGCGCCCGGCGTCATTTGCCATCGTCAATTCGCCAATCCCGAAACCCAACTGGTCGCCGTCACGGTGTCCTCCTTGCATCAAATGCACCGAATCTGGCCTAGTAGATCCGATCGTGGCCTAGCATTGATGTCACTCCGCAGGACCATCCACGATGGACTGACTTTTGCCAAATCCGACTTCAATGCAGGTGATATTCATGTGAATGACATGCTGGTTCCGCGGAGCCATCTCACCCCACGACTTGCAAACCTGTGTCGTATGTGATCTACAGATCTCCCAGAACTCCGCTCTGACCATGTCCCTTGTGGGAAATTGACAGAATGCCACTTTCCCCCACTTCGTAAGAGCCAACGATGGACCTTTTATCAGGCCGGAAGTTTTTTCCTGGTCGTCTTATATTACATACTCCTCTGCGTCATTCGGGTATGAATCTGGTCTCCCTCCTTCTCAATGGATCATGGCAAATTCAAAGCCAAAGCTGAAGCCAACAAGCACGGGAAAGAGTAACAACGACGTGAGGCGACGAACTCGTCGAGCTTGTGATCGTTGTAAATTCAAGAAGGCCAAGGTAAGTCTCCGTTACGTGATCTTCACGCCTGTCACTGACTCTCAGGAGTGTGACGGAACTTCAAATTGCAAGACCTGTCAGGCCGTGGGCAGCGAATGCAAATACACATTACCCCGAGGACGAGACGCAAGAAACTAGTAAGGACATTTCCTCTCCACATCACCAGATGCACTTTTTGAGCCGTTCGTAGTTACTGCCAGATGCGAAACGTGACCGAGACCGCCCTCCAAAAATTGTATTGGGCATGTCGGACGAAATCCGATTTTCCAGGAGACATACCAGACGAGTCGACCGGTGCGGTTACGACCATGGCCATTTTGAAAGGACTTCACTTGATCGATGAGCCACGGTCTTCCCAAGAATCGCACCATCTCAATAGTGCTCCCACCAAACCAATCCAGATTCAACCCGCACCTTCAAGTTCTCCCATCAAACCTCTGGCCGGGGCTGATCACATCAGAGAAGGCCACCCGGCATCCACAGCGCCCGCCTTGGATGTCTCTCAGGAGGCTGCGGACAATCAAACTCCCAGTCCTCGAACCGTCGCATCTTTAGAACTGGTGACTCCTCCTGAGCCCGACACGGCTGAGCAATTTGCAGCCAACAATTCCCCACCGCTAATGCGACCGGACATGAAAGTCGTGGATTCTCACACCGAAGCCTTCCGCTCCGAGCGCCACCGAGATTCAGATATTGACGTTGATTCTTTTCTCGATATGAGCTCCTGCACCATCCCCATGGATGCGCAGCCACCACAAAATTTCTTGCCGTTAGGCCAATTCAGCATTCGCCCAATGACTCAAATGAGACTCGCACCCCATTTACCCGGCGGTCAAATTTCACAGGAATCCGTGGGCGACGCCTTCTTGTCACCGTGGCCAGGCTCCTACGCGGCCGCCTACCAGTCAGTTATGAATTGATCACGCGGGGTTTTTGGATAAGGACTTCTGGATCAAATTTATTCGATTATTTCACCCAGCTCATAGAAGGTTCCTAGAGAGGAGTTTGGCACTGCTGGGTAATTGGTTCGGTGTTGATCAAATTCGGTGGGAAAATTTCACGTGGAATTGCCGCACGACGGGCAAATGGGAAGTTTTTGGGTTTGGTGGGAAGGGAAGAGAGAGCGATCGTAATGGTCAATAAGTGGGCTGGCATGAGTGCTCGTTATTGGGTTTATGCACGGATTTCGTATCCTGTTCGACGCTCTGCGCAATCATATTCGGGTCGATCCGCGTGATTTCAATCGGGCTGGAGAACGGACTCAGAGAACCCGGATAATATCTGGGAGGGGGGAAATTCAAGATACCAATCTTCCGCCCTCATCCAAGCACGATATGTGGTCCGTTCCTTGAAAAGTGTCAATTGGGCATGGCGGCGGGATGGGCACTTGCTCGTAAGGAGCCCTCAATACCAAGTCGCTTCTCCAAAGACGTTTGCGTTTTGCTCGGATGGAATCGACAGCAGTAACGCTGTTAAATTTCGACGAGAAAATGCCGATCCTTTGTTTTCTCTGCTTTGGAGAGATTCAGGGTTGAAGTCAACCCCCGTCGAACCTGTTTGAAACACGTGAGTGTCAATCTCCTTCCCCTGATTCCCAATTCTCTTTTTTCCGCGCGAAGAAAGATTTGCATTTCTCCAGCTTGATCCTGGACCGATCTTTGCATTCAACGGGTTGCCAGACGATACAGCGAATTTTCATGAGGCTCGAGCTCTAGTTTCCTTTCCATCCAGCCCGCCGCCAGAACCACCCCCGAGTTACCATTTCTTCGGTGCCGAAACGATGGTGCGTGAGAATGATGCACTCGCTTGCTCTAGCTTCTTCTGCCTCTCCCGTGCAGCTATTCCTGTACGGTCTGTTACGGGCGTGGCGTTTGCGATCTGATCAAAGTCGTCGTAGTCTTCTTCTCCAGAGCCCGATTCGGCGTCGGAATCATGGTGAAGTGGTGGTTCCGTGGTCGATGCCAGGCCATTTTCGTGGGGCATCCTTTCGGTTTGTTGAGCCTCCTTTTTGCGTGTCTCGGCGGGACCCAGTGAGTCTGTAAATGGCTTTGATGCCAGGATTTTGCGTCTGATTTCCGCCATCTCGGCTTCTTCATCTTCGTCTGGTGGTAGATTCAATGGCATACTCTGTTGTAGTAAATTGCTCTCGTCGTCCTCGTTGGAATCGGATTTTGGATGTTCTTCATCGACGGACTTATCCTCGTCAGTGTCCGGAACATCTCTTCTGTTCATGTTCCCTCCTGCCCAGTCGTCGTCTTCTCCATCTGTGGCGCCCTTATTTAGGCGGCTGTCTGCATATTCCTTTTCCAGTTTGGCAAGCCACGTTTCTTCCGCGCTTTGGATTTCCTCTTCATTTTGACATGCCGAGTAACGCTTGAAGAGCTGTGAATTGATTTCAAGAAAAGGCTTGCCGTATGGAAAATGCTGCAGGACAATCTCCGCCCAGTCTTCATGGCCACAAATACAAAAACATGCCGCAAGTGCTTCGACGCAATTCAGCCGCCACGGCCTCCCATAGTTGACGGGGTTTGCGGCAACGAGATAAGGCAGGAGTCGTTCACATTTTCCACCGATTCTTGACCAGGGGATCTCCTGGACTCTGGCCCAGGAACATTCCACGACTGCGGCACCGTGTTGCTCCAGTAGGTCACGGTCTGCAGGTGATAGTACACGCTTAGCGTTTGGCCTCGCCATCTTGTCAACCAAACACGGTGGAATGAAGACGGTGAGCATACTTACGAAATGACAACGCCGGGATACTTTTGACCTATGGGTAATTCTCGCATCATGCCAAAATGCATGAGTCTCTTCCCACTGCAACGTTTCGCATCGCAATGGCCAAAGTCCCAGCAAGCTGCCTTGAAAGGAGGGCGCTCCGACACGCCACCATCTGCCCCGTCTTCTCGACCAGAGCGGGCTGTGTATCGGGGTTTCGTAGAGAACTTTTTAGCTTTGGAGAATGAGTTGTCTTTCTTGTGACGAACCATGATGTACCTCTGGGAAATTCAACTTGTGTGAACGACGAAGACGAGGATGTATTTAAAGGAGAATGGCAGCCGGGATGAACGGACTTTTTCAAGTTTGCAACATTTCCGATAAGCATGCCGTCAAGATTCTTATCAGCACGTGACACTAGAATTCACACACCCTCGGACGATGAACAGTCGCAGTGTCAAACATGGCCAGTGGGTGTCAACACCTTTCGCAAAGATGGGTCTAGCCGTGCTTCCACCAGATCCTGAAGGGGAACATGGGCCCATTGAATCCTACGACACTGTCGACGATGAAGCAGACAGCGACACCTCAATAGACGATGCAGACGACCGACCCTCGAAACGCCGCCGACTCGCCTTAGAAGGATCAAGGCAGATATTCCTCCCCGGGGAGATTATTACAGATGATACTCAGTGGATGAGGTAGGGATGAGATCGCCCCAGAACCGAAAAAAAGGACTGATTCTGGAACAGAGGACATGGCACCTACGTGACCCAATCGTCAAGCACAATCACGGCTACTCTGGCTGGTCCATTAAGGAAAACAAACAAACTTCTCTCAGTGGCCCCGCTCCGAGCGAGGTATACTCCCGAAATAGGGGATTTGGTGGTAGGACGCATCGTGGAAGTTCAGAAAAATCGCTGGAAAGTGGACGTTGCAGCACCTCTTCTTGCACAACTCCCCCTATCGTCGATAAATTTACCCGGAGGCATTTTGAGACGACGAACAACGGCAGACGAACTCCAGATGCGAAACTATTTCCAAGAGGGAGATTTACTAGTGGCCGAAGTCCAACAGATCAGTAGCAATGACGGAACTGCGAGTTTACACACCAGAAGTTTGAAATATGGCAAGCTTCGGAACGGGATCTTCCTCGCCGTCTCCGGAACCGGAGGAGGTGGTGGTGTCGTACGCAGCCGGAGACAGGTCTTCTCCATTAATACCGGTGCCCAGGGTGGAGGCGATGTCGACGTCATCCTCGGAGTCAACGGATATATCTGGTTGAGCAAGCACGTGGAACAAGCCGAAGACCAGAGAAGAATGAATGGAGGAGTCAGTATATCGAATCTGGACGATGTTGTCAGCAGTGCAATTTATTCCAGCCAGAATGATGATATTGGCGAAGGGACAAGAAAGGAGATTGCCAAAATCTCCGAATGTATCAAAATTTTGGCAGAGGATGGAGTAAGAGTCGACGAAGACAGTGTCATCAAATCATATGAAGCTGCTGTCGATGCTGAGATGGGTATGATGGATCAAGATGGGACTCGCTCAAAATTTGGAGAGGAAGTGCGAAGGAGAATTATCGATGCAGCGCTGCACTGACAATGTTGAGGTCTCTGGAATCCGACAAAAGTGATTGAGCCCAAGACGACCGACATCGGCGCCAAAGAGACATGCGATGAATTCCAAAACGGGAGACGTCTAATCATCATACCAACCGCTGGTCTCTACCACATCCTTATTCTCATTGTTGCCGCCTTCTCTCTGCTTTCCCACCCACCGTTTTCGGTCCTTCACGGCTTCGGTCGGTATCTTTCGCATGGTGGCCCTACCCAACCAGAAGCCCTCATATTTATGCTTTCGGGTGGTGCCCGGTAAAATGCAAAAGACAGGTCGTGCATCATACTTTCTGCGCGCCCCAAACATTGTCGAATTTTGTTCCGTTCGAGCGTTGTGGCGAGAAGGTCGCGAAAATTCGAAGGAACCCGACTGTACAATGTTCGGACGATGGATTGAACGATATGGAGGTATAGCTGAAACTGGAGAATCCATCGAGTAATGTGACGAAGAGACTGGGGATCTGTCACCTCGACTATTGCGAGATTTGATGAAAGTTGCAAATTGCTCGGTGGTCTTCACATGAGGGGGTAGGCCTTGATCACGAACAAGTCCGGGATCAAGCCTCCCTGTACCGTTGTCATAGACGAAGCTTGCTGGAGTCGGAGAGTCTTCTCGGTTTGGTGGAAATGGAGGTGGTGGCGGGGGAGGCCATGCAGAGGAAAAGGCATAACTGCCAGCAGTGCTAGGGAGTGGTGGTGTAAAGCCAGTGGTATCAGAAACACTATTGGACTTACTTCTCGTCGAACCTCTTCTCCAAAACTCCGAGAATCGAAATCGCATTTTCGTAAGTGGGCCGTTCAAAGAAGCGATATGCACGCGGTTGTTTGTCTGGATGAACTTGGGAGCGGAGAATACTCGCTGGTGCGGTTTGAAAATAAAACGAATATTGTCGTGGCATCTGAAGAGAATAAGACAAGATATACGGCAGGGTCGCCCTATTCGCTCAGTGTCATGACGGTGCTAGGCAACGACAACAATGCCTTCATTGTGGCTTCGAGAGCAGTACAAAGAAAGCGACATGACAGGGCATCGTTAAGAAGACAAGGGATGTCTATGCGACTTTTTGGATCCTTTTTCAGAGCAACACTGTAATCATCCGCCCCAGAGGAAGGTACTTCCCACCAGCATACTAATTCAGAATCAGCGTTAAAAGCCCTTCTGCGTGGGAATCTCCTTTACTGACTGACCTTGTTGGATGAATACTGCAATATGCAGCGAATTGTCTGCATTGCAGCGTGTGACGCGGTGTTATCGTACTAGTATTGCACTGTAAGGAATATTCGATTCGACGCTACTACATTACACTGCAAGCATCTTGCGACTCGGCGTTGTTGAGATGGATTGGTTTGCTTTCTCTTCAACGTCATGGTGTGCGAATGACTAGTCCCATCGGGTTGCCTCTTCTGTTTTGGTTGAGCGCATTCTAGCAGCCGTAGGAGCACATGGAGCCGGCGTGAACGGCGTCGGTAAAAAGACCACAGGTACAGCTCGTGCATTGTGCGGTCGTCGATGTTGGAGGAAATGGATTCGATAGTATTGTTGGTGGAGGGTTCAGTGGTGGGATTGTGGTAGAGTTCCTCTTCGTTAGCTATGAAGTGCTGAAGCAAAGGTAAACGAAGGAGGCCCGGGTACGTGAAAAGAAGTTACTTGCTTTGGTTGCTTGTGATCACGCCTCTCTGCTACACGCCTCGCACGGTTTGTTCAACTAGAGCACCACAAAGGTACGGATCATTTGAAAACCCTTCCCAATTGCGCCCAACAAGAGCAATGCGATCTAGGGGACCAACCAGGGACCGAGCATGACATTGACGCCCTTCTTGTGGAATCCAGAACCCATGGCAAGACCTCGTTGGTATGCAAGCTCTTTATTCCAGCTACCTGGCGGTGAATGAATGTCAGCTACAATCGTTCACCGTCTATAAATCTGAACATACCGAGCACCAACATGAATGCCACTCGCGAATCCACTCCCAAAGTCTGTCACTCTGACACCCTGTCCATTGTCTGTCAAGCACATGCCAGGAAACCAGAGACGTTCGATGGCTGGAATGTTTCCAGAGCAGCCATTCCGGGCTTGGACGCCTCCTGTGAGGTTGACTTTCTCTTCAACCGTCAGCTCCGAGACCAAGGCTCGGGCTCTGTCGAAGGCATTAGTCCAATCCCCGGTCCCAACGGCGACAGGCGCATCAACCCAGGGGGACTGCCTGTAGAAGTATGCGTCGGTGATGGAGTCATCTCCGTGGGCGAGAGATGCCAGTAAGAGCTTCGAAAATCTTCACTCGCTTTGATATCCACATGATTGCATAAATACTGTACTCACAAGGATCTCTGCATTGTGTGCGGTCGGGTATTGTCCCTCTCCTCCGGTTGAGTCTACCTGCTCAGTGAACCGTGGCCGACCTCTAATGTACGTATCGGCAATTCCTCGACCTCATCGTGCTTGCACAGCCAGTGTTCGAATCATGAACGTCAAAAGGAGCTTCGGTAGAGGTGCAGCGGGACGTGCCACCCTGCATTGCAGGTGCTTCCTCACAGATCTTAACATTGAGGTCGAGGATACAATTTGGCTCGGATCTAGTCCGAATAAGATGACAAGACGGCAGAGCGAGCCACGCTTGTCATGTTTGCGTACCTGGAAATGCGCAATTGGCTAGCAATCGCGGAGAGATATGAGGGGAGAAGGGATAGTTGTCGCTCCCTCGAGACTTCACCGTCAGTGTGCTGTCTATTCTTGATTGCCATTCTCGTCAAGGATAATCCTCATGACTTTGATATCCTCCTGAGGTGACATCCATCTGTTATGAAGCTCAACTACCACCTTGGGGACATGACCACCGGGCTTACCCTGTTCTATATCCATGACATGACTTCAAATTCGAGAAACACCCCGTGCAGTCTGTCCGTTGATGAGAGGCACCCCGAACTTCTTCCCCGATAGCAGGGCTATTCGTTCCGCCTTGACATACTTTCGACATGGGTACAAACGGTGATCGTGTCCTTCGTGGCTACAGCCGCTGCGGGAAGAATTTCCCAACTTGAGTGACTTTGATATCGTGGCAACGATTCTCTCCGATTCCTCCGCCGTAGTGCATATTCCCTCTTCCTCGTTACTCTCCATCTCCACGATGCTCAAAATACTCAATGCCAACCAGGCGTAGCCCTCAAAGCAACCTCCTGAAACCTTGTCTCCATAGGGTTTTCTGGTCAGGAGTGGAAACCTTTCAATGATCGATGCTACGCGAGACTGACCGAGTAACATTTTCTTGTTTCGTGTTCTACATGGTTCCAGGACCGCCAGCATGTCGAACTACCAACTCTCGGATCGACACTCGGCTCGGTACTCGGAACTCCTGGTATCGACGAAGCCATGAGGTAGAAAATAAGCCAAAATAGGACTCCGATTCGAAGCCGGATCGAACCGAATGATCGAAGTGAATTGAATTGAATCAAATAACCAGTCTTTCAGTGAATAGGATGCGATACGGCGACGACACATGGAAAGAATATGCAACTGAGAGGGTAGGCCGAGATCTGTGGCAGAGATGGAAATGTATCGTCCTCACTCACGAACATGCCGTGACCGCTTCTTTTTCACTTTCTGGGATTGTGACGACTCCTAACTACCTCCCTGCCTACCTGTCTAGGCACTGGGCACCTGATTTCAGTTTCCCGGTGATTTGATCACGTCCGATGAAATGCCTAAATCCGGTCTCGAAACATGGATCGCGACTATGCGCTAGGTATGTCCTCCCACAGGAGAGGTTTTGTGGGATACGGGGTAAGAGATGGAAATATCAAGTTAGATTGAGGTTGAGATTAGGTACATGGGGATTGAAAATATACTCGGTGTATTGGCATACGGGATTCGTGATCATATTGAACCTTTGTTGACTCTCGGTGCGCCTCATTTAGGTCAGTACCAGTCCTATGAAACAGAGACCAGGCCAAGTTGTGCCCAACCAACATGGCACATCGATATCAATTGCGCCATGATCCAACAAAGCTTCTCGATCGCCAGATAGTTTTCCCGGTCGTGCCAGGGCCACCCGATCAGCTTGTCCCTCACTGCCTTCAGGGGATTGTGGTCTCTGCTTCCTTGACAACGGCGTCATGACCTCCCCTGGTAGCTGCATGGATTGCAGTACCATGTCGTCCATCTTGCTGATTCACCTGAGCGCCGTGTTTGAGTAACGTTTCTACCACGAACCCTCTACCTACCCTCGCAGCGGTTATAGGGGGCGATCCTCCTTTATAGCTTTTGGGCGTGAGTAACGCGCCTTCTTCTAAGAGCAGGGCAACGACCTTTTCCAGTCCCAGAAAGCAGGCAGCTTCCAAAGCTGTATTGAAGCATCCACCAACGGCATTGATTTCTGCCCCCGCCTGTATGAGAAACTTGACGGCTTCCAGTTTTTGTTCCTCAGAACCTTGATTGGCAACCGCCGTTTGAAGGGGATAGCCACAAGTTCCTCCCTTCGCGTTAACATTTGCTCCGTGTCGAACGAGCAGCGGGTAGTCTTTTAACTTGGCCAAATGCAAGACTCCACCAAACTTTTCATCATCCTCGAAGACTTTCGATCCAAGATCGAGCATGAACTGAACCATTCCAGGATGGCTGCTTCGAGCCGCTGCGTGCAAGAGACTCCCACACATGCCTCCTCGAGCATGAAGATCTGCTCCTCGATCCAACAATAGCCGTACAAGCTTTCTGTTTCCACATTCCGTGGCGGTCTCGAGAGCATACGCTTGAAGGGAATTCCGAGCATTAGGATCAGCACCGTGATCTAATAGCAGCTTGACGATTTTGTCATCTCCATTATCGATAGCATGATTCAGTGGTAGGTCCTTGCCGCTAACATCTGGATCAACATCATGATATAATAGCAGCTTGACTATTTCATCGTCTCCGTTGCAAAACAGCAGCATTCGGGTCAGCGCCCCTCATGAGAAGGAGCGGCAAAGGTTTTGCTGGCGAGAAGAGACCACCTGGTAAAGTGTAGTTATTCTGGAGGGAATCAGGCGCCAGTGGTGTACGGAGTTACTGATGCCGTTAACATCCGCACCGCGATCGAGCAAGAGTGTGAAGAGCTCTTCTAGCCCACGGGATGCAGCTGCTATCAGCAGCGTTCCGTTCGTTCCACATTTGCTGGGATCTGCTCCGCGATAAAATTTGTTGGCTCCTGCTGAAAGGAGCAGATCTACCATGGCTTTTCTTCCACTCTTTACGGCAAGATGGAGTGGCGTAGGCCGTGTAATTGTCTGGCTGGAGGTATTCCAGCCTTTTCCAAGCAGTCGCCTGGCGACACCTAGGAGATGAAGCTCAACGGCATTGTGTAAGGGCGAATAAATTGGCGGAAATTGGAAGGGAAGGAAGCCGTTGCGTGGATCACCATTGAAGTGGTATGCTTGACAATAGCTACTGAATTTGCCCCGATTGCAATATAAGTCGACCACGGCATCTTCGATTTCGGACGGCACTTCCCCAGCTACGTGGGAGCACCATCTTTTTGCCGCGTATGGTAGCAGTGGGTACTGTAGTAACCGTTGGTGGAATGTCTGCTTGCCATTTCGATATCCGCTCTCGAATACTTGCAGCGAGAGATATGTCAGGCAGACCCGGGCGATGTACATTTCGTCGAGCTTTTGCGGATTCTTACCGAAGTACTCCTGGACAGTGAAATGAACCAATCGAAGGGTTTCATCTCCTTCTACCACTACAAGTCCGCGGCAGGCTTCCACCACCGTTTCGATATTGTCCTTGTCAACATCTTGGGTAGGTGGGTCTTCCAGTTCGATAGAAAGAGCGTGGGAGAGAGCAGCAAAACTCGTTCGGCTCTTTTGTATATGTGAGCCAGATTAGAGTTCGGAGCGCCAAGTCGTTGTTTCCGATCCGAGAAAGTGTCCGGTCAAATACGCCATATATTGTGCTGGGCATATTCTTCAACGTCTTGAGGACCGCTGCTTTCGTGATTTGTTTGAGGACTTTGTCGATTTGTAAAGACGCCCATAAAAACCTCTCAGTCCCACGCAAAATAATTGGCTTGGAAAACTGGGGACTGTAGAAGCCGAACCGTGAGCAAGGGAAGTAGCAATAGCACACATACATGCCTTGAGCCCTGGAAGCAATGGTGTCCACGATTTGGTCTTGAAGTTCCCGCGTCATTATCCTCCTCTGCGCCTGTGATTTCTTTTCCAGTCTGTGGCTGAAGATACTTCTAATATCATCCAAATGTGCCTGGATCCTCATTAGCTGGAGTTGGAAACCAACGTTTTGCAGAGGTCCAATATGGGGTCGGCTTGTAACGAGTACCCTGGTATGCGCCTTTGGAAGCTGTGTCAGTATGTCCAAAACGTCCGATAGGTGACTTTCGAGGCGCGTCGATGACAATGAAAGTCTTGGAAGACTCCCGGGTTCCCAAAAGCATCAGAATAACAGGTATTAAGGCGGATCTGTCAGGTTTCCTCTGCAGCTTCTCCATTCGACCGTGTAAATCTTCAACTGCCGGTGGGGGTGCGGCAAAATAGTCGATCAGCTGCCTCAACAAAGTGGCGCAGATCCAGTTGGGATATCAAAGTACCAGTAGAGAATCGTGTCCTTGCGGCGTTCTGGAGCCGAGTAGAAGCGCTCAATGACCGTGGCCCTAGGTAGACGTTAATGGAAAAAACACAGGACATTATCTTGGAGCACAGAGGGAAGGGAAAATCAGCTCACGAGAAGACTGTTTTGCCCGCGCCAGGAATCCCATGACACAAAAGCAACCGAGGGTCCTCTCCAGTGGCTTCCGTAAATTCGGGCGATTCCAAAAACCCGTTCCCGGTATTTGCAACTCTTCTCCTGAGCGTTTCGTCATGCTTATTGCGGTTTTCGTCGCCAGCAATAGCCGATAGCCAATCGATAACCTGTCGATTTCGATTGTCTTAACATGAAAAGAATTAGTGACATTAGGACATCCGGAGGACTCAAACGAGTGTTATCTACCTTTCTGTATCTTCTCTTGTTTTTGCCTGATCGTCGTGACTTCGGACAAGGTTAGGGATGTAAGTTTCCTAAGACATACGATGAGTCGGAAACGCGGGGCGAGAGAGAGAGGGAGAGGGCGACTCCAGGCCCCTGCTCACCATGAGTCGATATCTAAAGCGAAGCGAAAGTTGATCCTGTGCCTGGCCAACATTTCGACCATCTTCGATGTTTCGCCTTCGCCAAAGGCCGGGTTAGTCGCTGGAGCATTCCTTTGGTCTTCCCAACATTCTGCTTCTTCTCCAGTTTCTTCTGCAGTTCTTCGATGTCACGCTGGCACTGGCTCACATCAGAAAGGAGTTCCGCTGACATACGTGGGTCCTGCAAAGAAAGACTCATCGGTAGCGGCAACCGTCCTGTGGAGTTGTTGCAACGTGTGGCCCAGGCCTTGCAGCTCCTTGAGAAAGCTGTTCTGCGACCTGGATGCCTTTATGACACTGGAGCCATACTCATATGTCGTAGATACAGTATTCAACACCAGGCCAGCTAGGCCTGCAATACTGGCTGCTATGGATAAGGGATCTGTCATTGCTGCTCCAGCAGCCGATTGTCCGTAGGTTGTGGTGCAAGATGTGCATCTGGGATGGGTATGGCTCAAGGCTGAATTTGTAGCAAAGGCATCTGCCTTTGCGGAGACGTAGATGGGAACCTTGGGTACTGGCTACGCCTCGCCGAGGCGAGGCTGAGCTGATGTGGCAGAGTCACTATATCCTTGACAGCCCAACTAGGTCTCCACCAACGCCAAGGCTCTAAAATCGAACTGCGACTTGAACGCATAAAATCTTTGTTGCACCTCAGTTTCTGACCTCAATAGCCAAAGTTCCTCGGAGCACTCTCAATCCCGAGCAATATGGCCCAGGGACAGATCAAGAAACCGTCGAAGCCGACCTCTTCTAAATCTTCGTCCTCGAAAATTGCCAAAAAAGGCTCACGAACAATAACGCCGAAGAAAGCCAAACTGCTCAAGCAGGCTAAACTCAACAAGAAGTACACCGCTGGCCTGACTGCTAAGACAGAGGCTATGCTCGGCGAACGTGCAGGACATTTGGAAATGTTAGGCCATGGCAGGAAAAAGAATGCAGGTGTGGTGGATAAGGGCAAGTCGGGCGGGAGCAAGAAGAGCGGGAAGGAAAAGGTTTGAGAGCAGGAAAGAAAATATCATAAGCAAGATGCGGCGAAAGCTGCAGAAGCAAGGCTTATTCGAACCCCTGAAAGCAGATATGGGCATTGACCGCCTGGACATTCCTGGTGCTGCGTCTGACATGTACGATTCTTCGCTGGCCCGGACACTGCCGTTCACGTAGCAGCCCAGGACATGTCGTCGAGGCAGGGATGCAATACGATTCGATGGTAGACTACCGAAGTGTGCTAGGGGCTAATACTCAGCCAGCGGCGCCAGATTTGGCTGCTCGCTAGGCCTCGACGAAAGTCAGTCGGAGGAAAGCAGTCGACTTGGCCAGATGAAGAGAGGAAATTGTACGAGAATTTCGTGCCTTGGGGCACGTTGTCCCATCTGGTTCTCAAATCAGATCGAGTGCAAGGTAGACCTCAATTCATCCCGTCCCAATGACAATGAGCCAGCGCCATGGTATATTGAGCCCAAATAACCGAGTCAATAGTGTGTACTCATCACATCCCTCCCAACGCTCTAGCAGCCTCACCGCCACCGCTTTGCATCATTGCCTCCTGCCCCAAATCGGCTCTCAACTTGCCCTTCTTCCCGCCACCTTCACCAACGCCCATTCGTCTGGCAACATATCTTTGGGCCACCACACCAACCGCCAGGCTCAACGATTCCTCCACCCATTCGCTGACCCACTCTCTTGGATCAATGCCACCATTTTCGATGATTTCTTCAATACTTTCCGGCAAAGTACCCTCTCCTCCACTGGGCGCATCTAGCCATTCGATCCATTGCGCCGGGAGGGCCTGAGAGACCGCTTGAAAAGCGATTCCGTGGATAGGGTCGTGCAAATAGACAGCAAAGACGACTTCCTCATGGCTCTTCGCATCCTCCACTTCCTTGACTTGTCCTTCCTTTTCAGCGCTCGGTGCTGCCGCAAACATATCTTTTGGAATGAGCTGCGAGATAGCTTGGATGGCGAGGAAGATTTCACTGTCTCTGGTGGGATTGGAGTCGGAGAGAGTTTCAGTGGCTCGTTTGGCAGCCTGCTCGACCCCTCCTCTGCTTGCAAAGTACTCCTCAGCGTAGCCTTCGGCAGATGCTCTTACTAGCTTGCTTCCCTCGACCGCGCCTTTGACTGCATTGATGCTTCTTCTCTCGCCACTTCTCCACCAAGGTCCATCATGCCAGGAACCCAATGGTCGTGTCATTTCTTTCGAGTCACGCTTCGGTCCGGCTTCATGTCCTCTCTGAATGACCATCAAGTCTCCACCCTCGACCTGCGCCATCACACGACTGAAAACTTGGTAGATCAGCGGATCCAGAGTGGGGTAATTGGATAGGTCGTGGGTGATGTGAATTTGTAGACGCTCGTGGGAAGAAATCGGAGGGGCAATGGTCTGCAGGATGTTCTGAAATGTTGGCATGGCCATAGACCTGAGCTCGCCGCCTGTGCTTATGGTTAGCGGGATACATTCATCAACGGTCCCCTCCTTACCGAAGCCTCGGAGCATCCCTACATTGCCTCGAACCTGCTCTGCCCATCTCTGTGCTTCTTCATTCTTCTGGATCTCTTTCACCGCCGCTTGTGCCTGGCTCACTGCTGCAGATGCAGTGGACAGAAGGCCTCCCCACCATCCTCCGCCTTTGGCAGGGGCTGGCTCAGGCTGTGGTTCGGTTTCTGCTGACTCCTCAGTCGTTGTAGTTGCCGGTGTGAAGCTTTGATGGAACGAACGCGTACTATCACCAGACTTCCGCTGACCATTGCTAGACTTCTCTTCGCTTGTCCGTCCTGGTGGTGGAGTGGCTGTCGACGAATGTTGAGGGGATCGGTGGCCAGTGGAGGAAGGATTTGGTCTGAGAGAAGGGGTAGAAGGTCTGCTCGCTGGCCGTTGAGCTAGATTGCCTAGCTCGGCTAGCAAGTCCTGTTCAGACTGTGATGATTGAGAAGGTTGTCCCTGTCTAGGGGTTCGCGTCGAGGACTTGGAGGGGCGTGCGGTGGCTTGTGTACTCAAGTCGTCAAGTTGAGCCAGCAGCTCGTCGTCAGTCGGGGCTGTCTTCTTCGTAGCCATTGTCATGGAGAAGAGAGAATCTACGGTAGTCGTAATACCACACGAATCAAAGGAGGGACACTTGGTTTATCCTGATTAGAGTTGATGCCGGCTGGAGCGCCCTATTGACATTCTTAGTTTCTACCTAGGCTGGACCTTAGGCCTGTCGTCTCTCATTTCTGGGGTCGGCTCCTGATTCGGATGATGTTGATGCCGCTTTTAATCATCTGATTCTTCATACTTTCGTCAAGCCTTATCACGGCCCATTTCATTTCACAACTGTACTAATGTATCATTACAAGTCATGCCACATCCTTTTCCAGTCCTCCTAAACACATATCCTCCATGCCTCACGCTCTCTTCGACTCCCACCCTCCCGGATTTCACCCGCAAACATCTCCCGCTTTTGGTCAATCGGCTTCTCTGCTCTATCGCCCTCAAACAAAGCTGCTACCAGACCGGACGTGCTTAGGCGTTCACGCAGCTCATTGGTGTCGGAGGGATTCGAGCGCCATGCCAACACGGCGAGGACAATGCCAAGCATGGCATAAATCGTGTTTAAACACACCAACGTATAAAGGGGAGCTTTCGGCACACGACTCACGAGCTTCGTGCTGCGTTGCTGTTCCTCCAGATCGGTTCTTCCTGCCATAATACCGGAACTTAGGGCGATAGCAGCGCTCGAATACGCCATCGCCCACGAATCTGCCATTTTTTGAGTGTCGTTGTACTGAGATGCCGCATACGCCGCCGTTTCAAGGGCAACCTTTCCAAAGCCGTAATAGTTGGCTGCGTTGAGAATTGTCCCTACCGAACCATTCGCCATCTCCGCTGTAGCATGCTGAATGCTGCCATTGATGTTGTCGTGCTTGATTTGGTAGGCGGCTGCGGAGCAGTTCAGGATCCAGCTTGCGCCACCATGACCTGGAACAACGACATTGCCATCAGCCGTTTGCCGCTCGGTCGCCGGGAGTTCGACTTTCGCCCACACACCAATGTAGTGCGGATTAGCGGCCCGAGTGAGGAAGCTTTCACCTGAGCCCGAGCCAGAAGAGAGATTGGCTAATTGCGTCAAGGCCGTATCTTGATAGAAGACGATGCCGGCGCTACGGAGTGCAAGGCCGGTCACGCCGTCGGCCTCTTCTCCATTTATGTTCGGTATACCCAAATCACCGTAGAATGCGTCAGTGCACTGGAATGGTAACAAGGAGCCCGCTTCGGTGTGGAGATCACAGTGGCGGCCGATTTGGGAACATTGGGTGTACATAGCCAATGCCTCTGCGCGATAATCGGGACCCACAGGATTTTGAGCAGGGCCTAAATAAGCCATATGTTTGCCGTCGATGATAACATCGTGGACAGGGTTGGTCGTAGAGGTATTGCCCATCACTCTGGCTGCCTCATTGGCACCGATCAGGAACACGTTGGTTCCGGAGGTGATAATGCATTCGCCGGCATCAAAATTGTCCGCGGTCTGGTTGGAACATGGGCCGGCTGGGAGCCCGCGCCCCAGAGCCTCCGCTGGGACCCTTGTATCCGCCAACTCCACGTTGACGGCTTCCATGACCAAGTGCAACCAAGTGTCCACTCCGGCAATGGCATACCTGGATGGTGGTTAAAAAACGGAGGTGGATCAGTGGGTTAGAGACAAAACATACCCCAGGGCAGTGAAGACTGTCAAAAGAATGAGCACAGTACGGACGTGGGGCGTTATTTTCTCCGTGTGCGACCAACTACGATAAGCAACCAGGCTAAAGAGAGCTGTGATTTCTCCTGTCAGCGTTTCCAGAAGCATGCTGAGTTGGAACGGCGTCGGAAGATCGGAGCCAGCCATTTGCGAATTGGCCTTCAATTGATTGACAATCGGGTACGAGGCCAAAGCCATGGCACAAATTGTCAACAACGGCGCAACGGTGCTCGACCAGGATGCTATGGTTACCAAAGTAGTGGGATTGAAGTCAACATAATAGGAGTCGGAGTCAAGTTCTGATGCTTGGTCGAACAAAAGTGTGCCCGCCGAGGATTGATCTGGATCCTGTTGCACCTCATGAGCCAACACCAAGCCCAGCGCAAGTGCCCCAAGACCTAGCATTGGAATGACAATCGGGGCCGTGGAGCGGAAGATGATTCTGTGGCCGCTTGTCTTCTTTCCCTGGATGACTGTCGCCCTTTTCTGCAATGTTTCATGCCGTGGCGTGGGCTGGTGTCGAGTCTCGAGGGGAATGTCATTCTCGAATCTGAAGTCATCTTGAGTCACGAGTGTCTGATACTGTGATTTGGGAGATATATGGTCCATAAGTGAGTGTCCAAAGAAAGCGACCGACAGAAATGAAGAGTGATATGTCCGATGAAGTCATGACATGCCGGTCATGGTGGAGGGGGACGGGTACTAGTTTATACCACCGGTGTCCATCATGGCCAGACTATTTTTCTCGAGAACGACAGGGTTTCACGGCACATCCAAGCCCAGGTTCCTCCGAGGCTGGGAACTCTTTGGCGGCGCCAAGCAAACAATGGATCGGCTTTACTGCCCCCTTAAATCTTTTCGTCAGTATTAACCTGAAAGGCTTTGTCGAGTGCTATTTCTGGCGATGCGATGCCATGCTCGTTTCTTAGCTGGCAGGAATTCGGATACCCTATGAGTTTATGGCTCTCCGTTTGATCCCTTGATCAGATTCCACTACCGGGCATTTTCTCTAAATTAGGCATAGTTTGTCCTTCACGTGACGGTTCAGTCCTGCATATGCATCAGAACTTAATGAACACAATGCTTATCCGACACGTTCAGCTCAGAGAAACAGGGCAACATGGCCACCGCTTGCCAAGGGCGCAATTGGTGGCCCTTAATACTCCAACGTCCTTCATTCCGCCCAATTCCTGAGAAGTCACCAGCACAGAAAAGATGGAGCCTTATCCACCAACGCTAGCGTTTCCTTTGCTAGTGGAGTCGCCATTCTCATTGCTCGAATCATTCTGGTTTTCACTGCGGTTAGAGGCGCACGGAAAGACCTGGATGTCGTGGCGCGAGAACTTCTATCCCTGCAGCTCAGCCTCGCTGGGTACTTTCAGATACATGTGTGAGCCCCACGTTGAAGGAGACATCTTCCCCTCGGCGAATGGGTTCTTTATCGTCCCATGACAGCTTCTTGTACACAATGGTCAGACGATCCTGCATCTGAAAAGAAAGCTGCAAAAATTCACTTCGATTCTCGATCTCGCTTCATTCGATGGGCGACCTCGACATTAACACGGTCGCTTCTCCTGCTGGTACGAAAGCCACCTCCGCTTTTTTTGACTCATTGGATTGCCCTGCGTTTTTCCCTCCGAAGAAAAAATTACCACACCTCCGGACTCGATCCTTTGAGGTAAAGGTGGCACCCCCTTAGACAATTGGAGAATTGAAGCAAGAAAAATCATCTTCTGGTTCAATTCAAAAATATCCCTCTTGCTACGAAGAGCTTATATCCAGGTAAAGATCGAATACTGGTGACGACAACAACACTTTCGAGAAGGTTGGTTTTGCACAAGGTTCCCGGACGACTACTGATTTCTTGGATGTGTTGGAGCCTCCTCCAGACCACTCGTACTATCTCCACATCGTCTTGCATGTGTATGACAAAACTAGCAATTTCATATAACTTTACGAAGGTCAGGCGGTAGATATTGATAATTGCTTTTGCAACCTTGATTTGAATCAGCAACTAGACGAAAAGGATGAACATCTCCGATTCTACTTGCACAATGACTTCCTGCAGAACAGGACAAAGGTGCTCGCACTGATCACATCTACTGAGTCAGGGTCGTACCGAGGCATAGAGCGTGGCACCATGTTGGTCGTACACGAATATCCCCAAGAGGGATTCGCAGAAATTTGCCGTTCCGGACAAAGAGACCTTGGCCATATGGGATGTAATATCGGCGATGAAGTAATTAATCGAAATGATGGGCATGAAAGAGCAGATAGCCGCCATTATAAGCAGATCACCAAGTCCGATAGTAGCTGACTTCAAATTCGGCTCGACGATATGCTTCCCTATGAGTTGGCCAAGTCGATAGAAATGAAGATGGGGGGGGGGGGGGAAGGAACGAGTATATGTACGTATTTCGATGAAAGCATGGTTGTGGGATACCTGTGAAGGGGTCCAACGGAGGTTTCCGAGTAGCAGAAACTCTCACATTCTTGCATTCAGTTAGGTAGGCGTCACAAGAGTTTCTTGAAGAAGCAAATCATTATTCAATCCAAATCATAACACATGGTTGATGAAACATAGAACACCCAAAACGAACCACTCTGGCTGATTTCACTGACAGAGAGTAAGATCATCAAAAATCAAGACGCTGGAGGAGGAGGATGATCGGGACCATAACCGGCACCAGCTTCTCTCCGGGCCTTCTTCCTCTGCCACGCCTCTCGAAGGATCGTCTTTATCGTGTCTTCACCGGCCTTATAGTTGGCAAGACAGACCTTGACGAGCATTTCGACCTGCTCTGCCGTCCACACCAGATTATACGAACCCGAAAATTTGGCCGTGGACGGGTCAAAATCCGGCACCGCATGTTCATTTGGCAGGAGAGGCATGTATACCATGGTCGACTCGTACCGACACGGCGGCGCCGGCGGGTTTGTGACGGTATGGCCGTACGAGTCGACCACTGTCTCTGGCCGCTGCGGGAGAATACTACCGTCATAGATCTGGGCATAGAGGCCCTTAAAGCGATCGGGATTCTTTTTGTCCTCATCGTCGTGTTTAACGCGCAGTTCGCTATGCCGTTTGGTGAACTTCAAACAGCGTCGGCTGCCGATTTGGTCGACACGTTCTTGGAAACTGTCCTTGAGCACGTCGCTGGACGCATCCATGTTCAAGATCACATCGACTTGTCGGTGAGGATGTAGCATGACGTAGGTGGGGCAGTTGTTGTCCATGCCCGAATCGATGAGGTGGATGCGAGGCGAGTTCTCGATCGGCGGGGAAGGTTTGCCCGGGTTCTCGCCCCGGGTCAGGTGGTACATGAAGTTATGCTCGTTGACGGCGTGCAGGGGATGATGGCCTTGGAATTCTTCAGTGCCTTTCTCTCCCCACATGCGTGCGATCCCCTTGGATATGTCTTGCACCGTATTCCCGATGAAACCGGGGGGGAGACTTCGTTTGATGGTCGCGAGGTACGAGGTCAAGGGACCCGCTGGGGCACTGGTGCATAGACCCAGCAGTAATGCAAGCGACTGCTCGGGGATTTGCAGCGTGTCTCGCCCCCTTTCGAAGGGTCGGCCAAACGCCCATGTTGGTACCCAGGCTTCCAGCTCGTCGCAACCTACCTCGATGGGTGAGATTTCGAACCAGTTGAACCATGCGTCTTCTGCCTCTTCGTGCTCTTTTGTGTCCGGGTCGGCATCGTTGAATGGGTGTTCTTTGTCCACCCAGTCCTTCCAGGGTCTCTCGTGCCGGATCGCCGTAAGAATCGGCAACGGCTCGCTCCCATCCTGAAGATAACGATTCGCCGATGTCCATTTGTACCAATCTTCATGGTACCCGGCCACTTCCTTCTTCACAGTGACACTTCCCTTTGCCCCTGGTGGATTCAAACTTGGGTCATGCAGCAAGAAGAGATATCCTGTCGTGAAAACAGAGTATAGGTCCATCGCCACGGTATGTAGGCCCGAACGGCGCTTCTGTACTATGGGACCCAACGTCTTCGCCGGCCCACCCGGCGCATTCAGCAGTTCCCTGATAGCTTCCGGTGACAACGGATGGTGCGGACTGAGTCTTTTCTTGCAATGTTCAATGACTCTCTGCATACTGGCGCCGCCCCACGTGTAGTAGGCGGCCAGACTCCAGCAACTCCCGCTCACGCCCGAGACGTAGGTCAACAAATCCCATAAGCCCGTCCGTTTCATCTCTTCGCCATACCCCAATAATCCGATCATCGCTCTGTATCCGCCTCCAGACCCGCCAAAGGCCACGATCGGCACATCATCGACATGGACCTGCGAGGGGTCCAGATCCAGATACCGACAAAACGCATCGCGGACCTTGATCTTTCTCAGTTGGCGAAACCGCACTTCCTCCGGCGACAACTCGAAGCCGCGTCGGACTTCTCCTACCCGCCCGACTTCAGGGTGCTTGGTGACATCCTTCAGGTCTTTGGCGATGGTCGACTCGACTTTCAGCGCGGCTTTAATAATGGAGATATCGGTAATGGCCTCTGGGAAGGCGGGCACGACGGTATTGTTCCAGAAAGACTTGAACTTGCCTTTGATGCTTGATGTGGATTTCGTGCTGGCTGACGAGGAGCGCCGTTTCTCGTCGCCGCCAATGGGTGGAGCAACGTCGTGGACCAGATGGCGTACGTCGTTCTTGACGCGTTCTTCCGGGTAATGTTGGCGTAGGATCCATTGCTCGTATTCTTGCTGCTCGTTGGTCTCCGAGACGCGGTCGATTCTGTTTCATTGTCGGCTTAGATTGGCTTGCTGTGATAGAAAAGGGCGGTGGTTCATAACGTAACATACCGTGCAATCGTCATGTTGTGCTAGTATCGTGCTGTTATCGAGCGCCCTCGCCCAGTGGCAGTATTATCTGGCGTAGAGGTTAGGCGGAGCAGGATCAGCAGCAACGCCAGTATGATCTTCTTTCTAAACTTGTATCAATCTTAGCAGGACACAGTGTCGATTATCATCACCGCAAGCAAGCAGGGTTCATTGACACATTTAGCGCGCGTGCCCTCGGGAGACAGAGAATCATGATCAGTATTCAAGCAAGGCTAATCGAATCCCTGGCGAATAGGACGGGGCCATTGCTGGGCGTGCTCGAAGTCATAGAACACGGCATTTCCTTTGAAGGGAGCCGAGCGTCACATGTGCCAGAGCTGAGCGCGATGGACTTTGTGCATTTGGAACTTACTTTGCAGGATTGCTTAGTCATCGGTATATCATTTTGTTCACTCCTCCTTAACCTCATCTCTGCCCTTGACATGAAATACCTATTCTTGTTTCACAGCTCATCACATGAATTGGGCCATCGGAACATTGTTACCACGTGCCTTTTGATGAACCGGTCCTCGACCCCTTGAGAGATCTCATTCTCTACAAGCTGTTCCTTGGCTATTGTCTACCGCTGCAAACATCGACCTTCGTCGCTAAACATCATGTGATGGCCGATATTCAACTTGTTGTAACGAGAGAAGTGCGTCTTACACAGTATGTTCTCGATCCAGTGGTTTGCAGAACAACGTAAAGACAATTTCATCCATGGAAATCTAGATTGTTGTTAAGAGGTGGTGAGCAATGGAACCAAGATGATATGCCAATCGCAGACGGAGCGCTTGCTTGAAGGACTCTACTGGTAAGTGAGCGTGGTCCTGTAGATAAGGAAAGCCGCCTACTACTATTGGCTCCCTACGAACCACAACAGATATCCCGACCGAAGGGAAGGCAGCCAGGGAGGAGAGCCTTGCAGGGATGATCTATTGGTCTGGCTCGTCGGGGTTGGATGACTGCCTTGCATTCTGGTGGCACGCAAGCGTCTCATCCCTACGACGGGATGCGACGGGATTCTAGCTAATGGCCTAACGTGGTGGATTTTGTCCATGCGGACTAGGATCAGCTAGGTAAGTTTTGGACCAAGAGGTTGATTCATGCGTGCACACCTAGGTTGCGAGGACCTAGAATGAATGGCACTGACGTTGGCAGGGGGCTGACTAGGCGAACCGGTGACAGGGGGATTGCCACAAGGCATGCGACCTCTCAGGGTGAAAGTGGAGGTGTGAGTCCCCGTCGCTAGAACCTTCGGATTCGAATGACATGGAGTTGGGCCCTCCCCAAGGCTGTTTCATCGCCAGCCCCAGTCGACAGGAGCAGCGAGGATGAGTGCGAGGGTGACAGTGAGGAGATCGCCAATGATATCACCGCGACTGTCAAAGGCGTACAACTCGGTGCTAGCCATGGTTAGTCGGGAGATTCTGAGTCTCAGACTTTGCATCTCGACAAGCACATCATCCATAACCAGCAACGCTTCTGCAAGTCATCCACGATCCCTCCGCGTTTCACTCTGCTACCAAAAGCTCTGTCTATTATAGAAGGCCGCTCCCACGACTCAACCTAGAATCTAGAAGTAAAACAAGTTCATAACGACCGAGCTTAGAGAGGCGATGGAGGCAGCAAAGCTAGAGCTCGAGGGTTCTCAAGCATGAGCCGTTCCTACCTGCACATGATCAATCTGACCGCAGCCGAGTCATTTCAATCGTGTCGCATGTTCATAATCTGCTATTTTGCGAGTGCACGTCCCGCCTTGGCATATGCAGTGCTCCTACCGCATTCATGCAAACCATCTTGCCTTTGCTAAGCCGATGGCCAGCCCCGGGCTTCTCAGCTTTTCTAGTTATCCTTTGCTTTGAAATATGTGTATGTCGGTCCTATTGTAGAATTCAGCATTCATTCCCTTGGTCGTAGAGCTGCTGATAGAGAGCGGGAAAACGAACCTTTTCACACGCTGACACGACAGTGTCAGATAATGTAAGTGATGATGCTTGATATCATACGATAGCTCAGATTGCGGATCAATTGATCAAACAACCATTAAGCCAATCGACCAACAAATTAACCTGCCGGCGAAGTTTAGAGTAGCGAGACATAGTGTGGCATACACCCAACTCATTTTTCCCTCTCTCCTACTCGCTTACTTCTCGAAATGACTTGCATATATCTCCGCCAAATTAAACCTCTTCAACACCTCAAACTCGCTTCCCACCACACTCATCCCAACCACATTCTTAAATACATCGACAAGAACCAATTTCTCGTACCTTTTCAGATCAACGCGGTGTTTGCCCCGGCCGAGGCTTGTGATTCGATCTGCGACCACGCGAATAATTTGATCTCGGTCAAGCTGGTTGTGGCTGCGGATTGTGGGGCGGATGGCAAATTTGTAGCTGAAGCCTTTAGGCTTAGACGATGCTTCTCCTTGCTGATCAGCAGATTCCGGTCCTGAGGTAGGTGCGCTAGAATTGGAGTCGGAGATGGTCGTGTCGGTCTCGGCGTCAACCAGAAAATGTGGAGGGAGGACTTTGTCACAGAGAACCTCAAGGCCGTTGCTTAATGTTTTTCGTATCAGGGATACGGGGGTAAGACGTTTGATGTATCGGCTTCGTGGGCCAGAAGAGTCCCTTTGTGAGGCAGAAAGACAGATGTTGCGGACGGTTTCGACTGGGTCGAGAGGAATGGTGGGGTTTGACGGGAATCGGACGAATGAGACACATGGAATGTCTAGTATTACTAAGGATAGTTTCTGTGAAAATGAGGATGAGGATGAGGTTGAGGCTCCGTTGGTGGTTGATGATTGGGGTCGTAAAGAGTCAAGTTCGGCGAGAATACCGGCTTCAATATCGATGTCAGCATCAAGATCTTTGTCCTTGCCTTCTCTGCTTGTCCCGTTGGTCTGGTTTTCTGTTTCTTTCGCCTCCACAGACTGAGAGCCTCGTTCGATGTACTGTCAACGAATCAGGCGGCTATAGGTGAAGGGTAGATTCGTCACCAGGGATGTACGAACCTCGCTGAGGAGATCAGAGAGCTCTTGTAGACACTTCTTCTCTTGACCTTTGTCGCTCGTGACGAAGATCCCGACATCGTCGTTGTGAATGCCTGATGCACTGATGGTTGCTGCAGGACGATTGTTGGAGTTCCTTTTCCCTTGAGTCTGATGCGTTCCAAGTTGATCTTTATTCTTCCTCCTGCTTTTGTTTGCTCTATGGCTTTTTGGTTCACTGTTCTGGAAGGACTCGAGTTAGATGGGATCAAATTGGGGCGAGTCTCAGTGCAACGTTGAGAAAAGCTGGGGCCGGGGGCCCGAGGTTCCTCAAGTCAAAGGCTGGCGTGGTCTCTTGCTTGCCTCATGCTTTTCGTGGCTCATTTTAGCTCGTTTGGAGAACCTCTCTGAAGACTCCATGTGGCTCACAGAGAGGCTTGGAAAGATCCTTTGAGGTAGGGATACGGAGACTGATGCTTTGTCCAAACAGGGTAACGAAGAAGAGTCAGAACTAGGCCGCTGACATTCCCTGAGTAGGCACCGGCGGTACAATGCAGTGATTTAGCCAAAATCTCGACCTCAAATCTTTGTTGGGATCGGACTAGGAGAGAGGAAATAGGTGGAATATCAAAAAAGATTTATTCGAGATAGGACTAGTACTTATCAGGTAGTAATCCCATTTTCCCCAAATCACTCTATAGATCGCTGCCTCTGGCTTTCTTGTTCCTCGTTCTTCTCCTCTTCTCTTTCTTCCGCCTGCAAAAGTCCTCTGACCCAACATCAACCCCAATTCCCATGCCTTCGGCCTGAGGCACTAGCCAATGGTCATTTCACAATGAGACTTTCACTCGATGTCAAGAAACGACGAGGCGTCTTGTGGCGGCCTGGTGATGACCTGGCTAAGCGCTCGGATGTGCATGGAAGGACCATCCCCAGGTTGACAACAGATCGAAACTATCCCGTCTTCGACTTTCTTTCCTTCTAGACAGAATGTTCATTGGCTTGTACTACTGACCGATCCGGCTTTGGTCGTGCTCATTGAGGCCCGCTTATGCGACTTGTTTTGCTTCAACCCCCTGTAGCTGCAAGTTCGCCGATGGCTGATACAAAGGCGATGATGGTTATATCGTGGTTGTAAGCATGTAGTCAAGGTCAGGTTGAGTGCTCCTCCCCTTTCCTCGTTCGTGGCGTCGTTCTTGCCTGTCCGATCATTTTGAACCGTGAACATGGCTTCGTTCTTTATTTCGAAGCAACAGCTCAATAAGACAAAAGCGGTCCCTCATGGCGGACTTGGTGGACTGGTTTCTCCGGGAGGAGGTGATACTGGTGGCAACGATGCCGATGCGGCATGTGAGTCCCGGTGGACAAAATCCAAGCGACGACGACCTCCGCCAATTCAAATCGCAAGTGGCCTTGAACTCTCACCGATATCGCCCGCCCAAATTTCCGCAGCATCGAGCCTTGGATTTGGTGGTCTGTGGACGCCAAAGACACCTACGGACCGAAATCGTTCACGTTCGCTGATAGGAGGTGACGCGAACGAAAAGGTTTCCCCGTTGATATCACGCTATGATTCTGCCGCGCCTTGCCAACCTCATTGCTCACCTCCACAAACACCCATGAGTCCAAGGGTCTCACAAACTTCACTACCAGCTGAACTTCCTGGATCCCTCCTCCTACCGAGCCAAGGCTTCCCGCAAACGAACCCGATATCACCCCCTCCTTCAATTCGTGTCCTCCGCAGGGACACCGGAGACTCGTCCTTAAGTTCGGCTCGAACGCTGTCAACATCTGCTTCCACTGATGAAGAGAACATGGAGACACTTCGACACCTCACCACACCATTAAGAAAGAACGACAGATTTGGAACCCTCTCAATAACCCCAGCCACTACCGGAGACCGGCCCATCGAGGCTTCGCGGATAACTAGGCCCTTTTCTGCTATGGGAATGGAAGAGCTACTGGCCCGCCTGCCTGAATTAAATCCTTCGACGATATCCCAGCTGTGGCTTCCCGCATTCCGCATTCAATTCCAGAAAATGACCGCTGTGCTTCAGGACGCCACGGAAGTGGAACTTGATTCAAGCCTCGACCGGATAGCTCTCCAGAAGGTAAAAACATCGTGTCAAAGCCCTCGACACCCACTAAGATATCACAGGACCTGCAATCGTTTTCTGACGGACTCCGCGTCATTACAGCATCTTACCACAAAGTCGTAGAGTCCGCCGAATCAGTAGCCGAGCGAGACACCAAAAATCGTCAGGAGCGTCTCAAAGAACTAGAGGTACAAGTGGAAGAGGCCCTGGAAAGCATCGGAGCAAAAGACAAGGAGATTGCACATCAAGAGAGAAAGAATACCGAACTCAAGCATACTATCCACGAGGTCGTCCGCGTTCTGGGTGCATTCATCCACGACCATGTTCCCGATCGGTGGGATAGCATCAACGAATCGAGAACCCAAGAAGTTCTTCAGATTATTTCCGATTACGCACGTCACGCGGACAACAAATCCGTTCGATACCTCCGTGTCCCTGAAGCCACGGTTGCCCAATACGTACGAGACCTCCAAGAGCTACAAAACCTGATTGACTATTATCGAAAGGTCTCACACAGTCAGGCTAAAATGATCAATCAACAGTCAGAAAGTCTCGACGCATATGTGGACAAATACGAGACCGCGGTCAATCTGGTGAAAGAACGCGAGCATGAAATCCTGCTTCTCACGCAGCACAATAAAGACCTGGCCAAACAAGTGGAGCGATACGAAGAGGAGTTGATCCAGACCCGAGAGGCCCATACCGAAGCAGAGCTCATGGTCCGACAATATGAAGAACTTCGTGGCAGCATGGAAAGTTTGAAGATGGCACATGCATTGGAACTCGATCAACGCGATGCAGAGAACGCCAACCTTCGTCAGAAGTTAGGAAGTGCTCGTGAAGAAGTCTTTGCTCGCCGAGAGGATGTGAAAAATATCCTGACTCAAGCACGGAATATGCTTCAGTCTACCGATACGTCGACGGCTAAGAGCAGGAACGCCTCCAAAGCATTAAGATTTCTAGGGATGGAGCAAGACAAGAAAAAGATCAAGAAACCCGGCCTTCCCTCAAGTCAGAGCATGATGGGACTTTCGAAACCCGCTTTCGATTCTCCTACTTGGTCATCCGATTCGAGATACTCTTCCAAAGAAGTAACGACTGATGAACCTACCCTTCTACGAAATCGGTCTCTTCAGAACCGATTTCGAAGTCAAACCAATCCCAATGCTCCCGTTGACGGTTCTACCGGATCTACCGACTGCACCCTCCCATTATCGGTTGTTCGACCAAGATCCGATACACTTGGGGCAACTCAACGTCACGATGAACTTGGCTCTCCCATAAACACCGACAAGGATTTACCCAAGCCACCCACTCAATTATTCCCATCATTTCTATCAGCAGCTCGACTTGCAGAAATCACACAATCCATCGACAGTCCAACAGAAGCTCAGATTGCATCAGACTACTTCAAACACGGTATTATTGGACAGACGTCTACTCGTCGCGTGCTGAGCAATATCCCAGAGGTCCCCGTCTACAACGCATCTGAAGCAGATATTCAACAGGACAAGAATTTCGAGACCATGAACGAGAAAGATTCGGATAGTGTCGATAGTAGCGACCGGGAAGTCTATCGCAAGAGTATCTGCGCATTGGACATGCTAAACAGCTCAACTCTGCTTGACAACGAGACGGCGACAAGTCTCGAGAGAATTTTACGTGGTCGCACGAGAAGTGAACCGAGCAACTCCCACATACCGACCCCTAGCGATCAATCGCAAGAACCCCGGACAGGAGTGGCCCGCGTGCTTCAACTCCGACCTGGCAATGGAGACCTACGAGACGCGACGAGAGAACGAGATCGAGATTTTGACCGCGAAGAAAGAGTCAGACAGAGCCTCATGTCAGATAGTTCCGGGTATCGGACCGAAGACTCGGAGCCGCAGACTGTTACACAAATGTATCATCAAGGACGACGACACATCCGTGGCTGAGAATATTGAATCGAGCTTTAAAAGCGTTGCCTGATGAAGAGAGCTGTCTTCTTAGCTTGGGGCTGGACCAGGAGATAATTGTACGAGTGCTGGATTCATTCTCAGTCATCATCGACAGCATTGTCATGTGTTTTGGAAAGGGAAATCAGTCGAGAGAAGATGCGAGGTGCGGGAACACGGGACCGTATGTGTGTGGAGTGATTTAGCTGACATTCTTCCGGACGGTGCAGTGCTCCAGAACTGACTCAAGCCAAAGAACAGCAGAACAGCAATAACCCAACAGGATGAACGCGATGAAATGCTTGACACTTTATGTACGAGTTACGGTCCTGTTAGAATCTATCTATGATCCTCTGTTGACCCCAAGTTCTAGCTCTCTATATCTACCCTGATACGGCATGTGCACCGCGACTACCTCTACCTCGATGATTTTGGTTTGGATCCCATTTAAGAGCCCTATGCCTTGCCGTTGAATCGTGAAGATATCTCCAGTTGAAGACCAATTCCTCTCGCCCCGGGATTTGAGGTTCTGCTTAAGCACTAGTACTAACTTTGTGAATCGGCAGGGTCACATATTACTGTCCAATCACGACAAGCCCAGACTACTTCGTAGGTAGATGAGGCAGATGGATGATGGACACGCCTCGAGTGATGGCACCACTTTGATGGCCGGTTGGATCGTGTCTCCTTTGATTTATTGTTTTTAGGTCGAGTTCATCTTGAGTCGTGAAGGCGTCCAGTCCATCGGCTACTCTTTGTATTGTATCCCATTTCTACAGCCCCTCCGATGTATATCTGGGTACTGGAGACAGAGTATAACCCATAGGCTGGAAGGCGTCTCTTGTGCCTCTGTATGATACGCTCGTAGGCTTGATAAATGTCTTGGAAAAGATGTCGGTAGATATCGTGGTCAAAGGTCATTCAACAGGGATAGCACCTAGCTCTCGCACAGGCGGTCGCTATCGGTATGTATAGTGGCATCACCCACATATGCTCCCCTCTGGCTCGTTTGGTCTCGGCTCTTTCATCTTATCGTCCGCACAGCCTGATCGAAACACACCAGCCCCGGATGTAGGCGAACGATCCTATCACGCTTGCAGTGGTGCTCTTCTAGACTCCTGCTTCACACTGGCAGTGCTCGACTTGGGCTTGATCGGCTGCAACTCCATATCCTTGTTGGCGACTCGACTTGAACTCGCGATGAAACCCTCGGATATGCTTCGGATCTGGGGCTGGATGACGCGCGAGATGTTGTGGTAGCCGTGCTGGGGAACTTGGATGAGGAGCGTGTGCAGGTATGCGAAGAAAGCGGCGATGCGAGCCATGATGTCGTATTGCTTTCTGACAATCACGTGTAGTTTGAAGGATGCAGATTGCTGAACAAGAGTTGCGGATCAAATGTATGCTTTTTGCAACAAAGTGTTAGGAGAGCACAGAGACGGAGACAGGTCACGGAGAAGAGAGCCGAGTGAACCCGGGATAAGAGACTGAGAGCTTGTAGTTGGAAAAAGATGTTTCGGTTGGCAGTCGTATCGAGTAGCCGCCGAGAAAGGTGATGGAGGTGATGGGCTGGAGGCGACCGGCTTTTGTGGGGTGGATGAGTAACAGAGATAACGGGCAGCAGGATAGGCTGCTGCCAGTGGCGGGCGGAAATTTTTAAGCTGGCAGATAGAGGGGTAGTGCCGCGCGTCGGCCTACGGGGAACCATGGATGCTGGGGAAGATTCCACTGCCAAATGTATGGAGGGATGCCGCACTGAGGACCATGGCGTTTGCCAGGTCGTCCTCGGCAAGAGTCCATGTTTCCGGTTCATCTCTTCTGATTTCGCTGACTTTGCCCATTCTTATTGATACAGTATTCCATTGTCAGAACTGTAGCAATGGTATGACAACCATATGAAAGCATCTCGCTGGTGTGAAGTGACCTGAAGCGCCAACCACTGGGTATCAAAATGTATTTGGAGCCGGTTCATACACCCGGTTCATACGCCTCCAACCTTTAGCTTTCCTCCTTTGGCCGCCGGATTCTTGATCGTGTCATTGTCACCTCGTTCCGTGTCTTTATGTATGTTCAGTCCTGTGCATCACTCCGTCAGACTCTCACTCAAACTGGTCAAATGATGTTCATACGTAGCACATCTGATCCCTCTACCTGCTTCCCTTGTACAATGTTGTGTCGCAGGATTGATGCCACACCCTCGGCATGTTCTATTCCCTTTAGTGCCTCGTCCGATGATGGATCCAGCGAGCTCATGTTGTCAAATCCCGTTCGTGCTTGGACTCGAGCAGCATGTAGGAGGTGGTAGTCGCCTTGGAAAGCAATACGGGTAGCCCTCAGTAGATGTCTGTAGGCCGACAACGCCATGGTGCGTAGCGAAAGGAGAGGCGGTCGCCGAGAGAGTACGGGAGAGGACGAGGAAAGACGAGAGACCAGTGTGAACAGAACGGAATTCACGCCGAGATCCTTCTCACTTGATTTGGACGTTCGTCGCATGTAGCCTTTTCATCTAATAGAGCAATGAACATTCTCTCTGTCTAGAAGGTTAAGCGAGAAGCTGACAGCCAATAAACGTATCAACAGGCAATACGGAGTGTAAATTTTTCCGATCTCCGACCAAAAATTATTACATCCTCCTCACTATCGTCGAGGTGCAAGAAGTTGTTCTCGGTAAGGTTGTTATGGCTGAGCCGGAAGTTATTCCCCCTCCGTCCGCGGACTGGAAGGGTGAAAATGATGCAAATCCCAATTTCAGAGCCCTTGGAAAGCTCTCTCCTCCTGTCATGCGCAAAATCGAACCATTCGGAGCCCAATTCCTTGCCTACGCTCGTCGCAAGCGCCATGGCCGCACATTTTCTGAAGATGACCGTATACAGGCTCTCTCCCGAGTTAAGAAGTCGGAAGACGATGACGATGGCGAAATCAGCGAACCTGAGGATCCTTTGATGCTTGCTCGCGATGCTAAAGACTGGAAGGTGGGGGTCGATCTAAGGCCTATGTTTCAACATTTTGCTAATTTCTTTTCTTTTTCTTCTTTCTTTTTAACAGGGACAAGATCACTACGCCGTTCTCGGTCTTTCCAAATACCGCTACAAAGCTACTGATGAGCAGATCAAAAAGGCGCATCGCAAGAAGGTTCTCAAACACCACCCAGACAAGAAAGCCGCAGCTGGACAAGATGACGAGAATGACTCCTTTTTCAAATGCATTCAACGTGCATATGAAATTCTTACCGACCCTGTCAAGCGCCGTCAATTCGATTCCGTCGACGAAGCCGCAGACGTTCCCCCTCCAACCAAGAAGGATATGCAGAAGCCTGGTGCTTTCTACAAGAAATGGAATGCTGTCTTCCAGAGTGAGGCTCGTTTCAGCAAGAAACATCCAGTGCCTTTGCTGGGCGACGAGAACAGCACAAGAGAAGAGGTGGAAGAGTTCTACGACTTCTGGTACAACTTTGACTCCTGGCGCACGTTCGAATACCTCGATGAAGATGTTCCCGACGACAATGAAGGACGAGATCACAAGCGTCACATTGAGAAGAAGAATGCCAATGCTCGTCGCAAGCGCAAGACCGAAGATACAGCACGACTCCGCAAATTGGTCGATGATTGCTTGAGCTACGACGAACGCATCAAGAAATTTCGCAAAGCTGCTAATGCCGATAAGAACAAGCGCCGCCTTGAAAAGGAAGCGGCCGCAAAACGCGAGGCTGAAGAAAAGGCCAGGGCCAAGGAGGAAGAAGAACGCAAGAAGAAAGAGGAAGAAGAGCGTTTGAAGGCAGAGAAAGAGCAAGGCAAGAAGGCCAAGGAAGCTGCAAAGAATGCCGCCAAGAAGAACAAGCGTGTTGTCAAGGGCAGTGTCAAAGATGTCAACTACTTCGTGGATGGTGAAGCACCACCCAAGCAGATCGACGATGTTCTTGATGATGTTGACAAAGTCTTGACCAACATCGACGCGGATGAACTGGCAGATTTGGTTTCCAAACTCAATGTCGCAGGCAAAGATGGTAGAAAGGTCAAAGAAGTTTTCAGCGAGTCTCTTGGTGGATTGGTGTCTGCTGGTAAGGTGAAGGAGAGCGACATCAAGGTTTTCAAGTGAGGAGGTACTTGCCTTTTTCATTGCATCGTCGCCTTCTCCAGCCCTTAATCTGGATAGATCATGATTCGACGAGGAGCTCGTCGTCGGCAATTCAGTTGCAATTCAAAGAGATTATGAAGTAGCCCTGGTCATTGTAAGTAAACAAGCCTATTTCACGAATTAGCAATTTCTCTGACCATTTCACTATATTGGATGTCTGATGGTTCGATCAGTGGCTGACATCAACCCTGCGTACGCCGGGGAGAGCGTACCTTCACCCTCAACCTTTGTCCCTTGCTAATCTCGCGTGATGGCGGGTTGATGACTTATGTCATCTTGAATGGCTTCACTACCATCGTAAAATTTGACCAGGGGACCGCGTCATGCCAGCCGATTATGACTCTCGGGAATTTTGGAGTTGCGAGTTGAACATGCATCCTCTCTTGCTTGTTACTTGAGGAATAGATATCCTACGCGTTAAGAATGTCCCGTGGTATCTGCGAGCCGGAAAATGGAGCTACTACAATTTCTGGGACCAGCAGACTGCTTGATTTGTTGATGATAGAAGTGACTCTGCCAACGAAGACGAAAATGACCCAGTTCGCGCTGTTGAGGTCTGAAACAGCCTACATCATCACAGTATGATGTTGAAGCTGTGAGTGGAAATCTGTTGTCTCACATTGATTGTATTTCAAAACTCTCTGCTACCCGGGAACTACCAGCCATGTACATCGCTAGGGACCTGTAATTTCTCGAGAAGCAGATGTCAAACTTTGCGTGCAACTTGAGATGAAGGAGCGCCCTGTTCTCTATCTACTTGTCGAGGTCGTGAGACTCCTTTTATAGACACACGAATGCTACATCGTTGCACAGAGCAACCGTCTGTAACGTCGTCGCCTATGGAAACCTCTCATCTCTATCCAACAGCAGATATGGATGCATAGTTGCGTGGGTAGAGAAGGGATCTGTTCTGGAGCTACTCAAAAAGTTTATGGCTGCCTTGCCCCGTATTCTGCAAGCTAGCTACATGCCTGACTGATGCCAGTGCCCGGTGGAACTTATGATGGTGCCATCTTGTGAGTGTGTTGTGTTTGACCACGATCTCCAATTTCTGTCATGTTATTTCGAAACCCCTTGCCAAGCTCAGCCTTGTCACTAGCGAGCTTTTTCTCCCGCCCATGGTTCCTCATCTGTAACAAAAATTCCCCATTTCAGCCTCCTTGTCCTGGAGAAAGCCTGGATTCGTTCTGACCACGGCCATGGAGTCCTCGACTGTGCTGTGAAAAGTTATGGTGTTGGCCGGGTCATTGAGATTGTATTGGTGGGCGCCATGATGTTTAAGGAAAATCTGATGACGATCAATGACCTACGATACATGAACAACTGGGCTAGCGTCGTAGTGCAATGGAACACAAAAACTGAGAACCTAAGAGTTTCCACAACCAAGGAAGCGTGCCATGGAAGATGTTATTCAAGATAGTTTCGTTTCACTCTATAATATCGTAAGCCTCTGGTGCATGATATTCGAAGTCCCCATGTATTCTTGGGTCGTTTCATGTCCAAACCAACGGACACATCCATTGTCCATTCCATGAACGCCGATGCCAGATAGATACAGACCCAGTTCAGGTACAGTTCCCAAATCAGAAATCCAACGCCATGTCATGATCAATAGACAACCGAGGTCGTGATAAGCGCGACGAATGTACCAAACCAAAATCTTCCCTTGTGATCTTTACCTCGAAGACTGAGAAAGCAAAGCAAACAGACAAGCCATTCATAATTGCACAAGGCATCTCAGCACTCAGCACCCAGCACTCTCAACATGGCGTTTCCGATTTCGTGCTCGCTTCTTTCAACATGGCCCTTGATCCCATCTTGAATCAGTCACGACGAAGATCTTGGGGAAATAAAAAAGGGGGAAGAGTGTTTCCGTTTTGGTTTTCCATCGCCTCGTATCCCAACGCCTGCTCCGAAAATAAAGAAAGGTTGACCGTTGGACTCAGCCCGGCCCGACCAGCACGGGTCTACTTGGCCTTACAAAGGCACGTAGACTAGAGCTGTTTATTTCTTGTGGTTGAAGAAACTGCTGGCTACCGGGCCGAAACTGCTCATCGCCGAGTTGGCGCTATTCGCTGTGCTGTTTGGATATCCAGTTTTATTGTGCTTGTTATGCTTGTTGTGCTTCTTGCCTTTCTTCGCGTAGTCTTCAGTCAAGGAACCTAGGATTGCACCACCTAAGGTTCCCAGTACGCCATGGCCAACTTTGTGGCCGCCCCAGGCTCCCGCGGCGCCGCCCGCCACGGCGCCTAACAGGCCGCGATCGGATTCTTGGCCCGGTGCAGGGGTATTATAGTATCCTGCGTTGGCGCCGGGGGCGGATTGTTGTTGGTATTGATATTGGTCCTGGCCATAGCTGCGGGTGTCGTTGCCGTAGTAGCTTTGTTGGGGGTAAGAGTTGGAGAAGCCTTCCGATGGATAGGCGCTGGATTGTTGGGAGTATGGGTAACTTGGGTATTGATTATTATAGCCTTGGGAGAAGGCGAGGTGTTGGTCGTAAGGGCCAGACATGTTTGATGTAGTGTGGATGTAGTGTGTATGAGTAGTGGTAAATTGGTCCTTGATGATGAGAGAAAATATCTTCTGAGGTGCAGGGGAGGTGATTCTTATATACTTATTGGCCTTCCATGTAAAATGGGCCCCCCAAATCAGATCTCAATGATGTGTTCGGTTCGTGGTACCTAACCGCGTGGGCCAGAGAGGCGTTGTCCTAGTCGTCTATCCAGCCACTCACGCTGACGCATCGTAGTTTGAGGAGCATACGGGCAAGATGGCAGCTGAAAGATCTTCTGGAAAACTTCCGAATTGCCACAAGCGAGCCAATTCTCCAGATAAATGATGCGGGATGATTGGATTGATGTAGAGAAGAGGGGGAAACGGGCGAGGATTTGGGCAGGACTTCTGCACGCTGATTGGCTGAGCGGTTGTGGCACAGCGAGGCGCAGTCTGCAAGGCTGTGTAAATTTCCACGCGGTCGCCGTAATTCCATCTCCATCCATCCCTAATCACCGTCATTTGGCCTCGAGACTTGATTTCGTCTCTGCCTAGAATCGGATCAACGGCCTCCGCATGAGAGATGGTCCACTTTCACATGCCCAGGTGTCAACATTCGCATCCCTGCTACTGTCTGCCTGATCTTCCAGATCTACCACCAATCTCCTTGATTTTGAGATATCTGGTTGCTTTTGGTATCTAATCTTTCACACAGGGAACATATTTCTAGATGTCTCTGCTTGTGCCTTGGTCGCTTCTATCAAGGGGTTTCAGATTGCAACTTCTAATTCAAACAGCTAACGTAAGACAGTGCAGAACTCCAGGCAACCTTCGAGTTTCTGTGGTCCTTCGATGACTTCCTCTTGGCGAACCTTTGCACAATGTTGACAATAACTCACTGGCCGGGCTAGAGAGAATTCTGAGCTGAGGGTCAAATTCGACAACCACCCGAACATTTCTAAGGCACGACGGTTGAGCACCACTTCAACCGGCAAGATCCCCCAAAGCGCCCCCTCAATACGACCTGGGTAGTCCAAGAACTCTTTCCCCAATATAATTCCGAATCATTTCCCGACTGACAGGTGCAATCCTGGGAATCATGACCTCACGCAGGTACCTTTCAACATGATATTCCTTCGCATATCCCATCCCACCATGCGTCATGACAGCTCTTTCGCATGCTCGAAAAGCAGCCTCCGCGGCCAAGTATTTGGCTGCATTGGCATACTCACCTGTCTCATATCCAGCATCATACATTCTCGCGGCTTGATAGATCACGAGTCTGGCAGCTTCCAGTTGCATCCAACTGTCAGCCAAAGGATGCTGGATGGCCTGATTCTGACCAATTGGCCGCCCAAACACTTTCCTTTCTCCTGCATACAGTGCTGCACGCCTCAAAGCTGCAAATCCGGTCCCAAGTGCTTCGGCGGCAATCAATATTCTCTCGGCGTTCATGCCATGCATGATCATCTTGAACCCGTTGTCCTCTTCCCCGATTAGATCTTCTTTCGGCACTCTCCATCCATCGAAGAACAATGTATTCGAATCAACCGCCGCTCGCCCCATCTTTGGAATCTCTGTGATCTCGACCTGCTTGCGATCTAAATCGGTATAGAATAAGCTCAGCCCTTGACTAGGTTTCTTAACCTCTTCCAACGGTGTCGTGCGCACGAGAATAAGGACCTTCTCCGCAACCTGAGCCGTTGAAATCCAAATCTTCTGGCCACTCAGAATATAATGGTCACCGTCCCTGACGGCTTTGGATTGTAATCTCAAAGTATCCAACCCTGTATTTGGTTCGGTGACACCAAAGCAAGCCCTCTCCCTCCCTGCAATCAATGGCACCAACATCCTGTCTTTCTGCTGTCGAGTCCCAAATTTCCTCACTGGCTCTAATCCAAAGATGTTCATGTGCACGGCACTCGCGCCAGCGTAGGCAGCTCCGCTCTCGGCGATCGTTTGCACCATAATTGCTGCTTCGGCAATTCCAAGCTCACTGCCCCCATATGCTGCCGGCATACATATCCCCAGCCAACCATCTTTGGCCACGGCCTGGTGGAACTCCACTGGGAAACGGTGTTCTTTTTCCACGTTGAGCCAGTATGCATCGTCGAATTTCGAGCAGACTTTGCTAATTGCTTCCCGGACACTACGTTGTGAGTCTGTCAAGTCTGGGTCGTGTAGTTGGAGGTATTCTGTGCCGCGAGCTTGAGGTGCTCGTGTCGTCGAAAAGGATAACGACGGAGAGGAGGGAATGGGTCTTGTCCTTGTGCGTCTTGATAACTGGTAGATGATATTCCTCCCTAGCTTTTGAGAAGCCATGTTCACAGTTCCACTCTGGAATTTGTCGGCCCTATGATGTGACACCTACGAGAAGAATATCGTCGAACGAATGTGAATTGGTGCTTAGAGAAACTCCTGCTGTAGACCTTTACATTTTTATAGTGAGCCACGACTATGACATTTCCGAGAATAGGCTTTCTTGACGAGGTAGGGCGGGCGGGTTCGGCCATCGTCCGGGAGACGTAGTGTGTATCTCCGCACTCAGCCTCGTCGGCCTCTCGGCTCCGAGACCGTGATGTCTACCCTGGCCCGAATCTGGTAATTCGGAAGTATAAGATAGGACAAAGCAAAAAAGCACCATTCGTCGTGATTGAATGAATTCAAGGTACTTCGAGCCAGATATCTCAGTGACCGTAGAAAATTATTTCATCTCTAGCTAGATAGTATCGGCGGAACGCGGCATCTGACTGACCTATGTCTCCACAAAGAGAATGACGAGACTCTATAAGAACATCAGGCGGACCATCGGGGTCGACAAATTTCACATCACCAATCCATTATCAAATTCGGTTATTCACATACGAAACTACCGATCAAGCACAGTCCAGAGAAGCAAAAACGAAACAAGCTCCAAGCATCTCCCTCTTCACGGCCTCAAAGTGCTCGACCTCTCCCGCGTCCTAGCAGGACCATTCTGCACACAAATCCTCGCCGACTACGGCGCGCAAGTGATCAAGATCGAGCAGCCACTCGTCGGCGATGAGACACGCCAATGGCGCACGCACAACGAGGCGCAAAAGTGGCGGCCCGACCATAAGCTGATGTCTCTTTACTTCGCGGCGGTGAACCGCAACAAGCGGAGTGTGACAGTGAACTTGAAGAGCGGGCGCGGTGTGGAAATTGTCCACAAACTCGCCAGCCAAAGTGATGTTCTGGTGAATAATTTCTTGCCGGGAAAGATGGAAAGCTTGGGTCTGGGGTACGATGAGTTGAAGAAAGGGAATGAAAAGTTGATCTATGCGAGTATTAGCGGGTATGGAGCGAGTGGGCCGAGTCGGGACCGGGCAGGTTACGATGCCATTGCGCTGGCGGAGGCAGGGCTACTGCATATCACCGGCGAGGAGAACGGAGGGCCGACGAAGCCAGGCGTCGCAATTGCGGACCTCTGTACGGGTCTATATACGCATGGGGCGATTCTAGCGGCGCTGCATCAGAGAGACAGGACCGGGTTGGGGTGCAAGATTGAAGGCAGCCTGTTTGAGAGCAGTTTAAGCCTGCTGATTAATGTCGGTCTAGCGAGTTTGAATCTCGATCTGAATAAAGGACCCGGGGCGAGGAGAAGGGGCAAAAGGCTCGGGCTCGGGCACCCGAATTTGGTGCCATATGGAGGGTTTGAGACGAAAGATAAGAAGATGGTGTTTGTGGCGGCGAACAATAATAGACAATGGAAAGGGTTTTGTGAACGAATGGAGATCGAGGGATTGGCCAACGACGGACGATTCAGCACGAATGATGGGCGAGTGGAGAATAGAGAGGAGATCAATTCCATTTTGCAACGCCGGTTTCGCGAAAAGACCAAAGATGAGTGGATGGCGGTGTTTGAAGGGAGTGGTCTGCCGTATGGTGCGATCAGTGACGTCGTTGAGGCGTTGGAGCATCCACAAGCTGAGGCGAGGGATATGGTGATGGAGGTGGAAGACTTCGAAGCGGCGAGAGATGGGATGTTGAAATTGATAGGACCGGCGACGAAATTTGAGGGAACCGCAATGGACGTGAGGATTAAACCACCGTTGTTGGGCGAGCATACCGATGAGGTCCTTGGGAGTCTGGGATACGAACCTGCTGAGGTGACGGAATTGAGAAAGTCGGGAGTCATCTAAGCCAATAACTGACTTGATGATAGAGAGTCAAATACATCGAAATAAAAATAGGAGAAACTTTGATAAAGCGTTCAGCTGCGGGAGTATGAGAAGAAAAAGACGAGGAAGATTTGCAGAATGTTTTGATGAAAGGCCATCGTGGAGATCCGGTAGATCTAATATTCTGTGATAGTACAATTGCATATCCATTTTCGGTGGTGAGGAAAATGTACAACGCCTGGTCTTGTCTTGGAGAGATGATCCATTAGTGCGCATCGGGTTGGGCGCAGATGTATGTAACTGCTTGGTCGACTTCATTTTGTCAGAAACCGCCTCGAAACGACTTTCGACTTTGCTTACCGCTGTGGATAGCATCCGCCTCCTTGTCTGGGATTTCAATGCTGAATTCTTCCTCAATCGCCATCACAACCTCCACAGTGTCCAAGCTGTCCAATCCGAGGTCATTTTGGAAGTGTGATGTGCCACTGATCTGAACGTCCTCATGAGACAATTTTCGAACACCTTAAGGCAGGATAGATTACCTTTGATGCATCTGTGACCTGTATCGTCGTTAGAAAATGGCACGACGGAAGATTGCTTCAGTACGCACCTTGTCAAAGTTCTTCAACAAATCCATTATCCGGCCTTGGACCTCCTCTTTCGAAAGGCCGGCAGGTGCTGAATAGCATCTTATGCTAGGGATAACAAAGGATGGAGCGACTCGAGATGATTGCAATAGGGAGGAAGCGATTTGAGATCGGAAGGCAGGCAATTGTCGGGGAACCTGGGTCCTTGTAGCGGCATACAGTGCTCTCACGGCACCTGCGCGGAGCATCTCGACGACCAGAGGAGAATAGTAGAGAGGCAGTCAGGCGAAGAGGAAGACGTGATGTGGATGGAGAGGCTGGATTTCTGATGTCAAGCTTCGTTGGACCAAAAGTCGAAATGGGCGTTCAAAAGTCAAAAAGCCGCAGCTCTACTCCAGGGAATTCTGAGCTACTAGCGAAGGTCACGTGGCCAGTTTGTACTCGTAGAACTTGCTTGAGGGGGCTCTCAGCTTCGACTCGACCAATCAAATGACCGCTATATCCAGTCAGTCATAGGCACCGACGGGCATCTTGGACGTCTCCAATCCTCCCTCTTGCTTCCTCCTGCACTCGCCACGTATCGACAACCACAGTCTGCGGCGAACACAGACGATGGCGTCGTCGCTTCGTCCAGCATCGCGACTGGTCGTGAGACCTTCAACAACTTCTGCCGTTCTCCGACAAACAGAACGATCACCCTTTATCCGCGCCGCAGCTCAATTTCACACATCAAGTCCTCGAAATGCCTTACCATCAGGACCTCCTCCACAAGGCTATCGATTGCCACGACCCAAACGATTCGATGAAGGCGAAGGAGTGATGGATAAAGCGAGTAACTATTTTCTTCTCACCGAAATGTTTCGCGGCATGTACGTCGTGCTAGAACAATTCTTCAGACCACCGTATGTCTTAACTAAACATGGCCCTTCAAGTCCAGCCTTGGGTTCGGTTCAAGCTGACAATCACGATACAGCTACACGATCTATTATCCTTTCGAGAAAGGCCCTATTTCCCCTCGATTCAGAGGCGAGCACGCATTAAGGAGATACCCCTCGGGTGAAGAGAGATGTATCGCTTGCAAGCTTTGCGAAGCTATCTGCCCAGCTCTAGCCATCACAATCGAGGCTGAAGAACGAGAAGATGGATCGAGAAGAACCACTCGTTATGATATTGACATGACCAAATGCATCTACTGTGGCCTCTGCCAGGAGAGTTGTCCTGTTGACGCCATTGTGGAAACCCCCAACGCGGAATACGCAACAGAATTCCGAGAGGAGCTCCTGTACAACAAAGAGAAATTGCTTTCCAATGGTGATAAGTGGGAGCCAGAATTAGCCGCGGTGGCAAGAGCAGATGCCCCATACAGATAAAATAGTCGAGCAGAAGCGTCTGTGCACTCGTTCAAGTCTGTACATAATTTTCATGATATCGAACGAAGAATTGAAGGCTTCGCACTGGACACGTGCTAATTTGCAAAAAGCGTAGAGCATTTGCGCCGATGCGAAAAGGGCTTACTACATGTGGACTCTAGTATACTCACTGAGAAAGATGGCTCTCCATCGCTTTTTTACTCTGTTACCGAGGCCTAGCTTGAAACGAGCCCAAAAAGTCGATGAGAAAATTGCATTGACCAAAACCTCCGAGTATGGTATATCCATTCATTTGCAATTATCCCAAAGCTCGCATGGTCAATTCAACCCTAGAACATGCCGTTAGCGGGGTTTTCGGTTCCATGATGAACTTGAAGCTTACACTGCAAATGTTCCTGCACTGACAGGCATAGCCCTCACCATTGTTGGTCCAATGCCTTTCCAGAATCCCCTCATCCCCTCAGCCTTCCAAGTTTGCGTGAAGCAATCTCGCATCGTCTTAAATTTCTGATCTTTTCCAAAGCCATCGCTCTGCATCTTGCTTTTGACTACGTCGAACGGATAGCTCGCTATCCACAGCGCTTCACCGGCCAATCCGCCGTAGAATGCGACTTTGGGTGATGAGATATCGGTCCGTTGCACATTGTTTCGTTTCATATCTTGCGCCATAAGATATTCAAAAGTCAGGAACCAGACGCCATATGCCTGGGCCTCTCGCCAAAGTGTCACAACTTGACCACGGTACAGGCCGCGGAGTATGCCTTCATGAGCAGAGAGCTTCTTGATGCAATCTAGCGGTCCGCTATATAAACGGTTGACGCCATGAGGCTGGGTCTGAAGTCTTATCCTGACGTGCTCTATCGGGCCTGAAAGAACAGAATTCGTAAGGCCTGCAAAAGCTCCAGCTAGGTAATATTGTCCATATGATAAATCGGCAGGCCCCGCTGAATGAACCCGCAAATTGTGTTCCTCGAAAGCACGGCGGGCATAGTGGAAGGCACCAAATTGGACGGAGACACAAGCCCCAATACCGATCAGAGGAGTGAGGGTTCCTTTGTAGAATGCCAAGGGGCCTTCGTTCTGGAGGATTGATGTTGCGCACGAAAGGGCGCCGGGATATTTTGATGTTGTTTGCAACCGGACTTTGACAATATCTGTTGCGGTGAGATATGTGTTTTGACAGAGTAATGTCTCTTTGCTTACCAAAGGGTTGACCTGAAACACAATGTCAGCTTTGGTCGAATCCCAATACTCACACGACCCCGATGTGCCTGGTTAACTAGACCCCGAAGATCCAATATTCCCAGTAACGGGAAGGAGAGAGCCATCGATCAGAAATCGTGATTTGATTGAACTCACCGAGCAGCACTTGTGCTACACCTCCAGCAGCGCCCGCAAAGAGATCTTTTGCGGTTCTGACCCAGCTGGTATTTCCGACCTCACCAGCCTCAATGGCCTCAACACCGTCGGCCATCTCTGAATAATCTGCCTGAGACCTTTATTCTCGCCTCTATTCACTTGGCCTCTTTTGCCAATTCCCACCTCATTTTCGACAATGACTGTAAAAGAGGACCAACTTCCTGGATTCTTTTTTGGCGGGCACGCAATTTTGTTTAGTCACCTCGGTGGAGCGGGCACCGCCGCCTGATGCTGATTGGTTGGATTTCTTCTATATCTACGAATTCAACACTACGCCAGAAGCCGACCGCTATGCTCTCCGGTGCCATGGTCAAAGTTATATCGATGCCTTTACAAGATTTTTCCCAATACACTCGAGTACATTATCATTGGGCATGGCCTTTCGGTATTCCATCGAACACGAGGGATGCTGGGACGGGACTTAAGGAACTTGGTCCGATGGGCTTCTTGGGACAAGGAGAAGGAGACATTTCACTTTAAGCCAACTGCTGAATTCGGCAGGATACTCTTTTCAAAATAGAAGCCAGAAAGAAAATACAGCGTCTGTGACTTCTCATGAGTTGATCTGATTCCCCGTAGCATATCTACTACACTCGATAAATGCCTTCCCGTAAATTTCCGGCGAAATTTTTAGTACGGGCCTTTAGTCGATCCTGGCCTGAGAGGCGTGTTATTCATCCCATGTTTCTAAGATAGAAATACTGAGGTATCGCCCCTCCGTTCTGGAATAATTCGCACTCAGCATGCGCTGGGCGGTGACGCGAAAGGTTTGTTCTCTTGATAAAGCAACATCATTGTCTGCAAAGATTGACAAGTCCCAGCTCCCGCAACTACAGGAAATCTGTCTCTTTTGCGCCTTCAGACATGGCGTAGAAGCCCGTGTTGCAAATCCCACCCGACAGCAACGTCAGATTTATACCTCGAGTGCTCCTTCACGACGTCCGGCTGGAGCTGCGGCAGCTCGTGCTGAAGAGGAGGACGACGACTTAGCATCCTCCCTGCCTGCACCTGCGCCAAAAAGAGAGCTGCAGGGTTGGAGATGTCGATGCAGCCACGTTAACGCAACACATCGATTAGAATGTACAATATGTCTGAGTCCACGCCCACAAAAGCTGGAACATGCCTACAAAGAAAATGGGCCCCCTCCGAAGCCTTCATCCTCCTCCATCCAAAGCTCACGATCTGCTTCTGGCTCGGGGGAGCAATCGGTCCCACTGGCAAGATCACGCAATTTTTTGGAGTTCAATTCTCAACCAATTCTTGACCAAGCTAGATTTTCGTTTCAACAACCTGAGCGTAATTCACTCCAGGAGTCACGATCCTATCCGCGAAGAAACCAGCCCACTCACCGCGACGGCTCGCGGAGAGAAAGAAATGGCTCGAACAAATCTATGGCTAGAAATACACGAGATGCTTCAGCTTCCCAGAATGGGCCGCGAATCAAATTCATAATGGGAGATAGACGTGAGCCACCTGCCCCCGCATTACAAACATCAACGACAGGGCCCAGATCTACTTCTTGGAGACCTTTTGCCCACAATAACCACCCCTCGGGTGATGAACAACCAGAAAGAACTGGAAGTGCCATCGATGGAGCGGAAGCCAGCCAGAGGACGAATGCGGACGCTGCATTCGGGGAAAGATTTGGATCTAGACGGCCTCGTGGCGACTTTCAAAGGCGATATGATGAGGGGCTCCAGGTTAGAGCTGGGCCAAGACAAGGCCGCTTCCGGCGCTTTCGGGAGGATACCTCAAACGAAGCTTCCCACGATTCGCCGCAATCAGCCACCGTCGACGAAGACTTTGTTGAAATTTCGGAATCCGAGCCATCTCTACAGACCGAGGAAGAGTCTCCTTCACGAAGGGCCAGAAAAGATAAAGACGCAGATAGAAGAAGCAGAGTTTATGACGTCGAATCAGCAGAACCATTCACCACCTCTCAAATGGCCAGCTCTCCGACTGGAAAAAGGAGGAGCATTCCAAGGCTGAGCACTCCAGATTTTGATCCAGATGAGGTCGAAGAGTATCTCGACGAGAGGAGGCGGGGGAAGAAAAATAAAAACAAGAAAGAACAGGCTCACCTAACCGAACGACCTGAAATTCGATTACCGGAATTTATTAGCGTGGAGAAGTTAGCCCAAAGCCTCAAGGTTAGGCTGCATGACTTTTTGGAAAAATTGGAAGAGGAAGGGTTCGAAGGGGCTCGCTACGATCATCTCCTCGACTCTGAAACTTCCGCTATATTTGCCGAAATTTATGGATACGAACCCGTCATCAGCACGATTAACGAGACTCGCGATTTGGTAGCACGACCACCGGCAGAAAATCCGTCCCTGTTGCCACCGCGGCCACCGATTGTCACCATCATGGGTCACGTTGACCACGGCAAAACCACACTCCTTGATTATTTCAGAAAATCAAGCCTGGTTGCGAGAGAACATGGTGGCATCACTCAACATATCGGAGCCTTCTCCGTGACAATGCCTGGATCAGAACGCAATATTACTTTCCTAGACACCCCCGGACATGCTGCCTTCCTAGAAATGCGTCGACGAGGTGCCCATGTCACCGATATAGTGGTCTTAGTAGTAGCTGCAGATGACAGTGTCAAGGCTCAGACGATTGAAGCCATCAAGCATGCACTTGAGGCCAAAGTGCACATGATCGTGGCGGTCAACAAGATCGACAAAGAAGATGCCAACATTGAACGCGTGAAGCAAGACCTAGTTCGACACGGCATTGTCGTGGAGGATTTTGGCGGCGAGTATCAGGCCATTCCTGTTAGCGGAAAAACAGGTCGCGGCATGGCTGATCTGGAGGAGGCAATTTTGACCCTCGCTGATGTTGCCGACTTCCGAGCCGAAAAGGACGGACCGGCCGAAGGATGGATTATTGAGAGTGCAATCGGTTCGTCTGGTCGCGTCGCCACGGTCTTGGTACGTCGTGGAACCTTGAGACCGGGAGACTTCATCGTTGCCGGTACTACTTGGGCTCGTGTGAGGACTCTACGCAATGATGCGGGTCAGTTGATACAGGAGGCACCTCCAGGTACACCAGTTCAAATCGACGGTTGGCGGGAGGGTGATCCAATGGCTGGTTTGGAGGTGCTCCAGGCTGAAAGTGAGCGGCAAGCTAAAGATGCGGTGGCCGTCCGTCAAGAGAGGGAAGAAGCGGCTCGGGCCATCGACAATATGACCACAATCAATGCTACGCGCGCAGAAGAAGCAGAGGCTCGTGCTAAAGTATTGGAATGGGAAAAAGAACAGGGATATCTGGACATGAGGGTATCAAGACGTCCCAAGGATAATGAAGGCTGGGTTGAGAAAGAATCATCGGGTCCTCAACAAGTTCATTTTGTTGTTAAAGCCGACGTGGCTGGGAGTGTTGAAGCCATTGTTACTGCCGTCAATGCGATCGGCAACAATGAAATTGTGGCGAACGTCATCCACAGTGGCACCGGTGAACTTACAGAATCCGATATCAAGCACCTTGCCGCCACGGGCGAAGTGGGCTATGCGATCACATTCAATCAACCAGTAGACAACTCTATCCGGCGACTTGCGGAGGCGACGAATCTTGGTATCCTCAACCACAACGTTATTTACAAAATTACCGACGATGTCAAAGAAAAGTTATCCGCACAATTGCCTCCAATCGTGACTCAACGGGTGTTGGGAGAAGCGGAGATTGGAGAGATATTTGAGATCAACATCAAACGAGGGATCCTGAAAATTGCTGGATGCCGAGTGACTAACGGTATCATTCGCCGCTCTGAGAAGATTCGAGTTCTCAGAAACGGCGAAGTGGTCTACACGGGTAAGTTTGTTGAGCACGCGAAGTCTATGTATCTCATTGTTTACTCACAAAACACCTAGGCATGCTCAACTCGTTTAAGAACATCAAAAAGGATGTGACGGAGATGCGAAAAGGGTCTGAATGTGGCATGGGCTTTGAGAATTGGGACGGCTTCCAAGTGGGTGATCAGGTTCAGTCATTTGAGGAGCAGAAAGAAGCCCGGAAACTATACTAGGCAAGAGAAACAAGATCGAGAAATCTCCGGCGGCTACACAGCAAGGCTGCTTGAGGCCACGAGGCTGAACTGTCGAATCTCAGCCAATCAACGGCCAACCGACATCAGGCCTTGGCGCAAACCTCACACACGGTGCGTCATGTTTTGGACATCCACCACCTGCTCGCCAACCATTCTCGTTCTCTTTCATTATCTCCGACAATGAGCATTTCGTCATCACTGTCGTTTGCATGCGTTGTTCACGTTTCACAGCGCAGAAGAAACCTGTTTCAATCAACGATGGAAGGACCGGAACACAGATTTTTAACCGCCCATTGTGGCGGTCGTCGCCAATTCACTGCGCGTCTACGTACAATACTTCAAAAGATTTCGCTAGGGCATCGAGAAAAGATCGATAGCTAAACAAAGACTCTTCTCTCACCTGTGTGTTTAATGTTCATTTCCTATCTCCTTCCAGTTCTTCTCTTCTTGACTTGCTTTTGCACGCAGGCGTGGAGTGATCATCGACTTACTTTGCATTGCTATCTTTCCTTGAACAACACTCCTCACCTAGTCTCAGTTCGAGAACGCTATTAGGTGAGATATGCAAGTCGTCATCTCACCAATACTACTCCTCGTCTTGTCGACGCTGACCTTGGCGGGCCCGATTCATAGGTTTGTTCCCCTCTCCATCAATCACGATTCACTCAACTCTGACTGTTTCTCATGGGTAGTAATGTAATACGCCGCGCAAATGAACCCCAGAGACGCTATGTGATCAACAACATTCTCACCGTGACCTACGGATCTCCGAGAAAAAGACAACTTCCCACAGATCCTGGGACCGGATCAGACAGTGCTCAGACGGTATCGGGTATCGATCCTTTTGCAACGCCAACAAGACAAGGGACAGAAGATGGATCGGTGCCGGCAGTCGGTGTTGGAGGAGATAACAGCAGCTTGCTGAGCCTCTTGACCCAAACGCCAGTTGAGAGCTCGACCGCTGCGGCGACGGCGGCGACGGCGGCAGCGGCCGCCGCAACAGATAGCTCTGAAGCGGATAACACTACAGCTGCATCTGTTGGTGAAGACACAGACACTGCGTCCGGAGCACCTGGATCTGGAACTGCCATCGAACCCAATGCCGCTCAAACCGAAGCCCAGCCACAACCCACCTCCACCACGACTGTCCAAGTTCAGACCACGGTATTCGAGACGGTGAATGTCACTGCTGATACGACTGCTCCCGCATCAGATCCAGTCACCATTGGAGCTGCAGCAGCATCGACAACAGCTCCCACAGAAGCTTCAGCGACACCAGCCGCAAGTAACGGACAACCGGACGAGCAACAACCTACCGCGGCGGTGACTGTTGTCTTTGTAACCGCGGAACCCACGTTCACCGGCCCTATTGGCGGATACTCAACCCTCGATCCCGGCGCGAACGGCAACGCTGCTACCGCAGTCACTGCAGCTGGAGTGGCGACGGAGACGGAGACAGTGTCAGCAGCGGGCTCAACGACCGTCGATGCCGCCACGTCCGCTGTATCTGAATCTCCAGCTGCGGCAGCTACTGTGATAGAAACCGCTTCGGCGGCCGCTGCCGAAGGGTCCCGTTCCTCGCCAGAGGTGGCAGTTGAGCCAACTCCAGCTTCAGCTTCTGTGAGCACAGAGTCTGCCGCGCCGACATCGCCGCTGATATCGACGTCTCCTCCTGCGACAACAAGTCCAGATGAAGTTGCTGTAGTTCCTGTGACGCCGAGTCCGGCACAGAACAATCAGGTGACGGTGACGGTGACGGTGACAACGACTCTTACTGCTATTTAAACACGCGGGGAAAGGTTCTATGGTACCTAAGGATGTTGTCACTGGTCCTGAGGTAGTCTGTTGGCGAGGCACGCGTGTCTATCGTCTAGACGAGACAAGACGAGATGGATTTGTTTAGCATAGCATTACGTGGGAATTTGGCGGAGTTTGGTACTATGTCTCGCACCGTCTGGAACGAGGATTGATGGAAATTTGGGAGATTTCAAAAAGAGACAATGTATCTTGATCGAATATGAAAGATGAACTACTTCAAAAAAGGTTATTGCTGGATATGTTTGTCGGGTTTTCTTGTTGCTAACTCAACTAGATATTATCTCATTTGTTTGTTGGTGAATCTTTCAGGGTCTCAAAGGAGGTGGAAATTATCCTGGGTGATCAAATAGCTGATCTTCACCTTTGTCAATGATGCAGTGGCAGTTCCTTTAAATTGAGGCCATGCCGTCAATTTCGTCTCTTGTACATGGTTCGGACTTCTTAGGTCGTTAAGCCTCGCTAACATCATGCATAACCCATACCTTGTACCACCGACATTGCACACATTCATGAAGCTTGAATGCGCCGATGATGACTGGTTATGGGGAATGATGGATCCTGGCCTGGAGACGGTGATACTGGCAGACTTCGTAATAGAAGGCAGGGATCGAACTCCGTATACAGTCTATATGTCTCCGGTTTCGGTCCGCCAGAATCCCCTCCTTTCTCCCCAGCCTCTCTATTTTCATGTCAAAATGTGGGCAGTCATTAGTCACCATTTTGGCCTCTTGTTTCCGTTGATCAACGCGGCTCCACACAAACCAAAAGGCAGTGTTGAACGTCTGAGACATCTACGATCCAATTGACTGACAGGAAATAGCTGTCTCACAAGCTCTCGTCGACGAATTGGTCTTTTGCTCGCAATATGCTGTTGCAACATTGTGCCCAAACAACACCACCGCAACTCCCGCTCGCACGATTACTTGCGAGGCCGACAACTGCCCTCTTGTCGAAGCCGCTGGTGCCCAAATAGTCATAACATTCCAAACGTAAGAATGACGATTACCCCATCTTCTCTCATCAAAGAAGTGCGAAGAATACTAGTACTTACCCGTAAGTGGTGGGATCTACGATACCGCAGACTTTATTGCCGTCGGCCATGAGAACGAATTGGTGGTCGTCTCATTCTGTGGAACCATGTCTCTTGAAAACCCGATGGCCGATCTCGTCATTCTTATGGCTCCATGGATCTGTGATGGATGCATACTATGCGTTGGATTCCTTGATGCATGGCAAGACGTTACCTGAAAGGCCAAAACTGCCATCGATGGCATCCTGACAGGCCATTCAGATTATCAGATTGCGTCGACCGGCCATTCTCTTGGAGGATCTATATCTGAGATTACCGCTACTGATCTCCAGGAATCAGGATATACTGTCGCCTTGGTACGTCTGACAACGACATCTTCTTTCCTCCGTCCAGTGTAATAAAGATCAGTTATGCGGCCGAGTTGGTAGCCAACGGCAAGCTTTCCGACTACATCTCTGCACAAACATCTGCCAATTTTCGAGTCACTCGTGAGGTAGACCACGTGCCCAGTTTACCAGGACATGCTCTGGGACTTGTACGCCTTTCTCCGGAGTATTAGATCACTTCTGCGCATGGCGAGCCTGTGACTCCGGATGATATCCAGTTGTCTAGTGGAGCAGTCTACCTTGGGGAAAGTAACAGTCAACTCCTGGGACTTAACCAGCTTGATCATGGCTGAGTTCTTTGGGCCCTTGTTGCCGGGTGTGCTGCAGGCATTTACAAGAATTTTTGGAGGTTTGGTTCAGCCAATCGTGATAGTATTAGGGTGTTATTAAAGAATGTAACAAGAAGTTATGGGACCTCAAGGCTGGGCCCGGCAAAATTGCCCAGCAAGTTCACACGTATTTGGAATGACGTCGCAACTGGGAGCGGCTCTTTCCTCAGCCACATTCTCTGCTTCGCGGACGGGGGTCTCTGCATCCCAGGTTTCCAAGCAATTACGTTCGCAGATGCTGCTGTCGCAGTCTTTCTCTCTTTCATAGACCATAGAAATCTGCCCTCCCTCCTCTCTGCATAGATTCGCGTCTCTAGGCCCAGCGTCATAAAGAAGAGACCATATCGCAAAGAATATTCGAGAACACCCTTCCCAACCACTTGCAACCGAATCACTGTGTTCTCTTGCAAGAAGACACCTCAACTTCAGAGGGCAATTGTCTAGCCAGATCTCCGTCCGGAATCGATTTCCTATACCATCTACCAAAATGTCCACTGCGGTGGTCAGCGCCGACGACGATGTTCTCGAGCCCTCCCTCCAGAACCTCATTGACCAGCAGACGCTAAGATGGATCTTTGTGGGAGGAAAAGGTGGTGTCGGCAAAACCACAACCTCATGTTCTCTGGCAATCCAAATGGCAAAAGCAAGGAAATCCGTGCTGTTGATCTCGACCGACCCAGCCCACAACCTGAGTGATGCGTTCAGCCAGAAATTCGGAAAAGACGCAAGACTCGTCGAGGGTTTCACCAATCTCAGCGCCATGGAAATTGACCCCAATGGCAGTATCAATGATCTGATCAACGGGGCAGGAGATGAGGCTCAAGATGCTATGGCTGGACTGGGTGGCATGGGCAATATGATGCAGGACCTGGCATTCAGTGTATGATATCCCAGGAAGAGGCGTTTGCCATGGAACAAAGGACAGCTGACGTTTCACAGATTCCTGGCGTTGACGAGGCCATGTCCTTCGCAGAAGTCCTCAAACAGGTCAAATCCCTCTCGTACGAGGTCATTATCTTCGATACTGCTCCCACCGGCCACACTCTCCGTTTCTTACAATTTCCTACCGTTCTCGAAAAAGCTCTAGCTAAGATTTCTCAACTTTCGACTCAATTCGGCCCCATGCTGCAATCAGTCATTGGCGCCAGAGGAGGTCTGCCGGGTGGTGCTAGTCTTGAAGATCTGACCCAGAAACTCGAATCTCTTCGAGAAACCATTGCGGAAGTCAATGGTCAATTCAAAAATCCCGACATGACCACCTTTGTTTGTGTCTGTATCGCCGAATTCCTGTCCTTGTACGAGACCGAACGGATGATCCAGGAGCTGGCGAGCTATCATATTGACACACATTGCATTGTGGTCAACCAGCTACTATTCCCCGAGAAACACAACGATTGCAAGCAGTGCAATTCCAGAAGGAAGATGCAAAAGAAGTACCTGGACCAGATCGAAGAGCTATATGATGAGTTCAACGTGGTCAAGATGCCTCTACTGACTGACGAAGTAAGGGGTGTTGAAAAGTTGAAGAGGTAAGCTCATCAATGTATCTCATGCCATAAGCCAGGCTAATGAAGCCTCCAGCTTCTCAGAGATGCTTATTCATCCATACCAGCCACCCTCGTGATATCTGATGTAATTACAATGGAATCAAGCTCCAGTATCATTCCCAATGCGGCTTTCAATTTTGCATCCGTTAGCGGTATCAATCCATATAGAGCGCTCCGGCCAAGGATGAAATGCATATTTTACGACCAATCGCGTGTTCTTTCTGAGCGGAAGTTTGCCTCGGTCAAAAATTCCTCCTTTCCTGTGTTTTTCGGACCATGTGAAATCGCTCTATTCCACTAGAAATCAATGGTAGCGAGGGATCACAATGTAACCACTGTGAACTTGGGCTTGCCCTGGCAAGCCACACTTCCACATGCTCCTGATCTTACGATGCAAATGCTCGAGACGGCTTATGTCAACTGTTATGCAATCATCTCCACAGGCCACTTCGTCTGTAGAACCTCAGTTCTACTGTAAGTCGGATCGATGCAAGTCGTGTATCGTGACTCTGCTCATCGTCGGTTTAGCTTTTTGCTGGGCGGGACGGAGCGATCGTCCGGCGTCCATACTTGGTTGCATTTTCTGCTTCACCAAACGGGCTATTTATGGCTGAGGAGAACTTTGATCGACCCCCGAGATCCTCCCTCTCCGCCCCGACCATCTTCTTTGTCGCCAGTCCTTGCAAATCTTGACCCAGACTAGGGTAAACCGGAATGGGTTTATGAAGCAGCCCTTATTTTCAAATACTTTACACATCACTTTTGGAGTAGTGGGTTTTCCGGATATCAACCCTCTTTACCATTTATACGCGACAATCATGCTCATCGCCGGTGGTTCTAACTAGCATAACCCTTTGAAACGGATTTGGGACTTGGATGGTGGAAAAATCGCAAGGATCGCAAGCGAGCTGCAGACCCTGCTTCATCCGGAGGTACCCCGTTCACTAGCTAATGGGTTTAGTTAAAATTCATGCAGTTCTGCGCCACGTGGGAGGGAGAGTTGGCCTTGTATTTGGCACTGGGGGAGAACTTACTGTAGCTGGTAGAACAAGTCGTTTTCATTGGCCGGAGTCGAAGCAGTCATTTCTTTGGTCTCGTTGGCAGCTTGCGCTTGACACATGCGCCAGAGGGGAGAGCTGATTAGGCATCGCGGTGACAACGAGGTCCTACGCTGACAGCGGAAGGAGGAAGAAAGCCCAAGAACCAAGAAAGGCTGGCTTATGTCGAAGAAGCTCGAAGGCGCGTTGTTGTATTGACAAGACCAGCGAAAAAGAGTTGGCTTGAGTTCGAAGTTCCAGTTGGAATGATATGATTGCGTAAGCCGCAGTCCAGTCCAGTGGAGAAGGAGAAGGAGAAGGAGCATTGCTTCCCAATGTGTAAGCAGTCCGTGGCTTTAATGGTAAGGAAAAGTAAAATTGGATACAGAATCGACCTGCAAGTCACTTGCGTCCCAGGGAACCCCCATTAAGCTCCTGAAGACCAATCTTGTCGCCAGTTAAGGCTCTAGGCCCCAAGGTCAGTTGACACAGACGCTACGGGGACGGCGAAGTGGGTTATGAAGGGCGCTGGTAGGGGCGGCTGAAGCCAAACAAGGCAAGCCGAAGGATGCTTCCGAGTCCCACCGTTCTAGTGCGATCCGTGAACCATGACCACGCATGACTGGCACAACCCCGAGAGAAAAACGCCGCCGATACAGTATTACCCTAGACTTTTGAGTCTATATGCATTTCGGTGCCGTTCTGCCCTATCTGATCTAGACCTATTCCCACCCCTATGTGTTGCCTATCCTATTCCAATCATAGCATTCATGCACGCATCGCAAAAAATCCAAATTCCATTCCATTTGACCATCGAAACCTGCTCATTGGTCTAACCACAACCAGTGTTGGCAATCCCCCAATCTAAGTAATTAATTTGCGTTTTACGTCAAAGTGTGGTGGATAGAGTGTGCCTGAAAAGGCACAAAGCTGCTCATGTACTGCAGCCCTGCGGCCCGCCAGCGGTTCAGTCTAGTTGAGACGAAGCTCGAAAAATGTACGTGACGCGAAGAAAACGTGGCTTCAAGCTAGTTTCCTTTGCCGTCGTTTCGCATAAGAAAAAAGGCCACTGACCGACATTGGGCGAAAATGTTGCCAAAAACATATCTGTCCTCATAGGTCGACGATTTCTAACCAAGCAAAACAGCGTTAGGATGACGGAAGCAGCAGCGGTGTGATCCATCATCTCTGTCTTCGAATCCATGCCAGCATGCGTTCCAATACAGGATCCTCATCAAGCCAGTATCCCTTTCGACGATCAGCGTTGCGAAGGTCATTGACAACATGTACATCGGTGATCTGCTCGAGTTCCTATATTTTCCGCCGAGTTAGCATTCATTTTTGGGCCTTTTTGACTCCCTTTGACTTCTATCCATCTGTCCTTCCGCATATAGCTCATCACTGCCATGCCTGGTATAACAAATGCCAATTACCAACATGGCTGGTGGGGAACTAAGGATCACGATCAAGTTTTTCCCTCGGACGTACCTGTCGAAGTCTCTGGTCAATTGCTCGAAGCCCGTTGGCGTGTCCAGGTCCTGGCTTTTCTCCTCTCAATAATTGTGTGCGCGTCTGTATCCATCTCATCGCGGCTGATGCTCGGAGGTAAATTTTGTGCGCTTGAAATCGTCTTGTAGATGCGTCAAGAATAATCCTGAGAAGATTGTTAACATATTCAATAAATCTCGGCTGACTTCGATGGTGTGTATCCCACCTCTGCAGTGTCGCTTTTTGGACTTCTGTCTCGGGGACGTGTCCAGCCTGAAGCCCGATATTGCTTGGGCTGTAGTTGGTGGCTAGAATCGCTTGTGATTCCGCGGCACATTGTCTCAACACCACATAACCATCGAGATAGTGTGATTGTTGGTCCGGAGGGTTCGCTGCGGTCCGTGTCATGAGCGACGAGATATGAATCTGCAACGTCCGGAAATCGTTCATAATCTCGAGGATGCGCATGGCACGGGCCTCATTCCCTGAAACCAACATAGTCAGCAAAACCGTCCTCGTTCATTTTTTTCTCACACCGTGGAGTTGAGTAGTTACGGTTAGACGTACGTCCGTCAGCCATTGCGAAAGAGAGTTGAGGCAAGATTGTAAGGGGCTTGTAGATGAAAAGCAGTGAGTCGATGGACGGCGCAAGTCCAATTCTTCTTTGTTCGCTTCGAAAGCCAGTTAGGATTCAACGAGGGACAATGGGGTTTCTGACCGTTAGCCCAGTCTTAAGTTCAACTTATTAATTGTGATTCTGTGAATCCTGAAGATCGGAGAGGGGCATTCGACGGGGTGATGGTGACATTCTTAAAGACAAACGCAGTCCAGCTGTGTTGCCGAGGATATGGATTAGATGAATAGAGCGCAGAAGAGACAATGACCCCCAGCACCGAGGAAATTGAGTAGTCAACCTCGTGGCTTTTCTGCCAACGGACCAGTCAGGATGATGGAAAGGTTCGTGAAGAGATGGGATCGGCCCGTGGCGGCAGGGAATAAAAGGAACACCCCGTCCAGCTCTCTAAAAAAGTGATGGATGAAGACATGAGCGACAATGAAGCGGGAGTCAATTTTCCAGCACTGAACCATGGAGAGATCACAGAGGCAGAAAAGGACACAGGCTAGCACTGGAAAACAGACACGGCTGTGAACGGACAGCAGAGGGCTTGGAGAAGCCCAGCATGACTATTGGGCAATGCCGCAGATGTCGGCATACTGCAGCCCTGGCAATGGTAGTGGATCAGTCGAGGCTCTGCCATCGCGATCAGCAGGCGGTTTGCAAGCCACCGTACGGGAGTCTGTGCTCTCCCGAGATGTTGTCAGGATGGAAGTCTGAGACGAGGAGTTGGAGTAGGACTATGGCCATGGGCTGGAGAAGTTACGACATCCATGAGGCGCCAACCATGTGTGAGACAGGTCAGCCGGTGGAGGTACATACGGTAAACGTTGGAGACAAACAACCTGGGGATGGTTAGTAGTGCTAGCCTTGGTTAGAGTTGATTGGGCTTATATCTTAAAACCCACCACAGCCAATCAGTGTATGCCTCGCCTTTCGGGTAGAGCCGGATCAGGAATAGCGCCGTCTTTAGAATGGCTCTGGGTAAAAACTAACGACCAACTTAGATTGGCGGGAGTCTCCTCAGGCCAACGGTTAAGCACCAAACCATAACCGCATTGGGACAGCTGAAGGGTGTCCGCGGCAGGAACAAGCGCATCGCGTGGCAATGGTGGACACTGCAGCTGAATGTCCGGCCCGTAATCACGAAGCTCTACTGGTTCCCGGCCTATTTTCATTCACCTCGCTTCTGCATTGACTCAAGCATGGCGCCAGCAAGATCTGGCGCGTCAAAGGGAGTTAAAAAAAAAAAAAGGCCTGCATCACTTGTGGCTTGATTTTCTTCTGCTCGTTCTGCCCTGCGTCAACTCACAGCTCATGAATTAATTGGTTTGGCATTTGTACCTGTCTGTCCAGCCTCAAACAGCCACACAGACCGCCACCGCTCCCCTCTGTGCCAGCATCAATATTGTGTCACCTGAGGCTAAAGGAAACACGGGACCAGGAGATGAGGCTGTAAACAGGGTCCCCTTCAACCGCCAATCACCCTAGTTTGCCTTTGAGATCTGACTGTGTTGGATCGATTCCGATATCCATGGACCTAGCAAAATCTTGTTCCATCCCGAATCAGCTCGAAAAAAGTGCTGAACGTGACTCAACACACTCCGTACACCTGCTCTCCATATATGACCAAGCTGAGCCATATTCAGATCCCTGTCCAGCGTGGTTGCCGAGATGTCCCCACTTCCCCGATCCATGGAGACACGACGAGTTTTGACTTTGCTTTGACGGCGACGAGCTGTAATCAATCCCGCTCTGCAATGGCCTGGAGTCGTTCCTCGATTTCATCCTCGGTGAGTGTTCTGAACTCCCGGTCGGTTCCTTCATTCCCGTCAGCCTTCGGTCCGCCCACGATTCCAATCTCTAATTCGCTCTTCTTGAAGTCAACGCTTAATACCGTGCTGAGGGTGCTGATCCCCAGTTCGACCACTTCTTCCCAGCTTCCGGGAGCACAGTCTTTGTTCTTCAGCTTCTTCTCCAAATGATTAAGTGCCTCTTGTTGTTTGGGCCCTGACGCCGTTGCCTTGTAACCCACGTAATATCCAGCCGGGTCACATTTGTAGAGTTGGGGGCCGAATTCATCATCGACGGAAATCAGTGTTGTTGCTACACCCAATGGTCTCATGTATGCCTACATGCCATTATGAGTCTTATCCAAGAAAAAGGGAGAAGGGGGGTTATGTCCACATAGGGGTTGCCTACCCGTTGTGTGTACACTTGACTGATGTTTGCCAATCGCTTTGCCAGAACATCACAAGGCATTTCATATCCATTTCGGTATCTGAATTCTGCCGCTTCTCCTCTCGCTCGGTCCACTGAGGCTCGAGCGTCCGCTATGGAGCCGGTCATGACGCAGCCTACGGAGGGTGAAATCTTGAAAACATAGGATACCGAGGAGGGATCGATCAATTTGTCCTAGAGTGAAATGGTCAGAGGTTGGGAAGAGACCATGGATATCGGGGGGGGGGGTTCCATACCGGCACCTTCTTTTGGGATAGCACCACAGCGCATGTCTTCCCTCGAACTCCCACTGATGTAATATTGGCTGCCGTGATTGCCTTGAATGCATATTCTGGATGCCAATGTAAGCATGAGTGATATTGATCTGGTTTTGGGGCGACCGCGTTGGGGGAATATGGAGATGCGTCGAGCATCCAGTATCGGCACCAAAAACCAAGGCCAGATTTCCAACCACCGTTGTGTCAAGAATCGGGGGACGTACCAACTTGATATAACCGGCCCTGATCTGAGAAGATAGTGATGTGTCGATCATAACCTGCGCTGCCTGAAGGATGTGAACAGGTCAGCTCGGTGATTCCGATACAGCTAGAATGGGCCAAAGTACGAACCAGACATCTTGGACCTCCTTCAATCGAGGAATCTTGAACCGATTGTACCACCTTATACAGTTGGAGGGGATCCCTCGATGAACGAAACTTGATTCGGAGGAGTGAGAATATGTCCGAACACGGTTTGAACAGAGCGGACGGAAATTGTTCGTATATTATTTGGGACGGTGGTAAACGCGCAGCTTCGCGATGCCTGCGCCAAGGACAAGCGGGAGCACCTCGAAGCGCAGGACTTGGCTCCCCAGCACAGACAAATTAGAGTTTTGCAGAAATGAGTAATTTATTGGGCGGGCATTGGCTTGGGTGAAACTTCAGTTGTGGTCGTCTAATACAGATGTCCAGTTGAATCATCTTTCAAGGTGCCCGTCGGCCAAACCATTTGACCTGGGGATTCACCATGCGTCAAGCTCGACTTCCAGCCTGGAAGAGACTGGGATTGAAGTTAAAATATGCAAATGAAAACCCACAACCCAATAGAGACTCCTCCAAGAACGGAGCTGTTTCTGCGCATCACCAGCAAGACTTTCATAATGAGATTGAGAGTCAACCAGCAATGGTGAAACCGCCCCGAAAGAAACGGAAAACGGAGCCAACTCCTGAAACTATTCCTCCAACTCAGTCAAAGCATTCCGCCTCATCCCTCAACAATGGGTCCTCAACGGAAGAGGCTTGGGAGAAGAAACTAAAGAAACGAGTATCGTTCTCTGCCGACACCAAGCCGATTGCCGAATCTCCCATCACATCGTCCTCGAAAAATGAAGCCAAGAATGAAGAATCCCCAGGGACGCTGAAGAAACCCAAAAAGAAAGCTGGACGAAAGAGCCCACAGCCTTTGGTTCAGAAATCACACCGTGCCTTAGATTATCTCAACCAATATCGCACTTCGCGTTCATCTTGGAAATTCAACAAGAACCGAGAAACGTGGATTTTGAAACATGTCTTTTCAGAGACCGATATCCCTCGAGAATATAACATGGCCTTGGCGAATTATATCCACGGATTACAAGGTTATGCCGCGAGGGAAAGATTGAAGACCCAATGTGTTGATATGTTGAGGAAGGACGAAACAAATGGTATAGGGGAAGACCGGAATGAAGATTCGGACGAAGCATTTCTTGGGCGATTCTTAGCTACTCTGGAGAATTCTAATGAGCGCAAAGATTCTGAAATGGATGAAGACCATCAATCATGGGCCCAAAAAATGTCACGCCCGCGGATGTTGCTCTGGAGTCTGGGATTGAATCCTCGAGCATTCATGTCGAGTGATGAGGATGATGAGGGTGTAGAGTCTTCCAAATCGACAAAGACGACCGAAAGCGAGAACACAAGTGGGATCAATGGTGTGAAACCAAGAGAGAAGAAGCGAAAGAATAGGACTGCGGTCATCGAATATGAAAGCTCCAATTCCAGCTCTAGCGAGAGTGATAGTGAAAGCGACAGCGACAGCAACAGTGACAGCGACAGCGATAACGGCTGCAGCTATTATACCGGAAGTGAAGCCGCAGTTGCATTCAGGAACCGGTCACGAGAGGACACATCGGGCAGCGGTAGCTTATGAGAGCAGCACCGACAGCGAGTCTAACAGTGAGAGTGAAGCAAAGAAGAGGTCTCTTGACGAATGAACCCGTCAGGATTTCTTTTCCTGAGATGCCTGCTCGATACCCACCAACTGCTTTGTTCGTCTTTGATAAAATCTTTGCCTCCGTAGTGTTAGGTTATCGTCCTCTGTGGGAGGGTACGCGGCATCCACAGCAACAACGGCTTGGCAGGTGCCTAGAGTCTGTTGCGACGGCGGCTCTTCCGTCATCGTCCTGTGCTCACGGGATCACACTCCTACTGGGCAGATCACCTATCCTCCGGCCCCGAAACAAGTCCCAAACCCATCCATCCAAACTCGTCATCCCGTTTATCAACCACCCTCTACTTTCTCTCTCTTCGTTCATCCTATCATTAACAAAACAATCATCGGCTGCATCTAGTTGCAGCCTGCTTTCACCTTCCTCTGTTCTTCTGATTAGCGTTCGGTGGTTGCGAGCATGAAGAATAGCCTCGTCGTCGCAGCCGCTGCGCTGCTCGGTGCCGCCAATGCTGGGGTCCATCGTATGAAGCTCCAGAAGGTGCCTTTGGAGGAGCAATTGGTAAGCTCAGCCTTCGAATCTCGCCTAATATGGCTTCATCTAACTTCATTTTCAGAGTGCTGCCAACATCGGCGACCACGTGCGAGCCCTCCGCCACAAATACACACAGAAGACTATGGGGGGTCCAACGGAGGACATCTTCAGACATACATCTATCGACGCTGATAGTCCTCATGATGTTCCGGTCGAGAACTTTCTGAATGCTCAATGTAAGAAAGAGTTGCCGTGGGTACAACGTCCATGAGAGCTCACCAGAAACCCCCAGATTTCAGCACCATTGCTCTCGGAACACCACCCCAGGAATTCAAGGTTGTCCTGGACACCGGTAGCTCCAATCTCTGGATTCCTAGTGCCTCCTGTGGTTCGATCGCCTGCTACCTTCACCAGAAATACGATTCCTCTTCATCTTCCACCTACAAGAAGAATGGATCGGAGTTTGGTATTCGATATGGTTCTGGTGAAGTGGCCGGTTTCATCTCCCAGGACATTCTGCGCATTGGCGATCTCAAGGTTCAGGACCAACTCTTCGGCGAGGCGACTAGCGAGCCCGGCCTTGCTTTTGCCTTTGGCCGTTTCGACGGTATTCTGGGTCTGGGCTATGACACCATTTCAGTCAACCACATCCCCCCCCCTTTCTACAACATGGTCGACCAAAAGCTCCTTGATGAGCCTGTCTTCGCCTTCTACCTTGGTAACACGGACGATGGCACCGAGTCAGAAGCCACCTTTGGTGGTATTGACAGCAGCCACTACACCGGCAAGATGATCAGGATCCCACTACGCCGCAAGGCGTATTGGGAAGTCAACCTGGACTCCATTACATTTGGCGAGGACACGGCCGACCTCGACAACACTGGTGTCATCCTCGACACCGGCACTTCACTGATTGCCCTACCATCCACCCTTGCTGAGTTACTCAACAAGGAAATTGGCGCCAAAAAGGGATTCAACGGTCAATACACTGTTGAATGTGAAAAGCGGGACTCTCTTCCCGATGTCAGCTTCACCCTCAGTGGATATAACTTTTCCATTACGGCCCACGACTACATTCTCGAAGTCCAAGGTTCGTGTATCAGCAGCTTCATGGGCATGGATTTCCCGGCCCCGACTGGTCCTCTTGCCATCCTTGGTGACAGGTGAGTTCTCTTTCCCCTTCTTTTCGCCTTTGCTGGGCTCTAACATGATGCAGCTTCTTGAGGAAATGGTACAGCGTGTATGATCTCGGCAACGATGCAGTTGCCTTGGCCCAAGCCAAGTAAGCCAATTGAGGCTAGTCAGTTGGGAGTTTGACCGTGCTACGATAGGGGAGTGTGTCCGATGTGAAAAGGTCCTGAGTCTGAACTTGGAAATCCGTCGTCGTCGCCGGCGGAACCTGTTTTGTTAGGGTGGGGGAGGAGGGAGAGTCATGGCTATTGAGAACTATTACTGTGTTATCAAGTTCATTTCGTCCAATAGCAGATTTCATCGGCCACGCTCTTTGGGTGGGCCACCTTTCTCTACTGTCTATGAAAAATCAATGGAGATTGACAATGAATTCCCAATTTATATTTTCATCCCCTTCCACAGCTTCATGGCCACAGCTTGAAATAATGAGACAGTGGCGTGGTTTGATAGTGAAGTCTCGTGACTGTGGTGCCTCGCACTGAACGGCCGAACAGCAGGTGACTAGGCTAGACTTGGTGTAGTTCTTTGTCCTCTGCGGCCGGAAGGGGGGTTTCATTGGCTGTCCTTTGGTCCAGTCCCCTAGCGCCGAACGGCCCTTTAAACATAAGAAGAGAGCTTCGGCAGCTCTTTGGTGCCCTCGGTGCACTCGTGATGGTGGCTTTTGGTCTCAACCAGCTCCCAGCTCCAGCTCCAAAACTACCTCTAGTAAACCAGCTCCCTCTCGGTTCCTGCCGATGCTGAGCCGCTGCCACAGGTACACGGGGCGTGGTCAGGTTCAAGTTCCGAAGCACCTCCAAATTCCTCCAAGATCGATCTGAACCTCCAAGTTCCGTCGAGCCAATAATTTAACTGCGGCGTGGTTCGTCCGTGCCCGCCTGCGCCCGCCTTCCACACTTTCGATCCGTATTCACTCATCAATCTGCACCATCAATTCACTGAAATTCCCTGTCTGTTGTGAGTGGCAGCTGTTGCGAAACCGTGTCTCTTCGTCGCCTCTTGACCTTTCAATTTCGTTCTCTCTCGGTCACGACCTTCTCCTCACCAAATCAAACAATTCCCTCGCTTCGCGATACTCCGATCGACCGCTGCAGCGTCCAAGTACCACCATCAAACGATCGGCAGTGGCATCTCAACATCTAACTGTACACCGACCTACATGCTCCGGTCAATGTCCCTACCAACCCAATCGAGTCCGGAATGTTACTACGATTACCTAAGAGCCTTCATTACCCTCTCACAATCACGAAGGTCGAGAAACGGGTTGGCGAATACGTCACCCGGAACGATGACTTGTTCCTCTATTCCTACACCACCAGAGTGAAGCAGGGTAGTCGTTACGACGACGAAGAGCAAGAGGTGGACAAGAAGTTTGTGACCCACTTTCCGAGCACACTCGAAGGTACAATCAAGGGGTGGAGGGTGTGGGAGGGAGATGTCTTAACTCACCCGTAAGTGTGTCGCCAACACCTGTCGCAAACCGAAATCTGACGGGGCCAGGGTCGACATATGTGAAATCGAAGAGGAATGTCCGCATACCGTCCAATTCCTGGGTATGTGTACCAACTGTGGCAAGGATATGACCAGGTAAGTCGGATGGAATATCCAAGCTGAGGAATAACCTCCTGACCGTCAACCCAGTGTCCAGGCTGGGAGCGAAACCACCGATGCCGATCGCGCACCCATCCGCATGACCCACGACACTCCACATTTGACCATCAGCCGGGAAGAAGCGAGCAAGATAGATGAAGAAGCCAAGCGACGCCTCCTATCAACGCGAAAGCTCTCCCTGGTGGTGGATTTGGATCAAACGATCATCCATGCTGCTGTCGATCCCACCATAGCCGAATGGCAGAAGGACAAGGACAATCCGAATTACGAAGCTGTTAAAGATGTCCGCGCGTTTCAGCTCATCGATGACGGGCCGGGCATGCGAGGTTGTTGGTACTACATCAAATTAAGGCCGGGGTTGGCCGTGTTCCTCGAAAATATCTCCCAACTGTACGAACTCCACATCTACACCATGGGGACGCGACAATATGCCCAGCACATCGCAGACATCGTCGATCCTGAACGGAAATATTTTGGCGACCGAATTCTAAGCCGAGATGAGAGCGGAAGCATGGTGGCCAAGAATCTCGAAAGACTCTTCCCGGTCGATACGAAGATGGTGGTCATCATCGACGACAGAGGCGATGTCTGGAAGTGGAGTGCCAATCTCATTCGGGTCACTCCTTTTGACTTTTTTGTCGGGATTGGCGACATCAATTCAAGCTTTCTGCCCAAGAAGCAAGAGATGCAGAGTACACCAAAGTCCGAGATCAAGAAGGCGGGGGGACATGGTGCCGAAAACAGTGCAAATGGCGAGGTGGAATCCAATGGGGTTGCCGAAGATGGAACATCTACCATTCAAAATGGGACTTCCGCCCTGGAACAGCTCATGGCCATGAGCGGTGGAGATGACCCGGCTGTACGAGAATTGCAGACCAAGGGTCAAGAGGAGATCATCACGTCGCAGCTGGAAGACAAGCCTTTACTCAAGATGCAGCTGGAACAGGACGAAAAGGACGAGGCAGAAGCCGCGGCCAATGGTGACTTGGCCGCCTCTCAATCTACCGAATCCGACTCGAGTGATTCTTCTGATTCTTCAGAAATGACGGCCTCTCCAAAAGCTAAAGCTCGCCACAGTATCTTGAAGAACGACGACGAGGAATTGATTCATCTGGAATCGAGTCTAACAGCCGTGCACACGGCATTTTTTACCGAGTATGATCGGAAGCGATTATCAGGAAAGGGTGGTCGCGTTGCCGAACTTACTGGAAAGCGAAAGGCCCCTCTGCCACACAGCGACGACGACGACGGAACGCCTGTGGACTTAATTTTCGTCCCCGATGTCAAGAAAGTCATGCCAGCCATGAAGATGAGAGTCCTCTCCGGCGTCACGATTGTATTTAGTGGGGTGTTGCCCCTTGGGACCGACATCCAGAATGCGGATATCAGTACATGGGCGAAGACATTTGGGGCCACCATTACAGAAAAAGTTTCTCGAGACGTCACGCATGTAATTGCGGCTCGGCCGGGAACTGCTAAAGTAAAGCAAGCAGTAAAACGAGGAATATTGGTCGTTGGGACCCCATGGTTGATTGAGTCCATGCAACGTTGGCGCAGATTGGATGAAAGACCCTACCTGCTAGAAGGCGTTGGTAAGCAGAAGCACGACGCATCGAGCGACATCGGTGGCGACACACTGGACAAGCCCAATGTCACCACCAACGATTTTCTTCTCAGTTCTTCGGAAGAAGAATCGACCGGATTGGATACAGAAGACGACCAACCAGCACGAAAGAAGTTGAAGTTGGATATCAACCCTGACAAGGCTCCTGAAACTGACGAATTCGAGGACTTGATTGTTGATGATGGCAGCCCCATAACAATCAATGAAGATGAATGGGCAGACATCAACGCCGAACTGAAAGAGTTTATGGGCAGCGACGCCGAGAGTGAGAGTGATACCGACTCGGTCAATTCGGTTTTGAGTCTTCGGGGGCGTCGTGGGAGCAAGAGAAGAAGAGATGGGGATGAGGATGAAGATGGTGAAATCTCGGCGACAGCCCAGACGTCTCGGAGAAATGGCCCCGGTAGTGGTCTCAAAACCGTGGCCAACATTGAAAGCGAGCGGGGGTCACGAGCAACAAACACTCCAGATGTGGAGCAGACAGATGATCAGATACGACAGGAACAACGAGAGGTTGAGGAAGCACAAGAACGTGAAGAATCATCAGAAGAAGACTCAGATGATGAATTGGCACGAGAACTGCAGCGGGAGCTTGAAGAGGCTGACGCTGACGAGGAAAATCCTGAGGAATCTGCATCATGATCTTATTAAATGCTCCGAGAAGATTGGTTTTGTGGCGAATATTCATAGCGAGGCGTCTGGAAGCGACCATGAGTTTATTTCTTTAATGCATCGTTGCGGTATTCATTGGAGCATTCAGGATGGCATAGTGCAGCACATCACGACAAGAGAAAGAGCACAGCGGGCACATCATGAGAGTCTTACGAGGGAATGATCGAACAATAAAGGGATCACCGTCTCAGCGTTGATTTGGTGTAGTGAGTAAATTATGATGTACGAGGCTAGTCGAAACAATATGGAAGCCTTCTCGGTTAAAGGTTAATCCGGATGCCTCACTACTTAACCGCACCTTGATGTTAGTTGTTTATCCTGACGACAAATCTTCCCTTCTCTCTTCCGGACAATCAATACATATACATAGCACTCCTTCGAACCCTTGAAACACCCGGACTTCGATGATCAGGATCAAACGTCGCCATTCGAGCAAATGTCCGTGATGAGAATAAAATACGAGGGATTCGACCTGTGGCGCATTTGGGGGCTGACACAAAACCCCGTCCGCCAGCATTCATCCACCATCCACAACATCTCACCGGCCAATATCCGGACCGGGACTACGGTAAGGGCAGTTTAGGGCATGTTCTATCCGTTGATACTTTTCCCACACGTTTATGGAGCTTCCACTCCTGTCCATCGTTCAACTGGCCTACCTTTCCCGCTATTGATATGTCCTTCCCAAGCTCCAAATTTCCTTTCTTTGCGAACCCTACTCGAAATGAGTTGACGGACCATTCCTACATGAAAAACCCAATTTGGTACCTTGATCCTCTGCTGGTTTGGGGTTAATTCGCTCGTTATTTATAACAGTGACTTGACTCCTGTTTACCAAGAAACTGAAGACTTCTTCAATTGTCCTCTTGTTGGTATTCCCTTTTGGAACTGCCACATTTCTCCAGGCACGATCCAAAGATTTCTGGCTGTGGACGAGCCATCTATATCGACCTCTGTCAAGTAGAATGTTTGAGCCAACGGAACAACACACTTTGGAAGGTTCAGCAAACCTTTCCGATGACCCAATCTACACAAATTCGAGGCCTTGGAGCGCATCAACCAGAAGGCTTTTTCGGAAGAATCTACTTGAAGTCGTGGATGAGAACGAGAATTATTCCAGAGATGTCACCAATCTGGAGAGACCAAAAACAGGAGCAAGCTCTATAACTCTCGTCGCCTTGAAGAACACCCTGATTCTTCTTGCTTTCTCCTTTCCAATCGTTGCATTTGCTCTCGTCCTCAGAATTCCACAATGGTACAGTTTTCATGCCGATTACCGGGTGAAAACATTCACGCACTGCAATTTCAATGGCAAATTTACTCCCGACGCCACACCCTCGATCAGCATGTGGGACAAGTCCGGCTTTTTCTACATCACTGTTGCTTGGGGAAAGATGGCATTTTCGACCGCCAAATTTATAGACATCGTCTGGGACATTGCTATGGGACGCGCCGGTCAAGCTTTCCTGGCCTGGGTCACGTATAGAGTTTCGTCTCAGTATTTGGCCATGGCTATGTACGAAGCGTCAGTGTCTTATACTACCTTTGAATCTTTGGCTTTTGTCCCCCCAACTTTGACAAGGACAGGACGACTGGCGGGAGAACTATTGACAAATCGTGGCTGGAGACCAAGATTGATCATGGTCTGGATCATCTTGTCCTCGCTATTTGTTCTCAGCTTTTCTTCTCTGGTCACCGCCATGTCCGGTTACAGCAGCAACATGTGGGCGGTCATGAACAATTATGAAGGTGAAGCTGTCGATTGGTCAGATTATGAGGTTGTTCAATTTGCCATCAACGACGCCTGGCGCATCGAGGAGCCTGGCCCGGTCAGCATCACGATGGGTAACACGTGCCTTCAGCAAGGGTTCACATCCGATGACGACGATGATGATTCAAACAGTTACTACCGCCGAGATGACAGTGATGAAGATGAAGATGACCACGACGATGAGGACGACGATCCTTTCGAATACGTCCCTTTCAATTGTACCCTGTTCTGGCGAACCGTTCAATGTGAGCTAACGTCCTCATGTGAACACTCGAGTCTAACACCTTTACAGACGTCAATTTATATGGACTTAATAGTGCTCGTAAAATACCCAGCACATTCACTCTGAATGGGAAAACACACAACCTGACTTCGCCAACGCTAAACATCACAACCTCATACACAGCCGCCTCTCTCAAAACCCTTTCCACCTATCTCGAAAACTTCTCCATCGAGCTATCATCTTCTCTGAACTCCGTCAACGACCTCAGCGACTCAACTTTCTGGATCTACGACAACGAAACTTATTCCTGGGACTACGTCCTTGACCATGCCACCTGCCGCTACAGCAAATGGCACAATTGGGGCTTCTCATTTCTTCTCCTGTTCATCACCACTTTACTCCTCGCTGTCTGGACCGTAGGCACCTACGCCTTGTGGCTGTACGTTTATCTCCATGGTCCAAGAAGCGACAGTAGCCAACATGCATCGGGTATGGGGTCAGGGACAATTGGTATCTACCGCTCAAGCTGGGACTTGGTCGAGGCGATGCGAAGAGATCTAGGCCCCCACGCCATCACGTCCGACATGGGCGAAAGGGACATCCGCAACCTCGTGAGACGTCGTCGCGTTGGCGGCCTTCAGGACATCAGATACGGTCCTGGAACAACCCAGAGCCACACGACATTCGAAACTGAAAAACACTCTCATCATCTACCAACAACTACTCCTTCATGCTCACAAAGCCCAATCCAACTGCACCCGACGCGCTGGGAAGAATTCCGCTCCTGGCTATCCCCTTCTTCATTCCACCACACCAGCTCGACTTTCTCCTCAACTTCGCAGCATCCAATCCTCATGCCGCCCGGTACACCAGGAACGATGACTTCGCGAATGTCCTCCACGGCTCCTAGTCCTAGTTTGGCATCTCCAAGCTCGACGATTTTCGGCTTCGCGAACCAACCACTCGCCACGTCGCCCACGGACATGATCTCTGATACTGGCACTGGTATGGTTTTGCCGAATCCAGTCAATGTTGGCAGCCGCAGAAAATCCTCACGACGTCCCAAATTCGGTAGACTCAGACGCATGTCTCTTTCCGGCCACGGTCAACAGCGCGCAAACAAAACTGCTTCTGCTTCTGCTTCCGCTGCACAATTTCCATCAATGCCCTCAATAGCCGCGTCGTGGTGGCTTCCCTCCGCCGTGGCTACGTCTTCGTCCTCGTCATCATCGAGTACAGCGGCACGATCGATCGCAGACGCAGACTCACCAATCCGCGCCGACAGCTGGCCGGAGCGTCGTGGTCCGTCGAAACCCACGACGGAGAATGCTGTTGTATTTAGGAATGATTTGGGCGACGACCAAGCATGAGATCATGGAGATTATTTGGTCATTACTATTTCCTTTTCTCGTTCTATCTCATACGGTGTCTTCGTCTGGCAAGTAGATTAGCTGGCTGGCTAGGGGATAACGATCCCTCGACCGTATAGAATTCAGTTAATAGTCTGAGTTTCGTTCATCTCTGGCACGACTACGATGATGAAAGGGAAATAATTGGGAGTGTTATGGAAAATAGAAAGCAAACGAATTCCTCTTCCCCTCCCGTCAAAAAAAAAAGGAAGTGATTATATTGCTTTCTGAATCTGTGTTGCGACATTGGAGGGGAAATATGAGAATGTGGCACTGCAATAAGGAGTACTGGCTAGTCAATGGTCGATCAGGGATATACTGAGTTGTCCCCATTCCACGTCCATTATGGTTCATATTGGAAGAGGGGCAACTCGGTTTGGTGTCTAATGGCGCGCTCAAACTCCCTAACGTCCTCCTATTCTCTGGCAGACATGCAGTGAACAAAGAAATCTTCGCCACAAGATAATTGGCGTCGTGACAAGTAGGACTCGGGAGACCCAGGGTAGAATCGTTGAGGCCAAAAAGGTCAAGATGTGAATGGGACGCAGAAGGCGTTAATGTCACAGAACACATCTTTTCCAGCAGCTTGACCAGCGTATTCGCGTGGATGGCATTCCCCGTATTATCCGACAATGCCTACAACGAATTGGATTGCAAGCAAACCATTTTGTGGAGGGTACTATCTCAACGGCTATTGAGCTGGAGGACTTGGACAGCCTTCCATAAAAAACGGGCTGAGAGTGACACTGCGCAGCCACACCATACTGCAACAGAGGAATTTGAACATTTGGCCCCGGGACGAAATCAACTCAGGGAAAAGTTCCTTCGCTTATTTCGGCTTAAATTCGCTCGAGGCTAGTATCGTCTTGATCGATGTGACATCTGTCATGTTGCAGATTGGTACACAAAAGTGCAAATGGCCTGATTTGATGAAGGAGACACGCCCTCTGATAGTCCTTCTCTGCTGTACAATCCATCTCGAGGCTATGTCAGCCCATTAGCTAACTGCATCGTCAACTCGTCTTCTCATGAACATATACAGATAGCCATATATTAGGTCTTCGTCGTTGAGCTGTTCAAGTCTTTTTCGATGGACATGTTGCCCTCGGAGGACATGGTCGGTTCCCGAGTTTTCCTTTCCATTTCTCGCTTCTCTCGAGCCCGTCTCGCTTGTTGTCTTCGAACGTTGACAGGTTGATAGACCTCATTGAAATTCATGACAACTCCCAAAAATCTCAAATCCACGTCAGGCTGGTGCGAAAGGTCGTACAACAACATGCTCAGACGAGATCTAAATTCTGCAGATAGATTCAACTGCCTTAACCTTATCGAATTCAGATGCGTTTCATCGTCACCAACACTCAGATTTGCGACTGGCGGGGTAAGCGGTGAGTCACTACCTTCGGACACAAGCTGTGCTCTTTTGGCGGGTCTCCCGGCTGCTAAGGATGTCGGTGTGCTGGCCCTCGTATCGCCCAGGATATCTTTCTCCGTAATACCCCATCTCCCTTGTGCAGTTCGCTGCTCTATTTTTAGATTGAATTGTTGTCGTCTAGTGTACTCCGCAACACTGTAAGAGTAAAGGCCGTCGACAACTTCGCGGTAAGCGAGCATGCATTTCAAGATGTGATGTACTTGCACCACAAGGCTGTCTTCTTGTTGACCAGTGACGGGATGCCGTTGCTGACCGATCAGGCCTTTCTTTGTGATGTTTTTGAGATAGGTGGTGTGAGCTTCGATCAAGTCATCGAGAGTGGCTTCTGGCTTATGAATAGCATCTTGTAGGATTTCCCAGCTGGCTTCAATGACCTCAAACAAGAGATAGTATTGCAGTTGATTGATGAAATGAACCATTTCTGCGACCACACACCTCGACCGTTTCCAGTCATTTCCTAACTTGTCACTTACTGCAGCAAGAACTCCTCTCCCGCCGGTCATACAGCGTTTGCAAGTCGAATTGAGAGAGAACTCTACTCTCTTGATACGCCAGAGCAGATTGAAGATTTTGAGGTATTGTGTGCTTGCCCACTGAGTAATGACAACGTCGCAAGGGGGGCTGATCTTATACTCCAACGTAAAACAATCCCAACCAATCTCACCGCTCGAAAGCTCCAGCATACGCGCATCCAGTCGTCGCAAGACTTCAGCGTCATCATACTGTGCATTCGAATGTCTGATCGCATGTTCAAGCTGTGACGTAAGATTGTGTCGATACATTGAATTCACTGGACGATCAAGATGTTGAGCCAGGGACTCGATCAGGAGGTCGAAGAAATCTCCCTGAGCCAACAGCATGTACTTCTTGATTGCCGTCAAATGGGTAAACAGCCCAAATTTGGTGGACATCAGATGGGTCAATCGTGACATGGTTGTTCGGTACGCCACATCGATGGACAAGGAGAGATTGGCCGTATTGGCGTAATCCAAGGACTTTGAATTCGACTTTGAGTATTGAATGACCCAGTCGGAATCGCCACAGTTGTGACGGATGAAATTGAGGGATTTGCCGATGAGAAAAACTTTCTTAGCAAACTCGGAAGAGATGATTGAGGGGACCATAGCTGAATCGAGCTTGTACTTTTCTTCCCAAATGGACGTGGCTACGTGTCGATGGTCTACCGGCTGCTCAGGGTTTGTGTCCGGTTCTGTAATGAAGAACTCATGATAAGGATCGATCAACTCGCCATCATAGATCCAATGCTTCAACATTTCGTAGAATGGGCGAGCAACATGGGTTAGAAGCCTTTCTGCAAATGATGCAACAAAAGGATCACCATGTGAGGAGGACAAATTGTGGATAATGGAAATCAATTGACCCCCTCGCTTTTGCATGGAGTGTTCCACAATCAGCTTCATCAGTCGCAGGCCCATTGTGGCATCTCTGGTCCATATCAAGCAACGCTTGAGGGTCACGTCAGCCAACCGAACAGCCTTGGGATCCTGACTGTTCTCGACAGTGGCTAGGGCCTGTCGAATTTCAGTTTCCAATGATGCGACCAGAGTCAAATACGAGCGCAATTCGTTATTGATGGCAGAACGAAGACTCTGGTTAATGAGACCGCCATCTTGAGCTGCAGCATATTCGGCAAGGCCTCGATAGAGCAAGCAGGGTTCTGCGAGAGCATGGAGCAAGGAGAGGATAGGGATCGGCAAACAGGGGGGTAGTTTAAGAAATGCGGTGGCAGTAAACTCGAGGTGCGCAGAGGAAACACCCTGAAGATTGAATGGAAGATCTCTCAGCAACTCCAGCTCCGAAGGCCAAATGACCCGTGGCTCTTTTTTGGGTTGGGCAGGTTCTTCCTTTTCTGGCCCCTCGGGTTGTGCTTCATCTTCTTCTGGGGAAGACTCCACGTGATCCCTCTGCGACTGTCGCTTTTTGGACAGCAAGGCTCGGGCGGTGGGGAGGGAAGGCTTGTGCGACTCGCCATCGTCTTGATTTTCTGGGGTCAAAGGTTTCTCTGCAGAAACGGTATGCCGCCGCGGAATGTTTGCGAGTTGATCAGAGTCAGCCAATGGATTTCGAAGGCGCATATCGGGGATGGTTGGATCGGACAGTTTGTAGAGGAGGTAGAGGATTGCCCATTTTTGACTCAGGACGGGAATGGCGAGGAGCCTGGAATAGAGATTGCTAAACCTCGCCGCTTTCTCTGGGGACGCATTTTCGCGAAGTAACTTTCTCTTGATCAGGTCCTGTGCTTGGTTGGTGTCCGAGGGCAAACGGGAGTCGGCACTATGAACAATCTCTTTTGCATTTTGAATAGCTCGGTCAATGCGAAACTCGGTGTTGGTATCGTCTTGGTCGAGATTGGGAGGTGGAACAAGGCTCTCAAATAGAGAGGTTAGGGTCCCGTCGATGCGAGTTAATCGAGGGTCATCCATGGAGCATGTCTGAAAATTTCAGAGCCTCGGTGGCATGACATGTGGTCAGTGTAAGGTGTTCTGAAACCGCATGGCCGGGCAAGAGTGTGTTTGAGAGCGTTGTTCTTAAACGCAGAACTAGTAAACACAGGAAAGATATGTCGAATGTGCCGAAGTTGCGTGGGCTGGGGAATTTTCGTGTATCGGCGCGTTGCGTGTTTGGATGCCACTTGTGTTACAGTAAAAGCTGGGCCTAGCGGTATACACTAAGAGTATAGTTTACGACTGCGTCTGATACCTGCGAAGGGTCCCCATTCGCGTACCACCTCCTGTTCTTTTCGCAACATGTTCCAGGTGCCGCCGTTATCTCCTGAGGAGTTTCCACAACAAATACTACTGTGTATGGATGCCTCGATTCCGTTGCTAAACAAGCTGTCGGATCAGTACCCTCCCGTGGTCGTAGCGAGCCTCGATCCCATCGCCTCCCCCCTTACCGAGAGCTAGTGAAGCCCTTCTCCTCCATCGAAGTTTCTGAATCTTCTTGAGACAAGCTCCACGCGTTTCAGTTGCGCATCATCAACGCCTGAAACGGAAGTCGTTCGTTCGCTTACATGCTCTGCTTCAACACTCCCTCCATCGTGCGTTTTTTCTACGCCCAATCAATTGTCCGAGCCCTCCGACCAAGCATTGCCCAGGCCAAAAAGATTATGAGCATTAAGATCATTCTCGGCAGGATAAGCCTAATGTTAGATACCGACCGCCATCATTCTGTTCCAGATCTGATGCCCCTTTCGACGGCTGCTGCGACGCTTAGGCTTCGGTGGCAGCTCCCTCCGCTGTCAGGCCCGCCCTCTCACAGACTCGGGCGGAGAGAGATATGTTTGTTGATCATACTCCCGCTGTAGCGTGACAGCCGATCTGACATACCCATCCTTGAACGTTTGCTGACCCCCGGACACTTGCCTCAAAACTGAATTCCTCGCCAGAACGGTCGCCTAGTTGCGCTATTCAAAAGTTTCTCGTCCCTTATCAACCATTTAATTCCCTGTCCGACCAAGGCACGGTCCTGACTGGACCTTCAGCGAAATTTGCATGATAGCCAGGGCCGAACCTGCCATATATATCACTTTGAAGGACTTTTGGTTGATTCCTGGACCCTCATCCGCCGCGCAAAAAGGACCAGCCTACAGCCATGATTGAATACCTATTCAAATTATACACTCTTCCTGTTATATTACTCGTCGTTGTTTCTCTGCTCTATCACTATCGCCGCAAACAGCCTACTCTTCCGGCCTTGCCATGGCTCAACACTAAAGATGGAGAATTCTTTACCGGCTTACGAGCAAGATTTCGCTCTACGTTTGCCTACAAGCAAACGATCCACCACGCCTATGAACTGGTATGATTGACCGTGTATACTGAAACCAATCATGGCTGACTGGCGAAGTATTCCAAGAAAAACCGATCTTGTATCTTACCCAGTCTTAATGGCACCGAAATTCTTCTGCCGGCATCGTCGATAACATGGCTCATCAATCAGCCAGAGAATGTTTTGAGTGCCGATGAACCCCATCGTGACGTGCTTCAGACGGATTTTACCTTTGTCCATCCCTGGGTGGTTGGCAATCCTCTCCACCATGAGACAATCAGAAGCGAACTCACTCGACAATTAGGTGCTCTTACCATGGACATTATGGATGAGCTGAGGGCCGCTTTTGATGAAATTTGGGGTGCCGACGTGACACACTGGAAAGAAGTGTGTGTGTTTGAGACACTAATACATATCATTGCGCGCACCAGCAACCGTGTCTTCGTCGGATTACCCTGGTGTCGTGATCAAGCCTTCCTCGCCCATGGCATAGGTTTTGCTACGGCGGTCCCCGTTGCCTCGGTTTTGCTCAGACAGATCCCGACACCACTACGTCCTCTCGCTGCTTTTGTGATAACGAGACCCAATCGACACCACACGAAATCCTTCGCTCGCATCATTCGACCGGAGATTGAGCGTCGTCAGAGACTTCTTGACAATCAAACGGGCGATGTTGAGAAGAAAGTCGGCGAGACAGAGCCTAATGATTTTCTGCAGTGGTCGATCCACCGAGCACGGGATTGTCCAGCTCCAGCGGAAAACGACCCCGACATCATTGCGGAGAGGCTGCTGGCAGTAAATTTCGCGGCCATCCATACCTCGACTTTCAGCATCACAAATGCCATCTTCGACTTACTGGCCACAGACCCTTCCGAGAAATATCTCGATCAACTCCGTGACGAAGCGACAGCGGTTCTAGCCAATGACGATGGCGTTTGGACCAAACAAGGCCTCGCAAAGATGTACAAGGCTGATTCGACCCTACGAGAATCCTCACGGCTAGGCTCATTCCTCGGCGTCGGACTGATGCGCACCGTCGTGAGTCCCACCGGCGTCACTGCTCCCAACGGAACATTCTGCCCCTACCGAAGCAACATCTCTGTGCCGACCAATGGCGTTCATAACGACCCGGATCGGTACCCCGACGCCGCCACCTACAAACCCTTCCGCTTCTCCGATCAGCGCGAAGTCGACGGACACGATCTCACCGAGAAAGACAGCGTCAGCGATGACCCATGCAATCCCAAATCGTCCAATACCGACGACTACATCCGTAAAGCAAACCTGGGCTTCGTCAGCACGTCTTCGACATACCACCCATTCGGACACGGCCGTCACGCCTGCCCAGGCCGTTTTTTTGCGGCGAACGAGTTGAAACTGCTCCTCGCGTACATGATTCTCAACTACGAGTTTGAAATGCTTCCCGAGAGACCTGAGAGCAAGTGGATGGGCACGTCATTGATACCACCCTTGAAGGCGACTATCAAGATTCGACGAAGAGTATGAAGGTCCCGAAAGAGAAAAGAAAGAGGCACGAAAATGCAGTGGAATGGAACCTATAAACTTGTATTATCAAGCATGAAGAATACATCATTATTTTAATATGACATAAAATCGATGGGATGAGCCGGGGTGAGTTAAAAGCAGCTATTATTCTCGGTGCACGATGAGCGCCGTGTAAGGAGTCAACACTTTTGCCAGGGGTGGGAGAATTTCTTAACGCAGTGAGGCCTGGGGGCATGGGGGCTAGCCCCCCATAAAAGACATAGTGATCAACATCTACATATGGTCCATGGACTGGATCCGATGGGGTCAGCCAAAGGACTAGGCAATTTTCCGGATTATAGATTTTCCGGATTGTGAGTGGTTTGCCAACCACGTGATGCAAAAGGCTTGGCAATATCGAACGCAGTAAGGCCTGGTGGTTTGGGGCTTTTAGAATATCCTGTCCGCGGCCCCTCTGGGGTCAACTCTGGATCTGTCATCCCGACCGTTAAAATTCTATGAAGAGGACTCCCACAGCGTGAGATGAATAACCCACCCACTAACTGTTGGTACGCACCCTCGGCGCACCCTCGGGCTAGGCAGGACAAGAACAATCTCATGTCCTAGTATTGACGTTATTGGTAGATTGCGTTGGCCGGTCCCAGGTCTTCCTAGTTCCCATGCCATTTTCTTAGTCAAATGATTCCGCTAGGTCTTGAGTCATTGACCTTGGATCTTGTCGGCGTGTACTGATTGGTTGAAGTGAACTCGGTGTGTCTCATTTTTCAAGCCCAGACTGACTTTGGTCCTGAAAATTGCACTTTACGAGGCTGGGCTGTGTCCTACCTTTTCCTTGTTTGCCACGTCCCCCGTAGAGAACTGATATTCAGAAGCCGAGAGTATCGATTATTGTCCGCATGGAGCTCATGGCAAATTTACCGTGAGTGTTGGGCTAAAAGCGAAGACAAGGGTGTGTTCTGTCCTCGCGATCTGTCCAGCTTTGCCCAGACCTAGGTTGAAAAAGAAGTCAAGACAGCTGGTGTCACGAGTACACTTAGCCGACACGGTAAGTCCTGAGACTCGGATTCCTGTCTTGGGTTCTTTTTCTGACACCACTGCGACGTGTCTTCCTATTGCTTTTTCTAGTCGTTCTCTAACTCTCTTCGAGCATGCCAATTCTGTCGAACTCGCCAAGTTGGCAGAAGCCATTCTGGAGAGGGCTAATCGGATCTTGGAATTTTGCGACTTGAACAACAACCCAGGATGGGGGGAGAGGAAAGCCAGTGGCCCCTCACCCGGGAAGAAAATGGGCATTTCTGGGCGTTGCGAAGATTATGCCGGCTATCCGTAAGGAGAATCTAGGCATAAGTCTCGGATATTCGGCGGTGGCAGACGATCAGGGTGGTTGATGTTATCTTGTGGACAGGGCTGCGATCAGGCTTGCCAGTAGAGGTAAGAGACACGTGGCCTTCTTGGGCCCAAGAAAAGCCACTAGAATTGGCGTCCAAATTGGATCCTCCAGGACTGGTCAAAAAATGATAAGAGTCATTTTGATGTGACAGATGAGCAACAGGCCCAGAACCAAGAACATTGGCGGCCAGAGGGGAGGCAAGGTCCAAGACCGGCCGCGGTCATTACAACCGTCTTGTCTAAGTCAGCATGACACCTCTTTCAAGGCCTGCCCAGACTTGGCGACAATAACGAGCGTCTTGGCGTGCACTGGAAATTGACTTTGGTGGCTTGAATCATGCTTAACAACCTTGAGAGACTTAAGCCTTAGCATTTAAGAACCCTGGTCTAGCCGGCTGACACCTCTTGTGCCGTCGGGAGAAAGTGGCAGCCATCATGATTATTTCGGAAAATAACGCTGTCATCAGATAAGCGCCATCTATCTGAGCAAATCCAATAATTGCAGTTTACAAACCTCGAAAGGCAAAAGGTGGGGGACTTGAGAAGACCAGAAATTCCCGCCAGGCATTCAAAAACAGCCGCCGTCCACTCATCTGCAGCCGAGAGACACCATTTACGCCGTGCCCAGGCCACCAAGAGAAACCAAGACTGTTGGCGGCGTGGCGTTCGGTCACTAGCGCCGGTGCCAAGTGCTGTCTTTTTGACGAGCGAGTCTTGGGCGGACAAGCCGATTTGAAATGCGAAACATGATAGGGATGCTGGATGAACTGAATGAAGATTGGGGCTTGTAAGATTAAGGCAGAGGCAGAAAGTAAGGAAGACAGGTCAGTCAGCAAGGAGGCAGATAAAATGGGTGTTTGAGTTGCAAGGGAGGGTAAATAATGTCTGCCTAGGCCTTGGGAAGGGAGGTTACTCACGGGCTGCCCAGGTCAGGGTCCCCCGAACTCAACTTTCGGGCTCTGATTTTTGAGTGTGCCAAGCATTGAGGAGGAATTAGCAGATTGTCATTGACCTCCTGACAAGCACTCAGTGCGGATCTTGTACACTATTGGTCCCTAGAACGTGACCTTCCAAGAAGATCCAAGAAGCTTGTTCAATTTTCCCAAGGGCCGCCTCGCCGAAGATGCTCGACCTGATACAGCAACTTGATGAAAGAAAAAAAATACTCCGTACGTACAGCATGTCTCAGTACTCAGCAAGGGGGTAAAATATCGGTCGGTTTGTCTCTTCAGTAATACTACGCCTCATGCTCGTATCACCAAAAGCCTAATCCACTCCCTTGTTAGCCCTCGGTTATCTCCTGCCTTGTCGGTTCTCGTCTCTGGCCTTTGGCTTCTCAGTGGCGAACCGGTTACGAGTCCTTTCCAGGCAAGGTGCCAAGGCTGGGCCGAGACGCACAGGCCTCTTAGCGGACGCAGCAGCTTTCATTTTAAGCATAAGCCCAAGCTTGGTGTGGGAACTCCGGCCGGGCGAAGTCCCTCTGCTGTTGCGTTTGCCAGTCAAATTCGCTTCCCTTTCACCAGACTTTATTTCATGGCACAGGCCCACATTTGTCAAGCAATCTCCTCCCAAGAAACGTCTCTGAATTTCCTGGCATTTCTTGTCCTCCGCCAGCTTTGGACTTAGATCTACCCACCGACGCCACCTGAGGAGTAACTGTCAACCTTTTTTTGCCGCGATCTTGCGACTCCGTCTAATTCCTCGCAGCGCAGCGAGCGGAACGAGTGAACTGCCTTCACAGAAAACAGATTGTCACTGGCTTTAAGGTTAACACTGCCATCCCGGTGTAAAACTGTCCAACTGGGCGTTTTGCGCAGTTTATTTGCGCTTGGAGAGGTCTCCAGGACAGCCCAACCGGTGAAAACACCGCATATTTCAACCCAGGAATCCAAATAATACACCGGCACTGCGCGCGGCGAGCTGAGTTGTTTCTGTGAAAGCAATCAGCCCGCCGCGAGTGAAGGTCAAGAGGGTGAGTCGCATGGCACTGTATTCGCTTCTCACGCGAACACAATACTAACGACTCGCTCTAGTCATTGTGTTTGATCCTATCGTTTCATAACCACTCGCTATGGAGACGTACAACGGTCACGTTCGTACACCCACAGACGCCATCATTCTCTTCGAGGCTTGCCGCTTGGGCATCTTGCCACGTGTCCAACGAAGATTGTCCGAGAAAGAGAGGCAGTCGATCAGATCAGGCTCGGTGTTTGTATGGGATGAACGAGAAGCTGGAATGAGGAGATGGACCGATGGAAAGAGTTGGAGTGCTAGTCGAGTGTCGGGGAGTTTCTTAACGTACCGAGAGATGGAAGGAAAAAGAGGAGGAAATTCATTCGTCACCCCAGCTAATCGAAGCACGAAAACCCCCGACAGCGGGAACGACGACCCATCACAAAATGGCGAGGGCGAAGAAGGCCCGGACGGATACCGCTACAAGCCAGATGGTCTCATGAAACAATCATTCAGCATCACGACATCGCAAGGTCAGCATTTGCATCTCATCAGCTACTATTCCCGGTCGCACCCCACGGCCCAAGTATTGCGACAACCCAGTACAGATCCCAATCTGGCTTCCATCCAACCTGCCAAAGGCATGTACCCGGAGTCGACCATCAATGATCAATCTTCGGTCCCGGCGGTAACGAGATCGCCCATGGTGGGAGCGCCTGGTTATGTTGTGAGCCCTGGCGCTCCAGGATATCACAGACCGGCGCCTGCTCCTCCTCATGCCTACATCCCGCATGGTTATATCCCTCATCCCGCCTACATTTATCCCATCAGCCCAATTCACACTCCTCCGGGTCATTACGCCCTGCAACCATATGCCACTCTTCAACCTGGTGTGCATCCTCTCGCCTATCCACCACCGCCCTACGCTCCCCCTCATCCCCTTCCACTCAGCCAAGCCCCGCCGTCCACCTTTGACCAACGCCCTCTCCGAAATACACAGTCAAGATCTTCAATGCCTTCACTACCCACTACCGGCTCCGGACAGGCTCCATTGACGCCGTACAGCACCAGCCAGCCGCCTCCTCCGCCATACCAGTCCAGCCCGGTGGCACCAGCAAATGCTCCGGCTCCAGAAAATGGCAGTGAAAAGGCGGCGACAAGTTTCCAGATCGATCCGAGATTAACAGCCTCTCTGAATGCAGGCGAGGCCCAAACGAGTGGTACACCACAAAAGCCGGAGGAAAGCCAGACTGAATTTCGACCTTCCGAGGCGCCTCCTGCCAGTGCCAGCCAAGCGCCTACCATTACGGCACTGGTCCACAGTATTTCCACGAACTTACCCTCTACGGAGAAACCGCCGAATGAAACAGAGGTAGACCGACAAGGTAGTACAAGTCCCGGCGGTACGAAGAATGGAGCCCCCCCGCAAGACATTCCCAGTGAGAAATTGGGATTCCGAGAGGACAAGAGAGCATTGAGTAAGCTGGATCGTGTGTTCGCCAGGGTCTAATGGTGGCCACCGCTTGATCGGTACATCCGATCGAAGCAAAATGGGGGAGGCTGCATGATATGAGGGCATCCAAAAATGGTGTTCATACTTACCATTGAGCGTTTGCATTGCGGTTCTGGCGCATTTTAAAGGGGCTCTGTTGTGGAGCATTTCTCGGCAAAAAGGGCATGACGCCACGAGGTTAATGAATTTGATTTGTCTACTTCTGTTCTACCATCAGTGTGCGAGTCGATTTGGCCGGTTACGGATGTTGCAATCTTTACTCTAAACGGGCTACTCTTCATCGAGACAAATGTTGGATCTGGTCGGCTTATTGTAAGCATCTTTCGATATATTGTGAGTTCTCAGAGTAGCGTCAATTCGGACTATGAGCATTGAGCCCACTGATTGATTTCTGGGACCATGTCATCAGTATCACGTGCCTGGTCCCGTGCTACGAAGAAGCGTATACCCCAAGTCAGCAAGTTGGTTTTGGTGTGGAGAGACATGGATCGTCCCCGTAAGCATTCGTTGCGTCTGAATTATCAAAATGATAGGAATCGATTAGCATTAGCCAAATTATCAACTAGCAAGACCGAAGCGAAAACTATCATCTTTGATAGTGCAAGAATCCGCACACGTCATGACCTTGATCAACGGCATCACCTACAATGATACAGCCTTGAAGTTCTGGAATTACACGATTTACGGTAATGGAACTCTTTCCAACGGTTCCCAGTGCTTTCTCGCTTTCGGAAAGTATAAGCCTATTCTCATTTCACCGAACGGGACTTTCATCAACACCACGTCGTGTTACGGGCCCATAAGCCCGATCGGAGCTCGCGGCATCATCGGACTTGTCTTTGGGTCACTATTTGCCTTCTCAATTCCTTTTTCAACCATAAATCTCAGAAAGCATGGTCGCTCGTATCTGCCGCGGGGGAAGCGATGGAAGCCGGTTGGAAGACGATGGCCTTGGTATTGGACCATATTCCTCGCCGCGTGCGGCTTGTTAAGTTGCTTTACGGCCATCGATATAGACAGAGATTATGTTGTCAATACGCCCATAATTCTTCAATCCATCTTTTTAACCTTGATGGTCCCTGCCCTAATGGCCTGTGTGTGGGAGGCCGTAAGAAGCTGGTAAGTGTGCTCGCAGGCATGGATGAATCACGAGGGAAATCGGTCGGACCGTCTGACTTCACTAATAGGAGCTCATTCAGAGATCGTCTACTCCAAGACACCGAACCGTTGGCCCTCCATCCGGACCATCACCGCACCCAGGTCGATTTCTATCTTCCGTTAATATTCTATGCTTTCGATGCGCTTGTATTCTTCATGCTCATTCCACGTTCTTGGTCATTCGTCCAAGACCAGCGATCAGAGGCGCAAACACGGGAATCAGCCAAACCGGCCGCACTCGACGCCCGATTCAAAACGGCTTCGATTCTTGCGACGGTCTGCCTAGGCCTCACGGTGTTTCGCTTAGCCTACAGCGGTCGAGTATATCGGTCAGCAATACCTCAAACACTTCTGCAAATTACTCTCCTACTGGCTATCCGTGTAGCTTACGCCCTTGCTGGATCTTGGGTTTGGAGTCTTTCGCCATATCGTCTCGGCGTGAGTATGGGCACCTTCTACGGACTTGGTCATGCACCAGCACTCCTTATTCTTGTCGTGCTCAACGTGCGAGGGTATCTGAGCCAAAATGAAGACAAGGTCTTAATATCTCAGCGAGCGATGAGAGGAGATGAAGCCCATGGTGATATTCACGTGGCCTTACAAGATCGTCATGTCCGCGACCGAGACCATCGAGACAGGCCGCCTTCTTGGTGGTTTAAGGCCCGGGATTCTAACGCATCCCCGAATCAAATATTCAAAATGCCTTTATCCACACTGCAAAATAATTTAGACAACCACCCACAGTCGTCTTTTTCAAACCTCCAACAACAGGATGAGAGCGGGCATTACTGGTGGCAGCAGCGGAAACAAGGCGGAGAAGACGCAAGATATAGGAAACCGAGGCAAAATACAACCCAAACTGGGTCAGCTTTGCGTTCAACAGGACTTGACGATGATAGTGCCAACACAAAATCCAGGTGGACGGAGAGAAATATATCCGCACCCGGGCGCACTGATGAAAGGAAAACGAGGGGAACGAGCGAACGTGAAAATACCCACGACGCGGATAGTGGACCTGAAGGCCGGGGCCGGGAGCCTAACTCATCGACAGTTTCGCTCCAGTCACGACCGCAGGTGGTTAGAAGTATGCTGGATGTATAGCATCTAGGAATTGTAACACGAAAGGTTCAAAATTAGTATCAACCAACATCTGTTCACGGAAAAGAAGGGTACTCAAATCGGCGAGGCTATGAACCTCGGGCGAGACTGTACTAGCAGCCGGAGAAACGGTTTTTGCGGTCTCCGGCCCCAATCTGTCGTGCGACGTTGTGTTTCAAGTATTTTTCTCAATATTGAATAGCTGACCTTATCGTCAAGATTTCATTGCGTGATGCTATGGCGTGTTTTGAAGTCGCCATGGCATCCAGGACATCAGATACGGCCACAATTCCCAGGTCTTCACGTATCCCGTTGCCGAGTTCGATACGTTCCTCATGCCTCTCGACGACATAACCACCAGGGCGTTCCAGTATCGTCCACCCCAAAAGCATCCCCACCACTCGTTCGCCATGCGACACTTCTCATTGACGGGGGACCGCATGAAGCCAAAACAAATAGTGTGAAAATCGCCGGGTTGGTTCGCAGTGTGAGGAAACAGAAAAAGGTGGCATTTGCCCGCATCTCAGATGGTTCCACCCATGCAAATATTCAAGCTGTGTTTCCCGACCCAACTTTAGCGAAGGAGTACGTCGTCATGTATTCAAAAGAGGGATGGACATTGTCTGATACCAATTCTCAGTATTACGAATGGTGCCTATGTTGCGTTGATCGGCAAATGGATTCCATCTGAAGGAGGTGGACAGACCCATGAGTTGCGAGTGGAAGAAATCGAAACAGTGGGAGAAAGCAATCCTCTTGTAGGGGTCTCTGCTCATTTTTCGTTCTATTCTAACCATGGCGACAGGAGAACCCAATCCAGAAGCAGTCTATGTCGGTCGATTTCTTGCGGAGTATTCCTCACCTCCGCATGCGGACGTCTTTTCAATCCCTCCTCGTTCGTACTCGGAGCTTTTTGACAGCTGTGGCTACCTCGCACTTTCACAACGCCCCGGATCCTGTATACCAAGTGCATCCGCCTCTGATTACCTCTTCTGATTGTGAGGGCGCGGGAGAAGTTTTCGCCATAACTCCGCAGAGCCAAGCTCAAGCTCCCGGTAATGGCCCAAATGCCTCTCAAGAGCAAGAAAAACTCTACTTTCGAGAGCCAAAATACTTGACCGTCTCATCACAATTACACCTCGAAGCATATTCGGCCGAGTTGGGGAATGTCTTCGCCTTTGCGCCTACTTTCCGAGCCGAAGAAAGTGACACACCCCGTCATCTGTCGGAATTCTACATGCTCGAGGCTGAGTATCGACACGTCTCTGTGGCAGACCTGCTGTCAAAAGTGAGATCCCTGATTACCGGTCTCACCGAATCGCTTCGACACCATCGAGTGGGAAAAGAACTTCTAGAATATTACTCGGACGAGAAACACCGATCATCAGATGCGGACTCGGTCGATTTGGAAGATCGATGGAACAGACTCTCTGGACCGTGGACCACGGTGCAATACTCCTCCGCCATGACCGCCCTCGGCCAGGTTCACGAATCGAGTGCCGGAAAATTGTTCCTCAAATCCCCGGAGTGGGATCAGGGCCTGCAATTGGAGCACGAACGATGGATTGTGAATAATCTAGGAGAAGGGAAACCAGTGTTTGTCACCCATTATCCTCGAGCCGTCAAACCGTTTTACATGCTCCCTTCGATGTTTCAAACTTTTGGGCCAGACCAAGAACCAGCTCTGCGGACAACACCTTCACCCGAAAATGGCGAAACCGTCGCCTGCTTCGACCTTCTTCTTCCCTTTGGATACTGTGAAGTGGTCGGTGGAAGTCTCAGAGAACACCGTCTGGAAAATTTGATCCAATCGATGCGACAGAAGGGACTTATCAAGAAAACAGACAGGCCTAATGGCAACGGCAACGATAATGGCGATAGCTATCCATTCTTACAACCTGGCGAAAGTCTGGGTAGTCTAAGATGGTACGCCGATCTCCGGCGTTTCGGAAGCAGTCCTCATGGAGGGTATGGTTTGGGATTCGACCGCTTGCTGGCGTATCTCACCGGTGTGAGCAATGTCAGAGATGTAGTTGGATTTCCACGCACTTGGGGTAGGGCCGACTGCTGAATTGACCGTGTGCCCTTGCCTTGGGGTTGATTATACTGGTAGACAAAGAATAGATGCCCCCGGGCGTTGGACAATCAACGCAGAATCCAAGAATGCGATGAATATAGATGTACGGTATTACAAACATGTCAATCTATTCTCTCCATTTCCTAGATTTTGTAGATAAATTTACCAGAACTCAAGAGATTCAGCTAGCCAGGGCCTTCCATCCTTCTTGCCCTATCGAGCCCATTCTATTTCTCCATCTTATCTTTCATGACCTGCACTTCCTCCGCATGCGTCGCCGAGCCATCTTTATCTATACCCAGGCCTTTATTCTCTTCTTCGTTCCTCTTAATCCGCACATCATTCGCAGCATCCTGGCGCAAATGGCACTGGTACTTAGGGAAATCCCAAACGGAGACGCGATTCAGGAACAGCTCGTCTAATTCCTCGAGTGTGCGGCCTTTCATTTCGGGCATGAAGAAGAAGAAAAATACCACGCAGGCGAAGTTGGAGCCCGCCCAGATGTAGCCGTATTGTACGCCCTGAAATGATTAATATTCACGTCAGTGCGGCTGAAGAACAAGAAGGCAGGGGCCGACGAAGAAAAGGGGGCTGGGAAGGAGAAGAGGAAGGGGAGAGAGGAAGATTTTCACTTACCCAGCCTAATTCCGCAGGATTGATGAAATACGGCGAGCAAAAACTCACGAGCCACGCGAGTATATAGCCCAATGCAGTCGCGGTTCCGACCGTCCAAGCACGCAATCTCGTGCTCACGACTTCAGTCGCCACAGGATAGCTGGCCGCGCCCACACAGGCATTGTAGAAGAATTTGAACAGGGCCGTAAATGCCGTAAGCACATTCGCCGTGGTTTGCGGATTTGGACTGACGCTCGCGGTGATCGCCGTGGATAATTGGGACAGTCCACAGGCCGTTGCGCCGATCATGAGGATCGAGCGACGACCTAGCAAGTGGCGCATGGCAAACATCCCCACGTTCACGCCGACAAAACCCATACACGTCGTCATGATGGTGTACTCAAACGCCTTGGTCACGCCGCCTTGTTGCAGGAAATAGGTTTGATACGCGATCAGAAACCAGATGCCCGAGGCGCTCTGGCATGCGATCATGCCGTAACAGAGGAGAGTGCGACGGAGATCAGTGCCTCGAAACATGTCAATCCAGCCGACGGACACAACGTTCTTTTTCTCCTCTTCCATCCCAAGTAGCATTTCGGCCCATTCGATCTCAAGCTCTTCGTTTGTTAAGGCCGAGCCACGGAGTTGGATCAGGGACTTCTTTGCCCGTGCTTCTTTACCGTGGTGGAGCAGAAAGCGAGGGCTCTCGGGCACGAAGCATAGTCCTATGGCCAAGATTGTCGGGACAATGTACAGACATCCCAGCGGGATCTGGTACGAGGCTTTGTCCATGCGTCTTTTGGTAAAGTTGTTCACGGTGGAGCCGAGAATGGAGCCAATATTGACCCAGAAGGCGAAGAGGGCGACAATTACACCGCGGAGGTGTGCGGGAGATGCCTCGGCGGTGTAGACGTTGGAAAAGGTCACGAGAAAGCCGTTGGCGATGCCTAAGAGGAGTCTACCCAGGTAGATGACGCCCTTGGAGGTGGTGGCGATTTGGATGGCGCAGGCGACGGCGTTCAAGGCACACGCGAGCCAGATGGCGTGTTTCCGGCCAAAGTAAGAGCCGAAGAAGCCTGCGAGGAGGGATGAGAGGAAGGATCCCAGGGTGAGGAGCGAGCTGATTAGTTGTTGGAACGTTGGCTAGCGGAATGGGTGTGATTTAGAAAAAGATATCCACGTGAAATAAGTAGCTCATGTAGGTTTGAGGGTGTTCTTACATCGATGCCATATCCTGTTGGGCTCTTGTCACTGGGATAGCCGAAAACTTTGAGAAAACCTGGCATGGCTAGGAGATCGTTAAATGTCAGGAACTTAGTCAGGGCCAGGAGAGTGGTCATGTAGATATGTACCTTGCAGACCGCCCACAGCAGCCGTATCGAACCCATATTGCATGTTAGCTATCGCGACCACGCAACATATGAGAAGACATTTTCGATTCGCCCATAGACTGGACTCTTTGGTCTTTGCTACGTCGAACATGTTGAAATTTCGATTGTGATGTGGAGGAAACAGAGTCTGGTTTCCCCGGTACCAAGGATTCTAGAATGCAGAAGATTCAGAATCCCATCTGCCCGGGACAGATCTGTAATCCTTTATCCTTTTAGCGAGTTCCACAATGCCATGGCGACTGAGCGATCGATAGGGAGGCGGAGCGTGTGTCTGGAGTGTCCCACATGGTGAAGATGGAGTATGGGGCCCCGGCATATGTTGAATTTACATCCTGACTCGTATGATAGACTGATGCGTCCAACTGAGAGATCTCTCGCCGGTTCGGGGCAATGAAGCAGCGATACCGAATGCTTTCTCCGACTGGATGGTGCTGACACTCCAAACTTTACCAGGTTAAGAAGTGCAGGGAAACTTTTACTATACCTTGGGAATTGTAAAGACAGGAAGTCTGCCCAAACATTGGATTCTGCGCTTGTCTAGGACGTCCATGGCTAGCGAACGGCAATATCATATTCAAGCAGACGTGGCTATTGCTCGATACCGCCACGACCAGAGCGATGTTTTACTTCCCCCTTGCCGCAATATGGATTGCGGGGATGAAAGGAAAGAGTTCAATAGGAAAAACAGCGAGAGGCGGAGAGGTCCCATTTGCCAAGACTGTGCCAAGACGTCGCCTCCGCGTTTTTCGGGGCACTGATCAATTGCCGAGGAAAGGAATATTCCACTCCTCTCCCCTTTTCATCTGCCCTCTACTGCATTCCTAGGTATTCAAACTTGCGAACGGCTTCTACCGACGACGGTAAGATATTTCCTGAGAGCTAGAGAGAGCCAGTGCCAAGTTTAGTTCTCAGGATAAGCCTGCAAAGTCACATGATGCTTCGAGCTGCTGTTGAACAAATGCTAACCTATCATTCATGGCAAACCTACTCATTTTGTAACATTCACCTCCTGGCGTGCAGGCAACAGCGTCAGCATACACCTCGTAGATAGATATATAGATGGGCTCTGTCCCACACTCATTGGAAGAGCTCGGAGCATTCAATACATCTCGAGTTGCACACAGTTTGACAGCTGCCCTTTGTGATATGTGGCAACGCCACGGCTTGTAAAGACCTTCGGAGGCGTTGTACGCTTCGTACATGCTTCGAAATTATATAGTCTGACGGTCCCCTGAAACCCTTCGAAATAGGACAAGTCCTCCGTAAAATCACATCTGCGGACAAGATAGCATGCAGTAAGTCCAGAGGAAGCAGTCCTGTCAGTGCCGAAATTTCGTCTATGCCATTTGAGTAGATTTTTCTGAGCTATGAAACATTGCTGATATGCTCTCCTCACTCTCCTAGGATGACCCCCAGGTGGCCAGCCTTGGATATGGTTCTGGTTTGGGCCCGCTCTGTCTGGCCCGGAGCTTTGTAGCGAGCAAGAAACGGGTTCTTTTTATACTCGTGAAACGGAGTTCCCAGCCTTCCTCGTCGAGACTCCAGCAGTCGCCCAGCTCCCCAGCAACACTGAAGCCGAATAGTGAGGCAATGACAAGACGCATGTTACAGACGAATCCGGTGGCGAATACCACGAGATCGGGCTTCAAGCTCCTACCGTCACGGAAGCAAGACCCGCACTCAGCATGTCTTCGACTGTATCATGGGCGGTATTCCCCGTCCCGATCACGATGCCGTGCTTCCCAGCCCACGCGTCAGGATTCCTGTACTCGACCGAGTGCAAGGCAGTTCCTTTGAAGGCTCCGCGGTTCTCGTACGCGGGCGCGACTGGGATCTGCGAACCCGCACCGCCGGCGAATACAAAAAGGAGCCGGTGGCGACCGATTTCTTGCCGTGCCGCGAGATCTCCAGGGCCCATGTCCTCGTCTTCCTGTTCCACTCACCTGACAGCAGGGTTATGGACAACCAGGCGTTGAAGTGGTACCTGATGGCCCAACGCTGGTACCCCTCCGCTAGGTGGTCTTTGGTCAAATATTCGGGATAAGGAGGGTCCGTGAACGTCTTTTCAAAAGGTAGGTGGCCGAACACTCTGATTGTGTGGAGCTTCGCCGAGTCGTATCTTGTCATGCAGCTACGCCCACGTTCGCTTGTCTTTCGATAATGACATAAGACGCACCCAGAACTTGGAGTCTACCGCCCGCAGTTAGCCCAGATTGTCCTCCACCCAGAATAACAACGTCAAAATGCTGGCCTGGTGCAGAGGACGCCCGCCTAGGCGTGTCCACCGACGGATGGGATTTCAGTTCATCTGCTACGGTCCTGATGACACATATTTTCCATGGGCCCTCTGTTTCGGCAGGGATGACCGACATTGCTCCGTCACCTATCATACCTGGTGGCCCTTCAGTCGCAAATCGGAAAGGAACCTCGATCCACGAGTGTGATCCGATTCGAACGAAACATGGCGTCCCTTGAACGTGAAACGAAGATAGCTTAACGACTTCAGATGTTTCCACGCGACAGCGACCGAACGCGCACTGTAGAACGTCCGTATGGTACCGGTGAGAGCAAAGTGATCGCGCCGTGTGGCGTCCAGCACGAAATCCTTTTCATCCAAGCCCCGGTGAAGTATGATGCTGACTGATGCGCTCACAGGTTCCAAATCTGTGTCATCCGGGATTTGGCTGGTCGGCAGAGTGCAGGGAAGAGCTGATAGTCCCTACATATTGATACCGCTGAGATTCACTATACCGGCGAACACGGTCAAACGAGGGCAAGAAAGAATAGCGGAGGCAGAAAGGGCCAATAGATGAGAAGATACATTAAGAGACCGGCTTCGTAAAGAAGCAGATGTTGAAATGGGTCACATTGCAGTCACAGTAAGAACTCGGGCGTCACACATACTGCGGCACGAAAGGTGGGCACTATCGTATAATACACTCTCGTGGGCCTAGCCTTGCCCTGGCCATGGGACTCGTCGAGGGCTACCTATTTCCGGGGCCAAACATGCCGATTCTCAAAGCACGCTTTGAGAGCCTCCACATATCCGATGTGTTCAACCCCTCTGCCTCTCTGCACGAACCCGTCCTCCATGTACAGATGAATCTGTGCGCACTGCGCAATCGCTTATACGGTATTTGAGACCGGTGGCCCAAGATCCTCCGGATGGAGCAGCAAATCATGAATGTACAAGCCAGTAAGACTCAGATCAATACAGGTCGCCTGAAGTGCCGGTCCGAAGGGGGCGCCTCAGAGACAGCAGGAGAGTAGAGAGTGGAGTACGGGCAACCGTTTCCCCCGCCATCAGGCGCTGAGGGAAGGTTTCCGCTATGCTGCCTTTGTACAGGAAATTTAGAAGGATATAGCACCGACCATCGCAAGCTGGAAGCTGACCTTCCAGAATCAGGGGGAACGCCCATTAAGGCCCTTTGTCATATCTTTCAACGTTCCCACAGCACTGCTAGCAGACTAAGAGAAATAATTGTAGCCAGCTTCTCCGTAGATATGGTGGAAACAGACCAGCTCGGACAACCAAGGAGAATGCGTGCTTCGGACTACGGCGTGAGATATGGCATATGACCTTAATACCATTGCCAGTCATCCCGATTTCGACGAGATAATAGATTCGCCTTCATCGGCGAGTATAAAAACCGGTAGTAGGTACCCAGTTAAAGGGTGATAGTATCGGGTTGCTGTTTCATCTTGCTGTTCGATTTTCTTCCCCGTTCCTGTCAAAAATCCTTCGCTGATGTCCCCTCAAACTAGTCTAGCGTGACTACGTCTAGATCGCTTGTAGTGACCTGCGAGCATATACTTCAGACAATATCAAGTCCTCATCGCAACAAAGTGAGCGTTCTGTCCCAGAAGACATCTTAAAAATAATGTCTCACGACGATGTCCTTTCGGAGCGGCCTATCACCAAAGTCCAGCTGGATCCACCAACTCTCACTGCGCTGCTGCCCGCAATCCGTGCCGGATTCTCATCCAACTTCAAGAACAGTATCATTGAGATCACCCAAAGCCCGGACCTCCGTCAGCCTCCTTACTATCTTGCGACACCGGGTCTGTCCGGTCATCCACGCATCGCAGATGTTGGCGGACAGTTATTTCTCGCTCCAGGACCGGATTTCTCAAAGAAATATGATCTCCTGTCTGTTGCACGTCAGATGGAAATGTCGACCGAATGTGGACAGCTGATCGGTGCCGCTGCCGGACCATTTTACTCTCTTCAGATCAACACAGAGCTAGCACCCAACATCCACTGGAAACTGGATAGGGATCAGGCAACAGATGTCCTTTACAATGAGACGCATTATACCAAAATCATTGCATCGGAGCCAGGCTACCGGTGCTCCAAGATCGATCATGAGACCACCGGCTTCGGGCTCATGGGCAATCTTTATGGCTCGGATGGTCTCCCCGGCGACCTGCTGCACATTGTCGCCAAGTCACGCAGTGGACCATTGAACTTCGCAGCAACAATTCAGGACGCTTTAGCCAAGTATTTTGGGGACAAGTTGATCTCCCTAGGCGGAGTGTTCGTTGTCACGCACGGAAAGATAAAAGTACATGTAATGCCTGACTTTCCCGAGAGGAAGTTCGAGCGAAGAGCAGATGTCGGGCCTTGGTTGAGGTATTTCAATCTGGAGGCACCGCTTGTGTGTTTGAGTGTGTTGCATTCGGGCAATGATCGGGGCTTGAGTTTGAGAATGGAACATACTCATTGTTTCTCTATCAATGAAGACGGTCACGCTGTGAGTGGTGGACATTATCATTATGACCTGGATGATACAAAGGACGAGGTTGAGTATGAGGGCTGGTTCAATATTGCAACTGTTCTATACAGGATCGATCAGCCCCCAAAGTAGGGCCGGTCATTTGCCTTACTTCCAACGATGGTACGCGATCTAGACTCAAGCTTAGGACTTTGGATAGTTCACAGTGAACTCGTCCTACCCATGCCCAGTGATCTGCTTAACAATACGTCACGATGCTCTCCACGGGGTAGTAAGGACGATAGGAAGTAATGCCATCCGGGTATTTACAAGCCACACCGTGGATTAATTGCCGTGATGTGCGATTAATAACTAACCAGTTTTCGTGACCCTCGGTGCATCTGGTATGTATCATGGCTTTATGGTAGAAACTGGAGCGCAATATACCCTCCTTCAATCGTTCGTAGTCATTCGGATGGGTCGCACAATGATTCGGTCGATTTTACCTAGCTTGAGTCTTTTCGAGGCACTTCCTCGATCCATAAAGGTGCGGTAAATGTACTCATTTATCGAAAGATCTTTTTTCCCCCATACGGGATCTACCAGATATCCCGTTTCCCCTATCCCCGTACTCTACGTCTAGATATATGGCAATAGCACTCTCCTGTCAGACAGCTGGTGCCTAGTGCCAAGAGCCCCTATTCTGGCCTATATAGGGGGCTTCCCCCCTCCCATCCATAGTTGCAATCTACACACGAGTTTTCACCCCTTCTATCCGGTCTTGCTCCGTTCGACATCTCCTCTCTTGAAGGTATGGCGTCGTGTGTGTTCGAGGGATATCAAGTACGGTGCGGTCTTCCAACTGTACAATCGTTTCATTGGCCTTTCGCTTTATTAGCTCGATATTATTAGTGTTCCAAGACGGTCCACTGGACGCCAGGTCAAAGTATCAGAATGACATCGACGAAGCACATGCTCCACTCCGCAACCAGCCTTCTCATAATGAAATCTATGCACAAGTCATCATGGACATCTTCAAGCATGATGGTGGACAGTTTATTGAGCACTGGGATTGTATCAACGAGATTCCCGAGCGATGCGGCAACCCTAATGGGGTTTTCTGAGGAGAGATATATATGGATTACCATGCTGACAGACGTTGATCTCGACACCACTGCTTCGTTCACCGAGGAGGGAAGTCAGCTCCGACTACACCATTAGCTCTATTAACCTCTCTGAAAAGAAGAACCTTGTTCGCGTGATTGCCTTCCTCCATGAACTCAGGACGTCGAAGCAGAGCGGGGGAAGGCGCCTGTTGTCTGCTTCATCCAGGAACTCAGGCAGTCTCTGCCAGCGGCAAGCAAATTGCACAATATGAGTTATTGTTTCGGAGGGATGTTTCCCATCCGAATGCGTGTTACAAGGTTCCTGCGCGTAGAGCCACGAACCATGGTGTCTTGCGACACCGAAGTTAAATAGGCCTATAGTGTAAGCATTAAGGACACAATGGATTAGATAGCAGGACTCGACGACCAGGAGTACCATCGCGAAGTAGCAGATTGATGTTTTCAAATGGTAAAGACCGAAATAATCTCTGTCAAACGGGGTGCAACTTGAGATGTACTGAATGCTGTGTTCTCTATCTACTCGTTGCGTTCCTGACGTCCTCTTTTAGGCGCTGCGGAAGTCTCGTTGTTATGCAGAGTAACCATCAGGAATACCGTTGTCTATGGATACCTTCTACCAGTGTTTCAGTGGTGGAGCCTGTGTATAATAACTCCCTTGTTTGACAATAGGTTACCATTTGTTCGACAGCACCTAGTTCGTGCACCATATCAAGATTGTCTGGCGTATCTTCATACGTATGTGTCATATGCAGGCTTACATCACGCTGCTGCCTGCTCGACTATCCGACACAATGTTGCGTATGATCTTCTCAGCAGCGCAGCCCATGATGTAGCTACACTTCATCGTAGTTGGAACCGCTTGAATTGAATGACGCTTATGAGCTTGCTCTGTGCCTTATTCGAGCATTGTACTTTGGTTTGACGAACCATCGACACTTGGTAAACCATTGCCGAGTACTCTCGGAGAGGTCGGTGTCGAAATTCTGAACGATTTGCGGAATGGCTTTGGACATCTCCAGGATGCTAATGTTTTTGCCGATCCAAGAGCGAGCACCTTGACCGAACTATCCATTGAATTAGTCACCACCCATCCAAAGCTCAAGGTATATACACCACGAAGCTGAGAAAGAAGGACGGAGATCCTAGACAAGGATCCCAAAATGTATCGCCGGCGCGAGATAAGAAATGCAGGCTTTCAGCACAAATTCACGATCACGACCTCCCAGGATGGATTCGGAAACCCCAAATAGGATATAGTCGAAATCTCACCTACCGCCAAAGATTCTGGCAAGCTGATGTTCGTCTTCTCACAATCAAGCCATCGCTCAGGCCGGAATGTCAGGACATCCTCGACAAACGTCTCTTTCTTGTAATGAAGCGCCCAGCCGTTGACGCCTACTTCGACCTGATCCAATTGCAGTTGCAGAATTAGCAACACCGGTTAGACATAACCAACGTACACGGTCAAATCCCAGATCTGCTGAAAGGGGAATGAATGACTTACCCCTTTAGGAAAATACTGTCCTTCGATGACGGCGCCGCCTTTGGGTACGACACGCGCCAACTGCGTGCCCACGGCGCCGTGCAGCCGCAGGGCCTCCTTAATCACAGCTTGCAGGTACGGTATCTCCTGAGCTTCTTGGTATGCTACGGGATCTGACGATCGTCCAGGTTTGGATTGATCATCCAGCTCTTGGCGAAGGCGCTTCAAGACGGGAGTGTTGGTGTACATGATTGAGCTCAAGCTGATGGCCGTTGTGTCGGAGCCCGCGACAATGTTCATTTCCACACAGAGTCGAACTTCTGCGTCCGTGGCTTTGCCTTCGTTCCGTAAGGTTAGTATCTTGGATAGAAAGGTCGTATCTCTCTCGGCGCCATCAGTCTGGGATGTTTCGCTCGTGTGCCGGGTGATCTGGTCGGTGATAAAGTTGTCCAGTCCTTCTGTTGGGCTCGGCAAGCGCAGCAGCTTCGTCAGGCGCATGAACCATGGATGTAGTCCTGGAAATAGGCCCATCAACGAGGTATAACGCCAGACAAAGTCAAGTTCCCCGCAGGCACCATTTACACCGTTTGGCTATTCACGGCGTCTTCGTAGGATAACAACGTGGAGATTGAGTATAGCGATGCAACCTGCCTTTTCATAGTGCTGTGCAGTGCGTTTTCCAGTACGTTGAGCAAGTTTTTGCCGTGCGGAGATCCGAATGGATCGTAGTATCGTGATTTAGGAAACGCATTGCTCGATCGGTATATGACCTTGGTCGCCTCCGGGGTGTTACAGATTTGGCGCGACTCGCACGATCGGACCTGATACCGCCAATCCCTCCGGTCAGCTTCACGGTCGCTTCTGCTTACGGCCATGTAGAGAGCCCCCTTTCACTGGAGCAGATGTGGCCGCAAAAGAAAACACCCAAACTTACCATATCGCTCATGCAACTTCACCATGGTTTTGTGGATATCCCATCGAGCACTTTTTTTGACTTCCCATAATCTCGTTAACCTCGCAAGGAAAGGTCCCGGAATCGTCCGGAGGTCGGAAATTAACAGAGTATAGCACCATGTCGACAATTTGACCAATGGTAAAGAGATTATATAAGGCGACCGACAGGCCACCTTCGAAGAGTTGGAGCGCTTTAGACTTGTGAACAGTTATGGACAGCATGGTCTCGGACTCCAGTATGTATGATAATAGTGGTGGATGCATTCAACAGTACCTCTTTTTCATTATGTCCACAAGTGTGGAGAGCCGAACTCTCCCCCGCCGGCAGCAGCTGCTTTTCAGCCAGGTTATTATCGGAAAGGAACGTTCAAGCTGGTGGACAATGCCCTGATATGATGGGTGCCACTACCGGTATCCTAGGCAGAACAGGAAACTGCCACCTGATAAGACTCTGGAGTCTACAGAAAAGATGAAGGAATACGTTGTTGTTCTATCTAACAAGGGAGCAAGGCCGAATAAGAAGGGAAGAATTCAAGTTGCGTCATTGTCAAGTTCCTCTGCAGATACCACTGTAACATGAACACATTCTTGACGATCTTATCCACAATTGTAGGGTGGCTAAGGAGGCATGGCTTAGGCGGTACTTCGTGAGGTCCCGTGGATGACGTTTCAATCTTGTTTCTGGCCTAGGCATCATTTCGAGTATGTGTCTTGTTTCTTTTGACATAGAGCTCGTACCAGTGCTTCCCAACCTCCGAGGATTCAATGCTCTGACCACTGGGTGAAAGGGGTTCCAGAGCCTCGCGATGGCACCATCCTTCTGGGCAGACCTCCACGGTCTGTCCGTTCAGGCATTTCTGCTCGCCCATCGATTCATCAAAAGCCTGCGTCGTACGTCCCATTGGTGGGATCCACTCGGTTCGGATGCTCCTCATGAACGAGTCTGGTGGGAAACCTGTAGCAACAATACCGGGACAGACTGCATTCGCCGTAAAGCCAGCTGACTTCACGCCCACCGATAACGACCTCACCAACCGAACCAAGCCATGTTTGGTTGCGCTGTATTGAGGCATCGCTAGCGATGCATAGAAGCCAGCAGCACTGGCCTTAACAATAATCTTTCCGCCGGGCTTTGATGACCTTGGCCCGTGGTGTCCAAATAGTTTACACCCCCAGCAGATTGACTTCAAATGATGACATATCAGGTTTTCTGGGTGGCAATTGAGTGTTGATAGAGTGGATCTCTGTCATCAATTCCCGCATTGGGGACAGCTAGATCTAGATGATGGTTCCGGTTAAATGCGGTTGCGAACAATTTCACTTGATTGCCCTTGGATCCACATTTGTTTTGATGTAGAGAGCTCGCTCCGAGTCGATTTCTCCACCCTTGGGAGAGCCTTGAATATCGGCCATCACAATACTCCATCCATTAGAAAGCAAATGATGTGTCAGTGCCAGTCCGATTCCTGAGCAAGCGCCCGTGATGACGGCGACTGGTGGGGTCATGTTGACAATGACTGGTTGTAGATCTATGGCCCCGAGATCACTTGTCCGAGGTAGATTACTTCAGTAGCTGAGGCTTGATTCTTGCGTGACTCAGGTCGGCGGACACTTATCGGAGCCGACCTGGTGGCGGGGTGCAATATACCGTACCATTATCGGCCGTCCGCCACTATACGACCATATTGTTCTTGGGAGAGGCCCGACCGACTGTATCAAAGTTGTCGTCATGGTGAGCCTCCTAACCAGGGCCAGACTATGTCAGCGGAGCGTTGGCAGTGCGAGGAGCGTAGCTCTTTACTCAGCCACCGGCCAGTTTGGCGGAATGCTCTATTCGGGCTGCGACTCTCCGCTTTTACTGAACCTTTGCAAACTTTCTCTCGGGACCTCTCTTTGTATTGACTATTTGATGGGCCCTATGCTCTCATGACTCTGAGAAACTTTGAGGGGAGTCCATCAAATCTACATGATGAGGATCAGAAAGGATGCTTGATCACAACTTTCTCAAACCGGATCTTTCCCTCTCCTGATGACTTGATCGCCGCAATCGCCGCCTCCACCCCTTCGATGACCCTGAGATTGGGAATACGAAAGCCTCTCTCGTAGTGGTCAGCAACCCACGAGACAATATCTACCAAGCGAGACTCCCACTCTTCGTTCGCGGGGACATGGCCGATGGGAGGCGGTAGGTGCAACTCCCACGCTCGGGCCGCTAGGCACCAAATCCATTGACGTTGGTCACTGAGTACAGGCAAAGTGCCGACGAAAATGGCATCTGTTGCCGTCTTGAGCGCGTCACAACTCGACGTCGAGGATGCTTGTCCCCGTGAACACACGGCGTCGAAGATATACTTCAGTGGTTGGCCGGAAGCGTCAATGACGTCTTGGATTTTCACGACCACATCATCGTCCCGGTAATCGAAGCAGTGTGTCGCGCCGAGCTCCTTCAGACTTTGGTGGTTTGAAGCTGATGCTGTTGTGATGATAGGACTCAGTCCTGCCGCCTTCGCGAGCTGTACTGCTGCCCATCCTACTGCACTGCCGCCTCCCCAGACGAGAATGCCACTTTTGCTGGGCTTCCCTGCCGCATTGATTTTCGCAAAAGGAATTGCCATGATATTGAACAGAGCGTCGGCAGCAGTCCGTACCACAAGTGACATCGCTGCAGCAGCCTCGCTGGGGATTGTGGATGGACGTTTAGCGATCAGGGTGTTGCCCTCAGCGAGCAACAAATCCTGATGCGCCCCAAACTCTGAACCCAAGCCTATCTTCTTTGAGCCGTATATCTCATCTCCGACCTCGTAAGGAAATCCTTTTCCAGCCCTGATGATCTTTCCGCTAAACTCGTAGCCACAAACGTAGTCATTCAACCCAAATTCAAGCCCATGCTTCAGATCGGCCGGGTTGACGCCGGAATACTGGACTTGAACCAGAGCTTGGTCGTTTCCGGGCTCATACGGGTCGCGGTATTCTTTGAGAAACAGCTCGTTCTTTGGGCCGATGTATATGGCTTTGTCGGGAGAACCCATTTTCAGCTTGGCGTCAGCGTGCACGAGAAATGAAGAAGGCCGCGTTTCGAACTAGCGTATCGCAATCAAATCGCTCCGTCGTTGCAATTGAACGAAAGGCCAGCGACCATGCCATAACCAGTGAAAAGGTGCATTGAAAACTAGCTTAATCTATGCACAATCGTGGCCGTTTTATAGGCGCCCTCCTTGGCGTCTTGGTCAGAATCACAAACCAACAAGGAGCCCCAGCCGAAATCGACGTCCTGGCAGAAGATGATGTGGAGGCGAGTGACATCCCTTCCACAACCCCCAAGGGGGCTTGTCCCGGCAAAAGCTAACCGGTTAATTAGTGTCACCCCACAGAACAGAATTGCTACTCGCCAATGGCGAGCTGGGAGCACAAGCGGCTTCAGAAATCCTAGAGTATAGTAGTCCCTTGGTGTACCATTTTTACGTCGTCATAAGAAAAGCACTTCATATCTCTCAACCACAGAAACTTATCTACACTGAAAAGTGGTATTGAGAATCTGAGCTAATCTTTGAAATTGTAGATGATGCCGAAGCTCCTGACATCTCATTTCCACTTCGGTCCAAGCAGTTGCTGAAGCTCATCGGCCCACATTGAGCCCTTCTACTCTAGGTTCGGCGCCTACTCATTTACTTCCACACAGGTCCAACTTTCGGGCTCATTAGCATCACCTTCTCCCTGTAATGCGGAATCCTAGGATACCGACAGAGATTCCTCCTTGTAAGCGGTCCATTTGCCGTCGTTTCAGCATATAATATCTCTGGTGCAATTTCATCCTCGACCCAGACGATCAAAGCCTGCACCGGATTGACGGGAATTGGTCCATTGTCGCAGGCATCCTCGTCTTCTCAACCCTGACTTGTGCTTTATGCTACCGACCGCCCGCCAAGCCGTTGCAAAGACTTTCTCAACGAGAGAAATTGCGCCGGGTTTTGTAGCTGACATGAATCCCTACAGCTAAATCGGATCGCCTATGCGTCGCTGACTATCGGCATCGTCCTGTTCTGCATCGCTCTCTCGTGGTCTGAAAACCCATGTAAGCTTTTCTTTCAATTGAAGAAGCCGTTTTGCTTGCTCTGAGCCACAATCCCCAGAGTCATGGGAAGATCCGCACATTCTCGCAACCTTTTACCATCGGCACCCCTTTTTCTGATTGCGCTTGGCTTACATCAACCGCTGATCAAGGAAGACGGCATGATTCATCACGACTTATTCAAGTCAGTCACCCAACGGACGAGAGGCTCTCACGAGACCGATATTGACCATTGAGACAGGAAGGATCGCAATTTCGTCATAGTCATCACTTGTATGCTGGTGGAAAGCACGGGTAAGTTCGTGCCAACTGGCAGCAGCGTCCATAATTTTGCCTCCAGTACTGACTCGGTGGCAGTTTTCATTGTACATACTCCTACATCCACCGTCGTCGCTATTGCTAGTGGCTTGATCATCTCGGCACGTTCTCTCGGAGGGTCATTCGTCCAAAGTTCTACCTCAGCTTATCCAGGCGCTGGTCGCGAATAACCAACGAGCATTTGCTGAGATTCCTGGAGTAACCCCTCAGGGCATACAAGCCGGGTATCATGGCCTCCAGGAAGGCTGTCATGTTTCTTTCAGAGCTGTGTGGTCTGCTGGAGCCGCGTTCTCCGCAGTGGGCTTTTTGAGTTCGTGTTCCCTTGAAATTCCGTCCATACACTGACAGCAAATCTCCAATTTCCTGCTTCACTATCGATTCGAAAGCTGACTTCAACCTTCATACCGATGCTCCTCTCGACGATGAAAATTCCGCATCGACCGACGGGAAAGCTTGAAGTCCAGGCTTGTCCTCCACTCACGTTTTCAGGGTACGTCAGGCTAGAGCAGCATCTGCCCAGGCCCAGAGCTGGAAATGGAAAATACACATCTCTAGATTCCGACGTCGGACCGCCTGTTCCTTTCTTCTTTTGGCCAAAGGTTCTAGTAACCATCTCGATGCTCGTGTGTGTGATCGAATGCAAGCAATACGTAGATAACACGTACAATCATCCTTATGCTAATGTGTCTAACCGGATGAGAGAAATAGACACGGCATCTTCCACCCTTCCCCCTTCAGGTCTGGATTCACTACGGCTCCTTCATAGTAGTCATCCATTCACCCTCTCAATTCTTATTAGGTTCTCCTTCGACATTAGCCACTTCCTCAGTGTTCATCATATCATAGTCACCTCCTTGATCCATCGGAGAAGTGATAACATCCTCAACGGCCTTCGTGGTCACGGTCATATCATCACTGTCTTGAATACCGGCCGTGTCATCGGATGGATGGTCAGCATTCTCCTGTGTCTCGAGAGTTGCGGCGTTCTCGGCCTCAACTTCATCGTCAACATGCTCTGGTGCATTTCTGGCATCATCACCATCATCATCGCCGAAGTGCTTGAACTCGTCGCCGGCTTCCTCACGAGCTCGTTCAAGCCGAGACCGCAGTTTCATTAGGGGCTGGGTATTCCACCACACTTCATATCCAGGAACAAGGCATGGAGCCTCCATCGGCTCTTCGGTCTCTGGATCATACCAGTCGCCAGTCATAATGTCGTAATGACCGCCACTGTCGGGATCCACTAGACGACGATGGTCGGGGTGGATAATCCAAGAGCTGGTCTCGTCGATGACGTACAAGGTTTGCTGGTCGATCATTTGGCCCTGATCATTCAATCGGACTTTATCGTCCTGGTACTGTGTCACCTCATCCATCTCGAGACCACGAAGCGAGTCTATGAGGGGACAGATTAGAATAGGGACGGGAACGGGATTCGATCAGGATCTCACCTCCAATGGATGCATTAGGAGCCATAGGTTGGAGGGATGGATGCGTCGGGGTGGATGGCCCCATTTCGACGTGCAATGATTCCCGGGATCGTGCTAGACATCGGTTAGAAAGGGGGGCGAAGGTGGTTCCACGACGGGATCCGATAGATGGATGGATCACCCACCGGATTCGATTCATGGACCAGCCGGGGAAAGGGGTACTCACCGGGCATAATGATCGGTCGTGATTGTTGAAGGAGTCTCTGGGGATCATGGCGGCGTGGCGGGGTGCGAGCGGAGACACTACCCGGATCGTGGACTTGGGGGAGCATCTTGTGGCGCCAGTCCAACCGGGAACAACGTTGCCCCAATTGCAGCCGAATGTATTCCTCGGCCTGCCGCACGTAGCTGTCATCACAGAACTTCTTCCTCAACTCCCGGGCCTCGTTTGCGCCATGCTGTTGGGACATTTGGATCATGAGATGCTTTTGCTCGGAGGTGAAGTGGCAACTCTCCATGTGGGATTCGCCCGTCACCTGGGCGATCATTTTAACGGTGGCATTGGAGAATAACCACTGATCATACGTGTCCTGCACACACACCAGCCAGATGTACTGGATCTCCTTTTGTCCGATTCGGTGGACCCGTCCAATCGTCTGAATGACGGTGTTGATGTTGTCCGGCATCTCCAAGATCAGAATCTTGTGGCACGCTCCCTGAATGTTCAGTCCCAGGGCCGAGCTTCGAGTGTTGGCAATGAGAAACATAGCCGGATCGGTTGGGTCATTGAATTGCTTGAGGATTTCCTCTTTGCGCGCCAGCGTGGTGGAGGGCCAGAGATTGTAGTAGGCGACGCCCAGATTGTGCAGCAGGCAGCCCACCGCCCATTGCGTGGTCGGCCAGTTACAATAGATGGTCAGTTTGCCTGTCAGATGGCCGGTGGCGTCTCCGAACAGGGCATTCTTGATATGAAGGCAGGTGTATCGCAATTTGACCGACTCGCCGCATTGATAAGCGCAGACCCCGAGGCGGTCCATGTACGGAGGTAAGGACGGAGCCGGGCGAGTGGCGTAGAAGTAACGGCTAAACCCGTGGTCATCCCCCTCGTCGGCCCATCCGGCCACCTCGAGAGCCGAGTGCTTCTTCTTGCGGAGCAAAAGGGTATTCATGCGTAGATCAAAGGTCGACAGACAGATATGACGATGGAGGCCCATGTCACGAAGACCACCACGGCCGGCTCCGGGCTTCTTGGACTGGTCGCAGGACGAGCTCTTCCCGTGGGTCAGGTACGGTTCATAGACATGCCACAGCTTAAGATACTCGGCGCGCTCGTACGCACTCATCCTCAGCTCCACCCCGGCAATGCGATACATGGGAACTTCTTTGCCCGGTTGGTAGAAGTTATGGTCGTCGAGTGGGATCTTGGATGCCATGGTCCATCTCAACTGCATGCGGGAGAGAATGGTGCGCAGGACCAGGTGACTGACGCGGCCGCCGGCGAGTTCGCCTTGATTGTGCAGCTTGGTAAACAGGGCCGGATCAAACAGAAACATCGGCTGGTGGCGGTATTTCTGGCAATAGTGAGGCGCCCGGTCCTGCCAATCGTCTAGCGTCGTCTTCTCGTATCTCTTCGTGGCGCTGGAGGGAAGGGTCCAGCCGTCCAAGACATCGAGATCGTCATTCCACTCCGGACGCCAAAAAAGGCACAGGTAACCCAAGAGATCCGAGACTCGATTCATCATGGGGGTGGCAGTCACGATCCACAGTTTGGGAGCGTACAACACTTCAACGGCCTTCGCATTTTTAGTGCGAGGATTCTTCAATTTGTGCCCTTCATCGCAGATGACACGGTGAAAGAGGTGGGCCAAACGATTCGTATACACTACGCGGTCATCATCATCACCATCAATGTCCGATCCGTCGTCGAAGTCGTTATCATTCTTGGCGGCATGCTTGACCAGTCGGTATACTTCCTTCATCTGGGACCGCTTCTTGGATTGATTCGTCGGAGTCTGGTGAATGGTACTCTGTCGTTCGATGTTATCTTCTGGGTCCAAGGCCGTAGGCATCGCGGACGTCGAGTCTCGAACTGGAGTCGGGTCAATACCGGATCCATCCCTGTGGGAGGTGGTCCATAGACTGGATCCGATGGGCTACCCACCCGATCCTCCCGGCGGGGGGAAGGGGAGACATGGGGGACATACCTTTGGCTGACGCACGGTAGGCGCGACGTTGTTGTTCTTCCGGACCCTGTCGGTTGGAGGTCAAACATCGTTTGGTCAGGGTGTCATAGGCGCCAATGATCACGCCAAATGCGCTCGTGGGTCGGTGGGCCGGGAACGTGTGCTGAATGATTTGGGAGGCCTCGGTCACGTTCGAGGGTAGTATCAAGACGCGCTGGGCCGAGGACGCATCGGGACTTCGGTCACTGCCGTAGAAGATACGAAGGTCCAGAGCGGCGTCACCTTCACGAGGCACCCACCACCGAACCCACTCATTATACCATACCGACACCAGGTTGGGGGGCGCGAGGATCAGGGTCGGTCGAAAATCCTGGTCGGTGTCGCCGGCTTCCCAACGCGCGTACTTTTCTCGGGCCGACTGGAAGATGGCAAGCAGAGTCTGGGACGTTTTCCCCATGCCACAGTCATTGGCATTGATGCCGCCCCCCATGGGGTTCTCTTCTTGGTGCAACTGCCAGGCGGCGCCGATGACCTGGTGCAACTTGGGAACGAATGGGATCGGGGCATCGGGTGACAAGGGGTGAGAAATCTGGATCTGGCCCGCACGGTGGTGATCCGGATCGAAGCCAAATCGAGCGGCTGCCTCGGGATAGGTGGGAGTCGACACAGACACGGTCGACATGTTGGCGCGTAAGTCCCAGAAATGGTGTTCCAAGGTTTCCACGCTGGATGATGGCTTGAACGGATCTTGGTAACCCTCTTGGGCCACCCGCTCCGCCACGCTGACCGTTTCCGTCATGTCGATGGGCTTCTCGACGGATTCGCCGACCTCCTCGCCAATGAATGCATCATGGACAATTTGGCACTTCTTAATTTGGGTGTCGAGAAAGAATTTTAACGTGTCATCACCGAGGGCGGGACGTTTGACCATGGATGTAGACTCAAGGCCGGATTTACCCTGTGATCGACTGCGTCAGTCGCCGTACAGTGTTAAAAAGGAAACCTTGGTGGTCCATGGACCGGATCCGATCAATAGACCACCGAGACGAGCCATTATGTCGAATCTAGTCAGTGGAACATCTAGGCGGTACGTACCTTGTTCTTCTTATCCAGTTTGTCGGCGAAATTCTCAATCGTCTGCTCCAGTTGGTCACCATCATCTCGCAGGCGGTCCACCAGATCTTCTCCCGGACTCGGGAACATGGTCATGTCCAGCGCTTCAAAGTCCTCCATACCGAGACCGTCCTCTTCGTGGAAAAAGGCCTGGGCCTGTTTCCGCAGTTCGTCCATGACGTGTGTTTTCTCATTCACGTCTCCTCTCGATTTGAAGCGGTCGATCTCGTCCTTGGTGAGATAGCGAACAGGAAAGGCTTTGCGATCACCGAAACTCGGAAGCTTAGCCTTGTGGCCAAAGTGAAAACAGCCGAAGCGGATGACCGTCAAGGCGCGGTTGGCGTCCTCGGGGGTGGCGATGGCCCACTTGTCCGTGGTCGGGGGCGGGATCGTGAAGGAGTCGGGGAAAAATTGCGGGAATACTTTGAGGAGTTGAAAGATCTGCGCGACATATATGGCTTGAGGGAAAATGGACGAGTGTTGGCGTGCGTCGTTGAAGCCGTCCAGGCAAGGGTCGTTGAGCTTCAGAGGATGTTTGGTGGACACGGATGCCAGACGCTTCCAGTTCCCTGGCATGTCCGGGCCCTTGGAGATTTCTTTGAAGATGGAGGTCTTAGAGTGGGTGGATGTCGGTTTCACCTTGGGGACATCAAAGCCTCGATCTTTGATTTTGAGAAAGTTGGTCAAGTACGGTTCCATGGCGGTGATCATGCCGCCGAGGTCGGATGTCCGCGCTAGGCCCATGTACCCTGCCAGGTACTGCATGTTGCGGGTCAAGGCGCGGTCCTGCTCGATGCAGTGGAATCCCACGTAGTTCTTGGCCAGTTCGGTGAGACACTCTTCTCGGGCTTTGAACTTGAAATCGTGGTCTTTCTCCTTCTGCCGCTTCTCTTTCTTGCGCGTGATTTGGCTGGCCTTGTTTTTGGCAGGGGTGCGCTTCGGCGCCTTGGCTCGAGAACTCGATTCGTCAAACCCACTCTCTCCCGCTTCGGTGTCACTCTCATAGTCACTGGCTGGGGCCGGAGTCTCGGCGGCTTCCTGGCTAGGGTTCTTGCCAGCCGGTTTCGGGGTAAGCTTCTTGCTGGGCTTGGTCTTCTTTCGAGGCGGTGCAGGGCTGTCACTCTCTGGACTAGCGCTGCGATCGTGCTTGGGTGCCATGGTGGTGCGTGGGAGTGTCAAATGGACTAGTGGCTGTGGACTCGTTAGTGCCGGTGACCCTCTGACTGGATCCGATGTGCCGTTCACTCGAGAGTGGCGTGGACCCAGAAACTCGGTGTGAGGTGATCCGCTGACTGAATCCAATAGCGTCTCGGGCCCGGGCCGCCTCAGATTTCACTTACCAAACACTCGGATCGGTGTGATTTCAAGCTCGTCGCCGCAGCGACGACGAACGCGGCGATTCAAAGAGACGACGGGGGTGGCAGTCAGTCAGAGACGCGATCTCCGATCAAAACATGCGTGGAAGCGAAGAACAACACTGGTTGGGAGAAGAAATCTTTGAGCGAAAAGTTGAAAGGGACGGGGAAGAGTGTGAGAGAGAGATTGCGAAGCGAGAAGAAGGTGACAGGACGGTGTGGTTGGTCGGGTGCGGTAGGATCGCAAGATGCATCGGATCCAGTCTGAGAACCAGTTGGTAGGGACATGGTCGGTGGTGAACATGCATATTTGATCGAAGGGAAGCACTGCAATCATCTCCATTATTAGATCGGTCAGTATCGAAGGATTTCGACGAGCAACGATCAGTAAGCCGAGCTATGAGCCACTTCTCTGCTTTCTTACGAGGAACGTGTATATTCCGTCGATCTGGAAATATATTCTTGAAGGGGAAAGACCTAGTTCGTCTGAGAACATGATGACAAGAGTCCATCGCCGTCCAAATACCAAGCCGGTTCATGGTGTATGTCCAGAGTATACTCGGTCCCTGTTACTGGTCTGATTGTAGTCTTGAGATACGTACGTCTCGCACCGTTCACGATACCGTATTCTCCCTACCTTGTCCCAAGTGGGGTCTTGTACATCATCTATCTCCTTTCTTTCAATCAGACTTTGTAATCGGATGCTGTTGTTTTAAGTTTTCCCACTATACCGCTTTCGGTGGTTGCTCTTAGTTAGGCCAAGTCTTGATGACATAAAGGATAAGGAAACGGGAGTGCTTATTCTGATTGGTGGAATAAAACTGTGAACTTAGTCTGGTTAACGTGCCAGTACTTCAAAGTCACGGAGATACCCCCGACTTCTAAAACAGGGAATTGGAAAACATATTGCTTCCAAAACGTAAAGTCGTTGCCGGGAAATTCACCCCTGGTTTAGGCGGCCTGCTTCCTTCGGATATGGTTGAAGTCTCGGCGGGCGGCCGCTTTTGACATCGCTATAAGAAACCCTCTCTCTCTTCCGTGCCTTCTTCTCTCTCCTTCCCTCTCCTTTCTCTTTCTTACCCTGGCACCAGCGCTCTCGTCGTGCTTAGGGCCCCGATTCTCCGCTTAAGGGTCTCATGTCCGGACGCCCCGATTCAGCTGGACTAGGGACTATCAGGAATTGATGTGCGTGCAATCTATAGGAAGGTGCAGGCGAAAGGACAGTCTTATTCTCCTGGGTTCGTGCCCCTGTTCCTGACGCATCCAATCAAGAAAATGGCGATGGCCATATGAGAATCCGGTGCAAGTTTTGCTGCCTCGAACTTCAATCTCTCCCCATTGAATTTGGCTTGCCTCATGGGTTCACTGGAATTCTGCGAACCTAAATATAGGCTTGACTGGGTTTGGGAACTCTGTAGCTTCCGGTTGAAGTACTTTTCGAAATGGTTTCGGAGCGGGGCACAGTTTATCTGCCCTCTGCTTGCCAAAGTATCTGAGGGAAACACTCGACTGCATTCACGATGATCACATTGGAATGGGCTACCAATATGGTAGGTCATCCTATGGCGTTCGAATCGATCGGGTTGGAGATAACCACAATATTCACAACCTTTTTCAGGGCAGTGCCGAAGGCAGTTTAGATGATCGGATAGAAAGCGGCTGCCCCATGCCGTATTTGTGGCTTGCCGCGTACTGGCACCCGGATCATGGGCAACCTTTAACGTAATATCCGCCCCTTCGGTTATTGTCCTAAGACTCGTCAACTTCGTAAACTTCTCGGCCAATATTCTGCAATTCATCCCTCTCCGCTACCTCTTGATGCGGAAACAAGAGCACTCTGCGGAGGACGTTGTGATCTTTGGCCCCAGTCATATTGAGTAACTCATCAAAAGCTCTGATATATGTCGCAGCGTCTTTCTCATACATCCACATACGGCCTTTCAACGTTTTGAATCAGGTACATATGCTGCTTCGTAAGGTCGGACCGCATCCGCGAAAGAATCTTTATGAGACCGTCATAATATGGCTCCAGCAATCCTATATTGTCATCTTCTCTGATGAACTCAAGGTTGTCTGGGAAGTAGAACCGGACAAATTTGGCCCATGCAAGTATTCTTGGGCTTGACCATCACGTAGATGTTGTACCCCCTTTATCATGGGTTCTTCGAGCACCTCGTTGACGATAAATCTAGCTCATGCTCAGCGTTTCCGACCTGAATCGTCATGTAGACCACGTTGCATCTACCCTATTTCTGGTCCTTCGAGCAATTCATCACCACATAATTTCGCCCGTGCACGTACTTTCGGATCTGTATCGGACGGTGGACCATGTTGTATCTTGTTGCCGGCGAGAGTTGTCGATGCCTTCATACGCTTGTCTCGGCGGTTTGATGTCTTGATGTGTAAGCGTTCGAACTTCAGTTGCTCCATGAGGCTGGTTATTAAGACATCTCCCTTAGGAACACGACGTCCAGCCGCAGTGCTATAGCTAGAACCTATGTGCCCAGTAGCAACATGAGAACCAAAGCTCGTTCGATCGTGGAAGATGCTCTCAGCACCAGTATCGCATGTAGCATCTCCACAATACCAATTTGTTAAGGCTATTGTGCCATGTGCTTGAAGATGTATGTCAATGGCAAACATTGGTTCAAAAGTCGGTCCGCACTGAGGGACTTTGCAATGCCAGCGGCCATGTGAGAGGATGGCGCAGATAATGTCGCCAGAATCGAGCTTTGCATCGGGCGGCAAATTTTTGTTGTCACGGTATATATTATCTTCAAACTCTCGTATCTCGTGTATCTTGGAAGGCCCTCCCAACATATTCGATTGATATCTCTTTGATGCGGCCCATAAAGACTTTTCGTAGATGTTCTGAATTATACCGCACGTGGACCTGGACGAGGGCATGGGTTTGTGCATCTCAGTTGTATTTTCGTACGAAGCTGGCTCGTTGTGTTCATCGCCAGCTAAATCATCTGATTTTTCTTCCTTGTTCTCACGAGTTTTCACCTCTTCTATCCGCATCTCGCTCTGTTCGACAAAAGATTCGCTCCATTCCTGTCAGGGGCAGGCTCGCCAGCAGGCTGTAAAGACGTCAAAAGGATACCTATCTATCTATATAGGTGCAGGGGCGACATCGACTTCCACGCTTGGAAGTCGGATAGGGGTATCCTGCGTAACGCATGCTATAAACATGTTCTTGGCATGGGGTCTTGGCGCCCCATGACAATTCCCGCCAACATTGCTGGAATAGAAAGGACTGAGTGAATGTTGAGAACGTCGACGATGGAGTAGAAGTGGATTGGGAGAAACCTCGATACTTGATATTATGTCAGATGCCATTTTGTATACAATCATGGTGGAAGAAACATCTATGACAGCGAATCGCGAGTCTACAATCTCTACACCACAGCCAAGACCATAGGCGAGATTATAGGAGGCGATGGGGGCATACCAAGGATCATTACAACTACCTACTAGGCCCTCGGCACTTAGGAGCCATCTCAGTGTGATTCTGGCCGAGACGCCAAGGACGGCGCCTATAAAACGGCCACAATTGTTCATAGATTAGGCTAGTCTTTAACACACTTTTTCACACATCAAGCATCGACGGAATAACATTACCTAAAGCGGCGGCACCTACCGCCAAATTCGGTGGGAGATTTCCCCGCAACTAGCGTTGAACTATAGCGGCGGGAAGAGAACGTATGAGATAACTTAGCCTATCCACCGTGGTTGCCGCTTTTACTTATAGTACATCTGCATAAATGCAGAAATTCACATCACGTTTTGGTCACGTGTTTGCGCTATTGCGCAGAACGCTAACACCTGATTGGTTGGGATCCTGATGCAGAACAGCAACGCTGCATGGAGCCGAACAGAGCCCAAACATTCACGGCAGATCTCCAGGAGGTTCTGATCCAAGAATTACGTTATTGGGAATATGCAGTAACTTGGACGCCATTGAGACCCATGGTAGGGCTTCGCATGCGTAACGACAGTTTAGGACTAGTGTGGAAATTACTTGGCGTCGGCTCAATCATGTGATCCACGCCAAAATCGTGGTTGACCTTGAACTTGTCTGATTGAAAACTTTCGCTGGTTGTGGCACCCCATCTTACAAGCTCGTCAGAGATGGACTATAGGAAGGTGGGGATTTTTTTTGTTTACCCTATATTCTTTTTTCGTGTGTGTGTTTTGGGGGGGGGTCTAATTACGTGATGATGTTTGCTTGGCACCGTCATGTTAAATATTGCTGGCTTGGCGTGGTCGCCGTAAAAGTTGTTGCCGGGAAATCCCCTCCTCCTTCGGACTGCATCTGCTGGCACGTGATACCGCGATTCACTTTCGACGCGTGGGAGAAAACTCTTTCTCACTTTAAAAGCATCATCACGATCATCCACCTTTACAACCTCGTCCACTGTCCAGTTCCCCAACGTGGTTTTGTGTCTGCAATCAAAAGGAGGCTTTGATACGCTATTCACACTTGTGCGCTATAAGTCCGCTCTCGTACCGTGGCGATGAATTCGCCTACCAGATCCCCACCGCGTCCTCGCCGGCAGGCAGCAGAGAAAGCTCTCAAAAAAGTCCACAACGCCTTTGGCGCTGGCGCCAGAAGACTGAGGACCACATTTACTCATCGGACAAAAAATGTGCAGACGCGCACACGTGACCGCACGCCACCTGGGACCCTTTCAAAAGGTGATAACACTTCTACGCAGTATAAACAGACACCGACTCACAAGCGTATGGCCAGTCATTCTGGTTTGATTCAGGAAGATGTCGTTTATGCCGACGACATAGGGATACGGATTTTGGCGGAATCCCGTGGAATCACGAGAAAGAACATCCCCCATGATGTATTCCGCTCGACTTTTCTAGGTCCCTTCAACCACAAAGACGATCGACCGCAGCTCAACATCCAAGACATTAAGAAAATTGGTATCGGTGATTGGGAACAGACGTCGTTCTTTCAGCGATTACAACAAGCACTCCCTGAGAAGGTTATATTTTGTTCGAAGTGTTTTTGGAGGCCTTCTGTTAATCTGGTCAATAGGTTCTTAATGACCTCAGTTTATCCAGCTCTTTCTCGAAGACGTTACTCGGAGCCAAACGAGGTAAGGAACCGCTTTCGCAACCAGATTTCTTTTTCCATCTCGAAACGGGTACTAGTTGGGCTCATGTGGAACTTGTTTTTGAGCATACGCAAAGCTCCTTGCAAAAGGCCCCTGAAAAATTCCTGCAGTGGTTGCGAAGCGCCTGGAACATATTCTATCATCAGCCCTTCCGCCGCTATCTCTACGGGATTCTCTTCCTCCAACCGTGTGCCTTAATTACTTACGTTGATCATGGCTGTGCCGGGTACTCTGAGCCACTTGATTTTGTGAAGAATCCTCAACACACTCAATTCCTCGCGGATTTCTTGGCAGACTTCATCGCGGAACCTGAACACCGTGGACGAGATCCCCATGTTACGGCTCATCAACAAGACGGCTCGATATTCATTGAGTATGCGGGAATAAAGTGGGCTGAAGCAACCGATAGCTTACTATGTTACCGTCCCTGCGTTTTTGGGAGACATCTCAGGGTCACGCGGGTGCATCCTGCGGACTCCCCGAACGATAAGTGGGTTATGAAGGATGCCTGGGAAGAGAAGCCTGAACACCAATCGCCGCCGCCTGAAGAAGAGGTTCTCCGCATTCTTGTCGAGGCAAACGTACGAGGCCTTCCACAGCTCCATGAATCGTGCCGTTCGATCACAGAAGACAGTGACAATGTGGAGGCGTCAAGCGACAATACGGAGGTGTTGACCAGCGAGTTTCCTCCGAATTGTGAGAACGCACTCGCGGCAATCATGGATCGAACCATGAAGGTGGTCAAATCCAGCTTCGTATCTGGGCGCACTTCAAAACTCGATCCCACCGGCGTATCTCTAGGCACTACAGGCAAGGATCTCCATTTCCGAGTCAACGGGCAGAAAAAGAATTTTAATGAATGTACCGACGTACGCAGACGACGTGCCCGCCTTATCATCTCATATTGTCAACCCTTGAAAGAGGCGATGCGCAATGCCCAACCAAAAGAACTCATGCGAACAATCCGCGACGCCATGATCGTTTATTACGAGGCATACAAACGTCCTGAGCCTGGTTTTCTTCATGGCGGTAACTTGACGAACATACTGGACGATGAACAACACTAATGAATTCTTAGATATTTCAATTGAGAACATCATGGTTCCGGTGGAAGAGACTCAACTTACTGGCGGCCTTACCCACGAGACACTGCGCGGTACTCTCATTGACTGGAATCTATGCTTCACCGCCGACGGGAGAGCATCCAGCAGAAGCATTCGAAGTGGGACTCCTGCATTCATGGCGCCGAGTCTTCTTGAGGACAAGCCAGTTACTCGAAGAACTCTGGGGCATGATATGGAGTCGTTCTTTGCCGTTATGCTTTGGGTTGCATCACTCAACTATGACGATGAGATCGCCTTTCAAGATAAGCCTCTGGTGAACGTGGTTATTGAAAAAAAGCCGACCACAGATATTGCAAACGCTAAAGTGCGTTGGTTCAGGGATGCAGTGGATTTCAAGGAGTCGATAATTAATCACTTTGAACAGCCATATCGCGAAGACGACGATTTTGTCAAATGCACATGGGACCTTCGGCGCGTCTTATACAAACGGGATTACGACGAAGATGCACTCATGCCTGGTGGAAAGGGACTAAGGGATCTCGAGGATACAAATGACGATGATCCAATGAAGGAGCGCTTGTTCAAAGAATGCATGACGGTTTTCGATATGCACCTCGGCGACGAAGGGAACCAAAGTGGCAGTTACCAATTGGTCAAGATCGATGCCGAGGAAGACCCAGAAGAATGGGAAGACGAGAATTGATACGGATTCTGCAGGACCAAAACGAATGTGCCACTTGCGTTGCTAGATGAGCTACAAAGCCTTGTATTATTATGACGTCTTACATAGAAGAGCACCAATCGACTATCTATTGTATCGAGAGCTGTCTCGTGTAACAACGATACCAACGAAGGGTAAGGGTCTGTCATGAGAGGTATAAGGAGAAGGATCACGAATCGCCGCGAGTGCCTAAGGTAGGGTGCGGAATAGCAATGTACTGAAACCTGTCTGTCTATCTAGGGGTTCGAAGGCTCTTATACCCTTCGATCCTTTTATCTCTTTACCCATTTACGGCGTCCAGCTCCCTTTCTATCGTTTCCGTCTTCCTGCCACCTCCACAATGGCTACGAACGATTCGAGACGTTCGAACCTCCTGTTCGACGTGATACATCGGGGTGTTACATCTTGCTTCTATTAATATTAAAGTGCCATCGACTCAGGCGGGCACTTGGACGCCATTTCAAATATTGAGTGGTTCACGAGGAATTCTCGTTGAATATATGTTGTAGCCTGCCGGGAACGTTGCAACCTAGCAGATAACCGCACCCTTTCAATTCCAGAGCACTCAACAACAGTCAATGTACATCCACTGATTGTTTGACAATGTCATGGCACAACCTGGAAGCCCCTCGAATGGTCTTGGTAGGCCCACTGTGGCTGTCGATAGCCTCGTGTGCCTGCCGATAGCCTTGTGTGCCTGCATGGTAGCCTTGCGCCATGACTGTACCGCTGACTATAAGTATCTAGGATAGCTTTGCACTGCTTTCATGTTCTTTGTCTCTCGTCTTGTACTTCATAGTGCATTGGATAGTAATATCATTGTCAGATCTTCACCATATACGTCTTTGCCCTGACAGACAATGACACATGGTGTCTCCACCAGAGGAGTTCCGAGCCGAAGAGCAGATGAACGGGACATTTTAGCGCCTTTAAGGACCCGTTAGCTACGACATAGTCGGAACCCCCTCCAGATGGGCCATAGACTGGATCCGATCAGACTGTGGAGGCGTTGAACGGTTGAACAAGTAGCCAGTGCCTCTTTATTGGGAAATGGGGTTATCACTTATGTAATAAAATCCAGTAACCTGGCAGGACCAGTTGCCAGATAGACAGATGTCAAACTTCTCTGTCGGACAGGGGGGTATAGGCTCCACCATTGAAACGCTGGTGAGAGGTTACCATAGACAACGATGTTGATGGTTGTTACTCTACGACGACGAGGTGTTCGCATGTCTATGAAGAAACTCTCAGCAACTCAACAAGTAGATAGAGAACAGAGCACTCCTTCACCTCAAGTTGCACGAGAAGTTTGACATTCTCTTATTGAAAGAGTGTTCTGATCGAATTCGGTCAGAGAGTGGCATTGAGCCTGTCTATACACCTATCTAACGAGTGTACGTCATCATTGCTGCCTGTCAATGGTGATACAGTCTGATGAGCGAGTGTTGCAAAATTACCCGGTTAGTCGTGAACGATAGGCTACCACCTGTTCAACAACAGAGCATTCAATACACATTCTCTTGGTACACTCAGTTTGACAGGAGGATATGCTGAGGTCGCAAGATACGCCATACGCTGCCGAAGGAACGAGACCACTTTCCACGTCCCACCCGACCACACAGTCCACGGATTGGATCCGATGGCGATGGTCTTTCATCGGATCTAATCTACGAACCATGTCGAGTGTGATCAATAGAGCTTCTCTAGGTGGTCCATAGACTGGATCCGATGCGTGGATCATGTCGATATCAACTTCTATTGAGTAGGGTTGGGCCCGGCACATGGTCCACAGACTGGATCCGATGGCGGTGCGGCCAGTGGAGTGCCCACGACATCACGTGATAATACCAAGCCATGGGCTTACGTGATTGGCTCGACAGCAGCCGAACTTGGTACGAGCAAGAACCCCCTCTCTTCCTTTTAATCTAATGCACCCGTCGTGCGTCACACTCTACCACCTGTATCCTTCTCTGCCGCATCAGGTACCCCTCGATTCTCTGCCGGCTCCTTCAAATTCTGCCTCGGTGCCTATTTGAGACCTGTTGCACAATGTCTCGTATTGAGGGCCCTGTCTTCCTGCAAGAGATCCTCCTATCTAGGTTCTCTATATACTTGTTCAATGAGTCGTCGAAATAGGCGCATGCAGGCCCGAGAAGGCACCAGCAGGCTGAAGGCCCACTTTACACAATCATACTGTCATGGTATAACGAGGCAGTCCTCGATAGTCTTTCCGAATTCGTCGAACGGCCTCGGCGGCATTGGCCCACTGTGGCTGTCGATAGCCTCGTGTGCCTGTGTGGAAGCCTTGTGGCATGACTATGCCACTGTCTACAAGTATCTAGAATGACCTCACACTGCTTCCATATCTCCTGTCTCTCGTCTTGTACTTTATAGTGCACTGGATAATAATATCATTGTCGGATATCCACCCTTGTTCCATAATAACCTCCCACCCTGACACATACAGTTGCGTGTCCTGGAGCCTGACAGGGACCCTATCTGGCCCTCTATAGAGGCTTAGCAAACGTGGGTCCATGCTACTGTATCGTTCCGATTGCATAGGAACACGGCGGCTGGCTAATCCTTAACTCAACAGAGCTTCTTGTCAACCTCCGTGGACGATTGTTCACTGTGGTATGGGACCAAAAATGGACTATGATCATGCTATAAATATCAGGTTTGGGAAGGGGGAGCCATTATGGAAGCCATCTCCTTTCTGTATCAACTTGGACCAAGTTGAGAAAGGCAGTTGGCCGTCACACAAACTTTCATGAGGTAATGAAGGTCAAATCCCAACTGTTTTCCTGTTGCACCCTTCTACTGTCCAGCGTATAATTGACAAGCAGACACTTCACACTTTACCCTCCTCATACTGTAGCTGAAAACGCAAGTCGGTTGAGAACGCAGTCTGATCCTTTGAAGCCTGGTTTCTGATTGGCTAGGAATACTGAGGATTTTGATGATCCTTTCTGTAGAAGGCTGACCTATTGTAATAATGTCATTAATTGGGTAAATATGTGTGATTAGATGGCCACGTGGGGTCAACATTCGGAGAATAAAGTATTGGCCAATTGGTCCGTTGCTGAGGTTTCACTTTGCTTTTGTCCACCTCTTGTAGCGCTTGAAATCTCGAGATTGCAAAGACGAATAGGCCACAGATAATGAGGTCGGACAATCCAACCCCTGCTGTAATGCTAGCAGGCTTCGCCTCTTCGCAAACCTAGGAGTCAGCTAGAAATAACGGTTCATCCCAAACCATGTCGCAAAACCATATCCACGTAGGAATACTTATGAGTTCTTCGGTACCATCATTGCAAAATGACAGTTTGCTGAGTGTTAAATAAGTTACACTGTTATGCAGCAGGAGACCAGACCAGATCTCATCCTAAGCATGTCGCCCGAATGTCGCGTTGTTGGACAGCACAATGTTTGCCTCTAAGGGATTGTGCGATGACCATGCTCTGTAATCTAGAGCTTGTAGATCCCATGGACATCGTTAAAATTGTCTCTGCTAAGGTCACTGTCCTCCACACATCGAGGACGTGTTCTTCTTTAGCGCTGTTCATCTTCATGGTCATTAGGGTGACGAAACAACTGGGCGCTTTCAAGTCCGTTGTTGTTATGTTCCGATCCAGTCTTGTTTTGATATCCTTTCTGGTGTGCTGATTGACTCTGCCCTGCAGTCCACTGCCGTAATTACTGGCCGAACCAACGTACAAATATCGGTCACTGGGACCGGGTATCGAGAGGCTACTATCCTAGCGTACACTCAAGCATTCGTTGAATTGACTGGAGATAAAATTTCGAGTTCGTCATAGGTAGGAGGTCGTAAGCCACCGAGGATCTTCTTCACACCTTCTGGGATCCCCTCTCTAAATTAGGGGCAACCCAGACTCTAGATGGCCTTCCCAAATTTCGAACAATCGCGTGGTAAAAAGCGTTTCTCGCGACCAAGATGGCAATTCCTGGGGGCCTTCCTCCACTACTTAACTACTGGGCCGCGTTCATAAGTAGACTGCGGTCAGGAAACAATTCGATTACCTAGTGTAATCACAGATATCAAAGGATCCCACCAGCTTCTAAGAGATCGCAGTTTGTAGCGCCTACTGACCCTTGACAGATTGCAGTTTGTAGCACGAGTAGTACTACAGGACGTCGTGTCGTGGGCATGCATATATACGCCGCAGCCCTGTGACGGGCGCTATATTGTGCTTTCCAGATTACTGTGGATTTGGAAATTCCACCAAGGTGACACACCGTACCATACGATGCTCTCTGTGCAAGGTCCGAATACGCTGTAGAACTCTGCACAATTGCTCGTGGAATTACAAGTGCATAACAACCCTCTTCGAAACTGCCGACCCTTTGCCCCAGAACGCCGGTATTGTCTATGTCTTTGATATTTTGAACCCACCAGGAACTAGAAACTGGAATATGCTGGTGGGATCGTATTTCTTGGCTACTGTTTTGAATGAAGTCGACGTTGGCATTTCCATAGCTGCCGAGAGGGCTCTGGCTTGAATCCGCATAATTGACATATTGCCATTGCACAGCGCCTGCCCTTGACTTTGCAAAAGACTGTATGTTTGCCGTCCAGTTCTGCATTTTCCCGTGCACCAGTTGATCGTATGTCGCATTTTGGTACGCAGCCGTACCAAGCCACAGGATGGAGTTGGTGTTGACAGAATCTAAGCCTAGGACATTGCCGCCCTTTTTGACACTAATATCGGCAAAATAGGCTGGGAGAGGCTGGACAACGCATTGAGTGGAAAAGCTGCCGCTGCCAAGAGAGGCCTTAAAATCCTCGACGATTTGGTCATGGCTCTGCCAGATGTGTTTGACTATCTCGACGTCGTTGTTGGTGGTCAGAGTGAACCGGACGATCCTTCGCCCAAGGTCAGCCCGGTCCACAACGACAGACACTCAGAAGAACGAGTTGGAGCTCGTCACACATACCGTGCCCCGCCTGGGTTTTGATAGGCTACAGTGACCTCTTCCAAACTCCTAGTCTTCCTGTCCGTTTGGATTGCCGGCACTTGCAGAGCCTCTGAAAATGCTGACGCATTCACAGTCCCTTCGGTGTCGATAATCACACTTGCAATGATGGTGTCCGAGGGCACGAGACTATTATATGTCGACAAAAGGAGGTATGCATCCTGTGGATTCTTGTAATTATTTTCGTTGAAATTCACCAGCGCAGTGGCAAGTTGATTTGATGCCGTTTGGTTGTGTACCGCCATGCCTCCCCAGAGTGGCACAGCCGGCAAGGTTTCAACGTCGAAGCGGGTGACGATTCCGAAGCTGGAGCCGGAGCCACCTTTGAGTGCTTTCCACAGATCCGGGTTGCTTGACTTGTTCGTGTTCACAACCTTGCCGGAGGCCAGAACAATCTCATAGTTGACCACGGTGTCGATCGCAAGTCCCGCGCGTCCGGCATAGTAAGAGTTACCACCGCCGGTCAAAAAGCCGGCAACCCCGACGTCGCCATCTCGACCGCCCATAGAGACGACATTATGGGGCGCTAGATCGGCGTATACATCTCTCCACCTGGGTCCTAACTGAATCGAAGCGATGGTGGTTTGGGGATCATAAGTGACGTTTGTCATGAGGCCTAGATCGACCGTCACTCCATCATGTATATCATTTGCTCCAGAGCTCTGCATATGCCCACCACTCCGGATGGCGAACTTGGACCTCGAATCGACAAGGGCTTTGACGACATGAGAGACCTCCCCAATATTGCGTGGCTGGACAATACATTGGGGTCCCAGGGCAGTGTTGGTCTGTCATATCTGGGACGAGAGGAGGAAGGAAAGGAGCAATGGAATACCGCAATGGCAAAGGTTGACTGAAGTAGTCGTTGTTATGGTCTCTCTGTGTCTTGTTCTTCTGAGAGTTGTGTGGAGTAGCAAGAGTGGAAGAAGTAGACGAGTGCTTTTGTGGCTAGTCCCAACTAGGCCTAGCGTTCCACGTGATATGGTCGCCCAATAAGCGGGTAATGTTATTCTGTACACCACATTTTGTTATTCTGTACACCGCTTTTGATTGGTCCGGATTTTTATTTTTCCGGTTATCTGCGCAGTTCGAAGATACGTGATGTCACAACACCTAAGTCTGCCTATATAGAATGCAGAAATGATGGTTAACGATGGTATCCTCTGCACGGTCGATACCTCGTGCTGACTAAGGTAACAAACCAGCGCCCATAGGCTTGGGAGGACCGCTCATAAGCCGGAGGGGGAAACCGCCCATGAACCGGGGGGAAACCGCCCATAAGCCGGGGGGCAACTGCCCCGCTTATGGGCGGTTCCCACCCAAGCCTATGGGCGCTGGTTTGTTACCTTAGTCAGCACGAGGTATCGACCGTGCAGGGGATCTCTACACAAATCCGGCTGTGTAGGCCACAATAATTTACAAAGTATACAGAGAAGCTCAAAATGCACGGTACTTATCTACCAAGGAAAAGGGAATCAAATGTGTTTATTGCTTCGCAACCACCTATAACGGGGAGAGTTTAACGCGTCACCCCTCCACAGCTACGCCACTTACTAGTGTTTTCTCGCCATCGCCGGGCCAACGGCAACAAGCTCTGTTAGCGCGGTGTACAGAATAACAGGATGAGAGCGTTAAGTGTACAGAATAAGGCGAGAGAGAGGTGGTGGTGTACAGAATAAGGAGAGTTGAGGCATGGTGTACAGAATAAGCAGGTTTTCCGGTGTACAGAATAACAAAAGTTGGTGTACAGAATAATACCCCCCCCAATAAGCTGCCTCCCGTTGAGTGCATGCCGTGTCCCCGGGATAGAGCAATAGTGCTCCAAGCCCAGCACTGGAGAGAGCATTGCACTATGAGAGGCCCGAGTCAGAACACTGCATCATGTCAAGCTCGCAAACGGGCATTTCGAGGCAGGGGTGAGGCCAGGGGGGAAGCAAAGTTCGGTAGTCAATACATGTGTGACCATGGGTAAACGGTCTCAGCCAAGTGATCGAAGAATGTATAGAACTTGAAGTCAGCTTCGAAGTCGCATTAACGTCCACTGCAGCCAATTGTGTGTAAGGGGCCAGAAGGGCCGCCACAGTAGTGGCACCTTGCAGGTTTGACAGCATTGTCGGTATTACAGGGCAAATGTAACTCGCCTAATTCTGGTTTCCAGTAGTTGTATAGTATATAAGGTAAGTTAATCTTCGAGACGACGGAAGGAAGTCGACTGAGGAGGGTGGGGGCCTGACATGGGAAGGGACCAGGGAGAGCGATCTTGGCATCGAGGGAAGAAGCAGCGGCACTGACCGCCAAATTCGGCGGGAAATTTCCCTGCAACCTGCGTTGAACTGTATTGAATACTCTGTTCTCTATCCACTTGTTGCATTCCTGACGTCCCTTTTATAGATGTGTGAATATCTCCCTGTCGCGCAGAGCAACCACCAGGAATACTGTTGTCTATGGAAACCATTTACCAGTGCTTCAGTGGTGGGGCCTATTATGATAACTCCCTTGTTCGACAGGAGTACTAGGCAGAACACCAATGTCGGATCTTTGGTATCAAGTTCCACAGATAAAATAGCCGTAACGTAATCTGAATTTGTTGTTGTACGAATGTCTTGCACAAATCTATCCAACAGCACTAATTGTAGCTTGGGGACGATGTCTTCTATAACGGCGTTCTTGGGCGTCGAACTGCTGCCTACTAATGCCTACCACTGCCCACTGCTGTCTACTGCTGCCTAATATCTATGGCTCCATGAACAAGTATATATAGATACCAGTCAGCGGACATCAATGTAACAATCAAGAGCTATTCACTCTTCCTTTCTTTGTTCGACATTGGGGTTTTCGCTCAGGAAGACCGTTTTTGTTGAATAAACGATAACCTATCGTTCATGGCAAACCTACTCACTTTGTAACATTCACCTCCTGGCGTGTAACACCATTGATAGGCAACAGCGCCAACATACACCTCGTAGATAGATATATAGATGGGCTCTATCCCACACTCATTTGGGGAGCCCAGAGCACTCAATACATCTCGAGTTGCACCCAGTTCGACAGTTTTCGACGACCTCGCACCCAAACCCCCAGAGAGATTGTGCGCAATATCGTTCACGAGAAGTTGCTGCTCATCATCGACCTGGGAAGTACTCGCTAACCTTATCTGCACCAGCCTCCTCGATGAAGAAAATGACACATTGGTATCTCTACCAGAAGAGGATCTTCGAGCCGAAGAACAGATGAACGGGACATTTTTGCGCCTCTAAGGTCTTGTTCGCTACGACATTGTCTGGTAAGGCTGGGGAGGCTATGCTAAGGTAGCATCCGGCCACATGATCCTCAGATTGGATCCGATGGCGGTGGTATTTCATAGGATCCGATCCATGGACCATCTAGATATCGAAGGATTGGCTGATGTGAGGGAGAATCCGGTGTTGCCTAATCGGGATGGTCCCGTTCGGCCACATGGTCCATGGATCGGATCCCATGAAATACCACCGCCATCGGATCCAATCCGTGGACCATCTAGATATCGAGGCCGGCAGGTAAACCTCGTCGATCTGTCATATGTCAACACGAAAACTTGGAAAATGTTGGACAGGTCTGTAATTGGTGGCACGCCAAAAGTTTATATATATTCAGAGTTCAGCTGACTAGTCTGAATTCAGCCTTTATGTCACATCGGACGAGATGTAGATTTCTACTAACGCCTCTAGCTTATAATAGACGACATTCGTTTCGGGGGGCATAAATAATTAAAACAGCTAGTTACCCCTAGCAGATAGCGCTGCTAGCTCATATATTCTCTTCTGTCAAACTGGGTGCAACTCGCGATGTGTTGAATGCTCTGTTCTCTATCTACTTGACGGGGTGCTGAGGCTTCTTTTATAGATATACGAATACTACGTCGTTACGCAGAGCAACCATCAGTAACGTCGTCGTCTATGGAGACCTCTCAGCAGTGTTTCAGCGGTGGGCCCTATACACAATAGCCCTTTGTTCATGCCGCTACAACAACCGAGAGAAAATGTCACGTGTCACTACGGGGCCATCAACACCCCCCATATAGTTTAGCCCAAATGCTAATTTCGACGTTTTTTCAGCTGGACCAGAACATCCTGGAGTCAAATCCACTCTCTCAAAGGTTATTCGGGCTGTCCATGGAGCAGATCTGAGGGTGGGCTCTAGTATAAACTTTTCGATCTACTGGGTGAATGTTGACCAGTATCCAGTGCCCTATTGGAGGGTCTAGCGAGCAAATCTACTCTCTGGGTCGTAAATCCTATGAGGCGGTGTCCTACGAGGCTACAACACCGGCCACAGCACAGGTAATAATGCTGACGGACACTGTTCAGATCGCTATACAGACGGGCTCAATTCTCTGGTCGGATCCGGCCAGAGCACCCTTTCGATTCTAGAGCACTTAACAATGTATACCCACTGATTGTTTGACGTACCTTGAGGGTACTCGCTGGATGTCGCTGATAAAGGAAGTGCCTATTGAGGCAACGGCAACAAGAAGAACACTTTACAACACCAGGAAAGTCTACGCATTTGCAGATGGATTGATACGAAGCACTCAAATCGCGACTTGATGTGAGTGCTTCGACTTTAATGTTTTGGTGCGTCGATTTGTGTGCGCTTTACATGGGATTTTAGGTACCTTTATATTATTGGTTACCTCTTTCCAGTACGAAGGTTCTGTTAGGAGTTGTTTCCCCCCGCTGCATCTGCAGGCACCTGAAACCGTGACTCACCTAGGATGCGCGGGGAAAAATCTCACTGTAATAGCATCATCATGATTATCCGTCCTTGCAACCTCGTCTACTTGCAAACTAGTTCTCAACGTGGCTTTTTATCTTCTATCTGAAAGCTTTAACACACCATAAGTCCACTCTTGCATCGTGGCGATGAATCCACCCGCCGGCCCCTCGTCGCGTCCTCGTCGAAAGGCGATAGAGAAAGCTCTCAAAAAGGTTCACAATATCTACCGTCGCGGAACTAAAACATCGAGAGCCATATCCACCAAGCGGGCAAAGAAAACACGAAAGCGCGCACAAGATCGCACGCCGTCTCGATCCCTTTCTCACGTTGACAATGATGACAGTTCTGTGCAGTACATACTAACACCGAATCACAAGCATATGCTCTACTACTCTGGTATGATTCAGAAAGATAATGTCATCCATGTCGACGAAATAGATCTAGAGACTTTGGTCAACGCTCGTGGAATCACAAGAAAGAACATCCCTTATGATATATTCCGCTCGACCTTTCTAGGCCCCTTCAAACACAAAGACGAACGACCGCGACTCAAAATCAAAGCCATTAAGAATGTTGGTATCGGTGATTGGGAACAGACTTCGTTCTTTCAGCGGTTGCAAAAAGCACTTCCAAAAAAGGTTATGTTTTTAATCGGGGCGATTTTGAGGTCTTCTACTAACCTAGTCAATAGGCTCTTAATGACCTCATTTTATCCAGCCCTTTCTCGAAGACGTTATCCGGAACTAAACAGGGCAAGAAGCCGCATTCGCAACCAGATTTCTTTTTCCATCTCGGAACGAATACAGATTGGGCTCATGTGGAACTTATTTTCAAGCATACGCGAAGCTCCTTGCAAAAGGCCCCTGAAAAATTCCTGCAGTGGTTGCGAAGTGCCTGGAACATATTCTATCATCAGCCCTTTCGTCGCCACATTTACGGAATTCTTTTCTTACAGCCGTACGCCTTAATCACCTATGTTGATCATGGCTGTGCCGGGTACTCTGAGCCACTTGATTTTGTGAAAAATCCTCAACACACTCAGTTCCTCACGGATTTTCTGGCGGATTTTATCGCAGAACCCGAACACCGTGGACGAGATCCCCATGTTACGGCTCATGGAAAAGACGGCTCGATATTCATCGAGCATGCGGGAATAAAGTGGGCTGAGGTATTCGATGGATTATTATGCTACCGCCCCCGTGTGTTTAAGAGGAATCTCAGGGTTTCGCGAGTACATCCTATCGACTTCCCGGAAGATAAATGGGTTATGAAGAATACCTGGGAAGAGATACTCGAAAACCCATCGCCGCCAGCTGAAGAGGAGGTTCTTCGAATTCTTGTCGAAGCAAACGTAAGAGGCCTTCCACAGCTTCACGAGTCTTGTCGTTCAACTATAAAACACATTCACAATATAGAGCCGTTAAGTGATAACGTGAAGACGTCAAGTGACAAAACGAAGATATCAAGCGACAATATAAAAGTATCCAGCGACAACATGGAGGTATTAACAAGCAAGTTCCCTCCGAATTGTGAAAACGCACTCGCAGCAATAACTAATCGAATTATGATGGTGGTCGAATCCGGCTTCGTATCTAAACGAACTTCAAAATCCAATCTCTCCGGCGTATCTTCAGGCATTACCGATAAGGAATTCGTTTTCCCGGACAGAGAGCGTAAGAAGTTTTCTAATGAATGCATCGACGTCCGCAGACGACGTGCGCGTCTTATCATCTCATATTGTCAACCCTTGAAAGAGGCGATGCGCAATGCCCAACCAAAAGAACTCATGCGAACAATCCGCGACGCCATGATCGTTTATTACGAGGCCTACAAACGTCCTGAGCCTGGTTTTCTTCATGGCGGTAACTTGACGAACATACTGGGCGATGAACAACACTAATGAATTCTTAGATATTTCAATTGAGAACATCATGGTTCCGGTGGAAGAGACTCAGCTTACTGGCGGCCTTACCCACGAGACACTGCGCGGTACTCTCATTGACTGGAATCTATGCTTCACCGCCGACGGGAGAGCATCCAGCAGAAGCATTCGAAGTGGGACTCCTGCATTCATGGCGCCGAGTCTTCTTCGGGACAAGCCAGTTACTCGAAGAACTCTGGGGCATGATATGGAGTCGTTCTTTGCCGTTATGCTTTGGGTTGCATCACTCAACTATGACGATGAGATCGCCTTTCAAGATAAGCCTCTGGTGAACGTGGTTATTGAAAAAAAGCCGACCACAGATATTGCAAACGCTAAATTGCTTTGGTTTCAGGTTGCAGCGGAGTTCGAGGAGTCGATAATTAATCACTTTGAACAGCCATATCGCGAAGATGACGACTTTGTCGAATGCACATGGGACCTTCGGCACGTCTTATACAAAGGGGATTACGACGAAGATGATTTCAGGCGTGGTAGAAAGGGGCGAAGGGATCTCGAGGATACGAATGACGATGATCCAATGAAGGAGCGCTTGTTCAAAGAATGCATGACGGTTTTCGATATGCACCTCGGCGACGAAGGGAACCAAAGTGGCAGTTACCAGTTGGACAAGATCGATACTAGGGGAGACTTAGAAGAATCGGAAGACGAGATTTAATCAGCGTTCGAAGTTGTCAATATATGTCGAACAAGGGAGTTATCATACACAGGCTCGACCATTGAAACATTGCTTGTTGACATTATCCAGACTGTACTCATGCCTGTGCTGTAGCCTGCGGCTGCCTAGACGAGTAACTGTGTATTTAAAGTCGTTCATTATCCTTAGATAATCAGATAGGCAAGTCTCCATAGCCCAATGCACATGCACTTCTGCATCCACTCTCTCAACATTGCTAATAGGTTTTGTTGAACAATGGATAGCTGTTGGACAATAGCATTGAACAAATGCTAGCCAATCATTTACAACAGACTAGGACATTTTGCAACACTCGCTCAATAGGCTGTATCGCCATTGACAGGCAGCAATGGTGACGTACGCTCGTTAGATAGATATATAAATGGGCTCTATCCTACACTCATGAGGAGAGCCAGAGCACTCTTTCAATTCACGAAGTTCAACAGGTTATCACCCCTATGCAGGATTTAGGGGGTGGAAATAGGAGAAGAAAAGGGGTCAAACCAACGTGTATATACCAGCAACCTGGCAGGACCGATTGTGAGGTAGACAGAGCATTTGTTGGATGACGAGAGGTCTCCATGGGCAACGACGTTACAGATGGTTGCTCTGTGCAACAGTGTAGCATTCGTGTGTCTATAAAAAGAGCCTCAACACCTCGATAGGTAGATAGGGAACAGAGCGCTCCTTCATCTCAAGTTGCATAGAAAGTATGACAGCATTCAATATATTTCAAGTTGTTCCCCAGTTCGACACTAACTTTGCATGGGCCTGTCCCCTACGTTCAACACCAAGTTCCTACACAACAAAACATTACTTCTACTTCGTACGAAGCTAGGAAGATTTGGGCCATTCAAGCTACTTAGAATGACCAAAATCTAAGTACTAACGCTGCAGCAAAGCTCTAGGACGTACGACGTGAGACCCTTCCGCGACCGGCTCACTGGCTGACGTGCATGACGCGACATCCCAGCTATTCGCGTAAGCTCACCAAGCCTTCCTCACGTAACAATGCCAAAAAAATATGTCGCGCGATTTTGTCAACACCACTCTCATACGGCGAAAACAAAGAAAAAGTACCAAATGGCCCCCCTCCTATAGTCCATCTCTGACGAACTGATAAATGGGGCGCCACAACCAGTGAAAGCTTCAATCAGACAAGTATCAACTGAAGGAAAGTGTGAATCAGTGACCTCCAACAGTATCACTTAGTATGACATCAACAATCACTGGCTGGAGCATTACATTTACCCATGTAGGGCACCTAGACTCAATGGAGCTAGGCCGGACAACCCTCTTGCCTTACCTATGATCGAACACTAGTAAGGTCCCTCAATTCTATCGGTTCGACTAAAACCGAGTGTGCCCACTCGGTTTCGTCCTTGATAGGTCAACCACGATCTGGTGTCAATTTTGAAGCAGTTTTTGGCATTATAAAATATAAACTTGATTTTCTTTTTTTTTAATTTTTAATTTTGGAATCGCCTGGTTAGGGCTTGGCGTTGTGTGGCGACGCCAAGAGCAACGTGCTGGCCAATCACGTAAGACTATGTCTTGGCGGTGTCACGTGGGCACGTGGCTACTCCCCTTGACGCACCATCATCGGATCCAATCCGTGGACCATGTGGCCGGGGGGGAACCCTACTCGATAGAAGTCGATGTCGAGATGGACCGCGTATCGGATCCAGTCTGTGGACCACCCACACAGACACTCGAGATGGTTCGTAACCGAGCGTGAACGGACGAGCCCCGACGTCGAGATGATCCATGAATTGGATCCGATGGAGGGGGTCTTTCATCGGATCCAGTCTGTGGACCACCCACACAGGCTCTACTAATCGCACTCGAGATGGTTCGTAACCGAGCGTGGACGGACAAGCCGCGATATCGAGATGATTCATGGATTGGATCCCATTATCTTTGGGAAAAGGGGGGGCTATCCAAATATCCAAATGAGATCTGTCGAACAAGGTCTCATTGAACGGCCGAATAGTAGCAAGTGTCCCCTTTGTTGAAAAGGAGGTTACCACCCCTATGCAGGCTTTAGGGGTAGAAATAGGAGAAGAAAAGGGGTCAACTCAACGTGTATATATACCAGTAACCCGGCAGGACCGGTTGGGTGGTAGACAGAGCATTCAATACATCTCAGGTTGTCCCCCAGTTTGACAAGATCCTGTTGAACAAACGATAACCTATTGTTCATGGCAAACCTACTCGTTTTGTAACATTCACCTCCTGGCGTGCAACACCATTAACAGGCAACAACGCCAGCATACACCTCGTAGATAGATATATAGATGGGCTCTATCCCACACTCATTTGAAGAGCCCAGAGCATTCAATACATCCTAAGTTGCACCCAGTTTGACAGATCCAAATCAAATCAAATCAAATTGATCCTTTTCGACCCTGAAAATGACCCTACAGCTTTTGGAAGCTGGGACGGTCTTTCGGGACCATGGCCAAATCAGGATCCCTCGTGCCCCTACTACCTGTTTCCTCTACCATGCGCAAGCTGCTGTTCATTTCCCGATATCGTATTCTGGTAAATGTTGGCGCCTGATCTCTGACACATGTGAGCAATCACGCCAGTAACTCCAGTGGCTATTCGTTGTAACAACGATACCAACGAAGGGTAAGGATTTATTACGAGGGGTTGTAGGGAGAGGGATCATAAATCGTTACGAGTACACAAGGTAGGGTGTGGAATAGTAATGTACTGAAACCTGTCTATCTAGTGGTTCGAAGGCTCTTCTTGTACCTTTCGATCCTTCCGCTCTTTGCCTATTTTCGGCGTCCAGCCCCCTTCCTGCGACTTCTGCGATGGCTGGGAATTCGTTCCCGTTCCCGTCCCTCTCCCTTTTCTCAAAAACCATTTATAAAGAGGTTTAGTGTACGAAGGCCCAAAGTCATTTTGGATTGATTTGTGGCGCTGTGACCAAGACTGACACAGAAGTTCCATGTCCAGTGTCTACATCTTGTCCCCTCTGACGATGTCTGACTTATTCATTTCCTTGCCAGAGAGCCGAATTTTCCTCGCAAAACCGTTTCATCACCGTCGACTGAAAGGTGATCTCTCGAGAATTCAAGTGGAATGCGAATATGTTTGCTTCCAATAACTTATCCCCGGTGTCGGCACCTACTAGCTTATAGAAGGCGTTCGACGAGATGGAACCCTTCTTTAAAAGCTCACGTATAATCACCGCTCCCTCCTTGTGATAACGATGTGCAGGGAGAACTTGAGCGGACATGAGTTGTCCATTAACGTCGTAAAATATCATCTGGCGTATAGCTAAAGGGCAGTCAGAAATCAATCCTGTTTTCTGTATGCTGTACACGTACCCTCAAATGCGCCGTTTCTCTCAAGTTTGTCTGCGATAAACTTGAGGTGTATCATGCGGCCACCAACGAGGTGATAAATTTGCGCTGCCCGCTCCTTATCGATGTTCCGGAGTTTGAGGTACTGTAGAGCTTCTTCTTTACTCACATCACCAATTTCGATGATTTCCCCTCTTCTCGACCATGAACTTCTCTCTATAACACTTGATTAGCATATAAATAATAAAAAAAGGGTGTAGACATCCAACATGATTAACTTACCCATCATGCGACGTGGTACCCGGCCTTTACTTGACACAAACACAACGGCAGCTGTTCCTTTATCGGCAGCATTCTTCGCATAGTCTTGAAATCGGTCAAGAAGCCTCGGCAGACTCTGGGCGAGTCGGTTCGCATTGTCGACTATCAAGACCGGTACTTTCCCATGCTCCTGCTTGTACTTGATGGCAAGACGGGAAAAAACCCGCATTACTTCTATAAAAGATGCCGCTACGAATCAATCAGCCTTAAGCAATGCTCATTGGAAGGAACCGCAGTAGTTACGTTCGCTGGGATCGATCAACGGATCTGGGTCCCACCCCAAAGACATTTGTATCGTCCTGATCACATCGGCTTCTAAGTCGCATTCAAGCGGGATATCGACATATACGACGCCCTTAGGCTCGTCTATGCCATTCACAGCGAACTCGATTAGGCTTGTCTTTCCGGTTCCGTGCTCTCCGATAATAAGGGGGTAAAGACGATCTCCCTCCGTTGGTGTGACGATATCTTTTATTTCCTCCATAAGGCCCTTGCGTGGGATAGTGTATTTAATCACCTCCTGAAATGCCGGTCCCTTTTTGAGCTTATCATAGATTGCAGATTCGCGTGTAGATTCGTGCGCACGTCTCCGAAATTCCTGGTACCAATCTCCCCAGATTGACTGGGTGGCATATATAGTGAGACCCTTCAGGTAATCAGTATGTCTTAACATATGCAAGGGCGCCTTTACATACAAGACCAACGGTAGCCAAGCCGCCAGCCAAAACACCTGTCCAGACTTTGCTCCAGACATTGCCCCAAGCAGTAGGGGAGAACCAGTTCTTCCGCCTATGCTCGGGTCCAGAAGATTGAGAGCCCTCAGGAGATCCAGCAGATTTTGGAGAGGGGGTAGAGGTCGAGTCTGAGTATGATCTGGAGTTGAGAGTCTGCAACGTAGGGTATTCAAGTTTGAGGACGGTCCGAGGTAAAATATCGCGCCGTCGAGGTGGCCGACGAGCCTCAAATGCTGCATTAACCACGAACTTGGATGCCATGGTTGCAATGATGATGCGTGGTGAAGTGACTGCCGAGCGAATGGGATGCTAAACCGTACCTCCGTAGAGTTCCCCCGGGCACATGGTCCCACGGATTGGGATCCCCGCCGCTTTTGACATCTATAAGAACCCTCTTCCCATCCCATCCCCATCCTTCTTCTCTTCCAACCTGTTTTCTTTTCTCTCACCTCCGTCGCCCTGATGCACCCGTCCTGCGTCTCACATGAGCACCGCCTGAATCCCCCCTGTCGCATTAGGCCCCCACCTCCCTCTCGATTCTCCACCGGCTCCTTCTAAAATCTGCCTCGCCTCTCCCAGAGCAACCCCGATCGCTCTCCCAATTCCCGATCCTCACGGCCTCCACACCCTCGATGCAACCCGCTTCGGGCCCCCCTTCATGTCTCCAGTTCCTCCATGGCACATTCGGCTTTACCGGCCATGCACTGTGCAGGCTCAGCTGACCCCTTCATCATCTACGCCCCGACCAGCGTCCTGAGGATGTCGGCGTCGGTGCGTCTTCTGTTGACCGCTTTGCGAAGATAAATTCGCGTGATGAGCTCTGGCGATTGTTCCAGACTCGCGAAATGCCCGGAGAGATGGCCGTCAAAATCGAATATCGTCAGTTGCCCGTAGATGACACTCAGCTCTCCCTGCTGCACCGTCTGCACCTTGAACCTGGTGGAGGACGGCGCGGAAGACGGCGCAGAACGGCTGACGCAGCGAGCTGAGTGCCTCACCTGTTTGCGTCCGATCGCGAAAATGCCGCACGAGTTGATCGGCAGTGAGTCTGCATTGCTGTCTGCGTTCCGCCTCGAATTTGCAACGTTGAGGTGGGACTGCGCTCTCCATTTTGGCCCCCAGCGGCTCGGGGGGAAAGGGTTGTCATCCGGCGACAGGAGCCACGTTGGCATGTTACAAGTGGATTCTCAGCTGCTGTCTCCCTCGTTTTGAGCCGAATGCAGTACGGTGCCCCTCGAAACAGGGCTTGACGACGACGGTGCGTAAGGGGAAAGTGGAAAGTGCGATTCGCAAGACACCCGGACGAACGCAGACGTCGGTTCTCCATTCCAGATGGGGGGCAGACGGGCGTGTGCGCTTGAGAGGTTAGCCAAAGAATCACTGAAGGCAGCTATTTCGAGGCCATCGGGGATGTTCCCATCGTCCTTGAACTTTTCAGGGCCTTGGGAACGAGCCAGCGCCTCATGCCATCCCCTCATTCTCGAGGCAGGTATTGCCGTGGTCAATGCCACCCTCAAGATAACTGAAGCCATTGTCTCTCATGACGTTTCGGCTGCATGACCTGCTCCACTTCGTCGCCGTGATAATCTTCTCCCCGCCTCACGGGCCGGAAACACCAGCAGAGAAGTTTTTGGCAGGCCAGGGTTTAAACTCGGCAGTTGAAAAATTGAACTGTGCCTTGTGAGACGAGGGAAAAAGCACGGAGGCCGATGGGGCAGTGCTGATTGTCTATATGAATGACACCAGTTCCTTCGTTATTCTCGACCGTCAGATCCATTCTCCTGCTTTACATCTCTCGGAACAGTGCACTCTAATCATGACGACTTTCATTGCGTATCAACCTCGGGAAAATGCACCCTTCTTCAGAAGTCAGACGTTCAGCAAATCTCCCACAGTCGGGCATGGGCATTCCAGGTGGGTGTCGAGCAGACAAATTTCAAAATCTCCTCAACAGGCGACGCCTGTAAGCAATGCGGATTTTGTCGATTTGACTGCCTCCCACCCGGACGCCGCTCGAGAGTACCTGGTAGCGCGAGAAATCTTGGAGCGGCATAGACTCCTTTGCCTACAGCTGGGGACACCGATATTCTCGGGCCGGCGATCTATCCGCTCAGTTTTGATTCCTAGCACGAAAATATAGAAGTGAAAGTTAAAAAGGGATCCATGCTTAGCTTCAGCTCCTCGCTCTTTCTGTGATATCGTTACAAAGCAGCCATAATCCCTAGGAAAGCGATAGCACTTCAGTTGCCGTACTCCTTTTATTAGCCACGGCCAGTCCTGCAATGTGTCGGTTGATCTTGCCATGGCTTGTGCCACCTTCTAGTGAGCGGATTCCCAGACACCGTCTGCCCATTCCGCAAGATCGGCCGGGGAAAAGAAGATGTCACGTTCTGGTGGGATAGGGGTTCGGAGAAGAAGTTTCTGAAATTCGAGAACCAGAGGCGCTCCAGCAACATCATATGCTGAGGTAGTGCCTGGTTGAATGGTGACCGTTGGCTGACCGAAGGTACTTGCCTGAGCAGTAGAACCTAGGTGTGGAGTGGGATTTTGTATGACCATAAGCTCTTGCACTTTTGTCGGAACTGAACCGGTGGAAGCTGCCTGTGCTCTCGTAGTTGGCCTAGATGCAGAAGCCGGAGCAAGACACCACTTTTCGACCAGTAGCATCTTTTCTTGTTGCCGTATTGAGATGAGAAGAACAATCTCCGCATGACTTGTAGGATCGCTAAGCCACCATCTTGCGTCATGTCTTAGATGGTTAAGCGACTCGGAGAGTCCAGACTCCAAAACAATCGTTGGAAAATCAGTTTTCTGGTCCCGAGTGGCGGGCTTGTATGCTGTATCGCCTTCCTTAGAAGAGTGGGGCCGAGAGTATCTTCCCGCGCCAACAGCAGGAAAGTGGTTTCGCTTTATACCCATTTGGATAAGTTCGAATTTGATATTTTCGCCTAGGTTGCGGTGCACCATTTCGTGTTCCACCGAGGGCATCAATTTGATAATCAACAGATTGTCGTACGTGTAACAGCTCATTCGAGCATGCCTGCCGATGCTCTCACGCTTAGCGTCAATCTCAGCGAGGTCATCTTTTTTGACATCCCGGAAAACAAGGAACTGCTGATTCGTGCGGCCGGCCATCAACGCAGTAGACAGTGACTTGACACAGCCGCGTAGACCTCGAAACGATTTGTACTGATGAATGTGAGTACGTTCTAACCCTTGCAAGGGCGACATCTCTGGTGAAATCTGATCTGGCGTGGTCTCTTTCGATTCAGCTACGCTGGGGGATGACCTTGATATGAGTGCGTATGTACGTGGCATATCGCTGGATTCGCAGGTTGTAGCCATGTTGAAGTCCGAAGGGCGAGAGCAGGCCGGAAGCAGCGATGTAGAAGGAGCAGAAAAATCTCGAGGTAGAGAAGTCGTTGATGGAGCATCGAGGAGAGATGGTGAACACTCAAGTAGTCGATGGAGAGTGTAAGGCTTGGCACCCAAAGTTCGGAGTCCGAGGCCGAGCCTGATGAAGTATGAATGAGTGATCAATATGAAGGATGGAGAGTGCTGGTTGAGCAGCAGATATTGCATACATCAAAGGCGGCAGCTTTGCTTGGCAAGATGTTAAACTGGTGAACTTTGATCGCTGCTAAGCGCTGTGATTGGCTGTAATATTCACAACCTCTCGGAGCACTCATAGGCACTTACTGGTGCCTAGCAGGTAAGTTACGACAGAGTCAGAGACTGTCTTGACATTAAGACACCGGCCACCCGGTGGCAAGTAGTTTTGTGAACCTGCAGCTCAATAGATTGTTCGCTATTCACAACGACATACCGGTGAGAGAACTTTTAACGGATCTACATCAAACCAGAGCGGGAAGTGGTGCATCGACGAAGGATCCAGATTTAGCCCCGGTCCCAAAAAGCTGCAGGTTCGTTTTCAGGGTCAAAACAATTTTCCTCTTCACCGGCATTTTTCTACCTCAACACATCGACTGGGCTGGTACACTTGGCAAAGGGGCTGATCTTCGAAATAAAAGCTGATAGGTAACGTCGATGTGATCTCCACACTCGTCGCGAATCTTCATTAGGCAAAGGGTCTCCGAGCAAGTGCAGCAGCTAGTTTTCTTTCCTCTGGAACCGAACGCATCATCGCCCGTATGAATTGGAGGAAATGTTTTTTTGCATTTACCTATCTGATATTTCGAGAGAGATTCGTTAGTATTTAGAGGTCCCAATCCCTTACGTCTGTTATAGGTTTGTCGGCTGGGTGAACCTATGCACGGCTAAGAGGAGCTTACTGAGCTTCGATAGCAAGGTAGCTTACTTGGACATCCCCGTTCCTCTTCATTTACAGCAACTATCTAAAGCTCTTTACATGAGCATCTGGACCGCTGTGGACTGTTCTGTTGCTATCATAGCGCTTCAGTTATCAAACGAATTTGGAATTGAAATTATACCCATGGCAAGCGAGGAACAGGCTGACTAGTTGTTATTTGGGACAGAGGAGGGAGTCTCACAAGACTTAAAAACGAGCTCGAATCTGAAGCTGGGGTCCCAGACAGAGATGATGAATTTACGGGGCTAAGCCACGTCCATTCAGCATAATGCCTGCTTTGACAGCTCGGGACTGAATCGAGAGGGTGGACCGAGGCGGACACACCAATGGTGTTGCGACTGAACGGTGGAATGTTTTCTGGGGGTTGATAGAGATGAAACACAGCCTGATTCTTCAACTACCGGGTTCACAATCTCGGCACGCCGGTGTGATGCTGCCTGCATCTTCCATCAGGGTACGAGACTGTCGCGGCAGTTCTATGGAGTAGACGGATCACGCCGAAACGCCGTAACGGCGTGATAGACAAAAGATTCACCCCCCCCCCCCCCCTTTTCCCTCACTAGCTGAGGAGATGGTGGATTCGACAACGGGAGGCGGCCGTATAGTGTGCCGTTCGATTCCTTCGTGGTTCGGGGTGGTGAGCGTCCCTACACGTCAGCACATGGGTGACAGATAGAGTCAAAGTCGGTGGACAAAAAATGGCTGCTATGGAGGGCCGCAACCATTCGAGTCGAGATCGTGGCAAAGGAAGAGTCGGTGGTTGGAGGGTCGGTGGCAGATGGAGGCTGGCAAAAGGAAGGGTTTTTGGTTTGGGGTTTTGTGAAAAGGGGGGTTGTTGAAAGTATAGGGTACCATCTACATCGTGTAGGGCAAGGGTAGGAGGGCCCAGAGAGCCGAGAATGGAGAGAAAGGAGGATGAAGGAGAGAAGTCGGACGCTGGTAAGGATAGGAGGAGAAGTATGTCAAGATGTATCCAACGGTAATCGCGACCTTCATTGGAGTTCTTGAGTGCATGGAATGTGCTGTAGCTGACGCAGCTCGGTCTTTGCTGGATGTGCGGACGCGTCAAACTTCTCTTCATTGAAAGAATGCACTGATTTTTCTCAGTCAGAGGGTGGCATTGAGCCTATCTATATATCTATCTAACGAGTGTACGTCATCATTGTTGCCTGGCAATGGTGATACAGCCTGGTGAGCGAATGTTGCAAAATAACTTGGTTAGTCGTGAACGACAGGCCATCAATTGTTCAACATGTCCATATCGAGGATATCGACATCTATCGAGTAGGGTGCCCTCCGGCCACATGATCCACGGATTGGATCCGATGGAATCCATGAACCATGTCGAGTGTGATCAATAGAGATTCTCTGGGTGGTCCACAGACTGGATCCGATCCGTGGATAATGTCGATATCGAGAATATCGACATCTATCGAGTAGGGTGCCCCCCCGGCACATGGTCCACGGACTGGATCCGATGGCGTGAGATTTCCTGGGCAATGGCTCAACGCAGGTTTGTAGGGAAATTTCCCGCCGAATTTGGCGGTGCGTGCCGCCGCTTTAGAGGGCTTCTCTCACCCTAGTCCCCTTCTTACCGGATTTCCTCGCCTTCCCACAAACTGTCTCAAAACGCCTTTGTCATTAATTGAAATAGGGACATCGGATTTCCTGCGTTGATGGGCCGCACAAAGTGGTGGTCGACCGTTTTCGGATATTTTATTGTCATTGAGTGACTGGAGTCCGTCAGTGACTTACTTTCGGTAGGCCATGAAAACTGGCGGTTGACGATGACAAAGTAAAGGACTAACTAATAGGGATTATCAGGCTTTCCTTCTCCGATAGAACCCTCAAAAACTCGTGGTTTACGATACTATTTCAGGTAACCAGGATGTTACATTGCAGCAAAGTGGTACTGCATAGGATGACGATCCCAGAAAACCACGCGAAGGCGTGGGAGACGTTAGGGACATGGTCGGCTGCACGCTGCACGGCAGAACGGAAATTCCTTTGGTTCCGGCAATGTCACAGCTGATATGGCATCCTAGGTGTCCATTTTCCCGTGGCATAGCATCCAAGCATTCCCGAGGTTCCAACGGTTCCTAGAGTTCCGACGGGGGTAAGCCTGTCGCAAATGCTCAGATGCTGCGAAATGCTTGTCGTGGTGACTTCCGTAGCGGCCGCAAGCTGTCGAAATGCGTTTCAGAATCCAAATCGGAACTCTCGCCAGGGCTTGTGCATTAGACAATCCAGTGGGGATGACGCGGGACCGCATCGGTCGCTCCTCCCTTTTTCCTAGAAGGAGTGATTCCCCGGACGCTGGAAATCCAGATTGAATATTGCTTGTTGATTGACGCTTGGAAGGTGGTTCTGGGTTGCGAAACAGTCATGCTCGTCCCTCAAACTCCGGGAAACCCGATTTTTCCAGGCTGAACTTGCTCGCTGCTCATTCAACTTAAGAACGCAACACTGCCACAATCTGTCAAGTGCGTGCGAGTCCGTCACACTGCACCGACCTAGTACAACGCCTCGGTATTCTCGCTGTCGATGTTCCGTCATTTGTCTAGGAAGCGTCAGTCAACTAGAACACAAAGCGTGTCTACTGGTGGTCGCCGTTGAGCCGCGCTCGACTGTGGCGGCGTCGCCGAGAGGACAGTGCAGAACGACAGACGAACCTCGACCGCGAGCTCCAGCCGGACAGCATCGTGAATGTAAGAGAATCACTTCTCCGAGAGCTGGTCACAAGGGAGAATGTCTCACAGGGGTTCAGTTCAGACCCAGATCGTGCAGCTTCTGAGAGGCTCAAGCCAAGCACTGAAAGAGCCAGATGTGAGATTGTGGAGGTATTGAGAGGGTTGTTCTAGGTCCAGATCTGACACGGCACAAAATCTCAGTGGATAAATAGATCCACTTCTTAAATGCGGAGGAATTTTCAGCCCCCTCAATTGGAACTGTAGACGTAGAATGAGAAGGGCGATATCGACTATTTCTGTATTGGGACTTGCCTACCCAGTTGAAGTCGGTCATGGTCCGTGATAGAAGCGGATCTCTCAATTGGATCGGATCGAATCAATCCCTTTCGAGGAATTTGGTGCGGATTTGCCCGGCAATTCCCGACTAACCTGTGCACGATTTCAACGACACCTTCCAATGGTGGCACGATCTAGCCGACCGAGCAACATCCTATCGAAGTCCCTCTAGTCGAGTAGGTAGTAGGCGGGCATATAAATTCAGCCATTCCCTCCCCTTTCCTTCTTCCTGTCCATTCCTCTCTCTTCCTTCGCCGTGATTACCTCCATCCTACATACCAACCTGGTGCCTAGGTCCTTAGCAGGAGTTTAAAGAGATGCCTTCTGGATACCATGAGGTCTCTCCGGGCATCAAGCTCAACTATACAATCCACGAACCGACGACTCCCAAACCAAACCCCAAACCGTGGATCGTCCTGATCAGCGGCCTGGGCGACACGCAAGCCACTTGGTTCAACCAAGTCCCCGCGTTCACAGACGCCGGGTACACGGTGCTGACGTTCGACAACCGTGGGGTGGGCTTGTCGTCGCGGGCACAGACGCCGGGCGAGGATTGGACGATAGCGACGCTGGCCGGGGATCTACGGAGTCTGGTGAAGGCGGTCCCCGTCCCCGCGCCGTACCACGTCATGGGTGTGAGCATGGGCGGGATGATCACGCAGCGGTACGCGCTGGACGTGGTAGCCGAGGGCAACGAAGCCGAGTTGGCCAGCATTATACCCGCGTGCACTTTCGCGGCTCCTGGGCTGTACGGTTCCCGCTTGCTCGCCGTTGTAGGCCGCATCGCGTGTTCTATGTCGGTCGCCGAGGCTAACCGTGCCGTCACCTTGTGGTGCTGGACGCCCGAGTTCCTCATGAAGCCCGAGAACCAAGTTATACTGGACGAAATGGATCGCGACCTGGATAAGATGGATGACGACGTTGAGGGGATGGGTCTGTCGAGTTTCCTGGCCCAGATGAACGCGGTCATGACCTTCGACACCAGAGAAGAACTGTTGCGTTCGCAGCTGGGTTCCAAGACAAAAGTTATTGTCATCGCCGGCGAGCAGGATATTTTGGTCCCGATCTCGCTCTCGCATAACCTCCACAACATCATTAAGGGGAGTCGGTGGCGACCCGTCAAGGGCGGCCACGTCTGTAAATTGGAATTTCCCAACGAGTTCAATAACGTCTGTTTGGATGCGTGGAAGGAGGTCGAAGAAGAAAGTTTGAATCAATAAAATAGGTAATAACAAATAAATATATCGCGCTTTTCTCCCCAGTCAGTCTTCACCTTCCCCTACCCTGCCTTCTCCTATTTGACGTCCAATCTCTCGCGCGGACTACGGATATCAGCCCCCTGCAATCGCCATCACAGGCCTCTCTCACTTGAATCATATCAATACAGGTGTTACCAGCGTGACCGGAATTATTACATTATCGTTTCATTTCCCAGATAACGATTTCTTCCAGCCTCTCACCACCTGGGTTTACCGACGCTGCAAATATCCAATCATGACGGACTTTCGCAGACGCATGGCCAATGGATCGACAGCTTCGCCGTCAGTGGGTCGCCCCACCCAACTCTATATCCTCGCGTCTTCTCGTTCTTGACGATGGTCCGCCCTGTCCTCTGATGAGCATCCTCCCCGACTCTGCTGTCTTTTCTATCTTCAGTAGGACCAGAGTTCCCAGCCTCGAGATCAGCACGCTGCACCATGGCGCCATACGCGGAGGATAACTTCGTTTCCAGTACGGTGCCGACGAAGAAAGCAGTCGAATATATCCCGCCTCTCTACCGAAATATCGATGTGCAGGCGTTTAAAGATGCTGCTAAGGAGTATCTTGCCTGGATTGGCATTCCGTTCCAAGATGGGATCATAACCGGTTCCAAAGGCCTCTACTGCTATACCGCCGACGGCCGCGAAATCCTGGACTGGACATCCGGACAGATGTCTTGCCTGATTGGCCATGGGAACCCGGAGATCGTGTCCGTCATTAACGAGTACGCCAACAACCTCGACCATCTCTTCAGTGGCATGATTTCTCCCCCGGTCATCAGCCTGGCCCAGCGTCTCGCCAGCGTTCTCGCGAAGCCCCTCTCTAAGACGCTATTCCTCTCGACCGGGGGAGAGTCGAACGAGGCGGCGATCAAAATGGCAAAAATATACACCGGGAAGTTTGAGATTGTTGGGCTTGGTGCATCGTGGCACGGGCTGACGGCTCAAGCACTGTCATCGCAATACTTCCACGGCCGTCGAGGGCAGGGTCCTCTGATGCCCGGAACATATCAGCTACCTGCCCCGAATGCTTATCGGTCGATTTTCCGGAACCCTGACGGCAGCTATGACTGGGAGACCGAACTGAACTATGGCTGGGAGATGATCGACCGGGCATCGTGTGGGTCTCTCGCTGCGTGTATCGTAGAATGCATTCAGTCCGCCGGGGGGATGCATGTTTTACCGGCGGGGTATCTGACCGCATTGAAGAAGCATTGCGAGAAGCGAGGTATGCTACTTATTATCGACGAAGCCCAGACGGGAGTGGGTCGTACTGGCGATATGTTTGCCTTTAACCACGAAGGTGTGGTTCCGGACATCCTAACCCTGAGTAAGACTCTCGGTAATGGGATTCCACTCAGTGCAGTGGTGACGACCCCGGAGATCGACCGCGTGTGTAGGGAGCGGGATTTCATCTTTGTCACCACGCACGTGAACGACCCGCTGCCCGCCGCGGTGGGCGACAAAGTACTCGAGATTGTGCTCCGGGATAACTTAGTGGAAAACTCCCGTGTCCTAGGTCTCTATCTCCAGGAGGGATTGAAGAAGCTACAATCACGTTATGGCTGCGTGGGCGACATCCGCGGCCGTGGGCTGATGGCCGGGATGGAGATTGTGGGTGACCCAGTCACCAAGGCGCCGTCGCCGAAGCTGGCGCAGGCGCTGGCGGACAAGGTGTACGAGCTTGGACTGTGGGCGAACCTCAGCAGCCAACCTATCTCTGGGGGAGCGTTCAGGATCGCACCACCGATCACGACGACGCGAGAGCAGATTGATGAGGGCCTAGAGATTCTAGAGAAGGCGCTGGCGGCGACGGAAGGGTCTCTGCCGCTGTACTGATGAGCCTAGATGCCGCAAAAGTGGGAGATGGAAGTTTTGACTTTAGCATCTGCATAAAAGGAGATTCATAGATGAGGATGACGCGTAAATCTATCTATAACATGAGATAGAGAAACGGCATTGTAATCAAATCTCCCGCCCCGGTCACGTAGTATCGTTCCAGTGCATAATGTATAGAGACTCGCTTCCAGGGAAGGTCAGATTGAATCGTTTCGTTCAACTTCCTCCCGGGCGCATTCCGAATCCGAATGCCCATCCCCATGCCAATCAGCCGAAACCAATCGCATCAAGCCGAACTGGGGGATAGAATTGGGTAATCTCGATAAGGTGTCTTCACCTGCTCCGACTTCCAAGATGGTGGTAAGGTGATGTGTCGCCATGCGGTACGTATCTCAGTGGTGAAGACTTATAACTTGCTAGGAACTGGAGGTGGTGGACAGCTCCACCTACAATATCTGGTATGTCTATACCTTTTTTTCGTGCGTGTATCAACCCGGGGCTGGGCTCAAAGATAAGGGCGATAAGTGGAGCTGATCAAGAACCATTCAGGACACGCTTTGACCTGCCCCACTTCGGTGAGCTTCCAAATCGATTGGTGAGAGACTAGGGCCGGTTTCCAGCTCTCTTTGAAGATTGGCCCAGGGGTGAAATGGATCTGGATCTCAGGGAGCTTGATACTCGATATCAGTGCTGTTACTTGCCCTGAATCTCTATTAAAGCTGCGAATGAACACAATGAAATCAACCGTGTCCGGACCAGACCTTCTCATCACTTTTCCTTTGCTTGGCAGATTGGGACGTGTCCTGACAGACACTTTCCTTGAACGCGAGTCGAGCACTGCCATTTTGATTCCTGTCATAGGAGTCAGGACGTTCGTAGCACCATGGTGAGTATCGACAAAGAGGGCGCCGTTACTCAAAGCCCGATCAACTCGGATTCCGAGTCCGGCGAGCGACGTGCATCCGCTCCAGGAGAAGTGGGCAATGTGCCCGAAGACAACCGGGAAACCGATTTTTTCACTCGCAATGGCCTCAACCTACGCAGTTTCGAGCGACGTGAGTCCCTCGATGGGCATGGTAATAAACCCCCAACTGACATCATCTTGTGAATAGGTGACTGGGGCACCGGCACCGAGCAACTCGATCGGTCCATAAAGTCTCGCCATTTGAACATGATCGCCATAGGTGGTTCGATCGGGACCGGTTTTTTCGTCGGGTCAGGCACGGCCCTCACCGCGGGCGGGCCTGGATCAGTATTTATCTGCTTCTGCGTCGCGGGCATGCTCGTCTTCAACGTCGTCCACGCTCTCGGGGAACTCGCCGTCATGTATCCCGTCTCGGGCGGGATGTACACCTATTCCGTGCGCTTTATTAGTTCGGCTTGGGGCACCGCCATGGGGTGGAACTATGTGAGTCTCTCTGCTCTTCTCTCGGTGAGAGAAGGTCTTCCCATGCTAATGCCCTACCTAGGTCTTTGGTTGGTTGGTCGTTATGCCCCTCGAATTAACCGTCTGTACGTTTACAGTCCAATACTGGAATAAAGATATCAATCCCGCGATCTGGATCACCATCTTCTATGTCGCCATCATTCTCATCAATATCTTCGGTACTCTCGGCTACGCGGAAGAGGAGTTCGTCACGTCTCTATTTAAACTCGTGGCCATCGTCATTTTCATGATTGTCGCCGTGGTTCTGATCTGCGGCGGCGGCCCCTCGGACGGAATATATAGTGAATACTGGGGCGCACGGCTCTGGTACGATCCGGGGGCCTTTCAGAACGGGTTCCGAGGTTTCTGTGCCGTCTTCGTCACGGCCGCATTCTCCTTTGGCGGCACGGAGCTTGTTGGGCTCGCGGCGGCCGAGTCCAAGAACCCCGGCGAGTCAATGCCCGTCGCCGTTAAGCAGATCTTCTGGCGAGTCACTATCTTCTACATTCTGGGGTTGACCCTGGTAGGCCTATTGGTTAGCTCGACCGACGACCGGCTCCTCAATGCCCGGAACCCTTATTCCGAGGGGACCTCACCGTTCGTCATTGTAGCCCACGACGCCAGCCTACGCGGGTTCGACAGTTTTATGAACGTCCTCATTTTAGTCTCGGTCATCTCCATCAGCGTCTCGTGCGTCTACGCTGCGTCCCGCACCACAACCAGTTTAGCTCAGCAGGGCTACGCGCCCAAATTCTTCACCTATATTGACCGCTCCGGACGGCCCTTGTTCTCCGTCCTGCTCTCCCTCACCTTGGGCGCCTTGGCTTATCTCGCTATGGCTTCCTCAGGCATGGAAGTCTTCAACTGGCTAATGTCTCTCTGCAGTCTCTGTCTGCTCTTCACCTGGGGCTCCATCTGCGGTGCCCATATCCGCTTCCGCGCCGCGTGGGTTCAGCAAGGTCGCTCTCTGGATGCCATTCCTTATAAAGCTCCTTTCGGTGTCGTGGGATCTTGGATCTCCTTGATCCTGGTCGTCATTTTCCTGGCCGCCCAGATTTTTGTCGCGATCGCTCCGCCGGGCACGACCGCGTTGAACGACGCCGAGGGTTTCTTCCGGAGTGCCGCCACTATTCCCGTGGTTCTGTTCTTCTGGGCCGTGGCTTATTGTATGAAACGCCAAGGGTTCACCAAGTTGGACAAGATTGATTTGGATCTGGGGACCCGGGTGCATGACTGGGACGTGATCAATGCGCAGAGGGCGAAGGTGGCCTCCTGGCCCTGGTGGAGACGGGCTTTCAATATCATATGGTAGGGCATGTATGCATATATGTGGATTGGGGAGATATACAAGCAAAATAGACCGCGCGTGTGAATAGGCCTGCTAGGTTGGTATCCCTCGAAGAGCTTGTCTAGCACCTACCTCAACAAATGTGGTCGAGCCTAGGCGGGAGCACGGTACAAGGTGCGGAGTACAGAACATAGGGTTGGGTTGTTGTCTGATCCAGACATCACTTCATATATAAACTATATGTTTTTGGAGGGGTGATATGGGGGCTGCCAAACCAGCATTGTCTCGACTCAAATCAACAACCGTCGAACAAGGTCTCATTGAACGGCCGAATAGTAGCAAGTGCCCGACACACCACACAACAGGCCAAAGTGGGGGCGCGAGCTTAAGGATCACTCCAAAAGGCAGGTAGATAAGAGCGTCAAGGTACACGAATATAGGCTAATAACAGTTGTGCCCAAAACGTCTGTTGCTGTCTCTGCCGTTGTTGCGTATCTTTTTCCTGTGTCTCCCTCCGAAAGAGAGCCATCTGTTCAACATTTGCACTGTTTGCTTACTCTGTCACATGACTGCTTGGCATAGGCCTACCTCACCGCATCACAATGTATATACAAAAAAGCACAACGTAATCAAATCGGATATTGTGGAACACCGTCCCTCAAGCATCCAAATTGAAATCATCTGGCTCGAGGAGGAAGTTGTCGGTATACCAATCGCCAAAAATTTCGGGAAACAGTTCTTCGAGACTGGAACCATGTTCTCGTCCCGGTAGAGAGAATGACAGAGATTGCGGAGCAAATATTTCTTCGCCTCCGTTATCCGACAGAGTCTGGTCCATTGGATTATTCGTTCCATAGTCCTGGTCATCGAGGTGGCGAGAATAGCTGCTGGTGGTGGTGGCAGTTGCTGGGATGACAGTCGTGGTAGGCAAATCCTCGATCCTTTTCAGGATGGACTCACTCTGGGAGAGACACGTCTCCGCGAGATCCCACTTATCCTCCTCGCGATACCTCCGGAGGCGGTCGACCAAGGTGCGCGCGCTGGCCATGCACTGGTCCCGCACGGCCGGGTGGATGGTCTGTTGGAGCGCGCAGCGGAGCAATAAGGTGACAGCCGAGGTGAAATGGTGGGCATTGTAAGGGAGCCAGAAACCCGCGAGGTCGTCCCTGGTCAGCGAGGTCACGAACCGGACGACGTCCTCGGCTGCGGCCTGGCAGGACAGTAACCACGAGTAATCGGGAGCAGTCTCGCCCGGAGCCAGGCCCAGGCCCAGGCTGTGCTCGTGCCAGGCGATGCGGCGCAAGAGCATCCGCACAGCCAGGTAGGAGAGTTGCAAGTTAACCAACCCGGGCACCTGGGGCCGGGCGTCGGAGAAATCCGTCAGGTTCAACCATGCGGGGAATCTCTCAATCCAGCGGTCCAGCTCGACTTCAGCCCGTGAGGCTCTGTCCGTTGTGGTGGTCATCCCGCCGGCGCGGACGCGGAGGTGGTAGATCATGGGCAACACTTCGCCGATAATCTCGGTGAGTCGGCACAGTTGGATGTAGATCTCGGCGGCGCGGACGTGGTTGGGAGAATTGGCTCGACTTTGGGGGACGAGCAGCTCGACCGTCGGGACGGGCACGTCGTAATGGTCTTGCGAGATGTAGGGAGGGGTGCCCTGGGCGAAATTGAACCAGCGGTCTTGGATCAGGAGTCCCCACCAGACTTTGCAGCGGGTGCGTTTCTCGAGGTCGCGAATTTTCCATTCCCGACAGTCGTGGTTCAGACCGACAATGTGCGCGAGCGCCACGCACCGCGCCACGTTCGTCGCGTTGTTGACCAGGCGCTGACACGGGCGGCCGGAGACGCCGATGCACAAGGTCGCGATCGTCGCCACGTCACCCTTTTGGATGCTTGCCGCGTTCAACGCTACCGCACTTTGCCACGCCAGGTCCTGGTCGGGCCGTCTGTGGGATGTTAGACCGGGCGACAGGTCCCAGTAGAAGAGCGCGTGTGAGATAAGAATGACAGAAAACAGCTGCGGGAGCTGGTGGCCCCGGTTCCGGATTCGTGTCATGATGTACTCTTCGTCCACGATCGGGTAGCAGGGCGCAACATGCTCGAAGTACATCGACATCAGCTCCTCCAGGTACGGCTCCACCTGGGCCAACAACTCCCGTGGCACTTCCCGCCAACACTGGCATCCTGTCGGACTCGGCATCCGCGGTGGGATAGGCATATGGTAGATCGGTTTCTCCGCTGCTTCTTGTCGGCCCAGATCCGAGAGTGACGGCTCGTGGCCGTGTGGAAGATACTGGTCGAGAATCTGCTTGTCCCTGGCAATCACCGGGCCGACCAGAAACGCATTGCTCTCCAGAGACTGGTCATCTGCGAGAAGTGATCGGTGGACGAACCCGACACTGGGAGCGACATGGTGGATGTTGGTGCCATTGGTGCTCGCCAACGAGCAGGGGATACGGTGCTTGTAGCACAGTGAGCACCCTTGTCCGGGCACTTCAATCACACACCGAGACCGACGCTTGTGACAGCGGCCACAGGCAGGGTATCGATGTGATCGGTAGGGGCGTGCGGTTTTCATGGTGGTCGCCGGGACTTTCCCTCATAGACAGAAAATATATGTACTGCGTAGATACGGGGTATGTAGACGTCCTTTTGATGCTCTCGGTGGGTTCACGTCGGGATATGGACGTTGATCTGAGGCTAGTCCAAACCAGTCCTAGCGCCTTGTTATCACTGATGCCAAGCGGCTAATGGTGAGCGCCAATGGCGAGGGCGCTCCTCGTCAGGGAGCGGTATTCCCCCTACATTTCTAAGAATGTCTAACTTCGTAAACTGTGTCACCAACCTCTGCCGCTGTTATGGGAGGATGGTCTTCGATCTGCCGCGGGCGGTATTTGCTCCGGCTCGACGCCAGGATGGATGGTGGGGGTTGCAGGGAAGAAATTTCTCGACAGATCCCCCTTAATCCTGATCTTCGTGGGCCTCTCCTACACCGTCCACTAAGAAGGGTATGTTGCCAAATGCCAACGTATCTGTCGGTCTTCCGAAAGTTGTGTCTAGGCCGAGGCCTCTCACGGATTCTCACATCGGCACTAAAGGTAGTTCCTATCGCGCGGTGATCGGAGCCATGTTCAACGTCGTGGATCTCGCACGTAAGACGCGCGAGAAGAGCTGATGCGAAAATTTGACAAACATTCAGGGTAAATTGACCACAGGTCCAGTTCTCCTCTGCCTTATTATCTCGAAGGTTGAGCTCCTTGATAGTCTCACGCCAGTAGGTCGTTTGCTCACCCATCGATTTCGGTGTTAATGGACATAGATTCGCACAGTGTGCTCATCATGGGATATTGAGAATCCCAGAGCTCTCCTGCACACCTCCGGGAGACGATTCGCTTTGCGGTAGAGGTCAACGATACCCCGTAGCGCAATAGTCAGACTATGGGCGTTAGGCCGATCGGCGAGATCGAGTCCCTGCTTGCCGCATTTGACTTCGCTCGTCAGGAAAGGGAAATAAACATCTTCTCGCGTCGTATAGTAGGATTTTTTCGCCTGGGTCGATATTGAGTTTCTTTCGTTGTATCTCAGTAAAGTTAGACCACTTAAACCCGTAAGTGTGATCGGGTTGCGGACGCGGTCCGTAGAATGGAATCGCTTTCACCCACGCATCGTTGTGGCCTTCAATGAGACCACCAAACTCTTCACGTCCCATGATGTAGAGGTTCTCAGCTGAAGGGACAATAAGGGGATGTAATTCGAGGTAAATTCGAGACTCAGATCGGTCGCGTAGAAGCGTGTTGAATCTGTCGTATAGGTCATTAAATAAAGGATTGACAGATTTTGGCTGCACGGCACGAAGAAGTTCCTTGCATAATGCCTTGTCTTCATCGATCAGGCCGGCGTCCGACCGCCGCATGAAACTGCCCTTAGTCGCCAGTACAACGGGATGGTTCACATCCCCGATATGCAGCGAATTTCTTGTCTCTTGAGAATGACGACTCGGTGCCATCGCCGGATTGTGACAGTCTGCGGCTGAGAGAATCGGACGGACCGCGATCTTTTCGAGGGACGAAGGGCCATCTCGTCAGGGTCGTCGAGCTTCTCGTCCTCAGGGAGATGAGATGGCCACTGCTCGATGGAGGGACTCAACTTGACCGAATCTGCAGTTACTCGAGGTGTGGGGATTGACCGGGGTTGCGACGGGAGGCAGTCTAGCGATCTCGCTTTCCGCTTTCGTATTGAGGAGTCAATGTGGGATATCCGTGTTCGATCCTATGGACCTGGCTCAGCATCGTGTATCCAAGCTTGGTATTCTCATCTGCACTCACGCTAAATGATTGGGTCGGCGACGGTGATGGCAGCAAATGATGTCGCGAACTATGTTCCTTCTGTTGCGGCGAGTCTGAACAATCTTGCTCTCCTGAAAGGCGTCGAACTTTTCAGGGGCGTTCAGGACCTCCGGGGGAATTGGCTGGTCGCGTGTCTGGACATTGATCAGTGGCATCCAAGATCGCTTGGGGTTATTCGACTGACAGAGCGGCTGTGAGTTTGTATGTCCGTAGTAAAAGGCTCTGGCGGCATTGGCTCATGGGAAACACTGATTCTTGAAGGAGATTTCGAGATCGTGGTCGCTGCCGCCTCCAGATTTCTGGTAGGTCAACAGCTGCCTAGACGGATTGACATGTAAACACCCGCCAAGAATTTCTAGGCAACCGGCAACCGTGGACGCTACAGCCAAGCCTCTCAGTATTATCCCAGTATATACTCCACCCAAGTCCCTATTAGTCCCTCTAGAATCCGCTAAATCGTCTCTCGTTTGCGCAATTACGGGCAAAACTAGCCCGTCTCGCCCGTCTTCAATGCACATCCGGTAAAATACCAATCTCATAGGACCCCGTCTTTTAGAGGGGGAAAGCTTGGTGTGACCTTGCAGGAACCGCCCAATTGCGCCTGTGAGGGCGATCGAGGCTGCTCAGTATATAAAGAGACGGAAATTCGCCGCAGCCATGGATCGATGACAGTTTTTTCGTTACGGTTGAAGTACTGGAGGAGCGACGGCCGTGCTTCGATGCCCGCAAGCTACCCAACATGAAGCTCGCCATCCTGTCCCTCCTCGTGCTGGCGACCGACGCAGTCCTCGGTCAAGAGGTCAAGTGCCCGGGCTCTGATAATCTCACCGTCCAAACCTCCACGGGCACCTACACGGGGCTTATCGATCCCAAGTTTCCGAATACACGGCAATTCCGCGCCATCCCCTTCGCGGAGCCGCCCGTGCTGTCGCGCCGCTGGCTGCCGCCGCAGAAGCTCTCGTCACCGCCGAGCGAGCATCATTATGCGACACGGTTCCCGCCATCGTGCCCGCAGTTCGTGACGGCGGTGACCTCGATCTGGAACCAGAACCTGACCAAGGGCAACCTAATCAACAACGGCAACCAGAACGACTCGTCGGGGCTGGTGGGCGAGGCCACGTCCGAGGACTGCCTGTACCTGGCTGTGTGGACGCCGACGGCCGTGGCGCCGCCACCCGACACCGGGTTCCCCGTCCTCTTCTTCATGACGGGGGGCGGCTTCGTGATCGGCGGCGTCGATATCCCCTGGCAGCTACCGCCGTCGTGGGTCCAACGGTCGCAGTCGCACATCGTCGTCACCATCAACTACCGTCTCAACATCTTCGGCTTCCCCAGGGCGCGCGGGCTGGCGGACGGCCAACAGAACCTCGGCATCCTCGATCAGCGCGCTGCACTCGAATGGGTCCACGACAACATTGCCGCCTTCGGCGGCGACCCGAACCGTATCACGCAGTGGGGGCGGTCGGCTGGGTCCATCGCCGCGGACATCCATGCCTATGCTTTCTACCAGGACCCTATCGCCCAGGCCTACTGGCTACAGTCAGGGACGGTCTTCTCTGGCTTGGTGTCCCAGGATCCGACGCATTCCAACTTCAGCTTCGTGGCGCGCCACTTTGGGTGCGAATCCCCCTGCGGCGACGACGACGACGGCGCGGCGGAGCTCGATTGTATGCGCCGGGTGCCGTTCGCGCAGATCGAAAACTTCATCGGACAGTACGGCGATCGGGGTGCGACGCCCGCGCTGTCCTTCAACGTGATTACCGACGATCGCATCGCGTTCGTCGACTACAAGGCGCGGGCCGAGGCAGGCAAGATCGCGCGCGCGCCGGTCATCATCTCGAACACGGCCAACGAGATGTCATCGCTCGTTCCCTATCCGGTGCACAACCTGACCGCGGGCCCGTACCAGCCGGCGGTCACCGCTAGGGACATTGCGTTAGGGGTGTGTCCGACCTTCAACTCGACCGTGTATCGGAACCAGATGGAGGTGCCCGTCTTCCGGTTCCAGCATGCCGGTACGTTTCCCAACTTGAACTATTTCAAGTGGCTCGGCGCGTACCATGGCAGCGACACACCGATAGCCTTTGGAACGTATGGGCTTCTGGACGACATAGCGAATACCACCAGCTTCGAAGTCGAGGTCAGCCAGTCCATGCAGGACCATATTCTCGCCTTTGTCAAGGATCCGTATCACGGTCCGCAGAAGACGATGGGCTGGATGCCGCTGGTCGCCAGTGATCCACATGGTGGGGATCTCATCCGCTTCGGTGCCGACGGGAAAGTATCGCAGCATGTCGATGGTGTCGAGGTAGATGGAGTATGTTATGGAGTAGGAGATTACAATCCATTCCCGTGAGGAGGGTTCAACTATAAGGTCGACATCTGTCTCGATTTGGCCGATACGAAAGCCACTCTAAAAGGCAAGTGGTTATCAATATACAAATCTGCGTGGGACCTATAGACATTGCAGGTAGAAATCTAGGCCAGGAGACGTTGGATGTCTCGAAGTATATGACTCGATATATTCAATCACGGCATCATTACATGACGGGACCAGAGCCCAAGAAACCCATTAGACCAGGACCAGACTGGGTTTTTTGTAGTTTGGAAGGGTGGTGAAGGTCAGGCAAGTGGCCCCCTGGGGGGCTGTGTTAAATAGCGGTTGATTCGTCCTGGACATGGAACTGGTATTCAGTGAGGCATTCAGTGATTGTCACTTATTTCCTGGTCATTTGAGACATTCTGTATTTTGAGAGAGGGTACGTTCGTGTGACTTGGAGTAGACATCTCTGCTTTGGTAGTTCACCGTTTTGATGACAATTCGGGGTTGAAAGCCCAACCCAACAAGGCTTATGTCAAGGCCTAGTGCCCATCAATCCGGCCAATCACAATATCCTTTGCTGTGTCATAGAGTACTGACGGATCCAATGTCTACATATCTTCAACCTGCTCTTTAATATCGATAATCATGTTATCCCCTGCTGTGCCATTGGCCACCGAGGAATCCGACGGAAGGCCCGTCACGGTGCTAAATCTCCAATTCATGCGTTCGGACCGTTTCCCTGATGATACCGAATAGAGAGAAAGAGCGGATGCTGTTACGGTATCTCGAAACCTAGTCGATATCTCTTTGAACGACATGAACCCAGAGCTTGTTGAAGATGTACAAGACTTTGCGATAGGCGGGCCATACAAAACTTCAATAGCGTCATGAGCGCTGAGATGGCGCCTCTGTGTCTGTAACATCCCTCTAAGATTGTCTGATTGCTGGGGTATGTCGGCAGAGGCGCTGACATTCTGCGGACTCAAAGTGGCCTCTCCTTTTGCGAGTGCTACAGCTCCCAGCTTGAGTGGCGGTCCATGTGATTGGCTGCGGTAAACTGTTGCATTCTCGTAAGTCTCGACAGAAGGGTCATCCAAATTTAGTCCAGATACGAGAGCCAAGTCAGTGCAGTCCGAAAATTGAGGACCTCCTCTTTCGATAGACAGCATTTCCAATTCGGTGTCAATCATGACAGACGGGAAATCTGAATCTATATCCTGATACTGCCGCAGTGCATGTGATAGCCTTGCCGCCGTCCTCGCATTGCAAAGTAGTTCCTCCGAATATGGATCATTGGATGTGGAGGTATCTTGTGACTCAAGTATTGGCTGCTGAAGTGGTTCTCTGCTATGCTTGTGGAATCCCCATTTTCTCATCTGTGTCGCCAGCTGGCTCCGCGTGACGTGAACGTCGATCGACTCAAGTTCTCGCAGAATATCAGAAGCGGGGATGCCTCGATTGAAGAGCATCAACAATCTAGGCTTTATTTCTTCCCAAACTTCCTTGGGGATTCTCTGATTATAGCGCGACGTAGTCGGATCCTCCCGAATGAACGGATCGGACCGGAGGATAGGGCGAGCGCTTGCCATGACTCAGGGATAGAATAGCAACATGCCACGGAGAATACACACTGTTGGACCATGAAGTTCGCAGACGAACCTGCACAAAACCATCATGTACAAAGATCAATGGTGGACGAGACCCATGAGCTAGTAAAGTAAGCCTGGAGAAGAGGCCAGCGATCTTATTTGGAGTAGCGTGTGCAGCATTTCCGAAAGCGATCTGACCGGGGTTGTCACGTGACCCACTAGGCCTAATTTGGACTAGCTCGCTAGAGCAACGGTTTACTTCTTCCACTCCTGCTACCCCCACACAACCTTCAGAAGAACAAGACGCAGATAGACCATAACAACGACTACTCCAGTCAGCCTTTGCCATTGCGGTATTCCCTTGCCCCTTTTCTTTCCCCTCTTGTCCCAGATATGACAGGGGGGTGAGCATTGGCAGTTTTCAATACTAGCCATATTAGCACTTCGTGACTCTTCAAGAGGGGTTGGCGAACGGCACTATGAAGGAGAAGAAATGGGATTTGCAAAGACAAGATTTCACTGGCATAGACGTAAATGTTGATTTCTCTGTTGCAGCCGACCCCAATAGTGGGTGGACGTGTGCTTGTGAGGTTAGCCACCAATTTCGAAGAAGGCTGCAAGGTCGTCGAAGAACAACCGAAGGCAGCTGTCTCTGTCTAGAAGGCACATTCTCATCATCCTTGAACCCTCGGGACCTGGGAAGAACAGGCCCACGGGCCAACGCCTTATGTCGTCCTCTCATTCTCGAGACCATCGTCGCCGGGGTTAATCCCACCCTCAGGATAACGGCAGCCCCTTGTCTCTCATGATGTTTCGATGGCATGACCCGCTCCACTTTGTTGCCGTGACGGTCTTCCGCTCTCTCTGCTTCACGGGGCCTGGAACCAACAGAGAAATCTTTGGCAGGCCAGGGTTTAAACCCGGCAGTTGTGAAAGACTTGGAACTGTGCCCTGTGAGGCAAGGGAACGCACGGAGGGCGTTGGATAGTGCTGAATGTCTATTTGAGTGGCATCGGTTCCCTCGCTATTCTCTACCGTCAAACCCATTCTTCTGCTTCACACCTCTTGGAACAGTGCACTCTGCCATGGCGATTTTCATCGCGTATCAGCCTAGGGCAAATAAACCATCCTTCGGAAGTCACCCCTTGGACAAATCTTCCACGGTCGGCCTCTGCAATCAGGTGTCGAGCAGATAAAGCTCAAAGTCTCTTCAACAGGCACGGTCGATGAATAATGCGGATTTTGTGGATTTTGTGGATTTAACTACTTCTGACCAGGACGCCGCTCGAGAATATATGGTGGTGTGGGGGAGCCAATGGCTCATGATCCCGACAAACGCGGCATCCAAGTTGCCAGAGCTCACCGCAGCGGCGTGATTGACAGTGACAATGTTGAAGACGGCGAGGAATGCGACAAAGATGACGACATTGACTACGAAAGCGAAATCGGCGACCTTCCATCGCTCACGGATGTCTTTCTGCGGGGCGACTCAGGGTTTAAAAGTGCCGACCTCAGCTGCAAGGCTGCCACATCACCCGCTCCCGTTGACAGGACGGGCAAGGAGTGCTGTTGTGAGGGCGACTGTGGGAATAGTGGCAATCCTATCGCGACGACTGCCGCAGGCATTCAGCTCGGTGCCAGCCAAGGCGAGTCATGGAGATCCCATGTCGTCGTACATGTACATGAACGGTGCATACTGACGGATTTCTCCAGACAGCCTGATTCTGCTGGATGACGATTAGCCGGCTGATATCCTCGACACCGCTACCTCTGACGACAGAAATTCCACCTTCGAAGTCGCGGACCTAACCCCTCCCAGTGGTCCATTCCCAACTCTGTCTGGAGGATTTGCCGAGCCAGACACAGAGGGTGTGAAGGATGCTCCAGGCAGCCTGGCGAAGTACAACACGCGTGACCCTGTAGGCGAATGAGGAAGAAAGAGTAAGCAACAAATCACACAAGGACGACGCTTTCCACACTCGTACTCTCATCGGAGGCAATGGTGGTAACGAGTGTAGTGACGGTAGCATAGGTTCAGATGCACCAGCATCTGTTGGCCAAATCCACGACGTCTTGCCGAGTTTGAGGAGACATTCGGCATGGCTAGGCGAAATCAAAACATGGTGGTTACGACTCTACGTGACTCCCTAGGTCGCGATGTCACAGCGGGCTCTATCCCGCGTCCTGTTAGCTACGCAGAGCCACGGCCAGCTTGCGGTGATCCGCAGAGTCCCTTTCCTCCACAGACGATGTAGAAAGCTCCTCTACTATACTGGCTCCCTCTTGGCGGCTCTCCTTCCTACTTCCACAGACATCTGGCCTTCGAAGAAAGAAAGTCCTCGAGGCGAGTAGAAATATCTGTGATTGAGGCAGCTGGATGGCGTAAACACATAGAGACATCAATTGATTTCTGAGGCTGATATGAAACATTCGAACAGCCTCGGCAAAGGTCAAGGCCAGGTGCTTCGCATTGAGCAAGAGGTGGTTCTTGGTCCTATCCTCCCTTGCACTGTCCAATATACGTCTCAGTTTCGAGCGGAGAAATTGGGCAAGCGACTTGCTCACCTACTCACCTTTCGACTCACGCTTCCACTTCTCACCCCTCACCCTGGTCGGTTCCAGTGATTCATGCGGTCCTCCTTCTGCGCGCCTCTCTCACGCTAGGACCTATCATTGGCAACACTTGGTGGACTCAATTTTGTGCCCTGGTGCACCCGCCTCCGTTGAACATCGATTTCGCTGCTGTCCTTCCCCCGCTCTCCTGAATCTCCTTCTACCTTGAAGTACAAAATGGCGTCCTTTCCGGGCCCCTACCCTCTGGCTGTGGTACTTTCTCTCGAAGACCGTATGTCTCAGCCACAGTATCTCCCACCACTGTCACCACCTTTTGACCATCTTCGAGGGCTGGACGCTCCCTCATGAGCAGGCGGAATGCTACGACAGACGAACTATGGATACGAGCCGAAGCCAACGGCTATTAGAGAGGTGCGCATACCGAGACCGATAAGATGGTCACTAAGCGAAACAACGCGCATGGTCTTGATCCTTCATGGGCTAGATATCATCATTGTTGCTCTCAATAGTAACCATATCTGTTTGCTCACTGCTGTCTTGTGTGTTCCAAAAAATCCATGCAAATGACCTTGCTAGAAGCGAGAATTCAGTGACAGAAGCAGCCACTGATCGAGAGAGCGGCCTGTTTAATAAATCGATTTCTTGATACCAGGGGGACTCTGGACTGTAGTTGACGAGCGTCGACAATGAAATTGATATTTGAGCAGCGAGTTGCCCTCGAAGGACAGACCAAGAGACAATTTGTTCACAGCGCCACCTCTGGGAGCGAACGTGGACTTCACTCAAAGACAACCGTCAAGCAGAGTGGCCTCCAGGCCGACAATGAGCTTCAATCAGACTGAAACAGCATCTAGAGTGGCCCCTCTAGGTGACACTGAACGATACCACCAAATGCGAGTTTGTCTGGTCTCACTTGCCTGTGTCGACTTTAGTCCACTGTCCGTCTCGCTTTATTTCCCCGTTCGACTGCCAACCTCATATTTATAATCCGGTTGAAACTGGGCAAAGATCGTTTGCTGCCAAAATAGATTCGTCAGTCAATGAATTAGTCAACCAGTCAACCGTCAAAGTCTTATTCGGCGTCTATGGCTCCAAAAATTGGGGTTTGCAAGCAGACAATGTACCGGATCAGCGTCTTTTCCATCCCTGTCGCCTCGACCAAAAGCTGCACTTCGCACGCCCTCTCCATTAAATTAAATAGGTCTGCTGCCTCATCGACGGTCCTCCCACATGTTAACAAGCCATGATTCTGTAGGACACAGACCCAAGCCATATCGCCTAAGGCGGCAGCAATACGCTCGCCTTCACTCGACTCAAGCACGACGCCACCGAATTCATCATATACAATCTGTCGATCACCATGAAAGAGCGTAGTATCCTGATTGATGATGTCTAGCGGTATCCCAAAAGTTGACCATGCCTTGCCGTATTTGCTGTGCGTATGGCATGCGGCGTGGACGTCAGGTCGTGCAGCATGGATGGCACGATGGATTTGATAACTTGCCGCGTTGACAGCGGCATTGTTACCGCCGACGATCTCTCCCGTCTCGGAAAGCTGGACCATGTCGCTGGCTTTGAGCATGGCGAAGTGGATTCCGAGTCTGCATTGTGTATTGATGTGTTGATTAGCTTGTTTTCCTTTCTATTCACCCACTATCTGGTACGAGGACGGAGAATGGCAGAGATCCAAACTCACGGATTAATCCAGAACGTGTCCCTATCAATCGGATCTCTGACGCTGATATGCCCACTCGTCCCTTCACGATATTCTCGACGTGCGAACACTCGGAAGGCCGCAGCCATGTGTTCCAACTGCCATTGTCGTTTCTGGAGCAAGTCGTCCCCAAAATCGGGGATTCCTTTGAACTTGGGTCCGATGGCAATATTGTCGAACCCGGTTGGCCGAGGAAGAGCTTTCCCGTTCTCTTCTTGCTTTTTCGTTAGAACTCTAGAATATGTTCTGGAAATTGCAGCCTCTTTCGTGATTGTTTGAGTAGACATTTGTGATAGTCACGAGCTAGACAAGCGTATAGAAATTGTGGACGACAAATCGAGTCAATCTGAACGGGGTGAGGTTGAAGAGGAAATGGGAAATTCTTCTGCCGAGAAAGAAGATTCGGGACTGCGGATTAACTGGAACTCAAGCATGTAGATATGTTGACAACGGGGCGGAATGGTGTTGTAAGTTATCTTCCCATTCACATATCCCTCATAGCTCTGTCCGACGGATGGAGCCACATGATCGAAAGAGGAAGTCCAGGTCGAGGCTAGTGCCTTGCCCCAATTGATCGAGCGGAGAATGGGTCTTGTGGCCGATGAAAACTCATGGGAACTCCTGACAAATGGGAGTCCATTTATTGGATGTTATCAATGGCTGATTTCGCTCGAAATTCGAATAATGAACATGATACCCTCAATTTTCACCTCTTTCACACCCTGCTTTCTTCTATACAATCAGGCATCTATCTGTTTGATAATTACGCAGCCGTGATCTCAGTCTGGCCCAGTGTTGCACTTCCCTTCTTCCCTTGAGCCGCAACAAGTTCCTTTTCATGTTCATGTGCTATCTGCTCCTCTGTGACAAGACCAGCTAATTTGCTCCTCTCCTCCTCTGCAAGCGGAACGATGACATCTTCCTCGGTAAAGTAGTTGCTGTCCTTGACGCGGTAGATAAGAACCCAGGCCACACCAATTGCCCCCAAGACATACAGGCTGTCCAGTTTGAGTCACGTCAGCGACGATTGCTGGAAATAAAGGGGAGGTCAAATAGATAGACTTACACAAATTGAAGAATCACCTGGCCTAAGAACGTCACTCTCTCTCCAGCCATAATAAATGAAATCATCATGCCAAACGAGGAGTAGCATTTGAACATACCCGCTACGCGAGCAAGCGTAGACGGATCGTTAGTGGTGGAGGCGAGCGTATATTCGACGACCATTTGGTAACCGGCGTAGATCATTCCGAACAAGAGATAGCAGACAAAGAGTCCAGGCCACGCAGCATCGGTCCAATCTTCTCCAGCGGCCTCTGTCAGATCGTCGACATTGTAGACTTCGAGCCACGCGATAAGGCCAGCGCAAGCACCAATGGATACGGCGGACATGAGACCCAGTCCGATCAACCCGCGGGTCTGCCGAGATTTGATGCGTTGGTTGTCGAGGACGAGGATTAAAAGGCCCGGGATAAAGACCTGGATAGTTTGATAGGAGAAGTTGTTCAGGGAACGAGTGCGTAGGTTGAAATAGCGAGCTAAATGAGTCAAAATCAGCCTCTGGAAAACAGTGTGATTACAGGTTTGACTAGTATACGCACAGTTCACGCTGCTCACGAGTGCCAAAGCCATTTCACAGACAATTTGAGCTGGTGCCAGTATCAGGTAGCGATGATCAAGCATGATAGCCAGAGTAGCTTTTAGCTCAAGCCAGAAACGTGGGGGCTTAAAAATGGCAATATGTGTGCCATCGTCCCGAACCACGTTCTTGGGATTGATGATAAAGATCATGGCGATGAAGAATGCGCAGCTGTGAAGCACGACAAAGGTGGCGTAGACTGCATTAGAAACACCCACCGCCTTGGTCTCATGGACGTTGAGACTCAACGAAATGGAACCGCCAACCATGGCTCCCACACATTTGAGCATCCACTGAATAGAGATGTACTGCACAGTGTTAGCGCCCGTCCAGAGGTCCCTGAAGGGTATCGATCGTACTTTGGCCTTGTCCTTCTCCTCAGCATATGCGAACTGGACGTATGCCGCCGCAGTCCAGAGGAAGCCTCCGGAAATACCAAGGATGGCGCCTGCTAAGAGAGGGAACCATGAATTGCCTGTGCGGTCATAATACCATAACCCTCCGACGTAGACCGGATAGCCAATTGAACCGATCATCAAACTCAACTTGGGCCGTAGCATGTTGAGAATGGTTCCGCCAAAAAGACCCACCAGGGCGAATAGGCCATAGAGGATGGCATTGGTTTGGTTGGCGACGTCTGCAGAGCTTGGTTTTCCTCCGCCGGCACCTAGGCCCGTGATCGCGGTGTAGATGCCTGGGAGACAGAACAAGATACTGCAAGCTCTCAGCAGAGGGAGTAGTTATGTAGTCATCATCGAGTCACGTACCATGCAACAACCAGGTTCTGGTTAAAAGGTCTGCTTAGCCGCAGCTTATTGTGCAGCCTCATGATGGTGTGGATGAATTGTGACAAAAGAAAGATTCTTTTCCGAAGGGTGAAAAGTGCAAGAAGTACAAGAATAAACGATCTGCGAGCATTAGAAAGCGCTCACCATTAATATGTCGTTGAGAAAAGCTCTTCTGATATCTCTTCAGCTTAGAAAAGCACGCTCGATTGCCGGGATATGTCAAGATAAGGCAATTCAAGATGGACCAGCCGGTGTCTTGGGCCTGAACAGGCTAACTCAATGCGCGTTCTGCTTCGATATAGTCGATATTTCCTTGTGGGCAGTGGCCAATTTCCAAGGCACCGCGTTGAGAACCGAATTCGCTATCGGGGGATCCACTTGAATCCAGCAAAGAGGAGGGGGGAAGTCCAGGACGGTGGAATACCGTCTTCGAGAATCCGGTGGAGTCGCAGGGTTATGATTGCAACGGAGGCAGTCCAGGGCGAAGGCGCAGCATGGGTCCATGTGGCAATCTGCCATGCAGATCATCATTATGTTTATCAGCACCATTGCCGCGATAGGGCTTCACCCGGTACTATCTATTGCGTGCTTCTGTACACTAGTATTTGGACCCATCGATATTGTATAATACAATGGACAGATCGCAGGCTCCACCCTCTGCCCGCTCGATCACCCGGGAGTAGATACGCTCATGGTCTTGAGTATGGATTCCAAAGTCGGGCGTATCCAAATACTCTCCAGTATCGATAATACATAGTGTATTATATACTAGGACTAATATGGCAGTATCCGCGGAGTCGCCAAGAACTTTTTATACCGAATGCGTCATGATGCCGGCCGTTAGATTAACCGCTGATAACCTAGAAACCAATCAATCTTTGTAACACCGTTCGGAGATGTACGACCTTATCAGAAGCCAAATTCAAACGCGGAGTATATGGGTGACCGACTAAACCAAACTATGCCATGAGTCCAAGCAGTGGGAAACACGCACAAACCACGTTCCCTGAGCACTCCACCTTCCACATTGAATATCACGTTCAATATGCAGCATTGATCACGAATGAGCCCCCCGCCATGTGGCTTCGATTAAATGCCGGCTCGAACGAAGGAAGGATGTACGCGAACTTTCACGGCGTGTTGGACTTGTCGCCGTCGTCGGGTCCGTTGTGATGGCCAACAACCTTTCTGTTCTGAGTGCACACGTGCACGAGTAGCTTGCGACGGATACAATGTCAAATTGGTCTGGGTAGAACCCGAGACGGGAAATTACCAGTCTCGTTGTCGGCGGACTCTGGACTGCGCCTCGACCTGGAAGGGTTCCAGACTGCTCACCTCGGGGGAAGTAGATCGATTTATATCCGAATGCGATTTCCGAAACCCAGATGGGAAGACGGTTCATGTTCGCAAGGGACCATTCTCTGCTTTCCTTGCCGAACCACGTCGTGGTGACAGACCCGAAGCCATCGAACCGATGGAACCTGAACAGATCGCGGGGAATGATGATGGCAATTTGGTTGAGTCTGAGCAAGACTATGCCGATGCTACGTCCGGTTTCGATCTCACGGTCATAAATCTACCTCGAAAACCCTCCGGCGATCTTTTCCATCACTACGTACAACACGTCGCATGCCTCATGATTCCCGTCGATGACTACCGTAACCCATGGAAATCCACGTACCCATCCATTGCTGTTCATGGAGAAGGCGAGGCCTCGACATCCTTATATTATGCCCTGATATCTCAAGCGGCTTTCAACCGATCTAATCTCAGGACACCTGAGCAATATGAACTCCGTGCGCGCGATCGAGCGCTGGCACTCAATCACTATGGCCGAGCAGTCCGAGGCCTGAGACTTTGTCTCGCTCAGTCAAGTCAGGACTTTGCACAGTGTATAGGAACTGTCATGACTTTGATAATGGCCGAGGTAAATATTGTTTACACCCAGAAGATGAGAGACCCCGTGCTGACAGGAAAACCCCCAATGAACAGATCTGGTCTGAAGAATCACGTGCTTGCAGACTACACTTCCAAGGTGCAATGAGCATGGTGGATAAATATCTCCTGCTTCAACGCCAACGCCAACCATGGGCTAATTCCTACGAATCGTGGATCATAACCCAAAGTTTGGCCCTCAGTAGCCTTTTAGTGCAGACAGCTTCATTTCACGCGACAAGGTACCAACAAGATGTCGTGGAAGCACTTATTTCTTCGGTTTCTGAGAGAGAGCAATTCGGCTTCACCGTTGGGGCAACCAGTTGTCAACTGCGTTCGATTCTCAGAATATATCGGATGGAAAATCAATTGCGGCGCAACATGGTGCCTGAAGATCTTGATTCGAAGGTCGCTGAACTCCTGAACAGTCTAGGAAGAGATGCCATGCAGGGGAGCGGAGGAGGAGGCGACGAAGGAAACCCAAACGACTTCGAAACAATGCACTACCAACTCTTCTCTGCCGCCGCCGAGATCTACCTATACCGAGTCCTCTTCGACATTCCACCCTCAAAACTACAGTCCAAGATCGCCACAGTCTTGGACATGGCCACGCGCTTCATCCAATTCGGGGCGGGATATCCGACGGCCTGGCCCGTGTTTATCGCTGCCGTGGAAGCTGCCACGCCTGAGCTGCAACACTCAGCAAGTCGTTGGCTTGACTGGCTCATGAGCCACGGGATTGGGAGCCGGAAAGATTTGAAATTGGTCATTGAGGAGACGTGGAGGAGAAGAAGAGAGATGGCCGGAAAAGAAACAGGAAGAGGCGCGATTGTAGTCGAAGAAGAGGGCGTCTCGATCGATTGGAGAACGGTGGCCGATGATTTGGATTGTGAAGTTATTCTGATCTGATTACGTCTGCGTGCACTCACCTATGGGCTTTCTATGTACACACATCGTCCATGTTCACAGAAGAAGAATCGATGATCAACAATCTCTCTCTGCTCAATCGCTCCACTCCCCTTCAATTTTCAGGAACCTCCGATGCCGCTCCGCGAATCCCCTGACCGCGTTGACAAACCTATTCTTCCGGCGTACCCAGTATCGGCGAGATCTGCCCCCGTCTCGTCATCCAATAGCCCTCTTCCAGCATTTCCGTCCAAAACAGATCCTTCAACTCCTTAATCTCCTCCATCTCTTCGGTACCCCCTTCACTAAAATGGATCCCCACCATGGATCCTCGACCAGTCACACCGATCCTAGTCCCTTTTGTGGCTGCGATAAGTTTCTCTCTAAAGCGATCGCCCAGTTCGTTAAACGCCACAGCGATTTCTGGCGTGTAAATATCTTTTAGCCCCACGTAACCCGCAGTCATGGCTATGGTATTGTTGTTGAAGGTCCCGCTGTGGGCTAGGGCCGTTGGACTACGCGGATCGTAAACGGCCATGATGTCGGCACGTCCTCCGAAGGCGCCAAATGCTACACCGCCTCCAAGATATTTGCCGAAGGTGCTGAGGTCGGGTTGTAGATTCAAGCGGGACTGGATGCCGCCTGGCGCGAGTCGAGAGGTCATGACTTCATCTAGTATGAATACGAACCCCCGCCTATATTAAAACATATGACACCGAATACTCGTCAGCACAACATTTCTCCGGGATCAGAGGAGACAATTTTGGGGAGGGGGGAAAACTGCGCTCACCTTTTTTGCAGCCTCCGGGGCACTCTTGACAAACTCCTCCCGTGCAGGAATACACTCGCCAGCGCCTTGCATTGCCTCGATAATAACCGCCGCCACACCAGGAAGCTGGATTTTCTCTCTCGCATCTTCCAAATCATTATACCTTGCTATAATCCAATCTTGTCTGTCCACGTTGTTCTCTGCGCATCCTCCGTCGCCAAAACTCAAAACTGCACCATGATATCCGCCGTGAAAGACCACCACTCGATTTTTTCCCGTGAACCGTCTCGCGGCACCGAGAGCATGCAGGTTCGCTTCGATGCCGGAGTTTGTGAAGCGGATCCTTTGCAAGTTGAAACGCTTACATAGCAAGGCTGCATGTTGGGCTTCCTGGGCAATGGTACCGCCTAGGTTCAAGCCGACGTTGTGAACCACGTTGATCAATGCTGCTTGGATCGTGGGGTGTGAGTATCCGTATAATGCCACCGTGAGCTCGCCGACTAGGTCAAGGTACACGTGTCCGTCTTCGTCGGTGACCGTGTAGTTCCGACCACGGGCGAGGGAAATGGGAAATGGAAATGTGTGCAAGAGACTGCGAGTGTTACCACCGGGAAGGTAGTCGGCAGCGTTCTGATGGAGAGCAAGAGATTTTGGATTGCGGTTGGTGAAGCGAGTTCGGGCAGCAGAGAGGGTCTCGGAGTGTCATCGTCTGGCCAGGCTGGGGTTCTGGCTCTGTCTTCTTGACTTCCACCGAAGTTGAGGCAGGAGTGGGATTAGCCATCGTTGTAATGGCCATAATGAATGCTCAAGAAAGTTTAAGAGGAAAGGACTCAAATAGATTAAGGGAGATCAAAAGACAGAGGAGCAGAAGATGATTCAACAGCGGTAGTGATTTTGCTCTCTTGTATGAGTGGAAGCAAAAATCATCAATTTCCATACCTAGTGGCACTCTTGTATACACTGTGACGTTCGTCATGGCTTGCCATGTTCATCAAACACCCACATCTGTATAATAGTGCTTGTGTCTACCTACCGTCCGTCGTGACGCAATTGGATGGGATTCATTCCAGTGTTACACTGGCGGGGTATAATTCAATTACTAGCCGTTAGATACTTCTGTGGCGACAACTGACGTGTTCCAGTGAGGATCAAACGATGGCACAGCATAGCTAATATCGAAGATCATACATACGTGAATACAGCTTCGTCTTGGACTTCCTCTTACGAAATCCGAAGGATATTACAGTGACCTAGGTTCTTTAAGGTGAAAACTAGGGTCCACATCCTATGTTTCCTTGTTCAAAGAATTCAAGGCTTGACATAGTCAAAGACTATCTCTATTTATGAATTCTCCCTCTTTGCGTGGGCCTGCTCCTCAACGCAGGCAAGAACGAAGATATATACCGGGTTCTACGTTGCCGCAACGTGTACATTGTCCAAAGAACAGATCGCCGATCAACGATTCTCATTTTCCATCTCCTTCCTCATACACTATTAACCACCTCATCCACCACACGCGTTACAGCAATGAGCTTCTCCTCCGCAAGGGGCCGGCCAATGAGTTGCAAACAGACCGGAGCACCGTCAAAGAGCTCGGGATCGTAAATATCATAGTTCGCCGAATCAAATGAGTTGACAGGTTTGTAATTAAGGTCCTTAACGTCAATAGATTTGTCCACGCTCGTCACAGGGATGATGGTAGTCGGATAGTTGAGAAGGTTCCAGACACAGAAATATCCCCACCATCTAAATATTGAGCATAAATCAGCAGCAAACTCCACGTCAGAAAGGAGTCGCTTACGGGAGGAAATCATGAGGATATGAAGCACTTGCAAAAGCCGGTGTAAGAAGAGCGTCGACTGGCTTTCCTGTCGATGTCATTTTGGCCGTGGCGTTGAGGTGGGCGAGATACTCGTTTTGATAGTTCGCTTGGGCCCTAGGGACGAGAAGAGGGTTGTTAGATAGGTGTATTGACCACCTCGTCCCGGGGGGAGATTACGCTTGATATTGCAGCAGCTCTGGCACAGAGAGTTGTTTGGTCCCCCTTAGCATTTTGGCTGGGGCTGTGATCATCGGTTCACCACCTTCTTCGAGCAGTCGAAACATTTCCGCCCCTGCGGTCGGGAAGTACAATGGTAGCTGCCATGCAAAACAGATGAGTTCAATGCCTTCAGTCATGTGCAACTGCCGAAAAGACGCACCGTAATGTCCCACGACTCTCTATGTTTGTATGGTTTATAGTCCACCACTGCTTACATTAGCAAATGGCAAAATGAGGACCGGGGCTGTGAGATAAGGGCGCTCCGATACCTTCATGTCCAGCCATTTTCAACTTGTCGACGGTGGTCCGAAGAGCCCTTTGGACTGGGGGATGTGGCATAACAACTTCATCCCACCACATGACCCCGAGCGTCAGCTTTTTGGGGCTCTCGGCCGATGACCACGGTTTCTCCACAACGGTGGGATCGGTAAGCCACGGCTCCTTGTCACTCCAAGCCTGCAGAATCAATTCCAGATCTCTGACGCTTCGTCCAACTGGCCCGATAGCACTGGGGATAGCGATCTGCCCTTGTATGGCTTTCAAGTTTCCCATATAACTGCAGCGTCGGGAGGTTGGTTTGATAGCATACATGCCATTGAAAGACGCCGGAGCCCGGATAGAGCCACCAATATCGGTGGCGATTGCAATGGGACAGCCAAAGCAAGACGCCAGAGCACCTTCGCCTCCCGAAGAACCTCCACAGGTAAGAGCGGTGTTGGAGGGGTTCAGAGTACGACCCCAAAGATTAGACACGGTTTCGAGAGCCTGAAAGTCAGTGAGGACATGGCTATATTGTAAGTTTGTTGGGACACTTTCTACTGACCATCCCCGTCTGTGGCATCGTGGTCTTTACATAAAAGACCGCCCCGGATTCCCGCAGCATGTGCACTGACATGGAATCCCGTTCTGATATTCGGTCTACCCATGCCGCAAAACCGAGAGTACAATGCATCCCCTTGACTTCATTCTGATCCTGTACATCTTGTCACCAGCCTCGTTCGAAATAAAGGAGACGCGGGCGTACTTTAATACTAATCGGCAGACCGTGGAGCGGACCGACGACTTTGCCAGTTTGCCTCAGGTGGTCATCTAGTTCGCGTGCTCGTTTGATTCCGCCTTCAAAATCGATATCCATGAGACAGTTGATGAGCTGCTGAGCAATTGCGGCTCGTTTGCAGAAGGCTACCGTCACTTCTTCTGCGGACCAAGTTGCCGAGTGCAACTTTTCTAACAGTGCTGTGGCATCTCTGACATTGGTGATCTCCAATTCTTTGGAGGAAAGAATGCCACAACTCTCAAAAATGGGCTTCACGTTCTTAGGCAACGTCGATAATATTGAAGCATTTAAACGCCAATCCACCGGGATTTTCTCATCTCGTGCGGCGCGCACTGCCTGTCACATCACCCTTTCAGTATGTCAATCCCTATCAGATTCGGCGGATCACGTACTGCAAATTTCTGCTCCTGTTCCTGATTCAAAGCCATCTTGTTTTGCTCAGCCATGTACAATGCTGGGTCTGATACAAGCCGCCCGGTGATGGGTCCTGCGAGTGAGATATAGAGTAAATCTTTCCGCGGTCACCGTGCCCGTCTAAGTGCAGCCAATCCTGGTACGTATGCCCTCTAAGGCAGCCCAGGACGAGCCCCAATCAGAAGACGAATGAAAACCGAGTCGTGGCAACCGTTTGGGGCAACTCTCCTCCTTGGGATCGCTTGTCAAGAGACGATTCGCTAGTAGAGGTTGTGATATGGGCCTGGCGCACTGACGAAAGCGTGGATCCAGGCGACGCTGATAAGAATGGCCGTCTTGTTCTCATGTCTGCGGACTTTTCCGCCATTTGTCTGCGGTACCTGGGATGCCCTTCTCCCTGTCCTTCGCTCGAATGTTACATTTTCTTCGACAAGTATCTTTCTCTGTTCGGTTCCACAACCTTTATCTTCGGGATTTGTACGATGGGGATGCAGAGAGGCTGGTGAGCTGGTGAACAACATCATCAGTCGGGTTGGTCCGAATCTTCAACCAGGCCTGACTGCATCGACCTCCATACTGGTTGGTGTGTATACAGTCGGTCATGGTGAGCTCAATGAAATGTGTACGATCTCCAAGACTGATTGCATCTGACGCCGATTCAGTTGCCGTAGCAGACCTGAAACCGACTGTTTTACCGGAGTCATGAGGGAGCGGAGAAAGCTGGATGTTCTGTTGTAGTAGCACGAAACAGATATTAGGGAAAGAATATAATCGGTAAGTTTGATTTCATTCACGATTTATGCTCTACGTGAGATATATTTTGTGGTCCAGGATGTGCACAAATGGATCATTCTGGGCTTGCTGAGCAAAACCAAGATTATTTTCTAGCCATCAGCCATAGCGGTCGTGTCCTTGTCTTACAAACGGCGATATGCTCGTTTTTGAAATTACCACCATCATGCTCTACTGAAGTGAGACTTACAACAGAGAAAACAAGTTCACTTACCTGAAAGGAAGTAGCGACTACCACGAGATGTTGTCCTGGATGATGTGGCGACATGTAGGGCCTGGTCCGGTGCACGCAAGCCAGGGTGGCCGGAACCGATTAAAAGGCTAGCAGTCGTAACCAATATTTGGCTCGCAAAAAGCTTCATCTCTATGGCCAGGCCATTCATTTTCGCGCCTTGGTTGCCATGTACTCGGCCTATAGCATCAAACGGTACACAGACGAAACAAACGGGCAACTAGGTGTGATGCGGTACACAGAGCAAGAAAAATACCTCCGACCGCCCTATCGGACGAAGAGATAATTGCCATTGCCCATGAGAACAGGGACCGTGTGGATGTCATTGCTTCCAGTTTCCATAAATGTCCTTGGATCTCGTTTCACGTTCTCTCGAGATTCGAGGATGGTCAACGGCCAATGAAGGGCCCATTGCCACTGCTCTGGTAAAATTCTGCTGATACCAGAAATCTCTTTCTCCGCGCGTCCTTTGAACCACCAATAGCTGTCAACGTATTTCACAACAGCCATGTAGTTTGCTAAGATAGCCATTGCCCGAGGTCTCTTTTGTCCGAGGAGTTGGATGATCCCACTGGTCGATGAAGGAGTTGTCTGATTCATGGAATTCTAAGATGTGAACAAATGGATCAATGTTCGCTGAGTTGTATAGAACCGCATTGTCTCCAAAGTTTGGTTCGCGGGAGGCCCTGAGATAATTTAACATGGCTCCTTCTTTTAGATGTGGTATCGCAGCCTGAAACACGCTGGAGATAGCCAGCCATGGTGAGCCATTGGACTGGAGGGTAGTATTCAGCTTCTTCTTCTGCGGCTGCCGCTAATTCGGCTGCGCCTGAAAGGAGACAAGTCGCCATTATAGACAACATAATCGTGGTCAGACCGACTACGTCGGCGTTGGAAGAACATAGCGAGGATAAAAGCGTCGCGCTCGAGTTGGATGGCCTGGTTGAGATATATCCGGTGAAGCTGAGCAAAATTAACGTCGCGAAAGATTTGGGGAATGGATATTGAGTAGTCCTCTCCTAATTGTCGAGAGGTCGGTGACATCCAAAGGTAGAGAGCTGTGAGAGCGAATATGGCGTTCAGGAGGTACGGATGATCAAAAGCATTGTCGACAGCGTACCAAACGTAGATGTCTTTCAATCGCGCAGTCTGCACCGAAGGAAATGAAGCAGATACAGAGGATTTGAATCTGTGAATGAGGTATAGCTCTATGGGGTGACGAACGGAGTCTGGTAAGGCGAAGCTGTCCATGCTATCTGAATAAGGAGTATTGAGCCCACAGGGCGGCTTGCCATGTCTCCGCGTTTAGAGTTGGCGCAGACAAGCTGCACATGAGGGATGTTCCTCGTTACATTTCACTTTGCGTTCTTTGCAGCGACGGCAGCCCTTGCGGGACTTGCGATGAGATAGGCGAGGCGGCATCAGTCAGCTTTGGTCATGGGAAGTCTGATGTATGCGGATTTGCGGGTGAGCGTGGCGGGGATGCAGGCCGCCTAAACTCAAAACAGAGCCCCGATTGGACGCCTCGATTAACCTTCCAGAGGCTTGTTTGAGCTTGTTTCGAATGGATCTCCCGCAGGTGGTACGAGTACCAGCAATTTCATCCCTACAACTTGAAATCGATGCTCCCTTGCCTAAAACTTTCAGCCCCGTCACCAATCTCCATGCTTCCAATTCGCAAGTTTGGCCACCTCGCTTTCGGATATGCAACATGTCAGGACGATCCCTGAGCCAGATCAGTCCTCCTCGCTGTGCTAGGCTCCGCCAGTCTGGCCACACTTGTCCCTAGACTCCCCCAATATGAATACGACCCCGAAATTAATGTTCTCCTTGCCTTGCGTGTATATAGTATAACCCGAAACCGAGCCCTTCGATCAAAATGCCCTCCACACATGCGCATCTTGATGGCAGTGCCGGCGTGGTGAGACCGCCGACCTCAAAGAGAATCAGAGATATAAGAATCATTCAGCATTCATTCTGACCAGCAGAAACAAATTGTTCCAGGTTCATCATTCCTTGTCAACCAAGGCTCCTGTATTTGATGCTCCCATCCGTAATTTCCAGACTTCAACTTCCCCGTTTCGTGCATCTTCGACCATCCGCCGACCAACCACCAACATCGTCTTCGAACAATGGCTCTCGATCAATCAACCAGTCTCTCGGTCGCAGAGTTAGCAATCTATCTCATTCTTATACCAGCCACCGCCTGGTTTGCATACAAACACGGACGACGCGTCCTTTTAGGCTACATCTACCTCATCATCTTCGAAACGCTACGCGTCGTGGCCGGAGGCATTCAAATCCATGCTCACAATACGGGAAAACCATCTACAACAGGTGCCATCATCGACTCAGTGGGTCTTAGTCCTCTGCTGTTGGCCTTTGCTGGCTTTTTGCATGAGTTGACGTGGTATTATGCCGCCATCAACCGGAGCTTCAATGCTTCTATACTCAAAGCAACACTTATCCACGTCAGTGCTGTCACAGGCGTCGCCCCTCGCTGCGACTGGCGGATCGAAACTTGCGGATCAAAATGCCACTCAATCAGATGTTGATACGGCCCACACTCTTCAAGAAGTTGGTTCTGTTATTCTTCTCGTCACATGGACTGCCCTCGTTGTGCTCTGTGTCCAGCTCAATCTGAAGCTTAGCAGCCGTCGAAACTTGAGGATCCTCATGGCAATCGCTTGCGTTTTCGTTGGTATTCGTGCCATCTATAGCGTCGTATACGCATTCGACCGTTCACCATCGCTCAATCCAATCACCGGCGACTTTACCGTCAAAGTCATTTTGGTCATTTTGGTTCAACTGATGGCGGCGCTCGTGCTGCTCATCGTTGGCTTTTTGACCCGCAACATCGTCCATGAACACGGGTTGAAGAAATGGGGACCGGAGAGACATGAGAGAAACGTGGAAAGTCGGGGCACATCTATTCCACTTACGCCTCCCAAATGACCTTGTCACTCCCCGTTAAAGGGTTGAAAAATGTCAGAGACAAAAGTGGAGGCACGCTGGAAGAAGAATATTGTACCCGTCCACGTGGTTGTCGGCTGCCGTTCGGTGCTAACACATTGCCTCATTGTAGATAGATGACCGACCTGAGTTTGTTGACATTGGAGTTTGATGATAATCATACCGTCTTTCACGTCTAATTATTTCTCCATTCAAAATCTAATGATCCCAACAAACCCTTCACTCGTTTTCTATTACGGTGCGACGTTTCAAGCAAATTATGCCGCAAATTTTCATAGAAGCTCCGCGCGCTCAGTGCTTACTCCATTCTTTCGCATCGCCCAACGACTCGGAAAAAAATATTCTATCCAAATCCCACGAGCGAAACAAGAAGCACCACCGCGTTCTGCACCCAAGTCGCTGCTCGCGCACAGCAGGAATGTCACGTTGATCATGAACTGGCCGAGCGTCTGGTCAAGAAGCAGCTTGATGAATACATTCGTGCAATTGATATCGATTTGCTGTTTGGGTGTCTGCTAATGTTGTAGTATGTGTTTTGGCTTTGACATATTGCTAGCCTTTACCTTTTGCCTTAGCCACAGCTTTCTCTGAAGCCAAGTCCAGACCTTTCAAGATTCTTGCTAATGCGGTCGAACCACTTCCCGGAACGTCGTCGGGATGTGCTCTTCTGGGACCGGCTGCGCTGAAAGGATCCCGAACAATGCAAACTCCGTCACGCGAAGCCCGTTCATGTCCATAGTCGCAGCAGAAGAAGTTGAAGTTTTGTAAAAGTCCGTTGCGCAAGTGTTTTGAGCCGTCAAGCTTGCCAGGGCTTTTGGGATCGCGGATTTGATGGCGATGGAGATGATTGAGGGCATTGTGACATCGGGATTTTACTTTTTGTTCAACAATCCCTAGGACATCGCCTAGTTCTTCCTTCTAGTGAGCAAATATTGTATCTGACTCAACCACATATACAGAGTAGTTTATTTCCGTGAAGTTTTGGTACATTGCCAAAAAGATCAGGACTCCGTGAACCGGGTGTGACCAGCTACGGTTGCCATGACCATACTCCGTGCAATGTGCGGCTCTTCTTGGTCTTCGTGCCTAACACGAGCTTCGCTGTACGCAATAGGTAAGAGCAGAAATTGATGCAAATATGTATGAGAGATACCTTACCTCCTATATATGCCCTATCGCTCTCCCTGCACAAGTTTCTACCGCCGCGATAGTCTAAGAGCTGATGCTATTATGATCAAGGCCATGGCAGACTTAATGAGGCAATTTGTCTTAACTTTGGCCGCTGATGCGTGCTTTACAGAGGAAAAGGGGGGGGATATTGGAATTCAGGCAAGCCCAGCACCAATTCCAACGTGTCTGGTTGAGCTTAGCAATGCCATCCACCTAGTATTACGCTGACATATAACAGACTTGCCATTTGCGAACCGTGAAAGGTACAAAGGACAAGCCAAGCGAACAACCACCTTGGTTGTGGGTGGGAGGGATTTGTCGAAGCAGTGGTACAATTGAAAACAGCTAAAGCATGTGCTATCATGAAGACCAATCAAACAATCTTGGGCGCTCCCTGCTCCCTGTGGGAAACATCGAAATTGAAAGTTAACCGGTTTAATTCTCCAAGTTATGTTCAGATCTAGAAGCGAGAGTCAATGGAGACGTGACACTGGCCCGCCATATGGTTCGAAACTTTTCATTCACCTTAATGCGAATTTAGATGCTAAGGGCCTCTTTTCAACGTTGCGACAGACCATTTTGGATGATTATAGGGTAAAGCCCCGTTAGAAGCGTATCTCTATTACAAAATGCCAGACCATGGTCAAGTAACTCCTGACAAATGCAAACAAATTTTTGAAAATGTTGACAGGACCAAATCAACATTACTGAGGGCCCAAAATATCATACATGCACACGTAGTCTGGGGTATCACATCACTTCGATCGCAGTAATTCAACAGATAAATCACATAACAGCCTACCACAACGTCAGTAAATGACAGCAAGCACAGCGAAAAGAGGCTCAACTTACACATTCACTCTTATCCTTCCCTGCAGGGACACCCATCTCGTCAAACGTCTTGGGGCCTTTGCCTGGTGGTCGGGCAGCGTTGGCTGGCATGGAATTCGGCTTCGAGGGTTGAGCAGGGCCACTTGGGGCGTTGGCCGGTGGTTTCGAAGGAGCGATGTTAGCCGGCTTCACATTTTGCTGAGAAGGCATTCTATTGGGGGGAGGACGAGCGTTCGGATTGGGCGGGCCTCCGTAGCCCTGATTCGGACCGCCTGGTGCCGGGCGATTGTTTCCAGGTGGCGGTCGACTTTGCGGAGGTCCTTGTCCTGGTCCTTGCTGTGGACCTTGACCGGGCCGAGGAGTGTTACGAGGCGGGTTGTGAGGGTGAGGAGGTGGTCCCATGTTTGACCCATTAGGCTGCGGGAGCCGTGGCTTTCGTTCTGGTTCAAGGGGAGCAGAATACCCAATGTCAATCTTGGGTGTGGTGTTTGGACCTCCAGGACGTGGATCAAGATACGGCGACGTCGTCTCCGGTCTAGTTGGCGGGTGAATTTGGGGGACTGGTTGAGCATAAGGTGGTCCCCCAGATGGCATACGTCCTCCACGCCCATATCCCGGTGGCGGAGGTCGGCCGTCATTGCTCGAAAAAGGACGTTGTTGCGGTGGCATATGAGGCTGACCATGTAGATCGGGTCGTGGTGCGGATGCAGCCGAAGCGGGTCGAAGGTTAGGATTGATACCAAAAGCTGACGTTGGTCGGAATTCAGGACCTTGGCTTGCGGTTGGCATATTGGGGGGGCCAGTAGGGTATGGTGCCGCACTTCCAGGTCGTGCTGGTGGTCTCTGATTGTTGAGAGACAGTCGAGATGGGTCAGGCATATCGAGCACCTGAGACTCGTGTTCTTCTGAGAGCGTTGGCATAGCAGGCACTGGCGGAGGTGCATTTGCTCCGCCAATTATCGAGCCTCGCTGCTGTCGAATCTTGGAGAGGGCAACGCTCTCATGATCTTTCCGAGACAGGGTTTTGGATCGGGAAATGGCATCGATTCTTCCACCAGCGTCTTGATTACCACTTTGTGATGCTTTCCGATACCAGTCCTTGGCCAGCTCAAAGTTGACTGGAACGTAAATGCCAACCTCATAGTAATATCCTAGCGCAAACTGGGCTGTCGCAAACCCCGAGAGCGCCGCCCGTTGAGCATAGGTGAATGCCATTTCTTCGTTCTTTTCAAACAGCCCTTCGTGGCCGCAAAGAAACCATTTACTTATTGCAAGTTCGGCGTCAGGTTCGCCCTGTTTGGCAGCGAGAGCATTATAATGTAACGACAATGCCGGATCGAAAGGACAGCCAAGTTCGCAAAGTTCATAAGCCGCTCCCATCTTCACTTGTGCCTTTGCAAAGCCCAAGTAGGCGGCCTTTTCGATGTTGATCTTCGCGGCGGCAGTATCTTTCGGTAGATATCGTTCCGGAACCTGGATTTGAGACATTTGATGTGATTGAAGCATTCCAAAGACATAAGCACCTTGCGGAGCATTTTCGTCAGCTGTCTGTGCTGAAGCATAAACCAGATTGAGGCCACGCTCAAAATCTTGCGCTTGCCCATGCTGGCCGAGGAGGGTCATCATTCCGAGTCTGTAGCAAGCAGCAGAATCGCCTGCATCGGCACCTTTCTGATAATATTTGATCGCTTTCAGCGCGTCGTTGGAAGATTCGAATTGCATTCCGATTCGGTAATCGGCGCGAATGTAGCCTCGTTCGGATGCCCGGGTATAGCACAGAAAGGCTTCTTTCTTGTCGACCCTGTGACCGAACTTGCCAAACTCCAGCCACATGCCCCTCATAAACTCGGCTTTAGGGTGATGTTGATCCGCGAGGAAATTGACGATTTTGATCGCATCTTCCCTGAGGACATGTTCGATTCGTGGCGTGCGTGTTCTGGGTGTTTGAGCCAAAGCTATTCTCTCCTCGTTTTGTTGACATATTTCCACATACGCCAATGCGTCTTGTGCCCATGTCAGCTGGGTATCAGGGTCGTTGCAACTCAACACAGCAACCCTGGCATTTTCCAAGGTCGCTTCTTTCTGTTCGTCGGTCGGAGGAATATTTGGAGGAGGATCGCGAATGGTCGGGAAAGGAGAGAAGTTTGGCTGTTCTGGTGCCGCCATGGAGGTCGTTCGGGGAGGGAATTTGTCTGGTTGATATGATTGAGGAGGAGTGTTCGTTGGCGGCATCTTCTGGTCAAAGTCTTGCTGAGGAGGATGAGGTGATGACTGAGTCACCCAAGCATTCATACTGGATGGCATGTATTCTGCAGACTGAGGGGAATAGACGGATCCAGAATATACCGAATTAGGACTTGATGCCGCCTGTTCCATTTGAGCTACATTTTGCTGGATGTTGGTAGGGAGTTCATGTACTCTGTAGCCGTCAGCAAGGGGGTCGTTCTTTTGAATTCCACTTTTTCAGTCCACCAGCATACCGGTTAGGGATTGGTTGAATCAACTCGGGCATATAATAGGAATCATCGCCTCCCGGAACGAAGGTCGCACCTGTATGGTAACTCATGGTTGTGACTAAAGGTAGATCTTTGCAGTCCCGCGGTGGGGGGTTTTGTTCAGCTCCGACGCCTGATCGCCCTGGTCACTGGGTGGACTGAAGAAAGATCTTCAAGGCCCGGACAGAACAGCTTGTGTTCCTTCCCACCAAAAAGAGCAGTCACCGAGAGTGATATGTTCTTTTCAGGAGAGTGCACTGGTGCAGCTTACGCGGACCAAATGGGAGAGAGATGGTGCCTCGGGGCCCAGGGTGGGGGTCGAAAATGAGAGTGATCAACGGAGGACAATTTCCGACTGTGAATGCTCAATGTAGACATGTCTCGAGGATGGATGATGAGGCGGACAATATGGGCGTCTACCGGATGGCAGCATCAGGTGAGGCAGGACATCGTGACAACAGCTGGAACCACCTTGGAGGCGTGTGCTACTATTGTCAACAGAAGTGAGCAAAAAACTGGGAGAGCAGGGAGGGCGCAGCGAGGCTGCATTTGATGGTGAACAAGGTTGTGTGCAAATGCTCAATGACATCTAGCTAACCAGGCCGGCTAGTCGACGGCAACAACGGAGAACACGGTTTGCTAGTGGACAAAGGCGCAGTTGGCAGGCTAATGTTCGAAGAGTTTAGCGAGCAGACCGCCCTTCTCCGCATTGGGCTCTCTCACTGAGCATGGCTTGCCCCTTGCCTCCCTCACAGCCACAGGCCACCCATTTTTGGCATCGCAAGCTCGTGCCTTGTCACCTCATGGGGGCTACGATTCCTGATCAGCCATGTCGATTTGCCTCTGACAAAACAACGCACGATGTCGAATATGAGATAATCAACGATTCTTCCCACACATGTCACGTTTTTTCGTGACACGACCCCATGCAATATTCTGCTGCCTGATTCGTGACCCCCACAAGAAGACGTGGCTGTGGGATCCATTACGACAAAAAGATCTCCGAAAGCAAAAGAATGGCAATATTTTAGAGAACCGAAATTACCATGGAGCCAAGTCAGGCGGACTTCTGCCACCCGTACCAGCCGTATTCTATTCAATTGGACTTTATGACCAACTTATATCGCTGCCTGGAGGAAAAGAAAGTCGGGATCTTTGAGTCTCCGACTGGAACAGGCAAATCTTTGAGCCTCATATGTGGGGCCCTAACTTGGCTTCGAGATCATGAGCGTCGCTCTTTGAGCGGCACAGCTGGCGAAAATGATCCAACGGACTGGTTGGTGCAAGCCGAGTCAGCGGCACAATGCCGTGGACTGCTTCTTGAACGTGAAGAACTCGAGCGGAAGCTTGCCAGAATTCGCGAGGAAGAGGCCTGTCGTAGAGAGCGAAGAGTCGACTCAAGGGTCTTAAAGAAAGCACGCACTGCCGATGCAAATGGTGCAGATCGTGCTTTAGATGATGTTGAGGAGTTTATGCTTGATGATTATGACGACGATGGGGAAGAAATCCCATATCAACGTAACAGCACTGGTTACTCAAGTTCAACTCAGGCACTACTTGACAAGTTACAACAGCCGACAAAGACAGACGTGGAAGAAGCAGAAAAAGATCGACTCAAAATCATCTTCTGTTCGCGCACGCATTCCCAACTGACTCAATTTGTCAATGAGTTGCGTCGTGTGAAGCCGCCATCCTCTATTCCCCCCGGATTCGAAGATATTTTACCTGATACTTGTCTTGAGGAAAGGATCAAGCATCTCGCACTCAGTTCGAGGAAAAATTTATGTGTCAATCCTCTAGTCACCCGCTTGTCATCCACGGCAGCAATCAATGAGCAGTGTCTCGAACTTCAGAAACCCAGAACGGTAAAGGATAAAAGGTGTCGCTACCTGCCTTCCAAGAATGACAGAGAAAGAGTGGAGTCGTTCCGAGACAGGGCCATTGCACAGATCAGGGACATCGAAGACATTGGCAATCTCGGGAGAGCCATGGAAATTTGTCCTTACTATGCCTCTCGAGCTGCCATCGCTTCGACCGAAGTCCTTACTCTTCCCTATCCTCTTCTTTTGCAGAAATCCGCCCGAGAAGCACTGGGAATATCGCTCAAGGACAATGTCGTTGTCATCGATGAAGCGCACAATCTGATGGATGCCATCGCGGATACGTTCTCCATGGCATTGCGCCTGAGTCAGCTGGATCAAGCTGTAGACCAGGTAACTGCTTATGCGATGCGATTCAAAAATCGCCTGAAAGGGAAAAATCGAGTCTATCTTACGCAAGTGATTCGGTTACTAAATTCGCTCACAGATTGCCTACGGGATACAATGAGGAATACACACTCCACAGAGGTGTCTGTTCCTGCTGCTCAGCTTATGTCGGGGAAAGGCGTTGATCAGATTAAACCTCATAAGCTATTGCGGTATCTGCACGAAAGTAAACTCTGCCACAAGGTTGAAGGCTACACGGAATCTCAAAAGGCCGAGAACGAGTCGAACCACGGAAAGGGTGTTTTGATGCACTTCCAGGACTTCTTGTTGAATTTGATGAATCCACAGAGTGAAGGAAGATTCTTTGTGAGCCGACAAGACAAGGATATCATTGTTCGCTACACTTTGCTTGATCCAAGGGAGCATTTTCGGGATATCGTTCAGGATTCCAGAGCAGTCATATTGGCCGGAGGGACTATGTCCCCAATGACTGACTATTCCGACTATCTTTTCTCATATCTCGAAAAAGATAGGCTTCGAACTTTTAGTTTTGGGCATGTCGTTCCAGCTTCTCATTTATTCGCTCAAGCCGTTGTGAATGGGCCTTCGAACGTCGAGTTCGACTTCACATATGAAAAACGTGCTTCGGAGAAAATGATCCTGGAATTGGGCCATTTGATTGTACGCGCTTGCAGAGTCGTACCGGACGGAGTAGTTGTGTTTTTCCCTAGCTACGACTATCTGTCTCAGGTTGTGTCCGTTTGGCAAAGACTCCCAACCTCCCAACCGCTGATGACGGTCCTGGGTAAAACGAAGGTCACCTTTCAAGAATCCAAGTTCGTTCAGGTCGAGGAACTCCTGCGAGATTATGCGAACGCGGTAGACGCTGGGAAGGGCGGCTTAATGCTGTCCGTCGTTGGCGGAAAGCTTTCGGAGGGAATCAATTTCTCGGACAGACTGGGTCGGGCAGTGATCGCGGCTGGTCTTCCGTTTCCAAACGCCAATGGTGCGGAGTGGAAGGCCAAAATGCAACATATTGAGGCTCTTCGATATCAGCAGTGCAAAGGAGAGGGAAAATTCAAGGAGGCGGAATGCAGGACGGAGGCGAAACGTGCAAGTAGGGACTTCTATGAAAATGCATGCATGAGAGCTGTCAATCAAAGCATCGGAAGAGTCATCCGTCATAGAAATGACTATGCAGCAATTCTGATGGTAGACAGACGGTTTGCGACGGAAAGGATCAGGCGGAAACTGCCAGGATGGATTCAAGGGAGCATGCCGAAGGGTATTCGAGCTTGGGACGAAATAGAGAGATCTCTTGAGGACTTCTTTCAAGGTAGATAGGGATAGAAGAGTCTATCAGCATGGAAGCACCGCGGAGGGGAGGTCCTGAGCGAGGTTTAAAGCAGCAAGTTTTTACCTACGCTTGAGCTGCCAAGATATTTTCACGCTAGTCCGTCTTAGGATCTTGGCGCACATTTCGCCGGCAATTCAACTGCGCTTCGTATTTCAATTTGTCTAGCGGTTGTAGACACACAACTTCAGTCTCAACACCGCCAAAATGCCTACGAGACTGACAAAGACTAGAAAACTGTGAGTGTTTCCCTTCCATTTCACGCACATGACGCCTCGGCAGCGATCACCTGCTCGACGTAGCCTATTTGCTTCGATCAATCTTTTTCCCGACAAGAACTCTCTTCTCAGCCATTCTACATTACTACGACCGAATCAACGACTTCTCTCGACCGATTTTCCTAAGTTGCCCTCTATCTAATTCTGCGGACGAAGCGGCGCTGTTCGATTTTACGTTCGGACTTCTCGTCAAATACAGGACTTGACTAATATTTGATTCTTCAGCCGCGGCCATGTGTCCGCTGGCCACGGTCGTGTAGGAAAGCACCGAAAACACCCTGGAGGTCGCGGTCTTGCTGGCGGTCAGCATCATCACAGAACAAACATGGATAAATACCACCCTGGGTACGTTTCATTTGAAGATGGGAGGCTGCGAAGGAGTTGCTCCTGCTATGGTTAAGCCATACAGACATATTAACGGTTATCAGTTACTTCGGAAAAGTCGGTATGCGACACTTCCACCTGCTCAGAAACCCTTATTGGAAGCCTTCCATCAACCTTGACAAGGTCGGGACTTCCCAATTTATTATATACGACAAAGGGATGACGACTGACATGGCGTGGCAGCTCTGGTCCTTGGTTCCTGAAGAGACTCGCGATGCATACCTTTCTGGCAAAAAAACTGACACAGCCCCCGTTTTCGATCTCCTTCCTCTCGGATATTCCAAAGTCCTCGGAAAGGGCAAAATTCCAGAGATCCCGATTGTTGTACGAGCACGATGGTTCAGCAGAGAGGCAGAGCGAAAGATCAAGGAGGCCGGTGGTGTTGTTGAGCTGGTTGCATAAGTGGTGTTGTGGCAGTCGATTTTAGAATCAGGGTGAATGGAAATGGAACGACGTTACCGACTGCAAGAAAGGATGACGTTTCAGCATGCATTAGGCCGGAGGTTATCGATTTGTCTCATACTGAGGAGGCGTCGATGCAAAAATCAAAAAACTGAAAAGATACTGCACCATCGGGTTGGTTCTCTATGGATTTCTTCTAAGCAACCATAGATCTATACCCGACACTCAATGAAGTCTCCTATTGATTTCCATTATTTGTCTACGCAGTTCGATCCACCGGAAAACTGGCTTTTATGCTTCCTCTTTCATTTCGCAGTTGCACCAAAATTGATCACACCCACGTGACCCTACTCGGCAAACCCGCGCGTTGGGCTCCACATCTTCTACGCGTAGATGAGAACGCGTGTTTCACAGCCTCGTAGTTGAAAGTTGTCTACAGTGACAGACAGAGCATGCTATGTGTTTTGAGGTGCTCGTTTGTACTGCTAGGAGCCTCCACATCGTACGCATGGGCGAATCTACTTCAGTATGGACGACAATGTTTCCCTGCTTGATACACCAAAAAGAGTATCCCTTCAATCGCAAGCAAACACCCTCCGAGCAGAGCTGAAGGACTTTGAAAGAAAGTTCGCGGCGGCGCATGATGATCGCAAACCTGGGAAAGACGATATCAAGGCGGATGTAGCCATCGCAGCAAAGTATAAGGAATACAACAAAGTGCGGGATGTCCTGGCAGGAAAACTCGGCCTTGACGCCTTGAACAAGCAGCAGTCCCAGCCTACCCGCCGAAGACGCGGCCGGACAGACAGTGCAATCAGTCTGACTCCTCATCGACCGCGTAAGGGCCCCAGTCCCTCAAAATCCCACTTGCATCCCAATGAAGTCGACCCTTATGATGCTCCTCCATCGGCCTCGCCGAAAGTTGTCTTTCATGCCATTGGACCTACTCCGCGAAGAGACGGTACGGTACTGGGCATATTTGATTTGTTGTCGAATTCTGGATCATCTAAAACCACCCAGGAAACACCGTCATGCAGAAAAAGGAAGATTGATGCGTTCAATAATTGTACGAATGATGATGCGATACAGAATTTGGCAGTTGCCCAGACACCAAGTCAAAGGCGTAGCAAGCAGGCTGAAAACGAGAAAGAGAATCTCCTAACCATCACACCAGGCTCGCGAGCACGCAGGGGTCGACGACAGCAGTCCAAGACGCCTGTCAGCGAAGGGAAAAGGTTTATGCTCAACCACTTCTTCGCGACGCCCAGCGCTGTCCCTTTTGCCACTTTGATTGATGGCGACGAGGAACTGCACTCAGAAGTCCCAACCGAGACCAACACTCCGCTTCGGGACGCGATACTCGGGCTCTCACCGTCAAAAGACAATCAGGGACAAGCGACAACTAATGCCACTCCGCCCTACCTAAAGCGATCGTTTTCTTTCAAAGAGAGGCTACTTTCTGCATCAAGAGATTCTTCCACCCGTTCATCTTCGATGATCAGCAAGACCCGGTCCTCCACGAGTGCTGGCGCACGGAATCTGCGGCATGTCACATTTCTTCCCAAACCGCTCAGTCAAATGATTGCAGACTTGCAAAACCGGCACAGTACGCTACAAGGAGACAATGATGATGATCTCGAAGCTCTGCGGGAAATGGAATCAAATGAGCTTAACGTCCTAATCAACGATGGCCAGGCCGCTGAAGTCCCGGCTGGAGCTGGATCGCAAATGACTTGGAAGAAGAAAGGACAGAAAAGAACAACACGACGAGCGATTATCAGACCTGTGAAAATGAAGGTGGCTGATGCTCCGAAATTCGTCGCCGCAGAAGATGACGATGAGGTGGAGCCGGAGGATGAACTGGCAGCGGACAGTGAACGGGCGGTCGAGAGAGAAGAAGAAATTTCGCAAGTCGGAGAGACGCAACTTGCCACCGCACCAACCCCTTCAGACCGCAAACCCGATGATGATTCAGATCTTGACCGGCTCATCGCCGAAGTAGAGCAAGAAGGCACCGAACAGCTAAGCGATCCGGAAGATGAGTTCATCCCCGAACCCGCAAGCCCTGTTAAAACACGACGTGGAGGAGACTCGAAGTCTGAGAAAGTTAAATCCGCAAAATCAGTCCGCCCCAAGAAGAACACTGGAGACCTAATTGGAAAACCTGCCTCAGCGAAAGATTCACGAGCAAAAACTTCGAAATCTACCGTGGAAGATGGCAGTGGACCCGGCCGAGTGAGGACGATCAATCCAAATGCTTACACGCATATGAATTTCCGGACTCTAAAGATCAAGAATAAGAACTCGAAGGCGAAATACCGTGGGAGATTTGGGAGGGGCAGGAGATAATATCATTTTGATAAGCTGTTGTGCTGGTGCTCGTGCACATGTCGAAGACAACTTTGTATACGTCTATCTATGGCGTTCCTCCAGAATATCGCGTCGTGCATGGGGAAGGGTGGGTGGAGGGTGAAAGCGTCTGATTTTTCGGCAGAAGAAAAATGACGAGCAGGAGGCGTGTGAAAACTTCAGTTTGGGCGAAACAATACACCATAACGATACAAGAGGATCAGGAGAGACGACCTGAAATTTTTCTTTCTGTAGTCGCTATCTATTTCCATAGATGAATACGATGCGTAACTGCACCGATCCGTGCTGGATAGGATCTGGCATTCAAATCACCCCTGGGCGTGTACTTCTCTGTTAATAGTCGCACTGACCGGAGCAGACCGTCCACGATCCGGTCGTCAGGAGGACTGTCATAGGACCTTCAAAATTGAAACCCGTGTTATAAGGTTATGGGGACGGTTCAGTTCCTCCAATCATCCGTCTCGTCCTAATCTGACCAACTCTTGTAGGAAGTCTTCGCCGTTGACCAGCTCAGTGCTGCCATACATGACCCTCCTGGTGCGTGGCACAGAGCCAACCCCTCCACCACTCGCGCCTTGTCCAGTGGTTCTCTTCACCCACTCTTGCAAATTACCGTATTCGTCCATACTTCCACCTCCGACGGTGAAGACGATTGCCTCAGTGTACCCTTGCCGGCGCTGGCCGAAGCTCGGGGTCACACCAGTCGTCGGTTGACCACTTCTTGAAGGTGGATTAGAGCCACCGGGTGTGCCGCGGGCGTGGGCGCTGCGTGGGTCAAAGTAGAGGTAATTCTCCGTCTTAGCAATTGCAGACGATGATGCGGCTGGTGGGTCCATAATAGATTCGACGATCTTGGTAACCGTCAAGTCTCGGTTGGCGGGGAGGAAGTTCTTGACGCCTGATACGAGGGCTTCAAGGTTCACGTTCCCGAAAGTAGATGAGGATATTTTGTCGGTAAAGTTCTTGGAGAGGGAGGATAGGCCACCGAATAACGGAGCTTGGGCCGGTTGAGATGTTGAAACCGTCGAGGCCATCATCGTACCTCGTGTTTCAAGTCTGACATTGGAAATGTGTTTGATGGCCGCAACAGCATCACCGACTCCGGCACTCGTCAACGCGGCTTCGAAATCCGAGAGTTCGGATTTGGATGGTTCTTTGTCGACGCTCAAATACCAGATTAGGAATATCCGCAGCTTATCCAATGGGTTGTTTCCTTTCTCGTCGGACTTGATAAGGGTCAACATTTGGTCGGCAGTCTGTTTGGTAATGTTTTCCTCTAATTGGAAAAAGTTGTCCAGCTGTCGATCCTTGATGCCTTTCAGTAAGGCCGTGGCGATATTCATGTGCATATCAAGCGTCGCTTTCCGCTCCCGCAATTCAGGCAACAACGTTATGGCTGCCTTCAAATGTGCGGCGGACGCTGAACTATCATTCAGATCTTCAATGCTGTTGACACCCGTCTTCTTGGTGACTTCTTCTGCATCCATCTTGTATTGTGTAAGTTCCTTGTCGATATCCTCGGCCACCTGAGGGAATGGTGCACTCGCGTTACGGGCCCAAAAGAAATCGCTCGCGTTGAGGTCGTAGGCTCGAGGTTTGGCGGTGGTGTTGCCCTCCTCTGCGACGTCCACCGTGATCCGATTTAAGTGCATTTTCAAAACATCATGGACCAACGACTGATAGGTCCATGAGTGAGATAACATGGGCACCAGGTCCACATTTCGATCCAGGATTATCAATACTGGTCGTGAAGGAGTCGAGTACACGTTCGCCGCGGACCCTTTGGAGGAGAACAGATTGTCTTTGGAGTTGAGGACATGGTCTCTCAATTTGCGGTCCAACTTTGTCGCAATCACTTTGGCCAACTCCGACTGAGGACATCGAATTATGGGCACTGATCCCATGGTCACGCTGACACTGAACAGGCCGCTCACAATCTTGTCTATGGCGGCGTCTTGGGCATCGGCCTCGGCTTTGGCACTGTTAAATGTCCAATACGACTCTTTTCCCATGCCCAGGCTGAACAGGTCCGGTTCAGCGACGATAAAGTTCAAATATTGATCGTACACTTGAGCAATGGATTCCGAGGTATTTGTGGAAGCAATTTGAGCGGCAAAGTCTTCAAGAAGAGGACGAGAGATCGAGGAGATGAAGTTGACGTATGCTGGAGTATACAGTCCTCGAGCGAGGTCAGAACAGATGGTTTGGATATTCGCCGCCGTAGGTTCGACGAGGTAGAGGACAGGGACATCTGGTATCGGATATCGAGGTGAGTTTATGTTTCTATCAACCAGTTAGAACTCTGTCGATTTTCAAGAATCCCCTGACCCAATCTTGCAGACGGACAAATGTATCGTCACTCCTTTGCTCCGCAGGTCATTGACACGCAGAACACTGCTTATAATATCCCGTCCAAGATTGTCAAAGACAAGGACCTTCCATATAGGTTCTCCATTCTCATTGAGGAGCGATGTTGATTGAGAGGCATTCGTGGAGTCGACACTGAAGTTGTTGGAGGTGGAGGGGTTGTCATTATTGAGACTGAGAATTCGCTCGATGGAAGCTACCCAAAGTCAGTCCCCATTCGCAGCCCACAAGGAGCATAGAATATTGCTTGCCTATCTGGCGATCTCGCAGTGTCTGGAGGCGGGCGGCCATGGCGGTGATGAATGGTCAATCCGCTGAGAGATCAATATACGACACCCAAGGGTTGGACGAGAGGGAGAAGATCATCTTGGCCTCAGAGAGTCGTATCCGGAGGACATGCTGGCACAAGAAAGGCGCATGTCTAGTAGCACCAGTACAAGAGCATTCAGATCCTCTGCGCTGCCAGCTTATACCAGCCTTGGCAAATCTGTCATTTTCGTGGGCGCCGACAAGGAACCAAGCCGGAAACAGTTAGGCGCCCTCGGCTGGCCAAACTTCAAAGTCAACGTCGCTGAGACCCGATTTCTTCTCTTTTCCCTCATTTATCACAAAAACAATCACTCTTCATCTCCCTCTTATCACATGGATTTTCTCTCTCACCATCCTCGCTCTGTAATTGTTCGCCTCGGCACGTCTGACAGTGGTCTGTAATAAGTGACATTGAATGGTTCTCCATTTTGCTTCACACATGGGCTGGAGTCGGGGTGTTGAGGTTGGCGTGACTCTGGCGCGTTTGCTCGCCATCTAATATTTTGCTTTCGCACAAGTCATCCGCGGCTCTTTTGTACATTTGTACGGCCTGCCGGTGACGGCGGATCGAGTGCATTTAGTGCCTTTGCCAGGCTGGTCAAAATAGAGGGTGTGCGAGTTGGGTTGTTTGGTATCAGTTCCCACGGGAAGGGGGGGCGCTGCGGTTCACGGTTCTCCTGGGTGCCCGGCCAGGTGGCCACAATCAACATCACACTGCAACGGATTTTTTCCGAAAAAAGTTAACCTCTTCTTCGTTTTCCGGACGGCAATAATTCCTACTACGGTCCAGCTTGGAATTTGCAATTTTCAAGCCTTATCGCGTTCAGTTCCAGTTCAGTCCGGCTCCCCCCGGCTCGCTCCAAGTTGTTTCTTCATGCAGCCGAGCGCGTGTTGCGGCCGGTGAGTGGCAAATCTCGGCATAAGCCAAAACTCTTCAACTTTCTGCCGGGGCTCCGAGACCCCGAACCCTGCTCTCACGTGATATCAGCCGATTCAATTTCTGCCACGTGATATCGCGTTCCCTCCAACAACGCGGGCCCTTTGCTCTCTACCTAAACTGTCCATCTCCACCATGGATCCATCCACCGATCCGTCCACACACAACCAATCTTACGGCTTCCTCGACGGTATCCAAGCCTATTCCAACTCCGACAACCTCCAAAATGGCGAGGACTACAGCCAATATTTCGACCCTGCCCTGTTCGAGAACACTACCATTGGACAGAGCTTCTCTCAGCAGCCACAGTCCATTTCACAGAATTTCGATTCGAATATTCCCAGACAGTCCAATAGCCCGGGCATACAGCAGTATACCTCCGCTCAACCCACCTACTCTCATCAACAATATTCCCAATCCCTCTACGACTCTCGCCAGCTATCCCAGCCCAATTATGATCCCAGATTCTACCCTCGACATTCTCCTTCACCCGTGGGATTCGATGGCGGATATCCCTACCAAAGTCCTATGGGCTACCCCAACCAGAACTACAATTCACAGCACATGAACATGCCGCCACGGCAGGATCATACTCCGACACCAAATTATCCGCCAAGACAGCAACACCCTTCGCCGTATGTTAACATCGGACCGCGTCCGTCCCAGCTGTCACAAGTTCAGGTAATATGACCTATTTCTGTGTCTTCATGGCTTACTCACACTGATGTAGAATGCCGACATGATGCATTTTGGGAACTTCCCGGAGCAGAATCACCAACCATCAAGTGCTTTTGTCGATCCATCCATGTTGACTGGAAACCAAATGATCAACGCAAATAGTACGTAGAACTTCTCCTCAGGTGCACCTCACTTCGCTGATCGTTCCTAGACAACAACTCGAACTTCCCAGCTCATCAACAGTATATGCCGCCTTCCTATTTCAAGGCAGGGTCTACCGTCGATCCAAGATCTCTACAAGGGGTTCAGCCTCTGCAGCCTATGCCAACAGCTTCCTCCCAGAGCCCTCATCCCGGTAAGACAATCATCCAAAGTTGTCACTCGAATCTAACGAATTCAGCACCAGCGGTCCAGCCGAAGCCTGAGAAGATCGCCAAGTCAAAGACGCCCAAAGATCCTCATGCACCCAGGAAATCTAAAACTAAGACGAAGAAGGATGTTGCTGCGGACACCAAGACCGAAGAGCAAGCCTCCGACTCCGAGTCAAGTTCTGATGATGAGTTGTCATTTGAAGATGAGGATCCTCCCGAGATGACCCCCACTTTGCTTACAGTTTCTGCTCCGACTGATGAACGTGGAAAAGCTCTTTACAGTTCAGTGCAGGCAGTTTGGGCTCCACGGAATAGACCAGCTCCACCCGAAAAGATCCGAAATGGCATTGCTGGCTTTGGTGATACTGTGCGAAGTTTGAGAGATGCGTGGAAAGTCAAAAATGACAGTCTGAGAAAGGCTGAGATCCCCAACTCTCCTACAGCATCAGACGCCGCCAGATTAAAGGATGAAGTGGCGCGTTATCGAACGGTTATGGAAAGCGTCATGGCTCGATCCAATATGTATGGGCATCCAGCCATCGTCAAAAGGTATGTCAATCCCCAATCCTCTCCTGGTACCAGTGACTGCCCACTGTCTCGCATACAACGTGAAATGACCCCGTGTGGGCCTGGAAATTTGATAGAAACGATGCTCTCAATCGGCCTTTGGTGTCTTGCGCACAGTTCATCTGCCTCGTTGGCCTCAAGGTGCACAGGGGGGAAACCGGGACGTGCATCGCTCGTCCATAATGATCGTGTCCATAGCTACACATCCATAGATAGCGTACAATTCTCCTTCTTACGTGATTTACCCGGCACACCTCGAGGCAGGACAGGTCGTACCTGTTCCTACAGTCAACCTAATAACTCTTACTGATAATTTCGTTTCAGACTAGGTGAAAATCAGTTCACAATGTCGGCCCTATACTCCTTCATGCTGGACAGATTCAATGCGGGAGACTATGACAGTCCCCTCGTCAGCGCGATTCTGGAGGTGAGATCAGCCAACCCTTGCCGTCGCTACAAACGCTAATGTCGAGTAGTTCGTGGTCAAATTTGAGACCCTTGATACTGAAATGCTAGAGATGACCAAACTATCCAAGATACTGCAGCGTTTCACTAAAAGGGCAAGCAGTGAAATAAAGACAATGGCACAAACCATTCTGGATAATGCTGCTGCTGCTTCTGCCAAAAAGGCATCCGCTGCCGCCGCCGAGAATAAATCTGATAAGCCGGCATCACCTAAATCAACTGGGAGTCCGGCCGATGGGGCACGGAAAGAAGTGGTGACAGGAATGAAACGTCCCCGAGAAGGGGATTCATCGTCGCAGTCGGCGCCGAAGAAAGTTGTGAAAGTAATTGCGCAGTCATCGAAACCTCTGGCTCTTCAAAATGCTGAGCGGAGGAAAGCGTTGGAAACGGCTAAGACAGGAGAGAAGAGCGCGACAACGACGACCGCGACGACGTCGACTGCTAATGCGGCAGGAAAGGCCAAGGTCGCCGTGACAGCACCGCCCAAGTCTGCATCTTTCTCGTCCTTAATGTCCGCGTCCAAGAAGCCAGGAACGTCGCTGGCGGCGCGAGCTGCCGCTGCAGCCAAAGACAAGACGACAACCGGCCCTTCAGCGGGTTCCACGCCATCATCGAAAAAGGAAAATGCCAGGAAAGAATCCCCCCCGAGGAACGTCAGCTCTGCACCTGTTGCCAAGACCGCGTCATCCTTCTTAGGCCTGTTGGCCGACATGGAGAAAAAGCCGGAGAAGGAGGCGAAAAAGGAAACAGAAATTCCTAATGAAACCGAAGAACAAAGAGCAAAACGCCTTCGGAAAGAAGCCCGTCGAAAACTTCGTGTATCCTGGAAGGCAGATGCAGAACTTGTGGAGACTCGACTATTCACTCACGACCCCGAAGAAGAGATTGGCCATGGTGACAGTATGAGACGCGATGCAGGTGACACTGGCCGTGAAGGTGAAGCGCTCAAGCTTCACAAAGACATGGAGGAGTTGGAGGAGGAGGAGGAGGAGGAGGAGGATTCGTTTGAAGAACTCGAGCCGTACTCTCCACCTTCCGAGGTGGACTTTAGTGTCCTCAAAGACGAAACAGATTCACTCTCGATCAATTCCATCAAGTATGGCGGGACAGTGAAACCTGAAAGCCCAAGCAGCGAAAAGCAGAATAAACATGAACAAGACACGGTCATGGCCACCTACGCTTCCAAAGCCGATCGTCCGTCCACACCAAAGGAACCAGACGACAGCATGGAGGATGAAGGTGATTTTGAACCGGCCGAACCCGAGACACCATTTGGTGAGCCGAATGAGACAACCCGTCGACGTGAGAAAGAGTATCTGGCTCGACAAGCTCAAAAGCAACCAACTCCCAATACCATGCCGACGAGGACAGACTTGGCGACGCAGGTTCAAGCCATGAGTGCAGTGCAGACTCCACAACAACAGTCTACAGGAGTGTCACCCGAACTTCAACGCGTTTTGAGCATGTTGCAGCAACAGAACCAGTCTACCCCGCCTCCACAAGCTGCGCCTGCTTCGAATGTGAATCTCCAAGCACTTTTGCAGACAGTCCAACAAGTCACCCAGCAATTTCAAGGTCAAAACCAACCGCCACAGTATCAAGCTCCAGCTCAAAATACTGCAATATCGGCTAATCTCAGCGCCCTCTTGGCTTCGATGCAGCAGTCTTCACAAGCCCAGCCCGCCCCCCTTCCTATCGGTCTAAGCAATAATCCTAATCCCTACCCGGGTGCCATCGACGACTCCTCACGCAAACATGCACGTGCCGACTCGAACGACTACGATAACGACTACAGCCGAAAAGGGGGGAACAAAAAGAAAAAGGGCGGCGTTTCTGGTGACCAACCCAAACCATACAACTACAAAACCCAGATTTGCTCATTCTGGGAACAAGGCAAATGCATCAAAGGTGATGCTTGCACGTATCGTCATGGCGATGAGTGAAATGACAAAGTTTTCATCTTGAGCTCTCGACACACTTTCATTATACCTTAGCACAACATCACGGCGCACTGGTTTCATTAATCGAGTCTGGCGCTTGAGCCCTGTGTGTTTCTACATTCAGATGTTGCATTGACATTCAGCTCCACGAAAGACACAGCGAACGTACGGACGATAGGCATAGTTGAAAAAAATCAAATTGTGGGTATTCGAGGCCATGGATCATTAGGGGGCGTTTTTTGAAGAGAGCATTCCTGAATGGGAAATGGAAATAGGAAACTCGGATGGAGTTTGCTCAGGTAGATAGGATCGAAGTGCACACCGAGGCCAGATAGATGCATATACTGTCGTCATGCAAATGAATGATCAAGTTCTATCCTCCCACCTGTTAATCTGTGTATGGAGTTTTCCTTTCTATATGATTAGCTTCATTGTAAAGGCTCAGATGGACTGGCCAAGATGGTGGCCATGAGGCCCGCACTTACCATTGGCTCTCTGTTGAGGACCCTTTTTTTTCCCATTCAAGCATGACCAATTACCACAACTCGACATTGTTTCTTCCCTTTCACATCATTGTCAAATCTTCGGAACGTCTTCATCCTCGTCACTCTCGAAATGACCATCGCCACGCATTTGATCATCGTCTGCTGCCACGCAATTTACCTAGGTCCCGACAGCTCGGACGAATCGAACTGGCTGATCGAACCCTTCCAGAAAGGTGAGACAGGTACTTATAGTGCCCACGTTGAAGCCGGCGTGAGGGAACTCGCAGCCGATGAAAGTGCGCTGTTGGTCTTCAGTGGAGGCCCGACAAAGAAACAAAGGACAGATCAGTCCGAGGGAGACGGGTATTTGGTAAGCGCCTTTATTGCACCAGAAATCACTTGTAATTAGTCTGAACAATTCACTGACCAATACACCAGAAGATCGCAGTCGAACACGGCCTTTTCGGCCTCGAAACATCACCGCCCTCACTGCGACAGAGGATATTCGTCGATCGGTTCGCCACCGATTCGTACCAGAACATCCTATGCTCGCTCGTTCAATTTCCACTCTTTGCCCAGGAATTTCTCGACAGATCTACTAACACGACCACAACACTTGAGTCGTCAGGGTCTTCGCATCGCTCCAACCCGTCTCTCAATCAAAATCAACTCGTTTTCCCCAGCAAGCTCACCATAATATCGCACGAATTCAAACGCGCACGGTTCTTGGACCTCCATCTCCCCGCGCTCCGCTGGACGCGCGAAACGAACTACATCGGAATCAATCCACCATTTGACGCGGCGAGAATGGCTGAGATCGAAACCGGTGATCGGCTTCGTGGTTATGGAGCGTGGGAGAAGGATGTGTACGGTGTCGGAGAAGTATTGACTCGCAAGAGGAAGGCTAGAGATTGGGATGAAGATAGGTTTCGGGCCGATGTGCTGCAGAAGTTGAAGGTTTCTGATGAAGCCAGGAGGAAGTTGGAGAATGTGGTATTTAGGAGGGCTGGGGGCGATTCAAACAGGAGGGAGGTAGAGAAGATGCCGTGGGAATGAATGATGACAATGATGTTCTTTTGAGGGGTCGATGGAAAAGGGGATACTTTATTGTGGTATGCACATGCATGAGATATATTTTATAAGAGGTGTTTGACGTAACACGGAGCTGTTCATTCATATGGGTGCGATTTCACCCGCTAAGCAGTCACATGGACATATAGGGATGGCGCATGTTCCGTGTAAAAACAGGATCAAACCGAATAACTATGGCCAAAGTCCTGGTGGAGAGGAGGGAGAGCGGCAACCCCAGAGCCCAAGACCTATGGGAGGCGGAGGCAGAGGCAGAGATTCTGGCAGTGCTCTCCAACATCAGTATCCGTATGAATGTATGAGAACATTGTATCTCTCCCTAAAACTTCTTTCTCGGCTGGAGCAAGAAGCCAACCGGATTGAGGTATTAACTGCGTCGTCTCTGGCTTTCCTGGCGGCTTGATGGTACAGATCGATGTTCGACTAGGTGTTGCAGTGAGCACGTGTGAATCCTTCGAGTCAGACCGGTATTCAGGAACTCGACCCGAGAGACAAGCAGCGAGGCTATGATGGTACCGGATAAGGATACCTTTGCTCACATTCTCGCGATACATCTCTGATGTAGGCGGAGATATCGTTATTCACAACATCCCGGAACAGTCTCGATAAGAGTAGCACAACCATCGCTCGTAATATACGAAATCATGATCGGTGCATGTAGGGAATCTTTCACTCGTAATAAGACAGTATAGCTTCGACATATGCTGGGAATGTATGACTCATAGCCGAGCACAATACGGTTGATATGGGCAGGGCCATCTCACCCGAAATAGCTTCGATAAAGCGGAAACGTCATCACTCATAATATGCTGAAATGGTCGTCAATGCATGTAGCGGGTCTATCGTCTATAGTGGGCAATACGAGCGACAGAGGCGGGGAATGCTTCAATCATGACAGGGTGAAAGACTATCGATATATGCGGGAACGTCTCCACCTATATCATCCCAAAGCAGCGTAATACTAGGCCCGGAGAGTTTTTGAAAGAGAATGCTCTGCAAGACCCAGCTTAAACCAACCGACCAATAACAACGCGCGGAAGAACACCCGGCCCGATTATCCACCCCTTTATTTTCCAGCCTTGTCCACCAGCTCTACAGTCAAAGCCCGGCCGAAGCGCACAGTCTCGCCAAGCGAGAGACCAGCAACTTGTGGCGCGGACCCGGCACCGACGGACGAAGAGCGTTGCTAACGGTACGCGGCTGTGGGCTCGTATACGGCTCACCATAGAAAAATGACAGGCCACACCATTCTGCCGCATGCATAGGCATCGTGACAGGGCCCCCACGAACCAACGACACCGGAACCAGTCAACAAATGCAAGGCGGGGATAAGAACAGCCGAACCAGCGCCCGCAGCTGCGACAGCGGCCAAAACAAGGGTCGACATTGTTTTTCTTGTTCTTCTCGACGGATCTCGCGAATCACGGCGCTGTCAATGATCAAGGGGTGTCAGCGAGATTGCTCCCAGAGAGCGAAAGGGGAGATGGAAGCAGCAGAAACAGAGGCAGGGACCGCATAGACAGCTGCGGTAGAAATGGATGGGTCTTCTTCGGAGGTAGAGGTGGAGCCCTCACCGCACTCCTTTTCTTGATAACCCTAGTCTCAGCTCAGCAGCAATACCAGTAGATTCTACACCTTTAGCGCCTTTGATGGTCCATCCTAGGTCTCTCGTCAGGCCTGCGACGGGCCTTCTCGAGCGCTCCATTGTCGCGGTTGCGCTATTAAGCCGGTAAAAACCAAAAAGATACCAGCGTATTCAGCCAAGATTAAAAGCAGAAACCATCGGTAAATGGTATACTTACGTGCTCAATTTCCACGCAAACCCGGCCGTTGGCGGCGACAGCGACAGGAGCAGCCGATTCTCCCAATATCCGATCAAATTCGGTGTGGGTTCTCAGGGTCTTCCAGCATGGGGTTTTTGTTGAGGCGATATATAACTACTTCGGTATGGATCTGAAGGATGACGATAATCCCTCGGGATCCTTATATGCACAACAATGCGGGTCCGTTATTCTAGAGAATGCTCGCCATGAATGTGGCGGTTCTCAAGTTTGTGGTCATTTCTATATGCCCGCCAAAGAAAGGAGAACATTCCCCAGGGTATCTACTCAAATCTATATGTGTGGAGTATTCGGTTGCGTATCGTTTGTTCATGCCTGCGAATGATGTGTGGAACTTACAACGCCGCCAACAAAGGCTCAAAGTTGCACGGGAGACTCCGGCTCAACCAAGGTTCAATCTTTGACCCTGAATTCAGCCTTGCAGGTCCTCAACCATGGGCGTACAATCGGCCTCGGATGTTGAGTCGAATTAAATTGCCGGAGACAAGATCATCCACTTATATGTCTCGCACAATGGCGAAAATATGCTGCCGCGAAGGAAGGTCGAATCGCTCAAGACAACGTCAGACTCGGCGCCGCTTGCCGTTAGAGTAGCCTGCCTAGAGCACAAAGGAGCGAGAAAGAGTGTGGTACATGTTGCAAGATATGCTTTATCAACAGCTAGGTTAGATCCAATTGCACAGTTCGCTATCATCAAAGAGACACAAAGTCGTTGCAAGCGGCTGACAGTTGGAATTAGGAATGAAAGACAGGAGAAAGATCAACGCCCTGAGGTTGATTCTTCACCAGAGAAGGTAGACTAGACATGGAAGTCCTTTTGGAGCCAACATTTGGTAGAAGGGGATTGCACCAACAAGTTGAACTACTCCCACATCAAGCAGATTGCGAGCCAAACTTGGAATGGGTACCAAGATGGAGGTATGGAGCAGAAATACCAGTGAGAATAGGGGCTCAATGCACGTGACTGGGATGCCGGCTATTCACGGCTGTGGACTGCGGCTACGAAGTAGCACTGCGACCCCCTAGACTATTTCGGGTTTTGAACTCGAGCTCCAACTCGGGGTTTGTCATTGCCATCCAAAGAACAGCGTCCATTTCTCAGCATTTTGGGCCTCTACCAACGTCATTTGGCGGCGACTGTACATCTATTTGCGACCTTTTGTCGCTTTCTTTCCTTACTCTTATCATCCTCTGTCCTCAATCACATCTCCCAAGATGCTCAAAACACTAGTTCCCCGAGCTGGCCGATCGCTTCTGTCAACAAGAGCTCCGCAGTTTGGCCCAGCTAACATACGGACTGCTCCATCCTTCCACATAGTCTCACAAAACCAGCAACGGAGAAGGAGTTATGCCTCAGAGGCTGGTGACTACGACATTGTTTTCATCGGCGGAGGTGTTGCAGGATACGTCGGTGCCATAAAAGCAGGACAGGAAGGCATGAAGGTGAGCCATGACTCCTCCGATGGCCCCGAGCTGTCTCCAGCATATCCTAACTATCTTCCAGACAGCATGTATTGAGAAAAGAGGATCTCTCGGTGGTACATGTTTGAATGTCGGCTGCATACCCTCCAAGTCTCTCCTGAACAATTCACACATCTACCATCAAATATTACACGACACGAAAAAGCGAGGGATTGACGTCGGCGATGTCAAACTCAACCTTCAGCAAATGATGAAGGCCAAAGACGAATCTGTCACCGGACTGACGAAAGGTATCGAGTTTTTGTTCAAGAAAAACAACGTCGACTATATCAAAGGAACGGGATCATTTGTCGATGAAAACACAGTTAAAGTCAATCTCTTAGATGGAGGCGAGCAGGATGTCAAGGGCAAAAATATTGTCATCGCAACCGGCAGCGAGACAACGCCCTTCCCAGGCCTTGAGATCGATGAGAAAAAGGTTGTCACGAGCACGGGCGCACTTGCTTTGACTGAGGTGCCCAAGAAAATGGTCGTCATTGGTGGTGGGATCATCGGCCTCGAGATGGTGAGTCGCAGAAAGGTTTACAACACCCCCAACCCGATCAAATCTTCTAACAATTGTCACAGGCATCGGTATGGTCACGACTTGGCGCGGAGGTCACGGTTGTTGAATTCCTCGGCCAGATCGGCGGACCCGGAATGGACGCCGAAATTGCCAAACAAGCACAAAAAATCCTAGGGAAACAAGGAATCAAGTTCAAGCTCAACACCAAAGTCACCAAGGGTGACCCAAGCGGCGATCTAGTGAAACTCGACATCGAAGCTGCCAAAGGAGGCAAGAACGAATCTCTGGACGCCGATGTGGTCCTGGTCGCCATCGGCCGACGTCCTTACACGGAAGGCTTGGGTATTGAAAACATTGGCATTGAACTCGACGAGCGCAAACGCCTGGTGATTGACCAAGAATATCGCACCAAGATCCCTCACATCCGGGTGATTGGCGACGTGACATTCGGACCAATGCTGGCGCACAAGGCGGAAGAAGAAGCCGTCGCCTGCGTCGAGTACATTAAGAAGGGTTTCGGTCATGTCAACTATGGCGCCATCCCATCCGTCATGTACACACACCCTGAAGTGGCGTGGGTAGGTCAGAATGAGGCCGAGTTGAAGGCCGCCGGAGTGAAATATAAGATTGGCACATTTCCCTTCTCGGCCAACTCGCGAGCCAAGACTAACCTCGACACCGAGGGTATGGTCAAGTTCCTCAGCGACGCAGAGACGGATCGTATCCTTGGTATCCACATTATCGGCCCTAACGCCGGCGAGATGATCGCCGAAGGCACTCTGGCACTTGAGTACGGCGCCTCGAGCGAGGATGTGGCGCGGACGTGTCATGCTCACCCGACCCTGGCGGAGGCATTCAAGGAGGCTGCCATGAGCACGTACAGTATGGCTATTCATTTCTAGATCTGGAGCGGAGGAGAGAAACGGGTTTGCGTGAAAGTAGCATGGGGTGTGGTTGTTTGGCTAGCATTAATGGGACGGACGTCCTTCCCCATCAAGCGCGGCGGTTGCTGGCCATTGAACAAGCAAAGCAAAAGCAAACTCTGGTGTCTATCGGATGGAAAGTCCAGCCACAAGTCTACAAAAAGAGAAAAATAAAAAAAAGTGCAAATTACGTGCCTTCGGGAGACGACTTTCTTGTCCAACTTTGCATGTTTCATTATCCTTGATGTGGCTACCTATCGTGGGAGAGATAAATCATGCGGCATATAAAACGACATGACGTGGTGGTATCATACACATTAATACTAGCCCCGAGCCTTGCGGTTTCCGGGACAGTCGCATTGGAAATCTTTCACATTTCATGGCAAACATTTACATTTCCCCATTTCTTCTTCTTCTTCTTTCCCTTGCTTATTCCTTAGCGTTTTCGTGATTCGCGAACTCCATTTCAACAGCGCAGAGTACCAGATACGCAGATGCAGATGTCGAACGGGATTAAAACCCCCTAAAGCCGTACTGGACGAGACGAAAATCAGAGAGACCTGATACTCGGGGTATTTGTCTGTCCAGTTTAGGCCAGCTCAACTGTAGACTTGTAGATCGATAATTCATTCCTTGCTCTTGTTCTCATAGTAGGTGTGGGGGGAGGGAGAAAAATGGTTCAAGTCTTCTGGGTCATTAGACTGCGTTTTTGTTAGTTGATGATTCGTTCAAATGTGGGGAAACGTGTCTCAGCATACGTGATGCAGATTTCCCAGAAGAATCGTGACTGTTTTTGTCCATTTTCCAGCTCTCTGCTCACTTTTTACACCTGAGACATGGCTGGCGCACCTCTTCTGCCAATGCCACCTCTCAGGTTGGCGCCGCTGCTACGGGCACCAACGATGGTGAAGAACAAGCTGACGGTCCAGCAGGCCCAGGCGAACCACAGGAAGGCAGTGGAGGCTTGAGCTTCACGGCAACGGCCCTCGGTATCGTCGGAACCGTTGGTAATTTCGTTGGAGTGGGTATATGTCTATCGCATTGTCAGTGGATGCGGATTTGAAGGGAGCAGAGCAAAGAGAGGCATACGTCATTGTCGCAGGAGTGTACGCCTAGCTGGGCAGCCATGTTGACGGCGGCGCAGAAATAGAAAATGGTGTTGAGGAGATCGAGGGCGATCGGAATAATGGGATGTCCGGCGAAGGAATCGTTGAAAGCGACGGCAATCAGATAGAACAGTGAGAGCATGCCAAAAGTGACGACGAACATATCGAAGTTGATGGAGGCTGGGTTACCGGCAAAGGCGGTTGCGATGATGTTGCCGACCAGAGCCATGACAATGAGGGTGAAGATGAACTGGAGGGTTCAAATTAACGAGCCGAAGCATAAGAATGGAATAGAGAGGAAAGGATATACCTCCAACCCTCGAAGGATGAGGTTCACTTTTCTCGACACCATTTTGTCGAGGTGATTGTGCTAGCAGAGTGGATCGAAAGCGATACGTCGAAGCTGGAAGAATGCAGCCGGAGTAGTGCGATAGCTGGGAAAGATGAGGTGTAGACGGTCTGCGTGCAGAGAGGTTTGAGGTAGAAGCAGGAGATGAGTAGATTGAGTCGTAAGGAGGTCGGTGGCCAGTAGCTGGAGGAGATAGGTGCGGAAGAGGGTGGAATGATGATGATATTTTGGTTGTTTGAGGTATGGAAATGCTAGTGATTTATGGGAACGGCGGCGTCGGTCGCAGGTAGCCGGCAGGCAGTGAACGACGTCACTGGTTGAGCAGAGAGCCATTTGGTCCTGAGGCACAGGGGAGGGAGTTCTGCCAATAGGCAGAAAACTGGGCATCCAGGAACAGAGCCGATACAAGTAACATCAACAGTGTCACCGTAACAAACTTGCATTAGAGAAGGCTGTTTCGATCTCTATCCTCTATTCTCCTTTTGCTCTGGCAGTATCTACAGAATACCATATCCATTGGACACCAAAGACCCTACCCCCGACAACTTGTCGCATTCTTCTGCCTGGCAACCTCGGGCTGTTGGCCCTCCTTCTCAGTGGGCTGAGTCACGTGAAGCGCGCGGCTCCGGAAGAACCGGGAGCCCGTCGCCACAGAAACAGCGATAGCAAAACAAGTCTGCTGACTGTGCTCAACCAATGCAAGCCTCATGGACACGCCCTTCCCAAACCCTTCATCCCCTTCTGAGCCTTGTCTCTACGAGACTCTCCCACTCAGGCTCCCATCCCTGCTCTCTCCTCCCACTCTAGGTTTATCTTTCCACCTTTCCATGACATGACATGTTGCTGATTCTACAGCTTTTCAAACGTCGGCGTCTTCTTTTGCAGTCCACTTAAAATCGCTCTTTGAACATCCGTGCTTTGCAGCATCGCCTGATTCCATACCGCCGTGTAGTTGAGGTTATCTTCCACTGTTCTTCCCCACGCTGCGTCCAGGATATTCTTTGTCCCTTGTACTGCCACCGGGCTCTTGCTTGCCATGTATTGAGCGAATTCCAGCCCTTCCCTGATAAGCTCAGCCTTCCCTCCGCTGACCACCCGGCTCACAAACTTGTTTTGATATGCTTCTTCTGCTGAGAATTGCCGTGCGCTGAGACACACTTCTTTGACCCAGCTCGTCACCCCTCCCACTACTTTCGGCAATCGACTCAATGTGCCTACATCTGCAGCCAACCCGATGTCGACCTCCTTGACACAGAATTTGGTATCCGCGGTACAGAATCGGATATCACACGCCGACGACAGATCGATCCCGAGCCCATAAGCGTAGCCATGCATCAGCGCAATCACCGGCTTCTCACATCGGCTCACGGTCGAAATGACCTCTTGTAATTCGAGAATGTGTCGTCGTAGAACTGTCGCCTTACGAGAAGGGTCAGCAAATCCTGCAGACGAAATTGCGTTCCCCGGTTTGGCTGCATCTTCAACGTCGAGGCCTAGAATGACCGACAAACTGATCAGTTTTGTCCCAGGGGGACACCATCCAAGTCACGCACCTGCTGTAAATGCGCGATCACCTGCGCCGGAGAGCATGAGACACCGCACTTCTGGGTCCAGGGACAACTGTTCAAAGATGCTCTTCAACTCGAGCCACATGGGCCCGTAGAATGCGTTCAATTTTTCCGCCCGGTTGATTTCCACATGGACCACATATGGGGCTGGCACTGTTACATTGTAAAACTTGAATTTGGGGAAACTCCTGAGAGCCATGGTTTGCACGCTGGGGTTATTACCTAGCAAGGTCTCGGGTTTTACAACTCATTCAAAGATTAAGGAGATTCGAATGACGGTTGTCGACTGCAATACGTAATCGACGCTTCATCACCAAAATGATGATCAACTCACCCCAGAAATACCTCGGCTCTCTGGGATCAGGTGACTTCACGTGCACCTACCCGAACAGGCGTCAACTTCCGGGGGGTATTATTCTGTACACCAACTTTTGTTATTCTGTACACCGGAAAACCTGCTTATTCTGTACACCATGCCTCAACTCTCCTTATTCTGTACACCACCACCTCTCTCTCGCCTTATTCTGTACACTTAACGCTCTCATCCTGTTATTCTGTACACCGCGCTAACAGAGCTTGTTGCCGTTGGCCCGGCGATGGCGAGAAAACACTAGTAAGTGGCGTAGCTGTGGAGGGGTGACGCGTTAAACTCTCCCCGTTATAGGTGGTTGCGAAGCAATAAACACATTTGATTCCCTTTTCCTTGGTAGATAAGTACCGTGCATTTTGAGCTTCTCTGTATACTTTGTAAATTATTGTGGCCTACACAGCCGGATTTGTGTAGAGATCCCCTGCACGGTCGATACCTCGTGCTGACTAAGGTAACAAACCAGCGCCCATAGGCTTGGGTGGGAACCGCCCATAAGCGGGGCAGTTGCCCCCCGGCTTATGGGCGGTTTCCCCCCGGTTCATGGGCGGTTTCCCCCTCCGGCTTATGAGCGGTCCTCCCAAGCCTATGGGCGCTGGTTTGTTACCTTAGTCAGCACGAGGTATCGACCGTGCAGAGGATACCATCGTTAACCATCATTTCTGCATTCTATATAGGCAGACTTAGGTGTTGTGACATCACGTATCTTCGAACTGCGCAGATAACCGGAAAAATAAAAATCCGGACCAATCAAAAGCGGTGTACAGAATAACAAAATGTGGTGTACAGAATAACATTACCCTCAACTTCCTCTCACCGCCATCATGCTCCGAACTTCTGACCGATTTACCTGCTCGAAGCCTACAATATACCACTGTCTTCCTCTCGGCGGCTCAATTTAGTCATCGACAGTCCGAATAATGTTCTTTGAGACGCATTTACTGACAATGAGGCGCTTATGTCCTCTCTGGTGCCACCACCGTGACCCATTTCAACCACCTCGATCGAAGACGTGACCCACTATTCCCCTCTTAGACCTTTCATCCGGCAGCACCAATGACTAGAACGGATTCAGCACAGTTAATAAAACTTCCATGACCATCATACCACCTTCCCTCGCACTCTCGTGGATCCGGATTCGATCCAATACCGCCCCTAGCCCTCGTATTGTTTTCAATGGCATTCTCAGATATGATGGCTTCCGGACCCATGGCTGAACTGACCACCATAATCGACTTAAATCTGCTAATGGAATAATTCACAGGCCGTGGAATTGTCCATGGATTCCATCATCCGAGTTCATGCGAAATGGGCTGGCCGGCGCGAACCGCCTGTGCGGTCTCACATCAGCTACCTAATACCGGAACGAAAAACGGAACACATCAGTCATTTTCAAGGAATGAACTGCTTGCGACCGGCGCCGCAAGCAATCTTTTGTCGCCCAAAGATCATTCGAAGGTTTACGTCAATTGAGTGCTCTTAAGCCTCATCGAGAATCAAAGTGTCAACCGCCATGCAAGAAGCTCGGTACAGCGTAACCGAACGAATGGATCGACCAGGATGTGACACCGAAGGCTTGTCTTCAGCCAGGTCATGTCAATCCTATTTCCCGCACTCATACGAAAGACTATTCTCATGGCACCTTGGCTTCTTTCCGACATGATGGGCAAATGCCGAGACTTTTTCATCTCCCAGATTCTTTTTTCAAGTTCGATTTCAAACGTGTACAAGTTTGCTGGACTTTGCCGAAACATGAGGTCTACCAATCCTCCAAAGAATCACATTTCTTTGCCTCAAATGTCATCAGTTCTATTCATTCAGAAACACGTGGCCATGGCGTCTGTCATGCGCAATCTCAGGGCAAACCCGGACCTAGAGAAATATTTGACTTGTCGACCAGGCGTACACCATTATCTAAAGAGGAAGTCGCTAGCGATCCAGGCTTGCCTCTCTGGGGTTCCCTTGCAAGGGGGGTCATCTATGTGGAACATTTGATGCCTTGATTACAACACCTTAGATCTTTCCGGCCTCCCGGCTACATCGGTTCCTTTTTGATACAGTGGTTCAGCTACTGTTCTAAGAATCACTCTGGATTCTGTGGTACGGTCTTAATATTGCACTGGGACTCCGCTCCGACCCCTTGATGAGAGTACGGACCAGGTGAGATATGGAAGGCTGATTCTGTCCATCAGGCTGATTCCCGTGGTACACAAGACCAACGATTTGATTTATCTTCAACAGGTCTACTTCACACCGTCTCTTATATCAGGACATACGTCATGGGCATGGCGGACGTGGAAATAAAATACAGCTCTCCAGCTCCAAGCACTCCCTAATAGCTTTGGTTCTCTTTTGAATTCCCAAGTCTTCCACCACTATTTTATTGGCAATGTCCTCGGTCAAACACTTTCGCTCATAATACCAGGACATCGATCGCCATCACAATGTGCTCTCATGCAAAATACATAGCTTGCCGTGGCGGTGCTGGGCATCCTCCCGGTATGCATGTGTTCCCAGGACTACTTCTCTTGGATTGTCGGGATGAAAACGAATGAGGACGTTGCTTGTCATGTCAGTGAGCTGGTATTCCAATTAGAAGCAACCAAAAGCTGTCCTCGGTGCAATGGAAGGGGTTATATCGAACTCCCTTGTTCCAAACACCTATCAAAAGGACGCCGAGCCGCGGTTCCAGATTCCAAGTTAGGATGTCCACGGCAAATATGACAAGGTCCGTTCTTCACATGGCGACGAGCAAAAGTCGAGGACTTGACGTTTGCTGCTTTCCCGGGGTTGAAGAAGTTGTCGTTGAGAGATTGGTTCACTGCGAGTGCTCTTTCATTCAACACGGTCATCGACGAGAGAAGGTTTCTTCTGCGGTACATTTGTCTTAAAACGACGTGCTGAAATGTTCTCGCTCAAGCTATACAATGCTTTATCCGGTCTCTCAATGATTTTGCAGTCCCAAGGAATTCGGGGGAACCGAAACTTACAAGCTTCCCCTTTCCGCTTCCTCTTGTCAAATATGTCTCTTTCGGGATGTTCCCACCAAGGGGTGCAAGCACTTCCGATCTCTGAAAGATTCCGAACGCAGGAAAATTCCACACAAAGCAGACTCGGTCTGTGTCGGGGGTCGGTGCCCTAGACAATGGAGTGCCATGTTGACACTTTTGACAACATCCCTTGATCGGACGCCGTCATTACCGCCCAAAAAAAGATTCGACGGTCTCTGGCGAAATCGGATGTTTGCTCTAATGATGCCTTTCTTGGAAGAGCCACACTGTCAATACGGAACCAACATCGATCGATGTGAGATTTTTGGGAAATAATCTCTTTCTCATTCGTGGGCCCCTAGGATCGTTTCCCCTTTTATCCAGCGGCATAAGTACTTTTCTCGCGTAGAGTCTGCCCATATTTCCAGAGGAGAATCGGAGCAGGGATCCCCAAACCGATGGCGATGAAGCCGAGGAGTGAATTTCCCCAATCGAGCCGAAGTGCTTGGTACAGATATGGCGCAAAGAGGGGACTTGGTTTTTTCGTTAGCATTGTCAGTTTTCTTCACCTTTACTCGAAATAAAGTGCCCGCGGAGAGTGGTTTGGTGGGGGAGAAGAAAAATGGCCTGATACAGTGCGGTATGACAAGATACTTACAATCCAAAACCGGCCAAACTTCGCAAAACCACGGCGGAGGCGACTGTGGAGGCGGCATACCGAGAATATGCGTCCACGATGTATGTCTGCGTACATTGGAATCCCATAATGGTGCCAGCGGCCAAAATAGCAGCCCCGATATTCGGTACGATCCAGTGAGTGTGTTCGTACGAACTCCAGCCGTAGGTGAAGAGACCGACCGGAACAAGTATGGCGCCAGGGATCATAAGTGGGACTCGAAATTCTGGCTTGCCTACATTATTGTTGCGTTTCTTCAGTTTGCGGTAGATACGGTCGTTGATGGGGGCGCAGATCTGGGTGCCCAAGAAGAAACCCACGCCGAGAGAGATGTAGTTGAGACCCCCGATTCCGGTCGATTCGTGGTATACATCCTCCCATACCATGGGAAATGTGGACAAGACGAGGTACAGGAGTCCGTAGATATAGGCCCTTTGGTCCAGTTGGTGAATTTCATTTCCTACCGGCAGTTGAAGGGCACTCACATGTACAAGGCAAGGGCCTGGATGATAGGTTGAGTTCCAAGAAGTCGAAACGGGCGAATCAGGCTCGACTTGAGGACCTTCGCCAATCTCCTGTCTGGAGACTCCCATTCGGTGTGAAGGTCGAGGTTGCCCGTTTCCTGTCGAAGCCTTCTCGCCTTGACTGCCAACAGCTTCGGTGCATAGGTCTCTCGTAAATATATGAAGCCGAGAACTTGAATGCCAGCGTCTAGGATTGAGGTTGACCAAAAACACCATCTCCAAGTCGTCTAGCCCACAGTCAGCGTGATATTGCACCATACGCAGATAAAGTGATTGAGCGACTTACTCGGAGGGCAATGAACCCCCCTGCTACTGGTCCGACGGCTGGCCCTAGTAGAGGGCCAAGAGAGTAAATGCTGATGGATTTCCCACGTTCCTCCGCGCGCCAACAGTCGCTGAGGACTCCCCCCCCGAGCGCCAAGGGTGCACTACCTCCTAAGCCACTGAGGAAACGAAATGCGACGAGTTGACCTTTGCTTTGCGCAAAACCGCAGCCGATATTAAACGCCAGGAAGAATAGGTTGGATAGTTGCAGCACAATGACCCGACCGTATATTTCAGAGAGTGGGCCAAGGAAAAGCGGCCCAATAGCATATGCCAGGACAAAGATGGAGAGAGTAAGAGACTTCTCGATGTCAGATTTCACTCCGAGATCTTGGCCCATTTTGTCCAAGGCCGGTGCAACCATCGACGATGAGACCGGCGAGATGAAGGTGAAGGAAGAAACGATCAATGTTGCAGCCCACTTCTTCCTGTATGCCCAGTTTTTGGGATTCTCAGGATCCTCGGCATTTTCCCACGTTACCTGCCAAATTTGGTTAATTGGAGTTTGCGACGAAACAAGCGGAAACAGGCATACCAAATTGGGATCTTTGGTAGACCTTGCGGACTTTTCCTTTTTCAACTCTGCGAAATCGGCTTCGAGATCCCGACTATCTCGGATGCCGAACCTGACCTCTTCCACCGACTCTCTGGTACTCGTCCTGGTGGTGTCGTCGTCAGCGGCAATTGATTCATCATCCAAGTCATCTCGTATTGCATGGGCGTGATAATGATGGGCACCATGGTCGTCCATGAATTGCGGAGAAATAATCTGGTGGGATTCATCTTCTGGGGAAGATTGGGCACGCCTTAAAGAAGCGCGGGAGAGTTGTCTGGGCCGGTTTTCGGGCGCAATTCTCGTCCTGTTTAGTTCAGTACTAGTAGTCATGACAAGGCCTTTTTGGTTCGGTGGCAAGTGGCTGTTGGCTTATCAAGAATGTCGGGGTACTTGGGGGCTGATATAGGACATAGGAGATGCAACGAAGGCGAAATATGGGGAACCGGACATGGTCACACATATTGCCGCGGTAATGCAGATTCTGATCTCACTGGATGGAAAAGTATCATAGACAAAGGAACGCGCAGATTTTGACTGCGTCACCCCGATCAAGGTGGAATCCGAACCGGAAGTCGGCACAGGACACAGGAGGGATTGGTAAAATCCTCCTCTCTTTTGGGTGCCGCTGTCCAAAGGCAGCCGTTAACGGAGACTCAAAGCCGTGCTCGGAGCGACAGCTGACTTTTGTCTCATTTTATCGGTTTCCATGAGCTCGCAAAGCATGCAAAGAGATGGAATGGTATGTACTCCGTAAACGTACGTGAGGATGGAGGACGACTTTTGCCTGGAGCCCATCGGATGCCTTAGTCATCAATATTCACGTGATATAGTTTCACGTGACACTTCATGAATGTGGATTTCTGCCAAGGATTACGGCTTACGCTAAACTACATTCGTTCTATATAAGTAAAGCGGCCAACCCCAGCAGATAGTTTTAGTTAGTTCATACATTCTCTTCCCGCCGCTACCACCACATGAAGGCGATATATACTGTACCATTCTACTCGTCGTCGTCTTCCGAGTCTAGATCTCGATCCAGATACCGTTGCGAGGGCCATTTTGCCCTCGTTGACCGGCATCGTGGAGGTTCTTCCTCACTCTCTTCCTCCTGTTCTTCTACTACTATGATGCAACTGCCAGTGTTCCGATCTACTAGATACGCGATCTAGTAGTTCTCGATCGCATCGTCGATGGATCTAGTAGATCCGGATGTCATATCCGTCGCCGATCAGGAGGAGTGTTGCCCAGTCCCCAATTTGACAGTGTGGGAGTGATTATATCAATCTTGCGCTGCCGACCCACCATGCCTAGCGCTGTGGATTACTCAGCAAAGAGGCGGAGGTGAAGGGCATACCGCAAGAAGAAGCTACTTATTCCGATTAGAGGCGACAGCGAGATCACGATACGACACGATATTCATACACCCTTGTGCGGGTTGAACCTATCGGGCAGCTAGATCACAAACACCATGGGGAGAAGTGACGGAATACCCAATTGGGAATGCCGAGAGCGCGATCGAGTAATTATCTACTAGATCTCGATCGCATCGATGGCGGCGATCCTTGATCGTGAGCGATCTAGTAGATCGGAACACTGGCAACTGCCCTCCTGAGCTGTACGCTGTCCCGGCATTTGGTTGCGTTGTAGAGCCACTTCTGCAGGGCTATTCGAATAAGTTAACCGAGGGACTAGCAGCTCAAAATTAGAAAAAAAACAAAGGACCCTCAATTCTATCGGTTCGATTGAAGGCCGAGTGTTTTACCACTCGGTTAACGCCCTTGATAGGGTCAACCACGATTTGGTGTCATTAAAGCGTAGCGTGGAGCGGAGCTTTTTTTAGACCGCGGGACCGAGGGTTCAATTTTGTTCACGTGACTCGAGTCGTTCCTGATTGGCCCACGAAATCCCGTCTCTGATTGGTCCACGAAAATGCTAAATCACATGATCGCGGGGAATGTCTCGGGAGAGCGACTCGCGTACCACAGCGACATCTAAACACCAATCGGCCTAGTTGTGCGAGCGTTGTCCGCATGATGGAAAGGTACCTGAAAACCCCCCATTTTCCTAGGGATTTAAAGTACCTTTCCATCTACCCTCACATACTTGGCGCTCTTTGATGCTCTTTCAACGACGTCGTCGACCCCTTTTGATGGAGTCCTTTGCACTCGCCTTTCCACGCCTTTTTGCACTCGATTTTGGTGTTGTGGCATGATAGACCCTCTCTGCCGCCTGGGTAGCCTGTCTGTCGCCTCTGTAGTCCTCCTGTTGCTTCGTGGCCTCGCTGCCGACCCACTTCAGGGCCGTCCTAACGCCCCTGTGAGCTTCCTGCATCTCGCAGTGTGAGTGCGCGTTCCCTTGCCTCTACCTCCTGCCAGGTACCTTTCCATCGTTCGGACCACGCTTGTACAACTAGGTCCGATTGGTGTTTAGCATTGTCGCTGTGGTACGCAAGTCGCGGTGGGCTGTCGCTCTCCCGAGACATTCCCGTTATCGTCGTCGGCTTTCCTAATTTGGTATACCGCTGTCTACTTCACAGGCCATGGACTGGGGCGATATCGTTACGGCACAGGACACCGTGATCAACATCGTCCACACGTAGTCCATAGACTAGATCCGATCAGGGCGGTCTGGCAGACAAAGGCGGCATTCTACCCATTCCTGGATGGGCCATGGACTGGATCCGATGAGGCCAACCAATCAGAGCAAAGTATTTGGTAGTTTTCGGATTATAGATTTTCCGGATCACGTGGGGTTGGCCAATCACGTGAATCTTTGTGGGGCCGCATGGGTGCGCCGCCAAGAATTGCCAAGATCAATGTGGCCGGCTCGATCACGTGAGGAAGATATTTTCAGTCACGCGATTTTATTTTGGCCCATGAGTAGCCATTGTTAGCCAGAATAGGCAACGCTGTTCTTCGTTAAGTTCTCTACCGTGTTACTTCCTCTACCCTCACACCCTGCCTCGACCCCTTATCCCACGGCGGTTTGTGTGCGCTTATCTTGGGCGAGTTTGAACTCTCCACAACCTGCGTGCGAGTCGTCACATCATACCATCGCTCTCGTTTGACCTCCTTCACGTCGATCATAACGAGCGCTTCTAGTCAGGGAGCTGGGCAAGGCTCGAAGAGATTCCCTACAATCCAAGAGATGGAAAGTTGAGCAATTGCTCGAATGGATCCAGCGAACATAACCAAACATTTTCCGCGATGACAAGGACGTTTTGACATTCAAAGCAACAAAAATTAGTGGCTCTACCTTCTTGGATTATGCTGAGGATATAGACTTCTTCAGCAGAACTCAACTGCCCCTTGGAGTCTATTGGGCTCTTGCATCTCTTGCAGGAAAAGTCAACAACAGAATAAGAGCAGACTATGGATACAACTTAGACACTAGCTAACAGTGTCAAGACGATCAACCGAATCAGACAGCCATGCCAAAAGAGGAAAGGTAATTACGCCTTTAATATACTATACGACAGTCAGCTAATATCGTTACACGATTTCTTCCGTAAAGAGTGTGGCATCCTCACTAGACGCAGCGTTATCGGGACGAGATTATCTTCATGCAACTAGTCCATGAAAGTGTGACTTTTTATACGAAATGCTCGTGTATGGAAGTTTGGAGAATCCATCCACCAAAGTTTGCGTCCGCTTGAACTTTAATCGTAGTCGATCGGTAATTGAATTGAATGTGTGATGCGGCTTCCGAAAGGAGTCCTTGATCGTTGTCCCAATGTAGCTATGCCGCCGCGATTCGCACGCGTAGGGCCGGAGGTGAACCTGATAGCAAGGTAGGTGAGCTATGCTAGGAGGGAAGTATAGAGCGAGTCTATGTACTCACTGGTAGAGGTATGATTGAAGACGAAGTTGACTATGAGATAAAGTCATGCACGACTGCAATTATATGGACCCTTCTTTGCCGTCATGGGGCGCCAAGACCCCCATACCAAGAACATGTATATAGCATGCGTTACGCAGGAACCCCTATCCGACTTCCAAGCGTGGAAGTCGATGTCGCCCCTGCACCTATATAGATAGATAGGTATCCTTTTGACGTCTTTAAAGCCTGCTGGCGAGCCTGCCCCTGACATTTGCTCTGCGGGACAAGGTTTCCCAAGTCAACAGAGCAATCATGTGATTCCTAGCCTCTCTCTGCCGATGCTGTTGTCCGTCATGCTGCCCTGACTCGTCTGACCTTCCTTTCCGTGCCTTGCCCTGGTCTCATAAGAGGCTAGCCTATAATATATGTCCAGATTGTGAACATCTGTACCAGAAAATTTGGGTAGGAAAATATGGAAGGTGAAAAGAGGCCGAACAAACGAATGTTGTTGGCTGCCATGAGGTTCGGGTACTGTTGAGGATCGACGTGTCCAAAGTGGACTCCATATGAAGAAGATCGATCAATCCACGAAACCCTTTTGTCGGCGGATCGAAAGAGGAAGCCAGTTTCAACGGCAGAGTTGCATGCGCCAACGACAACGATGTGGTTTATGTTTGGATCGGTCAACGTCACTCACAATCGTGGGCCAAGAGTTTGGAATGTATGGAATAGCCGATGTAGGCAGATTGTGGGGTCTCTGGCATTTTCGTTTTGGTACGAAGTCCATGGCCACGATGAGGTTATCGCATTCCAACGATAGTCCCCTGTTCGTAAACAAAGTGAAAGCAGGGGTAAATATTGAATTCCTTGAATATGCATCGAGGTACCAGCGAACTCGTTCCTCCGGTATCCACCCATGGGCTAGATGGTCAGCATTGACCATGAAGTCTGAGAACTCGTAGAATCCGTTGGGATTATTGGCTCAATGTCCGGATACAGTGGTTCAGCCGACCCTCACTTTTTCCGCTCGTCAAATATTGTCAACTTGAGCTGCGGGCCGAGGGTATTGGAGATCTGTAGATATGTTTTGGTCGCAACAAGACCGGACCAGCCAGCGCCAACAATGATCACTTGAGTGGGCCGGATTATGGTTCTCGAAGGAAACTTCACCGACCTTAAGAGAAGGGGGTTATGACAAGTGTCACGAACCGGGTTCTGACAAGTATATAAGCTAAGAGGTGCAAGTTTCTGTCATGAAATGACAGGATTCTTAGTCTTTTTGGGCGATCCCAAAGGGGCTGTGGACCTCTTCCTAACAACAAGTGTACCTGCTCTATGGTGAAAGGAGGGACTACCATGGTATTCCAGGTATTAATAATATTTTTTTTTTTTTTTTTTTTTTTTTTTTTGGAGGGTTGGGGGAATTATTTTGTCGATATACATAGCGTGGTCTGTGTTCGAGTCGATGCATATTAGATGATGACGCCACAAAAGAGAGGACCGTCCTGGGAACAATGTACTTACCGATTCGCCAGCATATTCGTGTTTTGGAAATAGCACAGAGAGGGCTTACCAGGATCCAGCCTCGTGCGTAAGGAGATTGCAACATGAACGCCGGACATGGCATCTAGCATGAGGGTGTGTCACCCCGAGGGAGAGAAGACTGACATGAAACCGTCGCATGCTGTAGTGGCTGATTGCTTCAGATCTCTTCCACGTAGAGGGCTCAGTGAATGAAGAAACTCGTGTGTGCACGCAGGAAAGAAAAGGCGAAAGTGGCGGGCGTGGATGACAATGGTACAAACCTCAGGTGGGTTATACCAGGCGAATAGTAGGTGCAACGAGGCTTCAGTCTATCCATTGTACAAGATCTAGTTGGAAGAGGCATCTCAGTGACTTTGAGTGGTATTGGGTTAACATAGATATGACAACGGGAACGGTGAAGAGAGATGCTATTGAAGATGAGAGGAGGATGATGCCTTGAAGTCGATCTTCCTTTTCGGGAAACCCATTGTGGCTGTTTTGATGCTTTCCTTTTTGGTATAACTATTTCATGCACGACCAAAGCATCCTATTTTCTTTGGCCATCTCTCGATCCCTCCAGCTGCCTCTTTTGTCTTTCCTGCAACACCTTTGATCAACATGGGAATCGATAAGTCAAACTCCATTGTTGAGCTTCATTCCGGCCAAAATAAAAAGTATTTGGACCAGTCAGCCTCACAGCATTCAACCATAGTCATCTATTCAGCCTTTGCAGCCGTAGCGATCCCAAGCTCTCTCCACTACCCCATCAACCCTATTCGTGATACCCGGGGGTCATTCCACTCATATGTTCATTGCCTGAGTTTGCCTTTGGGGAGCTCTGAGAAGTTCTCCTCCGATCTTCGCAGGGGCACTTTTGCACCATCTTCGCTTAGAGCGCCAACACATCATCGCACCACCTCGCCCGGAGCTGCCCACGACCTATTCCGGTTTAGAATACGAGGCCATCAAGATGGAGGTTACGACGCTGGCAAAGCGGCTCGGGCCCGGACAAAATGCCAGAGTCCAGCGCTTATAACCGAAGCATAATTACTCCAACCCTACCAAACAAGTGATATGATCGTCGTCTCTCAAGTTCCTCCGGGCCTCTGGCGAAGGCAGATATGTGTGCAGTCAATCGATATATGCCGCTGGCAACAGCCATTGTCTAAAGGGATAAGACGATACAAAATTCCGACCCTCGTCGTTTCCTGGCCAGTCGAAATTGTTGGGTCAATAGTCAGACATGACGGAAGACAAGGGAAGAGAAGATATCTCACCTTCTCTGCTCGGCGACACTTCAGATAGATCTCTTTCAGCGCCAGCAAAATACGAGCCACTGTCCGAGCTTAACGAGGCCAGCAGAAATCGTCAGCTTGTCGATGTTCGGGTTCAAAACATATCAGTTACAGTCAACCCAACTAAAGGTTCTCCGTTCTCCTCCATCGAAGCTTTCAAATCGCAAGTCCTCCGGAGCCCATTTAAACCACCCATCAAGGAGATCTTAAAAGATGTCTCAGCACAACTTCCGAGTCGTAGCCTCACCGCCATAGTGGGTGCTAGCGGAAGTGGGAAGACCACAATGTTAAATGTCATCTCTCACCGTGTCACAGACCCCAAGTTTCAACAGTTCGGAACGGTGACGTACGAGTCCTCGGTCGAGTCTCTGGGCCAAGATGCGGCTTCCGGACGCATCGGAATGGCATATGTCCTTCAGCAAGACATTCTCCTTCCCAGTCTGACAGTCCGAGAGACCCTCCAGTATGCAGCTGATCTACGTCTTGCAACAACCAAAACAAAAGCCGAACGCCAGGCCATGGTTGAGACTGTAATAAAGGAACTGGACTTGCACAAATGTGCCAACACCAGAATAGGCAATGATGCTCACAAGGGATGTTCGGGAGGTGAGAAAAGACGAACCAGTATTGGCATCCAATTGCTCGCGGATCAGCCTGTTCTCATTCTGGACGAACCGACGACCGGGTTGGATGCTGCGTCGGCAATCCAAGTGGTGCAGACTCTCAAAATCCTTGCGCAACGGGGAAAGACCGTCGTCATGACTAGTAAGTGTTTCCCGTTGATAGACCCTAACCGCAGGATCTGACCGGATCAGTCCATCAGCCTCGGTCGGAAATATGGCGGCTGGTTGACAACCTTGTCCTGCTTTCACGAGGGTCGCCCGTCTACTCCGGCCCGGTGGGAGAATGTCTTCCTTACTTTGAGCAAATCGGGCACAAAATGCCCCCATTCTTCAATCCTTTCGACTTTGTCATTGATCTGGCCGCCGTGGACCTGCGCTCCCAAGAATCTGAACGGGCATCCCTTGTTCGTGTCCGGCAGCTCCAAGAAGCCTGGAGAACGAAGTCGGCTGATACACTTGACGACCCAACCAGACCACCGGCTGGGGAGGCTCTGACTGCGAGCAAGCCCGTACTTGGGGGAAATCCTTTCAACGAGATGCTCCAAGAAGTCCTTGTGCATACTCGAAGAGCATTCACGGTGACCTGTCGTGATCGCCTCGGCCTTCTTGCCAGTATGGTCGAATCCCTCAGCATGGGCATTATGAGCGGTTGGATTTTCTACCAGCTGAGTAGTGACCTGGCCGGTATCAGATCCAGGCAAGGTGCCATGTACTCGGCGTGCGCTTTGCAAGGATATCTCATTCTTCTCTTTGAGACTTATCGATTGACGATTGACATTGAGGTCTATGATCGAGAGCGGATCGAAGGTGTGGTGAAGCCCATAAGTTTCATCATCAGTAGAAGGTTTGCTCGAATACCACTGGAAGATTTCCCGGTGCCGTTGCTCTACTCGGTGATATTCTACTTCATGGCTGGCTTTCGAGCGGATGCAAACCAATTCTTCACATTCTTCGCGATACAGCTTCTCTTACACATGATCGCCGTGAATCTCGCCACGGTGTGCGTCGCCCTCCACCGGCAATTCATGATTGCATCCCTGATCGCCAATCTCACATTCACGCTTCAGACAATGGGATGTGGATTCTTCATTAATACGCGTTCAATTGCACTATGGCTGCGATGGATCAAATGGACCGCTTATGTGGTATGTTTCCTGCCGTGGGAAAATATGTTTCAATTATTGACGCATTTACAGTTCTACGCCTTCGGAGCCCTTTGTACCAACGAATTTGCCGGCCATTTCTACGATTGTCCAAGCCCGGGCGGCCCCCAGGATCCAGTCTGCAAAGAATACACGGGCACATATATATTGGCCTCATTGGACCTGCCCTCAAATTGGTTGTGGAGACCCATCGTTGTTTTGTTCGGTTTCGGCTTGTTCTTTTTCATCCTGTCCGGAGTCATCCTTCAGGTGATAGCGACCGAGGTTGAAATGGCAAAGACCCATGAGAGCAAGGCCACGTATTCCACGGAAAGTTTACACCATACTGCCCGATCCGAGGATGAGAACGGCGCCATCACCGTCGCCCTCGACCAGTTTGGACTGGAAGTCGAGTCAAAGAGACTCTTCAAGAGCAATCGGGCCAAGCGCATCTTCCATCCGATCAGCACCACATTCGAGCCCGGAGTTTTGAACGTGATAATGGGACCATCCGGCTCCGGCAAGTCCTCCTGTCTGAACGCAATGGCACGACGTCTGCATGGATCTCCGTTGCTCAAATATTCGTCGTCGGGCAGAATGCTTCTCAATGGATCCACCGCGACAGACGACGTCATCACATCCATCTGCTCGTACGTGCCCCAGGACGACTGCGGTCTCCTTCCCTCTCTAACGGTGCGGGAGACTCTCCATTTCGCCGCCCGACTCCGGCTTCCATCCTTCTTGAGCCACGAGCAAAAAGTCCGGCGCGCCGAATCGGTTCTTCTGAAACTCGGGCTGAAAGACTGCGCAGACACCCTGATCGGCAGCGACATGGTGAAAGGGATCAGCGGAGGCGAGAGACGCCGTGTCTCCATTGGCATACAAATCCTCACGGACCCTCGTGTCCTGCTTCTCGACGAACCCACTTCCGGTCTTGATGCGTTTACGGCCTTTTCCATCATCGAAGTTCTAAAGAGCCTGGCGGACGAAGGGAGGACGATTATCTTCTCCATCCACCAACCACGATCAGAAATGTTCACACAATTCGGTGGCGTATTACTATTAGCGAAAGGGGGCGACGTCGTCTATGCCGGCAAAGTGTCCGAGATGCTCCCACACTTTGAGAAATTAGGGTTTGCGTGTTCTGAATCAGCCAACCCTGCCGACTTTGCACTCGACCTCGTGTCCGTCGAGATGCCGAAATCCTTACAACAGAAAGACCCTCCTGCGACGACACTGACCGCGGACACCAATGCCATCGACGCCATCAATGCACCCACCGTCGTGCCGACCATGCCCTCGAAGGAAAAACACCTCACCTTTCCCGCCGAACTCGGCATCTACACACGAACTCGACTGTCGTTCCGCCATGCCTTCCCCATCCTTCTTCAACGCGGCATCATCAATCTACGCCGCCAACCAAACCTGCTCACAGGCCGCATCTCCCAATTCGTCGGCCTGGGGATCGTGTTCACCGCATTCTTCTCCCCGCTGCACACAGACTACTACTCCGTGCAGACACGCGTGGGCTATATCCAAGCCATGTCCAGCATGTTCTTCGTCGGCATGTTGAATAGCATTGCCATGTACCCTCCCGAACGCGACATCTACTACCACGAAGACCGCGACGGGACGTATGCCCTCGAGGCGTTTTTCCTATACTACGCCGCGCTCGAAGTCCCCATGGAACTGGTCGCGTCCATGATCTTCTCGCTCCTGACTGTCTTCGCCGTCGGCCTGCCCCGGACTGTTTCCCAGTACTTTCTCATGGCGTATTCGGCCTTCTGCGTCGTGTCGTGCGGCGAGAGTTTTGGGATTTTGTTCCTGACTGTGTTCTCGCACACTGGCCTGGCTGTGAGCGTGATGTCGGTCGCGCTCTCCATCTCGGTGCATTTGGGCGGTGTGCTGAGTATTAATATCGACGATTTCCTGGCTGCTGTCAATCATATTTCGCCTGTGAAATGGCAGGTCGGGGCGCTCTCGAGTTTTAGTTTGCGGGGCATCGAGTTCTCGTGCACGCCGGAACAGACGCTTAGCGACGGAAGCTGTCCGATCCAGACGGGCGAGCAGGTGCTGGATCTGTACCGGTTGAATGTTGATACGGCAACGTATGCATTGGCCTTAGGGGGTGTTACTCTCGGGTATCGTCTGTTGGGGTATCTGGGGTTGAAGGTCAGGAGGGCAGATTGGAAGGGCCGGATGGTGGTGACGTGGAGGAAGAAGAAAGGGAGATAAAGCCCATGAGATTGCAAATCTCTGTGAAATTTTATCGTCGAGCAGGGTATACACAAATTTAGAACACGCCCAGACGAAATGAATCTACTCCCCGCACACTCCAGAAACCCAGCCCCCTTTCAGAATGAGTCACGGTATGTGGATATCCCGGTTCTCTTTCGTCTCTTCATTCCATCTTCTTCGACTCCTTCTGCTTCAGTCTCTTCTCAAAAACATCCAAACCCGATAATTTCTTCCACATGCCATCCATCATGCCAATAGGCATGAATGACGCGATCCAAATCCGCATAGCGGCCGTACCTCGCCAGATTTGCGCAGGCGGATTGCACTTGGACAAATCCTTCACGACTTGGCCGGCCCAGACGTCAGCAGCCATGAGCTCCATACCTCCAATATCGCCCTTGACGTTGGCCTCGATCCGATCGCGGACTAAGCCGTATGTGCTATTGGCCGGGAGCCCGGGTTCCCAATGCGTAGCCATGGCAGCGAAGATATTCGACTGGACGCCTCCGGTCTTCAGGTCAATGACTTTGACGCCGAACGGTTGAAGTTCCAGGCGCAGGGTCTGGGTAAACATGCCCGCGGCGGCTTTGGAGGCATTGTACGCGCCTTGCCACGGCGCGCCCATGACACCCATGATCGAGGTGTTGTTGGCGACGATGGCGCCGTGGGGGGCGTTGCGAAGCAAAGGCAGGAATAGCTGCGTCGTCCGCACCAAGGGCCACACGTTGAGCCGGAAGAGTTTTTCGATCTCCGAGATCTCGTCATCCATTAGCGGCATCATGTAGTTGGATCCGGCATTGTTGATGAGGATGTCGAGCGAACCGCCGGTCAGAGAGGAGACTTCTTGTACGCAGGTTTTGATGGAGTCATCGGAGGTGACATCGAGGGAGAGGGTCTCGATTCCGAGCGCTTTGAGGGATGCCATCTTGGCGGGATTGCGGGTGGTTGCGAAGACCCGGTCGCCATGCTTGTGGAAGGCTACGGCCAATGCCGCTCCGAGACCGCCATCAGAGCAACCTGTGATAAGGACAGTGCGAGGCATGACTTCTGGGTGTCTGGCAAACATTCGTGAAATCGACGAGAAAACCATAGCAGACTATAGGAACGAAGAGGTCAACTGCTTAGGATAGAGAATGTTGCGGGACCGGAGCCTTGTCCAATATTTGGGGGATGCCTAAGGATGGCTGACCCAGGCGTCTGTGATAAAACTCTCATGGCCATATCCTATGAATTGGTCAGCCAGATGCGATTTATAATCGACTTAGTCGCTAGGTGCTAGATATGGCGAGTCAACCAATATTTCGTCCGTCCGTAGAATGCCCCAGCAAAGCAGCGACAGTGAAAGTTAAATGTTTTCGTGACAATGGAGTCGGTTGGAATGTTCTGCCGATAGACTGCGATGAAGTGGTAGTAAGTGATCAAAAGAGGGCCCCGGGCCCCGGGCGGGAGAGGTTATGCACAATGGGGCCACGGAGAGACATTTCTTCCGTACCACCAAGCCTTAGAGGAGGGCCCACCATATCGTAGAGGTGTATACATCTTGGCATTTCGAAGTTGACGGATGAAATAGGATCATTGGTGTTGATACTCGTCGCTGAATTCTGACCATCCAGGCATTGCTGTTTGGTCCGACGGCCGAACATTCATCCGCATTTACCTTCGCGGTTGGTATAATTCATTTCGCCCGGTTCTGGCTTGGTTTCAAAACACCTCTGTCCCCTCCTCCTCCTTTCCTCCATAGCCATAATGCTTCAATGGCATACGCTTTGGCACTGGCATGTCCTGATTGGCGATTGGCCTCACTCATCATGACTTCAATGGGCCTCTCTTTTTCGATCACGGACCACAGCGCCTCTGGGAGTTCGCTTCCTCGAGAACCGAAGTCTCCCCTTCCCAGCCTGTATAAAATTCGGCCCAATGTCTGGTAAGCCATGCACCGTTGGTTGGGGAGGGTCGATCGTGCTAGCATGGCTAGTTCGAGTATGGTGTATCCAGCGCTGCTCGGAGCGTCACCATGGTGATGGAGACCCTTCTTCACATCAATCTCTAAGCTTTGCCTAGGCGGTATTAGACGGCCATCGAAGCCAAATCGTAGAGCTGAGGCGAGAAAAGACTCCTTTTCCGGATTGTAGAATGATGCCTGGTTTTCTTCTTCCGTTGGATCCTGGAGCCAGTTCAGCGAAGAGACATCGTGTGGGGTATCCGGGAAGTAGTGGGATCGGAGATCGGATAGGAAGGAGGGATCATCTGAATCTAAGGGGACATAGTCGTCTGCTGATCGCGGAGGAACAGGGAAATGTATGGCGGGTCTGGCATCGTTACTCTGAGCCGACATGGCAGCGGCCTCGGACAAGTTCGAGGTGGTGGCGGCCGTATTTCGAGAATCGTCGGTTTCCCCTGTCTCTTCTGCATCGTCCTCCGGCCACTGCGCCTGATCTTGTTGATCTTCATCAATATTGGCCCGTTTCAGAAGACGGTCGAGGAAGGCCGGGTTCAGGTTCTGCATCAATTCGGCTCGGGCTTCTTCAATATCCTCGATCGACATTTCCGCAATACGCCTCTTATTTTCCTCACTGATTTCGGCCTTTGACGGGCTTCCTAAATCCACGCCATATTTCTTGCCCACGTGATGTCTAATGGCCGTGTCGGAGGGTTCGACATGCGAGGAGGCGGGCGGTCGATCGGGCAGATGTCCTGCTTGCTGTCTCTTCTTGAACGCCGAGACATTTCGACGCGGTTTGTGCTCAGGAAAGCCGGACTTGGAGGATTTGAGAGAAGGTGCAGCGGGTGAAGTGTCCGATTCGTGCTCTTGGATCTCTTTGACAGAGAAGGGAGTGTTCAGAACCGACGAGGATTCTTCATCGAGAGGCCTCACCGTGAAGTCGTCTGCGTCCAGATCCAGTTCGAAGCGTTGGCCCCGGATAGCCATCTTGCCATGAATTCAGCAGAAGGTCAAGTTGTGCGGTGCAGGCAACAGATTCCCAAAACGATGATGGGGAGCCCAAGGTGGGATAGCGCAAGCCGCCCGGGGCTAATTTTACGAAAGTCCACTTCGGCTTAGCGCGCTCCCTTACGCGGACCAGAAGTGTTACGGTCGAGATCAATCCGGGGAGCTAGTGAATGAAAACCACAATGCGCAGAGAAGAGAATACGTGCAGATTTGGGTTATGTCGACCAGCTGGTTCTCATGCAGTACCAACTAACATATATTTGATGGAGACAGTTCATTCATCACTCCCACCGCGCTCCAATGAGCCATGCATGTCAATGTTCCCAACTTGGTGTTGGATCCGGAGTGAGAATCCGAAACTGGACTTGGCACCAGCCACCAAGCAGGGATATTGGATCTGACCATGATGGGGATCTGCCCGGTCCTTTGCGATCCAACAAGGGGGGAAACATTTTATCCCGAGAACAATCAAAGATTCACAGCCGGCTGTTGAAAATGAAAAGAACCATCCCGTGCCGCCAGGAGTGAACGGGCATCATATGTTGTAGCAGAGCCAGACCGCCATGGCGGAGAAAATGCCTGAAACCAAAGAGAATGGGAAGATGCAGTGGAGGAAACTGACGGACGCCGCAGCATAGTTACAGTTCGCCAGTCACCGTTGGCCAGTCATAACATTGATCCCTATCCTCCTATTCCAGTTACCTAGTCTTATGGATTTCTGCCTCTTGAGGGCTCCCGCTGCGCTTCCCTTGATTGACTGACGGACTAACTTTTGTTCTATGAAATCCTCGCTCATCCATTCATCTCGTCGCCATCCACCATGCCAATTTGTTACCAGCATCTCATCTCCCATCTCCATCCCCCCCCCATCCTTTTGCCTCTCGGTTTTCCCCCTTCCCCTTCACTTCTCTTTTCCTTCATCGGGCCAAAAGTTGGGAGTCTCGTGTTTTGCTGCCTTGTAACCCATTCCATGCTTCCCCCGTTCCTCCCTTTGTCTGCCAATAATTCCCAATTCCCAGTGCCCTTTTGTTTTTGACTTGCTTCTTGTCCAGATACTTATATGTCTTCCTTTTTCCACCTACCTTCTCTTCCTTTCTCGACCTCTTTTCCTCTCCTCTCGGTTTGATTGTACACCTTGCGGTGTTGTCTTTCTAACCCTGTACGCCAGACAACGTATTTCTCTATTTTTTTTTGATGTTCTCTGATTCCGCCATCGCGCTTTCGATCACTGCACATCCTCGCCACTAAGCTTCCGCTAACAATTTTCCATACCGGTCGGTGTTGTTGTCTCAACCCTAGGGCGTGCAGTTATTCACTTGACTCATTCCTCACATCATTTTTTTATTTTTCCTGTGTCTACCAACCCGCAACCCAACCCGACTCGGGCGTACTTCATCCCCACCACTCTCTGTCGCGACATCCACACCATCGCGTCTGATCTTCTCGTTCATGCTCATCGCGCGGGTTTGTTGTTCGACCGTTCGCTCGGTGGCGGCTGCAGGCTGAAATGGAGGTGGGAGATGGACGAAGTTCCTCCAACGACCTATCCAGCGCCCCTCCCAGTGATGCCGAAAGCACACCTGGTCCTCTGAGCCATCTCACCGCCCCGTATGGCCATCGCGACAATGCGACATCCGACAGTTCTGGTATCGCCGGCCATCTGAGTGCGCGACAGACCCTTCCTGCCAGTGCAGGTGCTGCGGCGGCGGCATCAGCCACATCTGCAGGCACACGCCAAGAACCGTCTCGCGAATCGGGTCAGCCACCGCCCGTCAAGACTCGCAAGCCACGGAAGAGGCGTGACCCGAATGCGGCTGGTGAGCCCGAGAAAGAGAAGAAGGAGCGAGCCACTCGACGACCTCGGGGTGCTTCAACGACGGCTACCACGTCGCGCAAGAAGCCCAAACTCGAACCCACAGACGACCACAGTACGATTTACATCCCGAGACCCAACAGTTCCGGCCTGCAATCATCTACGCTGGTCCAACCGCTGGCCTTCTCCTCTACGCAGGCTGGCGCCGAGAATAGGAAGGACGATGCGGCCAAGTATTCCGCATTAGGGCTCTCGATGCACGACGCTGCGATGCGGCTTCAGCCCCAATCACACCTTCATGCTCCAATCCCCAACTATCGTCTCTCGGACTATGCTCTCAATGCACCGGTTCCGACTCAATCGACGCCCCCTCGCGCCGCGGGCATGTATGATCCCATTCGATCCGTCACCATTCAGAGACCGGTCGACCATGTTCCCCCCTCCTCGACCACATTACCGCCCACCGATACTCCGCCGAGGCCGACGTACAACCCCAGTGCATCTCCGGCGATCTCGGGCATTATCGATCACCCCACCGAGCCGAACTCCACCCCACCAACCACGTTGGCGACTCATCCACCCAAGGCAGAACAACCATACAGTCATGCCAACGGCAAAGCCGTGAATTCACCACTCGTGAAAGGCAATCCCGCCACGGTGGAGGTGGACCCGATCACCGTGAATCATGATCAACCCAAGAAAGCGGCGACGGCGAGGAAAGTCCCGTCCGAAGCACCGACACGTGCAACATCGCCCAAACCCGGCCGAGCGAAAGAACAGGCCCCCCCGCCTCCGCCTGGGTCAGGCCTTCTCTCTGCAAGCCTCTTTGGGGGAGACTCGTCGAGTGATGCGGCGCCCAAGGATTCCGGAAAAGGACCCAACATCGTTCTCCACGTCGACCTCACCGATCCTAACAATCGGGTCATCAATTTTGCGCGGATGGCGGAAGAGAAGTATGGGTTCGCGGCTTTGTATCCTCGTCAAGCGGCCCAGAAAGAACGTTTGGCCAAGGTCGCCGCGGCGGGCGCAGCATTGGAGCGATCCGCGTCCGGAAGCAAATTTGGAGAGACCTCGGCTGGAGACAGTGGAGACGAAGACCTCAGTGTCGACATTGAACGTGACTCGGACAACGACGGCGATGTGGCCATGTCCGGAGCCAACGGGGGTCCCGAGCCGGTCAACAGTGGGACGGACGCACCGGGACCAAAGCGTCGGCGGAGACGAAAAATGGAGGAGTACAACCAAGATGATCCCTTCATTGATGACAGTGAGTTGTTATGGGAGGCCCAAGCAGCCGCGAGCAAAGATGGCTTTTTCGTGTATTGTGGTCCACTCGTCCCCGAGGGGGAGAAGCCTGCCGTTGAGAGGTATGTGCATTCCGGCCTGCTGGACACGTATACTGACTGTTATCAGAGCGGATGGAACCATCAAACGGGGTCGTGGTCGCGGCAGAGGCGGCGGCCCTGGTTCCCGCGGAGGTCGAGGCAGTGCCGCCGCTTCTGAAGGAGGCGCTGGACGGGGGGGAGGACCTGGTTCTCGAGGCGGAGGGATTACTCGAAAACCTCGAATGACCAAAGCCGATCGATTACAGTTGGAGAAAGAAAAGCTTGCGCGAGAGAAAATGGCACCGATTATGGCCAAACCAACGGCATATCCGGGTTGACAGGCCGACATATTGTTGATTCTTGACAACGGGTATTCGGAAAAACTGACACAGATTTCGGGATTGGGGCTGGCGATGACTACTGTACGGATTACAAGAATTTTTATTGTGCATGGAGACTCGGGTCCGACGGGTGAGAATTGAGCTGGGAGACATGACTCCCTGTGACAGCCAAACAAAAAAAAAAAAAAAATTTAATTGCAGCTTTGGAGCTGATGAAATGTGCTTATCGACAGGATCGATGAAAAAGTAATGGCTCCGGTATTGAGATTCAAAGATAATGCACGAATATTCCACTCACATAGGTGGATAGAGCACAAGTTACCCTGGACTTTTGTTGTCCTTGCTTTCTATTTCCCAATTTATTCACCGAGGGGGGTCCCACCCATCTCACTAACGTCATTCTACATAGGGGCCGTTACGGGGCTCCCGAGCAGGCTAGTTGAACGAACGCCAACCAGATGGGGAAACCCAGGGCCATGGGGGAATGTCAAAATGCCTTATTTTACTATTGGAATTGCACCAATGAAAAGTTTATCATCTTCTGCCAATGGTGGGATGCGCCGCTGATCACCATATATCGACAGGCAAAATTCGCACCAAGAACATTTAATTTTAGGCTACATGTTACTAGTCACTAACAGCAATACTTACAATGGCGGTCTCTGGTCTCGTCAAAAAACTCTGCTGCCGAGGGCTACTAACCAAGAGGCGCTGGGGTGGCTACTCCCATTAGCTCCAGAGTATCCCAATCGCCAAAACTTGACCCTCGCTTGCACTTTACCACTCTTAGCTATCACGTCCAACTTTCACCATCCATCATCGCCATCGCCGCTTTGCTAATCTACTTACATCCGCTGCATTTAACCACCATCCTCTATCACCAGGAGCCAATTCATTATCCTTGCTACAAGCATGCAGTGCCGGGGCACACGCCTTCTTCCTATACCGAGCTGCTCAAGCCCATGCTAATCGCAGTTCAACGGCCACCCTCACAATTCTTCCCTCTCCGCCTGGCGGGGTCCCATCCCGGCCGTCGTCCGTGTCGCAGCCAACAAGAAAGAGGAGGACGGAGCAATCATGGATGGCTTCTATGGACAGCCCTATTCGGGCATGGACCCGCGACAGTCCATGGACGGATACACACATGATGATAGTATGAACGGTATCGAACCCAGTGCGGTGGATACCGCCGGCGTAGGTCAAGCGCAGACTCTACATCAGATCATCAGCCAGAATAACGAAGAGTTGATACGCCGACGAAACACGTTTCAATCCCAATATCGGCCAACCCCCAACGGCCATGGCCGAAGAGCCTCCATGCTCGAATTCGGCTCTTCCATGGAGAGCGATCTGGCCCACTTCCAGTTTGATCCTCCTCCGAATGAGCCTGAAATAAACATGGCGAATTCCGCATCCCATATGCTACCGATGTCCAAGTCTCTCGACCCTCGAAAAGTTCGTTCCCGGGAGGATTTGTCCCTCAACACACGCTTTTCTCAGATGAACACCAATTTTGACCCCATGACGGCGGTCCATTCGTTCTCGCCCATGGTCATGTCGAGCACATCGGTCGGGGTCGAACCGTCGGCCGCATATATGCCTTCGACTATCGACATGTCGATAGATTTTGATCCGGTGACCGGAGGCGCCAACCCCGCCAACATGCCATCGGGTCCTCTGCCAGGACAAATGTTTTCGGCTTCCCCGGTAGACCAGAGTTTCTCGATGCCTTATCAGCCCTCTCCCCACGACCCCGGTGGGGGATCCCTCAGTCCTCAGGTCCAGAGTCAGATGGTGTCCATGGCGCAGGCCGTGCCGTCCATTCCTCCGCCATTTCCAAACCCGCCCCAGCCACTCCGCAAAGAAACTCCACTTTCAACAACATCGATGTCCATGGTAGCAGGTCCCTCTTCCACAATGGCACCTTCGGCACCCGCGCCAAACGCGCGCTCCCGAAGACTATCGGCAGACGTTCCAACCCCCTTTTCTGCGCATGGTATGAAGAATCCGAAATCAGTCATGGAACCAAGCTGACCCCAGTCATGAGACATCACGCCAGACCCCAGGCCCATGAATCCGCCCCGGTTTGCTCGGATGCCTCAATTGCCCGGTGGCCCAATGCCACCTTCCAAATATGCCAACGCATATTCGTCGAGTGGGTTTGACATGCTCGGTGTTCTTGTCGGTATCTCCTGGGCCCTCGCCCTGATTCGACTAACAAGGCGATAGATGCGAGTTGCAACAAGACCGAGGCCGGAAATCAACATTGGCCCGGTGGACCTCTCTTGTGCTTTTGTCGTCTGCGATATCGACAAATTTGACCTACCAATCGTGTATTGTTCCGAAATGTTTGAACGACTAACCGGTTACACGAAACATGAAATTCTAGGTCGCAATTGCCGCTTCCTCCAAGCTCCGGACGGCAAAGTGCAATCGGGCGTGAAACGGAAGTACGTCGACGACAACTCGGTCCTGTACCTCAAAAACCAAATTTCGAAACGAGCAGAAGCGCAACTCAGTTTGATCAACTATCGAAAAGGTGGACAACCATTCATGAATCTTCTCACCATGATTCCGATCCAATTTGATACCGAGGATTACAAATTCTATGTCGGGTTTCAGGTGGATCTGGTCGAACACCCGAGCTCGGTTTCGGGGAGAAATCCAGGTAAGGGATGATTTGCACCTCCTGAACGGAGAAATCATGATCGGGGAATCTGCTGACGCGGGGGGGGGCCCAGATGGAAGTTATTCGATCAACTACAACAGAAGTGCGCTCCCGGCCTATGCTCTCCCGGCACCACCGGATCCCAGCCAAGGGTTGCAAGAATTGGGCCAAACCATCCCCAAAGATGAAGTGTCCAAGGTTTTGACCACATTGGGGCGTGGGGACTCGGACCTTTCTAAACGTATTGGGGACAAGGTCCTTCTGGAAAACACCGATGACGTGGTGCACGTTCTCTCATTGAAGGGCCTCTTCCTCTATCTTTCGCCGGCCAGTCGAAAAGTCCTCGAGTATGATGCGCGGGAGCTGGTGGGCATTGCCTTGTCCTCGGTATGCCACCCCAGTGACATTGTGCCCGTCACTCGCGAGTTGAAGGACTCGTCAAGCGGAGCCCCGGTTAATGTCGTCTATCGAATTCGGCGAAAATACAGTGGTTATACCTGGTTTGAAGCTCATGGCAGTCTGCATACCGAGCAAGGGAAGGGCAAGAAATGTATCATTCTCGTCGGGCGGGAGAGACCGGTCTATGCCTTGGACCGTTCAGAGCTCTCATACGACGGGGGCTTGGGTGAAAGCGAGCTCTGGTCCAAGATTTCCACGTCGGGGATGTTCTTGCATGTCTCTTCGACCTCTCGAGTCATGCTCGACCGACTCCCTGAAGATCTGGTGGGAACCAGTCTTCAATCTTTGATGAGACCAGATTCCAAGAAGGAATTCTTGCGTATGCTGGAATCGGCACGAACTGGAGAAAAAGTTACCTTCCGGCATGATCTTCAAAATCGACGGGGCCAAGTTTTGCACGCGCAGACCACCATTTATTCGGGCGATGCCCGGCCGGGCTTCAAGCCGACATTTCTGCTGGCACAAACTCGACTATTGAAGATGACACGGGCTACCCTTTTGAATCAAAAATCGACGAATACATCATCGTCGAGAACTGATCCACCGTCCGTCGGACCTGGAACCCCGGCCCCGCATACGTCGGGACATTCCACCACGATAGCGGTGGCGACGGGACCTTCGTCTCTGTCATCGGAAAGCGGACTGGCTGACGTCCGGGGGAATGTGACACAAGTAGGTAGCCATGGGTTGAGTCTTGGTAACCAGGACGAAGCCCTGGCATCCGATGACAACATCTTTGATGAGTTGAAAACCACCCGGAGTTCAAGTTGGCAATTCGAGCTTCGGCAAATGGAGCGCCAGAACCGGATGTTATCGGAAGAGCTCCAAGCGTTACTCAGTCGCAAGAAGAAGCGCAAGAGGAGGAAGGGTCTTGGCCAATTAGAAAAAGACTGCGCCAACTGTCACACCCGAGTTACTCCTGAATGGAGACGAGGACCGAGCGGTAATCGCGATTTGTGCAATAGTTGTGGTCTTCGCTGGGCAAAACAGGCAAGTTTGTAACGTTTTTCGTTCACCAATGGGATATTCCGTGAATGTTGGAATGGAGGCTAACTTTGATGCCCAATACAGAATGGACGTGTATCACCCCGCAAGAACTCCAGCCAAAGTGATAAGGGTTCAACGTCACCCGCTCAGGCCGTGACCACCAATCCTCCTGAAACTAAGAACGCTGGGTCCTCCGAGACGAATGGCGGTAGCACCAGCCCAACCACCGGAATCGGATCGACGGGCCACGAAAAGATTGAGAGCGACGCATGGCGAGGCCCAATCCCCCCAAATATCGATGAAGTCGACGAACCTCCCCACCCAGACGTATTGCCGACATGAGTTGGTTCTGATGGAAATATTTTGACAGATACCAAACCCAGGCCAGGCCATGCATGGGTGGGAAACGAATCCTCACCCGGCATGGTCATCGAGGTGGAACTAGATGATTGATGACTTTGACCGGCATCGGCTCGCCTTGCGCATGTCTCCTCAATTCCACGGATCCGCCCATGTAGCTTCATTAATCTATCAGGAACCGCTGACGGGTGAGACATTTCAGCTCTCGGAAAAGTTTATCGGATATGTTCATTTTCACTTCCTACGCAGCGAAACTTGCCACAAGACGAATACGACGATGTGAGGGTGGGTTTGGGAGATGACGGAAATTTATTCTTGGCCAGGAATATCCACCATCAATCCTACTCTTGATCATGATAACAGGTTAGCGGATTTGGGTTTTATTTTAGATTCAAGAAAAACACGACATGATATGACATGAGTTGAACGACCAGGGAGTCTCTCGGAGGCGAATATGCTTGCTCGGAATTTTCGAGGACTTTTCGTCGATCTGCTATGTATGAATGAAACTAACGAAGCACTTCGGAACGAGATGGATTTGGGGACCAAGGAGGCAAAAAGTCAAGTTGCTTGAACGTACCTTATGCCGTCGGAATGCTCGGGGTCATTTGTCCCTTTGCAAGACTCTTTTGGTTCCCCTTTATTGCATGAGATACACGAAATGCCATGCGACGGTATGAGTATTTAGGATGCGGCATTTGGCCTCTGTATATGGCTGTTGTATTACATGCCGACGAATAGGGGAACCATTAAAAAAATTCAGAACGCCTGATCGGACTCTGAGACCTGGAAATCGTAGTCAACGCCCTACTCCTGTCTTTCCGAGTTACAGCTCTCTGGCGTCTACTTTTGTTGACGAATATTCCAGGAGAGATGGCGTCCATTGTATGTCGTTAGCGATGTCTAACTCATTACTCCATTCCCTTCCTCTGACTCTCCTCGGTCTTGGTCTTGGGGAGTATACGTGGTAGCAGATATTTTCGATCGGTCTGGATTCCCGGATCACGTTATGCAGTCGAAAAGATCCCCGGTCAGCATTCAGCAGTATTTTAAACGTCGTGAACCATTCAGAATCCATCATGGTTCAACGAATAACACGCGTCAGAAGCTGTCTCCGTGTCCTCCAGGCCGACACCGAAACCAAGACGGCGTTGGTGGAACCCCAGGTGCCGATGGACCCACTCGTCGAACATACAATCAAACCTAGATTGATTCCACCAGTCGTTATGGAATTCCCAGGTATTACCACCGGCGGGGGATCTCCCGGAACAGGAGCCAAAAGCAGCTCATTTCAATATGGCGACTTCAACGACAATGTTAATTGGGTCGAAATTGTACAGGGCGACGGCCATACCGTTACTGCCTCGGATAAAGAAAACGCAGACCTTTTCTATGGGGCATCTGGCGCCGTCGGAAGTGTGGGGATCACCCACTCTGCTTGGGCTACCGCTCATCCCCGCGGAGAAATACGTGAAGATAACATACCATCCCGTGAGATCCGTCTCCGAAGCGGTTGAAAAGGTCCAAGACGAGATTTCGCATCCGGTGCACAAATTCAGCGCCGCAAGTGACCCTTGGTTTTATCTACATGTGAAGGAGATAACTCGGCAGAGCGTGGAGCCTGTGGCCGAACACATCCCGCTAGCCGCGTATCTCTTTCGGTACGACCGGAGAGGATTTTGGATTGGAGCTTCGGCGTTCCCATATTTTTCCTTCCCCTTTAACAAGTTCACGCGCCGGTAGCTCGACGATTTCTTGCATACCAGGATGTTATACAAAGCTCTCCACGCTCGTGACCAATCTAGGAATTATGTCGTCCAAGACCTGGCCCTTCCTTTTTCCACAGTAGAAGAGTTCTTCAACTCTACGGCGGTGTCCTTCGGTATCTGATTCTTGTGGCTGTGTCCGTTGCGGCATACTCGTCTTCCCACCCTGCACCCTCACTTTTCCGAGACAGAAGCAGATGGCCAAAACATTGAAGCCCATGCTCAACGTTGGCGTGTGGGGTTTTGGTCCTCGCCAGCACGACGAATTTATAGCCAAGAACCGTGAGCTGGAGCGCAAGCTGCTTGAGCTCAGAGGTATGAAGTGGCTATATGTCCAGACATACGATACGGAGCGGGAATTCTGGGAAATGTTCGATGAGGAGTGGTATGATGGGCGGAGGAAGAAATATAATGTCGAATCCCTGACGAGTGTCTAGCATGAGGTGAGAGTAGATCCTGACGCGTATCGGGGGGGCCGAGAAAGACTCGTGGGGGACGTGGGCACTTAAGTTCTGGCCGGTTGGTGGGATTTGAAAGTGGCAAATAACTCATTGCGAGAAATTCAAGGGGGCAAGGCATATGGATCCACCACCGCCCGCATGCCATGACACAGACAGGTGTTTTGGTCTGTGGCCCGATGGGGCCGGTTCGTTCAAGCGAGCGTCCTTGCTGGTTCCCAATAACAACATCGGACAGAACGAGAAGATGCATAACTTTGGGGCACCTCTTGGAGTTCGGCTTACGAGTCGTATCGGCCCAGTATATGTCTCTGACCCCGATTCCACAAGATGAATCTGATCCTGAGTGCGCAACTGCTCCCATTCCTCGTGCATTCTGTCTGTATTTTCCCGACCCGGGGGAACCTTTACCAAATATTATATTATGCATTAGAGCTATCGATAATCATATCCACGTTCCCTCCTGCCCGGGACGATGCACCGGGACGGGCACGACTGTTTGAGTTTGCGTCGCATTTGCATCTTCGCTCCTGAGCCTGCCTCTGAACCACGATTTCGTCTTTGGTTTGGCTTTGGATCGGAATTTTTCCTTGTCTCTGTCTCTGTCCGTTTCATGCTTGACAGCCTCGTGCTCGGCTTCCCTAGGGGCGGAATCAAGAACCCAAACCGTGCCTCGGCGACGTAATTGCACTTGTTCATCCGCAGCTTGCGTCACGATCGAACTGACGCGGTTTGAATCCTTCACGGGAATGGTATTGGAAAATTTGATGGGAAATGAAGGGGTCAGGGGTGGTGGATGATGCCCGTCGGGGCCGGGTCCGAGTGGCCAATTTTCTTGTCCATGTCCTCGTTCCTGTCCTGGTGCTTGTGCGGGCATGTGTGCAGACGCCGTTCCGAACCCAGGGTCGGGCATTTCATGACTGGGCCCCCCAAATCGATATAGAATCGGAAGCGTCGATTCCTTCCACACGGCCATATGCTTGGTATGGGTGGCGAGGATGGTGAGTAAAAGACCGCCGAGACCTAAGACGACGAGGGCCAAAGGGTACGCGATCCAAGCCCAGCGGACGACGATGACGGCTTCGCTGCGTAGACTCGTGCCGACCGCCACGGTGTCTTCGAGTTGTTGGAACCGACCCGTCAAGGCGCGTCCTACCCCGTCCACCACGTCGCTGAAGTTCCCGCTGCCGTCGATCGCTTGCTGGCCCGCCGAGCTCCAGGGCCCGTCCGTCTGCGAAAACGTTGTCGAGTTGAAGGTGAAGCCCTGTTCAGCTTCCTGCTCGGGGTCCGGGTACCAGTATCCGCCGATGCTGTACGTGGTGTTTCCCTCCAAAGCAATGCGGAGGGCTTGAATGAGCAGATACGCGTGTCCCTGTACGTCGAAGGTGCCGTGGTCGTACATCGAGTACGTCGTCCCGTTGACGAGGGCATTCCAGCCCGACCAGACTTGGCCGTCGGGCTGTGTCTCGTAGATGATCACGTGGCCGTAGTTCGTGGCGGTGATGTTGGCCCTGGTGACCCCCGAGCGGACTTCGGTGTCCATGGTCCGCACGCAGGGCGTGAAGCTGCATTCGGTCGCGTTCTGGAGCGTCAGGGCGGAATAATCTGCTGATATGATGGTGTCGATGTATCCCATGGCAAAGAGGGGCGAGGGGATCCCCGCGTACGTCTCGTTGTCCCAGGTCGATGCCCAGTCACTGTCGGCGGTCCGGTCGATGTTCAGCGGCCACACGGACCGGCGGGGGTAGGAGATGAACCATTGCACGCTGCTGGCGAGGTCGAGATCCAGCGTCACGTCGACGGTCAGGTTGTTGCCGTGGGGAAGGGCGTAGGTGGGCGACCAGGTGGTGGAGGACGAGGAGTCGTTGCTCTGGGCGAATGTCTCGAGGTGAGAGGTCAGATTGATGTTGAAGGGTTCTCCGCTCGTGAGGACCTGGTCGGTCACGTCCTGGCATACCGTGCAGAGGGCCAGCGTGTTGTACGCCGGCCACGTGCAATTCCCGCTGGGACAGATCGGGTCCGGGATGGCCCCGGCGGCGCCCCCAAAGGCCCCGATCAGAGCGTTCAAGGACAGGCTGGAGCCTCCGAGGTTGCCGATGACAGATTCTTCGTATGAGGTGGGTGTCCGGATAGAGGCCGGGGTGGAGTTGATGGGGACTTCTCGCACTTGGACCAGGACGAGTTGTTGGATGAGGGGTTCGAAACCCAGTGCGAGAATTGTCACGAATGCGGCGAGGAGGGCTCGGAGACTGTCGAGGAGGAATTAGGACATGTCGTCCACAAGAAGATCGTGGTCGACGGGGGAAAGATGTCTCACCTTCCGCGGAAACTGGCGAGGAGCAAGAGGGAACCGTAGGGACCTCGACTGGCTTCTTCAAAAGTGTCGACGGTATTGAGTGGTCGGGGCTGGTCGATGAACCAAAGCCACTTCTCCTGGCGGAGGGCGGCGGCCAATATGACCATCAAGGTGGCATGGGCCAGAGTGGCCAGAAAGGAGATGATGGCGTTGATCTAGATTCCGATAGAGGTCAGGTGGGCTCCGGTAACGACCGAAACGGAAAAAGGGGGACTCACTGTCAAACCATCTGGCAGATCGGGGACTTCGTGATGGTCGTAGGCGAAGAGGATCCCCGCGATGGCCACCAGGATGCCGAGACACAGTACCGCCGCTCCGATTTCCCAGGCCCAATTGTCCAGCATCGCTCGAGACCACCATGATGGTCTCCGGGAGACGATCTGGGTTGCGGGGTGCGGGTATTCTGCCGTCCTACTGAGATCAGAACGACTGCGGGAATTTTCGTCCATTCGTGTCGACGTGGGCTGGTCGAGTGCGAGATCAACCGTGATAGTGTTGAGAGCTGGACGGCACGTCGAGTGATATGTACTGACCCGGACATCGCGGACATCGTATTTGGCAGGCTGCAATGCCTGTTCAGGCGCCCCAAGGCAGAGTTCCCGGCGTGTATCTTATAACATGGGATGATGAAAAGCATCAGCCACACGATGGCGAATGTTTTGTCCCAATCAGGATTGGGGGCGAATGCAGGTCCTATCTTTGGAACCTCTCATAACCAATGGAAAGAGAATGGACGCCAAGGATCCAGAAAAAGATCCAGCAAGGCTGCGCCCGCCGAGACCCTGGTGATGGGATCCGGGGGATGAGTTTCATGTCTCGCACGCTCATGATGAATGGTATAGAGAGAATGGAGCGGTCAAGCGCTGAACTGTGGGACCGTGCGGATGAAAGATCTGGGGAGGCGGCCAACCCTGCCGTTTGGTGGGATGGAAGGCCTGGCCCGTTTCCTGGTCGCTGAGGGAGACGCTCTAATATGCTTACCTCAGTCGAGAGATATCGGGAGAGTAATCGATCCGTTGATCTTCATGTTCTCGACTCGGCTCATCGGGAGTCACGCTTGAGGTGGCATGTCAGGGTAGGGAGGAGTGATCGGTATGATATGGAAATGGGTGTGGCAAAGGTTCATGATATGAATCTCCCGAAACTCGAGGACGAGAGGGACATGGAGGGTGGAAGCCGAACATAACGGATTGTCCATTCCAAGATCTAAACCATGAGATATCGAGTGACATTTTCCCTCTACTAATCAACCTACGGCGTAGTATCAGTTACTGAATGATCTTCGGTGGCCACTATTGCTGCCCAACAGTGGCCTGCCCCATTGGACGATGGGAACCTCCATATGCCCTGCATTTCTCCCTATTTTTCTGGTGCCTTTCCGGTGTTTCATCCTCTTGTCCCATCCCTGTTCCTCTTCTCCTTCCCCGAAACTCAGCGCGACTAGCACTGCGATAGCCACCCAACTAGATATTTCACAGTTTAGTGGCTCTGGTCGAATTGCCTTGTCCGTCTCTTCTTCTCCTCCTCTGCCTGGACGGCACTGGACCACCTCGCTTGAGCCTTGTCCCATTGCTTGATGGATGTTCCTGAGGGTTCCTGACGTTCCTGACGTTCCTGACGGCGGGTTGCCCGTCTGTGGCCCGTCTATGGCTTTGCGGCGGCCTCGCGGCTGATCTTTTCCGTCGTCTGGCTTTCCATCACCGTTTCTACCCAACTTCTCCGTTTACTATCACCCTCAGATAAAGATCCTTGCTCCCTCACCATTAGTGGTCCCACCTCGCCCGAACGGCAAGGATCCCTTCTCCCTGCCACGAACCAGCCTTCCCATTCCCATTCCCCGTCCCAAACCTCAACTCAACTCTAACTCACCAACTGACACACTCTCGCCTTCACCGTCCACACAATTCTCCGATCACTTCATTTATTCGGACACTCGTCCTCCATCACCTTCCTTCCCCTTCCTTTTGGCCTACAATCCTCGCTAAACCAGCTCATCGACGTCGTAAGAGATCCATCCTCGCCTCTGCGTCCTGCACCTTTTGGCGCAACCCATCCCTTCGTCCATTCTATCCATTCTATCCTCCAGCTCTCTCTCCCTTCGAACTGAGAAATACCCTTCCCTCTCGACGTCCCTATACCCAATCACTCTCTATCACCTGATCCTCGGGCGCGCGTATCCCGACTTCACGATCCCCGTGGAACCGGCCATCTACCGGCGCGAATGACCATCACGAGAATTAACACGCCACAATCTGTCCGGTCAAACGGTGTCGCGTCCTCCCTTCGTCAGAACCAACGTGTTTTCCACGGCCCGTGATCCTCGTGTGTGCCCATCGCGTTGCGACTTCCCCACCTCGGCGCCGCAGCCGCTCAATATCTATCGCATTGACTATTGGGGGTGCAAGAGAAGGAAGAATCGAACACTTTCTGGGTTCGAGTCGAGACGGTAATGGCAGACAAGATTTCGATCACGATCTGCGGCGACGGCGGATGTGGTATGTGCTTCTCTAAAAAAGCCCTGCACCGGCACATGCTCCCTTAATTTTCATCCAGATACACTAACGCCGGTCGTTGGCAGGTAAATCGTCTATTACCCTGCGTCTGGTGAGGTCACAGTGGACATCCGAGTTCGTTCCCCCGCCTCTTCCTTATCCAGAGTCATGCTAATTCACCTCAGATATGATCCCACCATTGAAGACTCGTACTCGGTCACCCGAACCGTGGATGGCTTAAACTACTATCTCTCATTGACCGACACGGCGGGTCAAGAAGAATATCGAAGTCTATGGGCCGCCTCCAATCTTCAATCCGACGCCTTCCTCCTGGTCTATGACATCACCAATGCCCACTCTCTGGAAGGCCTCTCGTGGTTCCTTGACATGATCGACATCGAGGCCGAGAACCGCATCGAAGAAAATTCCCGATTACTCAAAGAGAAAGGTTCCAAAGTTCGAGGCCGGAGAGAAGAGGGTTGGAAATTCCCCCCTATTAAAATCATTGCCGGCAACAAATGTGATCTGAAAGATGCTCGCGTCGTGAGCAGTAAAGTGGGTTGGGAATGGGCGAAGAGCAAAGGCTGCGGGTTTATGGAGACAAGTGCCCGAGAAATGGTCAACATTGAGGAAACTTTTGCTTGTATGCCCGGCGTGATACCCCTCCCTTTCTCTTTTTTTTTTTTTTTTTTTTGATTCTCTTCATATGCTAACCGTCTTTCACAGTAATCGTGCGCCGCGTGGTCGAGGCCAGACGGCAACAGAACGCCAGTATGGATTCTCTTCCTCCCAATCTTCCTTTTGCCTCCAAGGGTCATACTCCCCATGTCAGTAGTGCCGGTGTATCAGGATATCAGTGGCCCAGTACGATGCAGCCCCACCGACAACCAACCAATCCCCACCCCCTACCTATCACCGAGAAATCCGGATTCGACGATGATAACGTCTCGGTGCCCTGGTGGAAGAAGATCTTTTGCTGTTCTGGTTGAACATGACTCAAGCAGGGAGTGTGAGCGCTGTGAATGATGGGACAGGATCATTGGATTTGTTGGTGTCCATTCTTGAATACATCAATACTGGCGGAGAGGGGCTTGTCTGACGGTTATATTTTTCCCCGAGAGGGATTTCTTTGAGAATGGGTCCCTGAATTCGCCAGGACCTGTCCTGGGCCGAATGCTTGCGGGCCGTAGTGCTGTCACAAGGATCTTTGACAGCGGCACCAGTCCGGGACGCGACATCGCCCTGCCCCGAGATCAAGAGTGGCCTAAACAATGAACCATCCACGGACGAGGCTCACTTCAGGGAGACCGGCACAGCATCCGTCCAATTCGGATTCGGATATCAGACGACAGATGTCATACGACCGGCTCAGAAAACGACCCCACGCTAAAGAGCCTCCCCCTTGATCTACGGAGGCAAGCGACGAAAACTCTTCTCGATTCAGCTTTGCTGGGTCGATCTTTATTTGTTCTTTCCGAAAGCGATATCTATGTATTTGGTTTGCGATAGAGGATTGCCACGACAGAAATCGGGCCGCGAGGCTAAAAGTGATAGTACAAGTTTTGATATTATTCTCGCCATGTCTATCGGACCACTTATGTTTCATAGGCATGTTAAGAATGAACACTGTATTTGTGGAGATATCTGGTTTGGCCAAAGAAAGGGGGAAACAGGAAACTTGTACTGACACAATGAATACCTCGCGGCGAGGGAACGGGCCCAACGCAGGCGGTGTAATTTATACAGTGGTCACCCCTGGATCAATTAATATATCATTGACAGGTCTTCGGGCGACGACCACCAAAGGTCAAGGCAGAAGCAAGGGATATTATACGATATGGGTGGTATTAGTTTCTTCTCGAATAAAACTTGGTCTTAGCCAACACGATAAGATATTTGGAGTCTCTTGGCCCAGTTGACGTGGACTTCGGATCCTTCGCCTATGTCCATTGGCTTTCTTGCCTCCCTTTTGGATCTTTCTGAAACATCTTCACATCCGAAGAGGTCATCAGGATTGATGATCATGATAACAGCTTCGATACCCGTCTTGCCGCTTCATCCAACCCTCCGTCCACATCTATGATGCCACAGCCTTGGTCTTCCAGTCGCGTCCCTCGTTGCGGCTGGGGTGATGCGACGGGTGTTTTCTTCGCTGAAGACGAAAATGTAGTGGAAGGGCTGCAGGTGTGTGGCGGGGCGTATTTCTGCGTATGAATATAGGTGCGAATGCCGGTCGAGGGAGAGACGGGTGGGGAAAATAGGACTTGTATCCATGAAGAGCAGACGTTCGACCTGTGGGGAGAAGGGGGTGGATCCAGAGTGGGATTGGATTTGGCACGTGTTGAAACTGGGCAGGTGAATGCTCCGACTGCTTCTGTTGATGTTGGATGCGCTCCCGGAGGAGGTTGTTGAGGGTCAAAATGAGGGTCGGAATATAGACGTCCATTTTGTGGTTCGGCCTGCATCTGAATTTGCGACGGCACCTTCGATCCCAACGATGACGGTGAGGTGGAGAAGGCCGGAAAATACGGCGGGAGCAGGAGCAAATCCATATTCGGATCCAGTTCCTGGTTGTCCTGGGACACCTCCTCCGCCGTCTTTTTACGATCCACCTCCGGCGTGACCGTTCTGGACTGCAACATGGGCACTTTCCCGTGTTGGCCCAGAACCCTGATCCTTTCGATCTTGGATAACTCTTCACCGCTCCGGTCCCAATCCTCGTCGTCGATCTCACGTCTGACGCCCCCCTCCGGGTGCTCCTTCCGGCGTATTTTGACGAGGCTCTCAACTACGTACGATGCGGTACGGGAGTCCCAGAGTCCGTCGCGCGCATGGCGGAGGCGTGGGTGTGAGAAGAGCGACATGGCTGCCTGGAGGGTTTCGGTGTTGGTGGTTTTCAGGCACAGGAAATACAAGACGGCAATCACGTGAGTGGAGAGTGTGTAGGTTCGTGATGATGAGGTTAGAGGAGTCGGTCCGGCGACGGGGGGTTGTGAGGAGAGGGCGAGGAAGTCGGCGATAGATGTCAGGCATGCGGTGAGATCCGAGTCTGAATCGTCGAGAATTAGGTCCCGGTGCGCCGGTGAAGATGTCGATGTCGATGTCGATGTGCCGGAACCCGACGGAGCGGGCGATGGAGACGAGCCGTGCGTTGAGACTAGCCCCGACGTGGGAATGGGAATGTTCTCCTTGACCAGATAGGAGAATGCATGGAAGTCAACTTGGAGCAGCCGCAATTGCTGTCGTCGCTGTCGTCGCTGGGCTTCCGTCGATGGGCCCCCCCCGCTATCCGAATGGAACATTTCGGCGGTAGCGAGCTCGGCCAGAGCGGCTTCATATCTCTCATACTGCGCGCCGAGCACCAGTCTCTCGTACAATAGGTCTGGAGGGAACTCCTCCAACGTCCTTCCCTTATGCATGACATGGGTGATCAGATGATGTAAAGTCCAATTTCGAAGTTTAAGCAAAATGCCTTCCGCGTGCGCCAAGCCGAGGAAGGAATCGGGCACCATGTCGACGAGGCCTTGGGCCTCTTCCTTCGAAGCTAGTTTGAGAATGGGCGCGCGTCGGGTGTCGTAGGCGCTGGCTTGGATGTCTAGCTGGTAGAGAAGCGCCGTCAGACGTGACATTAAGGGGTCGGTTGGATCGTGGTGTTGGCATTCTTGAAAGAGAACCAAGCCCCGGTCCAAATGCCAGATGGCACGCTGAGAGTCACCTAGGAGGGATTCAAAGACATAAAAGATAACGCTGCAGATGAGGGCAACGTCTAGCGATGCATCAGTGCGGGACAGGTAGTTTCGTAATTGTCTATGACAACGACTGATCATGCCCATGGTTTTCGCGGGTGGGCATGAGCTGTCTGAGTCGTGGTCGAGATCAGTGCCTACAAATTCTCCACACAGGTAGTCCTTATGCAAGGAGCTAAGGGCAACCAATGCATTACGAATGACCGGTTGATGGTGGCTCCGTTGCAAGATCAACTGGGTCCAAAGCGTAGGGTCTGAGTAGCTGGACAGATTCCACGCGGCCTGAGAGCAGTAGTAATGCAGGAGTTGTCGGTCGGCTTGACTCCCAGGAACTTTGAAGGGAATGTTGTACGCGGATATTGAATGGTGGGATAATGGTAAATGCTCGACGGTCTCCCGTTGGTCGCTCCTGGGATAGCCTTCGCATTTCCGACATGCGCGGATACAGCGTTGACACTCGGGTTTCGCCTCGTCACATTTCACGCGCCGGGATCTGTAAACCCGCCGTAAGAGTCTGATGGCTTCGCCAGGCAATGATGGAACGAATCGTGAAGAAGTCGGGACTTACTTGCATGTTATGCACCCAGATCTCACCTTGGGTGTGCTCTTGCGAGTCTTTTTCATCACCTGTTTCCCGTGGTTGAAGGTGGCATCCATGATCATTGATGGCACAATCCTTTCGGTGATTCATTGACCTGGGGAAACCAGCCCATCTGGTTGACGAGCGGGTACGGTGGTAGATGGTAGGATTCATACGAGGAAGGAAATGGGATGCCTGAAGGCAGGTTCTGGGCCACTCCGGTGCTCAGCCTTGTGTGATGACAGAGGCAGGTACCATCGGACCAATGGCAGTCCAGGAATCGATGTTTGAATTCGAAAACCCTAAATATACGAGCTGCGCTAATCCCTTTTTGCACATAGCTTGATATTAACTTTCAACAGTAACTCCGCCTCCTATTTCTATAAGAGATATTCTCCCCGCCTCAAGTCGACTCATTTCATCTTCCACCGCCCTGGATTGCGTTGTAGGACCGAGAGAGGATTGATTGAATCTCTCTGAGCCACGAAGGCTGCGGTTCACGTGACCAGGCTAACCCAATGGAGAATATTTTGAATTCACGCGCCATGGACTGCTATGATTCTCGTCATCTCGAAGCCAACACCCAATGCGCACTCTCTACTCTACCTGCTTCGGCATGAGTAAACCAATGAACCATTTCAAGGTCAGCTTTCGAGAATGACGGTAAGCTCGGCAGGCTTTACTCTTGTGCTTTCGCCTCTCCAAATTGACTGGGGATCACCTCGCAATTTCCTTCCGATAGATGGGTGCGTCAACTTTGGTTGGACTACACCCGCCAATTACTCACAATTCGGACTGTACGTCGGCACTTCGATCCTTTCTCCGCAACTGCCGTGACTAGGGGACCGAGGATGGTGTATGTATTTTGAACTTCACGAGCTCAAAAGGGGAAACGCCATTCCCGACAGCAGCATCGTCCCGAATATCCTGGGTATGCTTTTGGATGAATGTGCTTGTGGCTTTGGAAGTCCGAGAATGCAGACAAGACTTCGAGCTCGAAGACGAGGTCCATGGCAGAGATATTTCTCTTGCGGCACTCGGGGGTGGCCCCCGGCGTCAACGAGCCACAACTAGATTTAGGGAAATGCCCTCAGTGCAAATCGACTAAAATGGGAAAAACTGCATGCTAGTGCTGAAGTGAGAGGTGAGGCCATTGATGTCCTGTCCCTTTCTCTTCACCTTCGTCTTCTCTTTCAATCAAGTATAGGGTGTGGTGAGAGTTTCGCTTCCCTCCGGGGCCCCCCGCGTGGGCCAGTATCATGTTGACAGCAGTAGTGTAGTGCAGTGCATCCTTTGTTTCTTATTCCATTCCCTTCCTTCCCAAATACAAATACAAGTGCAAAACGTAAGAAAAGACAGATCCTCCTTTTTACCTCCCCTCCTTGACTCCGACGAATAGAAACAGAATGTCGAGGATGTCATGTGCCGTGATAAATCCGATTAGCCAAAAGTGGACCGCTTTTGACCCATTATCTGTACGTGGGTATGTTGAATGCAATCATGTTTTCGTTCAAACGGCATGAACAAATCAGATACTTAAAAGAGCCATGGTCAACTTCCGCTCCCTCCTCAACCAAACACAAAAGAATAGGAACGATCAAAAAGTGCATTACTCACTAGATTTCAATCGGGCTGATCTGATCGAATGGGAACAGCCAATTACTTCCGGCTTCCACCTTTTCAAGCCTAGAAACGTGGCAAAAGGCGTTAGAGACCCCATCAATATATATGGAAGAAAGAACGTTCTTACCAATCATAAGGCCACACGACCAAATGCCCTTGAATACATCCCAACAACTCTTCCGCCTCTTCGATACTGAGGATATCGTCGCTTGCGCTGAAGTCTCGTCGACTAGACCTAGTGGTAGCTCTTCTGCGTCTGCGTCCACTTCCAGTGCCGACGCCTGCATTCGACGAGGCCGCTGCCAGGGCGGAATTTTGGTGAACCGCGTCCGAACATCCAACCAAGGATCCCGTTGCCATAGGTGGTGTACCAGTAGTGGCTGATTTATGCTTCTCCCCCGCTGTTCCCGTACCAGTGCTGCTGTTGGGCGGATCGGTACTGAGGTCGTCATCTTCACCTTCGGCACTACCCTCGTCATTGATCGCTTGTCCTTCATGAAGTGTCTGTAATCCAGCCTTTTCTTCGGTCAGGGTTTCTTGTCGATGAAGTGAAGGTTTGCCTTGTCGATGGGCCTGTGCTCGGTTGGCTTCGGCGGCCCAGATACGCAGTTTTTCCTTCTCCGCGTCCTCTTGGCCTTCTTTGCTTTCCTCGCCCAAGGCATCTTTCAACTTCTCCTTGAACTCGCCAGAGCGTTTCTCAACGTCATTGGGAACTTGACTGAGAGCTTTGATCGGAGCGCCGGGGGCTCGGGAGCCAGCTCCTGGTGGGCCACTCTTGGACACGGAATCTGTCCGACTCGGGTGGTGTAACTTGTCGTCCCCCGGTATATCGTTACCTTGCATCTGATCGAACCGCTGTCCGTAAGCCACGTACTGATGGTAATCTTCCCAAGTTCGGACCTGATTGTCGGGCATGCAACGGAAAACACTGCGGTAAATCTTGGTGTTGTTCTCGGCCACTGCGTGCCACGTATCATATAAAAAGGCGTCATGGACGGGATCCATCATGCAGTCTCGGTCAATCAGTGGTCTCCTGAGCTCATTCATGAGGGGGTGGCGGCCGGGCGCTGCATCTCTGGGACCCACCTTTGTGATGGGAGGGCCACCAATGTCCGTATCATCCCCTTGCGGCAAGGCAGGCAGTTGCGACAACATCGGCAAACCGAGCTGTTCCGTGTTCATTCGCCCCAGACCCGGCCTAAGCGGAGGCAAAGGAGGATTGGGTGTTTCCCATTGGACCACATATGACGACAGGCGTAGATGTTCGCCATGCTTCACCGGTTCTTTCAATGTCGCTTTGCCCTCCGGACCCAGATCGGACACCAGTACTTCTTTGTTGCCTTTAACAAAAGTGGAATCTCTTCCCGTTCCGTAGCCGGCGGCATCCATGTCGGCCATTTTGTCAAAGCCATAGCCCTCAACATCTTTTCGGTGTTGCGGGTTTCCCGTGACACGGGGATCTTCGGTGAGTCTTCGCGTGCTTTTGAGATTGGGGTTGCCATCTTGCTCCCAATCGACGTCATGGTTGAAGCTCCTCAGATCCTCAGCTCGTTGCAGCAGTTCTTCACGTACTTCCGGGGGGGTCCGGTTGTCGAGAGGGCCTATCATGTCATCTTCCTTCGAGAGGGGGCTGCCGAAGGTATCATCTGGAGAATCCGGTCTTGTCGATTTTCCTGCAAGCTCTGATTGATGGCGCTCTGCTTCCAGAGCCTGGGCATCTTCCATGATCTTGTCGACGTCGAGGCCAAGATGTTCGCGCATCAAACGCAGACGAAGAGTATGAGGAAAGCGGCCGACTTGGTAAGGCTGGCCGTTCATTCTTGACCAGACCATATCTGTATCTCGAACAACAGCTGCGCATTCAGAATCTCGATTTCCGAGCATCGATCGTTCGTTGATGTTGGCAGATCCGATGAGGGCAACCCTGTCGTCCACCACCATGCATTTGGCGTGGATGTAGAGCTGTTCAGTGACCAATGATTTTCGCGGGCCAATCCTGCCCCATTGACGTAGACTGTAGAACTGGATGTAGTCTTCTGGCTCAATTCCATTCGCTTTCAACCGACCAAATATCGAAGACTCTCCACGACAGATGCTTCGGTATTGATATTGCATAATCAATCGCACGCTGGTGCCACCTTCCTGCTCGACAGTGTTCTGAAAGCCCGGAATCAGTGGGATAATAATGACAGCTCTCCATGATTCGTCATTTTTGCAGGCCCGAGTGATACGTTCCACAAGAGCGTCGCCAATCTTGTTGTGGATGACGGCACCTTCCGTCTCACAGCTCGAAATGAAGAACTGATTCTCCATGTAGACAAAGTGTTCAGACTCTTCAATGAGTTTGACATAGGCATTCATGATACTGTGTTCTGTTTTGTCGGGGGTGCCCAAAGACCACGGTCCCGCGGAGCGGCATATTTGCACTTCACATGTACCGTCAAGGCCGAGCGCTTCCAAATCGGCGGGGTTGAAATCCGGAGGTGGTAATAAGAAAGGCGTGGGACGAGTCGGTTTTCGTTGTCGGAGAATATAATTCCATCTCTGGACAAAATGTCGGGTCAAATCGCGAGCGGGTTGTCCGACCACCTGCATTGAAATATCATGCCATGGCATTCGAGCAACTTTTTGACGGTCATACATTTCTTCATAAGGTTTGTTGAGAGCGTAAAAGTCCTGAATCCGTGGATTGGAGTAATCTTTGCCCGGCCACAACTGACAATGATCGGCGTCTTTGGGTTGTTCACTGGGCTCAAAGCCAGTCGGCTTGTCATCTACGAGGGTGTGCTGAGGAGTGTCCCATCTACCAAAGCATAAATCTATTCCCCCCACAAAAGCCAGAGTGTGATCGACAATGCACAACTTTTCGTGATGGGCCCAGAAAAATGTATTCTGCCGGAACTGATTCGGGGATCGTTGAACAAATATATTGGGATGGAGGTCGAGCAGAGAAAACTTGGTGTATTGCGAGTCGATTGGGATAGCCGATTCGATGTTGCGGTAGACAATGACAAAGATCTTGACACCTTCCTCCGCCTTGCGTTTGAGTAGTCGATCCAGACGCCATTTCTGGCTGATAGCAGGAGGCCGTCTCATATACAGCTCCGGGCTGAGCCACCAGTCATGGATGTAAATAACATCCTTGGCTTGATTCAGTGCCCGAGAGACCACCCACATGTGATCCCTTCCATCGACGAGCCATTGGGCAAAGCAGTTCGGTCTGACCGGAGCAAAACTTTCAAACCGGTTTATTTTGACCCAGGGTGAGGTCTCGATCATCAACCGAATCGATTCTTCAAACTGGTGTAATTGTCGCTCATTCCGAGCGAGAAGCTTCAACTTTCTTTCCGAGTTGACCAATTTGAGTCGGTGATGTTGTGGATGCTTCGCCGATTCCCTTGCCGCCTCTGCCAGTTCCTTGGCAGATCTCTGCTCCCCCCGTGGCCTGGATGATTGAATGGTGAAGTCCGAATCAAACAAAAACACGTCGTATATATGCATCTCCTCGGGTGAATCCACGCAGACGACATAGCTGTGCCTGACCAAGAACCATTTTGGTGCATGTCGACGCGCGACATTGGAAGGGGTCAGGGCCTTTCTAAAGTCGAGACCTTTGGCGGACCGTATGACAAGAAAGCCCTCTTTGCCATGATAGCTACCCTCGGCCGCAAGACGCATGCCCAAGGCCGACACCTCCAGAAATTTACAAAGTCGATTGCTTTCGGGACGAAAGAGCATGAATTTGATCATCCTCTGCAAGTAGAGCTCCAGCAATCTGCGCTGCCGATCGGCAAAACGAACATCTCGTCGTGCACCTCCGGGAGTGCCGGTGTCTGGGTGGCCAGTGGCGCTTGATTTACGTCGTCCTGGAGGAAACGATGGGCGGTGTTGAATCTTGGGAGTTGGTCTTTCCGTATCGGTCCCGGCACCAGCGTCATTATCATTACCAGCATCATCTTCATAGTCTTCGTCTTCTTCGTCGAGTCCGCGAAACACTTTCAGATACGGAAATGCACTGCGAGGAAATTTGGGCATTTGTTTGCTGGAATCCCCTCGGCCTCGGAGCTTTTCCGAGCTGTAATGGAGCTTGTATTTGATGTGCAAATTGGCAAAGTCTCGCAAAGATCGTTTGATAACCCACTTCATGCGATTCACGCCATTGCCGTACTCCAACTCGATTCGAAAGATCAGATGGCGACCCTCTTGATGGCCGTCTGATTCTCTGTGTTTGTCCACTTCGCTGTCAGTGATCTGCAGCTTGAGTTGCTCCAAAAGGACTGGTATCCTTCGGTTGTTATGTTCATCTCGTTGGAACATGCTTGCCAGCATGAGAGCAGCAGGAGTGCCAGCCGCAAGTTCGGCTAATAGTTCGGCAGATTTTTCATGATCCGGAGTCCGCTCTTTTTTCTTGCCCTGGCCTAACGAGCGCAGGCTGTTCTTGAGTTGCCTCCATTTAGCCGCACTCAGAGTCGAGCCTCTTTCTGCCATCATTTTGCGACGGGAGGGAGTTTTGGGCGTCTGTGATTCGCCTGGGCCGGCTTCTCGGGAGGAATTGATATTGGCAAAATTCAGTAAGGTCAACTGCCTCCTTTGACCCTCTGGCGTAGTTTCACTTGGTTTCCTTGGCCCGCCATAGCTTAGTCCCCGTAGAGGATGACGCGGTGTCCAACCACCGGCACCAGCCAGTTGTTTGCGTCCTTCGTCCTCGGAGACACCTTGGTGACCATGTGTCATGTCGGTATCCGTAGCTCTCCTCGATAGCACGCGAGGTCGATCGGGATCGGAATTTAGGGGAGCGCTCGAAAAGCCTGGACGCATTGGGCTATGCGGTGATGACGGCGCCGTTTCAATGTCGTCGAAACGATGTATTTTCCGCCGACGTTTATGCGGGGTTGATTGAGGAATAGCATTTTCCGCCGCATTTTCTGCATCACTCTCTTCAGCATCGGCATCAGCTTCAGCACCACTGTCCTCTTCCAGGGTTGCAGCCAGTCCAGCCTCGTTGCGGTTCGACTGCACCGACAAATGTCCATCAAAATCTTTGCTTTCCACAGATCGTGCGCTGAGTGATAGCGCACTGTGACTCCGGCTGTGAGCCAGTCCCGGGGGGATCGCAAGCGACCGCAGCCTTGCGTATAACGACGGAGGTTTGTCGTGCTCGTGCCCTTCGCCTTTGCCCGTCGGTGGCGTACTTTGGCCACTGTGATGATGAACATCGATCTCTTGTGTATCTCGGGAAAACTGCACACTCTTCCTTCCAGCCGTTGGTGTCCCATTCCCATTCAATGCACTATCCGAGTCCGCAAGCTCTGTCCCCCCTGGGGACTGTTCGTTTGTCCTGTTTTGCGCCAGGTGTGTACCAGACCCATAGGGCTTCTTCAAAACACCAGATGTTCTCGATGTCGTAGAGAAGGCCGTTAACCCGTCGGGAGAACTTTCTCGGGGAGTTGAGTGAGGAGGCGTCGGTCCAATGGGTCGGAGGACATCGTTCGAGTGATCGTTCGATTCGACAGCGGGACCTGGACCGCCATTGACTTTGAGGCCGGGCAAAGTGGCTTGAAAATGTGCACTTTTGGATGGCTTGGATGGCTTTTCAAATTCGAGACCCGGCCGGTTTGGGCTCATCTCCGCCGTCTCGGCCATGTTTGTTTGTCAGGAATGAAAAGAGTGCAAAGCAATAGGAGCCGGTAGACCAGGGTTCTTTCTTCCCGGGCCGGCTACCAGCCGTTTTCAAAGAGAGTGAACCATGGTTTTTGTACGTCCCGTCTCTTGCTCCGGTGGTGTTTCAATCACGAGGTCGAGGGGTCAACAGAGACTTGAAGTGGTCGTGCCAATATCGCAGTCTCGTATTGGATGAGAGAGGTGAGAGAGATCTTGTCAGCGAAGGCCGGCAACGACGGTGCACTACTAAGCAGGTTTTGCACACAACCTCCCAGACCAATTGATTTTGACACGTCCGGGTGATCACCCTCCTTGAACGGACCACAAAGACGATTTCTGGCAAACAACTGAGTTCTTAAGAAGGTGTCCCTGCGCAGACTGGCAAACAAGCCGGCGAGTGGAGACTTGTACAGAGACAGCTAGACCATGCCACCATCGACCTCCTACTACCGCCAACCAACAACCACCGGGGAAGCCGCCAAGGCGCCGAACTCGAGAGCGTCAAACATCCCCCCCAGGGGGTGGCCCCCTCGGGCACTAGCTCGCGACAAGGCTGAGAGGCTGTGGGCTGCATTGGCATTAAATACGGTTAACATAGCCTCATACAATGCTACAGAACACGAGCATCCTCTCTCCACTGGATTATCACACACCCACTCAATTCCACGAGTCCCCTGCATAATGCTGCCACCAAACTCCCATACATGCTGCTACTACCAAGTCGCACATCTTCAAGCCTTCATCATCGATTATCAGTTTCCCCAGCTTCGCACTGTGACCTTTGAATCCTCCTCCGGCTTTCTCACGACCAAGATCAAGACTCATACGACGCTCTTCGGCTGATTTGAGCCTGGGCAATGGCGCGTCACCACCGCGGTCGCTATGGGAGAGTGGTATGCGAGCTTTGTTGGTCAGAGCTTGAAAACTTCGTCTCCATGGCGGATGTGCCGCGGAAATCTGGGGAGAAACCTCTGAAACTTCGCATGGTTGCTTGTTTGGATCTCTAGAACGAAGAATGCCCCAAGGGAGATTGAATCGTATTTCCGCAACATCTGCAGCGACTCCCGGAATCGAGGAGTTTGCAGATGATAGAACATGTCGACACCGTAGGCTTTTACCGTCCAAACCATTGCTGAAAGAGCACATCCCCTGCCACGGCGAGATGAATGCATAGGCCTGACGGGGTTTCTTGCTCGTTGGAGTGCCAGCGCCGGAAGGCAACTCATTGGAGCTACTTCTTCGCCCCGTCATCGACGATCCTTCACCGCTGGGGGCGATCATGTAAGCAACTCGTCGGTGGAAAGAGTGACCTCCACCCCCCTCCAGTCGGGCGAACTTGCTGTATCCGGGAGAGGTCAGCTCAATCTCAACCGCACGGAGAGGGGTGTCCCTGGAAGATGTGCCTGGATGAGATATGCTTCCCACATTCCACTGGCTCCCCGACGCGGGATCCCTACGAATCAGAGTGATGCACAATGTGCCAGGCGGTGGAGTGTCTGGTGAATTAAAAGCTGCATCCTTCCCAGAGTAGTCCAGGTTTGCTCGCGTCGGGGATCTGTGACGACTGTCCGTGTTGTTCGGCCGCTGGGCATCTGCTGGAGACGTCGATCGGACTGCTTTTCTGGCCAGTCTGAACTGTCCTTGCGCGTGTTCGATAGGACTCGGCGAATCTCCGCTGTCCCAATCTTTGATGGCAGAGGATGTCTCGAAATGGGATCGTGCTGGCATTGACCGGGCACCCACGGGTTTGCGAACCATACCAGTAGCATTCGTCGTGTCTGGAGGGGTCAATTTCAGATGGGTGCCACGGGCAGCAAATCGTCCGGCTTGTGTCGCATTTTCCACACCCTTCAGCGCCGGCTGATAATGAGGATAGCTCTTGGGAGGAGCGGCAGGTCGCTGGGAGGCAGGATAATTCGCATGGGGGGTGGGAGGAAGTGGTTTCCTCTGAATCGAGGAGACATCATCGTCGCGAACTTCGGTGATCTTGGTAGCCTCCAATGATTTTCTCAGCTCCTCGTCCTCGGGTCTTTCAACATGAAGAAAATATAGGCTGGATTGAACTGCCTCGATGCTTACGGAGGCTTTCGTAGGTGGTTTGAGAGGTGTGAGGAAGACATCTACCAGACTTAACACTCGTCCATCTCTTTTGGCACGAACGTCTCACCTTGACTGCCTGGGACCCGGACGATGTAGAGCACCAGAGATTTGTGTACTTCATGAGTAGGATTTCGAGGATATTGCGGCGGATTCGCAAAAAGATTGTTCAGTGAGGATATCGACTGTGCTTGAACAGGCGCACTCATGTGTAAAGTTCGTGTTCAGTTGGTAGCGCGGCGAGATTGCGAATGCGCCAATGGTGGGAGGGGGAAAAAGCGGTCAGAATATGGAGGTCAAAGCAAAGAAATGCGACTTCAGCGTGAAATGATGTTGCCTACATCTACGGCACAACATCGTTGAATCGTTCCTGGAGTACACAGGATGAGCCTGGAAGCCTGGTTTGGTTTGATACCAAAATAAAACTCAGACGTCCTCCGACGAAGGCGTTATTCTTGGTACCGATGAACCCTAACCTGAAGCTACCATCCAGGTGCCTCCGGGCTCCGAGCATCCCCATCATAACTGTAGGCCAAACCCAGTAACTTGTCACGTTGGGTTGTGATTCAGGGAGGTGTACCCACCGACAAAAGTCCAAGAACTGGTTCTCCTCTTATCAGGCCACATACATGCCCATTCCTCAATCCCCATTGTTTGTGGTAATCAATGCTACCCTGATATCTATACATATCTTGGATGCTTATGTCTTGACCACATCTGTCACCCCATCAAACTCTGAACCGGTAGGCTTGGTAATGCCACATCGTCCATTCAAGCCAAACACTGTCGATCCTCCTCTATCGATCTCCCGAAACCACCAAACACATGTCGCTGTTGGCAGCCACGTTCCTGGGCGAGCGTCATTTGGAACGAGGATCCAGATATTCCATCCACGTTCTTTACCTCGGGCAGACAGCTACCCTCGCTACCTTGCCAGAGCTTTCCCAATGGCGCCAGCATCATATAAGTATGTCACGTCGTCAGCTGTCGAAAAACCAGAGATAAGAATGCAAGTTCCCCCATTTCCCCCACTTTTCCCTCGTGGGACAACCTGATAGATATATCCTCTGCGTGATTCATCTCCTGGCAAAAATTGGCTAGTTGAGTGACATCCGGCCTTCAGAGACGGGGGCAGGTAGCCGTCGCTGCTCGATGTTTTGCAGTTTTCCGAATATACGACGCCTCGATCGTGTATCTGTCTGCCTCCTTTCCGGTGCATCCCATGGCCATCAGCAGTCCCACTGGGCGAGATGACATCTCGGCTCAGGAAAAGATCATCGAGGACCGAGTGGATAATCCAGCATCCTTCCACCCCGTCACAGCTTCTGCGAAGGATGTCGAAAATTTGCCAGAGATTGATTATGCAGCAGAAGACCGACTCATTCGCAAGCTCGATTGGTATATCATACCTCCGACCATGCTGCTCTATTTGTTCTCCTTTCTGGACCGAGTCAACATCGGTAATGCGAGACTTTATGGCATGGAAGAGGACCTGGGTCTGGAGGGATCGCAGTACCAGACTGCTGTGTCCATCCTTTTCTTGACGTATGTTCTCTCCGAAACACCCAGCAATCTGGTGCTCAAAAAACTGCGGCCTTCTCGTTGGATTGCATTCATAACGGCCGCTTGGGGAATCGTGGCAACCCTCACCGGCCTCGTCCAGAATTATGGAGGATTGATCGCGTGTCGATTAATCTTGGGAGCGCTCGAAGGGGGGCTATTCCCAGGGATGACATTATACCTCACAATGTTCTATGGAAAACGCGAAATTGCGTTACGAGTGGGGTATCTCTTTGTGTCGGCGGCACTGGCGGGAAGTGTCGGCGGCCTGCTCGCTTATGGCATCGGTTTCATGGATGGCGTGTCAGGACAGAAAGGTTGGCGGTGGATCATGATCATTGAAGGCCTCCCGAGTATCGTCCTGGGAGTGGCTGCTTATTGGTGGCTCGCCGATGACCCAGAAACGGCATACTATCTCTCCCAACCCGAGAGAGACCTTATGGTGATTCGAAAAAGACGTCAGATAGGCCACACCACCTCGGCCGACTTCATGCACAAGGAAGACGTGATCAAAGCGTTCAAGGACTGGAGGGTCTGGATGTTCTGTTTTGGCCAGTTCGGTGTCGACACGATGCTTTATGGGTATTCGACATTCCTGCCCACCATTATCAAAGGCTTGGGCACATGGTCCACAGCACAAACACAAGCACTCACGGTCCCATGTTATGCGCTGGGTGCAATCACCTACCTCATTGTTGCCCATATCTCGGACCGTTTTCAAAAACGCGGGCTCGCGGCGGTGACGTTTTGCATGATCAGTATCGTGGGATATATAATTCTCATCACCGACGTGAGCTCTGGAGCCCATTATTTCGGTTGCTTCATGGTGGCGATGGGGCTTTATGTCGCCGTCGGTATCCCTTTGGCATGGTTACCGTCAAGTGAGTCAACCTCTAGTCCCGTCTTGTTTTTGGGCCTTCGGGAGACTGCTGACACGCAATTAGATCAACCTCGATACGGCAGCCGGGCCACCGCCACGGGTCTGCAACTGACGATAGGGAACTGCTCAGGCATCATGGCACCTTTTGTAAGTATAACACCTCAGGAAGTCCACCGCCCTCCTAACGGGCCCATAGCTCTATAAGACTAATGAGGCACCTCGATACATTCGTGGCCACGCCGTGTCTTTGTCCATGGTCGGGCTAGCTGGAGTCATCTATGCCATCATGTCAGCGTATTTCATGGCCCTAAACCAAAACCGCCGAGCCGGAAAAGAGGATGCGATTATCATTGGGAAAACAGAGGAAGAAATCGCCGAAATGGGGGACAGAAACCCAAGATACGTGTTTACGTACTAATGAGTGAGCCCGAGTTCTCCTTCCCCAACCTTCCTCCCTGTTTGGTTGAGAGACGAAGTAAAGGTCAGAATGTTGACTGTAGTAGACAATCTATCTGACCACTCCTTGAAACCCTGAATCAACCGTGGGATCAATAGGGGGTGCCCGATTCTCCTGCCCTCATCATGTCCGAGAGGCCCCCACCGACAGAGGCATTTGGCGACAATATCCTAGCAAGAGAATCCTGCACCTCGTCGGATCCAAGCATGGGTCCAATGGGGGTTAGTGTTGTTTGTATTCCTTTTGGTAGTCGATCAATGGTCAAGTCATAGAGGTATATCATGCACAATTTCTCTTTTGTTCCATGTTGTTCGACTTCTTGCTCATTCCCAAAGGCCCATGGCCACTTCCTGGTTGATAGTCGGCGATGACCAAGTGACGTGTCACGAAAACCCACCGAGTCTATGATAGTTGCCTTGTCTTCATTGGTCACTCTGTGGGATGAGCGACACCATTACCTGGGCACGAGAGTTGCACATTCTCTGAATGGTTTGTTGGTTACAGGCGCCCGAGCTTTCCTGTGCTTTGGTATTAGCTCTGCTTACCTTCAGATCTGCCTGGTATCACGGCAGCAAGGCAGAGACACACAGAGAGGGTCGCTTTTTAGATCCCCAGCAAATGACAGTGAAGAGAATCAATGGGGCTGGTTTTCTTGGATCCTTCGGGAGTGCTTCGCTTGCCTCCCTTTGGCTATTGAGCCCAGTCGGTCTCTGCCCTACCCGTTCCTCCTCCTTCCGCCCTACCGAGCATTTCACAGCACTGGATAAATATTGGTATTGCTGTCCAGGAATACCATTGGCAGAGGATGGGTGGGCATGATTAGTCTGATTCTCACGGTTGGGGAGACTCGAGGGATTCGTTGGCGATCACGATCTCGATCCGGAGAGGTGAAAAATGTCGGGTCTCTTTCGAGACGAAAGGGGAGGTCCGAGTTCAGAGCACCAGCAGCCAGCAGATCCCAAGGTGGCGAAGAAACTATGTGTTTTCCCACCCCCGTGATTCGTGATCGCCGCGATGGATCCTCTAAAGGGAGTTGGGCCACTGGGCTGGTATTGGATGCGAGGCACTTTCGGGCGGCAGGACTCTCTGGGGGCTCGGCCATTCGATTGTCAAGTCTGGCCCCCCCTGAATGGACCAAAGAAGAGACAGTGGAAAAGCCGATAGGATTGTGGACTGCGGGCCGCAGGGCAACGCAAAGAGCCACAGACCTAAGGCCCGAATGGCGCGCTGCTTGGAGATCTCTGTACATGCCGGAGACATATCGTGACTAGATTCTCGAGTACATACTCTGCTCACCTTTTTCTCTTGAAGCATTATCTACTTCTATACTGCGAACATTTTCTCAAATACCTCGATTGGCTTAAGTTTGGTTGGTTCTTCATATCTGTTACTACCCGTCACCTGGCGATCAGGATATTGTCACCCGATTCAAATCTTCATCTGTCATCGCCTCCAGCGCCCCTCGTTGACCATTATATTTTCGTCACTCCCGGGCATCACTCAAGGAAGCATCCAATATCATATTCAGACTTGTCTCGTGTACAGAGAGGTACATCCCCGCCCGTCATCTGTCGTACTCGTCAGAAATCCCAGAATCCCACGCTCTTTTCTTTTTCCCAACGCTTCCTTTCCAACTCAACCTGCAAAAAAGCGAGCACTGATCAGATCCAAAGAGAAACGATCCTTGAGCTTGTTGGGCCTGAGCCTGGAGCTTGAGCCGGAAGCCTGAAGGGGGGTGCAGGCGTGCAGGTGTGGATTGGGTCTTGGCTGGGTCCTGGAAGCGTCCGAAGCCGTTGATTCGCCTCACAGGGACCGGGCGCGGGTGCTTGGGCCTGGGGCCTGCAGCAGCCAGCACCACGGCGACCGGCATCGCAACCACTGATCACTGAGCATACTCCCTGTCCGTCTCCATCAGCCAAACTCGCCAGTTCCAGAACTCAAATTGGCTTCCTCCGCCTGAAATCTTCCTGAATCCTCGCCATTCAAGTGTTGACCAAACGGAGCCTAAGGCGTCACCCAAGTCCCCCTCGAACTCTACTCAGTCCTTACCTCCTTCCTCCCAACCCCCGGCTCGCATCGTCAATCCGAGACCGTCACCGTCGCCCGCTAAGCAGCACCCAACTAACAAATTATCTCATCCAAAGACGCGTTCCCAAACATTTGCACACCCCATCACCTGCATTCCTCTATAACAATAGTGTTCCGTCAATTCATCGGCTTTGCTCTCAACTCTCTTCCCAGCGCGACGATGCCTCCCATTATCTATCCTTATACCGTCACCAACAGTTACAAAGGGTATGTTTGCTTTCCCTCCCCTTCTTCCCCGAGCTTTCTCCAAGCTGTCCGCACCCCTGTAGTTGACATGGCTAACGTGCGCTCTCTGTCAGGGGTCTTTTCATGCGTACCTATAGTCGCAATGTTCGACGCGCCTGGGATGGCGAGGACTATCGTCCACCAAAACGCCAACGTCTCGATCAACCTTGGAACGCGCCACTCTCCTCTCTAGCAAACTACAATGAAAATGCTACAAATTCTCTCGATCTCGAGGACAGTCTCGAACGCGCCATCCGCGAGACCAGTGTCGCGGCCATGTCTTCATCACCCTCTCGGAAAAACAGTACAATCTTCTCTGCAGAGTCACAGGAGGACGATATGGGATCTAGCACCATCACCCCACCTTCGTCACCTCCGCCGGCGCTACAACTCACGCCACCCAATGTCAAGGTTCGGAAACCGACATTCTCCTGTCTGGACAAGTCCAAGAGAGGAACGAAAGGTCCCAAAGCTGCGAAACGAAAGCATGGTGAACAGTCGACAGGCCCGAGCGACGCTACAACTACGCGTCACGACTCGGAGCCACTCTCGGAGATCCTCAATTCCAGCACACGCGCACAAAGTGCACAGCCATTGACCAAAGACGCGTCCATGAGTCAAGACCAAGGCCTCACACCAGTCTCGCGATCGACCACACACGGCCCAAAGCTCACGGTCCCAAAACAAAACCTCATCCAAACCGTCCTCGACTTCGGTCAACCCCTCATCCCCACAACCTGCCCACAGTGTCAAATGTCGTATATTTCTTCCCTGCCTGAAGATGCGCAGCTACACAACATGTACCATAATCGAGACAGCACCGGAATCGAACTGGGAAAACCATTCCTGAAGTCGGCCATGCGTTGGTGCTACCAAGTGTCTCACATTCCGGGAAGTGTGGTGGTGGTGGATCGCAAGATTGCTGTCCCTGGGCGACGAGCGGTGCAAAAGGTGTTGGAAATTATCAATAAAGAACTGGGGAGTGTGGACATCAAGGAGGACGAACTGTGGAGTCAGCGCGTACCTGAAGGGGAGAAGGAGGAGGAATCAAGCGGGCGCAAATGTGACCGGTACAAGGCATTCTTGCATATTATCGATGAAAAATGCGTGGGAATCTGTCTTGCCGAGCGGATCACCAAGGCTCACCGAGTTCTTCCCGCGGAGACGGCAGCGAGTGAAACAATAACTTTGAATGGTCATTTTCGACCTACCGGTCCTGCGACCCCTGCGGCTACTGAAACCCACGATGAGGAGTCGACTCAGCTCCCGGCCAAGGCTCAAATTCCCACTCCGGTACCCAGTCCGACATCTTCGTCACCTTCATCAAGCATCAGTCTCTCAGAAGAAACCTATCCAGCCGTGGTGGGGGTGAGTCGGATTTGGACGAGCCGAGCGTTCCGGCACAAAGGAATTGCCACCAACCTGTTGGAATGCGTTATGAATCAATTCATCTATGGAATGGAAATTGAACCTGACAAAGTGGCATTCAGTCAGCCAACAGAAAGCGGAGCCGCACTAGCACGAGCATGGTTTGGTGAGGACGACGGCTGGGCGGTCTACAGAGAAGAGTGAGTCCATTCGAGAATTCCTAGTGATGGAGCAAGGATGGTTCAGAAATATTGTTGTACAAAAGTGGGTATCTTGTGACTGGGTGGCGGTGAGAGGGCCTTGGATGTGGAATTCTCTTTGCATTGCAATGAGGTTTGTTGGAATATTGGAGGATAGGGTCATGATGGGCCAACAAAAGGTTGTACACGAGGTTGAAAAATCTTCTGTTAACAGAACGACGCTCTTTCGGAAGCGGGTCAAGTTTCACAGACTTCCACTGGCGAATCCCAAGTGAAATGACAACGAATCCAGTCGTGAATGAAATTATGTCTGTAAGACGGCTTGCTTTGACGACTATTCCCTTGATCACAGCCTGTTTGCCCAGGTTTGATTTTCGGAGTGCTGTGAGTTGGAATTTTGTCCGAGATACACGTTCCGGGTACGTGCTTGTGCTTGGACGACTCCTAAGAAGTCCCCCATCAGACCTTACCTGCCTTGCTTATACCAGGAAAAACACTGCTGCCCAACTTGAAGCTGAAATGTCTATTCATTGGCTTGAGAGCTGGCGCTTCATTAGCAAATCGCTATCCCCATCACAGGCAGTCAAATGTCCCGTACATTTTATATTCTTTTCCATCGCCTCATAATTCAGCCTCAGGATGCTGTTGCCCGCCTGCACGAGCTGCGTCAGCCTAACTCAACGCGGCTTGCCCTTCTCGGAAACACAAGGATTGTTGACAATCATGGACTGTCCTGGTCATACTGCGCGCCCGATACTCAGTCTCACCGGTTAGGGGGGCTTTGGAGCTCACAGTGGAGCGAAGCGCTCTCACGGTTGACCTTTTCGTGCACTCTGCTTCTATTTACGTGCTACCAGAGCCGGGCGCGATTGCCCTCGTCCACTCATCCCATCGAATTCACCCCAGGGTCCTCGTGCTGATCTTTCCACCCCGTTCGTCTCATCATAAGCTGCCACTTCGGCTCGACGTATACTTCCTTGCCTGACTGCGAGACAAAAGATTTTACCATTTTCAGCACCACGATTTAGTGCAAATTGGATCATTGGCATGTGTCCGTTGTGCGTCTCTTGCCACCGCCATGATCGCAAAGGCTCCGGCTTTGAAGTCCGAAGTTGTTCCACATTGTCGAAAGATGTTTCGACAGTGTCGATGCCGCCGTGGAGGGCATTGACAGTGAGCTAATGATATAGAAGAGCTTCCGAGTCGACCATGTTTGCAGGTGGTGCGTGCTCTATTGAGGGTTGATGTCGACTTGCCGTCGAGGGCCTCGTAGTCATCATTCAAGCCGTTTGAGCGATAGAATTCCCGACTGTTCGCGCGACAAAGTAAAAATACCGGGCTTCAAGTCCCTAGGGGATGCCTGGTGCCGCGCACATACATTACTAGACGCCATGGTCATTCCTCTCCTGAGATTCTAGGAGTCGAAACTGGACCCCGCTTGTGGCCTGCCCACGGCAAAGGCCGGGCAAAAGCAAAAGTGTTGTTCCTTTCAGACTGGCGGGAGAGGCAAGGATCCGGCCAATGAAAGAGAGAACCTTGCTCTCACGAGACAATACCGGCACTTGTCATTAAGACATTGGAAAAACTGCAAAGGTCGCATGTACCAACCTGGGATGTTCTTCACCCACTTTGATGGCCAATCCGGACACGGTGTTGATTGTGAAAATCAAGTCAGCCCTTCCAGGCAAAGGCGGCACTCAGGAGACGTCTCAGCGGAGTCTCTGGATTGTCGCCATATAATAGGACAAAGGCAGCTCTTCTTAACGCTGCTGACCGTCAAGTGAGACCTGTTCACAGACCAGACGCTCTCCTCTACCAGGTGGGCCAATCCGATGCTGCGACAGTTTCTCCCTCCCAACCCACCTTCAATATTAACCCGTGGGCCATGTGAGTGCGCCCATCGTGTATGTGGTATGGGACTTCGACTGGGTTTCCATACGGCGACAGCTACACCGGCCGACTGGGAAAAAGAGTAACTTTATTCACCAGTATAAGTCACCACAGAACACAACTTCCATGGCAGGACGAGAGTATCGTTTGAAATTATAGAAAAAAACATCCACTATCGAGCTCGCATCCGCTGGGCCCAATGATGGGAAACATACCGCAAGCATAGGCAACGGGACATCTCAAAAGTAGGACGTGCGTTGGGGGAGAAAACTATATCTATACCACTTTTCGCTTTGAAGGGCCATACCCACCAGTGCCGACTAACGCCTGCGTATGCTACTGGATAGTAGTTGCTCGAGCAGACTGAAGGATTCTACTGGTGGCGGGTTTAAACAGGAAAGGAAATTCAAGGTTGGGACTAGCACGTACAGCACAATGCACACACGTGCTTCCACGTGGGCCTGCCCCTATCTCTGGAGCAGACAGGATTGTACCATAGAGTATGGAGTACTATCTCTTTTAGCCTCGTGGGTAGGAGGCCTTATGTTGGACCTTCCTCTTGGTGTGTTTTGTGGGGCACACCCAGTACCGTCTTTGGATGTACTTCTGCTTGCTTTGTTCTGACGGTGGGCGACAGATCAAAGCAGACGGGATCATCGTTCTTAGCACGCATTCATGTGGAACTTTACTTGCGCGTGGATAAGCGTATAATAGTGCTAATGTGTTGTAGCGACAAGTAAGATCCGAGTAAGTACAGTCCCGTTCCAGCTGCTCTCCCGAAAATGAATGCCAACTGTGTGGGCCTCAAGCAACAATGTAAGAGTAGTGCCCGTCACATGAGCTCGACTACAAAGATATAGACTTCAGGCCCCCATCCCAGGAATCTTCAGTCAGGGTCTTTGGTCATATTCAGGGGTCCAAAAACACCAACTCGCCATCACTATTGCCTACCCGCTCATCGAGCCGAACATAATCCCTATTCCACCTTCCATCACCGGTGCCTAACTCCGCTTCCAACACCTTCCCATTTTCCAACAACCGTACGTTCCGTGCGCTGGCGCCAAAATTCCCGCCGCGCATCCAGGCAAAGTGTCCGTGCTGATTGGACAGGCAGCTGTTCAGCGACAAAGAAGACAACTTATGTTGGCCGCGCACGTTGGCACAGGAGGCGATCAGATCGTAGTCCCGGTCTAGCGTGATGTTGTTCGAAGAGGACGAAAAGTTGCCGCGCATCGCATGCAGAGGTGGACCACGACCGCCACCGTGATGCTGTTGATACTGGTGCATGCCGTAAGCGCCTACGCCAGCCCCTGCTGCAGCAGGGACAGCCCAATCGTGTTTCTTCTTCTTTTTCTTCTCGCCGTCCGAGGAATCGCTGGACGACGAAGAAGAGGAAGAGGAAGAGGAAGAAGAATCTCGACGCAGACCAGCTGGGCGTGGGGGCTTACTGAGCTTGTTCTTTTTCTCCTTTTGGTGCTTTTTGTAGGCGTCTTCGGTCACGGAGCCGGCGATGGCCCCCGCTACAGTCCCCAGGAAGCCGTGGTGGACTTTGTGTCCGCCGTAGGCGCCGAGGGCGCCACCGGCCAGAGCGCCCATGAGGCCTCGGTCTTGCGCATTGGGGTCATTAGGCTCCATGGGCCCGGCACCTGGGACCGATCCTGGGGGAGGAGGGCATCCTGGGCCGGGGGGTGGAGTGAATTTTTCATATTGGGACATATGGGGATCTGGTGAGTGAGTACGTTGGATGTGGGGTGGGGCTTGGTCATTGTAACCACCATAGCTTGGGGGTTGGGATGGATAGTCGGCCTGATGATAGGAGTGGTCCGACGGAGGTGGAGGGGAGGAGTATGGATTTGGATTTGGGCTGTGACGATATTGATATTGATCATGAGAGCCTTGATGGTCTGGTGGATAGCCGTAGGGTTGCTGGTAGCCCAGGCCCGGGGGTGGTGGTGGTGGTGGTGCAGGGGAGCCATACCCGTATGGCCTGTCCTGATCATAGCCTTGATGGTAGGACTGATCGCCATGGCCGTGAGTTGGGCCAGAAGGAGGTGGCCATTGTTGCTGATGATAGCCTCGTTGACGATTGTCCCCGTAGCCGTACTGGTCACTAGGACCTTGATTGTCCCAGTACTCCTGGTTGGACATCGGGTAGTGCTAGGATGGAATTCCCTGACCGGGAAATGTGACAGTTATACCACCCTCTGAATATTCAAGGTCGTCGGGTCCTTTAGATAGCGCAGCAACGGATCAGGAACTCGAGGGTTTTCAGTGTCTTCTTATAGAATTCAGGCATGAAGGACGGAAAATGATGAAAATTAGGCATCGTGTTTTTGACCCGATGCGCGGGGCATTCAAAGGGATTGTGGCTGAGCACAGCCACATGATGGAGAATTGGATGCCCTGATTGGTTTGGAGGTTCCTCAGCCACGGCATCAGGCCTCCTGTCCACCTTTAGTCTTCCAGTGGTGTGAGTGATAATTAGCCAGGAAAACCCTCAGCTCAGTTCAGTTCATCAATGAACGAAGCTTCCTTTGAGAATGAGTTGAAGTCAAGAGGGAAATCATCTGGATAGGCTAGTGGCCTTGACCCGTGTCCAAAGTTCCCCAAGGCTTTTTGGACCACACATCTGGTCCCAGCCGTAAACATCCAGAAAAACTATCGGTGCTAGACTCTGTCTCGACCTGCTGTTCTGTCCGTCCCTCGTCGACTAAGTCACGTATTCGCATTCAACCTGGATGCGGTTGTGTCTGCATTTGCTTAGGGTATAGTGACTCCATTTCAGCCCGACCGGCATGGATTGGTAGCGAAGCGATTTGAGTTGCTGGACTGCCATCGGCCATTCCTGACTTGTTCTCCATGCCTTCCCATTCACATGGACGTCAGTACGCCCCAAAGTACGATCCATTCAGGTCATATGTCGGTGCCTGAAACATCCCCGTCAGCCAGGATCCACCGACTCTCATCCTGAAGTCTGGTACACAACGGAGATCAGTTATCCTGAAACTGCCCGATCTCCTTGAATGACCTGAAATTTATCGAACATTGAAGAATTGAGGATCCCCTTTGCGGTGGCGTGATTTTATCCTTGTTTCGCTGCATGAACGAACATTCTGTGTTCGCTCCGACGGAGTATATCCGGAACAGATCACACCTCCTATCATCGAGAGGTTCCGAGATTTCATCAAACAAGGGACGAACAATTCTCAGGCAGCCGACTAGAATTGCATGAGGCACATGTGCTCGTCGGAAAAACGCCTTTTGGAAGGTAAGGCTCATCAAACACATATCCAAGGTGCTAGAGTATAGACTGGAACCGGGCTTGGGATTAAGTGCGACAATTCGCTTTAAGGCCAAAATCTGTTCAATGAGGTCGCACCAGTGATGGAGAACATCAGATGCGAGCCGCAGTCCCGCGCAAATGAGACCACCGAAATATTCGTAAGGGATCCTTCATTTGTATGTCAACATCGAATATGAGTGCCCCGTGCCAGACCGTGACATCTTCGAAAATTAAAAGTTCTCCAATCTGGCTGAATGTAGCATCTAGTGGTGGAGATACAACTGTAGGTCTGGAGTGACCACCGGGGCCTTCGGGGTCGACGAAGAGGAGCGCGAAGAGCTTGGGTAACACAATGTAGATATCGGTGATCCCAAATCAAAGTCAAAGTCGTACCACGGACTGGGACCGCATTCATCTAAATGAAATATTGACCTTGCATGCTCGATCGGATAAAGATGCATCTTTGAGTTGGAGGGTCCTGTCTTACCTCGAAACCAAATCAGGCAATGTCATATCCTCCTCTTGCCGTTTACGTCTGCTGAAATGGCTAGCACCATGAACAAAAGGGTTAGACTAGACGGGATCTCACCAGGGTGGGCAGAGGAAAGAACGTCTTCAGAGCTGATAGAGCCGACTGGCAATGGATTGATTTGCACAACAAACATTGTGCCGGATGCTATCGCCTGTCCTGAAATGCTTCTAGGAAACAGAATGTGCGGCTGGGATTCTGGGGCTTTGTACAATCAATGCTGTGCAGGTGACCTCATGTGGATACCGGGCCCACCATGTGCCTAAGCTAACAACATCTTGCGCGGGTCTTCTATGTATTCCTGTAATGGCTGTCAATACGGTTTGAACGCTCGGAATAACATATTACACGAGCTCACCTTGATCTTCACCAAGAACGTGACAGCTTCCCTGCCATCCAACAAACGATGATCGTAAGTCAGTGCAAGATACATCATCTGGACCCAAGTCAGCATCGCGGGTCACCAAAATGGACGTTCACTTGCCGGTCTAATTTCTATTTTGCCATTGACGACCACGGCCCTGTCTTTGATAGCATGGAGACCAAGCACAGCTGTTTGAGGCAAGTTGATAATGGGTGTGCCCATCATCGAACCAAATACACCGCCATTGCTAATCGTGTAGGTACCACCCGCCATGTCTTCAATGGTGAGCTGTCCATCTCGCGCCTGGTGGTGTTGTCAGCAAGTGAGACGGGTGAGCCACCAGCACCAGAATTACCTTCTTGCCCAAATCGGCTATTGCCTTTTCGATCCCGATCAAGTCCATACTCTCCGCATTCCGAACTACCGGGGTGACGAGGCCTTTGGGTGTCGCAACGGCAACACTGATATCGACGAAGTCCCGGTACACGATGGTGTCGCCACCACCAGGACCTTCAATGGATGCGTTGACAGTAGGAATGTCTTTCATGGCCAAGACGCTGGCCTTGGCAAAGGCGCTCATGAAGCCCAGCTTCACACCGGTATTCTTCAAGACCTCATCTTTGTACTTCTTGCGGAACTCCATGACATTGGACATGTCGACTTCATTGAAGGTCGTCAAGGATGCTGCGGTATTTTGAGATTGCTTCAGACGCTCGGCAATTCTCAGACGCATCCGGTTCATTTTGACCTATGACAACATCAGCATGGGTTCCAACAGCCAAAACGCTCATGAACACCGTACTCGATTTTCATTTCGGCTCCCTGGGCCAAACGGCGAGTCAACCCCAACTTTAGGCCCCTCCGCTGAGGGTTTCTTCGATCCCTGGGGTGGCGCGGGTGCGGGCTTCTCTTCCTTCTTTGGTGGAGGTGGCAGAGGCTCTTCTCTCTTTGGTTCCTCCTTCTTCGGCTCTAGATCTGAACTTGTGGGTTGGTCGTGTGGAGCACGCTCCTTCGGTGCTTCCTTTGCCTCCCCTGCACCACTGCCACCGCCCTCGCCGGGCTCCAGTTTGGCAATATCTTGTCCCACAACGACAGTGTCTCCCTCGCTGACCAAAAGCTCTTTTATTGTGCCTGCTTCAGGAGCATTGACAGAAACATCGATCTTGTCTGTCTCGATCGAAGCAATCTCTTCGTCCCGCTCGACGTAGTCCCCAGCTTGTTTCAAAAATGAACTCAGAGTTCCTTCGGAAATGGACTCGGCCATTTGAGGGACTTTGATAATGGTCTCATGGTGGACAGGAGAAGTGCTGAATTGTTGATAGCGAGAGACGGAAAGGTAGGAAGGTATAGCTGCGACTCGGGGGCTCAATAGACATGGTTGACGAAGAGCAGATCTTGATCTGAGAACACTAAATGTGCGAGCATAGAGGGATAGACCGCGTCTGGGAAGTGTAGGGGCAGAACTCAAAGCCGGAATCCCTCGAACCCGCAGTGTAGCCATGTTGCGCGAGCTTTTTTTAGTTTTTTTTTTTTTTTTTTTGTTGGGGTCGTCGACACTACAACTAGGAAACCGGACAAAGCTGATGCTCCACGGAGCGACAAAGCTTATTGAAGCGACATACGAGGCGGACGCACACCGCCAAGTTTAACGAGAATGAAAGAGAGCGTGGAAAGGAGTAGACACTGTGACTTTAAGTTTGAAGTGGAGGGATTGACCAGATGTCGAGAATGGGAGAGCTTTGGAAAGCTCTGACTGGGCTGGGCATACGACAAAGGCCCCGTTGATTCAAGTTTGAAAGTCGCGCAGTCGGAAGTGTTCCCGGGTGAGTTTCCGTGGGAGCCAAGGGCCTATGAGGCGAGGGCAGCCGTAAGCCGTAAGAGGTGAGTAGTTGACGCCGCCCTGTGCCTCCCCCGAGACTTACCCGATCTATCTGGGAAATCCGAATTAATAAGACGAAGTGTGATTGGCCTTCAGTTTATCCAGCGGCCTTTCTGAAAGAGCAGCGTGGGCTATTGTACACTTCTGGGGTAGCTTTGTCTATTCGTGCTTGTGGAGCCGCCACTTGCAGCCCCGAATCATTGTCCTGTCACTTGGTTTGCGCGCCTCATGCCTTTTGAACCGTTTTATCGAGCAACGAGCAGTACTCCTTTACTGGGAAAAGGGTCATCACCCCCAAGTTTGACACGTTTCAAGCGCCAATAATAGGAAGTAACAGATAAGAGGGAGTGGCTCCTCCCGTAAAGATGGTCGTTCTCCCTCCAAAGACACTCTCTGGTCGATCAGCCGCAAGAGTATGCAACCAAGGACCTGAGCCCCGAGCAGTCCAGGCCTCCTTCATTTGTTCCTCTTCAGGGACAGGGCGTTCAAAGTCTTTTCCACCAATGTGTAGTGCCAATCGGTATCCCGCTGGGAGGAGGATATTGGTCGGCCAGATCTCCACGTCCAACTCGTATACTTCCCCCGGTCGGAGAGGCTGTATCTCGTCGTGGCTGTGGTACGGCCTATAAGGCAGAGTCTTGGACAAATCTAGCTTTCGATGCGACGCCCGGAGCCAGCCTTGAGCAAGTGGAGTATGAGGGTCCACCGTGCCTTGAAATTCAACTTCGCGACCGTCGGGTGAAAATGCCTGGAAAGTCACAAAGAGGTCCAAATCCGTCGTTGAGGAAGACGCAAAGATCTTAGCGGCCAGAGGGCCTGTGATCTCGTTGTCATGCTCAAGTGGCCTAGAGAAAAACGTGAGGGACTCTTTGAGAGCCATGAAGGTGGCGCTCGAGGACTTTGGAGATACGTCCCAAGACATATCGAGCGAGGACGGCTGATCGGCGTTCATGTATATTTTGGTCCATTTGGTCTTGGGCAATGGCCACGCCGGTTCTTTTTGGAGCTCAAAGTTGTCGCTAAAGGGCCGTCGTACATGTAAGAGAACTGGGGCCTCTTTATCCCATCCATTGTCGACTTCCTGGAGAAAGTGGTCAAGAAATCGCTTTTGCAACGCCATCCCTTGGGGAAGATAGAACCATTCTTCATGCCTTCCCGGATGGCATTCGAGCCACTTCTGCTTACTGGCCGCTTGAGTAAAGGCTTCGAAATTGCCGCGTGGATGTAAGCCGAATCCCGCCCAATTGGCCGGACTGAGAAACGGTACAATGACCTTACTCCAGTCTGCCGAACGTGATCGATACCATTCATCGTCTAAATGCCGAACAAGAATGTCTCGAATTGGATCGCAACGGTTGTTCCTCAACTCATCCTCGGAAAGAACCTCTGGGCCACTTGCTCGCTGATTTAGCCAAGGGTCGACTATGCTGTTCGGATTTCCATGCTGTACGGATATCACTTGTCTCGGATACCATGCCTCAAGGAATCCGTTAGACTCGATCCCGCCATGACGTGCGAAGTCACGATAAAAGTCTGCTGCACCTTCCCATGGAATCATTGCCGTGAGGTGAGGAGGCTGAAGAGACGCAACGAGCCACTGGGCAATGGCATAGTATGAGATTCCATTTAATCCGACCTTGCCGGTACTCCACGGCTGAACCGCCGCCCACTCAATGGCGTCGTAGAAGTCTTTGATCTCCCGTGGCGAGAATATGTCGATCTTTCCTGGCGAGCGCCCTGCCCCTCTTGAGTCGACTCGAATGCATACATAGCCCCATGCAACCCAGATTTCGGGATCGACCGTTTCCCAATTCATAAACTCTCGGGAAGATCCTGGTCGAAGGATATCAGGATACGTTGAGATCAGCCAGTCCCATTGTATCTTGAATCCATCTCGATAGGGAACACCTTTTCCATAGGGTCCAAGTGTCATGATGACGGGATGTCGACCTTCTGTTGGGCGAAATACATCTGCACGGAGGATGAGGCCGTCATCCATCGGGATCGGCACGTCACGTTCGATAATCATTTTGTCCATAATCTCATCTGGAGATCGATCAGGACGATATCTACTACGAAGGAGAAAGTCACAGATTGTACTCAGGCGCTTTTATAAGTTCCATGGAGATGACGGTTGACCGTCGCCGCGGAACCGATACCCCTTGTCGAGAAACGTGAGAATCCATGTTCGCTTCCGAACCAGGTTTTCATGGTGCCTGCCTGAACAAAATCTGAGGGATAACTAGATGAGGAAGAATGAGTCCAACACGGCACAACCCCGCTTGTATAGAGCTCGGGTCAATCAAGTACGAAGGACACCAAGGCATAGATTGCTCCAAGCTAGCTGAGAGTCTTTTTTGACTCCATATTAGCCTTCGCCATAATTGGAAGAGAATACGAGGCTTGAACTCGAAACATCGAAAGGTTCGTCCTCCACTGGTGGAGCACAATCCAAAGGAGGGAGGAGGAGAAAATGATCCGCTTTCTCCGTCTAATATCCGATCAGGATGTCTGCCGAAATAGGAAGGGACCAATTCCACTGGCCCACTTTAAATTCGTACAAGCCAAGGGGGATTACAAATTCCAACGTACATCAGGATCCAACGGAGTGGGCAATACGTATATCATCAATGTTTCAATTTATTTCAAAGAACCTCGGTTCACGTGTACGAGAGTGTAAGCACGCACTTCCACGGCCGGTTATTTTGGCCGAAATTCAATCCAGCATCACATTTGCAAGCCATCGACACATCCAGTAGTACAATGGCAGTCGCAACTCAACCCACCCGCTACACTAATCCGGAACAAACGGTCTACCTGCCAATATAGTGGCTCATCTATAGTGGCTAACTTTAGACAGTCGCATTATTCAGTCAACCTGCTTGGAGAGACCCCACGTTTTCTCCAATACGAGGTGGCCTGGCCCTGTGTTTCGTATGCTGGAGTCCAGATTCGGATTTAGTAGGTTAGCGTCCTTCGGGAACGCGGTTCTACACTTGGAGAAAGGACGGAATAATCACGACCATTCCATCCTTCATTTAAAGGAGAGACAGTGGAGGATGCAAGGCCGCCCAGCCAGCCAGAGTGTCAAACAGTCCATGGGTGTACATTGATTGTTGTTGAGTGCTCTGTCCGTTTGGCAACTGGTCCTGCCAGATTGCCAGTATCTATCCACGTTTGGCAGCCGCGTGATGGGGACATAGAAGAAGCAGCGCAGACCCGACAAGATGGTGGCAGATATGGCTTTGTTCAGACAGTCGGGCGAATATATTAAATGCGTATGGCCGATGACTGTAGTAGTGCCGGCATCAATGGCTTCTTGACAATCCCTCCCCACAATCGACCCCAGTACATATCTTCCGGATTGAAATTGAAAGACTAAAGGTTTCTAGTATACATATACTCATAGATCGTTTGCTCAACATGGTGAGCCTTGAGCTGCGTCAACCATAGATGGTTGGGTGGGGGTTCGATCATTCCTGGAGAAACGGGTTTTCCATCACACTCAATAACCTGTTCATCTTGAGGACCTTCTAGTTCTGAGCCGATTGTAGTGATCTTGTTTCTTTTAATTAAGACATTAATATCCTTCAAGACCTCATCTTTGTCGTCCGGTTGGCGTTGTAGGACAATCCCTTTCCTCAAGATATGGAGCTTGAAGCCATCGTGCTTTGATGCAAATGTCTGCGTCTATGGCCTTGTTGTGCCAAGAGAACCAAGGATATAAATCATGAAAACACCATTCTATTGATGATTTCAACCGCGTCCTGTTGTACTGGACACAAAGTGTCTTTCCCTCTCGGTTCCGTGAGCCTGAATAGGTCTTGTTCGTCGCCTCCTGGGCCCCTCCCCCACCAATTTTCTCCCCGCGGGTTCATGTTTGGGGTTTCTCGACTTTGAAGCGTGTTGTATCTGGTGTCCGATAGTTCGGAATCTGTCCATGAACGACAGCTAATGTCAGGAGTCTTCGACGGTGTTTAGTCGATGAGGCTTCAGGTTTCGGCACGGCGTCAAATTGGGGTAAATTGGCATGGCATGATCGAGAAGAGAGTAATCTTAAATTTATCTTAAGTCCGATGCTTGGAGTACGGCACAGATTTGAGGCGGGTCTTGCGGGCGGCGGGTACTTCATACGCTCCCGACATAAAACAATGTTCAGAGACACCTCCCGCTCAAAATTAGGGTTTTCCTTCGTTGCCAGGGCTCCCAATGTTCACGCCGGCCGGGCCTCGATTGACTTTTCTGGGGCTTCCAGAGTCACACCCCCATCAGGTTGGGAGTCGATTCCATTCCCCATCAACGGGTCCAAGCTCCAGATTTCCAGCCTTGGGGGTCGCCTGGGACTTATACTTTCATCGAGCAATTGCCAGTCGTGGCACAAAGCCGCTATAGATGCAGTGCAGTGTGCCAATATGCATAGCTTGGGAGGGTTTGTTACACCCAGCCAACCCACCGGACTCTGAGGACAGCTTGGGAGCATCACCATTCCATTTTGACTACTCGAGACCACAGGCATGGACAACAACCGAATGGTGACAACAGGCGCAGTCATAGTGACCGGCTCGGTTCGAGGGATGTAAGTTAACCCCATCGTCGGGGTTGTATTTGTTGAAAATAAATAAAGGATCGTCTTTGTCATATACTCAACGGGGTCTCGAGAGCAGATGCGAGGCCATCGTCCATCGTCTGGCCGCAAGGTTGCCAATGCCAGCGTCCGCCAGATTAAGGAGGACCTTCATTTGACGCCAGAAGATATCAGATTTGTCTTCGACATCAATTTCCTGGGAATCGTTTTATTGTTACACTCTTGCGGCAAAGCAGATGATATCCCAGTCGTAGTCCATGTCAAATAGTGGGACTGACTCTCTTTTGAACTCCTCGGGATGGAGATACCAAATCATTGGTGCCTCTTCAATCGTCGCGCTCAGACCCTTTCCGCTTTCCAGCCATTAGAGCACAGCCAGAATGGGCGGTACGTGAATTCACTCGGGCATTTGCCATGGAGATGGCAAAGCATCACATCGTTGTCGATGCATATGCCCCGGTGTAGTCGGGACGGATATGTGAGATAAAATTCATCAAGATATGGGCGAAGTTGAGGCGAACGCGCTCTGATGGGCAGAGTGGCCGCGCCGGAAGACGAGGCAAACGGGGTCGCAGGATGCTGGGGTCAGACGTTTGTGGTGGATGGTGGCATGTATTTTGACATAGTTTGATGTGTCAAGCTTCGAGAGGCTTATAGTCATTAGCAAAGGATTACGAAGAGTTGTTTAGCTATCATGTACATGACATTTGGCGTCTCCAGCTTCGTGAGATGTCGTTCAAATAGAGGGAAATTGAGTCGACGAGCGACTTGGGCTTAAAAGCGGCGCGTTTTAGATGAGCATCCACGTGACTCGAAGCTCTAAGCTCGTTACGTCGCTGAAGCCGCCAAGCCGGAGCAAGTTGCGCTTCCCAATCGACTTGCTTGCATTACAGATTGGACAAAGGACCGCTTTTCCATGCTTCATTCGACCCTGAACCAAGACAGAGGGAAGACAGAGCGGCTGGAGAGTGAACGACCATTGCAGTGAGGAGCTTTCGGCTGGATTTTCCCGCGCTTGGAAGCGCTTGAACTAGCGAGAATGGCCACCATCAGTCCCCATGTCAAGGCCGTCCGGTGAGGCATCGACCTGGATCAAGAACCGTGACGGTGTATACTGATTTCCTGTGGCAGGTCTCTCTATCGAAGATCACTGAAGCTCGCCTTGGACTGGGCAGTCCAGCGAAACCTGTGGCGCGGACAAGCAGTCTACATACGATCACTCTTTGATGCCAACAAGAACATATCTGATCCCCGGCAACAAAGAGTACGCAGCACTATCGTTGCTCACGCTCGAGAAATATCTGACCAAATATGGTGACAGATTCTGTTCAACGAGACGGAAAAGTTACTAGACAAATGGAAACACCCTGATCCCTACAGACCACCCACCGCACCCGGAGGTATTCCACTTGTCCTCTGATTCTTAACTATCGACAATGCTAATTCCTCGTCCCAGGTTCGAAATACGAACGGAATCTACCGGCTCCAGACCTACCACCACCATCAAGAGAATTTGTCAACAGGTTATGAGGATTGGAACAAATACCACTTGTGCTTGTACATACTATGACAACTGAGAGAGTCCTCACAAAACGGGACTTTCGGGCGGAAAATAGCAAAAGCTTGATCCACTCAATGGTCTTCGTCTACATGCTTTGTGCCGGGTTATTCAGATGTGCTGCGCTGGGGGCAAATCTCGAGGATACATTCTGTTCCTGCTTTCAGTCATGCCGTGAAAACTTTTCATATCCTTTCTTGCGCCGGAATGCCGCTGGATCCGCTCAAATTATTCTGATCCTGTTTCTTTGATATGGGGTCGTCGACAGTCCAAGATCCAATTTTCATATTTTCGATCACAGGACTTTGCGACGCGTAACCGATCCAGGGAATCTCCTTCATTTTCTTATGATATCTGGCAAGATGGAATGGGGTTGAAATCAAGACTTTGATAAATTGATTGCCATTGATTTGGATCATTGAATTCGCTGTCTAACGACCCATTTCCATTGCGAAGCCATATGCTTGGCCATTCGCATTTCTCATGCCCCCCTGTTGCATTCCTATCCATGATCATGATAATAGGCATGCATGGACATAATGTACAACCCTACCCTGGAAAGCAAACTCTGGAAAAAAGGCCTATTGACCTGGCCAACCCAACCCCGGAACCCCGTGATCACATTTGTCATGAAAATCCCTTGAAAACCACGCCAAAAACAAAGCTTATAGCTCTTGGCTGGGGTTCTTGCCCTTCGCAGTCTTCTTTGGCAACAAATCTAACGTAATATTAGTATGTCGTATGTGGAATCGGAAACATTGTACGCACTCTGGTGAATGTTGGGCAGTACACCACCTTGGGCGATTGTGACGTGACCGAGCAGCTTGTTCAATTCCTCATCGTTGCGGATGGCAAGTTGGAGGTGACGTGGGATGATACGCGTCTTCTTGTTGTCACGGGCGGCGTTGCCAGCAAGTTCAAGGATTTCGGCAGCGAGGTACTCGAGGACGGCAGCGAGGTAGACTGGAGCACCAGCACCGACACGTTGAGCATAGTTGCCCTTTCTCAAGAGACGGTGGACACGGCCGACGGGGAACGCGAGACCCGCCTTGGAGGACCGGCTGCGATTGGAAGTTAGCATTTGGATTAAATCATGATGTTGCAAAGGTCAGGTGAAACAAACGCCGGCTCCAATGAGCAAACGCGTTCAAGTGCGACAATTCAGGATGCATTGCGAAGACTTACGATTGAGCGCTCTTGGAGCCAGAGGCTTTGCCACCAGATTTTCCGCCAGTCATTGTGGGTGATGAATTGGGATTGGATTTGGTTTGGTGAGATGAGATGAGACAGAGCCAAAGTGGACGTAGAAGATATGCGGTGAAAGCCGGGTTGAAGATGGATGAAGAAGAAAGGAGAGAGAAAGTTGTTGGTGGAAGTGGGAGGGATGAGAAGTTATAAGGACGTGGGTAGGCGGCGATACGGGCAGCGGGCGAGCAAAAGGCGCGCCTCCAGATCAACCTGCAGATTTGGGAGAAGTGATTGGATCAGAGCAGCGTGCGTAGCCAATCACAAGCCACGCGGCCGAGTGATCAAAAGCGACTTTTCTGTTGTGATTTACAATACGGCCTGCCATTACACAACATGACCATATCTGACCGCCAAGAGTCGTGATCCTGCACGCTGACTGGTCCAAAAGTGGGCAAAAACGACACAATAACAATACCCCGATAATTCGCGCAAAATTGTTACCTGGATCAACCCGCCCAGACAAGTGGTCGCTGCTCGCTCCTCGCATCAACCCTCCTGCACTTGCGCCTGGTATAAGAGTCTCCATCACCCGCGCTTCGCGACTTGCCCTTTCTTCCTCTCTTCATCCATCCACGCCAACTATTTTGCATCACACTCGCATCCCTTTTTCAATCTATTTCATCTCTCATACTACTTCGTCCACTAATTCTCGCTTTTTGCGCAATCTCAAATATCAAAGATGCCTCCCAAAGCTGCTGAGAAGAAGCCCACCACTGGTGGCAAGGCCCCAGCCGGCAAAGCTCCCGCTGCTGAGAAAAAGGAAGCCGGAAAGAAAACTGCTGCTGCCCCATCTGGTGACAAGAAGAAGCGTGGCAAGACCCGAAAGGAAACCTACTCCTCATACATCTACAAAGGTGAGTTTTTCTCAACGGTTGCCTTCGATGCGCCATATTTCCCTGTCGCATCACAAACTAATGCGTCATACAGTCCTCAAGCAAGTTCATCCCGACACCGGTATCTCCAACCGTGCCATGTCCATCTTGAACTCTTTCGTTAATGGTAAGTTGCCCGCGGCCCTTACTACCCTGGTTGGCCAAATTTCTCACATTTGACATAAGATATCTTCGAGCGTGTTGCCACTGAGGCTTCCAAGCTTGCTGCCTACAACAAGAAGTCCACCATCTCTTCGCGAGAGATTCAAACCTCCGTCAGACTGATCCTGCCTGGTGAACTCGCCAAACACGCTGTCTCTGAAGGCACCAAGGCCGTTACCAAGTACTCTTCCCAGAGCAAGTAAATGAGTTCATGGGTTTATGGGGATGCTTGGTTGAATTTTATTTCTTTACAATGGGTGGTGTGGAACAAGGGATACCGGTGTTGAATAGGGTCTCACATTATGATGCGTCATGGGAATCGGGGAATGTGATGAGTGCGAGTCAGTCATCGTATTGCTTGCTCATCAAAGAACAAATCAGCCATGCTTTACGGGTTTTCGAGAGCTTTTTTCCTTGCCATTGGCACGGCGGAAATCCATGTACAATTATTCGCCAGGCCCAAAGCATGAGATATCGAACTTCCAGCTACGAATGGATTCGAACTGGAATATGAGATAAAGAAACCAAATTCAAAGCATGAGAGTCCATCATCGCCTTTCGTCTTTGTAGTCAGTAAATACTTGCCCTTACAGGTTCACATTGGAGTATACTTGTTCCCGATGTTTTGGTACGCGTCGCAATGCGTTGCGCGCTATTTAAGCCACTGTCTTGATATCGACACGTGAGCTGAGACCAGATCCATAAACTTGGGAACATGGACCAGCGCGATCTGCTACGATGAAGTAGAGGAGCCTGTTACTTGAAGCATCAGGATCTATCTCAATCCAGCGGGACATCCTGGCCGCTGGACGCTGTTAAGTGGATGTAAATAGCCTGTGCGGCATTGCGAAATGAGGATATGAGAACCGATTCTATCACACACGCAGGCAGAGGCTTGAGCCTAGCGAGTTGACCCCATCGCTTTTCATTTCCATTCCGTTCCCATCTCATAATCCAATCCCCAGTACGGCCTGTAAAAACCCAAATTATATTCCACTCAAGACTCCCGAAGTCCGAGTGTCTTCCCACAATAACGGTTATTGATCAAATCACTTCTACTCCGAGGTCTTTCTTGACCGGCACTTCCGCTGGCCTCGCCTCTTGGGGTCCCTCTGCCTCTGTCTCTGTCTCTGTCTCCTGATCTGCTTCACCTTCCTGGCCTGTCACCGTGACGGCCTCGTCGTCATCTTCATCATCAAACGTCTCGACCTCATCCACGGCCTCCTTGCGTCCATTCGTTTCCCCCTGCGCCGACGATTCCTTGTCAAACACGCTCACGACCGCCTTGCCCTTGACCTCCTTGATCCGTCTCTTCCAGTCTTCCCAGTCTCCCTCGTCTTTGATCAGGAACCCAATGAGCATGCTTGGGTCCATCTCATTGATACGAAGCCCGCGCAGGCGTCTCGTGTGACACATCGCAATTTCTTCCTCGGTGTATTTTGAGGCATTGGTGTGGTGAGCCAGTGCAGGTCGCGTCTCGTGCGGGTCCAGATAGAAGAACAGATCACCCCGGCAGCCGATGAAGTAGTGTGAGGAAGAGGGTCTCCCGCCTGCTATCCCGATAGATTGAGGATATGTGAGCGAATTCTTCAACGCTTCATGATACACAGGCGTGATTCTGTCGAGGCCCAGTCTTATCCCCAGTAGGATCAGTGTAGGAGTGATGGTCGGGTCGGACGGGCTTGCTGCTGCGATGGAGCGGAAACGGTCCTCATAGACTTCCGACGCGGAAGGGGTAACGTAGACTCGTAGGCCTGCTGCCGCACACTCGGCGGAGAGTTCTTTGATACAGGACGCCGTGGCAGAGGGACCGAACCATTGACCTGGATGCTTTCCACATGCTGACGCACCATGTTGAACGAAACGATGAATCGAGAATGGCGCGTCCGGAGAGTCGGCAAAAAGCGAAAGGATCTCGGCTTCACTTCGGGTAGACTGATCCGTGGAGGTAGATGTGGTTACGTGGTGAGACCGTCTCCAATCACGGCCGAGATGGAGCATTATCAGGGCATTTGCGAGAAGGGATTGTCCGGATCGAATCATACAACCCCAGCCGGCGTCGCTACTAAAGCCATCGCGCTCGGTGAGGTTACGAAGTCGAACAGAAAGAGACAAGGCGGCATTGGAGGAGGGATCTTGTGAGCGAGGTATCGGTGGGAAGTTTGAGCGGTATGTCATCCATATTCGCGACTCGAAGTCGTCCAGAAATGCGCATGGCCATCCTCCGTCAGAGGGGTCATTAGATAACGAAGGAAGATTCTCTCCCGTAACATGTTGTGCATCATCAAAGCTGCCGGTGTTCTGATCCTGCTGAGGCTGTGTCTCTGCAGTGGTAGAAGCACTTGCATCTGAAGGTTCGTGGGAATCAGAGGACGACTCCACCTCGACAACGTCGTCATGATCCATGGTTGTCACGGGCTTCGGCGGTGTGGGTATATATTCTTTCCCCAATAGCCATATCGAGGTGCCAGACATATCATCGTATTTCGGAGGAGGGTCGTAGAAAAAGCGCAGGAAGCGCTTGTAATCAACCCCACTCATGACGCCCTGGACGGGAAGGTTCTGAAAGGTGAAGGACAACGCATACAGCAATCCAAACGGTGTAAAAGGCCGTGGTTGGACTCTGGAGAGTGATCGTAACGGAATAGGTGGATTTGTCGGATTCGAAGGGTGTGAGTGTGGGAGGAGAGGACCTGGGCGTTCTAGGTTATAACGAGAGGTACACAGAGCTCGAAGGGTTTCCAGAGTGTTGATGTAGTACGACCGCCACACCACAGGACAATTCGTCGGCGGTGATGCTTGCTCCGTATGATCGGGATGGTTTTGAACACTATATTGAGCTGCTATTACGATGTACTATTCGTATATGGAGTGAGAGGTGAAGGTGATCGAGGCGCAGGCATCGAGTTGGCAAGACGTCAGCCTTGCAAGTAAGTCAGTCGTTGGGATGCCTCAGGATCGGATCAAAGATCCTCCTGGCCTGGGCGGAGACTCTGGTCTTGCGCTAGATCGTCGTTAATTGCCCCCAATCCCCTGCTTGATACAGCCACTCTTCATCGTGGGACGATTTGCATGATTCACAGACAAATTCCGGTTTAGGTCATTGCTTTCACTTGTTTGTTTCCAACATACCTTACTCCCTCACTGAAACTGAAATCTAAGCAACTGCGGAGGAAGTTCCACGTCAAATTGATCACCCCGCAATGGGGGCGCGACAACGCGCCCAGGTGCGCATGAGAAAATCAAAAGCTGGGCAGAATATGAATACTTCTCAATGGTCCCAAAATCAACCAGGTTCCTCTACGAAGAGTACATCCCCCTACAAAGTGCTAACTATCGTTGCGAGCGGAAGTCTGACAAACATAACACTAGTCCACACTTTTGATGCCCATGACCGACAACGAGCACTCCTCCAGGACTGGCAAGATTTTGCCGATTCGCATTGGTCAAATTCTCAAACTGGCCTTTACAGCATGGGCCAGGAGGCTCGCAATACCGAGCGCCACGGCATGGTCTGGGGCTCCACCAGATTGAGAGACCGAGGCATTGCCTTTGTCAGTGCAGGAAATCTGGTGAGAGAAGAGATGGTCGTGAATGAGAAAGAAAAGGACAATAAGCAGGAAGGTCCAAATGAGACATCAGTAACCTTGCTTTCGCCGAACGCTGAGCAGCGAGAACCTACCAAGACCGTTGAACCAGCAGTGGCTGTTGACAATGAGGAATTACGATTTACTCCACCGACCGACATTCCCACGGTCACCGTTGCCCGGCACAATCCTTCGCCTCGGAGAGATTCGGTATCATCGCAGTCGTCAGAGGAAATTATCTTTTGTGGTCGACAAAATCCCACACCAAATGCCACTTCCAATGTCAACCTCGCGTCTACACATTCTCTTACGCCTGGGCCTCTGAGTCCCATTGCTACATCCCAGACCAGTGAAAGCGTTCCCCGTGCCACTAGTCAACGCTCTACGTCCTCCGAAGCGCCTAAACATACCAGAGCTCCACCTCGGCAGCGAGCTCGTGGACGACGGGGAAAGCCACGAACCAGAGACCAGGACCGAGACGAGGAAGAGGAAATCATGAACGACTACATTGCTCATTTGGCAGTGGAGGATGACACGTGTGACGATGGAGACAATGAAAATTCGCAAGAGATTGGCAGGAACAGTGAACATTACAGATTCTTTGATGGTTCTGCAGAGGCAAACGTTAAGGTCCAGACGAAGCCGCCGGATGACTACATTCCAAAGGTCGAGCATTATGACCAAGCCATTGATTGGGACTCGGCCGATTTGGACGATTTGGACGATTTGAGCACCACCGACGAAGAAGTTGTCGAGGTCAGCCAGGTTCTACGACATCGGACTCGTCCCAGCGGGTCACAGTATCTTGTCGTTGCGGCTGGACAAGGTGCAAGCGATGCACGTTGGGTCCTTGAGAAAAAACTCCAGTCCATCTCGGCTGTTGAGGAGATTCGCATCTTTCAGGCTCTTCGAACCATGAGAATTCAAGAGACTCTAGAGGAATCGGATTCAGAGTCTGAGCCCGACGAAGCTTTTGATGACTTGATTGTTGACATTGGGTCAGAAGACGATGAGAATGCCCGGATCTTGAAGTACACTTCACGTATGACTGACGAGCAGATTGCTCGGGCATTGGCAAAGCAAGAGGAGTTAGGCTTGGGAGGAGACGAATTGGTCCTGTTCGACGGTCGAGTTGATGATGACGACGACGACGACGAATTTGAAGCCGAGGACGATTACATTCCTTTCTCCACGAAGAAGCACCTTTCTAGTCGGGGTAAGTCGAACCGTAACAGACGGGGCGGGGAATCCTTTCCACCTGCTGAGGCATTTGCCGATGCCCTGGAGCAGGACCCCTATGGTGCATTCGATATTATGGATTTTGATCGACCTAGTCTCCGTCCGAAGAAGAAGGGCCGCAGGTCGGATTTCCCATTTGACCTTGAATTGGAGGATGAGGAATTGGCAGAACACTTACGCAGCGTCTGGATGAAGGATAGGGAAAAGAAAGCTGCCAGGAAGCGTGAAAGGCTGGAGAAACGAGAGGCTGCTCTGCTTGAGGCGGCCGATCGTAGTAATCCAGTCGTGATCAAGGCTGAGATCAGACAGTTCCTGACAGATGAAACCGATGAACTGAAGCTGGCACCTATGGACTCCGCGACTCGAGCTTCGGTCCATCGGCTGGCGAAGTCATTGAAGTTGCACTCGCACTCTGAAGGCAGGGAAGGTCATGGTATTGGCCGATATCCCGTGCTGAAGAAAACTCCACGCACTCCTCGCTACACCGTCGACACTGTCTGGGAAATCGATTCTCTGATGAGTACGAAGAAGTTCTTCCCCAAGCAAGGTGGCGGCTCATACAGAGGTGCAAATGCTACTCGAAAAGCTGGTGCTACGAAAACACGTCGAGGCGATGGCGGTGGAGGAGCAATCTCAGGTGCGGCATACGTGAATGGCGAAATCGTGGGTGCATCTGCTCCTGAAATCGGTGCCGACAATAAAGGTCGAGCTATGTTGGAAAAGATGGGCTGGACCAGTGGTATGGGCATTGGGGCTGTCGGTAACAAAGGTGGTCTCGAGGCTATCAAACATGTGGTGAAGACCACTAGGGCTGGTCTAGGCTGAGAGTGTGTTCCCGATTACCGTGGCCGGCGGCATTGGGGCTATCATGGGACATTCGGTGTACTCGGCACCTTCAGGAGTTCTACATTGTGTCTAGTGTCATAGAAAATAGATTGCCCTGTTTGGCCAGTTCAATTCTAATGTGCCTGAGTCCATAGACTATGTGGTATTGCGACAAGTGTCTGCAATTGTTCGTGTTTTGGCGGGTGGTTGGCGCCAAGTCCAGAATAAAATTCGAAAATATTCAAACTGAACAAGCCAGCTTTAACCGTCCTAACCAATAAAACTGCTGCAAATACGACAACCTGCCTTGTTTGGACCAAGTGCACGAACGGGACGTCTGTTGCCAACACGACAATGTCTCTCCAGGCACCATTTCGGCGGCGGCGGACCCGATATCAACAGGTATATAAACAACCAAAAAGAAGGAACTTCAGACGCAGCAGTATCACATTCGTTCAACTACTACCTCAGCACGCCCTGGCATCACCTCGGCCCAGTCCCCCTCCCGACGTCAACTCAACATGAAAATCGTGATCGTAGGCGCAGGCATTGCCGGCCTGGCTTCCGCGCTGGCCCTTACGAAATGGCCGTCAGGGAAGCCGGATATCACCATCATTGAGATTCGACCGCAGCCTTCAACCATTGGAGGAGCCGTCGGGCTGACACCCAACGCACTCCGCTGCTTGCACCACCTAGGTGTACTGCCACGCATCCGAGAAAACGCTCTTGGGACGGATATAGACAAAATTGAACTCTTTAACATCTACAGCGGAGTCAATCTAGGCCAAATCGACATCACTGGGAGCCAGGGAAACGGAGTCGGTGAGCCACCATTCAGAGGGCTGAGGATTATGCGAGCGGATTTACTGCAGTCACTCATTGCAGGTGTGAAATCCCTCGACAACATCAAGCTCGAGTATGGCCGGAAAGCGGTTCAAATCGTCGAGAACAGCAGGGAAGCGGTACTTCACCTTGAAGACGGTGAGATGCTGAAGGCAGATTTGCTCATCGGCTGTGATGGAATACATTCCTTTGTCAGGACTAGCCTGATAGACCCAGAGAGAAAGCCAATCTATACTGGAATCGCAGCAGTGTTCGGATTTGCCGTCCTCGAAGAGGGTGCTCAATCACCTTGGCAGGATACAGGTCTATGCCAATCACGACGAGGGAGTCTCCTGGCCACCTATTACGAACACTCCCGAAGGAAACAATTTGTTGCAGCCGTTATGGAAACAGAAGATGTCGTTTCCCGTGAAGGCTGGTTAGCACGAGGTTCAGAGCAGGACTGGATCAAGCAGGATGTCAAGAGCCGATATGGTAATAGTGCAATTGGATTTCTCGACCCCCTCATCGACTCAACCGACCACTGGACCTTGTATCCTGTCTATAAACTCGCCCCGAAAGGCAAGTGGAGTTCCAGCCGCACGATTCTGCTCGGGGATGCTGCGCATGCCATGCCACCCCAAGGTGAAAGCACAGGCTATGCTCTCGAGGACGCTATTTTGTTCGCACGCGTGGTGCAGAACAACCGCGAAAAGGAGCTGCCAGAGATCTTTACTGCGTACCAGCGAGTCAGAAGAGAACGTATTGACAAGGCTTATGAAGAGTCCGCTTTTGGCTGGGACACACAGAAAGACAGTGGATGGTTCACGTTCTTGCTACGGACCTGGATCACCTCGGCTTTCCTCTGGTGGACTTCCACAGCAAGACAAAGAAGATATATGGAGGATGTGGCCACCATGAGTCTGACATAACCCTTATGGGTGGGGGGGATAACAGCTGGATTGTCATCACCCTACATATACCGATACTTTGCCCATTCACCTTGACAACCTGCTCTAAAATGCCTCAGTTTTTACCGGAGAAAGGTTTGTCTGCCCCCAGAACAAATCGTGAACTTCTATGCCACACCCAATATTCACGATTGCCGGCCCAAGACACGAGTTTTATACCTTGCTCACATTTCTAAGATGGGGCTCGCCAGGACCCCATAAATTGTCATTGAGCCGGGACCCGGTCTCGCACTCTGGAAACTCCTCTCCATAGTCAACAACTCGCGTTATTTGGTAATAGCGGTGTTGGTCTTGCGGGCAACACCGTCAACTGCGCTGAGAACAAGTGGACCTTTCCCGACCAATTGTGCCAAAATTTCAAAAATCTATGAGTTTTTTAAATTTTCCATAAACTGTGGTACGCAGCGCGGAGGGGAAGGTTGGCTACCGGGCCTTCAGATAACACTCCAAGTGTCGGATTTCCCATGCATCCCCCTGCTATGAACAAAAGTCGGGTGAACACTCAGCTGGGTGATCCTAAATCCCCCCACGTGAAACCCTCTTGGCTAAGCCTAGACAGGAAAATTTTGTTCCACATTTGGTTTTTCTCGCATGTAGAGTGGCCCCGAGTCCTACGCGTTCGAACGGGTGCGGAAGCGTAAACGACGAGATAAAAGGTACCCGGTCTCCTCCAGATTATCCCAGGAATTCTGACGGCGAGACCGTCTTCTGTCCCTCAAGGTTGAAATCAAAGAGGCCTAGACGCGCGAGCTAGACATAGGGTTGGACGAGGAAGTGGGCGGCTGTAGGAAAGGGCGTTCTCAACTATGTGGACCCTAGTGCAGGGCCCTTGAAGAACGTGCGCTGTTCGACCTACAACAACACGACTGGCGTACCAATAGCCCTTTTGTCTTGCTTCCTCAGCCAAAAAAAGATATCCTTCTCTACTATGATATCACAACGACCCAATCAAAACCGTGGGATATACCCGATCCCGAGGGAACCTGATGTAATTTTTCATCCATAGACTCGAGTACGCGCATTCCAAATCCAAAATCCGCACAATGGCAACATCACCAAGGATGACTCTACAGTCGAACGGGGATCTCAGTTCCATCACAAATGAAATCGATGAAAATGTCCAGAAATGTGAGTTATACCCAAGAAACTCGCCTCTACTGCACTGACACACCTCAAGTCTTCCCATTCATCCCGAACTCAATCCAACTCCACACCCACGGCACGAGTAAATCAGCAGGCACATTCAAATTGACCATCCACCAATCCTCCTCCGGGAAAACCGCAGACTTCTTCCTCAAAACTGTCCCCGATAACATCGGTCAGGCCATGATTCGCGGCGAATTCAGCGGTCTCAACGCCCTCTACGACATTAAACCTGGTATCGTGCCTAGACCGATCGGATGGGGAACGTACTCGTCCAACCCGGAAATCCATTTCTTGCTGAACGAATTCGTCGAAATGGACGACATCAACACCATCGAGGGGCGATCCGAATTCTGCGCCCTGCTTGCAGAACTCCACAAGATCAGCGCCGGGCGCTCTCCAACGGGCAAGTACGGGTTCGACGTCACGACGTACGCGGGCATCATGCACCGCGACAACTCGTGGTGTGACACGTGGGAGGAATTCTTCTTCCGCGCGATGCGCAATGCCGCAGACCAGGAAAAGGAAGTCCATGGACAGAGTCCCGAGTTGGACGAGTTGGTGCACCAACTGCACGAAAAGGTCATTCCGAGATTGCTGAGACCGCTGGCCAATGGGAAGAATCCGATCCAGCCGTGCCTGGTGCATGGAGATATCTGGCGCGGGAATGTGGCGATCAATGGTAGAACCAAGAAGCCGATTATGCTGGATCCGGCGGCATTTTGGGCACATCATGAGTGTAAGGCAGACGAAAATTGTTCGTCCTGAGCTGATTTGCGAACAGACGAGCTGGGCAATTCGAACGTATCTCAGTACATTTTGGGATATGAGTGGATCCAGGAGTATCATAAGCACATGCCAGTCTCCGAACCGGTGGAAGACTACGAGGGCCGCAGGTTCCTCTACGCTCTGTACGTGACTTGCCACGATCGAAGCATTAGGACTGATGGTTGTAGTCATGGACATTTCTGCGCATCTATCCTCAATCCTGAAACCCAGCGGCATCGAAATCGGTAAGAATTTTGAAACAACTCTTACGTCTGTCCACTGACCAAACATTAGGATCATCTCTGACACACGTTTTCTGGTGAACAAATACCCGGAAGGGTACCAGGATGCAACATGAGTCTGAAGAATCCCCTTAGGTACGAAATGCATAGGTCAGGGATAGTTATTTCAATGGAATAGCTGCCACCTCAGTTCCACTGAGTCATGAATAATGTTTTGACCGAAACTACCACCACTGTCCTGGACGTCCCTAGCCTCTTTCACTCACAGTTTCACGGATCTGGTAAAGGAGAGGGCTCATGAAAGCTCCCTGCCACTCTCATGTTTCGTGTCGTGTTGCTGCCGAATATGTTTATCCTGCCTATTCCCTCAGTGATCCCTACCTGAAACCAAAAAGCAAATCCATCAAGCGGAGCTGTTACAGGTCACTCTCCCAGTTCCACCGGCCATCACTCTTTCTCCCTAGCGGGATAGGAATCTCCACCGCCCAATTTCATCCCACCTTTTCTCTTTCCAGTCATTCGCCGTCTTCGGAAAGTATTCAAAGATATCTGTCAAAAGCTTTTATCATGCGAAAAGATTTGCCATGGACAAAAGGGATGATTCAGAGTTAAAAGGAGGAAGAGACGGATCGGGCACTAATTCGGGAAGCGGGAGCAACGCGAAACTGGCCGGGATGATGGGAGCAATCGCCTCGAAGATGCTGTGGTGCGCGCAAGACCGCAGATATGGCCAATTGCATGCTTTGAAGCACAGTTAGTTCTCAAATCTTCGGTCCTATGCGCTTAGTTCTGTCGCCAGACAAGCAGGACAGGAAGCTTATAACGTACGCCAGGGTATCAAGGAGGTAAAAACTGCCATCCCCAAAAAAATCGAAAGCTGGAAACTCGCCAATCTTTAAGCGGTTGCCATCTTTTTCAAAATTAATTTCCCGTAAGGAGCGTCCTTTCTAGTCAGTCTCCAGTATTGATGAATTTCGGCTTTGTAGGATAGCCGGGCACGAAATGCCTCTGTAAAGGCTGGTCCGACAACCAGTTGTGTACTTGACGGGAATGTCGAAGAGTCGCCAATAAGGTCAAAATGGTGATGGCTGTAGGTCCAGCTAGGATAGCATACTTCAAAAACAGAGGAAGAATGCCCACCTCCAGATATGTCTTCTCCCCTGACCCCCTGCTCTTCTAAAATTCCCCTATCCCCTTACCCACTCTGATTGCTTCCTCTCCGTATATCGCAATAACACCTTTTATCATAGGTGGGTAACCATTAAGCCAGTCCTTCCGAGCGGCAAGATCAAACAGGTGCTTCTGGCTCTTACCGTCGCTGCCATGATGCTCGATCAGAAAACAGAAGTCCGGAAAGTCGAGCACTTCAAACCGGGATAGGGATCTGTATTGATGAACGGGTCGCAGGCAATCAGATGTACAGATTTGGATCGATTATGTAGACCTTGACAGTGGCTGAGAATGTAGTAGGGACGATTACAGGCGCCATGAATTTCTTCACCGTTTTTCTTTGTGGTTTTTCTGTCTTGGGACGGCTCCTCCGCCGGATGAATCCATTTCTCCGTGGTTTCTCTGGGTACTTGAAACATGGGTGACCTTGTCGAAAGGATGGGGTGATCGCTCACCCGGCTCGTTGTAAGTTGGGGTGAGCACAGGGCGGCATCACCTTCGTCCTTAAATGGGATGAGTCGCGAACAACAACTTTGGCAGGCTTGTCTTGTTCGGGACTATTTCCCTTGAGCTATACGGTCTGGATTCTCTAGGCCTGTACCCTTCCTCTCCCCGACAAATGTGAGCATATTGAGCCATTTGTGATGATAGTTAGATGATGCTCTTTTTGTATAAAAGACTGGGTGAGGAATGGGTAGAGTTTCAGAACCAACGAAGAAGAAATGAATGTGCTATTTTCAGGAGTTTGAGCGAATGAGTGAACCGGGGCGGCAGAACCGAATTTGCATCCTTTGCAAGCATCGAACTGTTGATCCGGTTTTGGGGCAAACATCGTCGGATAAAGAGATTTGCACGCAACGCCTTTGGAGTCCTCAAAGCCCGTCTTCATTATTCTGATGACTCCGACATTACCAGGAAACTGATATGGCTTTCCTTAAGGATGCTCAGGAGCAAGAGAATGGATTCATTTTCATGCCGCATCTTCACAAAGAATTCGAGAATGAAATAGGGGGGAACGGAGTAACAAGAGCGACTCGAGCTCTCGAGCGATTCAGAGCTCCTCCTTGTCAATATCATAAACCATGTGCTTCCGCTCCGAACCCCATTTATCCATCCCGAAAGCCCAAGGACCATGCATGTACATCCAGATGCCAATTTCCTTTAACCATAAGCCCCAAGGGCTGGTCTTCTTTCTCATGTCCGCGTTCTGCGCAGCTCGAGTAGCAATCTCGTCCACCCGAATTCTCCTGATCTTGTCAAAGGTTTTATAGACGTCGCCGAGGGAACGAGTTCGGTCCTTGAGGAGACGCGAAATCAAGAACGCATCCTCTAGCGCCATGGAGACACCCTGGCCTGCATGCGGTGGCATAGCGTGGGCGGCGTCGCCGAGGAGGAGGCAACGGTTTTTGGACCAGGCCCCTCCAAGAGGCAGTTTGTAGATGGGGTAGAACTTGACGACAGACGTGTGATCGACCATCTGCCTCATCATGCTGCCCCATTCGCCACCGGCGCTCTCCAGCAATCCGAGCAGAGCCGACTTGAATCCCTCCACTTCCTCCTTGCGACGCACTTCCCATCCGTCCCTGGTATCACCCGACTCTGGTTGCGAAACTTCCTTCGAGAAGCCCCAGTAGATCTCCTCATCCGACGCCGTGCATGTCATGGCCATAAACAGACCATCCTGCGTCATGGTGACATGCATACCACGGAGCTGCGACGCCGCGGACTCGGTCAGCAGCGAAGCTGGGATGATGGAGCCAATACCCGCCATCCCTGAATACTCCGGGGCCCTGGCGGGGTCGACGTAAAGGCGCCGCACGGAAGAATGGATGCCATCACAGCCGAGCAAGAGGTCCGCAGTATCGGTCGTCCCATCGGAGAACGTCGCCTCCACAACTTCTTCATTGCTCGTGATAGAAGTGAGCGCCTTGTTGTAATGGACAGGAATCTTAGCGTGGCGGACCGCTTCAAGCAACACATCAAGCAGATCCGTCCGCTTGATCCGCATGTACCCGAACCCAGTTTGCTCCCTCGCCGCGCCTGTAATGTCCTGCTCACCTAGGACGCTGCCCTGCATTGAATGCATGACCACATTCGAATGGCTACTGCCGCGGGACATGAGCTTGTCGTGTACGCCCAGACGATGTAATAGTCGAAGGCCGTTGGGTAGGATTCCAATGGCGCCACCTAGAGTCGTGGGTTCCGGACGGAGCTCGTAAACGCTACAGATGATGTTCGTTCGCTGGTGTAGACACAAGGCGGCTGCGAGGCCTGCTGGTCCGCCTCCAATGATAATGGCCTGGGATGGATGAGAAGGAATACCCGCGCTTGTAAAGATATAAAACTGACCTTTGTTTGCTCAAACATTGCGTCTATGATTTTGAAGGATGATTTTGAATTCACAGCTGAGTATGGGCACCTACGGAAGCTGTCCATGAAGATATATAGGGATGAGACTGGGGGAAAGGATGCGGGGAATCCCGCGAAGTCTCTTGCCCAACTTGATAAGTAGCTCCACGATGTGAAAAGCCCAGAGTCAGGGATACCGCTGTCCTGATATTTATTTGAGGGCTCTCTTTCGCAGTATTAATTTTCTTTTCTTTTCCATTTTTTCCCCGGCTGTAATGTGCCGAATGAACACTGACGGATTGGTGGTGTAGGATTCAATAAGTTGTTATCTGCCTATGCCTTTGTCGAGTAAGTCTTGTGCTTCCACCAGGAAACGTCTGGCTCGAAAACTGAGGTCCGTATCGTCCAGTACTGAAGTCCATTGGAAGGAATCCAAATCTGACGCAGCGGCTAAAAACTCTGACTGCAGTTGATCCAGGTTTTCTTGATCTCCTATGGCCCCATCCAGATATCTGCTTCTCTGTGTCCCGGCGCCGGCTGGGATGGGATTGTTGAGTCCTGTTTTGTCGCTCTCAACTAAGGGCAGGCTATCGGGTTCCCGAGAGGCTTGATAATTCGATACCATGTCTTCAGGCGCCACTTGTGTTCCATTCCTTGTTCCCCTAAGTTCTTCAAGCTGTGGACTCGGCATCTGTGTCCGCCGTTTCTGGAGCGTTGCGATGAGTATCTGCATATTCTTCTGAATCCCCTCCATGAGGGCGCTTGATTCTTCCCGGGACCTCTCTAGCATCTGATAGGCGACCATCACCTTGGCCTTTTGAGCCTCGGCTTCTGGTGCGTCTGGGTTGAACGACACGTCCGTGGCCAGAGTAAGCGCCGCCATGAAGACATGGTGCATGATGACCCAGAAGCGCGCTGGCCGGACCCCCGCCAGTGGGGCCATGTCGTCCATCGAGCGCCGCAGCTCCAGGATCGTGTGAGCTGACCGAACGCAAGTGGCACGAGAGTAGGCGTATTTGGGGTCTGTTGAGCCTCTGAGATGATATGGTCGGTGGAGTCGGCACAGGCGCGCATGGAGGCTGACATGAACGCCGAGTCTTTGCCAGGCGATGTGTGGCCGCTCTTTACATATACTCCGGCTTTCCTGGATACTGATAGGGTCGAGTTGGAAGAAGACGGGAAGCTGTTTCAGGTAGGTTTGCAACTTGTCGTCCAGCGCCAGGACAACGCCGTACGCCGGCTCCTGTGATTCCAAGAACATGGACGGCATGGTATCGACGATTTCGCGGCAGAGATCGGCCAGTTTCACTCGCTGAATGAAGGCGGACATGGACGTGGGAGCGGACAAGGGAAGCTCATGCTCTACCCCGGTCGACGTGATGGACTCGTCGTCGGCGTTGCTTGGATAATTCACATTCATGTGCCTGGGTTGGAATATGTATGCACCTTCCTGGGGACCTCCTGAGAATGCATCTAGCCTAGAACTTATCAGCAGTTGCCGAAGAAAGCATGCGGGAAAATCTACCAATCCGAGGCCACCATATGCCACCAAATCCGTCTCTGGACTTCGATTTCGATCATGTCGCATCCCTTGAGTCTTCGTTCCTCACGACTCGTGACCATGTCAAGGCGATCAATTTGCATCATGCGTGCCATCGAAAGGCACCGACTCCGAAGCCAATGGACTTTGACGGGAAAGCCGTCCGCGTTAGCGACCACATGGGCTAGAGTAGTAATGGCTGCCAGAGCGATAGTCGATGGAGCTATTGGTCGATGAACGTTATCCAGGATAGATATAGCCAGACGGGTGTATGCCGTGAAGGCCGCCTTCGCTTCTTCTGGTGTGGAACGCAGTCTTTCCAAGATCTGGGATGTCCAGGTCAGTGCAGCACCAGCGAATATGGTGAAAAGCATGAGCAGCTTGGCGATGCAAGGCTCGTCATCGCCTTGGACGATGCTATGATATGTCTCCTCCATCAAAACCCGGGTGGACGGTAGATGGAGAACCACGAAAGTGGGATGTAAAGCAAGAGAGAAATGGTCGAACAACTCCCTGGCTTGTCCTAGCGGAGGCAGCTGTGCGACTAGATGCGCCACACGGGCCCTATCTTGGGAGGAATCATCCGATGAGGTCGAAAGCCTGTGGGATCCAAACGGTGTACCATCTGGGAGAAGACTAGGTCAGCACCTTGCATATGCCCCCAAACAGCTCACAGGGACCTCGCACGGGTGATTGTACCGCTGTTCCCGTTTCTCGTGCTATGCTCTGGGCGTATCCCCGCTGCCACTGATGTCAACGGGACGGTAGTGTTTGGCTTGTTGAAGACCTCTTCTTCTAATTTACGAATTCGATCAATCATCTCCTTGGCATCACTATTCAGACGTATCAGCAGACTAGGATAGAAGTAACAAGTCAAAGGGTTGCGTGAAGAAGAGATGTGTATATTTACCAGGGAGCAGGTTCCGGCGATGGGGTGGACCGGGTCGTTGACAGGGCAGCAGCTGTCTGGCTTGATCCAATAGTAGTGGAAGTTGCTTGTATTATTCCACGCTCTCCCGGGTGCTCCTCGGATTGGCCTTGTCGGCCATATTCACATTGGATGTCCCTAAGCGAGCAGTTCGAGCAAGGTTGGTTGCGGTCGCACCGACGCTTCTTCTCGCGACAAGGCCGACATGATAGGGGTGGCCGACTCCATCGTTGTATCATCATTACTGGGACGCCCCTGCTATCTCGTTTCATGGCTCGTGATTCGAGAGAAGCTCCAGGATGAACGGCCAGGGGACAGTGAAGAGGCTTGAGATGGGAGAAAGGGGAACCTCTCGGGAGAGAGACTCTTGGCAGAGAGTTGCGTGCCACAGAGAGTTGTCTAAGCACTAATTGAGTCAAGGTGTGCGAGCGCTGTCCGCACGATGGAAAGGTACTTGGAAAACCCTAGTAAAGCCACACAATCGAGGTACCAAATGATAGACTGTGGAGTCTAGAGAAGGAATGTGTTGTTGTTCTATCTAAGAGAGAGCAAGACGAAAAGAAGGGCGCAAGTTGCCAAGCCAAACAGCATCACGTGACTGGCCAACACCAAAACATCAAAATTAAGGCGCTCACATAGCTTGGTCATTTGTGGGCTCTTTACCTCGTTGTCGCTCGATTCACACTTTGCATAGACTTTCCTGGCTTGAACCCTCTTGTTGCTGCCGCCCTCATGGCCACTTCCTTCATCTGGCGAGCCCAGATTACTCCTCTCTCACAGCGCCTACCAATTAACACTCCTGAAAGACCCCGACCGCGTCGATCGCCCTCTCCTGAGACCTCGCCAATCGAGATTCCGGCGTCTACAGCGCCTCCAGCACTGGCAGGAGGTAGAGGCAAGAGAACACGCACTCACACTGCGAGATACAATCAGGCAAAAGAGCAGGGATTCGTTCAGGACTCACAGGAAGCTCACAGGGCGTCAGGAAGACCGTAAAGGGGGTCGGCAACGAGGCCATGAGGCGACAGGAGGACTACAGACGCGACAGACAGGCTACACAGGCGACAGAGGGGTCTGCCCCACCACAACACTAAAATTGAGTGCAAAAGGCGTGCAAAGGCGAGTGCGAAAGACTCTGTCAAAAGGGTTCAAACGACGTCGTTGAAAGAGCACCAACTATGCGAAGGAGGCAAAGTGGATGGAAAGGTACCTCAAATCCCCAGCAAAATGGAGGGGTTTCAGGTACCTTTCCATCATGTGGACAACCCTCGCACAACTAGGCTCAATTGGTGTTTAGGCAACTCTCTGTCAAGAGTCTCTCTCCCGAGAGGTTCCCGGAGAAAGAGAACATTGTGGCGGAGGCCGCAATGGCGTCTCTTTGTTTACGGTTAGTGCCTCCGGAGATGACGGACGACGAAAGTGGGGGCCATGGGTGATTGGTCGAGGGTGAGCACAGGGCGGCATCACGGTCATCTCGATTTGGAGTGGGTCGGCCTTGGCATGAAGGGCTCAGCCTCGTGGAGCTGCGGCCGTCCGCGCTGTGCCAAGTTGAATGTGTATTTGTATCATCTCGGTGATATTTATTCGTCACGCCCGTTTCAGTGCCTCCGAGAGAAAAAGACTGCCTAGGACCTTGAAGCGGCAAGCTTCGCAATAATCTGCCAATAGCTCGACCAAAATCAAATCTGGGATGAAACGCCGCACCGTCAGTCTTCGTGACGTATGCTCAGGAGCCGAGGGGATTTTTTAAATATCGGCGTCGACAACTTCATTAATCATTAAAGTAGATGGAAGCTTGAAGGACAAACATGCCAAGCCAGCAAAGCTGGCACCTTTCGATTCGCCTTGCCTCCTCAAAGCGGGATTAGTCGATGTCATATTGACTGTCTCGCTGCTATTTAGATCATTGCCCGGCTCTCACGCCTTCGAAGAGAAGGCAGAAAAGTCGTTGAAGAGCTACCAGGGCCAGTCAGATGGGCTACCTTCCCAGGGGTCGCCTGTGGTGAAGTCCGCCCAGCATTGAGTGCCAAACGCGATGGATTGCTCGCCCTGAGTTTCCGGCAGCAATGCGTTGAAATTCACATTTTGAATGGCAGAGAGAGCGCCTACGAACTGACCGCTCTATAAAAGCTCATTAGACCCAGGCAGGGTAACAGCGCCTGTCTGATATTAGGGAAACGGTATGATCTTGCTCAGTGGCAGCTCCAGACTAGCGCAAAGTTATCTAATCAAGGACTCATCGTCTGGGGTCATGGGTAGTAGTGCGAATCTATTTTGCAAGGCCAGCTCGGTCAATCGCTCGACCAGACCAAATAATACGTCAACTGCAGTTCTCAGGGGGATCCTGTGGCCAGGCTGTCAGGATGAATAGGGTTTTAACGCCTACTTCCGCTTATCGTCCCTCGTGGAATGTTGGCAGACCTTCCTCTTCTTCGTGCAGCTATGCACGCCGGGCGAACTCCGTCGCACTGCGCCTTGATCAGCAAAAGCCGTGTCCATCACCGCTTCGGTGGCATACTTTGGTCTTACAGTCGCGATAGACTTGGCAGGTAGTAATGGTGTGTTTTCGCTCCATTATCGATGGAGAAAAAAATTGGAAATTCTGGAGGGACGGTTGCGCCGGCAAGTCGCCTTCTCGGTAAAAGGAAGAAGTTAAAAGGCCAAGAGGACATCATCATCTCCAGGTGGAGAAGTGTCACTCCGTGGGTCGCTGCAACTCACCTTCTCCTCAACTAAGGCCTAGCCCCAGGTGCCACAGTACGTGGTCGCACCAAGCCTCTGGCATCTGCTGAATGGGGTGACAGATTACCGAGACTCAACACCGCTTGACCGAGATCAAACTGTTGTGCTCGTACTTGCAGAAGGCTGCAGGCAGACCTTGGGAACTCGATTTCTCTCGTGGACAAGGTTTGGAGGTTCGGGAAATGGATTCCGCCCTCACTGGTTCGGCGGGAGGAACGGGTCGCATTGGAGTCCGCGGATCAGATAAGAGACAGCTATTTGCTCGTGTGATTTTACGGAGGGCTTGTCCTATTTCGAAGGGGTCCAGGAGACCGTCAGACTATATACTTTCGATCCGTGCACGGTGAAGGGTGCGAGTAGCAGGATAACAGCTTGCTCTCCTAGCGGCTTGGCAGCCATGACAAAATTATCTCTCGAAACTTGGAGGTACTAACCCCCGTATGCAAGGCTGGCAACAAATATGAATGGCCCCGCCGATGATTATTCATTGACTGGTTCCTTCTTATGTTGACCAGTCACGTGACGCGTTGCCTTGGCGACATCACGTGATGATTTTTGGCTTGGCAACTTGCGCCCTTCTTTTCTCTTAGATAGAACAACACATTCCTTCTCTAGACTCCATAGTCTATCATCTTATACCTCAACTAGAGAATTGGACAAGTATCAGGAGCTTATAGAGAGTTCACCATCTCTAGAAATATTGAAGCATGCTCGGATATTGGAAACTGGAGCACGTGTTCTGGGAATTCGCCCATTTGGTTTGCGGCTGGTGAACGTTCACGGGGGACAAGTCTCCGGGCATGAGGAGAATTTTCTGGAAGGGGCGACGTCAACATGCAGCAGGTTCTACTGCGGCGGTCTTGCGGGAAAATTCTGTCCACCTGTACCCTCTGAGTCTACTCTGTTGTATGAGTCGTTTTCGTCAAGATAGTGGCTAACATCGTATCTCTCATGAGCTTCGCATGATTGCCGGCCACCTTCTGACTCAAAGATTCACCTGTTAGCTGCGGATATGCAGACCAATTTAGGGACGGGGTATCTGTTGATGTCAATCTCGTCGAAGTCGAGAAGGACCGGAAAGTACACGATATTTAGTGCGCAGGTTAAGAACCTAAGCGGGATTTTCTACCACCAAACTCCACTCGACACTTCGTTGGCCTTTGGTATATTAAGGAGCCCAACGCGGTCCTGCAGTCCACCTTCCATTCTATGACATGGGTCATATAAAGGTCAGTTCGTAATATGTGTCAAGTGCCTATGCTTGTTTTCTGTTTTGAATTCTAGTATGACACAGGAGGCCGGCTTCGGACGCCCGGTAGTAGCACATATATCCCGAAAGCGAGTTATCAAGCTCAATTCCTCGTGCCAGATAGACTCATCTCCTCACTCTTTGCGCTCTGCGCACCTTGACTTATCCAAATTTGCCGCACTCTCTCAGGAACCATAAGAGCTGACAATATCGGCATGAGAAAGGAGATCTGCCACGGTCCTCCGCAACGGGGTACAGGTCTCTGATACTTTTATTACAAATCGTGCTTTGGAACGGAGATGCTGGCGGATCTGAGAGCAACCTGCAGTGCCGCATGCACGGCCTCCCTGCCCTCCTCTCCATCGGCATCTCCGAAGAGTTCATCCATCTCTTCCAAGGTCTTCCCCTTTGTTTCAGGCACCAGGAGAACAGCCCAAATACCGGAGAGACCGCACCAGAACGCGAAGAAAATATAGGTTCCATAGTGAATGTTTGCGATCATGGGTGGTGTAGCGATGCCCACGGTAAAGTTGGACAGCCAGGTGACGCTGATAGCCAGTGCCACGCCCTTTGCTCGTAGTGAGTTGGGAAAGACCTCAGACGGCAGAGTCCAACCCAAAGGCGAGTAAGAGACTCCATAGACAAGAATGAAGCAGAATGCCATGGCCACGCACGCCCAACCAGCAGTCGAGTTTTGTGACCAGTCTCTCTCATAGACTCCGGAGAGCCCCGCAATGACGATGTAGCAAATGCAGGATCCGAACCCTCCGATAATAGCCAGAGGTCTTCGTCCGAGTTTGTCGATGATGGCGAAGCAGATGGCAACGGCGACGAGTTGGAGAACATTGAAGACGCCTGATAAGATCAGTGACATTTCGTCCGAATTGCCAAGAGAGCTGAAAAGGGTAGGTGCGTAATAGATGAAAGCATTGATGCCGGAAAACTGCTGGAAGAATGCCACGCCACATCCGACAATACTTCTATGCCACATCTTGCGCTTCAAAAGATCGCCCCACAGGACCACCTCGAGCCTGAGGCCCTTGAGCCCGGGATGTTTCTGCTCCGTAATTGTCTTCTGGAACTCAACTTCAGCCAGAATGCCCCTATATTCAGCCTGGACTCGGTTATCGTTGGCGGGCAGACCTCGCAACTTGCATAGACTTTTTAGACACTCCTCATGGCGACTAACTAAGCCGAGCCATCGTGGTGAATAGGGGAAGGCATGAATGCCCAAGCCAAGGATTGTGGCGCACACCATCTGCAATCCAAAAGGAAGCCTGAAGGAAGCTTCGCTAGACAAGTGTCTTGTGGCAAAGGTGATCCAGAAAGCAATGACGACGCCAGACACGATGGAGATGGATTCAAGGACAAGAAGGGTTCCTCGAAGATTTGGTGGGGAAATCTCTGAGATGTAAAGCGGCGCGCCCTATCCGAAGTTAGACATTGTACGGCGTCGTTGCGCATGGTGAAAAAGGCCATACCATAGCAAGAGTGCCGACACCAACGCCTCCGATAGCTCTACCAAGGACGAGGGAGGCGTAGTTTGGAGCTGCAGTCTGAATAATGGCACCGATGTCGAAGATAATCACCACCACAGTCAAGGCCCACTTGCGAGAGATCTTGTCGCACATATAAGACATAAACAGACATCCTATAAAAGCCCCGAGCAACAACATGGCTGTCATAAAACTGGTTCCAAAGGGAGTCGTAGTCCTTGGGTACGCATTATGGAACTGAGGCATCACGTTGATGATGGAGATGACGCCTTGGTCGTATCCGAAGGAAAACCCGCCCAGAGAAGCGAGGAAAGCTGCCCCGAACACGTATCCAGAGGTCAGAAGGCCGCGAAGGCCGTCTGGTCCATAGCTAACATGTTCTCCCAAGAGCTCGGCCTGAGGGACGACGTCTGGGACGGCGTAATCGTTGTGTTCAACCGACTTCGGGCCGGAGTGGCCCAACTCGATCTTTATGTCTGCAGTCATGGCTGAGTGTCTCACTCGATGCAATGTTAAGTAGGATGGAGGCAGGCCTCCATCTTGGGTTCGGAGAAGGTTGTGAACTTGGCCTGGGTTATCCCACAACTTTATAGTCGTTGGTATAGTGGTCACCAAGGGAGTGGAGACAACCTTGTGGCGACGGGCGACGGGTGACGGGCGATGGGGCCGGGCGGAGCAAGTTCTGTCACGAAGCAGATACTTTGGTCCTGGCCCAATCCAAGCCCATCAGGCCCGTCCAATTGGCGTTTCAGGTTCCAACTTTTAGCACAAACGAGATATGGCTATTCAGCTCTGTGATTGGGGACACCAGCGGGAATCAGAACCCGAGACTGAACTCAGACTCAACTTTGATCTCACCGAGTAGGAATCCATTTCCCGTTCATTGGTCGATTTCGACATGTATTTACTTTCCCGGCTCACTTCAATGTTTCCTGCTATGGGACCCTTGTTGACATCACTGACTTTCCCTGTCATGTCGTTTCCGTATACCCTTAGATGGGGAATCCTAACCACTGGTTGGATGGCACCACGCCGTCCATCCGTGGAGTCACTGATGTCGCTCACCGCATTGTCGCCGCTGCTTCTTCTACGGATACAAACAGGGCCCGCAGCTTCCTCGCCAATATCGGGGCTCCGACCGAGTCTGCCCCTTATGCTGAACTGGTCCGCGACCAGAACGTGAACATAATATATGTCGCGACTCCTCACAGCCACCACTTTCAAAATGTTATGCTGGCGATCCAGGCTGGCAAACCACTTGCCGTCAACGCTCGCCAAGCGCGGCGTGTCTTCGAGGCTGCGCGTACCGGAAAAGTTTTTCTTATGGAGGCCGTCTGGATTCGTTTCTTTCCCCTGAGCATACAGATCCGTGAGCTGGTATCCACCAGCGTCATCGGCCACGTCGTCCGGGTCATCGCCGACCTCTCACACAATCACAGCGCCGAAGACCCGACGAAGTTGAATGTGCCCGACTCCCATCGTCTCACCAGTATCGAACTTGTAGGTGGCTCTTTGCTGGACATAGGCATATATGCTGTTTCTTGGATCTTTCAGCTACTATACCACCTGCAGGCGGGCGATGACAAGGAAATGCCCCAAGTGCTCGCCAGTTCTCATAGATATTCCACAGGCGTTGACAAGTCCACTGCTGCCATCCTCAGCTTCGTCAAGCACGAGAATCTTGGGATCGCGACATCATCGCTACAAGTCGCCACTGATCCCGATGGCCATGCTAACCATGCGGCTGTCCGCATCCAGGGCACCAGGGGCGAGATCGAGGTGGCACCACCCACGTATCGTCCTGAGTCGTACAAAGTGATGAAGAGAGACGGCAGGGTTGAGGTAGTAAAATGCACCATTCCACAAGATCCAGAGAGAAAATGGGGTTACGGAACCTTCTGGGAGGCGGACGAGTGTGCGCGCTGCATCCGTGATGGACGATTGGAGAGCGTTACCATGCCGCATTCAGAAAGTATCTGTGTCGTGGAGGTGCTAGACACCATCAGGCAGCAGTCTGGAATTGAGTATCCTGACTTGATTACTACCGAACAGTTTGACCCGCAAAGCCCGCTTAACGGGGGGAAGGGGTGAGTGAGACACGGTGCAAAAGCGTAGAGCATATACACTTGCTGCAGCAGAGGGCACAAATTTATTGGACCTGATAAAAGCGGCGACCCGCCCTGTCGTGCTACATCGACTTCTCTCCGGCGACTAATAAGTGCCGGCGGTGCATTCTGGGCCATTTCCCTCCGTGGAACCAGCTTCAAGCACCAGACTCCAGTCCAGAGCACTATCGAGCAAACTTTCCCACGGCTGAACCACATGCCCCAGAGGTGAGTGCAAACAGATTGTTCAAGATATGCATACGGCTCCTGCCTCGGAGCGCGGGGTGGGGATTCAGCATTCCGTTTTGGCTCGGAAATCTGATCCCGGTCGGCTTTAATCGATTGGCTTCACCTCCAGCTTCCGACAAGTTGGTTTTAACGTTTGCTGAATCCACACAGGGAAAGGTTGTCAATTTCCTTTTTCTTTTCTCTCTCTCCTTCTACAACGACTTGCTAGAGTTCAACCGCCCCATTGGGATAGCCCAAAGTTTCAATAAAGAGATCCCACTCTCATCGGAATTCCATTTAGAACGTTTGAAAAGACGAGATTGAAGCACAGAAATGGGCGAGTACGTTCACTCAGAGCGGGTCATCAAGCGGGATCCCGATGGATTCTTGAAGCACAATGTCTTCGATCTTTTCTCCTTGAAAGGCCGAACGATTGTGATCACCGGAGGTGCGCGTGGAATCGGGCTTGCCATGGCTTATGCTGTGGCCGAAGCCGGTGGTAACGTCGCCATCTTAGATGCTGCGTCGCAACCTCATGAACATTTTCACAGGCTAAAGAAAGAACACGATGTGAAAGTCGAGTTCTATCGGTGCGTATTCATATCTCCACCTACTGCCAAGGTTTATCGCTTATGGAAACATTTTAGGAGCGACGTAACCAATTTCCAGGTCCTCGAAGAATCCTACAAAGAGGTTGTGCGAGATTTTGGTAGAATCGATGGACTGTGGGTAGTCCATCATCTGATTTACGGAACGACCACCAACGTTTATTCTATCGCACGGATAGTTCCATCCACTAACGCTGAGGCGTAGGATTACTGCTGCAGGCATCTGTCCCGATGAGCCTTTCACTAAGCGGAATCCCGAATCTGTCGCTCGATGCATGAATATCAACGTTCTTGGTACGTATTATGCCGCGCAACTCGCCGTTGCACAGATGGAGCGACAAGATCCCACCGAGTTCAACGTTCGAGGAGGTTCGATCGTCTTTATCGCTTCGGTTGCCGCATATGTTGCGAGCAAGGGTCAAACAACAAGTGATTACTGTGCTTCCAAGGGCGCCGTCGTCTCGCTTGCTAAAGCCTTGGGTGTCGAACTGGCAATGAAAGGGATCCGTGTTAACAGCATCTCCCCTGGGTAAGCTGGCACAACAGCTTTGACAGTCTCGATAGTTTACGCACGCTGACAAAATTGACCACCAGATACATGGTGACTGACATGACTTTGGAGCTGGTGGACAAATACCCTCATCTCGCCGATATCATGGTCAATGAGCCTCCCATGAGACGAATGGGCGACAGGACAGATCTGAAAGGCTTGGTGGTGTACCTATTGTCCAATGCAAGTGCGTATCAGACCTCGGAGGATATATTGGTCACTGGTGGTATCCATGCTGGAAGACTTCTATAAAATCATTCCTCACTTCTTTCGAGACTCGGTCTGGAACAATGTAATTCGCACTTACTCGACTTTTGTCCTTTCTTTACATACGTAGCGACCCGTCCTCTAAGAACCCGCTGCTGTCACCTTCAGCCCGGCTTTCGTCGTTACATATGAAGTGATAAGTTCTCAATCAAGTAGAGTGCTGTCCACCACGCAAAACACCGGACAAAAATTGCAACTCTACTCTATCCCATCCAATCAAGATGGCCACAAGCCTTTGCCCACAGTCACGAATTGTTGACCGCAGCTTAATCGCTAATTGCCCAGAGCGATCTCGTGACTGGCCTGCCAGGGTGAAAGCCTCGGGGCGCCGTTTGTAGCCCTTCAACTTTGGTATGCTACGAGCTTCGTGGCGTCCGGCAACGACGAGATACTTCCTCGGCTCAGAGATATCAGACTGACTTATAGCGTCTGAATAGTAGCTTGCGTAACTCCAAGAGGGCATCAAGCCAACTTTTTCTCGCGCTGGTTTCGGATTGTGGGACAAACATGGTTAGACATGCCCGTGCCCATGCCCACGAGGGTATTTTATATACACACCCCGATCCTTCAATGAACGCTTGCCGGTGTACTGATGGAACTGGGTAACCTCCTGGGTCCCCGATCCTCGCCCACTTCGGCTATGTTCGAAGTTGTCCAACGGGACAGGGGTGCGTGGTCGAAATATTACCGACGGAGCAATTCCCAGCTCGGGTTGTCTCCAAGAACGTTTGTGCGGCTTCCAAATTCCGAGCTGATCAATTATATCTCGTCACAGACTGTCGCATCGGAACTCGGATCGATGCCGAGAAACTTTTGAATCTGTGGCATTTCCGAAGGTCAATGGACTTTCTGCCCGCGCAGGGACCCTTTGATAAAGGCAAATATGCTATTGCAAAGTCATGACTCTGGCACGGCGCATTCCAACTTCGTGTTCGAACAATGCCCTCGAGCACTTGCATGACCCCTGATCATTAAGAATTTGCCGTCCTCGTGGAAAATTATGGATATTTCGCGTTGGTTGCAACCCAGTCAAACACGGGCCTTCCGTATTGGCGGACCAGCGATATCAGGCCGTAGAAAAGAAGAGTCAAGGACTGCTCATGCGGTCGGTCCGATCAAAGATGCCAGGTAGAAAAGAAGCATTGACCTGCTCAATTGGCTGTAGAATGACACGAAATATGGGCTGGCTGGGTTAGAGAAAGTGGCCATCGCTCGTAGGGCGAATCTGTTCATGTGCTAAGTCGGGGTCTGTCCTCAATTGACAATTGTAAGCCGTGGCCCTATATAAGGCGACAAGTCGTGGAATAAGCCGGCGCCGATGGGCATCGCCGCATGAACGTATGCGTCGGACAATTGTTGGCGCGCCAGCGCAACGGACTCTTGGACAAGTGACCACGAGCTCACTGGCTTGAATGCATTCTTCGGCGGTTTTACAAGCTTTGGCGCCCAGAACTACCAACGTTTCTGCCATTTTCGAGGAGCGATTCCAATGGACGGAGGAGCCGGAGGGCTGATTAATAATAGGCCTCGGGGATGGTAAAAGGTCTAGAAACATCCTAGTCGAGAGCGCTATTGGCCGCCCTTTGTCCTTGTCAAGAACCCCACCGTTACATTTCCTCCCAAGTATAAATCAGAAACGACATTATCCTCCATCCCGGAAGTCAGCAAACCGTAAACGGAGCTGTTCTGTGTCCATCTTGTCCCGGACGTGCTGTCAACACGCTCAAAATGAAGGTTGCGGTGGCGGGTAACGGGCAATCTTGCCCACTACCTCTTCGAGGAGCTCCGCAACTACGGCCACGAACTCGTCGTCCTGACGCGGAGCGCGAAGGCCGGGCGGGATTTCGAGCAGAGGGAAACTGACTACAGCGTCGCTTCCCTCGTTTCGGTTATCAAGGATTGCGACGCGTTGGTTTCGACGATCGCCGACTACGCCAATCCTCCCGTGGCAACTAAGATCCAGTTCGCTATGCTGGAAGCATGTCAGCAGTCGCCCCAATGCAAGACCTTCATCCCGTCGGAATGGACATGCGACGTGGAGCAATATCCTGAGCAACCATACTTCCTTGCCGAGTCTAATAAAATGCTACACGAGAAAAGCTCGAAGGCGCAAAGGATATAAGATCGACCATTATCTGCAACTCATGGTTCGCCGATTATGTCGTCCCTCGCTCTCAACGATACCTACGCGATATCGGCGTTTTCTGGCCTATGGATCACGCAAATAAGGTCTTTACCGTCTACGGTCCGGGGACCCAAGTACTCGATTTTACGGCGGTACGCGATGTTACTAAAGCCGTGGCGATTCTCCTGGATGGTAAAGAACCTTGGGAGCCCTATATCCCATTCTCAAGAGGCGGGATCCCGCCTGGACCAGCAAGAACCAGCCGCTGGCGAACTCGGTCAAGCTCGTACTCGATAACAAGTCCCCCGAGAGTGTCATGCAGGGGCATTTTGAACTGCTGACATACTCGGGCGCGTCAAAGTTCCCCAAGGACAAGGTCCAGGCGCATCGGATTAAGTATTTCCCGGGATTACACTTCCGATCGATCGAGGAGATTCTTGACATTGCAGGGGCACGACCAAATGAGATCATCTAGTCCAATCGTTTCTGCCTGCACAAGAGTCTGTCGATTTGGAGCGTTTTGAAACTCTTGTGGAGTTTTCATGTACAACTAGTAGCCGGTCTCCTGCAATCCCCGGTTTGAAAAATTCTTAAGCAAATGGGCCAACAAATTTTTGGCAGCATCGCCTATTGATGGATTTTTGTACTCGCCTTTGACCGCGAACCAGTTACCCAGCGTAAGGATAGTGAGGACTCCAGATGCCCCAGTTCATGCTGACAGGATAACAGGAGGAAGAGTGTCACTTCGGTCAGGGTCAACCAGGCCGATACTGGAAAGCTGATCATTGGCCCAGCTTTGAAGTGGAAGCGATATTCGACCAAAGAGCAGGCCAAAGACGCTGTTGAGGACGGTGTAGGGTCCGAAGACTAGAAGAGAAAGTAAAAGCTGAGAGTAGAGGGGACACAGTGACCGCAATAACGGGCATATTGATTGGTATGTCCGAGCCAAAAAACTAACGGCAAACGCCCAGAACAATCGGACCCGTTGAGTAGGGTGAGACTGACGGTGGTCAATGACCACCTGCATTCAACCAGCAAGTCGCAAACGGGATTCTTCTTTCTCGATCCGGGGCCTCTTCCTGCCATGTGAGCGTCGGGAACGGACATATGGTGAGCAGGCCTGGAAAGAAGCCAAGGAGGAAGACAAAGCCATCTGATGACCAGCGTCTCGTTGACGGCGTCCAAGAAAAACTTTGGGAGGCCTTTGCTGAATAAGTGGGAAGGGTGCAAGTTTGCAAGCTTGTGGATTTCTGCCAAGGATTCTGGCTTACGCTAAACTACATTCGTTTTACGGGAACATATAAGTAAAGCGGCCACCCCCAGCAGATAGTTTTAGTTAGTTCATATATTCTCTTCCCGCCGCTACAACCACAAGCTAACACACTCACGTGATGCATCTGAGATCTGCCCTCCGAGCGTACGGCACCGGATCGTGTCGCAGCTGTCATTTCCCGAAGCCATCACGCTATGCTTTATCTTTAGGGTCCATCGTGTCTCTGGATACGGGTATTCTGGATTTCCTGACCTAAATTCGCAGAGGAATCGCAAAACGACCGACAACAGGGCATTCCAGCTAGGGGTGCTTTATTCTGAGGAAACTGGAATTTGTCAGAGTTTTTCCCTTCAATCACATGGCCGCAATACTATTCAGAGATGCTTTTTTTTTTTTGATAGACCCGGCTGATCCACTGCTTTACAACACATTTCGGCGATCCAGCTTTAAGACGCGGAAATCTGTGGAAAGGGAGATATCAGTTACGATGCAGTCTTTGCTGATACAGGACCTTCGTACCAGAACCACATTCGACACCTTCCCTGCCTTTTTTTTGACAGCCGACACTGCCACATGGTTTACCGATTTCTTTCGCATCTGTTTACAGATAAACTCCCCACGAAGGACTACATTATTGCGGTCGGGGAATCACGTTGTTTATGTGCCGCCAGGCCTTGCGAATGACCTGGATGAAATGATGTACAGGGTGGTGTTGAGTGAGTCGAGGAGAGCTAAAAGCAAAGCCGGGGGGTGTGAAAGGGGCGAGCGACTTTTGATGTAAAGGGGAAAAAAGATTTAACGCGGTACAAAATTGCTGAAGCGGGCTAGCATCTGTCCTGATTCAGTCAGATTGGCCTCCTGCTTTATTAGCCCGTGCCATCCCTGCACCCTCGGGGTGTACCGGTGACAAGTTTCGGCAGGCACCTGGCCCTGACGCTGAAGCCCGAAAACGGGGGCTCTCTATGACTACCTTACAAACGAGACCCTTTTTCTTCGAATTGGCGATTTTGGGGGGGGGGGGTAACGGATTCCAGCGCCGAGACCATCTGGAATGTCGGGCTCCTATTCCCTCCGCAGATCCCACTTACCCCAGCTTTTTGCACTGTGGGGACGTCGCTTCCGCGTATCACCCTTTCAACAAACGCAGGTTGCTGACCTTTCACCGACCAGCCACAGGTCGTTCTAGAGACAAGGCCCAAAGGCCTTCAAATCTGCCCCGAGAACAGAAGGTGTTGGTGATGTTGACAGCCCAAACCGGAGCATTTGCCTATGAAATTCGTTCCGGCGGGTACAAAACCGGTGGTGCCTTCAGGGGTCCTTGGCCAATTTCACGGTAAGTTTGTCTCGCTAAAGGTTGTCGGAGGGAAGGGGAGGGTTTTCCCTTTAAACAACCTGCTCATGTTGGAAACTTTGATAAACTGTTGGAAGTTTTCAGCTGTAAACTTTTAGGTAAGATTTTTCTGTTTCAACCCTGCCATGGGACTCAGCAGCCTCCGTACCTTTTTTGCTTGGATATTCTCCTCTCCGCCATTGTGACGGCGATATCGAAAGCGTTTTGCGTGCTTACGGCGCTTGCCATGTTCTTTCCAGCAATGTCGAATGCAGTCCCATGTGCTGGCGTCGTAATCGGAATAGGGAGACCGCCCTGCACCGTCACACCTCCCTCAAAGGACAGCAGCTTCAGGGCGATCTGCCCTTGATCGTGATACATGGTTACAATTCCATCATATTTCTCGCGCTTAAGGAATATAGTATCGCAGGGAAAGGGACCGTCGACATCGATGCCCTTTTCTCGAGCAGCTAGAACCGCAGGGCGAATGTGGTCAATTTCTTGTCGTCCAAAGCTACCATTTTCGCCATTATGAGGATTCAACGCGCAGACTGCGAGGCGCGGGTGCTCAATACCAGACTCCCATCTGCAACAAAAATGTCAGTCAGTACCGATCAATTGGGATTGACAGTACGTACCTCAGCCGTTGAAGAAGTTCAATAGCCTTGAGTGTCATTACTTTTGTGATTCGCACCGCCACTTCCTCGAGCCCAATATGACTCGTTACCCGTGCAGTCCACAGTGGTCCAGCAACGTTGATCTCACTTGTGGTACCATTGAAGTCGAGTTGGTTGGCAAACCATCGGAGCTCGTCCTCCTCGGTCATACCGGCCTTTTTGAGAGAGCTCTTGTTGAGCGGAGCGAACACGATAGCATCAATTTCGCCTGCCAGTGCCATGTATAGAGCTCGTTTTAGCTGATGGATACATCGTGCTCCGCCCGCCTTCGAGACCTCAGCACGGGTGGTGGGAAACTGTGATGCGCTGTCGTCGTCCAATATTCTGATGCCTTGTGGTCCGGCAATATCTGACACAGGGACATGAATGTTGCCGGCATCAGCAATAGCGGATTGCAATTCTGATCGATCTGCAAGGAGGTAGATGTCGGCTTTCTTGAGATTTTGTGTATTACTCAGTAGTTTAGCAATAAGTTCTGGACCGACACCTGCTGGGTCACCCAGTGTCACAGCGATCCGTGGACGTCGATGTTGATGTTGATAGGCGGTAGTGACGACAGTCATCTTGAACGATGGTCTAAGGCTGAATGATGCACCTCTCCAAAGATTGAAGTGTGAAAGACAAAGCTCAGATTATCAGAATTTCAGTCCCCGGCTGATTCTCGTCAAAAACTTTGGGACATAGCATCTCGGCGAAAGTGCCGTTCTGATACGACCGACCATGCATGCCCATGAATCGTTTGCCGATGTGACATTTGTAGACTGATCTTGACTGCCATTAGACACCCGCGACTCGGCTCTCCGCCGAGTAGGCGAAAGCGCCGACTCTCTCGCCAAAAATCATATCAACTCCTAGACAAAGCACAATTGACTTAAGGCATACTCCGAAGTGAGGCTCGGTGCAATTGCCGACTCAGGGGGAGCAACTCATCTTTTGAAGAGCCCCGGGTTCAAAAGTGTACGATATCATGCCATGGATGCCCTTCCCCAGTAAATGCATCTCTTATAAACTTCTTCCATAACCTTCCTTCCGCGATGGTGCTCAACGACAACAAAGCTACTGATTTACAGGTGGAGAAGGTAACAACGACCGTCTCAGCGGGCTCTAATGATGATTTCGATGAATCGAAGAGGGACGACCTTAGCCAGGCCCGTCAGCTTGCTGCCCAATGGGTCGATGGCACAGATGTGGAGAAAAGACTCATTCGTAAGCTTGACTGGCGTATCGTCCCATGCTGCTGGACACTCTATCTCCTGGGTTACCTTGATCGGGCTAATATTGGGTAAGTTTGGCAACCCTTATCTCTCTCTCTCAGACTTCGCTGATGTTTGTGACCAGAAATGCAAAGACCGGTGGCCTTGAAGAAGACTTCAACCTCAGCTCCAGTCAATACTCGATCATCGTACTAGTCTTCTTCATCTCTTACCTCGTTTGCGAAGTTCCAGCCAACATGATCTTGACACGAGTCCGTCCGTCGGTATTCCTCCCTGGCCTCGGTCTAGTCTGGGGAACATTCGCGGCCCTCATGGGTGCGACACAGAACTGGAGCCAGTTGGTTGGTATGCGACTTCTTCTAGGAGTCGCGGAAGCTGGCTTCGCCCCAGGATGTGCTTTCTATCTCAGTTGCTGGTATCGCAGGTATGAATTGGCAACCCGATTCGCTCTCCTCTATACCTCTGTGCCACTGGCGGGTGCCGTCTCCGGTCTCCTCGCCGGACTCATCACAGACTACGTACGTTCTCCCCCAAACCCCCAACCAGCTTTAAGAGATAGCTGACTTTATGGGACTTGCAGATGGATGGGTCTGCTGGCCTTCCCGGTTGGAGATGGCTGTTTGTGAGTAATCCCGTCGCACTTTCTTTGTCACACGACTCACCGCTCCTTTCTAGATCCTTGAAGGCCTGGCATCTATTTCTGCTGCGACAATCGTGTTCTTTTTGATGCCTGACTATCCGTCCACCAGCAAGAGATTCTTAAATGAGGAAGAAACGCTCCTCGCATGTAGTAGACTTGCTGTGGATGGTATTGCCATGGCTCAGGGCGCCAGCACGCAGAAGATTCCGCACTGGACTGCATTCAAGATGACTGTCCGCGATTGGAGAGTGTGGGCTCAATGCCTGCTTTTTGTGCTGGTCACCGGATCCCAAACCATGCAATACTTCATCCCCACATTGGTGGGAAGCTTCGGGTGGACCGGACACATTGGTCAATGTGAGTTTGCCCAGGCCCTGGACAGAATCACCGGCGTACGGTTGGCTAATCGGCTTTTAGACCACACCATTCCCGCCTACATGGCCGCTCTGGTCTACGTCGTCGCATGCTGCTGGCTCGCCGATAGATTCAAGACGAAGTGGCCCTTCATCTGCGGCTTGTCTGGCGTTGGATGCGTTCTTTTCATCGCAGTCACCACCTCCACCAACAAAATGGTTCAGTACGTCCTTACCATTTTCGCTTTCGGCACCATCTACGGCTGCTCTCCCCTAGTGAAGACTTGGGTCTCCGATGTCATTCCCCAGCCAGCGGCGAAGAGGGCCATTGCGATTGCCTTGATCAACTCCATCGGCAATGCGTCGTCCATTTATTCGACTTGGCTCTGGCCCAAGAAGGATGCGCCGCGATATATCCCAGGATTTGCCACCACAACCACCTGGCTTGGTGTACTATGCTGTTTAACCGTGGTCTTTGCATGGCTGTTCAAGAAACATCCGATTGCCAAAGAAGACCATACAAAAGTCATGGCTGCCGAATTGAGGGCACATAGAAAAGCCGGAGAGCAGACTGCATAGGTTCAGCAGTGTTTCTTCGTGAAATGCTCAGTGCAGGTGCCCTTTACAACCTGATTGTCACGGAGGTCATCGTACTAGAAATACGTGTCGTCGGAATCAACTGCACCGGGTGTGCCTTCAGAGGCGCTGATGCCTCCAACCAAAAAACGAAGTCCGGCACAGCCAAATTAACATTAAGGGCTAAGCAGCATTCGCTTCCCCAATCCGTGGATCTACAACATCTCGACGGACTTTCAAGAGTTTCGCTAATAGCAACGTCGTTCGTGAAAGCATTATCTGGAATAAATACCCCTAGCCTATTCCCGGCAATATTGAAGTCCTCCCGGGACAGAAAATAATAGAACCAATGAAAATGCTATGTAGTGTGCTGGGGGTGTACGTGGAGATCGAAGGCTAAGTCAAGCTAGTCCCTCCCTGTACTTGCCAATACAGTGCCTCTTTTCTTTGCTCATCAACAGTTATTCTTCTGAGCACCTATCTTTGGGGACCCTTTTCACGTGTGGAGAAACCCAATGGTCCATTGCCCCATGGGGCTTTTAGAGTTCAATCAGGAATATCTCGGTGGAGAGACTCTTGGCAAAGAGTCTCAAACAGGAGAGTTGTCTAAGCACCAATTGGACCTAGTTGTGCTGGTGTTGCCCGCTCAGGAGGGTGGCAGAAGCGACAGAGGCGACAGCAAGGTCAAAAGGTAGCAGGGTTGTCTACAAGGGCGATAGGAAGGGCCTCAGAGACGACAAAGATAACTTTGACGCGCGACCATGCCAAAACCGAGCGCAACAAGATCTGGAAAGGCGAGCACAGAAGGCTCTGCCAAAGGGCATCTATGCAAGGGAGGCAAAAGTGGATGGAAAGGTACCTGAAAACCCCCCCATTTACTAGGGATTTGAGGTACTAGGCTCAATTGGTGCTTAGACCACTCTCTGTTGTTCGAAGTTCTCCACCGAGACGCTCCCGTTCAATCGGCACTTTGACCGATACTAATGAGAGCAAAACACCCACTGCCGTCGTTGTCAATTATCCGACCTGACTGCCCTCGTGAATTGAGGAATTCTCTCGCATTTGAGACCGAATTGGACGTTGAGATACTTCTTTATGACCGGCAATAAACGACCACGCTTAGAGGATCGCCGTGCATCGCTGGAGCACCAGAGTGATCCGGCCGCAAAACCACGGCTGACTCGAGCCTGTATGAAAATGGCTCATACAAACCGTCGCAAAGCTGACTTCTGCTCTTCATAGGCGCCGAATGCAAGAGGCAAAAGATAAAATGTGAAGTTCAACCAGGGCAAACCTCTTGCAACAAATGTCTCAGAAGTGGCATCGAATGTGTCGCTTACAATTTTGCGCAGAAGTTCGTGGACGAAGATGCGAGGTGGCCAATCCCTTTCCGGTGCTTTCATTCCATTCTGACCTTGCACTAGCTGGAAAGCACAAGCGACGTCGACCATCGAGCAGTTGAGATCGGCAGTGCAACGCTTGCTGCAGCACAACAATTTGCCGGAGCTTTCACGATTTGGCCCTGTGCTGTCACCTATTCGGCCGATATCGACGACGTCAAATGGCTCGAACAAAGTCTCGCCAGGTAATTTTCTTTCCGAAGGCCCGTCCGTGGCCATCAGCGAGGACGATTCAGAGTTGATCCCACTGCCGATGAATAATCTCTATACTTTGACGGAACCTCGGAATTCTCGCCTGATTCGCGTCGATCCGGCCGATGCCAATGGTCCAGACTTCATCAGTAGAGGGGTGGTGTCGACGGCGGAAGCCGAATACCTGTTTAGTCACTATCGAGATCATATCAATCCTCTTCTTTGGGACGGTGTGCTATGCCCCCACCGATCTTTGCATGACGCAAGGCGAGCTTCCACTCTGCTGGTCGCTACAGTGCTCACAGTTGCGGCTCTGCAGACCTCTGGAAGGGAGAAAATATTGCATGCCGTTCACGACGCCTTCGTTTCGCTGATGAGGGGTTCGTGTCTTCTGCGCAGTCAAAGCCTGGACGACATTCGGGGCTTGTGCATCGGCGCATTCTACCTGACAAGCCTCAGTTGGGCATTATGTAGTCGAGCTGTACGCGTCGCAACGGAGATGAACCTTCACAAATCATCACTACAACTTCGTGGAGGATCGCCCGAAGCATACGAGCGTGTGCGCTTGTGGTACGTGCTCTACGTCTGCGATCATCAGTTCGCGTTGGCATATGGTCGACCACCCATGATGCACGATGATGCCGCCATCAGGAATGTCGATAAATTCCTATCGAACGACTTATCAACAAACGGCGACCGAAAATTGATCGCGCAAGTCAACCTCTTCCGTATCTTGGCCGATGCGTATTTCATGTACGGATGTGACGCGGATCTGGAGCTCGAAGAAAAGGACTTTCAAAGACTTCGCTCGTTCAACGTCTCCATTGATCAGTGGCGTCTAGCATATCAATTGAGATCCTCGGACACGCCTCTCTATCGCACCTATCCATCCAAGGAAATCGTGCTGTACTATCACTTCGCCCGGTTCCAACTCAATTCAATGTCGCTTCGAGGCATCTCTGCACACAACGCCCCGGAGAAAGTGTCGTACGCTGATTTGAGTTTCGATCGTCGCGAAGCCGCTAATATTGCCATTGAGGCCGCCAGAGGCACCTTGAAGTTGATCGTTGAAGAGCCAGACCTCTGCATGGCTCTGGTTGGAATGCCGATATTCGCCCATGCCATGATCGCTGTATGTGCATCATTCTTGCTCAAGCTGGCAGTGGTTTTCGGCACGCCAGCAACGCGTCTGACACCGCTCGATCACAAGATTGTCGTCTCCCGAGACCTGACCAGGTTGGGGCTTACTTTTCATGCCGAGGACGCTCTCTCGCTGGTTCAGGATCTTACCCGGGTCCTTAGCGCCATGGCAGACAAAGCGAGTCATCGACACGTTGCAAGACACGTCGTCACTGGCTTGAAAGAAGTCCTGCAGAGATTTACGCGAGTGGATGGCGGTCCTAACTTTGTATATTCACGATCGGGCAACAATCAACCTATATCCACGACATACCATCCTTACCCAACGCTGTCGTACAGCAACTCTACTAATCCCGCAACACGACGAAATTCGTCTAGCAATCTTGACTTGGAAACTGGCGCTACCAGCAGCCAAGTTGAGAGGAGCACCAATTTCGACCCTGTTAGTCACAACCTCAACCAGGATCCCTTCGACCTCATGGGTGACCTTGACTGGCGCTTCAACGACAGCGTTCTCTGGGGATTAAATAATGATGAACCATATGCATTTTAACCAGAGATGATTTATGATAGGGTAGCAAGCGTTCCGACAGTGTTCCAGGGGACTACGCCTTCTTCACCAATGGGCACGACATGCACGGCACCCTTCCACATCTTCTTCTCCCTTCTCGACGCCTGCATCATGCGACAACCACTCGATCTCTCTGAGAGGTATTCTGACCACATTACGGTCAATATCAACGTCATCTAGCATGGCTGAAAGTTCCAGAATACAGTCGAGATGTTACAACATCAAATAAACTTTGAACTCAGTCCACGAAACTGGTCAGATAATATTATGGGATACATCACACAATATCCTTGTCTCATGCTCGTGAGATTCTTCTCACGCATTCGCGCCAGAGGCGAGGGAAAAACCCTGTCATGGCTTGTTGGGCCCCTCAACAAGAAGCCGAAGTCAAGAAGGGAAAAGAGGTGACCATAGAAGTTGAGGAATGCGATCGAAATCAAGGGGCTCTGATCACAGCTTTTTGTGATATCTTCAATCGTTGTCGGGGTTAAATGCAGGCAGCAAACCACATTACGTGGCAGGCTGCCATCGAGCAACTACAAAACCGCGGTCAGAGCCACACGCCCTCAAAGGGCCGCGGTCCACTTCCTTGTGCGAAAAAGGGAGTTGAGGATGAGTTAGACCAGCGACGCTCACCCGCTAGAACGGGAAGGGGGAATCACAATTCTAAGAATCTGGGAAGTAATTATTGGGTTATCATTGTCACAGAACGCACAGAGGAGGACACGCCCATACCTCTCTTTATGGAGACGACACATACCCCGGTCGACATCCCGGCTGTACAATATCAGAGCGAAGACGTGAGTTTCCACAGTGGAAGAGCCATGCGAGGCGGACAGTGCGTTATTATTGCCGCGTTTACTCGAGGTCTGTGAGACGCGATGACCATATCCCCAGGTTTCTAGGCTCTCCCCAACTGATCCGCACGAAAATCCTGACCTCTGTAGATGGACATGACGATGCCATCTCAACCCGAGGAGAATTAACAAAGTGCGTACATTTTTAGAGCACCGTCCGAGATCTAGGTCGTAATGACCGGGCTTGAAGTGGTATCCTTGAAAGCACTAGAGAACCTGTACGTATTGGTCCATTCGATCTTCTGGATCACCATCGCCGGAGGGGGGCAGCTATTGGAATCGCCCTGGCTCCCGTGTCTCAGGATCCATACATAGGTTTGGACGTATGCTGGTATAGCTTGCGGTGTGTCCAGGGCGGGAGTTATGTTTCTCATTTGCTTCTGGAACTTGGTCAAAAGTGAAGTCCCAGCGGTGCTTCTGCTGCAAGGTCGGCTAGTGGAAGCTGTGATGCTTTGTATCAAAAGGTGCAGAGACGGGCGGTAACCATGATGTGAGGACCATTACGATCCCTTCCCTCCGTTTCTCTGGAGCACGTCTCTGCAAATGATCTCAGAACTTTCTTCGAACGTTGGTTCAACTTATTCTTCACGAATGCCCACTCTTTCTCGGGTCCAGGTAATGTATCTAATTTCTTGACTCTGTAGAATGGGAATATCTAAACGAGTGAGCTGCAGACGAGACCCCAGATCCGCTCATGCGTTCGAAACGTGAGATGCTACATGTAGAAGCTCAACATGGGCGTATATTGACCATTTTCCATCAAGAGTCCGAAGTTTTCTCCGAGCCACACACTGCACTAGAAGAGAATGTCGACCACAAGGACCAGCGGAGGTCCTTTTTTCCCAAAATCCCAGGGGGAAAAATATCCATCTCCTATCGTTGCTCACGGGTCTTGGGAGGGTTCGGGTCGAAGCTTATCTGCGCCTACCTAACAATATTGTCGTGGCTGCCGTCAGGGATGCAACAAATCAACTAGGGCATCTTCGGCTTTCTCGATTATAGTCAACATTGATAGTTCTTTAGAGACGGACGCTGCTCGAGCGATAGAAGAGCTCTGTTGAACAGGAGCCAGGGCCCCGTTATAGGAAAAGGGGTTACCATTCCTATTCAGGATATGGGGTAGGAATAGGAGTGGCAATCTGGCAGGACCAGCTGCCAAACACTCAACAACAATCAATGTAGACCCACTGATCGTTTGACATAAGCCGACCTGGGTCTCTACCTGTGGGTTGGGCTAGCAGTTGGCAGAAGGTGCGGCACTGGAATCTGTCTCCGCAATCTGTCTCTGCGGTATTGGAAGCTTGTTTGGTTGGGGTTACACTCCTGGGAGATTTCGCGTGGTTTGGAGCGAAAGATCACAGATTTCTGTCGGTTTTTGCACGCTTCAGCCAATTATTTACCGGTGGAAGAAGAAAAGAAGTTTAGCTAGACAGGGCCGAGCGTGCTCTGGGGGAATTGCATATGTTTGGCTCTTTGAGCTATCCGATCCTGGGATCTGCTTTGTTATCCGAGGGTCCTGAACTCCATACTACGATTCCCCTGGTTTCCTCCTTTGCCCCCGTGGGTTCCATCGCGTCCTCTCTTTGGTGGCTATTGCCGATCAGTCGAGGAGTAATAAATTTTTGATGGTTACCAGTTTCGGATGGTGCAGCACTGCGCATCTGTAGGAGGGCTCAAGGGGGCTCCTAGCATGCCCTCGTCCACAGCTTAAGAATCAGATCCATGAAAGCTATGGAAACCTCTGGGCTGAGGCTGCAGTTATTGGCCCGGACCTACAGAGCACGGGGCGGGCGGGGTACCGGTTCAGTGTCAACTAGCATGACATCATAGTCAGAGTGTCGGTTATTGCACAGGCAACAATTCGCCTCAATCAGTGAGGCATGTTTGGCGCCATCTCGAGATATGAAATACGAAAGCCAAAAGAGACGCATGGACGGAAGTGGGTATTTAGAGGAATAAGTGACGGAGATCTCCCATTGATAGTCAGGCTGATGGGCCGTATCGGCGAGGTCGGATCATGTCTTTGACCGAGGCACAGCAGAGCCCCCTATTCATTATCATCTTTCCAATCGTGCTCTCTCTCTCTCTCTCTAGATTCACGACCTTCCGAAACATGAGTTGCTCGTCAATGACAATAACCTTCTCTGTCATGGCTAGGTCACAACGGTGGCGGCAATTACCAATGACGACGAACCTTCTTGCCAGCATAATTTAAGGTCCTCTGGCCAAAACTGGTATGGTTAACGGTGTCCTTTAAAGTTTTCGATTCCTAGTGTTGAGCCCACGCCGTGCCGAGCAAGACGTGACATGCGCAGCAGTATCTCTTTTTGGCTCCGTTGATGTCTACTTCTTGAAGGAGAAGAAGGGATGGCCCAGCTATGCTTTCATCCGGAGTCGATTTCGCCCCAGCGGATTGCCCACACACTTTCAGTTTATATAGCAGCCTAGCGTGAGAATACTCCTCCTGTCACCTAGAGTAGCTATCCCGGACCTGATTCCGGTGGACAGCATATTGATGGTGATTACTATACGAATCTCTCCAAACTCTATTACTGGGGTTGATCTCGGCAAGCAGTTCTGAGAATTCCGACTGGACCACCAGCGAAAGCTGGCGGGCTCACATATTTCCGCTGTGCCTTGGCATAAGCCCCGAAGAGAGCTTCAGTGAGGGCAAATTGTTTCGTTATCGAGTCTTTGGGCATATGCGGGCGGAGTCAGTGTGATCTAGTCTCGTGCCTGTCATCTATGATCAAAGATGACCACGCCTCATCACCCTCTTGCAATCACAGTATTTTCTCCTCCCAAAGTGCCTGAGCGGTTATTGCGGATCCCTCCATGATGGGATACTATCCTAGAAAGTGCTGAGGACTGAATGCAATTCGTTACTTGGACCTGGGAGCCTAAAGAAAAGCTTGTCACCTCCGAGGAAGAAACTTGACCGCATAAGACTTACACACGCCCCTCCAGGACTCGCGCGGACTTTCGACATCAAAAACAGAGCTTCGGGAAACCACCACACAGGTAATGGGGTAGACCAGTACAAGCAACTGGGTGCCATTGAGCAATGGCTCTAGAACGGCAACGGAAAGCAGATACTGGGAGGCAATCACGCCACGGTCCGCATTACTAGTTGTTTCATTCGTCTCGGCGTGGATATTGGCTTAGCACGAATCCTTCCTAGGCATGCTAATCGAGAAGGGTAGTGAACATGCCCCAAGTATGAAATTGCAGACATGACCTGTTCATCGTTGAGCAAAGCCCCTTTTCCACGAAAGAATGCGGCGGTAAACGTGCCAAACATGAGGCAGAAGAACTATCCGCGTTACCGAACAACTAGAAAGAAGGCCGCATGTACGTGGTGTAACATACACGCCATCAGCGTGCGTTTGGCCCCACACTCGTTCCTAGCTCGTGGCTCCTGTGCTGGCTGTCTTACCTTGAGCACATTGCATCCTAGAGACCTCGTTATCTGGAGGTCATTAGGTTTGCGCAATTTTCCCAACCGATCAGAACACATGGTCTGTACGGCATCACAACGTAATGCCAACGTCTCTGGAGTGAGCAAAATGACGATCCTTGTCCAGGAGGAAAGGCCTTTCCCGTTAAGTTCAATACATATCTAGTACCTGTTACTAGTACTTCTATCTTTACTCGAACACCCATGACTCGGCTGGATGCTTGTCATTGCTTTAGATGGCGCAGGTGTAGAGTAAGAGTTCGGTCCAATACAGCATGATTCCCGTAGTAGTGCTATTCATACAGGCATGTTCATCCACTCCAAAAATCAACACGGCTGTGATTCTGGCCAAGACGACAAGAAGTGTGCCTGTAAAACGGCCCCATGAAAGTTTGGTATCGTACTCGTGTTCCTCACCAGCCCCGACATCGGAAGAGCTCTAAGGCTTTGGTATATTATTATCTTATCTGATCCCCAAGGGCTCGAATACTGAAACGAAGATTGATTCTCGTACAGCGCAACACTATGACTTCATCTAGTATTGACGTCGCCGTCATTGGCTTAGGTACGTGTGCTGTTCTCCCCGTTGCCTCGAAATTGTCCAGTTCTTACCTCGTGACAGGAGCTTTGGGGCTTGTCGCGCTTAAGAATTTGAGGGAGGAGGGATTCAATGCGACCGGATTTGAAAGGAATACATATGTGGGCGGTCTGTGGCAGTTTACAGAGGCCAAGCAAACATCTGTCCTGGAGTGTCAGCAACCCCCTTTCCTTCTTGGGACCGTCGATGTCATGCGCTCACACTCGTTGAAGCTACCATTGTGAACATCTCGAAAGAGAGGGTAAGTTCTTAAGGCGCATGGCGCCGATAGGATCCTACTGAACGACAACCAGGGCTGCTTCACAGACTTTCCTTTTCCAAAAGGCAAGCATTGTTGCGGTCGATCACTTGTTCAATCCTCCCTGTTGGACTAACCTCCTCCTAGAAACAAACTCCTATGCCTCTGCGGCCGACGTCCAGAAGTACCTCGCCGATTACATGGCTCATTTTCAACTTCAGCCTCACGTGCAACTAGGTGTGAACGTGTTGAGTGTGACCAGAGACGAACAAAATCACAAATGGGTCCTGAACGTTACACGCAACCACAACGACAGCAATCTTCTCACGTTCGACAAAGTTATTGTCGCCACTGGCACCAATCATACGCCGGTAGTACCAACTCTGAAAGGCCAAGAGTTGTTCCATGGGCAAATTTTACATTCTCGCGACTTCAAAAGGTTAGGTTTTTTTTGGGACGTACAGTTATGGGGCAATGAATTGATTCAGATTCACTAGGCCGTCAGATTACAAGGACAAGAGAGTGATGGTCGTGAGCATAGGCAATTCGGCGGCGGACACGTCCACATCACTGGTAGGGATTGCCAAAAAAATTTTCCTGTCTCACCGGCATGGCGCGTACATCGTATGTCCTGAAAACGGAGCCCGAAATTGATCATCAGAACTCATCATATCTGTCTTAGTTACCCAGGTCGCAGCTCAACGGGCAGCCGTTCGATCACGGTATCACGTACCGGAAAACGATGATGTCACTCGCGATGCAGAGATACGCCCCGCGACTATTCGAAATCATGAGCAACAAGATGCTCCAGAACCTCCAGAACGCGTCGTTCAAACTAAAGCCCGAATGGGCCATCAATCCTGCACCATCTCTCGTTCATAACGTGCCGACCGTGACAGATACTCTGATACCAGCTTTGGAGAAGGATGAGATCGAGTCTGTTGAGATGGCGAAAGAAATTACTGGCAATGGCACGGTGGAATTAGCAGATGGGAAGGTCGTCGAGGTCGACACCATCATATGGTGCACTGGTTATCACGTTGACTACAGCGTCGTTGGTGAGTTTGATCCAATACTCGATACAAGGCACACAGATGTGTCAGATGGAGCTTTCGAGAGAGTGCCTCCACCAACGACTCCGGCGGCCCAACCAAAGAAGTTCGACCCACCGGTCCCGAGACTCTACCAAAATCTACTCTCCCTCACCCACCCTGATTCGCTGGCGTTCCTGGGCACAGCGGCGATTCCGTCGGCGGCATTCCAAATATACGACCTCGCAACCATGGCTATTGCGCAATTGTGGAAGCCAGACCCTTCTTCGCCGTCGCTTCCATCGCGTCCCGAAATGATCACGTGGGTTCGCGACCACCTCGCCTGGGCGAACGCCATCTTGGCTCGAGGGTCCTTCAACACTCGCATGGTCCGGGCGCCGGACTGGAACGATTGGCTCAATGAGACATCAGGTTCCAGAGTGAATGAGTATTTGGGTTACGGGCTTCAGGGGTGGGCGTTCTGGCTACAGGACAGAAAGTTTTGCAACTTGCTTATGGATGGGATTTACAGTCCACATGTCTACCGATTGTTTGACAGCTACGGCAGACGGAAAGCATGGGCTGGTGCTAGGGAGGCAATCATCAGCGTCAACGAAGAAGCCGAACGAACCCTGAAAGAGCTCCTGCAACGCAAAAAGAACGAGCTTCGATGAAGAAAACGGTGGGTGTGGAAAATGGACCAGTGCCAGCGTTGCCGAGAGTGAGATAAACAGATATTATCGCCTGCCAGTGTTCTGGGAATGCCTGGAATGCCATATTATGTAGGATGAAAGTGTTTTCGCCGTATACGTCGCAGTTGGGAGCTTTTGGAGTCGGAGGAGCTGTTACCAGTCCTGCATGGACCATGCTAAGTTGATGTCTTTTAAGGTTTTGACTGGCCGTGCAGTTTATTGATCGCCCACGAGTTATCTTGCCCAGCATTGAATGCACCGCACCTCACCAACAGAGAAAGGAATCCAGGACGGCATGCATGATAACGATCGTCCTCGAATCTAGATGAAGCGGTGATGGCATTCGTACGATACGACCACTTTGCTCTGTGACAGTGGCAAAGCTCGCTATTGTGCATTTCCACAAGGCCCTTTGAGGATACGGAGGAGACAATCCGCTCCCATCACATCCAGTCTAAGCCTCTCACTATGCATAATCTAGAAGCAAGAGTGTAAATTCTGATTGGTCAATCAGTAACAGATACCCTCGAACTTTTAATATCGCCATCCTCCAGGACTCGACAACGATAAAGTCTTGCAGCACTGCTTTTGCAATAAGCCTCGGATTGAACCGACAGGGTCCTGTCAGACGGTCCCAGCCATCAGTCACCCATTGTTGTCGATACTCTTAACACATTTGATACACGAAACGAGGACCACGTGAAGTTTCAGTATAACTTCTTCATTCACAAGGACAATCGGCCACGATATTGTCTTACCATGCCCGCGGTCGCAGTGCCCAACGGCCATTCTGCTGCTACTGGTAGGGCAATTGATCCTCCTCTGTTTGATATTTCCCAAGAATCCCCGGAGCTAGGGCGAGGGATCGTTGACGCTGCCGCGAAATGGGGATTTTTATGGATAGAAGCGTCTCCAGCGTCCACCGAGGCTATGTCGGCACGGGCAAATGGCTCCAGCCTATTCCGGCGACGTTCCAGAAGGAGGATGGTGCCCTGCGTGATTTTCTCGTTAGATGCCGAAGCATGTCAATGCCCCTGTTTCGGCTTCTCGCGCTCGGTCTCTCCATCCGCGACGTCGACTAGATAGCCCGAACCCTCGCAAAGCGCCGAACACATTGCGGTTTTTGTACTATCCCACACTCCTACCGGACACGGACTACGTTCCCGAAGTGGACATTCGAGCAGGCGCACATTCCGACTACGGAAGCATTGCCCTGCTTTTCACAAGACCGGACCAGCCCGGCCTGGAAATCTTGGGACCCGACCGATCTTGGGCGAGCGTGCCGGTATTTCCGCCGGACTACCACTCCAAGACGTTCCCGCCGGTGGTCGTGAATATTGGTGACTTGTTGAGCTACTGGACCAATGGGCTGCTGAAATCGACCATTCATCGTGTGGTCTCGACCTCCACTGGCACGAATGATCATCCCGCTTCTGAAAGCGGCGTGGCTCTGGCCAGCAGTGCTCCACACCTTGGCAATGCGAAAGATGCCAATGGTCTAGGTGCGGATCGATTCTCGATCGCAGTCTTCGTTCAACCTCACGAGGATACGGAGTTGGTTCCTATGCCATCGCCACTTGTGGAGAAGAGAGCGGGAAATATGAAAGCAAAGAAGGTAGGCCACGGTGGTGGTATTCTCGATGCCGAGTGTATGAGGACTTTGACAGCGGGTGACTATTTGAGCAGGAGATTACAGGCCACATATGGCAATGTTTACGAAAGGGAGAAAAGGGCCGCAAAGAAGGTGCTGAGAGGGGTATGGGCATGCAGGACTGCAAAGGGAAAACAGAGATCTAGGATGAAATGATTACTCCCCTTAGGAAAGACGAAAATTAATGACCGTGTCCCGGAATGCTGGGTTGAAGTAAAATCTTGATTGTGGGCCAAAATACGAGTACTATCAGCGACCCATATGTCTAGTCTGATGGCCCGATGAAAAAATCCATTTGCAAATCCTTTTGACTACGTGGCCGAGGGCCAGGAACGAAAATCAATCAAAACAACGAACGCTCAGGAATTTTCCCACGCTATGGCGAATTAATGCTCATCCCCCAGATACAGTCGAGCTAGAGCGAGACAGAAGCCAACGACTTTATGTAGTATACAGATGAGTTAATGATTGAGTATATTTGGCAGGAAAATGCTGGCAAGTGAGGGTTGGGATGTAGGAGTCGATATCTTGATGGGTCTTGAGCAGCCAGGGCAACCACAAAGAAGGTATTGGGTTAGCAAGGAAGGAATCAAATGGAAATGGAAAAACTTGTTGGGTTGTCGAAGACGTTTCCTGGATGGTGGCAGGGATTTCTCCGAGAATCTCGAGGAAACTTTGATGAAGGTGAAAGAGCAGGTGGAACTTGATGTGTCTGGCTTGTTAACGAGCGATGAAGAATAGAGAGAGAGAAAGAATGCCTCTGATGAGGACGACTACTTATAATGTCTTATGATAGGGTCTTCCTTTTTATACTAGCACTCTTCACCTAGCAGCCTCATTGAATCCGAGTCGTACCGCTGGAAAGACAATGCAACGGTCCTCGCACCAAGTGTGAACACACAGCTCAATCGCTCTTGAAGTAATTAACAGCCAACACGGAATCGAGTCCAGCTTTCTTCTCCCATTCATCCAAACTGCACCTCATTCGATTCCAATTCGACAGCTTCTTGCCGCCTGGAGGAGCGTATTTCTTCCCGTCGAACTGAGAGGGCTGCTCGTAAAGAAAGAATATGTATCGATGTGGTGCACTACCCGGTGGTGGACCGGGACTAATGTAATTGGCGACAAAGGGCTCAGCGGACTTGAGAAATAGCGAGTTTTTGTCGACTTTGAAGTCCGGTTGAATCCAGTGGAGGATCGGACCTAGGACGTCCAAGGAAGGAAATGGTGCGTCGATGTCGAGGCCGACAACCATGTAGGTTTTCGAGCTGTCAAGACTTAGATTCAAGCTCTTGAACGAGAGTTCTGGGGGAGGTTGAGCGTCTGCAGATAAAGGTTCATTTAGTTTGTGTCAATTCAACGTCTGGCCTTTTTCTGAAAGTCCCCATGCCTTCCTTAGTGGGTGGCTTGAACTGAGATGTTGACTGACTGACCGACCTCGGGGATGTAGTCTCCTGGTTGTGGATTGTGTTTGCCAATGCCAATCGTTAAGCCTAGGATTTTCGAAGGATCGTTTTTGATCAGTATTAAGTTTTGCTGGATGCTCCGATTAACGGGCATGATCTGAAGTATCCTGGATGCTGATTTCAGAGAAGCGCTGTCATTCCAGGATGGAGGTCCTAGAGAGTTAAGATTTGAGGCAAAGAATGTCAAGCACCGCAGTCTTAAAGCTCGGATTTAAGAAGATTCCCGACATCAGGATACCAGATTTCCGGAAATAGTTCGACTTCTATAGATCACTCAATATGATTTTCAAACCGGTGCGAAAGCTGGAGATATGTTTGGTGACCGAACTAATCTCTGATGAAAGTTCTTTTCATTTTTTCAAGAGACCCACTAGCTGTATCTCAAGTCCATGTTGATATGGAATTGGAACCACAATTTCGAGGTGCAAGAAGCCCTTGATAAAGCATGTCGGCAGAATAACTCACCAACAGGACTCGGAATCATTTGAAAAGCACAAAGACCGACAGTTCAAATACCTAGGGTCGGGCGGATAAATTTCTCCGGTCCGGATTTCGTATATGGCTGGAGTTGAGTTGATCACGCCACGGTGTCTCGCTTCGTATGCAACTAGTCGAAGGCCCCGTCAAGGTCGAAGCAAAGATCGAGTATTTCCCCAAAACCTCAACGATTGGTCATAGCAGTGGTAGGGTGCGGCATCTCGATGAGGAAATGCGATTCTCGTCTGAATTCAACTTTTTCCACTTGAGGAGGATTGCTGGCGGACATGAGGTGGAGCATTGATAAATCCATATTGAGGTCCGCGAGTGTGCACCGGTAGTTCGGGAGACATTTGCTCGGGTCGCTTAACATCTTTGGAAATGTCCTTCAAAGGTGGTCTCGGGGGTATGGTAGGATCATTTTCTAGTGCTTCCCGAAAGTGTTGCTTGAGTTTTTGGTGGGCTTTGCGTTCATTGTCCAGCAATCTTTCCAGTTCTGACATCCTCTCCTGTGCAAGTTCTTGTTCGCGTCTTGTTTCAAAGAACCACCGCTGAAATTTTCGCTCTGATGATGCTCGTAGTCTTTGAAGCTCGACCACTGCATGGAAGAGGTTCGCTCCGGCAGCGGATAGGTCTGTAATCTGTCGAGCCATTTGCTGATAAGAGGGATAATATGGTGTCTTGTCGGTATCAACAGTGTTGGTATTCTCTTGGAGCTTTCTTAACCAGTATGAAGTGAGGCCTTCCCAGTGGGCCGAGAGGGTTTCCCACCGTTCAAAAGCATGAGGGAATGTCGAATTTCCAGAAGCTTTTGCCGGCTGGGGGGAAGGGGGAACTTGATCTGTTGGCTGAGGCGAGATGGATGTTGGGGGGGTCGCTCGGGGTTCTGTGGGCGATGCTGGCTTTGAGAAGTTTTGTGTCTTTCCATTTCGTGCCTCGAAGGCCTCGGCGATTCGAATAGGGGTTGCATTACGAATGTCGGGGCGTTCATTCCGGCCTTGACCTGGTACCGGCGTCACCAGAGGAGATGCAGAGTGCGCACTCGGAGGAGTAGGAGGAGTCGAGGTGCTCTTTTGCTGGGATGACTTGTCCCGGCCGAGCTCTCCGTCACTGTCACTTTCCAACAAGTCTTGATCGGACTCAGAGTCTGTCGGTTCTTCCGTGCAGCATTGTCCGAACAATTCGCTCTTTTGCGCGGCCAATATACCTTCGTACAGCTCTGCCGCTGACGGTCTGTTGACAAGGTCGACTTCCAACATGCGAGGGATCCATTCAAACAGTTCGCCTTCCGGGCGAGGATTGTGCCAGCCTTGAAGCAGCTGACACCAGCCAAGAGCAGCATCGAGATTTGCATGAATGTAATGCGTCATTTTTCCATGACTCTTGAGGTACGTTTCGAACTCCTCCAAGGTCTTGTTGTATAATACGGTCATCAACTCGAGATATACGATTCCCAGCGACCAAATATCCGAGGCACGGTGAAAACTCCCCTCGAGCACTTCCGGACTGGCATATCGAACCGTTCGTGCATCCTGTCGATTCGCCTCTGTCATGCTCTGGTTTGATTCGGAGAAGTCGTATGAAGTCCCAAAGTCGGTGAGGATGAGTTTTTCATCCTTGACCAAGAAATTGTCCAACTTGATGTCTTTGTGCAGTATCTTTTCTTTATCGTGTAACATGAACATGACTTTCGCCATGCATCCGAAATATGAACATATTGTGGCGCGAAATCGGACGGACTTCGTATCACTCAAGAGTAAGAATGCCTTGAGTGAACAATCGGCCACAGGTTCAAGTAAAAGAACGAAGAATTTCCTGTCGGTATAGGTACCACGAATGCAGATGAGGTGCTCGTGGTTTTGCATTTTCGTCAAGGCTCGGAGCTCCTTTTCAAAACGTCGTTGGGCGTCTCGAGGAAATCGCTTGCGTGCGATTCTCTTTCGAGCATAAACTTTACCGGTCATCTTGCTGGTGACCTTATCGACCACGGTGTTCCTGTTGGACAAGATGCCTTGCTTAGCTGGATCGCCCACGGCATGATGCTGGGGCACTCACATGTCGCTGCCTTTCCCGAGCTTCGATTTACCTAGCTCAAACAGTACGTCGCCGTCCGCTAATCTGCAGTGATCTCCGTGCTCTAACCCCAAAATCTTACTCTGGCACACACTTTGCCATTCGATAAACTCTTGAGCCTCGAAGAAAGTCAGAAGCGGTAGGGCAGATCGATTCGAGTATGGGATGCACGTGTCGTTCAGCCCATGACCAATGAACATATCCATCAAGTTGAGTTTGTTTATCTGGAATAATATAAAATAAGTCCTTGGTCGACGGGTCCAGTCCGGGGAAAATCCCATCTTCCTCATCTGGTTGGAGATTTGTTGGAATACCGCGTCATCCAACGGCGAATTGTCGACTCTCCAACCGGGATGTTGGCACAACTCGGCGAGCATGTCATGTCGCTGCTGATCATCAGTCACAACCTCGAGAGAAGACTCCATCTTTGTGATGGCCATGCTTTTCCGGATGATTTCTTGAAGCAGAAGGGAACCATCATCCTCGAGCTGGCGAAAATGAGAGCAGATGAGGCTGGAATTGACGCTTGTCCAGCACAGCCATTGTGTCGCCAAGAGGAGTTAAATTGGCACCCAGTTCACCCTCCTTTGGGGAGAGGATGGTGCTGCCCTTATGCTCACGTTCGGCTCGCCTGAGCCGGGTGAGCGGCACCCGGGACTCACCCGTCACAGGGGCCGAATTCCTCGCGCCGGCGGATAGTGGGATGCCGACGGTCCCCACTGAATCCAGAAGGTTGAACCTTTTTTCATTCTATCACCCACTGGGATGTCTGATACTACATAACGCCGTTGTTACTAGCTCATGCCGCCCATATCACCCGCACTAGTCCATACAACCCGTACCAGCTAACGCCATCCATGCCACCTCCCTGCCTTGTGCCTTTACCAGATTCTGGCCGCCAAAGTTGAAAGCTCTTGCGCAGTAAATATGATGTCATTTTCTGGCGGTACAGGTGGGCGGAGAAATATTTTCGCAAATTCCAGAGTCAATGGCGCTCCAGTGACAGTGTTCGGGTCAATAGCAATCACCTGTATTTGCGTTGGAACCTGCGGTGAAGGTTGAGGGTTGTTGAGGGTAGAGAACGCTCTAGTGTTTAGCCGCGTTCCAGCTACTACTGAAGCGAGCTCCCACTTTTCGATATGTAGTATTGATTGCGCCGGCTTTATCGAGATGACAATGACAGTCTTCACGTCACCCCGGGACCCCGTAAGCCACCATTTTGCATCTAATCTAAGACGACGCAGCGATTCGGATAGTCCAGCCTCGAAAACGATCGTTGGCCAGTCGGCTTCATTTGGTCGGAAGGAGTAAGGTTTAAAAGCTGAGTCGGCCTCTTTAGAGGAGCGACGACCATGAATCCGAGTTGCACCAACAGGCCAAAACTCGTCATCAATTCCCATTAGGGCGAGTTTCCGGTTCACTTTACCAGTTAATGATAAGTGTGCCGCTTCGTGCTTCGCAGTAGGGAATTTAACTATTAACAGATTTTCATCCGTGTAATGAGTCATCCGAGTATGAATACTCATTTTTTCAAGTGTACGGTCTATCTTAGTAAGGTCGTCTGTGCTGACATGCGTAAACACAAGATATTGTTGAGTTGAGTCCCCCTTTTGTAACTCATCGCATTGCGACTGAACGATTTTTCGTAAATTCAGAATTGTTTTGAATGGCAACGGACGAATATCCTCTAGTCCTGCCGTGGGTGAGATGTCTTCCGATCCCTTCACGAGTGAGGTCTCTTCGGGCGATGTGGGGATAGTCGTATTACTGGCAGATGATGATTTCGACATCGGGATGGAAGTATAGCCATGATCGCTTAAACCTCTAAAACTGGTAGCCACTGTTGTCGTCGACTTCCCAGGTATAGAGAGGTACAGCGGTACGAGGAAGCGAGGTGTAGAGACTGGAAGTTGTAGGATAGAAGCCGCAGTGGAATAGGTCAGAACATGGCTGCGTGTGGGGTGGCGCCCACGTGACCTGGCTGACAATTTACCTCATCTTGGCCTCGACACGGACTGAGGGGGGGGTTTGCCTTGCGACAAGCACGTTCGGCGCGCATGGAAGCGAGGGCACAAACCCCAAGTCGAGGAGCTCATGGCTGAGGCCCTGAGTGCGGCGAGCGGTGTCGCTGGACTCATCTCATTGTCGGTACAATTGTTTGATGGATGCGTGAAAGGCTTCGTCTTGTTGTCAGCCGCGCAGGGCCTTGGCAGTCGTGCCGAAGTGTTCAACTGCCAGCTCGAATGGGAACATTACCACCTCCATCGCTGGGCCTCTGTCGTCGGTCTCTTCAAAGAGCCGCCGGAGTTGAACGTCCCAAACCTACCTCTGGCGGAACGGACCCTTCGAACCCTCGAACAGATCCTGACGAATGCCGAGCAGTTACGTACTCACTATGACCTCACGATCGATGTGACAGATGAAGAGCTCAAGAGCATACAAAGTCCCAAACGCTTGTTCGGAGGAATTTTGAACTCGGCTGCCCATACCTTTGTCAGCGATACAGCTAAGGTCTACCAGCGGCGGGTATCATCATGGAAAAAGCTGAAGTGGGCCGCCGTCGACCAGCAAAAGCTGGCCAGCTTGATACAAGACATCCACTTCTTCAATGAACAGCTGCGCAGCACTCTCCATCGGGTCGAAGAGAGCCAGTACCGAGGGGCTAGCAGCGACACATTACGATCAATCATCACCCAGACCAATGACGAAAAGCTGTTGCAAGTGGTGGCGAACAAGTTGAGCTCGTTTGATGCTGCCGTCCAGGCTTCAGCCCGACTCAAACAACGCGGATTATTATTGGAGGTGTGGCAGGAGCAAGACCAGAACGATGATGGTGACACTAGTACCCTGGTCGCCCGAACAGATGGGATTATGCCCCGATCTTCGCCGACGTCCTCCAACCAGACTATGAAGAGAAAGGTCTTGCCAGTGAAACGGGCTCCTCGCTCTAGCTGTTTGCTTGATTTCAAGCTTTTACGGAGGACCGAAGACAAAACCAATATCGGTGTCATCCGTGAGATGGCAATATTTGACCAAGCTCAAGTCATCCTCGAATGGAAGGGCCTGCCTGAGCACCTCGAAAAGCGACTGAAGCACCGCGTTGAAGCTGTCGCCGATTTCCTCTCTGGAGTGAACGATCCCACATTCCACTCGCTGACTTGTCTGGGATATGTGAAGGAACCCAAGACGTCGAATTATGCTTACGTTTTCCAACCTCCCTTAAAGGAGTCGTTCTCCACGAAGACTCTAGCAGATCTGCTTCAGGGCGATATCGTGTTACCCAGCATCAATCAGCGCCTCACACTGGCTGCGACCCTCTTTGAGACAGTTCTTCAATTCCACACGGCTGGCTGGCTCCACAAATCTATCCGTTCAGACAATATTTTGTTCTTCCAGCCAGCTGATCGACCTTGGACGGGAACGCACTCTCTCCCTGATGCGTACCTTGGAGGTTACGACTTCGCCAGGAGCGATAACATCCTCGAGACAACCGAGCCTCCTGTCGGTCATGAACCGGCGCGATTATATCGACATCCCCTCTCATTGACTCGTGAGCGTATGGCTTACTGTAAAGCCTTCGATCTTTACAGCCTAGGATGTGTTCTTCTTGAAGTCGGGTTGTGGCGTCCGATGTTGGTAATGCTGGCCGATTGGACGCAGCAGAAACCATCAGGTAAAAATGATTATTGTCTTCCGCCTCGCTCGGTGATCGTGGACCCTAGCACCGTCTCCAACTGGCACTTGATCTTGGAAGAGAAAGAATCCTTCCTCACAAGCACACAATCTGGCTGTATCGCCGATGAACTCCGATTCTGCATGGGGGATCGTTACAGTCGCATTGTCTCGGATTGTCTGAGTGAGGCCTCTAAGCTAATAACCGAGGGTGATGAAGAGGAAGAAGAGCAGGATGACAGTGGACGCGAGTCGTCGCTCGACATCCAGATTGCCAGCTTGCGGGCTCTAAGGTCGATGCTTGAGCATGTGTGAAGTATGGAATGAACTGACAGCACGGCAATATAGGGTCGTAGGGATGACTTCTCCCAGAATGTAAAGGGCCAGCATGGGTTGACCGCGAATCGACTGGTGGAGGTGGAGAGACCCACAAAAGTCCATTTCATGCCATGATTGAAGTTCGTGGACGACTTCGCTCGCCATTTATCTCTCGGTCGAGGCACGTTATCAGGGTTAGTATCAGTATCGATGACATATTTGCCTCAAGCATGCATGGGCCACGTTACTACAACACTAAGCATTATAATCAAGAAGGTTGTACACAGGATACACTGTGGTATCGGAGAGTTGTCGTTCGAAGGACTACAGGGGGAGTCGAGGGTCTATATACCTACCTATATCCTTATGCCGTACGACGAACTAATCACGGAGCCTTGGTCCCAAATTCACAAGCATACAACCGCCCGCCTACCGGCATTCCAGCCTCCACCTACCCAGTCTCTTCTGGGATCCTCTCATCTCGGAGCTCTCGCTATCCAAGAATCCCCTAAGACACAGGCTAACTGAGGCACACATCCGGTTCTTGCTAGTCTGGCAGTTCCCAGGTCCCAGGTCCACTCTCCATTACCAGTTCTAGGGAAGTGCCGTCGATAGTGTAGAGACTTGATGTCTTCATCAACCAGAGCGCCTGCATAGACACTATATCAAGCGCGAATCCGAATCCCTTAAGATCACAGCCACAGCCACATCTACTCGCTCCCGTATTGTGGTTGAAGACATTCTACGAACGAGCACAGGGTCGACTTCTGGACAACCTTGACCACCTCTTCCACAATGGGATCGCCTTTGGAGACGGGCTCGAGACCTCCAGCTCCACACTTGACGCGGAGGATTACATTCGTCTTCTCAATGTCACCGCTCGACTGCGTTAGCGATGGACAAGCCGGGCTCGCGATAAACCCATTTGCTTTGCAGGATTACTGGGCCGGCCCGTGGGCGACGTGTTAAGTTTGTCCGCCGTGGAAAGGGTGAAGAAACTGCTGCTCACACAAGAAAGCATCCTAGACAGTATTATTTTAGCCGACCTACCCCGGATCCAGGCTGATGGATGTCGATGGATACCAGCAACGTTTCTTGGCCGCGGGTCGTGTGTAAGTATGCAATCCGGTGGTGGTAAAGGAATCCCAAATCCTTCGAGTCTATGCGTCAATCTCCCGGGTCTTTTCATAGACCTTGGAGAGGGGACTATCTCGGAATGCGTCGTTGGCAGCCTGTCCACAACGTTGTTATCGAAGCTGATCATGGTCAAACTCAATCGTTTCATGCCGTCGGCAACACTTCGGAAACCGTGTTCAACTGGAGTTATCATGTCAATGAAAAAGTTAGTATTGTTTTACAAGAGCCGTTGGACAATGAAGGAGTGGTGAGAGGTGTTCTTGTGCGCAGGAAAGAGCTCCAAGCTGATATTTCCTTCTACCAGGTTGAGTATGCTGTCCAAGTTACTGGCACTGATTCCAGCCTGGTGAGAGATCTCATGTTCGAGAATGAGTTCGTTGCGTATAAGGCCGAATATCGGGAACCCTTGCGCTTGGTATGTGGGTTGGACGTGAACCTGAACCGTCGTCGGAAATATAGCGTATCCTGGCGTCCCGGCGCCACGAGGGCACCTCTTGAAACCCAAAGCATTAAATGGTCAGCCGTGCTCAGAACCGTGTACAGAACTGGCAGCTTGAGGGCGATGTTCAATCCTGTTTATCCGACGTAACTGCTGTTAACTTAAGCTGTTCTCGAGAACCTGCAGTAACAGCCCCGATGTCTTGCAAGCAGCGGTCGGCAAATTCCGGCCCTTCATATGTCTCCCTGAGCTTTTTGTGTCGGGGATAATTGAGATATAGTTGACCTCCCTCTCTAATCGGGTTGTTTCCTATTTAATCCTATTACCATTTACCGCCACTCCAGCATGTTACTGGTGAGTAGTCCAATGTCCTTGTATCATTCCAACGTCGGTCTGGATGCAAATTGCAAGTCGTTCATCCAATTATTTGCCCACCTCATACCCCTTTTCCTCTCCCTCAATCTCCCTATCAATAGCGACTCCCATTCCACCTTGCGCGCCACCAGCTCCGATCATGGTCGCCGAGCTCGTGGTATCCACGATGGTACTTTTGCTCGTGTTTGTAACACGCTTGAGGACCAAAGGGAGCAGGACCAAGAGTGATCCCGCCGTGAGACCCCAGTAAGACCCAAACATAGTGGTATATGGTTTCTTGCTTTCGTCGAGGCTGGATACGATGGCTTGGCCCATCGCACCAAATACTTTATAAAAGGCTCCGTACATGCTAAGTACCAAGGGATCATTTGAAAGGGTTCCCATGATCCAGTACGCGTAGCATTGCCTATCACCCGTGTCAGTCCGGCTTTCTCCTCGCCGTGGTCTCGAGGCGTCTTACCATGCACCATCTAACATGCCATAGAAAAAATACAAGGCTATGTAGCCACCTGCGTCACTGTCTGTGACATCGAGAACTTTCCCCACGGGATGATCTCGACTGGATTCGCGAAGGGGGAAAATTCCACCAATCAAGATAGCATTGAACAAAACAAACATGATGACCCAGCCCTGAAAATCACTGGTTAGGTCCCATTTTTTTTCCCTGGATTGTGGGATAGTGTGGCTTACCAGGAGAGCTCTAGTTCGCCTCTTGAAATATTTAATGTCAAGGAAAAGACCTAGGAGTCCCGCCGCCGCCATTTGGGCGAAATTGTACCATATGGAGTTGAAAGATCTTGTCCGAACATTAAAGAAGTATGCGTTGTAATCATTACTCTGATATACGATATACCAGAGTCCAGCGAACGAGTATGGGAAAAATAGGATGATCCACGGCTCGACCTGGACAGACTTGACAACATTTTTCAACTCCTGGAGCAATGATGCGTGCTGGACCACGTAGACCTTTGTTCCGTCATCACGGACAACTTTGCTGGGGTGTACCAGACACATGGCAAGAACGCTGCCGCCGAGCATCAAGATAAAGAGCGCAATATACGTGCCGTCATTGACACTACCGGCCTCGGTATTGGACCAATTCTGGGCGGTTGGTACAATGCTACCAATGACGGCACCCATACTCCAGATTGTCCAGAAGAGACTGATATAACGACCCTTCTGGTCTTCAGTGGGGTACGACATCAACATTGTTCCTTCGGCAGTCCTGAAGCCATCGTTGTCAGCAGCCATCTTCCCCGAAGGGGAGACCGATGGAAAGTTCCATACCAAAGAAATGCTGCAGAAAACCCGCATGCAGCGCCGGCAAAGAGGACGAAGCCACTGTTTTGAGTGTGGTTGTAGCACCAAAAGGATGCGGCGTACAAGGCATAGCCTACGGCTCCAATGGCGAGAGTGATTTTGGGTCCCAGATAATTACAAATAGAGCCAGAGAGAAGAGCAAGTCCAGCGAAGACCGCGTAGAGAACGATATTGGCTTGGTCAGAAAGTGTTGGATCTAGCTGACCAGCGCCACCAAGAGATGCGAGGACGTTGAACATGCCTACAAATGGAGATCAGCATCGAATTTGGTGGAACAGTGAACCGTGATGGAGTCCTTTACCAACAACAAGGAAGCAGACAAAGGCGATAATGATGGTTTGGGCAAGAGGTGATCGGTATGCTGGTAATTTGATGGGACCAATTTTGCAACCTTTGGCAACTTGGCCCATAGCCGCGTTGGACGGAGACCCGACTTCGACGTCTGCCACGGATTTTGTGTCTCGAGGTTGAGAGCCCTCCCTTGACCTGGGAACGGTGTCGTCGTGCATTGTGACTTCAGGACACCTGGTGCCGTTCAATGGGGAGTATTGAGGGGAACCTGTTGCTCAATATTGAACAACGATCGGCTTCATGTCTTATATCCACATGTTTTCGTTTACCGCTCGAAGGGCTCCCCAGACATGGAGATACTTCATCAACCTGGCACACTCCCGCACAGTCAAGCATGATTATGCATCTATGTCTTGGGGATAACAAGGGAGGACCCCACGCAACAGTGAATATCTTGTTAGTTTATCATGGTGGATTCGTCAACGACGTGTCTCAGTGGGCCAGCAAATGATAAGGGAAGCGTACTATTGTTGAACCGAGATCCACATGCCCGTGCCAGGTATCCGCAGTGCTATGCCCGCGCATGCCCGCGAACGCATCTCTGTCCCGCACCAGTTTCACCTGCACATCAGAAATGTGACCGTTCGGAGCGAGTGTGGTGTGTTCTGGCCATCATCATCGGAATACATATCAGATGTGGGATGGCACGTGAATCGTGGATGTCTCAAATGAGGATGCCGGTTCATATGTCAACAAACATAGCAGGAAGGGGAAGTCGTGTGATTCCTGCCCCTTTTTCTTCGTCTTCATCTTTTATGAGCACACCCCCTTCCTCAACGACCATGTCTCTCGTTCGAGTCATCTTGTTGGGAGCCCATCATCCACACTTCTATATCCGAGCCCAGATCCTGCGGGAGAGAAAGGACGTCGAAATCATCGGGTTTTGGGAGGAAGAACGCACGCTCGCACAGAAAATCCAAAACCGCTTGGGAATCCGACGATTTGATTCCGAGCATGCGCTCGTGAGCACCCACTTCGACGTGGCATTTGTCCATCCCCTGGACCATGACAATCCGCGCCTGGCATTGTTCGCCGCATCTTCGGGAGCCAAGGGTCTCTTTCTAGAGAAGCCAGGCGCTACTCATCCAGAACACCTATTCAAACTGGCTGAAGATCTCAAGGAATGGCCAAATCTCGTTGTTGAGTGGGGCTGGGAGATGCACTATGCCGAGACGATGGATATGGTCCGCCATCTCGTCCGCCATGGGGCGCTGGGAGAGATCACTACTTCTCACTGGCATGGTGGGACTCCTTCCGGTGGTGGAATGGAGCTTTGGCAGCGGCAGGATGGGACGCTGGGAGGGTTTTTATACATGGATGGCAGCCACACGCTGGAGGCGATTGTGGATGTCTTCGGACTGCCGAAGAGCGTGTCCGCCAGTGTGAGGAAGCTGCCCAAGGGCCACAAGCACCCAATTGTGAGCTGCTTCTACGACATGCATGTAGAAAGACTGGAGCCACCGACGACAGCGTATTGCGTTGGAGAACTGCCGTACGAGGACATCGGGAGCGTCATCCTCGAATACGAGAGTCATAATGTCGTTGCTGATTTTACGGCCTGGGAACCCACGGATTGGTGCGTAGATTGGGGGATTGATATCTATGGCACCAATGGCACCTTCCATGGAGTGCTGAACCCCCCGAAGGGGCAGGTGAATCTCCGGTCGGGCAGGGGAGGTTTTGACAAGGGCCTTACACAGATGCCGACCGAGAAGGCGACGGGAGTCAGCAATCAGGAGGGCTACTACAGTCGACAGATTGACCTCTTCTTGCAAAGAGTGACTAAAGGAGTCCAGACGGAGTGTGCTGGGCTTGAGATACAGTTGAAGCTGATGAAGGTGTTGCAAGCCGTATATACGTCGGCCAGAGAACGCCGATTTATAGACGTCTCGTAGGCAAATCTAGAGTCCCGGCCTCGTTTTCGATATTTGAGTCCTGGCGATTTCCTCACACCATGTCTCATGCGATAAATGACTCTGGTGGTATCAAAGTCCATGCTTGGAAGATGATAACCACAATGTCCATTGTTCGCCCCGTCTTCAGATTGGTTGGTTCAGCCCCCCAAATTTGAGAGATTCGGCGAGAGCATGGAATGGTCCAACCATTGGCATACGAATGGCAGCTCTTCCCGCAGAACCCCCTTACTTTAGCACCGCGACACATTTAATCTCAACATCCGTGTTAAGAGGCAGGGTCTTTACCGCCACGCATCTGAATTGAAAGGTCAGCCTCCAAGCTCGGCCCGGCTTGAAACGGCTAACTTACGTTCTCGCCGGCTTCACTTCGCCCCAGTATTGGGTATATACCTCGTTCATCTTGGCGAAATCGCCCATATCAGCCAGGAAAACATTGACTTCGACCACGTGGTCCAGACTAGACCCGGAAGCTTGGAGAACGGCTCCCAGGTTTTTGATGCATTGATGCTGATAAAGGTCGGTCAGTCCTTTCCATGATGACCGATCCGATGGAAGCTTTGGAAGAAAACGAACCGTGTGAGCTTGGATATCTCCATCAATCAATTGCATGGTTTCGGCATCCATCGGAACACAGCCGGAACAGAAGACCAATCCATTCGCCACGATGGCCTGGCTGTAGATTCCCGGAAGGGCTTTTGGAGCCTTGTCAGTCACAACCGCCTTTTTCGACATCTTCGGTATGAAAATAATTTTCTTGCGACGATGATTTCGAAGTAGATGGAGAGGTAATTAGTGAAAGATGTCGATGGAAAACCTTGGAGAAATGTGTGTGTTCGGTAGATCATTCTCGCGGTGACCGCTAGCCCACTTTTCGTACGTGGGCACTCATCCGTCAAAGAGACGTGTTCCTCCTCTCCCCCACATAATCAGGACAAGTTTCGCTGACGATCGTCAATCCGGTGAGTTATATGAACTGGACCGTATTCCGAGGAAGCAAACTCTTTTCTTTTCTTTTTTTTTTTTTAATTTTTTAATTCCTCGGTTTGAAGACGAATCGTCACGATGTCACTCATACCTCAGCCTCCGTATCCGTTGCACGAGTCGGTCAAGGATAAACTGCATCCAGAATACGTCAAGTTTTATAATGAACATCTTCTCAATGCGCCGCAAGTCCATTATCAACCGGTTTCAGCGTCTCGGGTGGGAGGCAAGATCATTGCCGGTGGTGGTGATCCATTACCCGTTGGCAAAACTCACGACCTCTCGCTGAAGAGGCAAGAGACCGAAGGCCCCGATGTGAGGATTAGATGCTTCATTCCCGAAGGAGAACCCCCGCCGGATGGCTGGCCTGTGATGATATATTACCACGGAGGCGGCTGGGTGTTAGGGACGATCGACACTGAGAATACCGTCGGGACGAACATGTGCGCTCGAGCCAAATATGTTGTGATCATGACCGATTACCGCCTGGCACCGGAAAATCCATGGCCAGCAGCAGTCCGTGATTCCTGGGAAACGGTGCTCTGGGTCTTTGGCTCAGGGAAATCGTTCCTATCTCTTAATCTCTCCAAGGTTGCCATTGGCGGATCCTCTGCCGGAGGAAACCTGGCAGCCATCATGACGCACAAGGCCCTTTCATATCCCAACATCGCATTTTCACTGCAACTGTTGGCGGTCCCCGTCACAGATAATACGGCGACAGTGGCTTCAAACCCCACGTATAAGAGCAGTGAATTCGTCCCGGCTCTTCCTGCGGAGAAAATGCTTTGGTTTCGACGACATTATCTTCCACTCGAGAAAGACTGGTCCAATCCAGAAGCATCACCCATTTTCTATCCTCCGGAAAATTTTCCCCAGCTTCCTCCGGCGGTTGTTTTGGTCGGAGAGCTTGATGTGTTGAGGCACGAAGGAGAAGAGTATGCGCGGAAGCTTAGACGTGCTGGTGTTCCGGCGGAGGTGCACGTAATGGAGGGAATGCCTCATCCATTTTTGGCCATGGACGGAGTGCTCGAGGCAGGCCGGACCGCCATTACGATTCTGTGCCAGAGTCTGGAAAAAGCTGTGACTGGGGCCCAGTAGCATACCCCGAGGGACTTTTTCTGATTGTGTCAACAATATACAGGGGTATCGGCGGCCTTGTCGGAGTGGGATGTCATATTGGAGTAGCGCTCCCTCATCAGGCAGCGGAAAGGTCAATCAGTTTTCCTAGTGTCGTACATGCCTCTCGCAACAGCTCCCAGCGACATTCGGAGAGTGATTCTTGGACGACACCGAGTAGTCCAAGGGTCCTGTTCGTTCCCTTCAACGGACCATGCTGGTCCATCAAGCTGCTGAGCATATGAACGAGGTATTCCTCAGCACTGATTCTTTCGGATGACTTGCCCTCTGTTAAGATGCCAAAAGCCCACACAATGAGAGTAGCGTGATACAAACACCATGGCCGCAACGCTATATTGTCTTCCGATGCCCGATACCGTCTCCTCGTAAACATGATCTCCTGGATGAGCAATATGCAGTGGGAGAGCGTTCGTTTCGCCGTAGGGTGTTGGCACCAGGTCTGAATTCTCGATTTCGCTTTGGTATATTCATTTCTGGTGGTGCTGCTGCAGGTGAGAGACGGTGCTCCCGCAAACGTGTGGAAGTCGATCAGGTTGACATAAATGGTGACATGAGCCATGCGCTGGAGGGGCCTAGAGGCTTCGAGACACAGCGAAGGTTCCTGAGAGAGAAGTGAGAAAGACCACGTGTCAATAGCGCGGTCGAGGATTTCTTTCCAGCTGTCGTCGCCGATGGTGGAGGTCGGGGCCGACTCGGCACCGTGTTCCGAAGATCTCCCCGTCTCGATATCCGAAGCCATCAGATCGCGGGCCTGCATATGTTTGGTGACATTGAACAACCCATGAAGGAGGACAAAGCGTGCAAAGGGACTGCAGGTGGAAGGGATCGGTCGGCGTGACAGCAGAGCGCGTAAGGTGGGCAAGAATTGAGCAGCCTCCGGCGTTGTCAGAAGAGTTCTCTTCCAGCGAGAAGGGCTCGGGCTGTCCCAAAGCTCGTCCGCACATGGTAAGGGAAGGCGAACATCGCTGACGGAGAGTGCGGCTGTATGCCCGAAAATGGACGAATGCTGGGCATCCATGATAAAGGCAAAGTATGCGACACGCTTGAAGGACTCCTGTTCGATCCATAAATGCCAGGCGCGTTCGGTCGATGACGCGTGACTGGAGTGGTCGGTCCAATCGGACGAATAAGATCCCCCTCGTCGCATGAGAGTGATGACTGCACCATGGAATATATGGGCCATTTCATGACGCCTCCGGGTGGAAAACATCTTCTCGTATGCTTGAACGAGGAGTAAAGCTTGGAGACACCAAAGAGGAGCGGGTGGTTGGAAACTGCCGGAACTGAAAATCAGCCATCGCAGATGTTCGTGTATTCGTTCGGCGACGTGGTAATGGGCGGGGTCCGGTGACAAGGTGGCGCCCAGGGTGAGGACGGCCAAGAGCAGCAGAGGTGAAGGTTCTTGCAACGAGAATGACGCTTGATGCAGGATCGGAAAATGAGCGTTGTAATTGGAAAAGTAAATGTTGAAGAAGGACCGGAGGTTCACCGGGTCGAAAAACTGATCCTCGAGAATTTCTGGGGGAAGGGTATGAAGAGCTGCCCGTAGCCTGGCACGTAGACCCGACCAAGGGCCGACCGTGTGCGTCGGAGTGTCGGTGCTAGGTTGTTGTGATAACGTACTGACGGGAGAGGCGGAGGACAAGTCGTTGGGAACGGTGATACTCAAGGAAGGTCCCGTGTTGAAATCGTCTGTCAGAGGAACACTTCCAAAGAGCCAGTCGAGATCCTCAGCAAGACCGTGTCCACCATCGGATGAGTCAAAGATAACGTGATGGCCGAAATCCATCTCGGAGAATGGCAAGAAGTCAGGATAATGCAGGCTCTCCATTGGAACAGGACCAGGAGCAATATCCTGCGGCGGCGTCATCACCTCGTCCGCATTGACTGGGATATCCGATGATTGATCGGGAGCATCTGCTGGCGGAAGACCAGATCGAGAAGCTAGGGGATCAGGTACGTAGCCGCCCGAGTTGCGATAGGACATTCCACGTGCATGGCGTTTTTGATGCCTTTGGAGGAGATCGAGCCTGACGAAGTCTTTATGGCATATCTCACAGTTGTAAATTTTCTTGGGCCGATCTGAATTGACATCAGCATCTTTCGGGCTATTCGTTATGGAGAGAGGGTCCCAGCTCTTACGATTCAGGCGATGTCGACTTAAATGTTCTGGACGCTTGAAGGTCTTTCCACATCCTTGCACCGTGCAGACATGCCTCCCTGACATTAGGACCTGGATTCAAGATAGAGCAAGGGGGCCTGAATTGAGACGGAGGAGGTGAGGTTGGATGGTTCTACAGTAAGTGGTTCCCAATGGAGGTTGTGTATGCCTTGGCCCGCCCATCATCGGCTAGGCCTCCATTCGTCTAGCGGGAAACAGCCCCCCTAAATTGCTACGTGCACACCTATCTCCGAGTCTCTTTTGATATAGTATCATGCCGCCTGCGATACATGTTTCGCGTCCCCGCGCCTATTACATCGCCTACGAGAAGAGACCCTGAATCCCAAGGAGAAACTTTCCTGTGGTTTCAATCCTCACCGGCCATCCGAAATGTCGGAGAGCGGATCGGTTCAACCTGCGGGTGGTCCCTCTTCCCGCACAGGATACAGGTTATCAAGGAGCTGTCGGTTTCGTGATCTCACCCGTTGAACTCATACTTCGGCATTCCCTTCGCTCCCTCAGGCTTGAAACGAAACATGTGGCCACCCTCATCATCCTTCGTGGCATCAATGGCCTTGTCCCTTCCTGACGCGATGTACACAGTGTCAAAGTCTTGTCCACCCCAAGTCGTGCATGTCATGTTGTTTGCCGAGAAGACAATATCCTTCAAATGCTCGCCGCTTGGGCTGAAGACCATGACTCGATAGGAGGCATACATCGCGATCCAAAGGTTTCCATCCGTGCTGCCATGGTGAATATCGTCAATGTGGTGTTCGGAGCGAGGGCGCATCCAAGATCGAGAGTCAACTTACTCGACCACCATGCCATCAGGTTCGCCAAAAGACTTCCGTCGATCTATCAGGAGTCTTTTGTTGGAGATATTCCCGCTCTCCAAATCGAAATCGTACGCGAAGACCATCATCGCTATCGAGTCATTGAAGTACACTGGCACTGTCAGGGTTTATCCAATTTTGCAGCAGGAAAGACTTACTGGTCTGATTATCCGGACTCCACGCAAGACCATTGCCACAAATAATCCCTTTCTCCATCAGATGTAGACTGCCATCAGGGTCATATCGCCAAAGACGACCGAGAGGCTCCCCATAGTGTGCAGGTAACTTGTTCGCTCCGAACGCCATGGCTTTCCTGTCGATCTCGGCCAGCCAAAAACGCCCTTTTGCATCCACCCCTCCATCATTGAACCGTCGAATATCACGATCGCCGGTCGGAATAATTTCCTGGACCACCTCCAACTTACCCGTGGCTTCGTCCAGAAACGCAACACCCTGGAAGTATGCACAGACGTAGCTTCTGGGCTTATTCTGCCGGAAGAAAACCACCGTGACGCTGTCTTCGAGCTTGAGGATTCTTGCCTCTCCTTTCGCGTCGCCGGTATCTGGGTCCACGTGCAGAATGTACAGCTCTGGAGGCTCGCACAGGCAATCTACCCAGTGCAACGTGGAGTCACTTGCCCTATAGATGGGTGCTTCTCCCAAATTCATTCCGCTCCCGCAGCGATACCATGCTTTTCCACCTTGCAGCACTTCCAGCGTACTCGAGGCCATGCTGAAGTTGACTCTCAGAAACGCAATGACTTAAAAAAAAATAAAATTAAATTAAATAATTTTTTTTTTTTAAAAAAAAAATGAATGACAACGAGAGAGCGCAATAAGGTAGATCCCCTCTTCTAAGAAGACGACGGATTTTTAGACCGCCGGAGCTCGTCTAGGTACGATGTCCTGCACTTGTTGAATATAAAAAGGAACAGAAATCCGGCGTCGTACGTAAGTCGGTGGAAGACAATCATGACGGCAGCTCAAAGCTCATCTTTTCACGGAACCCTGGCCCAGCGATCTTTTTGCGCGGGAGGAGCAGCCTCAGGAAAAGCTACGCTGGGAAGAGATTGAGGAGCGTGAGTATGGCATGGAGTGGGAGAAGTGCCCGCGTAGGACGAAACCTCTTCATCCGCCTTTCCCGCGTAGAACCAAACCAAGGATGCAACGGACAACATCGGCAAAGGGCTGTTCGGGCTTGACCATCCAAGAGGGTTTATCGCTGAAACTCCGCCAGGCCCTTGACCTGATCTTGATCGACGTTTCCAATCGTCCCCGTAAACCCGCTATCCCTGATCAGACCACCGCCAGCCCCATTCGGCGGCACTGGTCGTTTTCCAACAACAATTGAAAGGATCTGTTCGACATCAACATTCTCAACTTTATCATCCGACGATCGCCACGCGACATGGTCATCCGGCCTGACGAGCACAGCGTCGCGCTCCCAGACTTTCCTCGCATGCATCTCGTCAGGGAGAAAGATGGACTTCAATGGAATCGCCATGTTTTTTGCGGCTGGTTCAAAAGCGGCGCTGAATCTTCCGTCCGGTGTGAAATCGACAAGCGAGAATTCCCTCCCCACCCCGAATAGATCGAAGATGCTGGTCTTTCCATCATTCAGGAAAATATGCGGGGCCCTCGCCCCCGGCCAAGTTGAAGGGATATAGTGTCTTTCGTTCCATTCGGGTTCTTTGGTATTCTTGTCGGGCACGATGACAGGGGATCCGTGGTATCGATACCCTAATTCAATGCCGTGGTCTTTATTTTCACCGTCAAATTTGGTGACGTGCCCGGCAATCTGGGCGCGGATATGTTCTCCCTCGGGCGTCTTCGAAGTCACTGCATCGCCCGTCTTGTTCACCAGTTCCTTGTACATCGAATGGACTTGCCAGTGGACACCCGATCTTTCGATATTCCTTGCCGCAACGGGTCGTCGTTCGTCCTCGTAAGACTGCAGCAGCGCCGGTCCACCGTAGCCCGAGAGCACGGCAGCCAATTTCCAGCCAATGTCGAAACTGTCACCAACGGCTGTGTTCATTCCATACCCCCCGGTAGGGATGTTTTGATGCGCAGCATCACCCGATAGAAACACCCGGCCGTGGGGGGAGATATATTTCTCGGCGATGCAGATGTTCGGTCTCCAGGAGCTGGTCACCAGGATTTCGTCGATGTCAATGGGATATGGTGCTAGTGAGCCCCCGAGAGCTCGATAGACGGCTTCTTTGGGATCCAGCGTGGATGTGTCGAAGTCCAGCGGCAAGGGAATATGAGCGGTCCACGTGTCGACCTCATCCTGCGCGATGATCACATGGCCGCTGGTGAAGAAGATATGCCAGAATTGGCCCTGACGCTGGATTCTAGACAGATCTCGCGATTTGAAATGGACCAAAAAGAGCATAGCGGGCCTGCAGCGGTCAAGTTAATTGAGCCCACGGTCAGGGGGGAGTGGTTGCGTTGAAACCTCCATGGCACTTACACCGGACCTCCGATCAGCTTGCTCTCGAACGATTTTCGAACTCGACTACCGCCACCATCACAACCAATAACATATTGTGCCTGAACGATATGCGTCTCCCCAGAAATATCAGTCAGTTCACCCTCGACTCCCGTATCTGACTCGATGAGACTCTCGAGCTTCATGCCGAAATACGAGTCAACCAGCGGTTCTGCCTGAATACGTGGTTTCAACCACGCTTCGAAAATTGCCTGGGAACATCTTTGATATGGCTCTCTGGGCATGGAACCATCGTTGTGCTCTTTGATGTGTTCATACCACCAATCTGGCGATGGTAGGTCCTACCGCTGCGTTAGAGTGAGAGACTTCGAGAAGGGTAGTTTGGGTTCAAAGAGGATGATACCCATTTCGCAATGACTTCGCCTCCGTCCGAGAGTCCGGAACTGATGTTCACGTCAAAGGAGTAACGTGGAGGCACTCCTTGACATATCAAGCATCGTTAGCTACAATCCAAACCTGGCCAAATTTGGGTCTGATGGGAAGTAATGTCACCGTGAACGTACACAATGTCAGACATCGGACATAGACATGACATACCGACTTTTCTTAACCCCTGATCAACCTTTAATCGCTTCAGCAACTCCATGCTCCGACAATTCGTGATGTCCATTTTGGGCCATTTTGTCGTGTCGAGATTCCTCTCGACAAGCATGCATTTGATCCCATTTGCGGCAAGTTGTAGCGAGGCGATTAGGCCTGATGGACCGGCGCCGACGACGAGGACCGGCGTTTTGTGCCTGATGACCTGCCATACTGGTCAAATATGTAAAAATCAAACGGTGACCAAGGCAATACCATTTCGAACTTCTGGGCACAGTGATTGAAGAGTGAAAGCTTACTATGAGCCTTACAACGACATGGATTCTGACTCTGTCGCGTAGGTGTGGATATATATGAAACTATCAAGGTGATGGATGTGGTACTCTACTCCGTCTGGAAATACTCCGCAAATCCACTGCCCCGAAGAACATTTTTGTTCACCTCGCTTGTACGACCGGGAAATTACTGATGCCAATCCGGCATTTAGCTGTGTTGCCGGAGCCTGAAGCCCTAGAAACCCAGATCTACAGTAGTCCCTCCAGCCAATAATCCGAGGCGGGGTTGATCACACTTCGTTCAATGATTTGGGGGCCTAAGAGGCGTAATGCAGTTTGGTTGGATGTTCCCGAAGGATTCCATCTGTGAGCAGTGGTCCGTCGGGGCGCGGGCTTTCGACTTTTGGCGTGGCCGGCATTGATGGTGACGCCGTCAACACCTGTTGTACACTGACTAAGCGAATGAACCAAGTGATGGGAAATTGTGGGAGCCAGCCAAATACCGAGGTAGGCTGGAAAGGAAGACGTTCCGCCGAGAATGAAGTCAAATTGATACTGTCATGAACAAACGAGACCTGCTATGCCATACTGTACCAAGCCAAAATATACCTTGGCTCACGGGTAATCATCAACCAAGGAACTAGTGTAGCGTACGAAATGGCTGAAAAAGAACGAGGCGATCGGATCCATTCGTATGTTGTAAGAGATCCTCTGTCAAGTCATGCAAATCCTGGCGTCGTAGGAACATCATACCTCCTACAAAAGCTAGTATTTCGGATAAGATTATGCCGTCACGACCGGTCGCGCAGGCAACTTGGCTGGCTTCCCCTCCATTACATCCGGGGCCTCGGGCATAGGCAATTCCTTCCCAGCATCCTCGATCTTCCCCGACAAAAAGGCCAATGGAATATTCGGTCCCCACACATGTAACGTGTCCGGGGCCGCAGCCTCTCTTCCAAAGGGTGTGCCTTCATTCACTAGGTCGCCGTCACTGTAGTGTTCGACGATGTTTCCGGAGCCATCGAACCTAACAAACCCCCCGTCAGGATCAAGTTCTCAAACGAGAAAGAAGGGGGCTCGGCTCGTTGGCTTACCAATAATCAAAGATCTGACTTCCAAGTACATGTCGTCCGATACCCCAGCAGTTCGTCCATCCTTTGGCGCGGAGCCAGTCGTGTCCCAGAGTCTGAGTGTCGAAGTCGTTGATTTCGTAGCTCGAATGATGGATATGTACGGGAGGCCCTTCGGGACCGGATGCGAGGAAGAAACTCTAAAACAGCCAAACAAGCCTGGTCAGTTTTTTTAGAGAAATAGCAACAAGCTAAACGTACGTGATGATCAACCCATTCCGCTCCCAAATCAATATGGCAGAAACACGTCTCATCCTTGCCCGTTGTCGGATTGAACACCGCATCCGATGGTTTCAGATTCATCAACTTCGTATACCACTCGAGTGTCTTCTCGAATTTACTCCCGGGGACCACGAAGCCATAATGTCCCAGCTTATGCACGGGGCTCGGGCCCTGCTTGAATCTGCGAAATGTGCCCTTCCGCGGCTTCTCCATAGCTTGATTAGGGATCGGGGTCGTTTTTTCCAGATTTGATGGTACCAGTTCATCCTTTTCTCGTAATTTCTGACCATAAACGAATCCAACGCGCAATCCATTGAGATCTTCAATCGTGACGAATTTCCCCCCGCCCGGAGCATCAGACTCGGTAATGGGTGATGCTTTCGGATAGGAAGCAGCAACTTCTAGGTCCTCCAGCGTGTCGACGGCCCAAAATCCGCCCATGAAATGGCGCCTGGAGTCGGGGGATTTCTCAGCCACATAGACGAAGGGTTGTACGCCATAGCCGCGGAGATAGACTCGGTCCCCAGATGGTGTCCGGTGTGCTTCGACGAAGCCGAAGTCGAAGAGAAACGACAAGGCTTTGTCCAAGTCTGGATGTTGATAGACAACGTGTGCGAGGCGGACGACGCGGATTTGTTTGGGTGCCATCTTACATGAATCTTGAATTAGATTGAAACCGTGAAGATGATTGTATATTTGCGTGTTAGAGGTCTGAGGACGGCTGTTTCTGATCCCTTTTAGGTTTGAAACGTTGCCCTTTCATATATGGATGTCAATGTCTCTCGATGCCTCGAAGTGGCGAGAGGGCCCGCCTAGCTTTCCATCCGATCGCCCGTCCCGTATGACTCAACCCCGCCTTGCCCCGTGAGGCCCGTTGCCAGGGTACAGTTAGCATTTCGTGATCAAATCCAGGCCAAGGTGGATGACCCGAGTCAAGAGTTGAAGCCGGGGAAGGACGGCCTTGCATCAACGCCGGTCACGTGACAGAGCTCTGATCTACTGAATGGGCAAACTGCGTCAGCCAAAAATCCCGGGGACAGGGATTCTCCAGGCCAGGTTGACGGAGCAGTGCCCATTTGGAGTTTCAGCGGAAACAGAATAGAATAACGGAGCCCGTCCGATGTGGGTCGAGATCCTCCTGGTGTAGGTTGGGATGGTACCCCTGCCGAACTCTTTTTTCCCGTATGAGATTGCCTAGCCCTGACTATGTTAGCATGAAGTCTGTATCTCGATAGCTGCCGCCAAAGAAATCAGAGAATCCAAATTCAATCTCATTGCTTCCGTCATATATGGTCTGTTGCAGTGGCGGAAGATTCTGAGGATCAAACATGGGAGCCTGATAACTCGTCACATTCGCTGGGTCGGGCATGCTCAAGGACGCAGCATATTCCTCTTGTTGCCGAGTTTGGTTTTGGATCTGTGGTGGTGGTGCTTGTTGTTGCTGCATGTCCAAACGACTCGGACGCGAGGTATTTTCGGTCGTCATCGGACTATTTCGGTCCCGGCGGTTGAGTTCAGGTGGAAGGACATTTGGGCTACTGGTGCTCAGTCGTGGCATTCGGAAGAACAGTGCATACCGTCGGGCTAGTTGTTTTTCCTCGGCATTCACTGTGCCGCCTCGTTCGAGGATTTTTGCCAGTTCTTCAACGTGGTAAGTCTGGGCGACACAAATAAAGGGGACGTGATCGAGCCTTACCTAACACCACGGAGCCCAATTTCCATTTCTCCGCAAAATGGGATAGAACGAGTTTGGCCATTTCATGACTGGATGAAAGGAGAGGTTGTGTTCTAAGAACATCGCCATCCACCGCGTATGGTGGCAGCATCATGCACGTGAAGAAAGGGTGTGCGACGGCAATATACCGGGAATCCCATAGACTGATGATGCGGGATAATTCGATGGCACGTAGACGGATGGGCGATGTACCACTGCCACTCATACTGGACACGCTGCGGTCATCATTTTCGGTGGTGGCGATTCCGGAGACCATGAAAGATGTAGCCTTCAGCATCAGATGGGTACCAATGACCCAGTTGCAACGTGCAAATGTGGATGGAGTATAAGTCAAAGTCTCGGCGTCCAGTCGAAGGGGAGGAGGAAGTGCGAGCTTGAAGCAGCAGATTTCATTTTCCAAAGTCAGCTTTTCCTCGGCCGAGACATCTTGCCTTTGCTGGAGTCGATCGTGAACGGTAGCCATAAAATTATTTGCCACGAGAAACCACGCTCTTTCGTCTTGATTGCGGCTGCCTTGTAATGATCTCCAGGATTGACCCGGAATCAAGACAAGTTCAGAAGATGGGACATCCGTTTCGGAAAACCAAGCCTCGTCGGAGATGGGTAAGGCGACACACATCCTCTTTCGGTCGATGGAAAAAGGTTTCCGAGAGACGGTCGAAGCAAATGTGTCGAGTTCCCAAACTAACCACCAGGCTCGTCTCATTTCTTCCTTTTCCACCGAATCCACCGAGGAAATAGGAGTCCAGTCGTCGTCATCTATCTCAGACAGGCCCAGATCGTATGCTAAGCGGACGCAGACTCCGATGAGGATCCAACCCTGATGAGTCGGACCGGACGTGTAGAAATAGAATGCGAGGAGGATGCAACCTTGCAGATACATCAAAGTGGGGGCCCGGAGTGAGCGAGCCTGACTATACACTGCTCGGGCTCGTTCAGCAAACTCATGTCCTCTCTTTTCGGCCGGAACCGTGGCGAATTTAGGATGGTTGGAAAACCGAGCGGACATGGCAAACATGCTGTAAAACAGGAGAGACTCATCGACGGACAAGTACTGTATGACATGGCCACCCACCCGAAGTTTGTGCTCGTAGCGGGCTTGAAAGCGCGGCCGGTGGAGGATGGGCAGCCACGGCTGAACCTTGTCAAAAAACAAGTTGACCAAATCCACCGCCATGGAACACGAGATTTCGCCATCGGATCCGGAGACCGTGGGCGGTGATGTCGGTTTGGCATTGAAATCCATCGATTCGCGAAGAGGCGACGGCACTGAAGAGTGGCCATCAACGTCTGCTCCCTCGTCGTCCACATCCTCCCCGTCAGGCGGTGAACCGGCGCCGTGGATGATTTCCAGAGACGAATCGTGGGACGCGGCGCCATGATCTTGCGATGTATTGATCTCGGCGAGAAGACCTTTGAGGGAATCTTGGAGAAATGATTGAGAGATCTCGCGTCGGCCATCAGGGACACCGGTGCCCCGAGATGCAGCTTCGAGGACTTGAACCAATTTGGATATACTGTCGCTGAGTCTTCGAGATTGAACCTTGGGTTGAGGCTTGCGAGCAGTAGGTTTCTTTCGCTTGGAAGGAAAATGACAGGTGTTTCCAGTGCGTGAGCAGAGGCCACATATGGGACGTCTCATGTCACATTTTGTCTTTTTTCGGTTGCATTCCTGACAGGCTCGACGCGGTTCCAGTGGTGAATGATGTTGCGGGTCTTTCGCGTCAGCCATTGTAATAGATGAAGGAGCTGCGTGGCTCGAGGGAAAGCGGAGTGAATCATGTAAGTGGTTGGAGATGAACCTACATGATCTGGTCAACGGTGATGATGATGAGGACGTGGATAAGACTGAGGTTGAGATGGAGTTGTGTATTACATCAGCCACTGCCATCAGCCCTGTTGACGAGGCGCCAGTGCCAAAGCGCCGCTTGGGCCGGCCTCTTTGCGGAGAGGAAGAAGCGGGGGATTCTGCGGCAACCTCCCTCCAACAAATCCTTATTCACTAAATAATCTTTGCGGCTGATGAGGCTGATGAATCATGACATTCTTCGTTCAAAGTAACTCAACTACGGATACATGGACAGAGGATCTATTCCTTCGAAACAGTGCTTCCTTGGGGAAAGGCAAGAAAATGCTGGGTTGAAGATCGGGAATTACAATCCTCTCTCAGCATACATCCTCCAGAAAGTTGCTCCTGGCTGAATGTGGCCCTTCAACAAGTCCGGCAGCTCGTCTCACGACTGGTGCTCGAGTTCCATCGAGCTTGTCCTTGCCCATGACCACCCATGAAACCAGTGTAATGGAAATTGCATTGATTGTGTTTTTATCCGAGGACCAACGAGCAGAACTGGCCCGAAGAAATCTGGCCATTGGAGCAGCAGAGCACCGGACAATAGTCAAGGGTTCCCTTCTGGGAGCCAAGTCCGATACACTTTCATCAGGCAGCCTGTATTTGGTGACTTGCCATCACCACGACATGAGCGTAAAACTCTTTGGCCATCGCCACCGCTGTAGAATTCAAAGGTTAGGCATTTATACCAACTTATATCATAATGGTGCCATGTGACAATAGCAGTCATTATTAGGGCTGATCGTAGGTACGCCTCACATACGCGGACCAATACATACGATGCATCTGCAAGAGTTGCCGGCCGCCAGAAAGGCGCCCAAGCCTTTTTGCTTCTGCAATTGATCGTTATATACGACGAGGAAACACCCATCAAGCTCTGATCTGCGCCGTCCCAGGCACCGATCGTCGAGTTGAGAAAAGAAGAGTTGGATATGGCCATCTCGTGTGAAAAACCTCCGTTCGAGTCTGGTAGGCACTTGGTGGAGTCTTTTCCTCTGAACAGCCCGTAGCCAAGTCGTTGCGGGTTGCTCGCCTAGCGCTCTCTTTTTTAGTTTTCGGCCCCTGCAGGCCTCGTGGGGTGACCCTCTCCCTTTAGCGACCGTTACTGTTAGGGTATGGCCCTAGGACACTTACATCGTGTAGGCATTGATAGACTTTCCGGTGCAGGGGCGCTAGGAATTTTTGTTGGACGTGGGTGATCGCCTCTTGGATCTAGTTTTACTGGTCATCAAACACCATTGGCCTCGACAGGATGCTTTCTATGGTTGAGACGCCGAAGAGTGGCCGTTTAGACACGACACTATCGGGTAGGAAAAAGACGCAAGGGATTCTTTGTTTCCAAGTATTACTCTCCGTGGGACTCGATTTCCACGGGTCATAGTCGCTTTGCGAGACCAGGAGCACATTGATCCGGAACCCTCCTCTTCTCCCTGGTTGGGTGGCCCCGTTGCTCTCCCAACTCCCACCAATTACCTTGTGAAGGGTTCAAGCTGCCTGGTTTGGGCATTCTTCACCCATCCACTCATATTTTCCTTTTTCTCTCTGCCTCTGGTTCTTGCCAATCCTTCACCTTTACGAATCTTCCTTTTCTGACTCGCACCCACATTGTCCTCCCAGAAACGGGGCAGAGCGTCCCTCTCCACAAAATCTAAAATCTTTTTACCCCAGCTCGCACGGATACCAAGAAAGGTGGCTTCGTATTTGGCTTCCTTTTGCCGGAAAGCCATAGGAAAATAAAGGTCGACGCCGCCATGTCTAGGTTTGACCAGCTGACCACCCCATCCCTGACTCTTCCCGATCATGATCACCACCAGCCATCTGCCGTTTGCCAGTCCGATCGGCTGCCCTACCGAGGAGGCAGAGTATTCAGGGACCTCCTGCTCGCCAAATGATAGAGCTGAATAGTCAAATTGTCTCAGTGAGCCTCGCCATCGTCATAGGCAGGCCCGACGAAGAGGCCTGATCTCTAAATGCAACAGACGCGTTCCACGAGCCAACAGTCGTGATCAATGACCTTGTTCTATCATGAACGGCCAACCTCTTTAAGCGACATACATTGGTTAACGTGGTCTTGTAGCCGTGCTCACCCGATAACGGCCCATACATCGCACCAATTCTGTGGACAAAACTGAACCCTTGATGCGCGGTTGGACTCGCATCAGCATTCCGGGTGGCTCGTTGATAAGATCCAGCCAGCCTGACTTGACCAGTCTTGATTCTCATTAGTCCAAAGACCAAGAAGGAAGTCGAGACGCCATATGCGGGAACCCCCACTGTCACCATCCTGCCTAAGGGGTTTTGTTTCCTCCTCCAGGTCAACAAAACGTCTTATATACGACAGACTCTAAGAATGAAGCCCACTCTAGACTACTTGTCCATGGACGCTCCTCTTAGGTCAGCTTGAATCTGTCAGAAACCGTCGCCATGATTTATGGTCGCTTACAGGTAGCGGCCCTGCCCCCCTTTCCCCAACACAATAATGTCTGTCGACTCAGCGGTCGGCTGAGCGTGCTCGACGACTCCATAAAACAACGCTCCTTTGACACCGTACAATTATGTTTCAGAGGTCAGTCAGTCCGGGAAAACTTCCCCAAGCCAAGGTCTAAAACTTGAGACAACAGGGGTTATTACTTCGTCCGTGGGTTACAAGACCGGTCTCGAAGATATCATCACCTTGACCGACATCAAAACCCCTTCCGACTTCCGACCCTGTTCTTCAACCAGCCAGAATGACTCGCAAAAGGGCCGCCATGCCGATTTCTACTTTGAATTGCCCACCCATGCATCCACCAAGGACGGCACCTTGCGTTCTCTCCCTCTGTCGGCCACCATCTCCGTTAATACGAGCCCGGCCCCAAACACGGCCATGAACGACCGACCAGTCATCCGCGGCGAATGCGAAGTGTCTTACTGGGTCGAGGCGCAATTCCGCCTCGCAGGCAAGCAAGTCGGAATTCTGAGCAGACATGTACAAATCCCCTCACTTTACCCTTGTCTCCGAGCCTCGATTTCCAGAGGTCACCCGCTCACAATGCACGCCAAGCCCGATTTTCTCACCCGTTGTAAGTTTCAAAAGAATCCCGATCTTTCAATCACTCTGCACGAGCCAGAAATGATCATGGAATGGAGGACCACGACCGGAAAACGACACGTAAGCCTCCCCTTAGCCATAGCCATGGACATGCAGCAACAAACCTCGGATTGCAATTCGATCGACCCTCGGCAATCATTCCAATGCTCCGTGGAAGCGAAATGGGAAGTGAACTCACGTTTCTCCAATGTGCCGGTGCACTCGAACACGGAGAGGCTGAAGTGCTCCGACGTAGTGTACAAGACGACACTTGCCTCGTCGCAGAAGGCGAATGTCCTTTTCCGCCCCTTACCACATTACGATGGCAGCAGAGACTCTCGGAACCAGAACGCCAACAACCGGACAAGCTCAATCTCATACACCGCGACGTCACAAGTCGACCTCTCTGTCCCGAACGCGGTATCCCAACCTTCTCTGTACTGGGGCCTTCTGTCTAGAACCTACACGTTAGATCTATCCCTGCACTTTCACGGCGTCCAAGGCGCGCCCAATTACAATCTGCACCGTAAGATCCCATTGTCGGTGTTCACGTATGGGTCGAAAGCGGACGATGCCCAGAAAGATCAAGTCGTCGTGGACGTCGCTGAGGCAGACTCGGGCTCGGGCTCGGACTCGGAATCTGACGCCGACAACAATGTGGATGATCTGCTGGCTTCAAGAGCAGCGGACCGAGTACAAGAGCCAGTACGAGCCCAGGCACGGAGGCAAAGGACCGTGAATCGAACCCCCCCACCGCCGTATTTTCGATGATCGAGCTAGAATTGTGGCCCTGAGAAAATCAGCTCCATCACACGGCACACCCACACGCTACAGATCGACCTGGTCTGACCCTTTTCTCCACTGGAGAAGTGATATGGATGCTAAGCGTGATTACAACAGGTGTGACGCAGACAGCGCAAAATCCCACAGCCGAACGATCCAATTGACGCCGGATTATCACATCATCACGCTTCATCTCCGTTCAACAAGTCGTCCCGGCCGCCAGTCGGCCAGTCACGTGCCAGCATGATGTCTCGGAAAGAGATAGATATCGTTTCTCAATAAAACGACTGGCAGCGACTTAGAGTTTTGATCAACAATCTATCTCCGACGACACATATATATACCACGTGAATTAAAACGAAAACCGTCATCCTACGTGTTTAATCCGTGATCCTTATCGGGTTGTTATCCAACTTGGAAGGCTCCAGTCAGAAATTTTCTCGCGCGAGTTGGAGCGGCGCGGTCACAACCTCGGAGGACTCGCCTGGTACATAGGTTGTATATGTACGCGGGTTACCTATTTGGAAGCGGCCGAAGCCTAGGGGGTCCTTAACCCATAATTGGTGAAGGTATATGCGCCCCCTGCCGTGGCCGAACGGCTATGCATCCACCGATTTCATACACTCGGTGCATCCTCAATGCAGAGCGCTTCACGATGTCTTCACAGCCCCATGTCTGATGAAGAAAAAGGAGAAGGGCACCGTCTCGGCCTCGCTTACTTACCCTTAACTCTGACAGGCCAGAGCCAGAAGCGAAAACGTTCAGGCAGAACTTTTGCCGCGCCGGCGAGGAGGAACCTTGGCATCGTGTCATTCTTTCATTTGTACCCAGACAAATGCAGAGGTCAGTGGCCAGCCGATATTATGGATTGGGCGTGGGTCGGAATCTGGTGTGGTGTCATATATGGGGGTCATGCATGCTGCTTGATACCTGCACTTGGACTGGCGCCAAGTACGACCCGAAAGTATATATATGTCACATTGTCCCTCCCTAGGATGCAGATGTGCGTACTTCATCCAGTCAAACGGGGCCGGATGGTATCATCATACCCGATGCAGGGGGATGTGTTAACGTGTTGGCGGCAACGCTCGACGTATGTCGAAAGGTAAAGGCGCGAGGATGCAATTTCACAAAGAGGAGAGCCAGGATGTCCAGGCTCGGAGAACAGGCACGTTAGAGTCTGTCACGGTTAAGGGAATATAGAAGTGCATTCTGTCATCCCGGACATAGACATAGACATAGACGTAGATGGAGATGGAGAACGCAAGAGCGTGGATCGAAATGATTCTTTTCTTTATTGTATACTGCTTGAGAAATGTCTTTTATCTTCTTTTGAGCCGGGTTTGCTCGTCTCGGCTCTCACCCATCACTCCTTGCCTTGCAAATGTGTAAAGGGGTCAGCGAGGAGTGAGTGGGGTGTGTGAACCAGGGCCGACTGACGGGTCCATCTCGTTTCTTCTTCAGTCGTGTCTGTTCAGCGAGATTGGAGCGCATTGGACTTGATTGGATTAGGGGTTGAGAAGAGGATTGAAAGGAAAAAAAGGTTACAATCGAGCGGAGCGGAGCGGAGCAGCGTTAGAGCAAGAGAGTGATAAGCTAGCTAGCTGCTGGCGGAAATTATTGGGTCTCATCGTCAATGAATCGAGAGTGTCGAGTCGTCGCGACTATCGGCTATCGATCGAGTGCTTGTTCCTGGCACTGCACGTAACATAAACGTCAGCCTGAACCCCGGTGAAAGATACTTGATGCTTACCATTTGCCAATACGCGCCGCGCCTCCTCAACAACTCACCATGCGTGCCATGCTCAAGAATCCTCGAGCCACGACCGACTTCACTCTCGCCAAAGACGAAAATTACATCTGCCTTCTGGATGGTCGCTAGCCGATGCGCGACAGCAATCACCGTCATACTGCACTGACCGACCAGGCGCTCGATGGCGGCCTGGACGAGCTTTTCGGACTGCGAGTCCAGACTTGACGTGGCTTCGTCGAGGAGTAAGAGTCGAGGATTCCGCAGGAGTGCGCGGGCCAGGCAGAGTCGCTGCTTCTGGCCGCCGCTCAGCGAACTTTGCGCGTTGATGCCTAGGGCGGTCCCGTAGCCGTCGGGGAGGGAGATGATGAAGTCGTGGATCTCGGCATCTTTGCAGGCTTGTTCGATTGTGTCATCGGCGACTTCTGACGGGTTGAGTCCAAGAGTTAAATTCTCACGGATGGTCCCGTCGAAGAGTTTCGGTTCTTGCGCGACGAGAGACAGGGCGCGGCGGTAGGATGATATTTCGATCTCGCGGACATCTTGGTCATCGAATAGGATCATGCCGGATGTTGGCTGGTAAAAGCGCTCGAGAAGGGAAATCACAGTGGTCTTGCCGCAGCCGGATGGACCCACCAAGGCAATGAATTGTCCGCTTTCGATGGACAGATTGAGGTTGCGATAGATAGGAGCATCGCGCGTCGGGTATTGGAAAGCGACGGATTGGAATTCGATTTTGGCTCCGGCTTTCGTGTCGGTTGGCGGTAGACGGTGGCCTTTGCTCGTGATTTTCTCTCTCCCCATCACTTCGGCTCGAAGTCCGAGAATTCGATTCGCTGCCGCCGTGGCTTGGGCGATATTTGGTGCGACGCTGAAAAATTGGCCGGCACCTTGTGCTCCGAGGACAATGGCGATGTAGACGACGAAGTATTGGACTGGGTTGTATTCGCGAGAAGCTAAAAGTTGGCCTCCATACCAGAAAGTCAGAGCCATTCCACAGAGCTCAATGCTATCCGAGAGTGCAAAGACCAGAGAGGCATACGTGGCCTTGCGCGTTGATTTTCGGATCTGGTCTCGTAAGAGTTGAGAGTACTTGCGGATGATGGCATCTTCCATCGTCAACGATGCCACCGTTCGAAAGGCTCCAATCGCCTCGGTCGCAAATTGGGAGCTGTGCTCGAACACTTGAGCATTCCATTCCTCGAACTTCAATTCGAATTGGATGCGGACGGATGCGGCAATCCAAATAACCGGCATGACCGAGAAGAAAGTCACCAGGGTCAATTTCCAACCGAATGAGAAGGCAATGGCGACACTTCCGGTCATGTTGAATATGGACACTAGAGGAAATACTCCGTTCAGACCAAGTAGTTCCTGGAGCTGCTTGTAATCGGAGGACAGGCGAGACATCAAGGATCCGGATGCGTTGGCCTCGGCGTCAAAAAATGATACCGGGTTTCGCAAGATGTTTCGGAAGTTCTCACGTCGATATGTCGATGAGACATACTGTATCGGTCAGAGCAAGCACGAGAGACGTCCTCGGACGTTCTAACTTACAACAGAGAGATGGTTGGAGCCGAATCCCAGGTTGAAATAGCACGTACTTATGCACAGAGCGAGGACGAAGAACATCAAGGACCAGAAATCGCCTCGTTCCTTCAGCTTCTCTTCGGTGAATTGGAACACTTCAACCAATTTGGCAAAAATCCAGGCCTGCAGTGAAAAGGCGGCTGTTTTCCACAGTCAGTTCACGGAGGATTAGAGAGGAACGCATGACATCTTACAGCCCGCTCCCATCGCTCCGGCCACGATCAGCACATAAAGCTTCCAATGCTTTCGTTGTTCGTACAAAAATCGGCCAACCGAAGCAAAGAATCCTTTTTGCTCGTACGTAGGGATAGCATCTTCAGCATCCTTCTTCGTCGATCCGGTTGGTTCTTTCTGTTCCAAACTTTCGAGACAGGCAATTTCATCGTCTGCGGTCGGTGCCGGGGCCGATTCAGCCTCAAGCTGTTGAGCATGGACAAGGCCTGCATAGAGACCGTCAGGAATGGACAGAAGATGCTCGTGAGTCCCTTCTTCCATCTTGCGGCCGTCACGCATGACGATGATATGATCAGCTTGTCGGACGGTGGACAGTCGATGGGCGATCACGATCGTGGTTCGATTTCGAGAAACGCGGTCCAGCGCTTTCTGGACGATTCTTTCTCCTCGAACATCAATCGAACTGGTTGCTTCGTCCAAGATCAGAATGGCAGGTTCTCTGATGATACTCCGGGCAATCGCAAGACGTTGTCGTTGACCGCCACTCAGCTTAATGCCACTCTCCCCGACTTTGGTGGAGTATCCCTATGATTGGTTTAGGAGTTGTGAACTCGTTTTTGGATGGGGGCAATTACATCTGGAAGTTGGTCGATAAATTCGTCCGCGAAAGCTTCTTTGCAGGCTCTTTTCACCCGTTCTTTCTTGGCCGCTTCGTCTTCGTTCTCCCATGGCGTGCCCACCAGTCCGAAAGACACATTGTTGAAGACAGTGTCATTGAACAAGAACGGTTCCTGCTGGACAAGCCCGATTTGCGATCTCCACCATTTGAGGTGGATCTCCGTGATGTCACGACCTCCGATCGTGATCATGCCCTCGTTCGGGGTCGGAAGCTCTGGAGGATCATCCTTTTCGGGCGGCGAGTCGTGATTCGGCGGCTCCGTGTCCGGTTCGGTGGACTTGGCCGTCTCGGTCGTGGTCATTTTCAACTCATACCAACGCTCCAGCAACGCCACGATCGTACTCTTCCCCGAGCCCGATGGACCGACCAAAGCTGTCGTCTTGCCCTTGCGAATCCGCGCATTGAACCCCTTCAGAACTGGAACATTCGCCCGAGTGGGATACGAAAAGAACACGTCTTGGAGTTCAATATCGTCATGCGGGGAGACATCTGGCTCGATCAATCCTTCGTACGAGATGGTATCGGCATCAATCATCGAGAAAAATTCGGTGGATGTACTGATAGCTTTGGTTATGGCCATGACCGGCGTCACCACGGAACCTAAGACGCCGACGACGATCAAGACGGAAAAGAAGACACTGGGGATCCAGTTAGGAGAAACAGAGAGACGGCCACGCCGGCGATTGGCTCACGTGATGACGGTGCTGATGCTCCCAATATGACCCTCACGAAAAAGTTTGAGGCCAAACCAGAAAGCCAATGCGAAACTGCAGTACATGGCGAAAAACATCGGGGCCAGCTGCAGACCAATCTGGGGGGACATGGCAAGTCCATGCCTTTGTGAATCGTCAACGTGGGAGAAATACTTTTCGGTCAAAGTCGGTTCTGCGCCCAACGAGAAGACCGCTCGAATCGAGCTAAACACCTCTGCCGCTATTGATGCCGCCTTTTCATTTGCCTTTTCGACCTTTTGGAATCTTTTAAGGACAAATGGCGTGGTGATGCTGTAGACCACGAGCACGAAAAGCAATGCCGAACTCGTGACGAGGGTGAGCGCCCACGAATATCTGAAGGCGATGGCATAGGCGGCGATCGTGAGAGCCATGGAGCTCAATAGGGCGTGGAGTCTGTCCGAGATACTCATTTGGATGGTATTGGCGGAACTGGTCACAGTGTTGGCCACCGTCCCGGTGGATACCTCATCGAGCTTCTTGATCGGCTGGGCGAAGAGGGATGTGATGTAGGAGAGTCTGAGTTTGGCCGAGATGCGAAGTCCTGTCGTACGAAAGCAGAACTGTTCTTGTCATTTTCCTTCCCACGGCAACGCAACACGGTCCCTTCAGATGCTCACCATGGAAATATAGGTCAGGACGAATTTCCCAATGAAGAGATACACCAGGTAGAGTCTAGAATGTTTCATCAGTCCCTTCGATGCCGAAATCCAACGCTGAAGGCGTACGAGAATTGGTTCACCGTTGATTTGAATTCGCCCTCAGTCACGGAGCTGTTAGGTAGAAAGTAGTCATTGAAGTTGCCGACCAGGTGTCCAAAGACGATGTTCATTAACGGTAGTGCCTAGTTGATATCAGAGGTGTATTTTCATGATGCCCCCTCTGCGTACAGTGCCGGCACCAAGCGAAGCCGCCAGACCAACAAGAAGAGCAACCCCATCTGTGGTCGACCGATGAGAAAGGATTCGCTGTGAGGGTATATGAGTACGTCAGAGGGTATCGAAAAGGGAGGGGACTCTGACCCAGTAGTTGGTGACCGGAGCTTTTTCGATCTTGTCCTTTTCCGTCTCTTTGATGTCGATGGCCGTATCTTCAGCGACTCCATTCGCAGGACCTTTGGCCTCGACGGAGTGCGCGTGGTCCGCAGAAGCGCTCATGTTGGACCTGGGCGACTACGTTGAGGAACGCGTGGAGTCAAGGTGCTGGATAAGCCATATTTATCGTGAAACCGCAAGAACCACTGAGTCCAGTCATGAAGGGATATTATTCTGGTCGGCTGTGAATGATGCACCCCCCAACGTCCCCCACCAAAAAGCAAAAGTCCAAGGAGTTCGAGAGTCAAATGCTTACCGGGCGTTGCGTATTTCCCCGGATGGTTAGTGTGCAGGCCCACCTAGTCACATGCATGACTCACTGCCATTGTGACGAAAGGAAATACGAATACGGATACCGCCATTGGCTGTTTGTGGGGATTGTTTGATTGACGGAGCACTGGGATAATGTCTGAAACAGTGCTGCCTGGTTCGAGCGGTGGATGCCCCCTTAGCACTCGTAGGCGATGCTTGATATACCATACTACATTGCTTTGCCCAACACATTCCGCCGTCCAAATCCATTGCCAGAGGCCCCGTCATCCATCAATAAATATATGTAAACTCATCATTCTGACGATCCGTCAAATCCAAGAATGCGTTGTCACCCAATCTTTGGCCGCCTTCGGTCTCATCCATGGCAACATATTGGTCCTCCATCGAATGGTCTTTGATCACGGCTGTCTTGCCATTCTTGACTCTCTTTCTCGATTGGAGCTTATTGAGGAACATTAAATTGGCCAGCTGGATGAAGATGACCGCGACCATGGTCACGAAGATGGCCAAAACTTTGCGCAACCCCGGGTGATAGGCCGGCGCATCCTCCTTGCTGAAGAGCAGGGGTCCGATGATATTGCCCGAAGAGGAACCAGCATTGTACAGGGACATGATGACCGATTTCTTCGTACTGCCGGCCGTGTTTCCGACAATCCACGAGACAATGAGAGGATTGCCTCCGAAAAGGAAGGCCAGGAGGTAGTACGCCACCAAAAGGCCGGCGGTCTCGCCGGATGTGCGCGGCAGGACGTACAGCACGGCGAGACCGGCAATGACAGGAAGCATCAACGCAGCCAGGACGACGGACTTGACTTTGGCTTTTTGTGCGGCGTACGAGGCGAGAAGGATGACCAGCACTTGCATCACGCCAAATGGGATATTGAGCAACGAGGTCTTGTACTTGTCGAAGCCCACCCCCTTCAGAATGAGGGGACCGAAGGTGTTGGTCACGGCGGCGCCCACGTTGAGAAGGAGGGACAATCCAATCCAGAGGTACGTCTTGGGCTCCCATGCGAGTTCCGCGATGTGACGCCATTTGAATTCGCGGTTGCCCGTCCCGGTCTGATTGGCACGGAGACGTTCAATGGCCTGTGCCTTCTCGTGCTCGGTCAAGAAGCGAGCCGACGGAATATCATCGTCTAAGAACCACCACACAATGGGTGCGGAAACGATGGTGACCAGGCCGACAAACAGGAAAATGATTTGCCATTCGGCCAACACATCGGAAGGAATGTGCCCCAAGCCGTATGAGAGTGCGGATGCCGCGATCGTGGCCAGACCGTTGGTTCCATACCACGCCGCAACACGGATGGGTTGCTCTGCGCGACGATACCACTGACTGGTGATCACACTGAAGAGCGGAAGACACCCGGCTTCAAACAATCCCAAGAAAAAACGGGCGGCAATGAGAGAGCCGTAATTGTGGCACGCCGCCATGGCGGCTTGAGCAATTCCCCATCCCAAGCAGAGTGATGGCATCAAAGTTCGATGGGGAACCTTGACAATCAGGAACGACGAGAAGGGTTGCCAGGCGAGTTGGGCAATCGGCGCGATCGAGCCCACAAATGAGTATTGGTCGCCCGTGAGATGTGTGTCTTCCTGGAGACCGAAAACTGCGCCGTAGCCGAGAACGGATTTGTCGAGAATCTGGAGGAAATAGACCCAGACCAGGATGGTGAGGATGACCCGATCGGTCTTTCTTCTTATCCGTTTGTTCTGGATGGACGGATTAATATTCACATCGACATGTGGTCGGTGTTCCACGTACATCTTCCTCGGTGAGCTCAACTCGTTGATCTCCAACAATGGCGAGAGCTCGGTCGCCATGTTTCACGGAGACTCTCCGTTCGACGATCTCTTTGGAGACCGGCCCAGACTCCACATCTTCGTCGTGAGCCATTCGAACAGTCTTTTCGTCCAAGGCGGCCATGGGGAATGGAGAGGGAGATGACCGGAGATTCTCGCTTTGCCCTGTGTCTCGGGCGTAAGGCCAGTGGTCTACGTTGGAGAGAGAGATACGTCGGAGAGAGCTGGCGGACAGGACAGATTTTATACGGTTGGGGGAGCAGAAGCCGGAGCATCAGAAAGTTGATAAATAATGATGTGGGGTCTGGGCAAACATCATTCCACCTTCCAAATCAATTGAAACTGGATGGAATGCGAAGAGAAGCGTGGACATGGTATCCGGGTTTTGAAAAAGAGCAGGACCAGGGTTTTTTCGCGGGCCGGGTAATGAAAATGATAAGCCGTCGAGAGGCAAACTGACTTGGAGGTGGACATGATGCCGCCAGGAAAGTTGCAACCCCGCAAATGAACTGACTGATCGGCAATTGAAAAGGCTATTGACTCCCTCATAGCCTTTTTGGGCCGTTCAGTGCTTTGTATTTCTGCTTCCCCGCCGGCTGAATTTCAGCTCGCTTCCAATAGATGGTCAGTCCGAGTTTTAATCGGTTAAGCCCCCCTGGTAAAGACTTGGCACTGTGCCTGTTCTCTACCCGCGGTGCGCACTGAGTGGGGGTTGTCCGCCCATCCTCTCTTCCCCCACGACTTGCACTCTCAATTTCGCAGCTCTCGGTCAAAAATCCCATTTGGAATCCGAGGGTGCCTGATACCCTCCAGCTTTTATTTTTGATATATAGCCTCACGCCGTCTCCATATTTTTCAAGGTGTTCTCCGACCATACCCCGTTTCAACCGCGTCGAATCGGCCTTCCGTGGCGTATTTCAAACTTGTCGACATTGACCCTGAGCCCTTCTTTTCGGATTCTAGAAGCTGACTCTATCTAGACCACTCCATATTCTTTCGTCCACCTCAAATGCTGTCTCAAATGCCGTTGCCGAGCTCCTCATGTGCCGATCGTATCACCTCTATTCGACAATAAGGTTTCCTGGCGAACGCGGATCTAAGCGAGTCGACCTCGTTGGACCCATTCCCAATATCTGATCTTGTATGATCATTCAAACAAAGTGAATATGTGGAATTGCATACGAGTAATCGGTCCGTGAGTCACAGAATAGCAATAACCGTGCAGGTTGGCGTCCTGAGGTATGGCTGAACTCTATCACTCAGGGCCAGGTGAACGTATTCTGGCATGCTCAGATTGAGTCTCGTTCGGAGCACAGAAGGCTCGAATTTAAGACATTGATCCCCCCAGCGAAAAGAGCCTTGTGAGAACTTCATCCGGCGCCCAGGAGCTTCGTGGTGGAGATGTCTTCTTGATGCCTTATGTCAGTCTTAATGAGTCCAGATGCAGGTCCCCCTCATCAAATGCTAGTGGAGTATCGACATCTTAGACGGAGGGGGGATGAGATGATCATAACAGCTGATAGCGTGGATCAGGTGAGAATTGTACAGATCAAAGGGTGAGAGTCACCCAGGCAGCAATAGAAAGATTGAGCAGACGTACGGGAGAGAATGGGAAGGCTGTCTACCGCCCCCCGGGGGTCCGGTTGGACGGTCTCAAAAAGCCTTCAATACCCAAATTTTCCGCGAACCCGACATTTCCAATCAGGAGGATGGGTTTTCCTCTTTGCGCTAAAATCTCCCTTTCTTTTTTTTTTACCGTTCTTCATCCACTTTCTTCCCCTTCCAGACCCTTCTCTCCCACTCCTCCCAATCAAAGACTCCAGTGCCCTCCATCCACTCGCCCGGCGCTCTCTGTTCAACCACCACGCCCTCCTTGTCCTTGAAAAACACCAAGCCTCCCGGAGCCTTTCTCAGGGGATTCCCTTCTCCCTCGCCCGACCTGCCCACCGGTCCGATGTCGAACCCACAATTCTGGTAGAACCGCTCCTTTCCGTCCGCAGCTATCACGCTCGTTGCGATGCCTTCTTTGCGTGCTTGCTCCAACCCCCACGCCACCAGGGCACGACCGGCCCCTTGATTCTGATAAGCTGGATCTACGGCCAAGCATTCCAAATACCATGACTCGGCACGGGGACCGAGCCAAATATGGTCGAGGTAGTGGTATGATTGTTCGATGATGTCTTCGTCTGTGGGTGAGGCGGCGCGGTTGGGAGAGAAGAAGTTAAGGATACGCATGGAGACTGAAGTCAGGGGGCTCAGCAAGCGTCCTGTTTGTTGTTGGAAAGTCAGTCAGAGGTCTTTCAAGGACGGTCAAAGTCCCGAGGCTATGTTGAGAGGGAAGAATGGAAAAGTAGTCGAATACCAGGAGCACAGCTGATAGGTCAAGTAGACTATCAGGACGCTCGTCTCTCTCTCACAAGGCTGTAGTACGTTTCCCCCCACCCCCGGGGTTGGGGTGAGCCCAGTCCCGCCCGAAACACCATCGCCGAGTGCCATATTCGATCATTTAGCTGCATGACTTCGTTGGTCCACGTTTTATCCCGGAAGGGGTTTTCTCAATCAAGCTCTTGGTCGTTTCACCATCGGCAACGGAGACCTAGGCGACGAGAGAAGTTCACAAGCCTGTCCGCTGCATGTCGATGCGGAAGGTATTTTCTCGTTCTCGTGCGGTGCTTTCTGCATCCGGCACACCCTGAGGCGATGTCACTGGCTTCCCGCGGCAAGAACAAGCAAAGCTTGTGGTTGCAAAGCGACTAAGGGGGGCATTCGCTGACATGACTCTTGAGCCCTCCATCTAGAGGGCTTGAAGCCGACCGGATCGCCTGGACGCCATCTATTGTGTTCACCCAACCCGAAGAGCGTGTGAAGAAGGATGAACCGCAGGAAAACCCCCGCCGCACCCAAAAACAGAGAAGAAGGACGAGGGAGACGAGCGAGAAGTAAAGATTATGCAAAGAGAAACAAGAAATTTCAATCGCACTTACGCAAATCCCACCATGCGAGGTCCCAGCCCGCGGCATAGTTCTTCCTCCGACTAGGGCCAATACGACTCCAGTGCGCGAACCCGGTAATGATTTCCCTCTGCGTGGCTATCCCTGGGCTTGGATTACGACTATCATCGACATCTACAGTCTCGGTAGCCACGAGAAACACATCGTTCCACTTCCAGAAGTCGACCACGAACCGACGATACCAGTACTTGTCGACATCAAACGGGTATTTCGCGCGGTATGGGTGAATCAGACGGCCGAAGAGGACGTCGTCCCAGAAGGCGAGACGGCAGATGCGCGCAGCGCAGCGGAGGTCAGAGAACCGCGCGCGTCGAATGGTGAACGGACGAGATGTGGAAAGAGTTGGCACTGGTGCTGATGCTATAAGGGACATGCTTGCGGTGGGATACTGGTGTCAATCCTGCTTAGGGCTGACGCTTCCACCCTCCACGCCTTCGTGTGAGAATTGATGCCAGGAACCTGGATGTTTTCTCTGCTGACCGTCGGTGGAGTGCAGATGCAGAACGAAAACGAGGCTGCTGGGGACTTGAACTTAGAGGTTGTCGTTGGGCAGAGGGATCTGATGGGACGACAAACGCAGCTGGGTGACGTTGGGCATGGCGCTCCGTATTTGGAGAGGTCTTGGCTTCTTCCTCAATCACTTATCCGTGGGATGGTATTTGCTGATCTTGAGAAAGATCGAGTTTGTAGCTGGTGGGGCTGCTGCTGGAAGGAAGAAACAGTCCTCGTGACGATTCCCTTTTCCCAGGTGCAGACGCCTGGATCTTCTTGAACTTTCTAGGAAAATTTGTTGTTCGGTCGATGGCTAGCGCTACACCAAGTCCTCGTCAGCTACCTAGCTGTCTCAGGGAACGGGGATAAATTCTCTTGATCGCGCCAGTAAACCGTTTCAAATCTCTCTCACGTTTGGCTTGCTCTTTCTCTGCAGACTGAATATGACTAACTCCGATTTAACAGAGACGAAAAAGCACGTGCCAAACGGGGCATAATTTCGCAACCCCTGATCCTTGCCCGACTATGCCTTGTGTATGCGCGTAAAAGAGGCGACGGGGGGTTTGGGGTAAAAGCTCAGCCTTAGGGCCGCAGTGAGACACTGTGGCGTGGTTGGTGAGTTTGATTTGGAACAAAATCATTTATCAACCTTGAACCTCGCAAACATCCTCCTACTTGCTTGGCCCCGTGCACAGCAACAGTGACGAGACGAGTGATGCAATGCTGAGAAGCTGTGATGGTGATGAACCTGGCAAAGTGTGACAACCATGACAACGAGACACTGAGAAGTAAAAATCTAGGCAGCATCGATGTGCTTTCCCCACGCTAACAGTTGTCATTTTTGTTTCCCAAAAAAAGAAAAAAAAGGAAAAGAAACAAGCTCTTGTATCGTCTAGGTCAAGTCCAGCATGGCGACGATCTGATGGCCCATCGCTTCCAAGTTCCCGGCGGGGGCAAGATTATTGCCAATCCAACCGTCTCTTGGACTCGACGGCGCGCCAGATCCAGTTAGGAGGGGAGCCTAACACCCGTCAGGTAAACAGTCTCTTCGGGCCCAGAGCATCAGGGGAATCCAGGTGCCGATGAACGCCGCCCAATATCTCGAGTCGACTGAGGTGGACATTGGATATGATGGATAGAAACGAGAGTGAGCGAACAAGGCCGAAAACAGCGACCCTTGCCCGTCGCGAGTGGGAAAATTCTCATCGCCATTGCTTCAAGGAGCAGTGTGTTTTCCTTCCCATTCGTATATGTGCCGCGGACTGATAATACTGTATGTGTCTAAGATATACCAGATATTTCATTCACCTGGCCCAGTCTTGTAAAGGTTTTTCCCCCTTGTCGGTTTTCGATCCTGATCTTATTCAAACGACGCCACATACTCTAAGTCCCGTGTATACCTGTAGTGCAGCACGCCCCAACGTTAGATCCTCTAGTAAATACCGAGTTCGTAGGTTGGATGGTCCACGATCATCCGCCCAACAGACAGATAAATCTTAAACCGCACGTGGCTCGGTCTCATAGTGGACTTTCCACTGGACATCCTTGCGAATGATGTGATCTTGACTCCCTCCACTCTCGATGGACTCTTGATCCCTTGCCGTGGCCGTAGTGACGGTGTTACCATGGCGCATTTGTTGAGGCAGCGTCGCCTGTCCTTCGATATCATTGTACGACCTATTGGCAGATCTGGACTTGGAGGTACCCTTTCCCTGGACGGATCCAAGCTCATATCCACCACCGTTGCTCCGACCATAACGTCCCGAACCGTACAATTGCGTGGTTGAGGGGTCGAGTCGGATGCCAAAGCCGCTGCTGAAGCTCTTGACGAAGGACTTGAGGTTCGGAATGGTGGCGGAGATCAGGGACCAGCAGAGTTGCACTTGTTGGAGGACGAGGACAGGGACCAGTGCGATGCCCGGATTGCTGGAGTTGGTGTAGTCGGAGACAAATTTGAGGTGGACGATAGATACCGCCGCCACACTGCGAACGTGAGAAGCCTGTGGCAGAGCAAAAAAATTGAGGGGGCAATACTTACGGCAAACGGAACGCAAAGGCGAGGATAACCTGCAATTTCAGCGCAAAGGCCAGTTGAACGGGCAGGACATTGAAAGTCGAGATGAGCACCAGGATACATTCTGTAGCCACGTCGAATGCGGTGATTAGTTGCCAGCGCAGAAACTGTGTGAACGCACCGATTAATCCATCTTTCTCATATTCCGCCGATGTCGTCGGTGGAGGTGCCTACCTGGTGTGAACATTGTGCATCATCAACGCGAATGAAATATGCCACGGAACAATTGAGTGAAAGGGCCACGACGGACAAAATCCCCCACAGAGCCATTGCAGCAAGAATGGCTAAGCAGGTCCAATAGAGGATTTGCGAACGAGTGTGGCTTTGCGCTTTAGGTCCGCTCAAATTAAACAGTCTCATCATCAGGCAGAGGGTTGATGCTTTGGCCGCCGCGGCGGAGAGAATGAAGAGTATTTGACCGGCGAAGGCGGCCTGGACACACAGATAACAGAATCAACACACACACACACACATGACATAGGTTGCTGGGGGCGCGGTGCTTCCTTACTTTGCTCGCCATTTCCAACTCACTTTCTCGAAGAAGATCTTGTGTTTTACCCAAGCCATGGTCGAGGCCAATGATCACGGCCACAACTTCTCCGACCTGAATTGTCTAGATATACGATTAGTGGTGGGGACTTGGGCATGAATGGGGTCTATTTGACTGACGGTCGCGGCGAACGCCAAATAATCGTCCACTCCGTACATTTTCCATCGCAAATGGCCTCTCAATGCCAAAGTGATGACCGAATAGACTAGGCAGAGGAGAGCGGCGATCCAAACAGACCCAGCATGATCATCTGGGGTGATGGGAGAGAAGCGATTTTCATCCAGAACGCTCGTCATGTTGAACTTCTGATGACGGTGAACGAACGTGAAGAACAACCGGAAGAGGATACAAGATATGGGGATGTAGATGTGGACGTGGCTATGGATAGACTGCTAGACAGCAGATCGAGGTCCGTGATGTCGATCAACTAGGATAGTCGGATTGGGGACCCTACACGGTCTTCCCCCATGTCTTTGCAGATGAATCTGACAGGGAACTGCGTCAAACCCAGGCAAGGCGCCGTTACCCCCTCGAAATTCGAAATTTGGCTTCCGTTTGTTTCACAGGACAGAGTTCAGAAGCCCAAATATGGATGGATGGATCGGACAGAAAGTTTGTCCTTGTCCTATCCAGGAAGAGGTTCACCCTAAAAGCATCGTCCCCGGCACCCAGGGTCGGAACTTGAATTGTGTGGCTTCTCGATGATACACTTGGCACGGCAATTCGTTGAAGCAAGAACAAGCCGTCCGGTCTTTTTCGAAGCAACCACAACGGTAAGGGAAATCAATGCCCGCCGTAGTTTCCTGTGAAGAGAGAAAAGGATGCAAACTGCCAGACACCTTTCAGGAAGCGAAGTGACAGACAAACTTAGTGGACGCCCACAGCAATGGCTTTGTCGATCACTTTATTGAAAAAAAATGCCATACGGACTTCCGATAGGCACATTCTGTAGAGAAGGTTGGCCGAATCAGACTTCCTAACGAAAGTTGCAGAATATCTGGATCAGCTGCCAGTGATGGTTTTTTGCGCTCCTTGGACCCTGAACGGTGTCATCTACCAAGTTGACAGATGTCGACCGGACGCTGCCCGTAGCAAAACCCTTCAGCTGGGGAGTGGATGACAGCCGTGAAAAGTGTGGCATGATATCTTGCCCGTTGAAGATGTTGTTAGAGGGTGCGTACGGGCTCGGCCAGCCTGCAGTAGCGTGGAGTGTGTAGTGGCAAGGGTCCATTAGCGTCATCACAGAAGCATATCCCTTAAGAATGAAAGCCTCTTGGATAGTCGCCCTTTTTGCTTGTGTCAATTGATACGGGAAATATCTAACGCCGCTTCCTCAAAGGCTCAGGGGAGACAGTTGACAAGATACATTTTGCCAGTTGATTCGACGCCGCTTACGCAAATACGTCCGGAGGAATCATCGCTTCTTCGGGGTTTCGATGCAGATAACTGGCTCTCTGGATCGCGCAGGGTCCGAAGCCACTCTCCAGGAGAGATTTGAAACTGGATTCTGGATGGTTGAATGGTCTATGGCCTTTCCGGGTTAGACGTGCAGCAAACACTGGTACCAACTCGATAACTCCGGATATGGTCGTGGATCCGGCTTCTTGGATTCAGATCCTCTTGCGGGCCGCAAGGTTGACAGGGAGAGGTGCGGAATTCCATGTCCAAAGAACCCCCCTGAATAGACCCGACTCCTTGAGAAAAAGTTTGGACCTGTCTGGAGAAGGTAGATAGAGGAGAATAGGGTTGCAACAAACTCGGGAGTCTCGAGAACATGTGCCATGCAAGGACATGATTCGTGCCTGGATGCACCAGGGAACGGTGAACCACGAACCCCTTCCCCCCGCGCAGACGCAGATCCACTCCCGTCTTTCGGCGAGTGAACCGCCAGCGAATCTCGCTCGGTGCCGAACGGAAGTCCAGGTTTTCCCCTCGACCCCCTTGTTCCAACTCTTTCATCCCATGTCCTTTTCTTTTTCTCCCTTCGGCTGCTTGCGTCTGTCACATCAGTAGTGCCAAAAATGCCCAGGACGAGTCTGCGGGCTGTGAAAATGCCTCCGTACCAAGGCCCTTATCAGCAACCCCCAGTCCGTCGTCGATGAACGGAGTACGTTTTGGTATTAGCTAGCGCAATTGACAGCCTTTGTCGCAATGCTCCTTCGTCTATTCTGCTAACTTAGCGGTGCAGGGAGGTCTCTTCCATCCTCGCGAAAATCCTGGCGATGAAAAACAACACACACCTCTTGACGTTTCCTCCCTTGACTCAGACTTTGTTCGATTTGCTTATCACATTCTCCTACGTCTTTCACCAACTCCTGAATGCTTGACACGATCCCCCCAGTCGTGTGGCCCCTTGATGTTGCGCTGGTTGGACGACCTGTTGATACAGCGTTTCTCACGACCGCACTCGAGGCTTGCCACATCCATCCAAGAGATCCACTTTGTCACTAGCGTCAGTCTCCCCCGGCTTGATGTAAAGTGGGACCTATGGCCAAACCATCCTCATATATGCCAGGACAAAAGCCACCTCATCCAAACCACTCCTCTATTGGATCGCCTTTGCCAGCATTGGTTGGCCAAGTTGACAAGGTCTCTTCTCGCGCCGGAGAGGCGTGAGAAAGCTGTCCGACCGGCGTGCTTAGACTCGCGACGCCAAACCTGCGGCATCTCTTCCTCCGATGCAAGACTTGTCTTTGGTATTTTGACCATGTGCTCCAGAAAGCATGCTTGACACTTGACGGATCCATGCTTAATGGCCCTATTGATACCTTGAATTGGGCTTGCATTGGTCGTGTATCCAGGAGCTATGGATCCAGTCCCCTCGGTCGAAGTGAGTACCTTCGCTTAGGCTATCCTGGTGCTGGTGAAGATCTGCAATTTGGGAGAACTACATGGATATTGGTTGACACATGGCAGTCGTTTCCTCTCTTCATTTCCTCAAGTTCCTGGCAGATTTTTCTCCCTTTTCGCTGTAGGCACAGGCTGATCTTTTTGCTTTCAGGCACCTCAGTGACGACGCTTTCTCTCCTCTAACCTTCGCGCCGTGCTTTCTGTTGGTCATCTAGTTCTTGTCCCTATCGCTTCCTCTTCCAGGGGAGCATCGAGCTCTGAGTTACTCCGGATGGCCGAACCAAAGAACGCTGGGATTGTTACATCCCAAGTCGACATCGAAATATCGAATGAAAATGTTTCGGCAGAAAAGAAAGGTACCTCCAATGATCAACGAGATATGTATCGCATGGGCAAGGCCCAGGAGTTGAGAGTGAGCGGGACCCAGAACATCAAAGGACCAACCGTGGCTGACAATCTCAGCGAAATTTCCGTTTCGTCTCCATTTTTGGCTTTTCCATGATTCTGATGGCCAGTTGGGAAACAATGTTAGGGTCAGTTGCGACCGACTCTGAATAGCGTCAGGAGCGCCCGTTGATGGATGAATAGCACATCGATTATTGGTTTGATCAATGGCGGCACTGCAGGCATGATCTGGCTGTATCTCGTCGCGTGGATTGGTTTTCTGGCTGTCAACACATCCATGGCGGAAATGGGTTCCATGTATGTCCTCTCCATGTGACAACTTTGTCGTTGGGCTTGGGGTAACAAAGCCGTTCAGGGCTCCGACATCTGGCGGTCAATATCATTGGGTTTCCGAGTTTGCGCCAAGGACATACCAAAAATTTATCAGCTTCATCGTCGGTGAGCAGAACGAATTCACCGACGTTGATATTTGTCTGACAATTTGCCAGGCTGGCTTTGCGTCCTCGGATGGCAAACGGGTGCTGCCAATACCGGTAAGAAGAATGGCTTTCTCCAAATTTTCCTTGACCCGAGGGCTAACGAGAATGTAGCCTTTCTGGCGGGCACTCAAATCCAGGGGTTGGTGGTTTTGAATTACCCCGACTATGTTCCGGAACGGTGGCATGGTACCTTGTTGACCTTCGCCGTGGCCTCATTCTCCGTCTTCTTTAACACCTTCCTCGTGAAAAAGCTACCCTTGGTAGAAGGAATTGTGCTTATTGTGCACATTTTCGGCTTCTTCGGTGTTCTGATCACCCTCTGGGTGTTGGGTCCTCGAGGCAATGCTCATGATGTGTTTACGCAATTCAACAACTACGGTGGCTGGAGCAGCAATGGTCTCTCTGCATTGGTGGGTATCCTGGCGGTCATGATCCCTCTGCTCGGCGCCGATGGAGCGGTTCACATGTCTGAAGAACTTCGGGATGCCTCCAAAGTGCTACCGCGAAGCATGATATGGACCACGGTCTTTAACGGTGGCATGGGCTGGATCATTCTCATCACCTTCTGTTTCACTCTGGGAAACCTCGACGATGTCATCAGTTCACCCACCGGACAGCCCTATGTCGCCGTATTCTATAACGCCACCCAGTCATATGCAGGCGCATCGGTGCTTTCTGCGCTTGTCATCTTCATGGCTATGTTTTGCAACCTATCCATCACGGCGACTGCATCTCGTCAACTCTGGTCATTCGCTCGTGACCAGGGTATTCCAGGAGCCGCCTGGTTTGCCTATGTACACATGTCGTTCTCCTGTTTTGAGAATTTATTGAACTGACCACTTTCACAGGTACGACCGGGTTGGGATGTTCCAATGAACAGTATCGTCGTGTCGTTTGTCGTCTCCTGCCTCTTGTCTCTGATCAATATCGGGTCGACGATCGCCCTCAACAACATCACCTCACTGTCTCTCGTCGCCATTCTCTCCTCGTACATCGTCTCCATTGGTTGCATCTTCTGGAAGCGACTGACCAATCAGCCACTTCTGCCGGCCAAATTCACCTTTTCTCGACCCATCGGCCTTTTCTTAAACGGGTTCAGCCTGATGTTCCTCACTTTCGCTTTTATCTTCGCCTTCTTCCCCGGAAATCCCGATCCGACCGTTGAGGAGATGAATTGGGCCTGTTTGATTTATGGTGCGGTGTTGATCTTCGCTGTTATCCATTACTTCGTGAAGGCTCGACATGTCTATGACGGTCCGGTGGAATATGTGCGAAAATTGGTTTAGATCAGATGCTCTACCTGCATTTTGAAGACGTTACTTTGCTTTGGAAGAGGGAGTTTTGAGTCTGGCTTTGAGCCGAGGCACCAAACACTCTCTAAACGGGTTCATAAGTCGAACATCATGCCTTAACAGTCGAAAATGGTCGATTCGAGGGACCTGAAGAGCTGTGAGATATAGATTCCTACCAACGAATGTATTCTGTCAAAGCCACATCGATCTCATGAACTGTCACGTCCGTAGATGCGTTCCCTCACGAGACGTTGCGGTGTCTGGTGACAAGTTTTTCGGCATTCAGTAGGGCAGACTCTCCCTAATATGCGATCCAAGGATCCTGGAGATGGCAAAAGCCGCCTCGTCAACCAATCATGTGAGGCCGGAGACGAGGAGTATTCTGCCTTGTTCCCCCCCCCCCCCCCCCCCCTCACCTTGGATCAGTCGTATATTTCCCTGAGGAGGGATGTGAAGACTTTGTCTTCCATTTCCTCTCTTCACATCCATCAGAGATGAGACGGGGGAACAGGAGCCGGTTACATTGAGTCATATCTCATTGTTTTAGTTCTGTCCTACCTGGCGGCTTCGTGGATCGATCTTGTGGAACTGGTTAGAATGCGCCATGGCGCTGGGTCTTCACATTTCCCCAATTTGGAAGCAGCCACGACGACTCGTATCATATCCCACGATCTCGGGGTTCAATGTTCAAGCTCCCAGGATGAACTGACGTGATTCGTCCGTGGCGCCTTGTCGGTCACGACCATTTGCGAGGAGAGTTTCTTCCAAACTACCAACTGCCTATTTATGGAGAGCCAAGATTGAAATTCCATGGAGAGCTGCGGTGTGCTCGGGTCTGAAACGTGTGAACGGTCAGGGACGGAAGAGGGATACAAGAACTTGGGTATTCAGTTTCAGTCGGTTCTCGATTTTTCATTTGTTCCCTCCCGGTGATTCCAGCTTCTTTCTCTCCTCTTGTTACTTCAACTCCTCTCACGGTAATCGAAAAACCCTCTCAAGAAATACTGATCATTCAAAGTAGAGTCATAGCTCCTCACGCCGGGAATAGTGTCAATGAGCACCACCTCTTCCTCAGTCAGCCTCGACTTCAGCACATTTTCCAACGTGATTGACGGCAAGCTCTCGTCTACTGGCAAGAAAGAGTTCAAGGTTTGGGCCAGAATACCATGCGCGGAGAGGCAAAATCCCATGCAAGTATTCGCGGACGCCATGGCAAAAGTGGAGGATGGATTCGCACAGACGTTGACGCAAGAGCAAGGAAAGCAGGTGAGTTTGGTATTTGAACAGATTCTGGTACCCTCGACAAACTGACATTCTTTTGATTTAGCAGATTCATTTCGCAATCTTCGAAATGGACTTCACCGTTTACACCCGACGGCGGGCTGAAAGTGGCTGAGTTGGCTCAGAAATTCCCCCTTCCCTGATGTTGTGTAGGCCCTCAGCGGAGACGACAACCTAGCCATACATGGTTGACAACACATCTTAGCAAGAGGGTCGTGGAGGGTGTGAGCAAGACGTTGAAATATGTCACTCGGGAGCTGTAGGTTCTCTTTGGTGGATCTAGAGATTGTTCATGGTGGACTGACTTCGGCTGTCGTCCGCAAATGATGTGAAGTGGTACCACAAGTGAATTTCCCATTAAAAGAGAGAATCAATCTTTGCTAAATCAAATGGCAGAGTGCAACACTCGCCTTCCTGAATTCCGGCCCGGTAGATCCTTACCTCCCAGTATTGTGGACGATCAACAGGCTTATTCAATATATCTAGATCTGGCTCGCCCCTCAAACGCGTCTTCGTCCACGAGATCGATAAGGAGGAGTCGAATGAGGTTGTGGGAGGACCAATCCAGATGGGCCGGTATTTTATCATACCGACCATCATCGATCGACCCTAGGAGGATTCGAGGCTACTGGTGGAGGAGCCATATGGTGGGTTTTCGGCGCTCTGCGGATTTGGTTCCATGGCTGGCCAGGCCATTCATCTGGTCCAATCATGTCACTCCTCATCTTCAGCACTGATATGAAGAAGCCATCGACAAAGCCGAACATACCAACTACGGCCTGGCCGCATCGGTCCGGTGAGGCAGCATCGAGTGCGCTACAGCCATCGCAGTGCCACTCGAGTTGGATCCCAGGGCACCATTCGGTGGGCACAAGGAAAATGGTACCAGAACTGAATGTGGGATGTGCACACTGCAGTTGTTTCGCCATTTGCAGACTTCGTATCTGAAGAAGTGACGAGGCTGGTAATCGGCCGTCAGGACATGTTGGAGGTGAGGGAGCCGGGCTACGAGGGACATGTGGAACCAATTGCAGGTGATGGGAATATGATATTACAGTGCTGGGAATCCTGAAGCTAGGCAAAATGATATCTTTGGCACGTTCAAAGTTCCTGTCGTTCGACAAACTCTGACTCAGCCGGATTATCTGATAGCCCCACACTGAGGGTAGCGTAAGGTGGGGAGAGATTAATGCCGAGGCCGGGCGTCTTTGCGGGGAGATACATGCTTGCCCAAGGGCCACTTGCACTGCGCCTTAGAGCTGCATCTCACCTCCCACACACGATCTTCAACGACCACGGAGGCATTGAATTCTTCTTCCAAGATTCAAGACCATCATTGGCGTACCAACCACCAGGCCTTCGTTCGGCCCGACTCAGTCTCCTGCGGTCACGGCATGTCGTATCTGCTTTTCCCCGTGCGAGATCTCGTATTGGCGTCAATCTTTTTTTGCACCACGACACACCTCTCTCTTTGGCCTGCCACCATCTATCATCGCACCTGAACTCACGATCCCCTCCGGGCCAACCATGCTAGCTGCTCTACCGGCTTCTCTTTGCCAACATGTCCGAAACCAACCGCCCGCGTCTTGATCCTTCTCCCGGAGCTTCGGCCATGACCGACCAATCCGACCCCAACCCCGGTCCGTCCTCGGACGTGAAACGTCGATCTAGCAGAACAGATCCTCGACGACGATTCGAGTGCACATATGCTGGATGCGGTCGACACTACTCTCGTGCTGAGCATTTGTATCGCCATCAGTTGAATCGTATGTTTCCTGCCCCCGACAAGGGTTGCCCGTCACCAAGATAAAAGCCATCACTAATGTGATCCAGACAATCCCAAAGAGATCTACAAATGTGATTATCCAGGATGTACACGTACGTTTGTACGGCAAGACCTCTGTATTCGCCACAGAGAGCGTCACGAGCATCGTGGAAAGTCGGCCTCGAGACACCCAGATCCCACCCGGGAGCCACTGTCTCCGAGGTCTTCCTTGAGCGAGGAAGCGGCCAACACTCCTGGGTCTCCTCCCAATATTTTCGCAACGCCCAGGCCATCCTCGGACGCATTGCCGTCTCCTCTCCTGGGACGATCGTCCTTTTCAGGAGAATCCACGCTCAAGGCCACCGATCTGCAGGCAATCATTCAGCACACCCAGACAAACGGGTTGGACGACCATGTCACCTCCCCAACCTACCCTCCGTCGCATCAACATCAGACGACTTCGCAACACAATCTTCATGGCACTCTCCCGCCTCCCGTGCCACCTCGGAACTATGCATTGATCAACATGCCCTCGGAGCCTCCCTTGTCCCTTCAGAGGTCCCACAGCACGTCCGAAAGTGTGTACGACAGCCTTGATCCCGCTATTTTGAGCAAGTCGGAAGCCCGACCAAGCAATTCGGGGACTCGGGCCACAAATAATCCCCCGGGACAAGACAAATCCACCGCCGCCTTCTCCGTATCGAAACTGTGCGACCCGCCTTTCAATGATTCACCTGTCTCCATGAGAGATGAATTCACGACTTGGCTCTTCGAAGATGCCGGCGGCCTTCAGACCGCCTCGTTTGCCATGCCTGGCCCAGGAAGCATTGGTTTTACAAACGCGTCGGACGCGTTTGGCAATGCAATCTACTCCAACTATTTTGCTGACCCGTCATTGGACCATGCTTACCCCGGTATGATGCAACCGCGGACAGTTGAACCCACGAACAAAGTCCTCGAGCTTTCCGGAGATAGTACCTTATTGTCGCATGCGAAACGCAAGTCCCTGATTACCTTGATGGAATATCGATTTAACGAAGGGGACAATCCATTCATCCGACAGCTCCGAGAGGAGATATTCCAGGGGAACCTCGATGCCGAGGATCACGTTCTGAGCATTCGCTCGATGCAGCATTACATTGGCTCTTACTGGTATCATTTCCATTCTCAGATGCCGATCCTGCATCAGCCCACCTTCTCGGCCGAAAACATTCACGAGTACCTGCTCCTCGCCGTCATGACCATTGGTGCGGCATATCTAAATAAAGCTCACGGGCGGTCCGTGACGGATGCAGCCGCCCAGCTGGCTACGTTTATTGCCTGGCATCTGCGGTGGCAAGTGTTCATGCATAACGATTTCCATCCTCCGGCCAAGTTGTGGGTCTTCCAAACCCTCATCCTATTGGAGATATTCGAGAAGATGAACGCGACAAGGATGTTTCATGAGCGCTCCCACATCCATTATGCGACGACGATCAATTTGATGCGACGGGGAACAGCCCTCGTGGACACGGCGAACCAAGAGTCCGCCCGCCTGCCCTCGACTGCTGAGGAATGGTGGAGTCGTTGGATCACAGCAGAAGCGACTCGTCGAGCCGCTTTCGCAGCGTTCTTCCTCGATGCCGTGCATGCCAACATCTTTGGTCATTCATCCATGATGGTGGTGCACGAAGTGCGTCTACCTCTGCCCTGCGATGATGCCTTGTGGTCGGCCACGTCCGCGGCGGAAGTCGGTCGCGTGGAAGCCAGCTTGCACGCCAATGGCATCAAGCCCACGACGTTCTTGGATGGGCTGAAGAAGACATTGACCGGTCGCAAAGTCCGCACCAACAACTTTGGGAGAATGATCTTGATGGCGGGCTTGTTATCGGTGTCGTGGCATATGAATCAAAGAGATCTCCAAGTTTCCAGTCTGGGTGTCTCTCAAACGATGGGGGTCCCAGATGGATGGCGGACTCCCTTGACCAAGGCTTTTGACTTCTGGAAGAAAGATTTCGATGAAAACCTCGAGCACATGCGAAGAGCGGCGCTCCCCTGGCAAAAGAATGACACCGTGTCCGGTGACGAGGATACGGCGAAGACGGCCAACGTTCTCCACCATATCAGCCAAATTGCCATGAATGTGGACATCTTGGATTGTCAGATCTTTGCAGGCATCAAGAGACTCTTTGGTCGCAACATCTCCAACGCCGATTATGAGAGAGTCAAAGCCAAAATTTTTGACTGGTCGAAAGGCCCGAGTGCGAAGGTGGCCGTGTATCACTCACTTCAACTGTTGAAATCCGTGATTTTACCCGGCAGAGATGGATCGAAGAAGCTTTACAATGCTCGCGATGACTACCTGTTGATGAGACCATGGTGTGTGTATATGGCCGCCCTGGTTGTTTGGTCTTATGGATTTGCCTTGGATGGTGTTCTGCGACCATTTCCCAGCCTTCTTCAACCCGCGTCCTCGCCCGGAGCTGCGTCGGTGCTGTCTCACAGTCCCACCCATTCGATGCTGAGCATGGCGCATGATGGCAGTGAGCTCCAGATCGAAGCTGTCGTGAAGGATGCACATGCCTTTCTCCAGACTGTGGGTGCCGTCAAAGGCCCGCAACAACTGGACTCGATCAAAGACGGGAGGAACAATGTCGTCGGTGTTTTAACGATTTTGGAAACGGCCTTCCGTGAATCAAGATGGGAATTGTTACATGAAGCTGCCGACCTCCTTCGCAACGCCATTATGCTGCTCAGAGGAGCCAGCCGCACATGAATCCTGCAAATTCCAGAGGCTCACTTTTCCAGGGCAACGTGCCTGGATCGGTGTCCCTCGTAATATGAGAATGCTTCGCCGAGAGGTGCTCCCATAGGGACACCATCTTCACGTTGTGCACTATTGCGGCGTTTGTCGTCAAGGCAATATTTCAGAATCACATGGGGAACTGCATTTACGTGCTTTCATTGGCCAATACTAAAAGGCATGACATATCCGGCCGTCTACCTTCCGCTTCTCCTACTAGCGCGAGGGACATTTTCGGCACGGTTCAACGAGGGCCGTAGTCTGTGTCGAAGGAAATTGTGGTCAGAGACCGGCTCCTCTTGAGGCACAGATCTGGCGTGTCAGGTGTGCCGGTGGGGCTCCTCTAACGTTCCCAGCCAATTTCCTCGTTATTCTTCGTCCTTTCCCAGACCCGGCTTGCTCGTTCGGATGGCTATCCAGTTTCCCCGTGAATATCTTGATGATACAAGGAATTTCTTGCCAGCCCTCCCGAATGCGTCTTCACTGCATCCTAAGCACAGAAACAATTTACCCCCCCGGTAACTTGAGAAGATGGACGGCTCTGGCGGTCAAGAGGGGAAATCCGTTGGGATGTCGTTAGCTTGCCTCTTTGTGGGGAAAAGGCGGAGACGAGCAGCTGCAGTTTCGGGCGCGCACACCATGAGTTTACTTCCAACCCCCACCTTGCAAAGACTTGCAGCCCGTGGGGGCTCCTCTCGTAACTCTCCCTGTTGCTTGCATTTTCTTCTCCAAACACAATCGGAGAACAAACGTGGACGCCCACGCGATCCGACAAGTTTAGTCACAAGTTTCACCGTTGAGCTTTGGATGCTGAGCCAGTGAGAATAAAAAGTGAATGCATGTCAGGCCCACTATTAAGTTGGGTTGCCACTGATTTCTCCCGGGAGGGCCTCGTGGGTTTCGTTTTCCTTTCTATTTCTTGAAATCATCCAGCCGATTTTGTTCACTTTCTTTCCGGTGAGTCGAGTGTGCGAATATGGCTACGAGTGAGCTCAAAACGCTGAATGGCGTCACCAACAGACATCATCCGGAAGTCCCAAGCATGCCACTGGCAAAAATAAAAAGCATCGAGTATTTCCGGGTCAAGCCTAGATGGCTTTTTGTTAAGATCTGTGATGATCAAGGTGGATATGGTTGGGGGGAAGCGACTCTAGAAGGTCATACCAAAGCGGTTGAAGGAGCCCTGGACGAAATCATTGACCGTATCATCGGTTACGAGGCGGAGTATGGCTCTCTTCCAATTCCCTGACTGCCGGTGTGTCTGACGAAATAGTGACATCGAACATATCTGGCAAACGATTTGGCGGCTAGGTTTCTACCGCGGAGGCCCTGTCTTTATGTCGGCCTTGTCTGGAATCGATATTGCACTATGGGACCTGAAGGGTAAGCTTTCATCAAGGCTATTATGGCTGACAGCCTGACTTACCATTCTCAGGTCGAAAAATGAATGTTCCCATTTATCGCCTCTTAGGGGGCAAAGTTCGCAACAAGGTCCAGGTCTACGCGTGGATTGGCGGTGACAGGCCTAAGGACATTGAAGTGGCTGCCAAAGCCCGCATTGCCCAAGGTCTCAAATGCATCAAGATGAACGCGACGGAAGATGTTAACTGGCTCGACTCCCCTTCTGTTCTCGATGCCACGGTCGAGCGTCTCCAAACGGTTAAATCTCTTGGTCTGGAGGCAGGTCTTGACTTTCATGGCCGCCTGCACAAACCCATGGCCAAGCAGCTGGCGAAAGCTCTGGAGCCATACCGACCCCTCTTCGTCGAGGAGCCGCTGTTGGTTGAGCACCCCGAGGGCCTCAAGCAGTTGTCGGACAGTACGACGATTCCAATCGCGCTGGGCGAGAGACTGTATACCCGATGGGATGTCAAACGATTTTTGGAGGATGCGAGTATCGATATCTTGCAGCCCGATATCGCTCATGCGGGTGGCATCTCGGAGACGAAGCGAATCGCTAATATGGCCGAAGCGTACGATGTGGCCATCGCACCTCATTGCCCTCTCGGTCCAATAGCGCTCGCCGCAAGTATCCAGGTGGCATTGAGCATTCCCAACTTTGTCATCCAAGAAATGTCTCTGGGAATGCACTACAATGTTGAAGCCGGCGAGGAAGATCTCCATACCTATATCGTTGATCAGTCCGTGTTTGACATCAAAGATGGCTTCGTCGAGGCTCCGACTGGTGCGGGATTAGGTGTCGAGATCGATGAGGCCGTCGTGCGTCGCGTCGCGCAGAGTACCCAACCGTGGCAGTGTAAGGAGTTCTATGGTCCCGATGGTTCAATTAGGGAGTGGTAAGGTAAGGGCCGGTCTCGGGATCTTTCTGGACATGCAGTTCGAAATAAAGAATCGGATGGGTTGTAAATGAAGGGTCGATGAGTGATGGGAATTGTATCGGCGGTTCGACCACGCTTGCTCTCCGGGTTTTTTTCGCCCACCGTTTGTCTTCACGACATTTAGATCATCAAGAATGTGTCAGGCCAGACAAGAGAGGAAAATACTCAATGTCGTACTTCTGTCTATCTATTCTGATGTGTCTCATCTTGCTACGCTCTCTCATTTTCGTGTCCATGCACGTCCGTCAACACATATCAAAGTCTGATGCCACCATACTCATCCCCGAATCTTGGCCTCACCAAATTCCACTTCCGTTCCCAAGCTTAAGAATCTACTATTTTATCGAGTACAGCAGTTTCGAGCAGTGGCTGTGCAGATCTGCGCTCGGCACTGGTCCTATTCGAGTGTGGATTCCGGCAAGGACGTCGCCTATAAAACGGCCACGATTGTTCACAGATTAGACTAGTCTTCAACACACTTTTTCACACCACTTTGTTCAATCTTGCTCTCTCACACATTAGATAGGAACACTGACGGCGGGTGGAAAGTACGCAATTCGCCTATGAATGACGTTATAGCTTATTCCAAGATCTAGTCGTTGTGGGATACATAGCACTAGGAACGCCCTCGATATTCGAGCACTTTAGAGCAATCTATTCCTTGGTCATTTATCCAAGAGGAATAGTACACAAAGCAAACGTATACGAGTGTCAGCCAATCTACCACGGGCGATCCCCTAGAATGTAACTTGAGAACGCTGCCGGGTCCAAAGGGCGGTTCTCACCGAAGTCCACGCGCCCAGGCCGATCCCACATACTATGAACAGCAAGGTGATCAAAATCTTGACATCGGCGGTCCAGAACGTACCGGCTTTCCTCTCTTGCACATCTTCTTCGTCGACGGTCTTGAAGCCATACTTGGGAATGTACTTGAAGTCGAAAACGGTGCGACTTCCCCGGCCCCATTCCTTCGACAGATTCCGCCGGAAAGAGTCGATCAGGTAGCGGCCCAGGACTGGGATTGTTCGACCGCAGATAATGTTACGCGCCAGCGACATCGACGTAGGCGACGGCTTGTACTCATACAGATAGACTGATTCCATAATAGCTTTCGCCTTGACCGGCGTCGAGAAAAACTCGGTGGGTGTCCCCATATAGAACGCCACCAGCCGCCATAATGCGATGTAGTCTTCGATCTCTTGCTCTCGTATGTGGAGCCCTTGGCGCGGAAGGGATCGCCAAATGATCGTGGCCAAAAAAAGCGCTATTGTTCCGACACAATCGAGGTCATTCACCGGGATCCCGTTCTGTTCCACCGAGAAGTATGAAGGACGTGAAGCGGCGAGTTGTATGATCTTCCGTCGGACTGTAGCATGGAGGAGGCGGACGCGAAGAGAGGGGGCGAATCCAACCCCATCCGGCTTGAGTGATTCCACGTTCTTGGTGCATTCGAGGACGAATTGTGTCTTCTCGAGAAGTCGGTGGCGGGCTGCCTTGATACTGAATCCTCCCGTCCTGGAGAGGACTGCGGCGGTCCGGTCACCGGCAGTGCCACCTAGAAGAGATTGATAAACAAGGCCGGTGAAAGTCGCTACGCCGTATCGGTAGAAGACATCCTAGCCTCGGGCAACTTGGTTCCAGTCCGTCCATTCAGGAACGTTGGTTACCTCATCCCACAGCTGTTGAAGCTTTTCATGTTCGCGATGGTGGTCAGCGACCTTGGTGTTGTCATCTGACTGATGGGACAAACCCATGTTCGACGAAGATTAAGACGTGAACGAACCTTTTTTGGCGAAAATGTAGCTAACGGTGGTGTCGATGTGCTCTTATAATGTGAGGAAAATGTGCGAATTCATCATTAGACTCATTAAGTCATCCAGGTTGAGCGAGTGTGCATGATGTCTACAATCGGGCTTGAAGGAAATGTTAACATCGCCCTACCGTGTCAATACCGGGGCTCAAATGCTTCATTCAGGGCTTACCCTCTCCTGGTGAGTCAAGTTTGCGTTGTCAGTTCTGGAAGCCAATGACGCTATTTGGGCCTTTTTTGGCTATCCAGAATCAGGCCATGATTCCTATTCTCTAACCCATGAATGATCCCCCCTTTCCCCAAAGGGAGAAAACTGAGCCTCTGGCCTGTATTTGTTTCATTAATCGCCATCCAGCTGCAGCTGGCTGCAGCCAGCAGCACTATTTATCGATGTAGTTGCGCGCCCATATCCTGCTTGACCACCCAAGAAGTGTAGAGTATCTAGACCGTTCAATGGACAATCCCAAGACCCACGCAAAAAATGATGTCAAACTTGGGGGGTTGCAAATGAGATGTATTGAATGCTCTGTCTCTTTTGGCAGCTGGTCCTGCCAGATTACCAGTACAAATACATGCTTGGTTGACCCCTTTTCTACTCCAATTCTTCCCCTATATCCTGCATAGGAGTGATAACCCTTTTCCCAGTCAAGGAATACTGCCTATTGCTCGACAGATGACGTTGACTTTGCGATCGACGTTATGTAATGTTCTCCAAGATAAGCTACTCCCGTATTTATCTATAACGTCGTAAAGGATTTTACCTATACGACCGATAAGTCATGGTAATCGCTCGCGCGAACCGGTAGTGAGTATGGGCGCGTAGATTTTCCAAACCTTGATGGTAATGGAGCCCCCGCGGGATGAGATGTACTGTCCCCACCCCCATGTCCCATATTTCCACGGCAAGTCTCTCCTATCTAAGCCAATGAGACCTAGAGGCTGTGCCTGGGGGTGCTGCTTAGGGTTTCTCCGTCTTCGTCTTGTTTCCTCTTCGGGGCCTCGCCGTGAATGACACCGAGATTCGGGGATGGTCTGCCGAAGAGCTGTTGGCAATATTCGTGGGATGAGACTGAGTCGAACCCCCCTCCCCTTCTCCACATTGATTTCCGGACGAATGTTGGTGAACTAGATCAAGTCGGGGTTTCCAAAAGGTCAAAGGCAGATGCAGATACTGACCTCGTTATGACCTCCTGACCCGCTCAGTGAATAACATCTCAACCACGCGGGATTGCTTGAATCACTAGCGCTAGTACTCTAGGGATTCTGATATGTGCGGAACCGTTATTCATCACATCTGATTCAATTGCTGGAGAAAGGGGGCAAGATTCTGATTCAGCTCGGTTGGACACATACCTTACCTGTGCGGAGAACGGATAACTCCTGTGGCGTGGGAGACCAGGAGCAAAGGACAGTCGGATTCAGTGAGAAGACGACATTCGGTTCAAACCGGGAGGAATTGTTGAGATTTTACAATCAAAGCAGAAGCTCAGACAGCTTCTGACTCGAGCGGGAAGTCCCAAATATATCTCAGCCCTGAAGCCATAACTGCGACAAACAGAGGAGGGCCAAAATGGCACTTACGTACCCAAGTATGTTCTCACTGGAGAACCGAGTGGCAGTTGTCACGGGAGGAACGAGAGGCATTGGAGCCGCTATGGCTATGGCGTTGGCAGAGGCAGGTGCCGATATCATTCTCGTGCAGCGAGAGACAGTCAACACCACCACCAAACGAGCCATCGAATCTCTCGGGCGCAAAGCCTCCATCTACGCTGCCGACCTCTGCTCTCAAGACGACGTCTTGTCTCTGACCCCCCGCATCCTCGCCGACGGCCATGATCCTTCCATCCTCGTCACCTGCGCCGGTATCCAACGCCGTCACGCGTCCCATGAATTCCCCCTTTCTGACTGGAACGAGGTCCTCCAAGTTAATTTGACCTCGGTATTCACGTTGTGTCGGGATTTGGGCGCGTACATGCTCACCCGGGAGGGTCCACAGAGGGGGAGTATTATCAATGTGGCTAGCTTGGTGAGCTTTCAGGGCGGATTGACTGTGCCGGCCTACGCGAGTGCCAAAGGGGGCATTGCGCAGTTGACGAAAGCACTGAGTAATGAGTGGGCCAGTAAAGGGGTGAATGTCAATGCAATCGCGCCGGGGTATGTGAGGACAGATATGAATGAGGCGTTGCTCAAGAATGAAACGAGGAGTAGGCAGATATTGGAGCGGATTCCGATGGGGAGGTGGGGGGAGGCAGAGGATTTTAAGGGGACGGTCATCTATTTGGCGAGTAGGGCGAGTAGTTATGTTAGTGGTGAGGTGGTGGTTGTGGATGGGGGGTGGATGGGGAGATGAGAGGAGATAAGGGGAGGTGAAGGTAGAAGACATAGTGGACGGTAGATAGTGGAGGGAAATCAAAATCAAGATCAGGGATATCAGGCATCCTTGATGGGTACTCGGGAGGGAGAAGAGGAGATTTCTATGAGCCGGTAGAAGAAAAAGGGGGGATAGGGATAGAAGATCGAATGGAATGGTATAGAGATGTCCCGTCTTGCCTAGACAGATAGGGTGTGAAAGGACGATCGAGAAAGATCTGGAAGGAATCATAGTAGGGGGTTTGATTCTCTTGTACGTTGTGCATACCCACCTATATATATACAAAGGCCGTACCCCAGACATAACGAAATACACGGCTCTTCCGGTAGTACGCTCACATACACACTCTCTCCATCTGCACTGTTCAATTTTCGGTTCGGCGTGGGAAAGGGAGCTCGTTCAGTTTTCCCGGCATCTTGAAATAAACAGCCTGGGTCGGCCTTAAAGCGTATACCTAAACCCGGCCATCTTCTGGGCTTCTGTTGGGCCACTCTTGCCGACATCCTGGCCTCGATCCATCTTCGCGTTCTCACGGCGTAGATAGATGCGAATGACGGTGGCAACAAGGATGGCAAGTCCTGCGGCGGCGAGATTGACGATGAACGCCACGATGTATCGCGGGGGAGACCGGTAGAGGTACGACGTCCAGATATTGGGCGTGTTGGCGACAGCGTTGATGGCGGCGATGGCGGCGGCGCGCTTTACGGCGGGTTGGTTCAGACTGCCAGTAATCCAGGAGAGGATGACGATTGAGGCAGAGTAGAATGAGGCCGGCATCAGCATCATGGCCACGTCTGAAAAACGACGGGAGTGTTAGTCAGCTTGGGTCGATGACGGGGGATCAAAAGGTGCGATACTTACAGCGTGCCGCGATATTGAGAGTTGACACGGCGATGACGTTGGCCACCATCGTGATACCCAGGGGACAGACGATGTGTAGATAGCGCTCTTGCTTTCGATCCGAGTGGAAACCGTTGATCAACATGCAAATCACGCAGAGCATAAAAGGAGGAGCCGTAAGTCCGTACGTCTTGTTCCTCGAATACCCCAGCCCGCCCACCACGGAAGGGAAGAAATTGGTCACGGCGGCTGAGATGTACACGGAAGTCAAAAGGGTCATGAACATCCACATCTTGGGATCGGAGAGGGCCATCATGAGTCCTTTGCGACCGCCCACTTCTTTCGAGTTGTCTTGTTGGCCGAGATCGGATTCGAAGTTCCAGAGGACCCAGTTCTTTTCTTTCTGGGTGAAGCCACGGAGTTTGCGGATGGAGTTGGGGAGGATCAGGGCGAACAATATGGCCAGGGCAATTGTCACGACACCTTCGATGAGGAAGAGCTGGAGAGGGAGAATCAGTGGGATGAGGTAAATGAGGGAGAATGGCCACTTCATGCTTACCCATCGCCAACCTTCAAGACCTCGTTCTCCATCGAGTTCCAAAATTCCAATGGCGAAGAGTCCACCGAAGGCATTGCCTAATTGGGAACCCGAGTATAAAATGGCGGTTCGGAGGGCGAATTGCTGACGAGAATAGAACATCGAGATGAAAAACAAGGCGCCCGGAAAGAAGACGGCTTCAACGAAGCCTAAGAAGAATCGACAAGCCAGAAGTCCACCGAAATTCTGAACGACGGCCATGAGAGCGGATATGAGGCCCCAGACACCCATCGCAGCACAGATATAGATGGCTGGGTACTGAATCTTTCCCACAACAATGTTGGATGGGACTTGCATCAGGATGTATCCTGCGAAGAGGATACTGACGCTGGTTTGATATTCAACGGCCGAGAGTCCGAGATCGTAGTCGATATCGGCTAATTTGGCGCTGGCGATGTTCTGTTACCCTGGTTAGAAAATGGGGGTTCAAGAACCGGGTCGAGACATCGTACCTGTCGATCGAGATAATTGAGGATATACATGATAGTTACGCAAGGCATGATAAAACAATCCAATTTGAAGGTCGCTCTTCGGCCGAGAGAGGTGAGTTCTGCATCAGAGAGACCGACTAAGATTTCGGGCATCACCATATGTGAGTGTTCGATGCGGACTTTCTCTGCTCCAACATCCTCAACTCGAGATGAGGACGGGCTGGGCCGTTTGATCTCTTCTGTTACTTCTCTGGAGTCCATTTTGGATGTACGGAAGAATGAACGAAAAAAAGGCGTCCTGGACGTAAGTGAGAGGTGCTGCAAAGTCGAATGGGAAATCTGCTCCCCTTATATCGTGGGGGCATTTTCCCCAACACGACGTGAAGACGTCGGCCATGACGAAGCGGTTGACGTCCGGCAACGTCCCCGAAAGAAAGAATCAATAACGAGACCAACTGTCCCATGAACCTGGTCCAGGTGGGGGATTGTGGGGGGTTGATTTCATCACAATATCAACATCAAACCCCCACGGGGAAGCATGATGGCAGGGATTCCAATGTCACAACACCTTACCAGCTGAGGATGAGATATCTACCGAGGACGCCTTGTTCCAAGCGAAGCAAAAAAGGGAAACGATCGACAAAAGGAAGCATGCGAGTCGTCCAGTTTCGAGCCCAATTGTCAAGAGCAAGGCTTCATCTCGGCATGTGACGTTGATAGGATGATCCCAACCTCCTTCGGATGGAAGTGTATAGTGGTTGAAGAGAAACGTCGGTGCAATACAAAATGGAACATCTCAGCAGATCGAAGCAATCGGTCGTACCACGTGATCTCGCGTAATGAGGCGGCTTGACCAACTCACCAAGTTCCAAGCCGCTGCGCGTTCCTCATCTTGAACTCAACTTTGACGGTCGACACCGGAAATCTTCTTTCATTTTTGGTGCGTTCCGCTTCGCTGGATTTCCTGCTTTCACGTCTTGAATTCCAGGAGAGTATTATCTCGGTCAACATCGAAGTCCCGCCGAATGCGTTACCCTACCTCTGATCAACGGAGACCCTTGCGATCCCATCCGTGGTCTCGAAGCCTCCCACATACCTTCTGAGTATAACCGTTCCGAGACTGCTGAGCTGGGGACTTTCTTGAAGAAATGGACAAAAAATGGTTCGAATTTCTCCTACGCCGAATAGGAGCGGCCTGGAGCATCTCGTGGGCTGATGCAGGAATATATGTATATGTATTGTCTCGAGATGAATTATCAACATGCAGCCTCGACTGGCTCTTCCAAACCTCTGGCTATGAGCTGGGTTTCATTCGGCTGTTAATAGCCAATAACAAGGTATAGAGCACCTCGAGGATGGGAATCGGTATACCCAATTCCCTTCCCTTCCGCACGGGAGTTCCCAAAATAACTTCCACTTCCATCGGTCGGCCCATTTTACAGTCAGCTTGCATACTACTGCCAATCGGTTGCATGGCCAAAATCTTCTCGATCAGTTCGTCAATCAGTTCGTATTGGATCGGTACGTCACATTTTCTGGCCACATCAATCACTTCCCGCATCAATTTCCGGGTCATGGGCATCGAGTCTGGCGACGACTTTAACCATGAATGAGTATCGAGCATCGTAAGAGTAGTCAGTGAATTCCAGGCCACGTTCCAGACGACTTTCTCCCACCGCTGGATTTGGATATTCTCTTCGACCGTAAATGGTGTTCCGCCTTGTCGCAACAAGGACGTGAATTCGTCTAGTTTGGTCTTTTCAAAGGCAGGCTCCAGATCTTTATTGGGAAAGATGCCTATCTGGGTGTTTTCTGACGCCCAATGGTGGACGACTCCTGGAGTGTCTTGCTGGGCACCCACCCATGTCTTTGGATGAGGGATTAGTGGCATCCTCGACCGACAGGACGTCGACATACCACGCAGCTCAAAATCGAGCATTTTGGAAACGCTTGTCGAAAAGGATCTTCATTTCCGACCCCGTTCTGAATGATGGCTATGCATGTCTTGCTCTCATCAATAGCCGGAGCCAGTTGCTGGGGTATCGACGCCTGATCAACAGCCTTGGTGGTGCACACAATATAATCGTAAGTTTCTCCTGCCTCGGCTGGCGTTTTCACGACTGGTGGTGAAAGTCAGCAGCATCACCCCGGAGGAATGCCATGTACCTACCTTTGGCTGGTCGAACCAGATGTTCACCATGATTGGCGCTTTTGATGAGAAGACCCTAGAACGCCGACCGTGTCAACAAATGGCGGACATCCCTTGTGAGTTCGATGAAGGAACGAACATTTTTCTTAACAGCCTCGTGGTTCGAACGCGCCACCACGGTTAACCGCACACGTTGTGTTCGTTCCAAAATGAACGCATAGAACGATCCGATCCTGCACGCCTCGGATCAGTATCATGCCTTTGAATGGGATCAAGCAGGCCTTGTACTCACGCTCCAAGGCCATACAGCATGACATTGGTTTTTTGTGCCATTTTGATGTTCTGAGCTTTCTGCGCTCGCCACACCCATTTCAGGTTGTCTCCTTCCACCCAGTTCTTTTTCTTGGGTAGAGCAAAACCAGCTTCAAAGCTCTCTGGGCATTTCTTTCATATGAGAGGGTCCTTCTCAGAGTCCGAGAGCCTCGCTTACTTGTCAATGCCGAGCCTGGCGCCCTTCAATGACATGGAAATGCGAGTCGGGGATTTGGCTTTGGTCGTGGGGGTTATGGACCCACTGGGACCACGCAGATGATCCGGCGGGCTCCTGATTTCTAGGCATCGCCCTTATTTTATCCGGTGGACCTTCTCACCAACCCCGTCTCAATTTACTTTGTTGCGTCGGTTCGAGAAGAATGGGATTGTGGTGTACCAACTTGCCTACCGGGGGATTTCGACCGGTCGATCGTGGGGTGAACGTCAAAAATCCGCAGGGATGCTTTTGGGACATATGGCCAGGCCGCATGAATGCTGGATAGTCCGGAAAGCTGACGATGCCTTGGATTCTTCGCTTCACCCACTACTGACTTCTGCTCGTATCTGTTCAGCATCATATCGTCAACCCGATTCCACATACGGCCTCCGTCCAGCGTGCACTGACCTCGAGGATGAACAAGATAGCAGGTGCTGACGTGGCCAAACACAATCACCGGCAATCCTGCTGGATTGTCGTGTATGGCAAGGTTTATGACGTTACAGGTGAATTTGAATTCGAAAATATCCCATTTGCTGCAGAGGTTCACCAATTCATTCCAGAATTCCTCGACGAACATCCAGGAGGAGCGCAAATCATTTTACGAAGTGCGGGACAGGATGCCACAAAGGAATATGAGAGCGTCCACAGTCCGGGCCTGATTGAAGACACGCTTCCTCCAGCCGCTTTTCGTGGGATTGTCCACCCTGACACCATTGGCGACCTCCGAACAACAACCTCGCCCCGCACGTCAGACCGGCCACAGGGCAATCGTATTCCACCATTGAGCTCGATGATTCGTGTCGATGATTTCGAGGCCGTCGCGGAGAGATCCTTGAGTCCTCACGGATGGGCCTATTATTCTTCTGGAGCAGACGATGAATATAGCAAACAGGACGCACGTCGAGCTTTTCGCAAACTGACGTTACGACCACGGATTCTTCGGGAGGTTGATATGGTTGATACGAGAACGACCATCCTGGGAAAGAGCTGTAGCATGCCCGTGTATGTATCTCCGTCAGGATTGGGTAAATATGCCCATCCCGAGGCCGAGTGTGCATTTGCGTCCGGGGCTGGGAAAGAAGGACTCATCCAAGTCATTCCGACAAGCCCGAGCATGTCGATCGAGAAGATAGTAGGCGCCCGAGTGAGCCAAGATCAGCCTGTCTTCTTTCAGCTGTACATGAATAGAGACTATCAAAAGGCGGAAACATTGATCCGACGCGTTGAGAGCCTGGGGGTCAGCGCCATATGGCTCACCGTTGATTCCCCGGTTCTTGGAAAACGGGAGCGTGATGATCGACTGAAAGCCCAGGTACGAATCATGTCTGTCACAAGAACCATCAGCATCCACTGAGGCCGACTTGGATCACAGATGAATGAACATGACCAGATGGCCGCGATCACGGAACGGAAAGTCGGTGTGGCCAAATTGGCAACCGTTGGCCTTCTGAATCCGAAGTTGAACTGGAATGATATATCTTGGATCCGCCAGATGACCAAATTGCCGCTGGTTATAAAAGGCATTCAAAGCGTCGAGGACGCTGTTTTGGCTTGGGAGCATGGAGTGGAGGGGATCGTTCTCTCTAATCATGGAGGTCGATCGCAAGATACGTAAGGATATTTATTTCCAATGAAACGTGGTGCCAACATGACTTTAGAGCTCAAGCACCTATGATCACGCTCCTGGAAATCAGAAGATATGCACCTCATCTCATCGACAGCAAAATGGAGATATTTGTGGACGGCGGTATTCGTCGAGGCACGGATGTTCTCAAAGCCCTGGCTTTAGGGGCTCGTGCGGTCGGACTGGGACGACCATTTCTGTTCAGCCTCACCGGAGGTTATGGAGAGGCCGGATTCAGGAGAATGGTACAAATTCTGAGGGAAGAGCTCGAAGGGAATATGGCACTGGCGGGAGCCACAAAGATCAGCGAACTTGTTCCTGATATGGTTAACACCAGGAGACTCGAAAGGGAAATTATCGGGTCCGTCAAATTGTGAAAACTAGAGAAGGCGGACAAATCTGGAGACAGGGCCGATGTTGGTGAAAGGAACTATGTCCTGCGGCCACTTTTGCTGACCTTGTCCTTGCAGAACGGCCGACGAGCACAGGGCGAACCGCGTTAACTGATGTGACGCCGTCACTCCAGAGTCTCAGAACAAGGCTATCGGGGACGGAGCCGAGGTTGACCAGGGGAGGTGGGGGAGAAACTCACATGTCTCACCATGTACACGGTAATTCGAACGAGATCTAATTCATATGTGCTGGTCCTTTGCAGCCCGACCGATCGTATCCGACCAGCACATGTCGAGTACATCACACGCCGCAGCGGGGATATGGACCTAAAACGACAACACTCGCCAAGGCGGCTGGAGGGAAATGCGTTTTCCTAGCAGCATTTCTTCGGTGCCTCTATGCTCTGGGTGAGTTTAGCCGCTTTTAAGGTAAAGTTTAATTAATTTGGGTTTATTGGAATTTGCGGAGGTCAGGCCGGTTCCGTCTTAGCGCCTGTGCGGGGAGTGGCCAACCTGCTTTAGAGTTGGTATAACCATTTATCCCTTCCCAAGTCTAAACGAACTAAGGCACTTGGGCGGCAGGACTGCCTAAAAGTTAAGCAGTTTTCATGAAGCGGACCCCCGCCTTCTTTCTTCTGGCGGTCCTTGCTCCGACATCCGCCCTCAAAACCGCCCCCTTTGTATCGTGTCGAGCATGCGATATTGACTTCTTCTTAGCTCCAAGCGCTTGGGCTTTGTACTTTTTCTCCAAGGTTTAAAGCCCACCTCAAATCGTGGTCCAGAACAGCTCGCCTACTGAACCACTTCGGGTCCATCGGCCAGGGGAACTTTCATGAACATTGATGCCATTCTAGAACTTTTTTTCTTTTCGGTGTCTTGCCATTCAGATTACTCTCTGTTCATGCTTCATCCATCTAGGAGAATTAGCCAATTATGAAGCTTTCATGATCAAACGGCAATTCCAGGCAAATTCGTCAGCCCTACTATGACTCAATTTCAGGACCATCAACATCCCTGTACGCGTAATCTGACCAGGAAGACGGCCATTTCTCCTTCAGCTACATTGCGAACGGTTGGCTATGCCAAATACACTTCAATCAGTGTCAATTTGACTCCAGCAGATTGTTGACAGCCGGAAGCATGGATCACACCCATCAATGGCATGAGAGATTTCATTGCCCCTCATGTCCCAAGTCATTTGTGAGGAAGGCTCATATGCTGCGCCATCAGCAACAACGTCCGTGAATTTGGTCTTCCCAGATCGCCAACTTCCACAGCTCTAACCCTGTGCTGCAGATGTCGCTCAAAGACCATTTAGTTGCACTTTTTGCTCCAAATGTTTTAAGCGCAGGTACGAGTCACAGGAAAGATTTACAGGAAAAAGCCCACATCTGACTCATTTGCTTTAGCGACGTGCTTCGAGCACATCAATTTCGATGCAAAGAGAGGGGGGAAGCACCGGTTCCAGAAGGACAGAGTAAAGGTCGAAAAAGATCGTCATGTCTTTCTTGCGTCAAGCTGAGGACGAAATGTGATCAAGAGACTCCTTGTACTCGCTGCCAGGAACTAGGAAAGGAGTGCATCAGATGTAAGTCTTGGTCAGCATTTCCTCGGCCTCCAAATTTTGATGTCTTGTTGTCAGCCTCAAGTCCCCAGAAGACGCCGGAGGTTCCCCGACCCAAAAGTCGCGATGCGATACCCATTCACCATCTCCTGAATGCTCCGGAGGACGATGACTTTATCGGCCGATTTCCGATTCGCAGCAACCCGAGAGGCGCGGTCGGTGAGGATGATGAGACGACCGTGGGCGACCACGAAGATTCGTCCGAAGCCTCTCATTGGAGTGAAGATTATGAACACCATGATGTTTTTATTGGTGCAGAAATTCCGGATTTGGAAGGGGTCAACTTCGATTCGTTCTTTGGCGGATTTGAATCCTTGACATTTGGCTTGTACCCTCTCCACTCCGACTTGTCACGCATTACCAGTGGAGGTGGAGTGGCTTCTGATACGGCCATGGCTCTTGAACCTCGCGCCTACGAAATCAGACAGTTGTTGATGGAATCGGCCTCGAAACTAGCGGATCAGTTCCCGGAAATCCCACACAACCCTCATTTGGCTTCTTCTATCCGGCTCCTTACCCACACCGAACTGGACCACTGCCTCGATCTGTTCTTCGGCAATTACCATCGACACTGTCCGATCCTTCATCGACCATCTTTTCAGCCGACAATCGTGCCAATCCCTCTCCTGCTATCAACCGTCGCACTCGGAGCGATGTATTCTCCGGAGCCAGGGAAAAAGGCGTGGATGAAGAGTTTGTTGGATGTAATGGAAGCATATATCTTTTCTCTACCCGGGCTGAGGGAAGAATATATCGGTGGTTTAATGCTTTCCGAAGCTCAAGATGAAGAAACTTTAAATTCTCAATTCCAGCTGTTTCAGGGAGGATATCTGATGGTTGTCGTTCAGTATTTCTCAGGGAATTTGGCCGGGAGGAGAAGGGCTCGACGGCAAAGGTTTTCTACGATATTGAGTGTATCTCTCTCTGCCTCAGGATCGTGTGCTGAGCTAACACATTGGCAGATTGCCAGATCATTCGGTCTGCCGACTGCACAACATGGAAGCATCGTTGCAATACCGGACGAAGCAGCTTTCCAGCGATGGGTGCGAAACGAGTGTCGAGTTCGGTGAGTGTCCACATGAAAATTCACCGCCCGAAATTCAGCCCGAAATTTCTCCTCTAACAGCCCATCGGCAGGACAATGAACATAATCCTCGCACTGGATTCGGCGATGGGAATTTTCAACAATGTCCACCATCGAGTTGATTATTGTGAGCTCGATTTACAGATGCCTTGTCATCCGGAATATTTCGAGCTTTCGAGCCACGCAGAGATGCTGCGACGATCCTCGTTTCCTCGTGCGCGAATAAAACTGATCGACGCGTTTGCAAAACTTTTTGTGTCTCCCAACGAATTAAAATCCGCCTATCAAAATGAGGTCTTGTGTTGTTGGGACATGCTCTATTTAAGTCACGGTATGCATCTCATGCTGAAGTATTCGAAACAGTGATATCCGGGGTTCTGACGATGACGACATTGTTAGTTCTATTTACACACTGCTGGCAACATCTTCTCGGGAACCCACTCAATCGAATCTCCGCTACTTCCCTCGCCTTCGCCTCGCCCGCGGTCATCGAGCCCATGAAAACCGCTCTTGCTAATTGGAAGACTCTATGGGATGATATCCGTGTTAATGTCCCTCGTTCCACCGTCAGCGAGATGGGCTTCGAAACTTCCGCCGACAGCTACTGGACACTGACCAAGTTAGTTGTGCAGAGATTCGAAGGGAAATCCCCCAGCCATCATCATCCGAACGGCGCCGCAAACACAACCACTTTTCTCAATGGTATGATGGGCAATGATGATACCGCGAGTGAATCTAGCGCGAATAGCTTGGGGATGGGAGGGTCAAGTACAGGATTGGATTTCATGCCACTGGAGGCCGATTGTGATAGTCAAGGGGCACATTTGAGGAAGATTCTCAAGCGGTAATGGGCGGCGGAGGAGGGGAGTTAAATACGGATGATCCTCGTTCTCCCCTTCCCGACCATTGCATTGGCGCCTGTGGCAGTATTGGAGACGGAAAGGGCCGACGACTCCTGCGGCGGGACTTCTGGCTGACTGAGATGGTGACGGACCAGACATCGATCAATATCGACTCTTGATCAATCTCCCATCCGACCTTCTACGACGCCGCCTAATCAAACTAATGCTATTTCTTCAACCGATGTCTCCCTCGCCAAGCGTTCCCCAAACAGCCCCATGTTTCTGCTTTCCTCTCGAACAACCTGGATCCAAATTTGGTCAACACCTCAGTCGCAATACACCCGTCGATGTGGTGTGTCGGCCGGCCATTCCCAAAGCCCCACCACATCCATACCTCCAAATAGCAGATCGGATAATGTACTCACATATTGTGAAGAACCGAGGTTACCATATCCATACCAGCGGGGGGATTTTCCGAGACCAACAAACACGTCGATTCAATCTTTCCAGATGAGAATCGGTACTCTGGCCGACAGTCCCCAATTTTGCGGGGAAATGTTCTAGCAATGGAAGCTAAGCAGACCGTCTTTTTTCCACGAGTCCCTTGACGATGGGGCCCTTTTCAACGACAAACTCTTGGCTGTCTGCTTCTACGCCAGATGCCGTGCCGTATGCGTCAGCGGTGACTTGGCTGATGGAAGCAGCAAAAATGGAAATTTTAAGGTCTCGGTTCTTACCGCGACAGGAGGTCAGATCGTTCAGACCAAACCCGGGTTAGGACGGGCTTTGCGCCCGCATGACGAATACAGTGCAAGAGACGAAGCGGCAGTATACAAGACTCCCGGAGTCGAAGACCACAACGTACCTCGATGAGCACATGGTCATGTTGCGCTCCGGCTTGGGCTCTATGGATCCTGCCTTGGCGGCGCAAAATGAATTTCGAGAATGAAAATGATAATAAAAACGAAGATATAATATGATGAGACGTGGGAGTCGGGTAGTGGATATTGAAAAGGAAAGGAATCACTGAGGGACTGGGGGTTTGATGTATTGGGTTGATGGGCGGTAAATCATGGTATGTTTCCTATTTGAGGAAAGGATTAAGCTGGGTATTGGGTTGTGTTCGGTGTGGACGTTTGCATGTTACGACTGCGATGAGCTTCGGTGATTGACAGGATTTGAAAGGGAAATTGACATCTCAGACGGCGTTTGAACCTTGAGAAAATATCCCTAGTGGCGGCTTATTTGATATACCCCTTCCCTGCTCGAAAGGGGTATATATATCTTGTCCGTATACTGGTATCGTGACCTACCGGAATGGAATAGATGGGGCTCGATTGAATTCTTCTGCACATGACCGCAGTCCGAGCTCACGAGCATAGTCGATAATGACACAATGTGCTTCAGGCGTTCGATACCCCATCCGGTTTACGTCCCTAGACTCAATCTCAACCTCAATCAAGGGGAAAACATTTGGTGGGTAGAATGATTTCAGGGTCATGACGACCCCTTAAACATCAACGGGCCCCCTCTCTTCCTCAACCTCTCACCATATACGAAAATCCCCGTCAACACCACCGTCGCCACCGCGACAATCACGGCCTGCAACCCGAATGATACCCCATACCCGCTCTCTTCACCCCACGGCTGCTGAAAATAACCGACGGAAAACCCACCTGCCGTCCTTGCAAAGTTGAGGAACGCGGACACCTCACCAGAACCGTTCGGGTAGCAATCGAGCGCATACGCCGTGATCGCGACACTCGCCACCATCACACCGAACACGTACATGCCCCAGCCCATGACGATGGCCGAGTAGTGGAGAAGATTTTCCAATGCTTGACCCACGATAATCAGGCCAGGAATCATAAGAAACGCCGCGATATAGCAAGGGGGGAGGCGTGCTTCAGGCTTGAAAATCCCGCTGTGACGGACTAAGTAGCGGTTGAACAGAAAGTCGTTGAAGAAGTGTCCGAAAAGTTCGCCAAGGGACACCGCGACCAGGGGTGTGAAGTAGACATAGCCCACGGCGCGGGCGGAGAAGCCGTAGCCGCCGAGATCGCGCGGTGTGCCGAGAAGAAGGGACGATGTGATGTTGATCCCGACGGCCCACATAAAGGACATGGCGTAGTAGAGGAGCGTTGGCAGGATGACGGGTTTGATCAGGACGGCGAAGAGGCGATGGAATGAAGTGAGGACCGACAAGTAATAGTCTTTGTGGTGCTGTATTTGCCAGATGCCTACAAGGCGCAGGATTCGCGAGATGCCGCCGGAGGGACGAGCAGGTTGTTGGTCGGCTGGGATGTCGCGACGGTACCATGTCTCATCTGCGAAGAGGACGATGAGGACAAGATCGGCACAGCAGATTGCGAAGACCAGCCAGAAGACGTTCCTCCATTCGCCTGTTCCAGCGATGATGAAGTTGCCGAACATGGGGCCACAGTAGGGGGCGAGCAGGAATAGGGACGCCCATAGGCCGATCTTGCGCGCGTGCTCGTGGAAGAAGAACATGTCTTTGATGAAGGAGAGGCCGATCGTTTGGCAAGCGGTCAGCGTGAGGCCCATTAGAGCGCGGAGTGCATAAAAGGTATCGAAGGAGTCCGTAACCGTGCAGCCGAGCGTGAAGAAGGTGCCGAGGAGTGTGCTCCAGAATAAGACGGGTAAGCGCCCCCAGAAGTAGATGGGAGGAATCCAGAGGATGCCTCCAATGCCACTGGATGATTTCGTCAGCCCATGTGACCGATGTAGGAGTAGGGCGGACATAGGAAGGGGATAGGGAGGAGGAGAACAAGAAGAAAGATTTTGTCAATGGTCAGCTGGTACTGAAGGCCAACACCATCGTAAGAGATATCCAGATAGGTAGGTAAGTATGGATCTATGCCATAGGAATTGAAGGAGTAAGGGAAGAGGGCAGGAAGATGGATGGTACATACAGCATTATAACATTCAAGTTCCCCGCGTAATTGACGTGCGCGGGACTCATATTCCACTCCGCTCCCTGGGGAACAATGCAGGGTATACCGGCACCGGAGCCAAAGTCTCCGCAAAAAGCAGAGAGCGCGACAATGAATAGAATCATGTGCTTTTTACCCCATGACCAGTTCAACGGGTCGTAGGGATCGTCGCTCGGTTGTGGGATTAGGACGGTCTAGATAGCAGGTTCCAAAAAAGTGATCAGTTTTGCTAATCTGGCAGGGGGGAAAGATGAAAAATAAAAGAAGAGGACATACATGGCCGTCTTTTGCGAGTTTGAGAGCCCCGGCAGCACCCTGTCCTTTTTCATCATCGATTCGAAGGAGGACGGCCTCATTTCCTTGGTTGAGGCTGATTTCATCGGAGACGGAATGGATATGTGCTGTAGGCGGTGGTGTTGAGTCCGACGACGCGTTCTGTTCTTCAACTTGAATCGTTTCAGTTTTGGCCATTCCTTGTACTGGTGGTGGAGAAGGAGTAGCCATTTTGCAGAATGTTTGGGGAAGGTCACACTGGAAAAAATTGCTGGAAAAGGTGAAAACGGACTGAGGGAACAAGAAGCTGGTGCTGGTCAGCCCGTCTTTCAAGAGTATATACCATTGCAGGCATATGTACTATGTACAGTGGGACGTGGTGGTTATCATGGGTCATGTAAGAAAATGAAGACCCCATGGGCTATGTGCCATGGGACATGCATGGCTTGGGAAGAGCGAGCCGGGTCGCTTGGTCCGTCTCGCCTAGGGCTTCCTAGCGCCCGGAAATTGCCAGGGTAGTTTGACTAATGGCATCCATATCCCAGGTTTCAGGGGGTTTGCTTTTCTTCGCTACTTCCGTTAGTTCGTTCAATGATTCCTTGCCCAAACCTGTTCCGATACCGGTCGACAACGTGGCAAAAGACCCCGTTCTGTTCTCAGTTCTTCAACAAAGAGCTTTGCGGGCTAGGATGCCATCTGTGTGTCTCTCAAGGAGAAGCGGTATCAGATGGCTTTCTCTTCAATAAGTCTATCACATCTCAAAAAGCTGACTGCATGGAAATGGATTGACTGCTCCGGGTCTGCACCTGGAGCCGAGGCCATCAACACTATCCCGGGTCGCCAAGATGGGGATCAACGGGATCGGGCCTGGAGGAGGTGATCGCAGCAGATGAGAGGAATTTTCGGAACCATCAGGATCTGCTGGCAGTGTATCGATGCTGCAAGTCCATCACACAGTGATCCACAGTGTCCGTTGACTTGATCTGCTAGTTGATCAAGTTCTAGCTCCACTGTAGGGGGACCCAGCTTGATATTTAGCTTTTGTACTGGGGGAACAAACGGGAGTCTTGGGGAAATACCCACCCTCCACTTTTTTGACGTGTGGAAGGCCAAAGAGTCCAGAACTAGTCCTTCACCAGAATGAGGGGCTGAAAAACTATTGCTGAGTGTCCGTTTGAGAGTGGAAGAAGTCTTCGGATGATCGAATCGTGGGGCTGAGCAGGAAATGCCCATTTCGGTGTGCAAGGTAAACGTAAGTCAGGCAATACATCGTACCGTCCAGAAATGCAAAGATTAGAGATTTCTTTTAATTTTTTTTTTTTTTTTTTTTTTTTTTTTTTTTCCTTTTCGTGTTAGGTTTTTGCGGATTCATTTGTCTCCCCGTCTTAACAAATTACAATTAGCTGACACGGACACCATGTCGACATCAGACTCAATTGGTCAAGGCTCAATCCCAAACCTAGCTTCAAAATACAGTGGTGTACCGACCAGACTTACTCCAGAGGCTGTCGCCGCGAAGGCGAGGCTGTACTCTCAAAAGACGCTTCCCGACAGCGTTGCGAGAAGAAGGACAGCTTTGCCGCCAGGAATTGGGAGAGAGAGTTTTGACCAGGCAATAAAAGAACTCAAGGCTGTTCTGGGAGATGACAGTGTCGAGCTCAATGACAAGCCGCTTGTTGATGGATGGTACATGGAACATCCGTAAGAAGAAGATGCTGTACACCAAGTCCGAGGAATTGCTTCTAACCTGCAATGTGACAGAAATACGCATGATGCGTATCATATTGCGGACCAGGAGGAGCTGATTTGTAGCGCTGTGGTTTATCCCGCCAGCACGCCTGAGGTGCAAACGGTGGTAAGATGGGCCAACAAGCACAAGATCCCCATCTACCCAATATCGATGGGTCGAAATATCGGTTATGGAGGAGCTGCACCTCGGATTCCGGGCTCAATTGTCGTCGATTTGGGCCGACGGATGAATCAAATCTTGAATATCGACGCCGACAATGCTTCATGCATCGTTGAACCGGGAGTTTCGTATTTTGCATTGTACGAAGAGATCCAAAAGAGAGGTTTGCCGTTATGGATCGACTGTCCTGATCTGGGTGGTGGCAGTGTCCTTGGGAATGCCATTGACCGTGGTGTCGGGTAAGGTTGCGTCTGCTTTCCATAAAAAAAAAAAAAAAAGGCCAACCTGCTCACGAATTTTCAGGTACACTCCATACGGTGACCACTTTGCGAATCATTGCGGTATGGAACTGGTGCTTCCGACCGGTGAATTGTTGCGGACCGGCATGGGAGCAATGCCAGGCAAAGACGGAGCTGACAACCCAACCTGGCAGTCTTTCCAGGCGGCCTATGGGCCCTATGTGGATGGTATTTTCAGTCAAAGTAACTATGGAATCGTCACCAAGATGGGATTTTGGCTGATGCCCGAAACCGGCCATCAATCGTACATGATCACCTTCCCGAGGGAAGACGATTTCGAACAAATTGTCGAGATCATTAGGCCGTTGGCACAGAAGAGGATCTTGGGAAATATCCCCCAGCTGAGACATGTGATTCAAGAACTGGCCGTGACTGGGAAACCACGATCTTTCTGGTACGACGGCAACGGCCAGATGCCGCGAGAAGTGATTCGGGAGAAAGCCTCCAAGTTACCCTGTGGAGACGTCTCGTGGGTGTTTTACGGAACTCAATATGGCGATCTAGCTTCTATCCATTCACAGCTGGAACTCATCAAGTCGGCATTCGGCAAGATCAAGGGCAGCCAGTTCATACTTCCCTCCGACGTCCCACCAGATCATTACCTTCATTCCCGAGTCCACGTCTGCAGTGGCGTGCCGGTTCTGCGAGAACTCGATTGGTTGAACTGGGTCCCCAATGCAGCTCACCTGTTCTTCTCCCCCATTTCGCCTACCAAGGGCAAGGACGCCAGCATCATCCACAGCACCATAACCGAGTTACACGCTAAATGGGGCTTCGATGTGTTTCCCACCATGTGTGTCGCCGGCCGAGAGATGCACTACATTGCCAACATCGTCTACGACCGATCCGACGCCGATGCCAAACAGCGAGCAACGGGACTCATGCGCGACATGATTCGAGCAGCTGCGAAAGAAGGCTACGGGGAATATCGGACGCACCTGCTCTTTGCAGACCAGGTGTCCGAGACGTATAGCTGGAACAATGGCGCGTTGAGGAGATTCAACGAGACGATTAAGGATACCTTGGATCCGAATAGTATACTAGCACCAGGGCGAAATGGGATTTGGGGCCAACGGTTCCGGGACAAGGGATGGGAGATTTTAGATGGGGACAAGAGGAATATGCTCGATGATGGAGTGAGCCCGAAGCTCTAGGGCGATGGATAGGAAAATCACTCTGTTCTTGGATATTTCAATAGAATAGTTTGAGATAGAACTATGAAGAGGCATTAGTCGTGTATCGAGAACGGGAAGAACGAATCATTTCCCTCGAATGACGCTAGGCAAAGCAATAAAGATCTCCAATGATCTTCAAGCTCGTCATGAACATCACATCCAGGCCGTCCAATCTTGAGGGTATCAGCACAACGGAGTAATCTGGCCAGTCCTCAACTCCTCGCGCACGATTCCCGACAGTTCTGGCCACCGCTTCCTTATATCTGCCTCTGCGTCGTAGTCGTACAGGACATTGTTCTAGATTGGGTCAGTCAATACTTATGCTTGGTCGCTGCACATTGATTGAGAAGAGGGGTACTCACCTTTATCAGTATGCTATCTTGGTCGATCTCTCCGCCTTCTCCCATTCGGTCTAATGCGCTATGCCATCGATCTCGTAAATCCTCTCCATTCGTCTGGGCTCGTCGAACTCGGGGGAAGCGGATTTTTTCGTATACGCGTGTCTGAACACGCGGAGAGTCAGCGTTGAGTCCGATGGGATAAAAATGGCGTACTCGAAAGCAATGAAGGGACCACCAAAGACAAGAGGGCGAGAATCGATCCGGGTCAGACATACCGCCAATGGAATATCATCCCGTCCGGCCAATAGCAAGCATTGTGCTAATACGGCGGCACTCTCCGTCGCCTGGCTGGCACCTTGGGCGCTCGTCGGCAAATGTGGATGACAGCAATCACCCACCAAGGCGACCTTGTGGTTCTTGCTGACCCATGTAGGGATAGGGTCACGATAACAGATCTTCCAATCTAAACATGCTTCGGTTTTCCTGACGGCGGCTGCTATTCGTGGATCACAATCGGCAACGAGTCGACGAACTTCGTCCATATCGCCCGGTTGAAACCATGACTCTTTGATATCCTCGTTGTCCTTGTGGGTGAGAATCCAGTTGAACTCTTCGCCGTCTCGGAGGGTGTTTTGAACCAAATGTGTGTCTTTGCCAATCCAGATATTGACACATTCCTTTTCAACAAACTCGGCCGTGAGTGGATCGCCCTTGAGATGGGCACCCTTGAAGAAAGCCCTGAAGCAAGCATACCCTGAGGATTTAGGTTTATCGTCAAATCCGAGAACAAGTTCCCGAGCGCGTGATTTGATTCCTGATGAGGGTGAGCATCAAAATGTGTGACGTTGTCAGAAAGCCCCACCGTCAACTGCCACGATGATATCAGCAAAGCATTTTTCACCATTCTTCAACGTTACCGAGGGTTCGATGTCGTTGTATTCGACAACCTGGTGGTTCGTTTAATGGCCTTGCTTAGGATCGTCTCTCACCGGACGGTACTGACCTCACTCCCCATGTGGAGAGGGATTCCCTTTTCTGCAACCGCTTCCAGAAATCCTTTGTGGTAATCTCCTCGATGGCCGATAAAACCCGCCATGTCCATCAATGGTTGCTGAGCTAGCAGTTTACCATCATGCCAACGGCGAATTTGCATAAACTCGGACTTGTTTCCGATATCGACAAGACGGCCGCGCAGGAAAGGTGACCACCGATCGAGCAACTTCAACGCATTCTCACCAAGACCAAGCGAATCCCCGAGTCGTTGGAATTCCCCGACTTTCTCAAACATGACCACTTCGAATCCAGCATGATGCATCGCCAAAGCCGTGGCACATCCTCCTAGGCCTGCCCCAACAATGATCACTGGTATTCCACGTTAGACCATATCTTTGATGGGAAGGTCGTCTGAACCACCCACCTTTCAAGGGAGGCCCGGCTCCCATCGACCCCATGGCGAGGTCTCTTTAATCGGTGGCTTGGGAAAGAAACATATTTATTCGAGGGAATTCGGATTTAAAGGGCGTGAAAGACCCAAGCCTTCGAGGAACACATGATTCTCGACAGCATTATCGAGGGAATAAACCCATCTATCCTGACACCGGAGACCCAAAAACACAATTGGGATCCGCCAGCAAATGGCTGAACCACCGAGCCTAGCAGTGCACACATATGATTGCTCAAGGTCCCACTGCAAAGAAAAGCTTTAACTGGCGATGCCGCTACATGTCGGCTGAACCATGGTTCGTCGTTGTATAGGGCGATGAAGGGGGCTTATGCAGAGGTCTTTTCTCCCCACGAACTGCCCTTCCACTGGAACCCCAGAACTTGTGAACGGGAAGTCCCACTTTTGGGCACCCCGGAATATACCCATCAACGGCGACATTCGGTAAGGGCGTCGTTCTGTCCATTAGGCATTTTAGGCGATAGATCTCTCCACGACTGGGTCTTGCGGGAGGACAAATCGTTTTTGTCTTTCCTATCGCAAAGTCGTCGCTTCGGGTAACAAAATACCCCATGATTCGCGGGGCCGCGCTGAATTTCTGGAGCCCAATAATGCCCTCCACTTGTCTCGTGATACTTCGCGGGGGAGCGTCGCGGGAGAGCGAGTCGGGAGAGCGAGTTTCGAACAACAGCGAGTGGGTCTGGAGCTGTCTAAGCACCAATCGAGCCTAGCTGTGCGAGCGTGGCAAGAGAGTGCGCACTCACACTGCAGATACAATAAGAGACTCATAGAGTGTCAGAGAGGTCCTGAAGGGGTTCGGCAGCGAGGTCAATGATAGACTGTGGAGTCTAGAGAAGGAATGCGTTGTTGTTCTATCTAACAAGAGAGCGAGGAAGGGTGCAAGTTGCGACAATGCCCAAGCCAACTGCCTCCCTTGACATGCCAAGCAAAGTGTCACGTGATTGCCAATAGTCAAGAGGCAGGCCCCGACAGAAGCGACAACGTGGTCAGAAGGAAGAAGGGAGGGCTGTACGGGCGATAGAAAGGCCCTCATAGATAACAGAGACACTCTGATCACGTAACAACGCTCAAATCGAGTGCAAAGGGGCTCGCACAACTAGGCTCGATTGGTGCTTAGACAGCTCCAGACCCACTCGCTGTTGTTCGAAACTCGCTCTCCCGACTCGCTTCGCGGGGTTCGCTCATTCTCTCAGCACCTGCCGAACTGTTTCAACAAACCATCCGGCATGCACGCATAGAGTGAGTTTCCCCTCACACTACCACTTTTAGTATGTTCGACTCAAAACGGAGAAAGGTGATGGATTGGGGAGAACGTATTTCATCCCCTTTTTTGCCGTACCACATCCGATGCGGGGAGTGAATGGGCGCTGGGTGATAGAAAAGGTAACCGTTCCTTGAAACATGCCACGACCGTATTGTATCCGGTAAGGAAGATCTCTGGATTCTTTAGCGCATCCTCCAATTATCTCGTTTATTCTGGTTCACAGCTGCCCAGACAAGCTGAGCAAGTCTAGAAATAATGGCGGTCAAGACGATTGGTTACATTGGCCTCGGCAAGGCTGGAGCATCAATGGCATCCAATCTACCCCGTGCAGGTTTCCATTTGGTCGTCAGAGATACTGATCCTGCCCGTGAGCGTAAATTTGCCGAAGAGAATCAAAACACCACGGTTGCACAAGGAGGAGTCGATGGGTTCAAGGATTGCGATGTAGTCATCACGATGCTTCCGCAAGGTCGGGTGGTGAGGGAAGTTGTGTTGGGCGAAAAGGGGATTGCGAAGGGACTGAAACCCGGTGCGTCACCATTCGACATATATGGCGCCATTCTAACCTTGTCGTAGGTACTATCATTGTCGACACCTCGTCGTCTTCACCATTTGACACCCAGACTCTGGGTAAGGATCTCGAAGCTCTTGGATTCTTTCTTGTCGATTCTCCAGTCACGCAGGCGCATCTTCACGATACTGACACCGGTGACGCCACACTCATGCTGGGTTCTAATTCTCAAGAGGCCGTCGATAAAGTTCTCCCCGTGTTGCAGGCCATGGCGAAATATGTTTTCCACATGGGCAAACTCGGGGCCGGCCACGCCATGAAGACATTGAACAATTACATCAGTGCCGCATCGATTGTGGCCTTGTCCGACGCTCTCGTCACTGGACAAAAGTTTGGCCTGGATCCAATTCAGATGATCGACGTGCTGAATGTCGGTACGGGGCGAAACTTCTCCACCACCGATAGTTATGCCAGTGACGCGCTTCCCAGGAAGTATGCCTCCGGGTTTCAACTGGCGTTGTTGATTAAAGATGTGGGCATCTCCAAGGATCTGTTCGAGAGACTCAATTTCGACACTGACTTGCCGGACCTGATCTTGAGGTACTTCCAGGACTCGATGGCCCTGTTAGAGCCGACGGCGGACCACACTAAGCTCCTGAAGGGATGGGAGAAAAGAGCTGGTCTTGAATTGAAGACGGGGACCCCAGACGGCTCCACGGTGACCGCGTCGAAGCCATGATTGATGAGTGTGCTGTTGTCCAGGCGGTGATGCCTGGGGATAGACAGGCAGCACGGGGTCGAATAACCAACCAATTTGCTGGCGATTTCCGAGCCGTCTCATCAATGCCTCTTTGGATGGAGAAAGTTTTGGTTGTTCAGTCGGATGCGGCGCAATTTGGTTCTTGGGGAGCCAATGGTCGCCCGGCTTGGCGCAGCTGTTGCCTGGCTCGGGTAGGGAGCGGGAGAAGCATTCAACCAGGTACAAAAGAGGCAGTGGAATATTGTAATGTCCTGAGATCCTCTCAGACTGAATAACAGGTCCCATTGTCTCTCAGATTATCAGGCTCCCTCCCCCTTCACCAAAGTCTAATACAATGGCGCTTTCATCTCCCAAACTCATCCCCTGTCTCTTTTTCGAGACCGAAGCAGAAGAAGCAGCCAATTTCTACGTCTCAATCTTCCCCAATTCGTCCATCAAGACTGTCTCCCGTTTCCCCGAGACCTTCACAGCGCAGAAGGATCTCGCGGGGACCGTCATGATGGTTGACTTCACACTGAACGGATACAGCTTCAGTGCTCTTAACACCCGTCCTACGGAGATCAAGTTCACCGAGGCAGTTAGCCTCCAGATCATCTGCGACACTCAGGAGGAGGTTGACCATTACTGGGACAAGCTGTCTGAGGGCGGCGACGAGAGCAAACAGGTCTGCGGCTGGCTGGGGGACAAGTTCGGGGTTTCCTGGCAGGTCGTGCCCAAGATGGTGCCGGAGCTCATGAGTGGTGCCGACGCAGTGAAGAAGGGTAGGGTAATGATGGCATTCATGAAGATGAAGAAGATCATTATCCAGGATGTCTTGGACGCGGTCGAGGGGAAGGCTGAGGGGGGAGATAAGGCTTAGCTCGGTTTCGGTTGCTTCATGGACGATGAAGCGGATGCAGGGGTTTGACGTACTTCAGGGGAAGGATAATTATGAGCTCATACCGATGATTGTCCCTCAGAAGGCGAGATTGACAGATCGTTCCCATAGTCTTTCAAACATGTGTAGTTCTTCCATCTTAGAGTATTCACGCTCAACGACCTCCCCTTCCCTAGCTCCTTATTTTACAGTGTTCCTGGGGCGGGAGGTTGTGAGTTACGCCTCACTACGTCCGTGTCGAGGACGACATAGGTTGGCCTGAGAGACGCTTCTAGAGCCCTTCGTCAGCAACACTACCAGCGTCTGCGGCATCCATCACCCATGGTCGCAGTGGTCAACCAACGATCTGCCAGCCCAAGCCAAAAGGTACCGACCACAATCAGATCCGAACCAGGAACCTCAACTGACCAAAAAGACGGGCGTAGAGTAGCCGCCATGTACTCGTTCACAGCCGGTGTCAAACAAGGGGGAGGATTATCCCAGAACGAGGACTCACCAATCCATCTCCTCTCAAGTAGATTACAGGAGCGATTTATTTGGCGGCAGAAATTCGGTATTTTAAAAATGTATCTCTAAATGGTTGCAACCAAATGTCAAGTCGTGTAGTGAACGCTCAGGACATACCTCGGGGATGAGAGCATGAGAGCGTGAGAGCGACTGAATCTACCAATTTCTATCAACGGCACAATCCAACTCGAACGAAACTTCGGTCCTGATCTCTTCCTCATTGCATTCAGTTTACATCAACTGGTCCACGTTCAATCAAAACATTACTCAAATCGACCACGATTGAGAGGGGGGAAACGATGGCGAAACGGCAGTCCCCGACAAGTCCTTAGAATGTGAAAGCAGCCTTCTAGATGTTCGACTATGATCATAGTCCTTCGACGCAATCAAAGAGAAATTGTTTATAACACCGCGCCACACGATCCTGGAAGAAAATCTCTATGCTCCACTGTTCGTGCTCCAAGGAACGCCGGAAAAGACACTTCCGTTGAGGTAGATTTCATGGGTTGAGATAAATTGGAATAGTACTTGAGGCTTTGCAAGATGATGCATACGCAATGTCGAGGTGAAGGTGCATCTGAGAATTGGAGGTTGTGCCATGGAAGAATTTGAGCGCCAGCTTTGATGATGCTGCTGCTGCAGGAAAGAGCATACTAAATGGGACTTCCGGTGTCGCCGAATGGGGACGGAGAAGGTCACGGGGCTCGCTTTGCATCAATGGGTGGTCCAACCCGAAGAACCTTGGAGATGTCGACAAGGAAGACATCAAGACAATTGACGAGATTCCAAGTATAAGAGAATGGAAAGTGAAAATCATCGTTTGAAGATGAGATGCCAGGAATACCAATGGGGAAGAGGAGGTCCCAGGGAGGAGCAAGATGCTGTTGAATTAATGAAGACGTGTTCATAAGCACGAAGGTATACCTGGAAAGCAATAAGCCACCCCAAAATTACATGACCACACATTTCTGTGCGTTCTCGTATTGTGCGCCCCATCGATTAATGCCTTCTTGAATCTCATTGTACCGTTGTTTTTCTTTGACTTCGGGTTTGAAATTGGCCTTCATGAACTTCATTAACTGTTTATCAAGATTCCCTGGGATCGGTTAGAAAGAATCCCCCTGGCTGGAAGGGAGAAAAAGGATTTGGACGTACGGCTGTCGGCTTCCAACACCACCTCTTCTCGACAGAGAGGGCAACGATCCTGTCCCCGGGTCTGCAATACGATGAGACATCGGATACAGAAGACATGGTTACATCGCAGTCGAACAGGTTTATAGGAAATGCTGAAGCAGATTGGACACAGGTAGTCGTTGAGTTGTGGGATAACGTTCAAGATCTCCTCGGAGATGGTGAAGCAGGTCGCTTGAGCTAGATCCTCTACTATGAACGGTGATTTGACTAGGGAATTGGAAACTGAGGCCTGCGCACGCAATGCCGTTCGCTTGTCGAATTTCTTTATGATCTTGGTCAAAGCGGTTTTGTTGATTTCTTGAAACTTCATCAATCGGAGGAGCTGGGCATTGATTCGAATAAAGCGATCCAATGCGACACTTGCATCCGGGCCTAGTTTGCGCACCTCACTTTCCCGAGAGGCCAGAGATTGCGTAAATTTTTGGAACTGTTTTTGTGCGTGGTCTGCGTCTCGGGCACCGGCGTCGACTTCATGGGAAGATAAAAAGATTTCCGCCTCTGTGTAGAGTTCGAAGATTTTCCTCCATGCCGCAATCTCTTTCTTTGATCTCGTCGACTTGGACGCTTTCAAAGCACGCAATTCGTTGCCTAGCTGAGTGATCTCCATCTGTAGCTGGACCTGTTCAGCGCGACGTATTCGGTCCAGATCGGTAAGCTCTCGTCGAAGAATCTGGAAAAACTCCGAGTCTGAGGAGAGTGGGATTTCGACCGTCTCTAGTTGTTGTTTTCCGTCTTCTAAGGAATGGGAATTCTCGCCGTCAGGCGGAGCGTCTGGGGCAGCATTGGAACTTGCTCCGTTGGTCTCGTCCGGAATGGGACACTGGAGTTGTCCATTTGGTCCTTCGTCCTCGGAGTCGACATTGGCCCGAGAAGATCGAGCGAGGTGTCGTAAGACTCTTCGAGTCTCTGGACTCAGCCAAGCGTCCATAGGTGAGCCATCATGCGGATCAATGGCGATTGTTAATTTGGGGGTGAAGCTAACTTTTCCACTCCCGTCCATCGAGTACTGCATCAACCGATCTGCAATCTTGCCCCCGACCTCCGCAGGTCCTGAGGTGACATGCTGCCAAAGTACATCAAGAGTTTCCTTGTCGAGCCCGAGGCCCGAGAGTTCTCTTTGCACTTGTTTGATACACTTCTTTAGCTTTTTGTAGGAGATGGCAGAGTCGATCCATTCTTGCGGGTACTCGCCTCGCGCGAGAGCCGCCTCGAAATCCTGTCCGAACTTCATGTCTGAGATTTGATAAGGCGGGGAAAATTTTGTAGAGCGGAAGGAAGCTCATTCAAGGTTTTTCACCATGTCATGTGCTTATTTTCCGGACGGATCTGATTTCCGTAGAATCCCATTGCGTGAGTTTGTCGTATGGGAACCCCGGGGGGGGCAAAGCGATATTAATATGCATCCCTCTAACGGCTCCCCACATCTCGGTCTCGCCACGAGCAATATTTTGCCTTTTGATGCAAGGGCTGGCATTGCCACCCCGAAGTCACGAGCAGGTCCCGTTGTGATTGGCTTGTTGCCAGAGTCATTTAGATCACGTGACTTATCGGGAAGTATCGCCTGAAAAGAAAATGCGACACCGGCTGGCCCCAAGCCTCAAATCCCTCTCCACAGACCCACCGCCAGATCCTATCCTTTTTTTCTTTTTTTCTTTTTTTCGTGTCCTGACGGGTTCATGGGGTCATGGAAGCGTTGGAGATGACATGGATCATATTTCCGAGTGATTTTGGTTGACTCTCCACCTCGGCCCTGAAAACTTCGGCTGTCATGGGTCAGCGACAATCCACCAACAACACCGACTCCGAAGAACCTCCTGCTAAATCTGACTATTATGATCTCCTTGGGGTTGAACGCACGGCCACTGACGACGAGATCAAGAAAGCCTACCGCCGAAAGGCTCTTGAGTTACACCCTGATCGAAACTACGGTGATGTCGAGAATGCCACCAGACTGTTCGCCGAAATTCAGTCCGCCTACGAAGTCCTCTCTGATCCTCAAGAAAGAGCCTGGTATGATTCGCACAGAGACATTCTCCTTCGAGGAGATCAAGCCACCGGACCGGACGCAAATGAATTTTCCTATAATATTCGCATGACCACGGCCGAGGAGGTATTGAAATTCATGTTGAAATTCAATGGTCGGTTGGAATACACCGATGCTCCTAACGGCTTCTATGGCGGCCTGAATGATTTCTTCAAACAACTGGCGAAAGAGGAGGATATTGCGCGTCGCTGGGAGAATCAAGAACCCATGGAATACCCCGAGTTCGGTTTTGAGAATGACGATTACGGTGATGTGGTTCGACCGTTTTATGCAGCATGGAATGGTTTTGCTACGAAAAAGAGTTATGCTTGGAAGGACCAATACAGAGTGTCCGATGCCCCCGATCGACGGATCCGGCGTCTCATGGAGAAAGAGAACAAGAAACTGCGCGAAGATGCTATACAAGAATACAATGAAGCGGTTCGCTCCCTCGTTGCCTTTGTTCGAAAACGGGATCCGAGAGTCCAGAATAACCAGAGGTCCGAAGCGGAACGACAAAAGGCTCTTCGAGAAGCCACCGCGGCGCAAGCAGCGCGCTCAAGAGCGGCTCGACAGGCCCAGTTTGAAGAGTGGGATGCTAACGCGATACCGGAGTGGGCCCAATCACGAACCCGGGATGAGCACGAGGGAGGTTTTTCGAGTGAGTCGGAGGCGGAAGAACATGAATACGACTGCGTGGTCTGTGATAAGACTTTCAAAAGCGAAGCACAATTCAAAGCACATGAAAAGAGCAAGAAGCACCAGAAATTGCTGAAGCAATTGACGAGGGAGATGCGTGATGGGGGTGAAGCGCTGAATCTGGAGGCGGGAGCGGCAACACCTGTGCCTGAAACAGCCGATGTCGACGACGAGGAAGTGCGACAAGTGCCTTATCAATCACGACCCGAAAAGGCAGACCCCTTTGATGATGATAACAATACTTCTAATAATGCTCTGACGCCCCCGACACCCAACGGAGAGGCAGGTCCGGAGGATGACGGTCCTGAACCGTCCGACGCTTCTGACGACGATTATGTGTCTCGATTTGATATCGAACAACGGCTTGCCGGAGGACCAGCCGAGAAGGTCTCTGGAAAACTTGACGATCTCTGTCCAGGAGGGACGCCTGCAACATCGGGTCCCGAAGATCCAGAGACCACACAACCCAAGGTGGGCAAAGCCAAGCAAAGACGAGCAAAGAAGGCTGCTCAAAAAGCAGCTGGGCAGTCTGATCGGCCGCCCGCGGACGTTCGGTGTGTCGTATGCAAGGCTGAGTTCCCTTCGAAGACGCGATTATTTAACCATATCAAGGAGCAAAACCATGCAGCTCCAGTGACAGAAGTCAGAGGGACCAAAGGGGGAAAAGGAAAGAGAAGATGATGCTCAGCAATGAATGATCCGTGCTCTCCTTTGCATAGCGACGGGCGTATCGGAGCGCAGAGTTGGACTTCGAAAGACGCCAGCTCAAGCGCTGGAAACAGGCTTACGTTGAGAAATATCCCTCTCTCGACCCAATCGAGTTTCCAATTTGTTCGACGTAATTAAACGAGCGTTTCATGTGTCATGGGGTGGCTCGTCTGATTCGGCGTATTAAGTGCCGAGGCTGTGACATGGGCACGGAGAATCCCTCCGTCTTCACCGTCTTTTATCTCTCCTAAGCGGTAGCGCACTTTATCGTTCGGTGTAAATAAGTCTCGATCTAGTCGACCTAGCCTTTCGTCAGAACGAATTCAGACGTTGACCGTGTACTGGCTGGTTTCGTTCAATATGATCATCTACACGACCATCGTGGCCCCAGATCACTAATATCAGTGTGTCCAAACCGCCGTAATTGATGCCTCAGGCAACCATGGCCGACACTCGCTGTGCTAACCCGGAACTACAACTTGACGTGGACTTGATGATGCTGGAATATACCTTCTACCATGCGACCCAAGCCCAATTTGACTTCCTATTCTCCGGATGTCAGGACGAAGACAAAGCCGCCGAAGCGACCCGCCTTCTCACAATATTCGACTCCTTCATCCGTCTCTTCGCCCAAGATCACCCTTCTTACGAGAAAACACCGGAATTTCATCTCAATGTGAAGATCCTCGAGTTGTTGGTCCTGCTATCCAGTCGATCGACAGGCCTTCAACAGCAGTTTTCGCCAGACATGTCCAAGAAGCTCCACGACGAAACGGTTGAGAATTTAAAGGCTCGTCGGAGATGGCTTATCGCTCACCAAAGGCAGGCGCAAAGACGGGGAAAGCAGCTTGCCGGATCCGACGCTACAGATGTGACGGACGATGTGGAGATCCTCATATACAATTCGTGGACTCGGCACAAATCCGGGAGTTCGGTGTCCTCTCATCCATCGCCATCGGATTTCTTGCCACGCTTCCTCGACCTTTTGACACGGTTTATGGAAATCTCTGCCGAAATTGCTGCTCTGCGAGGTACGCCCGAAGAAAAATGGATGCAGATTGCTTGTGAATTCATGCTTCAAGCCAGTCTCGAGTCGATTAGGATTCGGCTTCGAGATAGTGGTAACGAAGATATGTTTCTACCGCGACTTGACGATTGTTTTGCCTGGGGCTATTTCGATGCCCCAGACGAACTTATCGGTCCAGATGATCAAGCGCATGTGGATGAGGAATTGGCCTTTTTCAACCACCTCTTCCGTGCTCCAACCAATGACGGAGCGGTGGATGAATCCCCACCGAGGGAAAACCCGACATGGACCAAACTGCGCAACGAGTATCTCTCCGAATTTCACATTGCAGATGACGCTTCAGCATCATCACAGACTTGGCGAGTGGATCGTCTGGCCCAAAAATACCCCCCCGAAAGTTTTCAGGACCAACTTGTCCAGTTCCTGAAGAATGCATGGGACCTGGCCATGGTCAACAAGCCCGTTCTCGTTCAAATTGAGGAAGGGCATTTGAAGAGCTTGGGGGTTGAAGGAGCCGAGTTTGACGACTTTATGGTTCGAGTTGGCTTAAGAGAGGATCTGAACGGGTCTTTGAAATTGAAGTTATGAACGGGGTCATGAAGGATATTATGTTGCAAACACAACACTGAAGAATTTACGGCTAATATTGTGTCCAAATTTTCATGCTACGTCTCCAAATCGGCCACTGAATGAATGGATGAATCATGGGGCGCGCCTGCTCGGTTCACGGAACAACTCTTTCGGCCACTGTCTGGTCGGGTAATACAACAGATGGACGATGTCGAGCCTAATCGCGCGCATATGTCTACAAGACGAATTCCCTGGGAGCAGACATCTAGTTCGTCTGGAGCTTTGGGGTTGCCGTGGCAAATCCTACTCCTTCGAGTTCCTCCACACGTTCTCCTCAAACCCATCCATCCAGCTCACGTATTCCTCCCCCCCGGCAACCCACGCTTTAATGCCGCCTTGGAGAATTGCACTCTTCACCACCCATGGCGCCTCATCGCCCGATGTGGGCGCTGACGGTAAATGCTCCTCGATGAAATCTGCCAACCACCCGGCCGCCCGCGTGCCTCGACCTCGTGAGGAGCCGCAGTAGAAAATCACCAAGGGGATCTTGGCGCTAACGCACAGTGCGTGCAGGGTTGAGAGGGATGGGAAAAGGGTTTGCGCGGGGAGGTTCAGAGAGGTGCGGATGGTACCGCCCTGGTTGTATCGAATGAGTATCAGTAACAATACTCTCTGGGCGCAAGGACAAGGAGAGAGTCATTGGTGTTGGGGGGATGGGGAGAGGAAGGAACAGAGAGCTCGAGATGGATTATACAAGGGTCGGAAAACGATGGGTCTGCTGCTTTGGCGCGGTGTGGTGGCATCACCAGGTTGGATAACGTAGAACAAGCCACGCCAGTAAATGGGACCCTCTGATCCAGGTACCATGTCCCTGGACCCAGACACATAGACCCGACTCGTCGACGGTGCCTCTCAATACAACAGACTATAGCACACCGCGGCCCGTTTTCTTCATCCTTTCGATCTCTTCTATTCCAGTCTCGAGACCCCCAGCTCCTGTCCCGACTCTCCATCCCGCAGGGACCAAACCAACTCTCTCAACCCAACGAAGCAGCCAAGTATTAGGGACATAATTTGTACGTACCTCATGATCATTCCTCCTTAGGTCGACGAGGAGGAAATCCGCTCCGCCTCGCTCTCCTGCTTTGAAGCGAGAGAGTAGGTCTTCTCGCGATATGGAGTCGGGATCCGTTGTGCGCGGCGTGGGAAAGGATGCGTGCCATGGTTTCTCCATTGGGTTTTGTTCTGCTTGAGATGGAGGATGAGGATTGGATGCTGATGTTGATGTTGGCTCCATTCCGCCAGCCAGTGAGAATGAAATTCCCTGTCACTAGGGAGAAAGCGAGAAGGAACAGGTTCCGTCTTATATGCTCAAGTCACCTTGTCTTTCCGATCCCAAAGAAAACGTGGACGATGATATTTAGTTGATGGCGCAGCATACGGACGTGGGATGGAGAACTGTTCAGCGTCTGGGGAGTGGCTTTTTCTAGCCAATGAAATTTCAGTGGTGACAGCGACAGCCTACGTAGGTGCTGTGTGATATTAATTACACCCCGCGACGCATTCGGGAAACTTAGGGTCGCCATTCATCTTCTTCTTCCGGCTACACTCATTCACCAATTATAATATTGGACCTCCTTTTTCCCTTTTTCTTCGAGCACCCTGATCCTGACCCCGAGGGACGAAAAGGCTAGGGAAGCCGAATGGAAAGAAACCTTCTCCTCGACTGCAATTGATCATTATCATTACCATTTTTCCAAAAACCATGACTTAGGTTTCTATCATAATTCCATTCTCTGACTCAGTCCCGTTGAATCCTCAATCTTCAGGATACTCGTGTCGTACATTACTCACGAATGTGCCCGTCTCCAAATCAAACCTCTTAAACCACTTGCCAATCTCAATGGGGAACGCATTCAAGATATCTTCCGCCGAAATCTCACTGGGCAGCAACAACACGACGTTCTCCTCCGCCACGTATCTGGTCGACTCGTCTTCGACAAGAACATGGTAAAAGGGCTGATGACGCCCGTTGGGCAAGCGGTCCACTTGGTTCATCATGATCCATTGCTCCTGCATGCGACAGTAGGGGTCCCAGCCGTAGATGACGGCGAGATAGCCCCGGCGACGGTGCCGGAAGACCTGGCCGACGGAGTACTTGACGACGGAGTTGCGGGGGTCGGAGCGGTATTTGGCGGGGCGGGATTCGTGGTCGGATTCTTTGAGCTGTTGGATGAGGTTGCAGTATGCACGGGCGTCGGGGAGGCTGGTGGTCAGTGGGAGGACGCGGGTTTCGTACAGGTGGATGTCGAGATCGAAGAATTCGAGGAAGTGTTGGGTCAGGACGGCGAGGTGTTGCTGGAGTTGGGCGGGGTGAGGATTGGGGAGGGCGGGGAGGAGAACGAGCGAGAAGAGGGCGGCGTAGGTTGCCAAGTTGGGGTTGATGGGATGTAAGGGGGCGCCGGAGTAGTGGGCTGGTGAGGACAGGATGTTGTGTGCGGTGCGGATCGTGAGGTCTTTGGGAGACGCCGCGGAGAGGTAGGAGGTGGTTTGCGCGAGAGTGGCGGCCGGAGTGATGAATTTGAGCTGAGTGTCGAGGACCGAATACGATATCGGTTCGGAGCCGTTGAAGGGATCCATATATAAATGTGTGGGCAGGGATGGTCCTCGGTCTTCGGAGCCAGATGATTCTCGGAGAGGCTTGCCATCCAGGTCAATCCCCGGAGGTGGTTGGACGACGGCATGGACGTGGAAGGGGTAACTGCATGGTGCGGCGCGGAGATTGAATTGACGAGCGACGTAGCAGAAGGTGACCGCTGAGATCAAGGGGACGGAGTTTCTGTTTCCGCTGAACAGAGATACTCCGAGGAACATGTGGTCCAGGCTGTGGTAGTGACGATCTCCTTGGATGCCGATCCATTTATTCTTCAAAAGGTGGTCGGCGATGATGATAGATTTTTCTCGCGGGGATAGTTCGTCAATGTTGGCATGGGCGGCGCGGACAGAAGCCACATAGGAATCCAGCCGAGCGAAGATCTGAAGGATGGTCAGAAAAAAGGAGAAGAGAAACCTGGATGGTCCCACTTACATCGTCCATGTCGCCTTCGGCATGTTCTTCGAGAATGAAGAGGTCAAGGGCCGCCAGAGGTTTTTCAAATGCATATGGATCTTGGCCTCCTTCCCTCAGGGCTATCCATTCTTGGACTGCCAGGAAACGATGGAGACAGCCCAGGGCCGCATGACTCCAATATCTAGGGGAGGGGGGCATTCAGAGTCTGTCGTCGGAACTTGGTGGTTGACACTCACTTCTGCGCCAGATGATTTTGGGACGAAGATGCATTCCAAAACATATCAAGCAGATCGTCTTTAGCATCATAGCCGATTTCCAAGATGGTCTTGATCCAATCCAACCGTCCTAATTCTTCGGCGACAATTTTGCCGATAGCCTTGCGTGTCTTCCCGGCTGATGCGTGTCGAGCGGCAAACAGTTTCTTCCAATCGGTAAAGGAGGCATCTTCAAGTTTGGTGGTAATTTGATGGTGCGTGTCCCACCAGCGAAATCCCTGTTTGCAGTATGTTTTCCACAGAAGTGGCTCATTGGCCACATTGGCAAAGCGTCGGCACGTGGTTTGTAAGGCGAGAGTGGTGGATGGCGGCAAATACGATAATATCGCTTGGATGACTTCGTCGGGGAGGGCGGTTAAATGTGGTTTCATGGCGGTCCACTTCTCATCACTTTGAGCGACGGCGATCGCGTTGACTAGGTTTGATGAGTTTTGGTGTTTGGATGTCCGAGGTCAGAGGTGAGAAAGTGTCGCGTGGATGTCTGACATGAGGATAAAGGAAAAAAATCCGACGGGAGTAAAGGGCGCCGGACTTTGCCTCGGTGGCTCAGCGGTGGCCACAGGAACATAGGAATCCCTCTCTGGCCAATCAGAATATAGAAATGGGGTACCCACCAGGAGTGTGTTGATACCCCATACATCTATGGGGGCATACCCTTAAATCGAGGTTCACGGTGGAAAGTTTCAGGTGTACGCCATTGTATCCACATTATTTACACAACGCCCCACCCATTCTATCCACGGATAGAATGGATGACGGAGTTTACGGGCAATTGAGGTCACCTGGGATTTTTGGCTCGAAAGAACTCCGTGGGGAATGCCATAAGAGTCGGTATCATGTCTTTATTCGATTTATCTCGTTGGAAACAAGGCCGCCAGGAATGCGTTCTCCTTATCTAGCCTAGGGTTCCTTTCAAGTCCCCCTTTTCAGCGTGGAGACGTACCATCTGGGCGATGAAAGGGCCCCAGTCTTCCCTCACTCGTTCCATTTTGATCCGATCTGCCTCCAAGCTTGAGGAGTCTGTCATGACTGTCAAGGACAGCAAAGAAAACTCCAAGGCAGTGGTAGAAGCCGTCTCCCATTGGGCTTGGAGCTCGGGAAGAACCAGTGCGACCCAGTTATCTTCGGGAGAAAGAGCCCCTAGCTTCCGGGGAAGTCTCTCCATTCCGTCCATTCGCCATATGAATCCACCCGCAGGCACGTATGCGACAAAATGGAATCCATTGTCACCGTCACCACATTCTTCTTCCTCCTCCTCTTTGAGCTTCTTCCGAGGACGTTTGGCCATGGCTGCCTTCTTTTTCTTCTCGGCGGCAGCGACATCTTGTTTGAGACGAAGATCGACGTTCATTTTGTCGAATGGCGCTGCGAATGAGTTGTGAACATCTCTGACATGATCGAAGCGATCCAAAGCAATTCCTCGCTCTTTGGGAGTCATGTTCATTGTCTTGGCGCGAAAGTGGTTCAAAGCCTGGCCGAGATCGAGGTTGGCATGATTGTTGATAATATTCATGAGTGCCACACTGGCACAGGAGAAACTGGAGGTCTAGAAGTTTGAGCCGCAGCCGCACAAGGGGGTGTGGGGGGTCTAATACCTGGTTTGCGAACCAAACATCTCCAGGAGTTTCTATGAGAGTATTTTCTGTCTCTGCGGGCATCCATCGAGAAAGGAAGATCAATCCGAACACGTTCTCTCTACGGAGATGTGAGTGGAATCCACGTCCAAGAAGGCCCAACACATACGGTGGAGTGTCAAAGACGCTGTCAAGGGGTACGACTTCGTTTACTTGAATGTTGGGAACTCCCCATTCTCGCAAGAGCGTGGTAAATATGACCTGGACGGTTAGTTAGGCACCAGGATTCCAAGCACAGGGAGGGGGAGGTACCGGGTCGTTCTCTAGCTCAGCCCATCCACTCCAAGAGCGGCTCTGGTTGTTGGGAGCGGAAATGTCGTCCGTGGTCATCGAGGCTGTATCTGCGGTAGATGAACCTGCCGTCGAACTTGTCTGAGCAGTCATGCCGGCAGATGCGAGGTCATTGGCAGGATTGGTCGGAGGAGCCTCTTTGCTCCAAGACATGATGGATGTGTTGGGATGACGACAGACGACTCGCAGACGGTCGGACAATTTTGTTGGTCGGCTCGTGGCAAAGGTGCCTCCAGGAACGACGGAGGAATGGGTATCTCTCTCTGAAATGAAAATGTCGACCCGATAGACGGTCCTCACTCATTGAGGAAAAGAGAACCACCAGCCGTGTCTTTTCAGAGACCTGTTGGAGACAACGAAAGGCGGCTCCATCTGGACGAAGCGGCCCGTTCTAGTTGCTAGACTCACACCGCCTTGGAGAAGGTGTAGAGATACAACTGTTCATTACCGTGTCAGAGCCAGGACACGCCAATGTCTCTGCCAGCGACAAATAAGGGATTCATAGTGGGCGAGGCTGTGTGGGCCGGCAGGACGTCATCTCCGCCAAGCCCCTTGTTGGAGACTCGACCACGCTTTTGATTTTTTTTTTTTTTGGTGACGCGTTGAGCACCGGCAAAACGCGACCACTTCAACCATTCACGCCGGAGGCAAGCCTCTCTATTGAATGACCGAAACCCTTTGCATTCCCTGCTGTTTCACCGAGTCTTCCAAAATTGTTGTCCTCCACGGTCTTCACTTATTTCCTACCCAACACCGACCTAGAAATTCAGCGCCCCCTCACCGACCGCAAGATCATCACCAGAAACAAAATTACAAAAGGAGACAGGGAAGGTTCTACAGCCGCATGGTGCCATGAATGAAACCCCGCGACTGCGGTCGGCCTTCCCTTCCACCCCCCAAGCCGAACATCGATTCCGAAATACCCATGACAGCAATGGTCGACCCATTTTGGGCTCGCCTCGCACTTCCTTCTCACAAAGACCCTCTCCAATAACGCGACCGGCCAAAGTACCGGCGGATGCGACGTCCAATGGCGCTCCCGTCATACCAACCGAAATTGTCGATGCGCCTTCACAGAGACTTTATATCCTGACATTTTATGTGGGGTTGACGGCGTGGAGGCTGTACAATTCATACAATGTTGAAAATGATCTCGACTCAACATGGCTGTTCCTTAAGTGGGTTGGAATTGATGCCGCATTTTTCGTGGCTTTACCAGCCTTCAGAATACCCTGGCTTGAATGGTCTTTCGCCACAACATTAACATTATGGCTTCTCCATGCGGTTGCGAATGTCTTCTTGATGTACAGGATTCCTATCCCGGTGATGTCGTGGTTGGGAGCTCTCGTCAAAGTGGCATACGATCGAGAACTTTCCATCTCCGAACATCGCGTCAAACCAGCCGATATCCTTCACAACAGCTCCATCATCCTGGGAAAACAGATCATTCACATTCTACCAGAGGGATCAGCCATTCTCAATCCCGAGAAAAAGGCGTTTTGTCTCGGTCCATCAATCTCTGCCGTCGAACTACCGATCCAAATCAATCAAACCACGCCCATCTCGGTTGAACTCCGGAGATTCGACCTTGATACGGATGAGGTCGAAACCATCGTCATTGGCAGCAAGCAAGCCAAACAACTGAAGAAACGTGCCGAGAGTGGCTTTCCAAAGCCCGACACAAACATGCCTCGGACTCTGCTGTATCCCGTATCGAAGAAAGGGCTCTATCAATTGCATCGTGTTGTGGACACGACCAAACTGGAAGTCAGAAAGCGAAGTTTTGACGTTGCCGTGGTACAATGTCCCAGGGCATCGGTCGCCGCGGAGTCGGTGGACCGATGTACGGGAGAGCTGAGTCATGTATCATTACAAGTCTCCGGCGTTCCTCCTTTCCAAGTCAAATACAGCAAAACGGTCAATCAAAAGCAATTCAGCTCGATCGTTCAAAACGTTCAGCCACGCGGGGATTCTGGCTACGTGACTGCCGATGACGCTGATGGCGTTGTTCTCGATCCCCCCCACCCCCCCCGGGGCTGGACCAAATCGACGACCGAGTCTTTTCAGATCAACGAATCACTTCATCAGAATGGAAGTCACTCGTACGCGGTCGAAGAAGTGGAAGATGGCCTCGGCAACAAAGTCGTCTACGACGCTACCAACCCCAAGGATGTTCATGCTCCCCGAGTCCAGAGTCTCACCGTTCACAATCGGCCCCAACTTAGTCTGGTCGGATGCAACTCCGATCGCCTGATTCCTGTGCCCAAGGGTATCTCTATCAATCTCCCTGTTCGTGTTCGTCCGGTGGATCGGTTGCATCCCTCCGACTGGCCGTTGAAGTTGAAATATAGTTTCGTCCCGGAGACGGAACAAGAGATTCCTCCGTTGGAAGAATATACCCATGAGATGACGAACGATCGGTCGGGACCTCGAATCAGCAAAGCCGGAAAGTACACCGTCGACTCAATCGACAGCCAGTATTGTCACGGAGAAATTGTTGAGCCATCATCCTGCCTATTATACAATCCTCCCGAGCCCAGTCTGACCATGGAATCCGAAGATATCTTTGACAAATGTGCCGGAAACCCCATTGGCATGTACGTCAATCTCGACTTTACGGGGACTCCACCGTTCAAGGTGAGATATACGGTCACCCATCAGGGCACCGCCGATCCCAAGGTACGAGAATTTTCGGGCATGCGTGGCCAGATCGAGTTGCGAGAGAGATCAGCTGGCTCTTACATCTACACCATTCTTGAGATCGAAGATGATGTTTATGGCCCCATCTCCCTGTATGACAAGAACTTGATTTTGAAACAAGATATCAAACCGCCTGCGTCGGCCGTCTTTCACGGTGAGAACCGTGTCATCAAAGCATGCCTGGGGCAACCGGTTTCTGTGCCAGTGAGACTTCTCGGCCAAGGACCGTGGGATTTGGAATATGAACTGGTGCATGGTGGCAAGAGAAAGAAGCATAGTGTCCACTCGGAAGAAGAACGTCATACGATTGAGCTTCCCGCAATGTCTGAAGGAGGAACGTACTCGGTCATCTTGACCGGAGTGCAAGACAAATCCCGCTGTCGTACCACATTGAAAGAGCAACGGCAGATTGAAGTGAGACCCGAACAGCCACGGGCGGCATTCGGCGACATTGAGGGGAAACGATCGATTCTGGCATTAGACGGAAAGTCTGTCAAATTGCCCTTGCGACTGAAGGGGTCAGCACCGTGGGCGGTCCGACTACGAAATCGAGACCACGCTTCAGACTCCAGTGAACAAATATTCAAAGATGCCAACGCGGTGTTTTCAGTCGATCAACCGGGGACTTACGAAATTGTTTCGGTGCACGATAGCTGCCCCGGTGTGGTGGACCCCAAGGCCAGTAAATTCCAAGTGAGCTGGATACCACGACCGGCCTTGTCTGTTAAAGATTCATCGGTCGAGGACGACCGTGGCAATGGCCTCCGGAAACCTGCAGTTTGTCAGGGTGACGAATCAGTTCTGGCATTGAGTCTCAGCGGCAGTCCACCTTTCCATTTGAAGTATCAGCAAAAGTGTGAACCGGTGAAAGGTCCGGCTGCGATCATCAACAAGCCTAGCAGCTTTGCGGGAAGCAACGCCTTGATCAATCTTGACACCAGCAAGGCTGGAGAGTACACCTATGTCTTTTCCGAACTGGGTGACGACCGCTATTCTCACGACCAAAAGCGGTTCACCCCCACCGTTGTCAAGCAACAAGTATATGCTCCGCCCTCAGCGAAGTTCACTCAGGCAGGGAAGACCTACGGCCACTGCAAGGACGATCCAAGCTTTACGTCGAGCGTTCAGGCGGAGACCGAAAACATCCCCATTACTTTTACGGGAACACCGCCATTCAGCATTGAGATCGCCATTACTCATCATGGCGTCCCAACTCGTCCTGAGATCATCCGCCAAAAGGACATCTACACGAATACATATGCCTGGCCTCTCTCTAGAGCCACTCTCGACCTAGGCACTCACGGCGTCTCGATCCGCTCCGTCAAAGACGGTCGAGGCTGCGAAACCATTCTTGAATCTGACCCGTCCTCCGTCCGCATCTATGTGTACTCCCCCCCCACCATCATCCCCCTCGAATCTCAAGAACACTATTGCGTCGGCGAGCACGTCTCGTTTACACTCAGCGGCCAAGCCCCCTTCGACGTCTTCTACAACTTCCAAAACCGCGAACGCAAAGCTCGTGTTTCGAGTACCGAATTCAAACGCCTTGCCGAGTCTCCTGGCGACTTTGTCATCACCGGTGTCAGTGATAGGGCTATGGGCAATAACAAATGTCGCGCCAGAAAGGAGATCAAAAAGACCATCCATCCATATCCCACGGTGGAAATTGGGCGCGGTAAGACTGTGATCAGTGACATCCACGAGGGAGGCGAAGTTGATATACTTTTCACTTTCACCGGGACGCCACCCTTTGAATTCACGTAAGTTTCCCTGCCTCGTCTGTACCTTCACCTGTATTCTGCGCTCTGATCTCTTCATTACCATGTGGGGTGGTCATAGCCGGAAGTGGAAGTGGAAAACTAACGATGATCCTCGTGTATAGGTACACTCGATCCGAAAATGTCAAGAAAGGCCGCAAACCGCCCAAGATCCTCGAGACACGCCACGACACGTCGAATGAGTTCAGCAAAATGATTCGCGCCAGTGACGAGGGCATCTACGAAGTCGTCTCCATCAAGGATCGTTTCTGCTCGTACACCAAACCTAGCCACAAGAACGGTGGCGGGGTGGGTGGACAGAAACGCTTAACATACTGAGTTGTGGTTGTCTCCCGGTACGGACGCACTCGAGCCAACGTGATTCGACCCAATGGAATTTCAATTGTTTCTGGACGGATTCAGCATGAGTTTCATATTTCAAATAAACTTTTGTCGTGTGTTTGGCTTAGCGCATGTGTATATAATTCATAAGGTATTCAAGCAAGGAGTTGAATCTCTCGTGGAAGAATCAGCGGGAAACAACATAGGGACCACTGGTCCAGGGAAAATTTCAAAAACAAGAGTATCAAGTCTGCCAGAATGAAGAATATTTGCGTGCGGCGTCAGAATAACGCGTCCTCCTCGGACCCCTAGCAATCGCATATGGATGATCTCGGCGATGGGAAGGACATTGTTTCAGATTCATGTGGGCAAGATATGGGGATGTATACTACATCGTTGCGGAAGGAAAGGATCAGAGGAAAGGTGTGTTTTCATTTTCAGATCTAGATACCCAAGTCAGAGAGTATCCATCTGGTCTTTTCTTCACTTGTCTAGCCCTCAACCACCGATTCGATCTGTCTTCTTTGATTGTGTATGCGTCAGGTTCGGCATATCTTTTTCTTGTTCAGTTCTCGGACATGCCAATTGACTACAGTCCTGTTTGCATCAACCCTTGGGGTTTGTTGACCATAGCAGAACTCCGCTATCACACTATGTGTCTGGTTTCTGGACATTGGCTTTCCTCCTATTCTTTTTTTGTGATTTTTCTACATTTTGATTTGGAGACGCTTCTGCTAGCATCCATTTCGAAGATCGCTTCCGCTTCATGAGAGAGAGATTGCGGAATGGAATGAATGACAGATGTTTGACATTGTTCGAGGGATTTGGCGTCGGGCCCCAGATAAAACGTAGCCTCTGGGTGACGTCGTGCTTGCCGAAGGATAAGATGCGTCGTGTGTCAACGACGAGGAGGAGATGCGAAGGGGAATGTTGATGATTATAAATAAGGTATCGCATTTCGGTGTGAGCGTGGTAATTTGGGCCAGAAGGAGTTCCAGTAGTCGACGGGATCCACCAAGAGTTGTGGGTAAAACTGGATGACTATCGTTTGTGAGTGTAGACCGAATTCATCATATCTTGATGTGATGGGGGTTTTCGTTGTGGGAGTCGGGACCCGTCTAGAAAGACAATAGGTCTGTTGAAAGAAAGCAAATACCCACGCAACGCCATACAGACCCTCCAAACCTGCGGAGGTCTGCTCGATCTTGGAATCTTGCGCCGCCTTGTCTGCCATGCTCGTCAGAACATGACTCTTTTTAAGACATACAGAGCAATAAGCCGTAAATGCCGACCAACTTGGTTCGGCGATGTCCATCATCTGTCCGTCCGTCCGTCCAGACAGCTCCCAACCCAAAGAAAATAGAAACTGTACGACACTGTTGTACAGATCCGACAATAAGCAAATCAGATTAGCCATGATCGAACTCCGAGCTTGCACATGTCGCGTGTCATAGACCTTCGTGAGCATTGCAGGAAAAAAAAAGCCCACAACAAAAGAGAAATAAGAAAAACAATTGCTAGATCAAAACCCATCTCTCAAGAAACTACTGAGCGGTTTGACTGACTGGTGCTGCTGCCTGATGGGGATGGCCACCACGTCCTCGAGCGCCTTGACCGCGGCCACGACCGCGATATCCACCACGGCCTGAATTGTATTGTTGTCCATATCCATTGGATTGATTCTGTGGTCTCCGGCCTTGGTATTGCCCATTGGCGGTCGCCGCATTCGCATTGGCAGCAGCGTTCGCAGGGTTGGGTTTGGCAACCTGGGCTGGAGGAGGCATTGATCGAGGAATGTTTTCCGGGCTGTCGTACACATAGAGACTCTTATCAATGGATGGTGGAATGGGTTGAATCTCGGTCCCCAGCTCTTGCTCAATCTTGTACAGATTGAAACGGTCATCCCAGCCGATCAAATTGATGGCCAGGCCAAGATGGCCAAATCGACCAGAACGACCAATGCGATGAAGATATGTTTCGGCATTCTTGGGGAAATCAAAATTGATGACCACGTTGACAGCCTGAATATCGATACCACGAGTAAGAAGATCCGAACACACCAGATTTCGGCAGACGCCCGCACGGAAGTCGTGGAAGACCTTGTTGCGATTCTGCTGGAGCATCTTGGCGTGAGAATAGAAACAGGAGTACCCAAGCTCGGTGATTTTCTTCGCCAGCAGCTCAACGCGGTTGGTCGAATTGCAGAAGATGATAGACTGATTGATTTGTAGTTTGGAAAAGAGGGTGTTCAAGCAATGAACCTTCTGTTTCTCTTCGACAAATGCGTAATACTGTGTGATACCACGGAGGGTCAGCTCGTCCATGAGGTTGATTTCGTAAGGATTGCGCATATGCTTGTCTTTGAACGATTTGACAATCATAGGGAAGGTCGCGCTGAAAAGCATGACTTGTCGATCCTTGGGATGGAACGACAGAAGTTGTTCGATAACATCAGTAAATTCCGGAGACAAAAGCTTGTCTGCTTCGTCCATGACAAATATGGGGCACTCGGACAAGTCGGCCACCCCTTTGCCCGCCAGGTCGGCAATTCTTCCTGGTGTGCCAACAATGATGTGTACTGTCTCTCCTAACCTGATGATGTCGTCTTTGAGGCCGGTGCCGCCGGTGGTGACCATGACGTTGATGCCTAAGTGTTTGCCTAGTGTCTTGCAGACTTGTGATGTTTGCAATGCCAGTTCCCGAGTGGGGACCAGGATGAGGGCTTGGGTCTTTGGATTCTTGGGGTTGATTCGTTCGAGGGTGGGAATAACAAACGCTGCGGTCTTGCCGGTTCCATTCTTCGCTCGTGCCAGGATGTCTCGGCCGGTGAGGGCAACAGGAATCGTCTCTTCCTGGATGGGCGAGGGTTTCTCGAAACCGGCTTCAAAAATGCCCATCATGAGTTCACGCTTGATGTAAAAATCTTCAAATTCGAGGCCTTTGGTGGCAAGGACGTCTTCTGTTTGTTGTCGGGTATCTTTGGTGGGGATTTTGAGGGCCTGTTTCCAATTTGAGTCATCTGCGCCATCGTTTAAGGAAGCTTTATTCAACTGCGCTGCTAATGCGTCGGTCATTTTGGAGCACTTTGGATGTTGGTTGCTGGCGGGTATCGGTGCAGGAAGGAGGAAGCGCAGGAAGAGGGACGTTATTGTTGGGCAGAAGGTTTTGAGGTGCCCGAAAGAGCCTTAAGTCGAGATATGGGGGTCGATGCCGAGTTCTGAGTGAAAAGGAGCAAAAAGATCCTAGGGAACCTGGAGGGTATCGAGGCTCAACCAGAAACGTCGTGGGTATTGTTCTTTTCTGTGCGGTCGTCGTAGGGGCTAGTGTCTCAGCGAACGGGGTCAATGTATGGAGAGAATTTTGAGAGGCCCGAATCTTTTTGATCGTTACAGTTTAGAGTGGGAGGTGAGTGTGAGGCTGTTACTCGAGAGGTGTAGCTCAAAGTGGGAAGTTGCAGAAGTGTTTTCAAGCCCAGTGCGGCGAAGCCGTGAAGCCGCCCCCCGTCCGATCACCGGGCATATCGCAGGGGGGCGCAATGCCAAGACCAAACCATATCCTTTTCCGCTTTGGGTCGCTTCTCGCCGCATGCTTTCGAACAAAAACGAATTTTATCTCGATTCATACACCCATTAGTCTCCGGACGGTATGTTTGGTTGAATCCGAGCCAGCTTCCGTCTACCGTAAGACCAGAAAGCCCTGCCTCCGGAGTTCTCCTACAGCATGGTCGATGGATATACCCAGCTTCGTCAATACTTCGGACAGCAAAGAGCCGGAGAAAATGGGAGAAGAGGGTTCCCATTGAAGAGATGACAATCATAATGGCTCGTCCATCTATATTATAACAGCATGTCACATCTCCTCGTCAGTAGTCATTTCCGCACCAACCAACAGGCGCTGTGGTCCATTCCTTCAATGATCATTTCCACCCTCATCCATCTGCGATGGACAACCAAGACAAAAACAACCATCATGATGATGATGCGGAAGCAAGCACAAGCCTGGCTTGACCTCTCTCCGGTGGGTCAACTCTATTTCATGTTAGCTCTAATATATTCATCAAGGCAAATCCATCTGGACTTACTCAATGGCGGTGACATCTGGGGCCTTCTTGATATCAGTTTTGTTGCCAGGACTGATGAGAATGAATTGGCGACCAATGCTCTGCCGTGCTCCCTCGATCAATAAATTGACACTGATGGATCGGTTGACGGCATCCATAAATACATCGAATTCGTCCAGACATCGTACCGGCGCCCCCATCGCGTCCCAAATGGCGAGCAACAAACAAATCTGAGAAAATGACTTCTCCCCACCTGACAAAGTTCGCGCACTTCGTCCTGATCCATCACGCCTCGTAATGTCTGGCTCCACTTTAATTTCCATCGACTTGTTGTGGTGATCCAGAATGAGTCGTCCGCGAAAATTTCTCTCACTGAGCATGTACATGAATGTGGCCTTCGAACTCTGCGAAATGTGATGTCGAAACTTTTTCCATCGGTATCTTCGCTGTACCATGGTCTCAATGAGCTGGTTTTGCAAGTTTTCTAAACCCTGCATTTCCTGCTTGGCATTCTCGTATGCTTTCGACCATCGTGCCGCTTCTACGGCGATCTGCTCCCGGTCGCCAATCCGATCATGATATCGGTGATAATCTTTCATGAGTCTCTGATACTTCTTTTCCAGGCTTTCATAGGTTTCTCCAGGAGGAATGTTGACCCGCTCGGAGACCTGGCGTGCTTGTTCAACAAATGTCGCGACCTTTTCGGTCATCTCATTCATCTTGCGTTCCAGTGAGCCCCGGTCGCCTTTGGCGTCGTCAATTCGAGCAATCGCGGCATTCTTTTCTCCCAAGTCGTGGGCTCGTTTCTTCCCGGCTTTCTGTGCCGCTGCTTGGGCCTTGTCGGCCGCTGCCTGGGCCTCGGCGATGCGTTCATCCAGTTCCGTTAACCGTCGAGTCACTTCCCGAAGTTTTTCCTTGAGGGCATCGAACGCGTTCACCGAGTCTTGGTAAGAGTTCTCGTGCACGGATTTTTGCTCTTCCGCCTCCTCCAACGATTGGCGCAAGACTTCAAGGTTTCCTCCCTCGACATTGTCCTCGTTGATGGCGTCATTCAGACGGTCCACCTCGTCCTCGGCTTGTTGGACCGCAATTCGCAATTCTCTTGAATCTCGGGTGTGACGGACCAGAGTCTGATTGGCCTTCTCATGTCGGTCGCGAGCGCGGCGGAATTCCTCTTCGGTCCGACGTAGCTGAGCCTTTGCGTCTGTAACTGCTTCTTCCTGCCGGCGGATTGACTCGTCAATGTTGGTCTTCATTCTGGGGCTGCCCTGGAAATCGTGGACGGGATCTTGCGCAGCTTGGCCATGTCGATAAGACAATACAGCCCCCCTCAGCCGACTCGACGGGCTGAAGCAGTAGCATCTCTTGACATTTCGTAATGGCGGTCCGCCCGAGTAGAGGGTGTCTGAAGCCACCGTCATGTCGGGGATCAGGATGCTCTGCTCAATCGCATGGGAGATCACGAGTTGTTTCTTTACCGCTTCATTGTCAATCTCCAAGACACTTAAGACGGTGTCAAACTGGGGGTCCGGTGTATTTGACTCGATGTCGATCGGCTGACTGTTGACAATAAACACCGGTACTGGGCAATTTGTTCGCCGCATAATGTTGCTCAGAAGATTCTCGTCTCTCTTGCTGGTCACAATGAATGAGTTCAGTGTATTGCCGAAGGATTTTTCCAGAATCGAAGACCATTCGGGCTTGAGTAGCTTCAGATGTTTTCCAAGAGGGCCAATGGGTCGGCTGTGAAAGCCTGTTTCCTGACTCAGGGCTTTGAGGAGAGATGGCATATGGGGGTGGTAAGCCAAGTCCTGTGAGTTGCGGTTTCGTATCAACTGGCTGAGGTTCTGTTCATGTTGTTTGACTCTCTGTTCCTGAGCAATTCTTGCCCCATCCGCTTTGTCTTGGAGATTTTTCGTCCTCGCAATATCCTCGAGCACATTTTCCTTTTGGCGATTATGTTCCTGCTCATCCACTTTGGCCTGATTCAAAACTTCTTTAGCGTCGTGAAGAGCACCGATACGTCTTGCGGCACCGCCTCCATCGCGCTCGGCTAGTCTCTGTTCTTCTTGGACGATAGCTTCCTTCTTGGCTTGAATTGACTTATCAGCATCTTTCAATGCGGTGCGGATGGTGCGTTGCTCAGCCTGAGCATCCAACACATCCTTTTTGATGCCGGCATGTTGCTCCTTCCACTCATTTTTCTCAGCTTGAATCCGTTGGACATTTGCTTGTGCGTCCTGAAAAGCGTCAATAGCCGCGGAATTAAGTCTGTCTGACTCCTGAAATCGGTGATCGAGGTGGACAACTTGAACCTCCGCATCTGCTATCTTCGCATCTGCCTCTTGGATTTCCCGGGCATAATCGTCTCGAATGGCCTCTTGAGTCGCAACTTGGGCCCACGCGAGTTGCCGTCGATAGTCGCGAAGTTTATCGAGCATGCTGTCATACTTCTGGGACAGTTCCAGCTTGTTCTTTGCACTTTCGTGCTTCTTCTTCAGGTCATCGAGGTCTGGCTCCTTGGAGTTGATTTTGGCGTGGATGTTTTCCATTTGCTCTTCAATGATCCTGTAGTCTTGGTCCAGCTGTTCGAGTTGCACACCCTTCATAAACAGTTTGTATTTCTCTTTGGGGCTAGAACTCGCAATGAATTGTCGAGCCTGATCCTGGGAGAGTACGGTCATCGGATTATCAATTTGAAGAACCATGTGATCACAAATTTCTTCCAGATCAGACTTTCTCGTCGAAATGACTCGCCCTTTCTCCGATTTGAGCTTAAAGCCGCTACTACCAGCGCGAGAAAAATGGCGTTCAACCTGGATAGATTTGCCATATAAGTCGGGCATGTACGCGGCTTCGCCTTGATTCTTGATTTTGCAAATAATGGTCGCATGGTCTTTGCCTTCCTTTATGAAATTTTGCAGGCGTGCTCCTCGATTTGTGGCGGATGCTTTCCCTCCAAGACACAAAACAATAGCAGTAAGGATGGCGCTCTTGCCACTGCCGTTCTTGCCGCATATGAAATTGATCAATGGACCCAGTTTGTAATCTGCATCCTCATGACACATGAAATTCTTCAATTCGACAGCCTCTAAGATGCCATACAGCGCAGGCTCATTGTTCTCATTTCTGCTGGCTCGTTTTCTGGCTTCAGCAGCCTGGGTAGCCGCAAGGAAGGCCGCTTCGTCATCTTCGTCGGAATCATATTCGGAGGGTGGAGTGCTCGCATTGTCGCCGTCATCTGAATCACTGGAGATATTGTGATGAATCGAAGATTCGTCACTCGTTCGTCTTCTTTTATTCTGCAGTCTTGTTAGCACTGCGTGGAATTCTCACCGTGTTGACGCCTTACGGATGAGCTGTGAGAAGACGTTCGGCTCCCCTGACCTAGATCAATATCAGAGTCGTCATCGACATCAGACGGGGCCGATCGCTTTGGTGGCGCCATGATGGCGTTGCACTCGAGGATACTGCCGTCAATAAAGTACAACGGGCAAGGTTGTGAAGGACAGTTGGAGCCTGAATTAATCCGTTACCGTGTAACCGACTGCAAGCGCGTTTCAGTCGCGTTACTTATGTAAAGTAGTGACGTGGCTTATCAGTTGCGGGGAGCGGTCCTCTCTGTTCTGTCTGCCCCTGGAACGTGCGCTGATGCACGCAGACTCTCGGCAAACCCGAACCCTTTCCGGCCTAATGAACTATCGCGACGTACATGGCGGGTTCTGATACTGACCCCCTGGCGTCGATTATATAAGAAAGGCATTTTCTTTCCAGAAACGCAAAATTACGAATAAATATACATGTAAACGGCACAGAGTACAAGACCACAAGCGCACAAGCACTTGCTATAAAAATGGAATCCGGACCGACGGTCGAGTTTGAGATAACTCGTCAAAAACGCTTGTTTAGGCGTGAAAGTATCGTCTTGAAGTTGAAGTTCGAGGACAGTAACGATGCTGCTGCTAATTGCTGTCGGGCTTACAGGCTAAGAAGGAACGGCAGCGAAATCTTCATTCCTCTACCAACGAGTGAAAAAGCGACCTCCGCGGATGGCGAATTCTCTCTTGAATTTAAAAAGCCAAAAAATATTAAGCTTTGGGTACGAAGTTCTACAAGGAACCAATTGCTCGACAATGGCAATATAAAGCTGCGGATTCCATTCAAATTACCAGCTAGGAGCTTCATAGCAAACGCGCAGAGAGGTGATATCGCAAGTCCAAACCGCCAAGCCATCCTGTCAGAAGCAAGCACGTAATCAGAGGAGGCAGTGCTGACAAAGGCATAGATCTCTGGTCCTTGAAATGAATACAGCGGAGCACGTGACACCAGGGTAATGATCGCAGGGTTACACGTGGAGGAAGAGTTCTGCAACTCGCTGGTCTACCAATAATAACGGACTTGCGTCGGGTTCCGAGAAGGCTTGGCGCTGGCTCCTTAGGCTCACATTGTGACGGCACGGCACGGAGGCGGTATGGAGGATGCTCCAAAGCTCTATGGATTGCACTATAGGAGAAGACTAAGCGAGAGAGCCAGAAGGGAGAGTCTTGCGGGCGAGAACAGTGCTATATACATGCAAGGAGAGCACCGGGACGAGGCTGCACTAGCACTAATCCAGTGGCTGCCTGGGATTACCTATATGGCTTAACGGTGCCTGAGGTGGCGTTCTAGAGGCTTTGGACCAAGTCCGCGACACACATAGGAGCATAGGAAAAGCATGATCTCGGAAGGTCAATCATTATAATAACCATTACAACAGTCAGGGTGGTTGAGTGATTGTACCTTCAGAATTTGAAGATCCCATACTAAGGAATTTTACCAGGTTGTCCGCCTGTGCAGGGGATAAGGCGGTAACAGTCGAGAGCCAAGTTGAGTTATGGCTCGCACGTCACCGATCACTTACACTCCACCGTACTCGGCTTTGTCCTCGGCCGTTCCCGATCTGTTATGTACCGTAAAGCCATGCATGTGATCAGAGCATACTGCCTGTTGATTGGCAATGAGAAGAAGCTATGCTTGACTCTATATAGCCTAGTTTTAAGCCACTGTGGGCCAAAAATGTGGGCCCAAATATTTTTTGAGTGTGTATAAAACGCCTGTACGTCTTGTGCCTAGAACTAGATGTTAGCTGGAATACGTTGATTGAATCCTCGCCCTAGAACCCTCACACCTTGGGTTCTGGGTATGAGAAGAAAGTCACAACAATATTGTGTAGCTGCGAGAAAAGCAACATCACAAAAACAAACGAAGTGGGTTCAAGAGTACTCTGGTGACCGGCTTCCCCAGCAAACTCTCCTCGAGATTTTGTCCTAGCAGGAGTAGGCAGCTCAGGACAAGTCCAGTCTTCTTCTTCTTTTTCTATTCATAGACTGTCCCAGCCGCCATCAGGCAGCTATGCAGCAGTTCGACTATAAATACAGGTGTTTCCCCCATCTTGCTTCCGGAAATCGAGCTGTCCTGTTACGACCGCCTCCTCCTTCTGCTCTGATATTGGTTTCACCTCTACTAATAGCCTTCATAGTTGTCCTGTGTCTATGCTCTTGTTAGGCCTTTCCTGGCCCTCCTCGACTTCTGTCTGACAATATTCACTCGTCTACGCTTACGAATATTGAAGTACTGTGGATGGGACTGCTCGGAATTGCTCTAGAAGTCCCGTCCTTAACATCATCTTTGCTGATTGGACTGCCATTGACGAGCTACAGAGAATACGCTTGATGTCGACGCATGGAGTTTTGCCTGCCCACATTCGTTGTCGTTCCTCGCACCTAGGCTTCGACTGAGCGAGACTAGACGAGCTCGGTTAAAACCGTAGCTCGTCTCGTCTCGCCATCGGATCCAGTCTGTGGACCATGTGCCCTTCGCCCCCCGGGGTCTCTCGGATCAACTATTTTCCGGGATTACGTGCCCCCGGGGGGGCACCCTTCTAACTCGACGTGATCCGTGGATTGGATCCGATGAAATCCCCCTTTTTCACGGATTAACCTTTTTCCGAAGTCGTCGCCCATCGGATCCAGTCTACGGACCACCCAACCCTCGACGGATTAAATATCTTCCGTCATCGGACCCAATCCGAGGACCATGTGCCCCTCGGGGGTGCCTTCTACTCGACGTGGTTCATGGATTAAATTCGATGAAATCCCCCTCGTCGCCCATCGGATCCAGTCTATGGAGCACCCAACCCTTAACGGATTAGCCATTTTCCGGAACCATGTGCTCCCCTCAACCCCGGGTTGGGGGGGCGGCAGCCTTCCATTCGATATCGATATGGTCCATGGATTGAATCCGATAAAATCCCCCCTTCGACCATCGGATCCAGTCTGTGGACCACCCTGACAGGCTCGATTGATCATACTTGATATGATCCACGCATTAGATCCGATAAATTCCCCCGTCACCCATCGGATCCAGTCTTCTTCTTCTTCTTCTTCTTCTATTCATAGACTGTCCCAGCCGCCCTAATGGCAGCTATGCAGCAGTTCGACTATAAATACAGGTGCTTTCCCCGTCTTGCTTCCAGTTGTCAAGCCGTCCTGGTCAGACTGCTTCCCCCTTCTGCTCCACGTAGTCGCACCTCTATTCATCGTCCTTATGGTAGTTCTGTATCTATGTACTTGTCAGGCCCTTCCCGGCCCTCCTCTGCTTCTGTGTAACCAAATTCACTCGTCTGCGCCGGTGTATTGCGGTGTCGTGGACGTGACCGCCTGGACTTAATCCACGGTCCCCGTCTAGTTCTTTGTTCTGTCTGTTTGTACGTCTATCGCTGAGCTGCCTGAGCGGTTGGCTGCCCTGTGCAATAGTCGCTTGTTTGGGACGCGCTGCATGAAGTGCCGATGTGACCGTGGTGGAAGTACTTGAAGTGTTTGAGACGTGCTCGTTGATGTTTCCCGGTCAATGCTTACTCTCGACAATCGAGACACCATCAGCGACCGGACGCGTCGCCACTGCGTCCTTCGCATTGATGGGGTGCCGAGATGTCGGCCAGCTGTGCAAGTGGCAGTATGTAACGTGTCTTGAAGATCTGTTCTGAGCTATAAGTGGTGTTGGTAGTAATAGCGTGATTCGATATGGTGATTTCCTGAAGTGTGTGTTCGTCTCTGTCTGGTGTGATTGTTCTGTGTGGTGGACCATCTCTTTCCCTTCAACTCCGCCTCTTCGCAGTGTACTTTTCAATCTCCGATGCCGTAAACTGTGGTCGGGCAGGAAGACAGAGTACCGAGATCCATCTTCCGTCTATGGGCGTACATGAAAGAGGCGCCACCCTCTTCCCGCGTACTGGGGGCTGTGATGTTGGGTGTTTCGTGAGGCTTGGAGGGTAATTTTCGACGTGTCGACGCGTCGTTGATGGAGGAGATGGATGTACTTGAAGATATGTTCTGTGCTGTGGGTGGTCGCAGTAATGTCGTGTTGATTATGTGTCTCTTATTGACTCCGCCTCTTCGTCGCGTATTCTTCACACTCTGACACCGTAAACTGCGGTCGGGCAGGAAAACGGAGGACCCGAATCCGTTCTCCATCGTGGGCGTACATGAAAGGGGCGCCACTCCCTTCCCGCGTACTGGGACTGTAATGTTAGGTGTTTCGTGAGGTGCAGAGGGTGATTTTCGGGACTTCGACGCGTCGTTCATGAGAGGATCACCGCGTCGTTGAGCTCCTCCTGGCACTCAGAGACAGCTCGACTATTTCTCTGAGAGTTCCCAGCGGACACCACGTGGAGGTGGGAGCTCGTCGTCCGCCTACGAGCCATCTCGAGTGTGATCAGTAAGAGCTCGTCTTAGGTGGTCCACAGATTGGATCCGATGAAATACCACGACCCATCGGATCTAATCCATGGACCACGTCGACATCGAGGCTCGTCCGTTAACGCTCGGTTACGAACCATCTCGAGTGTGACTAGTAGAGCTTGTCTGAGGTGGTCCATAGACTGGATCCGATGCGTGGATTATCTCGATATCGAGGATATCGAGTAGGGTGCCCCCCCCCCGGCACTGTGATTTCCTGGGCTACAGATGCAGTATCACGTGCCAAAAAGTGCTGGCATGACTCGAATTCATCGAGCCAAGCCACTGTAGCCACTTATATCGTTTGATAATTGAAGCCCCAATTATCACAGCACATAGGCCCCCAGGGCACGTGATCCCGGAAAATTGTTAATCCGTTGAAGGTCGGGCGGTCCATAGACTGGATCCGATGGGCGAGGATTTCATCGGATCCAATCCATGGATCACATCGAGTTGGGAGGGTGCCCCCCTGGGGGGTTGGGCACGTGATCACGGAAAAAGGTTAATCCGTTGGGGGTTGAGCGATCTCTAGACTGGATCCGATGGGCGCCCGGGAGGAGCACGTGATCCCGGAAAATGGTTAATCCGATGGGCGACGAGGGGGGGGATTTCATCGGATCCAATCCATGGATCACGTCGAGTTGGGAGGGCGCCCCCGCGGGGGTCAGCACGTGATCCCGGAAAATAGTTACGTGATTGGCCGGCTCGCCACTCTTGGCGTCGCCGCACAACGCCAAGCCCTAACCGGGCGATTCCAAAATTAAAAAAATAAAAAATTCAAGTTTATATTTTATTCCGCCAGAAACTGCTTCAAAATTGACACCAAATCGTGGTTGACCTATCAAGGACGTAACCGAGTGGTAAAACACTCGGCTTGCAGTCGAACCGATAGAATTGAGGGGCCTTACTAGTGTTCGATCATAGGTAAGGTAAGAGGGTTGTCCGGCCTAGCTTTCTAGGTGCCCTAGATGGGTAAACGTAATGCTCCAGCCAGTGATTGTTGATGATGTCGTCTTGTTCATACCGTTGGGAGGGTCACTGATTCAAACTCTCTTCTACAGTTGAACTTGTGTGGCTGAAGCTTTCACTGGCTGCGGCGCCCCATCTATGAGTTTCGTCAGAGATGGACCTTAGGAGGGGGCCCTTTCGGTATTTTCGCCACAAGTCCTATATCGCCAGTATAGCGATATAGATGGAAAATCGCGCGAGCTATAATCCATTTCACAGATCCAGTATATTTGGATCTGTGAAATGGCTCCCGGTGGGTGGGCCGTCCAGGTAAACTACTTGAACATAGCAGCTGTCAATGTTGAGTGCGCGGTGGGTTTGATGGCCCTCTTTTCACCTCCTCTTTTAATCATTGCTTCATTGGCGACAGTATTAAGGTTCAGAGACTCTAAGACTGGCCGTTTCTTCTTCTTGAATTGCACCACTGCCGCCGCCGACTCTAACTTTTCATTTGTGACGTAGGCTCTCTTTCGTTTTGTTTTAGCTGGCTGTGTGAGAATCCTGGAATCACCCTGAGGACTTGATGGCTGAGTCTCCTCTGCCAGCACAGAGGGTTGAGTCAACATCGCTGAATCGTTTAATTGCGCCAAGGCTGAACGTGTTCCCAGTACAGCCAACGGTTCTTGAGACGCGGATATCGAACTTAACTCTGATGATTCTGTCTCAATGCCAATCGTCTGTGATATTCGCAATCGTGAAGGGGTGTTTATGGTAGTCGGTCGAGCTGTTGACAGAGTTGTAATATCCTTTTTTGGTCGCCCAACCGGACGAGTACTGCCACCTTGCTGACTGGCAGTAGATTTTGATGTTGAAGCTCGATTCTGGTTCGATGGCGCTATTAGTCCCTTGCTTCTCAGAAAGTCCCTTTTCTGATCTGCTTGATGTAAATTCCTCCATCACGCTCTATCCTGAATCACCTGAACAATGTCACTACCATACTTCTCACACCAGGTCCACTCAGGAATAACAGCTCGAAGAAGAGTGACGTTCTCGATATAATACCCCACAGAACTGATTCTCTTAATAATATCCTTCGGCATTATTACCTCAAACCCACTTACTCTGGCACCAGGAATAGTATGAAGAATATTCTTACTTGTCTCCTCGGCCCATAAAACCAGCGCTTTCTGAACCTCATACCTTATCGGCGTATGAACGCGAGGTGGGGGAAAGACATATATGGTTGCTCCTTCCATCTTTCTGTCTGTTGATCTCCTTCGGGAGTTGGTTCCTCTTTCGCAGTATATATCCTCATTCGACAATGTGGATGACAGAACATACAGCAGCGACTTTCCTGAGGTCTGTACTTAATTCCCCCAGCCTCGAATGATGCCCATAGTGACTGACGAAAACATTGATGAATATTCAGAAGGTTGCGAATCTCAGGAGTGATCTTTTGAGTAGGCTTTATTCGTTGTGTTGTGGATCGCTTCTCAGTCGATGAATCTGTAGAGCGACTATTAATGGAAAGTTGAGTGGTCGGCAGAAACCAGGCGAAATGTGCCTCAGCCCTTGAATCTCGACCAGCTCGACCAAGACGTTGCATTAAGGTGTCGATATTATCCTCAAGATCCCATTGAATACAGACAATCACGTTAGGAAAGTCCATTCCAATCCCAACAGCATCGGTTGCAAGTAATATTTTAACATTGGAATCTGGATCGAGGAATTGGGTATGTAATTCTCCTTTGGAGAATTCCGATCGTTGACTGATGAACCCGTAAAGTCTCCTGGTCATTCGCATTCGCAACGATGAGGTTCATGGTGATGATGGTCTGGACCATCGATACATACTTCGTTTAACAAAATGAATCCAGCAATGTGCGGACAGTCAGTCAACATTTCTCTCGAATACCCTATCCTTGCAACAATTCGTTTTCAACGCTGCTTGATAACACCATGTCGCAACAGGGCGGGAATCGCCTGTCTTTCTGTCCATTCCGTACACTTGACCATTGGAGGTTTCATTTCACCTTGTTTGTAAAATGATCCATCTGGCTTCATCTGCTCCGTTCTGTGGGTAGCCGGATTGAACTTCTTCTGCCTCGGTGGTGGAGGCTGCTGTCGGCACGTTTGATCAAATACACCGGGATAATTGGTTGTCTCCACCACACCAAGTAGCTCTTTGTTATGGAAGGTCTGGGAGTCTTCAGGTCGTTTGCCTGATTTAGACTGGTACTGCATGCCCGAAACGAGGTCTCCGGTAACGTGATGGATAATGCCATCACCATTGGGTTTTGTTCGAACGAAGAGGACGGTGTGGTATCGTGGGCTTGGCATGTCGGGATCGGCCATGGCAAGCTTGTATCTAACTTTGTAGACTTCGAAAACCATTTTCTGTTATCTTTTGACTGTTGGCCACTAGATGTTGTGCAGGATTGATGTGTAGTGAGAACAATATGAGCGTCGACAGCTCGACGTGGCCATCATATAGATTATGATAAGCGCCAGGCAATGAGATTAAGGATTTCTCGCATCTTTGTTGGCGCTTAGTCTATTGCATTCCTGGCCATTTGAGGCAGGGGGTAGAATGTGAGTAGTCGCGCGCTAACAGAGTTCTGTCTCGCAAGAGTCTCAGCCAGGGTGCGTGAAGCTCTGTCAGACGTCTGATATTGTGCTGTCTGTGAGTTGCATCCCTGAAACACAGCGCTTCAAAACCATAGATCTTGATGGATCAGCCTCAGCATGGCTGCCTCCGCGGCGCGTACAGGAATGAAGGCCTCTGACCTGTTTGGCCAGTCATCTTCGTCCCATCGGAAGCTCAAAAATGCAGCAGCATACTCCCAGTAGCTGGGATACCAACCAGCAATTTCCCAGTCAATAATCGTTATTCGAAAAGCCTTGCCCTGCATCGTATCTTCTTGTGTTATGTCGACAATGATGTTCTTTTGCTGCACATCTGAATGGCAGAAGGTAGGTGAATGATCATCAAGCGCTGGGGCTATATGTCTCTCGAAGAATTCCGCCAAGTGTGGATACTTTCCATTTAACGCTGAATTCGCTCGCGATCTTTTCGCCAGGCCAAGGATCATCTCACGTCCATGATTAAACGGGCCAGTAATCGCTGGGTCGTCATTTGCGTCCCAAAATAAATGATAAGGGATCGGCCCTCGATGGATACTACCAAAGAATCCTGGTGATGGCAAAGAGTGAAGTGATTCAAAAATATCTCGCAGTTTGTTGACAATTTGGGTTTTGTCTGAATCTCCTAGTGTTGGCCATAATTCGTTAAGTGGTATACCAGGTACGAGGTCCATAACCATGAAAAGATCGGAGTTAGCACCGTCTCCACGCCACATCGCATAGAGCTTCGGAGCAGGGATACGAGGGGCAAATCTCTCGAGGAAAAGTAGATTTTCTCCCTCTAGCTGACTTAAGTACTTCCCATATTTTATCGCATACGGACCGATCACAGCCACCTTCTGATCTGCGGAAGGTTCATTCCCGTGAATGATGTTTGCGCAATCGCGAATCTGATCTTCGCATGGTAAGGGAGCAGGTAGGCTCTTCGAGTCCTTTCTGAATGGGATTTCAACTTTGCATTCCATCTGAACCTCAGACTATGGGCCTTAGATAGAAATTCGTATTCGTTGACAAAATGATCGCAGCGGTCGGTTGAGCATGAGATGGATAGGTCGCAGGAGAGCTTGGTAAGAAACAGACAAGAAATCTCTGAAGCGGTACTGCACCACATCAATTCTTTGCTTTTGGCTTGGCGCGCACGTGCCTCAACCAGAACAGGGTGAGCTGGCCCAGCCGGCCCTGAGCCGAAATTGAGCCGGGCGCGAGCCGGCCTGAGCAAAAGCGGCGTGAGGTCACGTGGGGCAGGAGGGAGACGGGTGTGATATGTGGCGACGCCAAGGCTTGTAAAGCCTCAAAGGCCGCATCGAGACTGTCCCATTTGATGAGTCGACCGTCGTCGTCACGCGTTGGTGGAGCGGGGATTTCAAGAATTCGTTCTGTGGTGTCCTCGTCTGAGGAGCTGAAGGACAGATCTGAGTCCGAATAATCTACGAGACGGATAGGATTATCCTTCGTCCCGGGAGAGATATCGACCGCGGAGGGGGTTGAATGCTTACTAGAGGCCTGGGAGCCTCTGGCAGAGAAGAATTCGTCACCGGAAGATGCGTTGCTATTAACCTCGGGCGTGGCTGGACGAAAGTCTGTAAATTGTGCCATGATATCAAACTGGGTTCCGCGGGTAGGAAGAGCACTAAAAGGTACTTAATCCGGGGAAGTTTTTAGGGGGTTTTGGCCGTGATTTCAAGTACAGGATAGCAGCACGAATATACGTTGAACGGAAGACGCGTCTTCGACACGATTGAAAAACATTCTGATCTCGCTAAACCTACCTTGCGGGAACGTCTCTACAGCAACAGCCTTGTCTATGACGTTGTTGAGTGTACGGAATAAGGATATATGGCCAAAAACGGTTTAGCGCGAGTGTACGGAATAGTCAGAGGGGGTGTACTAATTAATAGGCCCCGTGAGGAATGGCAAGGACTGAAGCCTTGCTGTCTTGCTACTTGTGACTACCCAAGTTTATATAGCACAATGTGGTCCTGGCCCCAACATTCAACCCATATCCTTGGCATTCCATCGAGAATTACCCATGACTGCGGCTGTCCTAACGTCCGGGTCGAAGTAGAGTCCGGAAGAAGATACAAAACTGTTAGAACTTCTAGTGAATGACAGGAGCTGGCTAGAAACCTCGCGCACCTTACCTGGAAGGGAGGGAAGTAAGCTGCACTAGGACTATGGGAAGACTCAAAATAGTGGAGATAATGGATTTGTATGTCGAGTCCATTTTCGACGCTGGAGTTATCGAAGCAAAGATTTGGACGCTTACTATTCGCACTCCCAAGAAATCTGCCATAGTCGCGAAGGCTCTGTAAGGTGACGAACCAGCCAATACTGTTATTCCCAGTACCTAGGGTTGCACACTAGACGAGTAAAGTCCTTGACCGGGAAATCCGCCTGCGGTTTAGACGGCCCTCTCCTTTCGGGTATGGTCGCAGGCTAGGCGCGTCGCCGCTTTAATATCTATAAGAACCCCGTCTCCCATCCCATCCCTCTCTTCCTCCTTTCCAACCTGTTTTTTTTCCTACCTCTATCGCTCTGATGCACCCGTCGCCCTTCACCTGACACTGCCTGAATCCTCCCCTACCGCATTAGACCCCCCTTTCTGGATTGTCCCCTCGGGCCCTTTAAAATCTGCCTTGCGTGCGCCTCGATCTTCACAGTCGGCACTTTCGACCCCCTTAAGTCCCCAATTCCTCCATGGCATATTCAACTTTCACCGGCTGCAACGTGCAGGCTCAGCTGACCCCGTCCATTATCTTCACTTCGACTAGGGTCCTAAGGATATCGGCGTCGACAGTCCTTCTTGTACCGCCTTGCGAAGGTGAATCCGAGTGATGAGCTTCTTAGGCGTTTGTTCTAGACTGGCAAAATCCCAGGGAGATCGTCGTCACCGATAACAGCAAAATCGAACATCCCTAGATGCCGTGGTTAACGCTCAACTTCCCTTCTATACTACGCCGTCGATACTCGAACTCTATATCTCGATCTAGTGGAGGAGGACATAGAATGACAGTAAAGCGCAGTGGATCTTTTGGCGCCGGCTGACGCAGCAAGCTGCGTGCCGCATCTGGTGCATTGCTGCCTACGCTGCGCCTCGAACTTGTAACATCGAGGTAGAGCTAAGCCCTCTATTTTTGGCCCTTAGCGGCTCGGGGGAAAGAGCTGCCATTCGGCGGCAGGGGCACGTCAGTACAGTATATTACAGTGGATTCTTAGCTGTACTATTCTCGTTTTGAGCTAAAAGCAGTATAGAGGTTTCCGCAACGGGACTTGAGAACGGCAGTACGAAGTGGGACAGTAGAATTGGCAAGCTTGGACGAGCGCAGATGTTAATTCTCCATTCCAGATGATAATCCCAATAGCGGGTGGGTATGTGTTTGTGAGATTGGCCGTTAGTTTCGAAGAGGACTTGCAGAATCGTCAAAGTTGAATAGTGTCTTGTGGGACAAGGGAAAGCAGGAAGGCCGATGAGGGCAGTGCTGACTGTCTATATAAATGGCACAGTTTTTTCGTTATTCTCGTCAGATCCATTCTTCTACTTTACATCTCTTAAAACAGTGTACCCCAATCATGACGACTTTCACCGCGTATCAACCTCAAGAACATGCACCGTTCTTCGGAAGTTAGACCTTCAGCAAATCTCCCACAGTCGACCATTCTAGCTTAGTGTTGAGCAGACAAAGCTCAGAATCTCCCTAACAGGCGACGCCTATAAGCAATGCGGATGTCGTCGATTTGATGGATTTGACTCCCTCCACCAGGACGCCGCTCGAGAGTATTTTAATAAAGCGGGAAATTTTAGAGCCAATGGGTCATAATCCCGATAAACGCGGCATTCGAGTTGCTAGTGCTCGCAGCACCGGCGCGACCGACAACGATGAAATTGAAGATAGCGAGGAAGGAGACAAAGATGATGATATTGACTATAAAAGCGAAACCACTGACCTTTCATCTCTTCAGGATATCTTTGCGCGAAGCGGAACAGGGTTTAGAGGAAGGGACAACCTCAGCCGCAAGACTCTCGTATCGCTCGCCCCTGTCGACAGGACCAGCAAGGGCCGTTGTCACGAGGGCGATAGTGCCAATCCTATCGCCACGACTGCCGCAGGTGTTCAGCTCGGTGCTAGCCAAGGTGAGTAATGGAGATCCCACGTCGCACGGCGCATACGTGAACGATGCAGACGTACTTTTCTAGACAACCCGATTGTGCTGGACGATGACCAGTCGGTTAACATTCACGACGCCGCCTCCCCTGACGATGAAAAGCCTCCCTTCAAAGTCGCGAGCTGGTCGAATGCCAACGGCCCCTGGCCAACTTTGTCCAGAGGATTTGCCGAGCAAGACACGAACGATGGAAAGAATACTCCAGACAAGCCTAGCGAAGTGCAATACGGACAACTGCGCAGGCGACGGAGAAGAAGGAGCCCCCCGGGGGGTAGCACGTGGTTCCGGAAAATAGTTAATCATGGACCATGTCGAGTAGGAAGACGCCCCCCCTCCGGGGCACATGGTCCACAGACTGGATCCGATGGGAGCTTGTAGGGAAAATATTTAATCCGATGGTGGTGAACCGGAAAATGGTTAATCCGCTGAAGGTGGACCGGGAAATGTTCGATCCGTCAAAGGCGCGGCAAGGGAGTGCCTATGTGCCCACGTGATAACGCCAAGCCATATGCTTACGTGATTGGCCGGCTCGTCGCTCTTGGCGTCGCCGCACAACGCCAAGCCCTAACCAGGCGGATTCTAAAATTAATAAAAAAAAAAAACAAGTTTATATTTTATAATGCCAAAAACTGCTTCAAAATTGACACCAAATCGTGGTTGACCTATCAAGGACGTAACCGAGTGGTAAATCACTCCGCTTGCAGTCGAACCGATAGAATTGAGGGGCCTTACTAGTGTTCGATCATAGGTAAGGTAAGAGGGTTGTCCGGCCTAGCTCTATTGAGTTTCTAGGTGCCCTAGATGGGTAACGTAATGCTCCAGCCAGTGATTGTTGATGTCCACTTGTTGATACTGTTTGGGAGGTTCACTCCCTAAGTTGAACTTGTTTGACTGAAGACTTTCGCTGGTTGTGGCGCCCCATCTATAACCCAGTTATATACTGGCTGTAGGAGGGGTTCGAACCTATTGTGTTTTTTTTATTTTTTCCCCCGAAGTGTCATGGTGCGAACATGTGAATATTGGGAAAGTTAGCCGAAGTAGAACGCTCACCGCCCCCACTCGGCCCCCCCCACGAATAATATGTTCGGATTGCCAATCGTGTCGACGTTATCGAGATCTACTAGATCGGAACACTGTATCGACTTGACACAGCTTCAACCTCTTTCTGTTTCGGTGTCTGCTAACCACACATTCTGCTCTATCTCCATGCTTTGCTGGATAGTATACTGCGGACGCTGGCGAGCACCAACGAGCACTCACCCAAGTCTGCCGCTTCGTCTGCCTTCTTACAAGGTTGTAAATGTTTAGTCTTCCCAGATCTTGCATATACACCACATTAAGAATCCATTGGTCCATTCTTGCAACCCTATCGCGGCACTCAAGCTTTTGGCATCCTGTGACAGCTTTGTCGAGGTAGAAAAATGAAAATCATGGGGAGAGGACTTTGACCCTGACAATCATTGAAGACATCACGGGAACTTTGAAGGCCGGAAACAGTGGCAGCACAGTCTCAGTTATTATTGGCCAATTCCCTCGTCCAGGATCCCACAGCATTCCATGGTAGATTAACTTTCTTCTCCACAACTTTACCACGGGCGTGTCATATCGACTCTCTACTCCCACAGCATTTCATGGCGAATTGACTTTCTTCTCTGAACCACGTCATATCAGCTCTCTACAAGTACTCCCACAGCTTTCCTTGGTCTCGAAAAGGGACTTTATTGGTCAAGAAGTGCCTCAGGGTTTGTAGCGGCCACCGTTCCTCAGTGTTCCGATCTAGTAGTTCTCGATCGCGTCGTCGATGGATCTAGTAGATCCGGATATCATATCCGTCACCGATCAGTGGCGGTGAGTGTGTGAATATCTTCATCGTCGTCGCTGACTGTTGTAACTTGCAAAATGGCTAATAGTCAATCATCTCTTCCCTCCACTGTGTCAGCCAACCCCTCCCCATCTTCCATCAGCTTGGTGTCGCCTCCCTCACTTAATCGCGGCCCAGAGACACTTAACTGGAAGGGCGTCGAATGGATACGGGTTGATCATGCACCAAATAAGAGGAGGGGTGTTGCCCAGTCCCCAATTTGGCAGTGGGGGAGTGATTATATCAATCTTGCGCTGCCGATCCACCATGCCTGGCGCTGTGGATTACTCAGCAAAGAGGCGGAGGTGGAAGAGCATACCGCAAGAAGAAGCTACTTGTCCCGATTAGAGGCGACAGCGAGATCACGATATGATACGATATTCATACGCCCTGTGCGGGCTGAGCCCATAGGGCAGCGAGATCACAAACACCATGGGGGGGGGGGAAGGGCGGAATACCCAATTGGGAATGCCGAGAGCGCGATCGAGTAATTATCTACTAGATCTCGATCGCGTCGACGGCGGCGATCCTTGATCGCGAGCGATCTAGTAGATCGGAACACTGCCGTTCCTTAGCAGCTATCATCCCCTCTCTAACCTGTTGGACTGGAAGGCGCTGGGGGGATGATGGTGTTGAACAATCGGTGACCTATCGTTTGCAATAAACCGACTCGTTCTGCGACTCTCGCTTACTAGGCTGTATTACCATGAATAGGCAACAGCGATGACGTACGCTGTGTAGATAGATACATAGATGGGCTCTATCCTATACTCGTTGGAAGAGCCAGAGCAGTCCTTCAATTCAAGTTGCACGGGAAGTTTGACAGGGTGGTACTTTGAACATTCTGCGGAAGGTTTGCCGACCGACTTGGCTATTGGGCACCGACGAGGGGATCCACTACTGTAACGGCCAAAGAATAATGTCACGGTCGCACCTTCTGCTGTGCCAGGATTTAAGGCTGGCGTTGCAGAAGATAACCTCATCGCCACCAATTCTGATGCTCCGTGGTGACCAATGGGGTCACTACAGACAATATCGACAGTCAAAACCTCCTCCGACGCTTGAACCTATCCAGCAGAACCTCGCGAAAACCCAACCCCTTAAGCCGCATATCTATCGAACAGGTGAGTGGGCCGCGCTTGAAGAAGACGTAGGGGGAAGACTAGAGCGTGGTAAGACTCTTAAAGTCGTCTCTTGGAACATTTACATGCACCGTTTCTGGGCAGAGGAACGAATATCCGCAGCGTTAAAATATCTGAGAAAAGTTTTCGGAGATAAACCCGATTCAACCGTGATCATGCTTCAGGAGGTCCGCAGAGAATCTCTTCGGACCATCTTGGAAGATGCGTGGGTTCAACAGATCTTCATGTTGTCGAACATCAATCCTCCTCAAGATCTTTACTTCGATATTCCTGACGAATCTTTCATCCTGAAGCTCGTGGAATGGAAGTCAGCACCATATTTCACCCTGATGCTGATCTCAAGGGACCTTGGTGTTCTAAACTGTTTTCGTGTCCCATTTGTTACGAACATGGGAAGAGACGCTTTGGTAATTGACATTCCCATAGCGAACAAGGACATGTCTTCTTCGGCAAGGGAGTCTCTTCGTCTCTGTACGACGCATCTGGAATCTCTCCCGGATGACAGGGGCTACCGTCCCAGCCAATTGGCTTTAATCTCAACTCTCCTGAAAGGAGTACCACCGATGAAATACAAGATCGCGGCAGGACTTGTTGGTGGTGATATGAACTCAATCGAAAAGTCAGAACACGAGTTCCACAAGCGGGATGATATTAACTTGAAGGACGTCTGGGAGGACGTTCCGGCGCCACCGGTCCCCCAGTTGAAGCCTTTCCAGAAGGACCTCACTTATGGCAGAGCGAAAGGAAACACCTACTGTTATCAGTCATCGGGCAGGAATCGCTGGATGAAGCGCTTGGACAAATTTTTCTACACCGGCTCACTAGAAACCAGCCCTCTCAGTGAGATTCAAGACGTTGCTGGCAAATTAGGTCGGCTTGGTATAGGTCTGAAAACGGAAGTGGATGCTTGGGAGTGGACAGCCTCACCATGGACCCTTAAAAGAAACAAGGTGTTGAATAAGCCAATCAAGGAGTATTGGCCCTTACATGCCTTCTCGGGCCAACACCTACAGCGGAAAGACCTTGTTCATGTTAAACATGAATGTTGGGTTAGCGATCATTTCGGCATCGCTGTTGGTGTCAAAGTGGTTTAATATCAATGCTTGAGGGCGACACTATGGCATACGCTACTACTGTAAGGTTAACTGTAACAAAAAGGAAGAGATCAAGAATAAGTCCACCGCCCAATCCAGACGGGAAAGCGATAAACAAGGGAAAGAGACCGAGGATGTTAAGCCCCAGTGTGTTTCCACATTAGCTAGCGACTTCCACTCGAGTAAGTTCTATACCGGCGCTGTTAAGCCTCATTCTGGTTCTGACGTGCGGAATCACAGAAAATACAAGCGCCCTTACGCGACATCCGCCGTCGCTGGCTATTGGTGCAGCAGCCCCTCCATATCTATACTCGTTTCTTACGGCTCGAGACAGTGTTTCAAGTCGGGCCTTGTCTAAACGTACGTGCTCAACATCACTCTCCTTCACACATATTGCGTTCATCTGATCAAAGACAAAAAAGATTCGGCGTTTCCGGTTTTCCATGTCATCCAAGAATTGTCCTATCTTTTTCATCGTGTCCAGTTTGGTGATCTCATCCTGTGTCGCCTCGTCGGTAAAGGCAAACAACAATGCTACTCGAAAGATCTGAATGGGATCATTGAGCCAGGCGCGACAATCAGGAATATATATGACATGTTCGCCGAGAGCTGACAGATAACAGACAAGTGCCGCTAGAAGGTATGATTTCCCATAGCCCCTGGTTCCATAGACCCAGAGCGTTGTGTACGTATATTCCTGCCGTATAAACTTAAGCTCACGTAGAAGTTCTGGGAATATCTCTCTCCCCGTATATCGCCAAACTTTTTCTTTGCCAATCGCAAATCGAGCAGGTGTGCACATATTGACGATTGGAAACGGAAGTACATGTACACTCTTGGGATCGGAAAGTAGGGCGACGGCTCCGGGCAGACGAAACTCGGAATAGGAGGTAAGTGTAGAAGCAGAATACCGGCTGCAATACTCAGTATGGAGATCTTTTATTATCTTTTCAATAAGCTTCCTTGTCTGACGGCTATGCTCGGGTATTTCTTCTGGCGGAACCAAGTCTAGTTCTTTATAGCTAGCAGCGTTATCGGTGCTATAGCTATTGTCGTGGTCGAGAAAGTCGTGATCGAGAGGGTCGTAGTGGTAAGGGTCGTGGTCGAGAGGGTCGTGGTGGTAATCGTTCTTCTCTTTATCATCGTTATCAGCACGGTCTTTTTGTTTTTCTTGTGCCTGGTATCTTCTTTTCGACCGCTTGCTGGTGGGTGATTCCGGTGCGACAGATTCATCATCTCTCTTCCTCTTGTCCTTTGGAGATAGAGTGGCCGTGCTCAAGACTTCGTCCCGAAAACGCGTAAGCGATAGACTGGGTCCAGGAGAGATGCCACACTCTTTACGGAAGAAATCGTAACTGGTGTCCAAAAAGACTACACCGTTAATCGCTGCGCTGTGGAAGCTTTTCAGGTCCTCATCTTCGGGAGGGAGGAACTTCTTTGCTGGATCCACTGAAGCACCGTTTGCTTATCCCACATTTTCATCTCCTTAACTGTGGGGATTTCAGGTAGGACCTGAGTCCTTAGCTTAGTCCGTCGAAATTTAGGTGAGGTGGGCAATCGATGAGGGGAAGACATGATGCGACGATCTGGCCACACAAGGACGTTGGATGGCTTTGAAGTGATCGTAATGAATGCGTGAAAACTCTTATGGAACAAATCTTTGACCTCAAGGGGACTTGTGGCTGGTGGAATGGAACAAGAGTAGGAGAAGGTGGCTCTGGCGTTCATAAGGTAGATGATCCTTTGGTGACATTGTGATTTTACGGAGGACTTGTCCTATTTCGAAGGGTCCAGGGGACCGTCAGACTATATACTTTCGAAGCGTGTACGAAGCGTACAACGCTTCCGAAGGTCTTTACAAGCCTTGGCGTCGCCACATATCACATCCTCCCCTATCTAGCCTCGAATGCCCGCATTCGGCCTTGTCAGTTGTAGAAATAATCCCATCTTCGACGTCAGGCTTCGAATGGCTATATATGGAGTAAATATATGGGCGCCGCAATGCAAATGTCCCTTCTCGATTGCTTTCGGTATCATTCCCCTTGCGAAATAGATGGTGCGGGAATGGAGTGACTGGGTGTCGGTGGTATTTTCACATGCCAGCTTCCATAGCGACCAAGTGAAGAAATTCCCATAGGAAAGGTAAGGATTTCGACGGGGGAAGGTGTCGTTGTCGTGTAAACACGGGCCCCTTTTCCAGTGGTTTCTGTTTGTTGTGATTCGAAAGTTCTTCACTGTCGATAAGTATTCCCCTTCCTACTTCTACACTCTTTTCTTCTCTTCTATCGCACATCAGCGATTCTTCTTCTTTGTCCATACCCCTTCGAGATCTTAGCCTTTTCTTCAACTTCGAACGATCTTGCATCATGGTGAGTAGGATTCGAAACGTCGTCGCGGGTTCGACTTGGTAACACAGCTGTATAGTCTGTCCACACGCCTATCGTCCAAGCGCCGGGGCCGGGTGCATTAGCATCGGGTTCGCTGGGTGGCGGTGGAGGCGGTGATGATCCGTCCCGTCGCCCTACGAATTTCCTGCGTGGTTGTCAAATCCCGTCGACAAGCCACTATGAGCGTATTGTGAGACGAATTCGAGAGTTGGCGAGTAATGTGAAAGCGAAGTCAGCATCATTAGCAGTAAGTCGTGTTTTCGATGTTCCCGCAGGGAAGTCGTTCTGACGTGTTTTCGAAGGATTATGGAAGTCGAAACCGGGTGGCCAAAGGTGTGCAGTTCTATGACTGGTCCCGCTGGCAGCAGGAATTGGTGGATGGCATCCTTTTCGAAAATGCAACACCTGGTGTTCGAGAGTTCGAAAACCTTTCCCTCCGACGTCCCTTGGAATATTATGGTGATCGTGATTTCATGAATGAAGTGCAGTTTCTCGGAGCGTTGGGATACACCATGGGTCAAGTCGTCAATAACCCTCCTTGTTCGAAGTGTGAGGCAGGCGTGACAGGTCGCAACCAGACGGAACCCGTCTTCCCAGAGTGCGTTTCGGTCATGGCACGGGATGACATGGATCCTCACAGTACTTCGACACGATGGTTGTTGGCTGGTCATTGCGCAACTTGCGCTCTTCGAGGCCAGAAGTGTTCCCTTCAGCGCGTGCATCGAAATTCGCAAGCATCGTCTCAACGCGGTGCTGTGAAGCGTGAGGTGAAGCAAGATTCTGGTGGTGGTTTCGATACACCGCCGGTCCGCCGGGTGCAGCATGGTTTCGAGGTGCCCGATGATGAAGAGGTACGACATCGTGGCACGAAGGAAGTGGGGTTTGGTGGTCGTCATCGAGGAATTTTCTCGCCTGGAGCTGAAGACCGATATCCTGAGATGATTGTTCGAGGCCCGAGTGGTGAGCCACTGTTCATTCAGATGCCGGACGTGGACTACGGCAATGCTCAGGTTCGAAATGCCATCCTTCAACAATTGGCATACATCAGCGGCCAACTGTTTCGAAATCCAAATGTGAGTCTCAGATCTCCGACAGGATTTCAATGGCAAGCCTCGAGTGAGCCTAACCGTCGTTCTGCTGGTCGGTCCTTCGACCCTGCTCCTGCGTTGACTCCGCCACGACGAGAGTCCGTGTATGAACCGGGTTCGATGGCAGCACAGGCCATGGAGAATATGGAGCGAGAGGCAAGTCAATCGAGAAGTCGTCAAGGAACTACGACTCCAGGTCCTTGGGACATGCGAGACTCGAACGCTGGCTTAGCGTCGAGCCCGATGGCATCCTCTCAGGCATTCGGTGGCCAACGTGTTCAACGGTCCATCGAAAGTGGTGCTCAACATGGTGGTGTTCAACGTGGTGGTTCTCAGCGTGGTGGTTCTCAGCGTGGTGGTTCTCTTCAGTCGCCTCGAGGCCGTGGCAGTTCGACGCACGGTCTTTCTCCTCGAGGGCAGCGAGGTGGTGCTTCATTTTCGAATGACAGTCGAGATTCGTACAATCTGCGAAAGCGTTGATGCATATGGGGTTGGTATCGAATTCGAAGATGATGAGGTTGCAGAATCTGCTTTGGTTCAGATCCTTCATGGATGGGTGAGAGACTTTTCGGCGGTTGGGAGTTCGATGCGGATGTGCATGCAGGACACTTCGAAGATGTAGCCGCGGAGGGGTGAGACCCTGAATGGCACGTCGACTCTTTCTTCCTTAGGTAGAAAATCCCAAAAAGTGTCAGATCACAGATCCTTAATCAGTTTTCGACGTGGATTCGGTCGTAGGAATCTTCCCTCAACATATCGAATATGTTGTGGTGGCTGTTCTTGTGTCTGCATCACTGTCGAGACGGTATTTCCATCCGATTCCCAATCCATTTCTTCGCCTAGTACTTCACCAGATGTATTGTGTTCTGGGTGTATTGGCGTGGTCTCTGCCGTAGCTTCGGTGTCTAAAGATGTAGACGCGGGTGCGTCGGTGTGGGATGATGTTTGCGCCTGGAAATGTGAGCTTCCTTGAGGGTACTCGACATTTGCGCCTTCTATGCCCTGCGTATGTGTCTCTGTTTCGACAGGGTCTTTCGCATGCATCGGCCTCGATGGAGTCATATCGTTTTTCTGTGATTCGTTCTCCTCTCGAGCCTGCTGGTTGGCTACCTCATTGTAGCTTTTCGACATCGTCAGAGGAGTATCGTTATCTCTCTTCCTCAAGATTTCGATAGTGTCCTCTTCGGACGGAGCAGTCGCACTTTCTAAGTGGCGCTCTGGGGTTTCCGAAGCAGTCGAGGCTGTACCGTTTGTCCTTTTCGCTAGCGATGCCTCTGGAGAAGCCGTATTTAGCTTCGATCTGGCGTCTATGGCCATGTGTGAGATATTCTCATCGGTCTGCTTTCCCCTATTCCGACGGCGTCGATTCGTGAGCGTCGTCGCGGCTCCCTGACCCTCCCCTATCTGGATTGAACGATCTCCGGATTGTTCCTGTCGAAGCCATTCGGTTTTCGACATTAGGGACAGGTCGTGGTATGTTGGTGGTAGGTTTTCGAGGTCCAAGACTTCTCGAATCTCTTG